AAGCTCTTCCAGCCTTTGAAAGTGCGCAACCTCGGATTCCCAAATCGAATCGCTGTGAGTTTGTATTTGTGCCTCCTCTTCGGATGTCGGGTGGAAACTAACTTTCTTGCAATCTAGCTGTCCCCTCTTTGTCAGTATTCCGCTGACGATGGCCATATGACCGACTGGCACCTGGCCCATCTGGGCGGCATCGCTCAACGTGGTGCAGGCTTTCTGATGGTTGAAGCCACGGCTGTCGCACCGGAGGGCCGTATCACCCCGCAAGACCATGGACTGTGGAAGGACTCCCAAATTGAGCCGCTAAAACGTGTGATTGAGTTTGTCCACAGTCAGGGCCAGCTGGTTGGGGTACAAATAGCCCATGCTGGACGAAAGGCTAGTACTTTAGCACCTTGGCTTGCGACTGCGGATCCAGCGACGGCAAAGGAAGGCTGGCCAAATGAAGATATAGCTACCGAAAAAGTGGGAGGCTGGCCCGACAATGTGGCAGGGCCGACTAACGATCCCTTGTCTGACCGACATGTTATCCCCAAAGAAATGACCAAGCAGGATATCGAAAATTTCAAAGTAGCCTGGGTGGCGGCCACCAAGCGTGCCGTCAAAGCTGGTGCCGATTTCATAGAGATCCACAATGCCCATGGCTATCTCTTGTCATCCTTCCTCTCTCCCGCGGTTAACACGCGTACGGATGAATATGGTGGCACCTTTGAGAATCGAATCCGCCTATCCCTTGAAATCGCCAGGCTCACCCGCGAAGCTGTGCCTAAGGATCTGCCCATTTTCCTTCGTGTCTCTGCCACAGACTGGCTGGAGGAATCGGTGCCGAATCAGCCGAGCTGGCGTATTGAAGATACTGTTAAATTCGCCCAAGTCCTTGCAGAGGTTGGTGATATTGATGTCCTAGATGTGAGCAGCGGTGGCAACCACAAGGCGCAGCACATTCACGCTCGTCCGGGATTCCAGGCTCCATTCGCCGTGGCCGTCAAGAAGGCTGTGGGAGATCGACTAATTGTGGGAACTGTGGGCATGATTAGCTCAGCCGAGCTCGCAAATACTCTCATTGAAAAGGATGGGCTAGACTTTGTTATGGTCGGGCGTGGATTCCTAAAGAATCCTGGGTTAGTTTGGTCGTGGGCGGAAGAGCTGGGTGTAGAGATAGCCATGGCAAACCAAATCCGCTGGGGGTTTACAGGCCGGCGAGTCACGAAGGCTCATGTAAACTAATAGCTACAAAGTCTCGTGTGGTTTACCACTGTTCTTTCCTGCCTCTGCTTAGAGAAGTTTGTAAATATCAATTTTAAATTTGAATATACAGAGAATTTCGATAACAGATTGCCTGCTAGACACGCTTTCTTTTCCAGGGCCCAACTTCAATTACTCTAAGCCAATTATAGCTAGTGCAAGTCCTCTTCAGACAAAGCCTAGCGGTATGATTGGCTGTACGATATTTTTAAATCCGACGATCTGCACCGACCCCGGTAGTGGGTCTGAGGGAAAGAAAGCGTGTGTCTGGTAGGTATTCTGTTTTCGAAAATCCCTGTATGTGAAGAAATAATAAAGCAGGCCCCTCACCTTGGCTATGTACTCCCTGATGATTGCGGACATGTTAAACTGGACTGTCAGATGTACTGCATGATGAATTTATATCAAATCAAATTTACATTTCTAAGGGAAACCTCAATGGTAGCCTGACTAAGCAAGCGAATCGAAACAGGAGAAAAATTTGCGCAAATTTGGACTGAATACGGAGTAGTTTGCTCTTAGTATTACTCTGTAGCGCAGGGAAGCGCAGAAACGATATATAACCCACAAATGAACTGAAAGGGTTCACTCTGTGGTACTGCACCTGTGTCTGCTATGGAAATGAAGGGTATGGAGCTGGTGAATAGTTAGCTGCTGTGATGCCTTAGAAAGCAGGCAAACAAGCAATCCTGAATAGGAAACAGGCGCTGATCAGTACAAAGGTGCTTAATCAAAAGTCACGCTGAAGTCGATCAGATTGTCCAGTCCGGCAGTTCTCTTCTTCATTGTATACTTCCAAGTTCCAATAGCACCTCTTTCGTATGGATGTAACGGTGTCCAGCTGTAACGAAATTTACTAGACAGTGTAAAAGACCTGTCGATCAGATCGAGTAGAGGGAACGAGGGTGACGCGAACACGAATAGATCTCGGTCGGAACGGAGACCGCTCTTTGAAGAACGAAAGTGGATATAATCAGTGCGCGATCCTTGTAGCCCCAGCGTCTGCTGAGATTCGGTGTCATATATGGAGGGCTTCAGGGCCTGGTCTATCACGTAAGGTTCAATATACAAATCCTTAACAACAATTGATACGTCTGTCTCTCGATCTAACGGCTCTGCGTCTAATCTATAGCGGTTTTCTTTTCAAATTCAGTAATTTGGGTACATTTGATATAGGGCATTAGATTCTGGCATATGTTGTTCCTTCTATCCAGTCCCAATCCCTCTCAGCGTGTTCATATCGTTTCCTGGCAACATATTAAACCGTCTCGATCAAACATAGGTAGTAATGTTGTACTGTAATATATCTATATAAATGTAGTTTCGATTAGTACCAGGCATAACATGTATATGGTAGAAGGGGATTCGATGATGGGTAACGCATACACAATGACAGGATGGTCATGGGGACGATTCTCATTTTTCATAGACATGTCAATTGCGCAATTTCCACCGATTGGTGTCATTTTCCTCCTTAGACTAAGTCAGTGTCCTCTGTCTCGGGCGACGGCTTCGAATTGGCTATTCTTATGTTTTCTCCCTAAGCGATGCATACGCACTCAGGATAGGGTTGACACCCTTTTTTGACAGCAGCGCACTACACTTTTCTTTCCTAGATTGACCTCTGCATCCTTGATCGTGTTTATTCTCTTCTTCTTGAGCTCCCTGCCAATTAACAACTTCTTCTGGTCACTCTGTATGCACCTTAGCTCAGACATGTGGGCTGTGGCATTCTTCTCCTGTCTCGACCTGTCTGTTCTGATCAGACTGCCTACAGCGTTCACCTCCTCTTAAATATATAAATAAGGAAACGAGGTTTGACAACTACATTCCTAATGACCACGCTGAAGAGCTACTATACAACCATCAACAGTATATTATAATTTTCGAATTGAATGGCATAGTCTATAAAATCCTTCGTAAGGCCAAATGTAAGATCAGTGATATGCTTATCACAATTAGTGAGACTGATGTGCACTCCCAACGTAACTTCATGCTTCATCTATCTGATTCGATCTTGCTTTCATGTGGCTCAATTTTTGATTTCGGAACCTTCATCCCCCGCTGTAACTTTCTCGGGCTTCTGATTGCCAGAAGCCCCTGAAAGCACGCGTCCACTCACAAAGTCATCCGGCATAAGGGGAACCTTCATTTCAAACACATTGTCGATGGCAGTATACTGGTGATACCCCAGCCGAGCCAGAGGGGCGGCTTTTAAAACATCGAAAAGCTTCAAAACAGATCAGCATGAAGAATGATCCAGAATGAGGATGTGACTCTCCTACCCCATCAGACGTGATATACTCGCCCTTGACATGAATACCCACAACTCGACCAATGACAATATCGGAATGACCGACGAGGGAGTCGCCCTGAATCCGGACAACGGAGTGCACTTTACATTCAAAGCTCACAGGCGATTCCGCCACTCGAGGAGGTTTGACCAAGCGGCTGGGAGCTTTAGTGACGCCGGAGATGGGGAATTCATCTCCCCAAGACTCGAGCGCCGACTGATTGACATTCTCACGGAGATCATATCTGTTTGATTTTATCAGCATTATCATTTATAATTATATACGACTAGCGGGCTGATTGTATCATACGTCGGCATATTCCACACAAACTCCCCTGTCTCTTGCGCATTAATCACAGAGTCCTTGCTCCGGCTTTTGTACACAGACTGATGGCCAATGAACAAGATGGTAGGTGGGTCGAATGAAACATTAGTAAACTGGCTATAAGGCCCTAAGTTGTCTTGGCCATCCTTGCTGGTTGTGCTGATCCATCCAATTGGACGGGGAATGACAAAGCTCTTGAAAGGGTCATGAGGGAGGCCGGACGTTTCACCCTTTGGGGGTTCATAAAAAATGTCGGAATAAGTCATGATGAATTCTAAAGAAATGGAATAGAACGCTGAACTTTGTGAAACTGCTCCACAATCTCTGAAAAAAAAGGAGTTCTCACAGGACATCAGTTCTTACTATAAGTACTCCGGTGATCCTGTGCTCGACAAAACAAAAGGCCGAGGTAGGACAAAAATTTGACTTTGATTTAGCATCATGATCGGTACTATGCTCGGATGACGAAATATTATTTTTCTTATCAGCCGCATCTACTGATTCGAATACCCCACGCACGGCTTTGATTTTTCACTTCAGGGTGACGATCGACTACACCAGCCGACATGGGCTTCGCCACAACCGGCCCCGCCATGGCCGAGGCTCGCTCCCACACTCGCATACTTAAACTCTACGCGACATAAACATAATTTAGACTTCTTCCTCGGCTTGACAAATGGCAGAGGATGACCTCCACGATAGAAGAGATATGTTCTTGATTACATTGAAGGCCGAAATCAGGTTGTTAAGTCCTTTTTATCAAAGTAATAATTGTGCAATTTCTCACCCTGTAGTGCGTCAGGAGAACAAACCGAGGCAGGCTAGGCCGACGGGCGACCATTCATTGCGTATAAATTGGCTAGAAATTCGGATGCCCTATAGCCATCCCTTCTTATAATGGGATGTTGACGAAAGTGTTGAGCGAGGCACCGAGGTTCTATGACTAAATTCCCAAGTCTCATTCAGTGCTCGGGCATACGAAGGAAAGCTTTACAGGGGCATAAATACCTAAGATGATGAATCCATTGTCCTTCCACGACCAGCGATATTACTCTCAAGTCTGAGATTAACACTACAATATTCCCCTTCCCTGCTGTCGATGTCGTGTTCTTTTTAGTCCGGCCTTGGTCCCAACGAAGGATGATGTCCTTTCCTGTGTTCCGACATACCGGCCCCTGGAACGAAATAAGCAGACAAGATCGCGGGCTCCATTTCGTAGAGTCCTACGCCACGGAAATCACCTCAGACCTTACCTTGCCTTACTCATCTACCAAATTTTTCTCTCCTTCCTGCACTTTCTACGATGCCACCGATGTAACCTACAAAGGGGCAGGCGATATTAAGTCGTGGATGCAACGCTTGTTTTCTCCGTTCGACAAACTCGAGTTCGCTGTTATTAGCTGTCTTTCAATCAACGAGTCAGACCCGAGAGACAAGAAGCCGAAGTACACTGTTATCGGGGAATTCCTTGGGAAACACTGGTTCAAGGGTGACCCGGAGCCGATTTTGGCACCAAGAGTTATGATTTTCAACATCGATGTTAGTGAAACGGAAGATGGGTTCGACGGCCTTCAATACTCAAGTGTCCGGTTATACTGGAATACATCGCTTGTTAGAGATGAGAGGATGAGAAGAGCACAGACTAAGGACAAGGCATGAAGGAAGACACTGCCAACACTTTGGGTTCTGTAGTCGTTGAAAGGGCGGATTGGGGTATAGCGACCGCTCGTATTACTTCCAAAACAAGTAGTAAATACACGATACAGTAATAAGACAACCAACACAGTCTGGTTTTCCTATACTCAAGGTACTTAATCTTAGATTTCGTCTTGAAGTCTCACCTTCAGTCAATTACGTCTTCTTCATCTTCCCCTTCCCTATTTCTTGATGTGTGAATTGTATGCACACAGAAGCAGCACCTTCACCTGAATATATCATTCGTTGCTGTCTAATTTACTGCGAGAGTCGACCTTACAAATTGAGTCAGTTACATTAACCTACATGGCGATGAGACCAATGCATTATTCTTTACTTTATATTTTCACTGGAGTGAACCTAAGCTATTCTACTTCATAGCTATCAAAAAGATTTATACGTCCTGTGATTAAATTCCAAATGTCTAGGAAATGTACACCACTGTGTTTAAAGTCGGCGAACGAAATGCAGTACCGAGGACCTAGGTGACTGTTTTAATTATGATTTCGCCACCCTCCTTTTTCACATCATCCGTAGGGGTAACTATCTTTCCAAATTCGTCAACAACCAGCCTCGGTCCGTTGCCGGCTCTGGCACCAGTAGTTAGTTACAGATATTTTATTTATTAATCAGGATCTCTCGTCTCTTTTTTGGTGATCTGTCTAGCCTCGGCGTAGCAATGCTCATGACCACCTGGCCTCTGCGGCAATAGACGTAGATAGGCAAGCTTCTCAGCCGTTAATTACTACTATATAAACCTCCATGCCAGCGCCCGGTATTATTCACTCAATCAGCGGATATCTCCCTGAGGACTAGATACTAGTGACATTGATCAATTTCCTTGATTCACGAGAAGCACGATTTGCCTATACCTCCGACAAATGTCTTCCTTCCTTCGTGCAGACGTTTACGTGTCATCTCGTCTACCGGTTGCGACGCCAAGACACGGTGACCCCGGCGGCTGGTCGCCTATCTCATGCACATTGATACAAGGCGACTTTAAAGCCATTCTAGTTGACACACCGATTTCCATCGCGCAGACGGAAGACCTGGTTCGCTGGATCAAAGAAACAGCCCCAGGTAAAGACCTTGAGTATATCTACATCACCCATGGCCATGGCGACCACTGGTTTGGAATTGCAGTATTGAGAAAGTTCTGGCCGAATGTGCGTGCCATAGCCACCTGTGGCACCGTCGTGCATATGAAACGGGAGCTGGATCCTATCATATTTGAGGGATTCTGGCTCAACAATTTCCCGGGTGATCAAATCGCCCAGCCTGTCACCTTGGCTGAACCAATGGAGTCAAGCACATTTCGACTGGAGGGCCATGATTTTCACGTCATTGAGGTAGGCCATACCGATACATATAACTCAACTGTGCTCCATGTTCCCAGCCTACGTCTTGTTGTGGCCGGAGATGTTGTTTACGGCGATGTTCATCAGTTCTTCGGGGAGGCAAAAACGACGGAGAGGAGGAAAGAATGGCTTCGAGCTCTCGATACTATTGAAGCTCTAGAACCACATACTGTTATTGCAGGCCATAAGCGAGCCGGTACAGTCGATGGGATATTCAACATCAGATCAACCAGAGAGTATATTCTGGCATTTGATGACGCAGTCAGAACGTCTTCAAACTGGGAGGAGCTGTGGCTGAAGATGAAAACGTTGTACCCGGGGCGAATTAATCCCAATGCCATCATGCATGGAGCTATAGCAGCGTTTACCTAGTGAATCGGGCAAATGAAAGAGAGATGAATAGAGTTTATTTGTTGTTCCACCTGTTACAGCATACATTGATCGTAACAAAACACGTTTTAGGGGAGAGTCATCGTCGAGAAAGAACATCTACATCTTGCAGGCCAACGCATGCACGAAAAGAATGATACCTATGGACAACTAGTCCATCGAATACTGCATCTAACAGCGAGGCAATAAACCTCCCAGGGCGGTCCGGTAAACCTAAATTCGACCAATCCTAAAAGTTCGCCAATTGGGCTCACATTTGCCGTCGCCCGAGTTTAGGAATTTCGGATTAGTGATCAACCCGTGAGTAACAAGCCGCGAGGATGATTTCTACAATACCGCCAAATTACTGCCCAATTCATTTCTGGTGGATCATCCGTGTTGGCAATTTGCCACCATCGAATATCATAGTTACAATACCCTCGGTTGCTACGGGGGTTGTCCGTATTAATAGGGAGGGAGCCCGAGGATCCATCGCGAATCTTCCTAAATATATAAAGCCAGGCGTTACCAGATAATGTAGTGGTGGCTGTCAATGGTTACACCGTTGCGCCTAATTCGATATATCGAGCGTGCGTTACGACAAACTAGCGGAAACGCCTTCAGTCCAACTGTCAACACTCTTGTTCAATTGCAAAGCTCTTGAAAATTAGCGATCATGTCAGCTCGAGATTCCGGGCGGGCCATCCGACCCGACAGATCGCTCACATCACACTCAGGCTTACTGATTCTTGATCGGGATGGACAGCAAGAAACGATATTGCCACCTCAAAGTCGAACAACTTCGACAGCTGCCACACCGCCAAGTGTATTGCTGGTACTGTCTGCTTCCATGTACCCGATCCCAAAAGCCCAGAGTCAAAATCTCGCAGTTGAAGATCGAGTTCCACCGTACGGGGGATTTTTTGTAAACGAACAGAAGATCGAGAACGATGACGGCCACTTCACCCCACAACCATCACTGGCCTCTCTATCATCTTTGGTGCAAAATAACTCCCCAAAACGCGATTTGATAAAGCCGGGAGATAAGACAGAAATCAAGCCTGCTCCGAAGAGAGGCAGGCCTAGAAAAATAGTGAATCTTGATGATGCAGGATCCAATGAGGTAGGTTTCTCTCCACCCCCATCAACGAATGAATTTCTGTTATAATGGTCCAAGTTTCTTTCATTTCTTGTATTGCGTGTCCTTTTCCTTTTTTCGTGGTTGTTTCTGTTATTATCCCTCCAGTCCTAACGCGCTCACAGCACCGCCGAACCCAGCTGCGTGTCGCACAAAGGGCGTATCGACGCCGAAAAGAGATAAAAATATCAACTTTAGAGAATCGCATCGCTGAGCTGGAAAATACAATTAAGAGGATGGGTGGCTCGCATGAACCCCCTGGCAGTGCTCTTTCTCAATGAGACATTTTGAAGGCTAGCCTCCCTCTTTAACTACCAAAACTTTTTATTTGTGGTAGTCGCCCAACAGACAACAGAGCTTGATGAAACTCTTACATACAGTCTCTCTTTAGGAAAGAAGACTCTCCCCTACCAAGGACAGATATGTGGATCATGATTCCTGATGAGATCCGAATTGCACAGGCTATTTGATGCCAACTTACAGATCTTGACCCTATGGTGATGGCTGTGCTCGTATCGGTTGTTTGTCTTGCAAGGAAACAGTAACTCGGGGCTTTGAAGGGAGTATACAAGTACACATAAAGCATATCTCTTTGTACTTGTATCTGTGATAATTATGGGATTGGTTCATGTATTATATCTATACCCAACCAAATCTTGCACTTGATCGTCAATAGTTGCAGCCCGACTAAAGCTCAACACGTTGCTGTTAGTAATAATCTCTACTTTACCATATGGAGATCCCCATTCAATTCCAGCGTGAAGAGGTAAAGACATCCGTCGTACGCGGTTCTTTTCATCAGGGGTTTTAAGCTCGCCTGGAGTTATTCCTAATCCATCAAATCCATATTTTTGATGCCCGAGAGTCTAAGCCGAGTACATTCGCTGTCTCGTTCTTTTTTACAGTCGCTCAATTTCCGGTTACTTATACAGCGTCTATGTACGTAAAACGACAAAACATAGGAGGCAGTCCCTCAGGTCCAGCTAACAATTAGAAATCCTCTTGATTCCTGAAAATGAAGTGAAACAGCACAGCCAATAAGTATTATCTACCGTAACGGAAAGAGTTTCATCCAATTCAACAGAATAAAGTTACCTTATATCCATATTATTCCCATTCGATATGTTCTGTTCCTGAAAAGGAATTAAAACCAGTGGACACGCTCAGCAGCCAGAGGATGAACAGAACAGACTTCCGTACAGCTCAAAAATGCCGCACGATCGCTGTTACTAGGAAACTGCCCGTTTCGCGTCCATGTGGATCTTCAAGATGGGTGCTATGTTCTCTGGCTGCACTCGTTCCCAAAGCGATCCTTTGCCAGCATTTCTGCCTTCTTCATCTTCTCGTCGGAAATATTCTTCAACATTTCGGATACGATTAGGATGAATCTGATCCAGGAGTGCGTAGTCCCGACGGATGATTCCCCGGTTATTTCCTGAGTGGCGCCACATATTCCAGAAACCCGTGAAGTTCTGCTTGACCGTCATCGATGCAGGGTCGTTTCGATCCGCGCTATACCCAGCAACTTGGTCTGCATACGCAGACATAGGACCAGATTGCCAGTAGTCCTCTAGCGGGGTGTCAACATATCGTGCCCGGTGGCCTGTAACTTTCTCGAAGGCCTTTGCGAGATCAACATAGTGAACATGGTCCATGGCAACCTCGAGATTATTTCCGTTGGACCGGGCTGGATCATCGAAGATCCAGCGGGCGTAATGTGCACAGTCGTCCAGAGCGACATGGGCCACCGCTCCCTCACCGAGCGGGACGCGCCAGAGAGCCACCTTTTCTCCATCATCGTCTATCACAATCGACGGCGACATAGGGCCTCCGCGAGCGATGGTCATTTCGACGTATGGACCCGTGGTGAAGACAGCAACTGCCATTTTATAGGTACCTGGAAAGTTTCTCTTGTTGCTTTCATGCTCCGCTAGCAGCCAATCACCAACACGTCCCTTTCCAGCGTAGTGTCCCGTCCGAAAGATGGGGTTGTAGCCGGATTTCTTGTAGACAAAGTCTAGGTTCCCGTAGACGAAAAATTTAATTCCTCGGTCCTCAACAGCAAGTTCATATGCTCGCATGGCCCAGTAGGTCTCCGTTTTCTCACCAGTGTTAAAGCCATCGATGTTGACATAGGCGCCATCGCAGCCACGGTAGCCGTTCCTTATATCTTCTTCGCTTGTAAATGAGCCCTCAACGAGTTCGACATTACCCAATGCAAGCAGCTCTTGGGCACGAGGTGACTTGGAGTTTCGCGTCAGGATTCGGCAAAAGTACTTGCCGTCAGAGACGAGACCGCGCACCACAGGGAGGCCCTGGGCTCCGGTTCCGCCAACAACGAAGATCTTCGTGACAGAGTTAGATGACATTATGATCAACTTGAGATATTGAGAATGCTTTGCTTGTAGTTCGTTTCGTTGCTTTTCTGATTTATTCGCCGGGTGCTGGCGATGCTGACTGAGGTCTTAAAGCAAAGGCATTGGGGATTCCAGAGACCGTTTATATATGTGATGACCGCGGTCGGGAAAAACTCCAGCCCTCCGACTAATCCGATATGATCATTCTCAATCTTTGATACCATGATGAATTATGACGTAACCGTATACTCAACATCGATGCTTTCAGACATTCGGCCCCTGCAGATTGAAGTTCGCCTTCAAATATGGCCGCGGTCAAAATCACCGAGCCGATGCAGCTTTTCAGCGTCTTTTGTGTTGAGTCAACTAAAAATGTCTCAAGAGCCAAATAGATGGTCTCAAAAATGAACATTGATGTTGAGTAATCAAATATTGCATGCGCCTCGGGTAACTATGCTCTCACTCGGGCCCTTTTGGTGACTAAACATGAATAACTAACTTAGTTAACTAATTGATCAACCGCATCCATCAAACAAAACAAACGCAGCCAACGGAGATTTCCCTGCCGGCAAATCCTCGACGAATAATCCATATTATAGAATTCGGCCTCGGTCATTCCCGAAGCCTTGATTTATCAGCGCGGAGGGGGCGGACGTGTGATATCGCAATAGACAAAATGTTGGATTCTCCCGTCCATGTACTGTATCTTGACCTTGACATATATTCCTGATTCTGGTCAAGTTTGGCAAAGGCAATGCAAATGGCACAAGTTGAGAGCGACCGGGAAATTAGCGCAACAAGCGACATTGGAGATATGTTATCTACCTCTGACGTCGAGCTACAAATTGGACTGGGTAGGATGAAGGAAACGCTGACTAACCAAAACAAATGGAGCTGGGATGATGATCCCAGCAATCCATATAACTGGCCAAAGAGGTTGAAGGCTCAACAAGTTCTCATGATCGCCTCTGCGGCTTTCGTAACGTGGGCCAATCTACCACGACTTCGAGATCTGACCTGGAGACTGACTAAATATCTAGATCCGTGTCTGTTTCGATACTATCACCTGCCCATTCGGAGTTTATGGAAGAGTTTAGAGTCAGCGATACAGTTGCTATCCTTCCTTTGTCCCTCTACGTGTTTGCTCTAGGTCTCGGCCCTGTGTTTGGTGGACCACTTTCAGAAACTGTTGGAAGATATCCAGTATATATTGGTTCGATTTCTCTTGGAACTTTATTCACCCTAGGCACAGGATTCAGTCCCACGTTTGGGGGCGTTTGCGTCTTGCGCTTCCTGGCAGGCTTTTGTTATGGCCCTACATTAGCTATCGGTGGAGGAACGATCAACGAAACATTCAGACCAGTGAAACGGGGCATCCCTTCGACTATCTTTATTCTAACTCCTTTTTTGGGCCCGGGTTTAGGGTCAGTATTATGCCTTTCAGCCTGACTATTTCATTCACGCCCCTATTAATGAAAACTATAGCCCTGTCATTGGAAGCTTCGTCGTCAATCGAAAGGGTTGGCGATGGACCCAGTGGACAATAATTTTCTTTTCTATCTTCACATTGATTACGATTGGCCTGGCAAGAGAAACTTTTCACCCTGTCATCCAACGTCGCCGGGCCAGAGAACTAGGCCACGATCTTCCTTCTTCGCCGCCATTCTCTGCGAAGATACGAACTTTTGCAACCATGACGCTTCTCCGTCCTATTCATATGCTCCTAACTGAACCTATCGTTGGTTTCATCTGCCTTTACGTCGCTTGTGAATTTGCGACGCTATTTTCCTTCTTCGCCGGTGTTCCGCTTGTTTTCCGGAGTGTCTATCATTTTGGGATCGAGGAGTCTGGCCTCGTGTTTCTGGCTATCGTTGTCGGTTGTTTGCTAGGAGCATTCACAGTAATCTTATGCGATATTCTTCTATATCGTAGGCGAACCCCGGAATATCTGGGACAACAAGTCCCGCCGGAAAATCGCCTTTACCCAGCTCTGATTGGTAGTGTGGGTATACCTATTGGCTTGTTCTGGTTTGCATGGAGTGCCAGACCAGACATTTCTTGGACGAGCCCCACTATCGCGATCATGGTATTTGCTTGGGGAAATCTCTCCATTTTTGTCGCCACAACCCAATACATCGTTGACAACTATCATGGTCTCACAGTCGTAAGCGCTATGAGTGCAAACAGCCTAGCCAGGTATGGGCTTGCGGCTGCATTTCCTCTTTTTACCATTCAGAGTGAGTATTTCCATGTGCTATTAACGGTACGTCCCTCTTCTTACTTGGTTTCATAGTGTACGCAAAACTCGGAATCGGATGGGCTTCAAGTATACTTGGGTTCATTGCTGTAGTGCTCCTGCCTGTTCCATGGGTCCTTTTCAAAGCTGGAAAAACCCTGAGAGCGTTAAGCAAATACGAAATCGCAGAAAGCCAAGGTTGACATGGTTTCAATACCGAGAGGGAGCCTCAAAATATTTGTGAAAGTCAACGTTTGTATATGATCAGGCCGCACATGCTAGGTGTTTTTTGGTTATAGGAAGCTTGACTCTTCTATTTTTGAAACATGATGCTATGTATATACAAAAGACCCTGTCAATTCCCTGGCTATTCGGCATTGTTTCCAAACCCTCTGTCAAGGATGTTATGCATTTTAAAGAAACTTGAGGATAAAGATCCTTCGCATCGAGGATCTTGGTGAGATCCTCAAGATTCAGTTGATGTATCAACGTGCATGAAAAGTGATTGTCTCGACTACGACTCGTTGTTCCGTCAATTCCTCCCTGCATCCTAATTGATTGTAGCTATTTGTCCACCCGGCCCCGAAGAGCACGCCAGGTAAAAGTCTGAGTCTGAAAAAGCCAGTGCGGCAAAAGCGAGGATCTTACCTTACGTGGAGGGACGAAGAGAGGAAGATACTGCGTGATATGGTGTCACGAAAGGTTTATCGATCTTGGCTGCAAGTGCGACGAGATTTCAATCGAAAATCTACCAAGAGAAGAAGTATGAACTCGGTGAAAGGCCAATGTAATCAGTTGGGCTTCGGCATTATTAGATCAAGCACCCGATCACTTACAACTTCGCTTGAGGGGCAAATGATGTCCCCCTCACACATTTACTCAAATGACAGAACTTTCTACAAGTAACGAAGAAGCAGACATAGTAGATCTTTTAGCTTATTGACAAGCGCTAATCAGCATTAAGTGGATTCCAGTTACGGAGAACACCCTACCCTAAGGTGCCGAGTTAAGAACCGCTGACTACTTGCAATTTCTCGAGTTATCTTTATCAAAAGATAGTTCACTACGTCTATGTCATTAGTAGATAACATAGGGTCACCTCGAGCAAAATAGATGACCAAATCGGACGTCTAGAGGAGACCATCAGGTTCGCACTACCAGAAGGCTCCAGATGGCACGGAGTGTACTATTATCAAAATCGCAAATACCTATCCTGGTTCCGAAAAGAACTCATTTTTGTATTTGCAGGTCGCAAAAGTATGAAGCGCTTGAATGAAATACTGTATTAGACTTGGATATTTGTGGTTAATCTGAAGGTGGAAGGGCATTTTAAAGAAGGCCTAATACGAACGGTCCTGGGGCTAGATATGACAGTAGAAAGGATGGAATGTACAGACGGCAGGAGTCTCGATGCAGTGACAAAGTGCATGCTCTATTGAGAAACAGAATTCTATGGTCGGATAATAGGCAAACAAGAAAGGAAGACTCCAAAGTTTGCTGGTATTTCGGGGAATGGTTCGAAATTGGAAGGCATATCTGAGGAAAAGTACTCTAAGGAAGAGAACTAGGGGAGAGAGCTACGTGTCGAAAAAGGTCATGTGCTTGAAATATGCATCATTCTACTTCATTCAACTTGGGAAAGCAAACAAACAAAACATCATGATTTCGAAGTTTGGTGTATTGATGACAGATGCAAGGGACTTATCTGGGTGTCTTTCTGCCCATCTATGAGGTGGCAACCAATGAACTTTTGGTACCATGAAGGGGATTGGAAATGTCCCTCCAGTCCCAAAATGCAAGACGCACACCACATGTCTCTCCCTCTGTGTGCGACAATAATCCTTTATTTCCCCCATATTTCACTGTTACATATGTGTTTTATTTAAATCTATTTTGTGTTTTGTGCGTTCAAGCCATCGAGGGATAAGAAAGGTTCCCCCCGCCTCCATTTAAGGAGTAGATTTCATGTTCAACACTTACCTTCGTAGCATCACATTCTTTCTTCTCTCCTCCATGTGTCAAATCCCCATATTATCTTTCTTTAATCGCCTTGCTCTTTGTGGGCCTCAGGCTCTGGGAGACAATTCGCTGAAATGAACAAGGTGGCACCAAGGACAAACATGAAAATCCAGATTGCGTAGCCTCCAGTCAGCTGTGTCCTCGTACCCAATGCAAAGAGACTGTTAAACAATGCCGGGCAGAAAGCTCTCAGCCCACTGGAACCAGTCAAGGCGAGGGCATTGAGAGTGCCCAGGTACTTGGGCGAGGGTGCGATATCGTTGACGGCAAGCTGAATTGCTGTGAAACTCATCGCAACACCACTTCCAAGGGCCAGTGTCACCGGCATGAACACCCAAAAGATCCTAAGCGAACCCTCAGTATCCATGCGCAGTAGCACGTTTCCGAGAGGACAGCACAGGAAAAACCAAGGGTAGGCAAGAGCACAGAGTCGGATCACCCTGTTCGATCCGACTCTGTGATGTAGTGGAGGGAATACCAGTAGCAGCCATGCAGCCTGCGCTGCGCCATTCAGTCCCATCATCAGGGAAATTTGAAAGGTCGTGAAATTGAAACCTCCGAGGCGCACAGGAGTATACCAAAAGACGGGAATAATCGCAGTATATGCGAATGCAAGGATCGTGATATGTGCGAAGACGTAGAGTACCTTGCTTACACCGGATGCTTTGAGAAGCTGCGTGGTTGAGAGGTCGCATTGGACTGGCGCATCTAACCTATCTTCGCTGTCACGGTCCACAGAAGTTACTTCTTTCTTCAAAGTCTCTTCAATAAACAAGAGACTAGACACAGCAGCAGTCGCCCCGATGAGGGCTATTACCAGACTTGAAAGGGCGTAAGGGTACTTTTTCAAGAACTCGATAGACCCGAAAGCGCCTGGGTACTGGCGCGTGGGGTTAGCAAGGGCACCACCTATCAGAGGACCCAGGAAAATGCCTAGGTTTCCAGTGAATGCAAACCAGCTAAATGCACGAGCCTGGGTCTTAGGCGTGCTATGTTCGGCTATCATGGTACGGATGGTGACAATAGTCCCCGCAAAAACGCCGGCAATGCATCTAAATAGTATCATCTGCGGGATGCTCTTCGCCATTCCAAATAGAGCAGTCGCGAATGTCACGCCGAACAAGGAAGACACCAGAACAGGCTTTCGTCCAATGAGATCGGCTGCTCGGCCCCAGAAGATCATGACGATGGCCTGTGTAAGAGAGAACATCGACTCGATCAGTCCGCTGTAGAAGCCAATGTCCGAGTCCGGAACGTTTCCATTTTCTTGCACCATCTGGCTAATGTAGGGAAAGATGGAGAAAAAGGCCAACGGCTCGACCACTCGTACATAGCATAGCAGTAGAATTTGGCGCGTGGGAAGAGGTTTTCCCTCAACCTCGTTGGAAGTGTCGCAATTCGGCGGCGACGAGCCGTATGTTGAGCCTGCGCCATGCACATCGTATTCAGGTCTGTCAGGCCTCAGCAAAGACGTCGATTCGGTGACACGTGATGCTGATGGGGAGGTAACATTGCGGTGGGAAGGCTGGCTTACTGTCCCCGATGTGGTGTTGGCCATGTGATATCCAGTCTGATAAGTCGATCAAGAAGAAGCGTAGACTTGTCGCTCGCTTCCTAAGTCGGGACAGTAAATGTAGGTCAAGGTAGGGGGTTGACTCGAACAAATTCTGTTCCCCACAAAGCCGTGCAGGCGGTCAGGGCGGACAAAATGGCGGAGCGTTGTGATAGACGAACTGGACATGCATTGGGGCGGCAGGTTTGTGAACGTTCGTAGATCTAGGAAGAGGTTTCCTGGCCTATATAGTCCCTAGACCAGGAGAGACATATGTCCAGCGCCTCAAGGCCAGTTATGTAATAAAGCTGTGGGACTATGTCCAGACAGGCTTCGAGTCTGGAGATGTAGGTCCGTGGTTAGGAAGCTTTCAGTTCGGACATCAGAGGAGGTCCGTGCCGCTGGAAGGAGGTTTTAAGCAAGGAGCGGTTTGTTTGTAGTAGGGATCTGTTTCGGCTGATGTTCTCAATTCGGTAGCCGTGTTCCCCAAGGTCGTTCTCTTCCGAGTTCTTCTGGATGGCTGCTGCTTTATCTCCCTTGAGGTCCAGCCCTTGCATTGGAACGTGGTGTATCGGCCTAGGCTGGATGAGGTACTATGGTTGAACGCAATATCTGATTCTAGATGAAGACGGCTAGCCGATTTTCCCATAGTTGGCATTGCTATTATTCTTGCTCAATGTTATCAATTTGATCATTTCGGTCAATCTTGCATCTCTTGTAGTTCTAACCGGGACATGAAGGGCTACTCTGGTATTAGAACACTCATGGGTATGGAATGTTTGGAAGCTACATGGATGGAATGTGCCTCTCACTTCCCTCTGAGATCTTCTAAATTTCATTCCCGTGAGGTACTGTCACCTGACTGATCGTGACGGTTTCGGGAGCATTTACGAATCATGGTGAAACTGTATCATGCTTGACGGGAGTGTGATACTAAAGACGTCTCTGGTAGCTGTTTGCATATAGATGCAAAGTAGACGCTCAGGGACCTTGTGGTATATATTTGAGGCAAGTATCGATCATTTGAAGGCAATAATCAAGTTGCAAAATGGCGCAAAGCGATCCGGATGAGAGGCTGATATATTTAGCCTGCAAGCATATCTTTCGCGGCTCTAACTTATAGGTAAGAAAATTGAAGATAGTCAAAGTCTTAATTAGACAAAACGAAATTGCTCTTACCGATATCCTAAGAGAATATAATATCAATCGCACTAGTAACGTTGCTAAGAAGCTTCTGGAGAGTTAGGTTTTTAATTCGACTTTAAAGGTTAGATTCGATTTCCGGAGTATTTAAGAGTAAAACTATATAACGTAGTACATATAATCCTTTTATCTAGTTTCCTTTAGAAGTCTTTCGGGAGTATCTTCCATCTAATAGCAAGGTAATAAAATATTAAGAATAGTACACTAGATAGGCGCTCTAGGGCTTATATTTATAGTCTAGGTTTAAGTAAAAGTAGGAGAGTAGGTAATCTAGGTAAGAATCCTTACCCTATTCTTACCTCTATCACCCTAGTCTCTAGACTTCTTACCTATATCACCTATACTTACCCTAAAGATTAAATCCGACGCTATTTTAAAGGTTAGGGCGTATTAAGAATTAGCCGTGTACTACATATGGCTTAAGTACGGCTAAGCGGATGGGAAGTCCTATTCTCCACACCCTATGGCTGTATGTACCGGACACAGAGTTTGAAGCAAACTATACTCTCTAAACTTTGAAACCTCATGTATAGAACTCTTCTTTTGCGTCGCGCGACCACGGGCGAGAAGTGTGAGGGGAGAAGCTGATTAAGAGCTGGGTGATTTGAAGGACAGTATTGAATATCATTGACACATAATTAATCTCGTTAAGCCAACGCTATCTTCCGCAGTTCTAACTAGCCTTCTATGCTCCTACCTTAAACAAACCCCCTCCAAACCCCATCCCCCTCTGGCACTAACTCCACCGTCTCACCACACTCAACCTGCTCAATATAAAACTCCGTAAACAACGACGTAATCGCAACCCGAAAACACCCCGAGTACAAAATATCCTCCTCCCCTAACAAAACATCAACAGCCTTAACAAAAGGCACCGATCCCGTTTCTCTCCAAGCAACAATAGACCGCATACACTCCTCATCAACCATAAGACAAACATTCGTCCGCAGGCCAGGCTCAATTCTATCCTCAGGCACCCCACCATTCCCATTTTCATCGACCACGCCATCACCATCGCCATCGCCGTATTCTAAACTCCGGTACGCGATCGCAACTTGCTCGGGGGTTATATCCCTTAATGCTTCGTTGGATACCTGCTTTAGGTACATTTTGTCTGTGATACGGGATAACCCGGATTCTGGGGGTGCATTGTTGATTGTTTCGGAGAGGATTTGGTCTTTTGCTTCGAGGAAGGATTCCCAAAGGTTTTCATTGTCGTAGTGCGTGCGGAAGAGGAGGAAGCCGAAGTCTGCCCAGCCTTCTTCTTCGACTAGATCGACTAGTTGTTTGAGTCTGGTAGTGTAGGTGTCGGTCATTTTTGTCTTGATAGCGCTGCTTTTAGCTGTGCAGTTGTCTCTGATTGTTTGAGGGTACCTATGGCTGTATCTGGGACGATGTTTTCAGTGTGGGGTTTGATCTTCGTTTGGCCTTACTTAGAGTAGTTAGTACCTTCTCCCTAGTCCTATTCTGTCGAGTCTTGTCTGGTAGTCAGGCACCGCGGTACAGTTGATTTAAGGTTACATCCCGGACCGAACTTCTCATACTTTAGAAGATAAACAGAGATATCTTGTTGGATCCATCAATGAACACGATTTGAAAGACTTTCAGAAAAACCATTCGGAAGAGGGAGTCGAAGGGTATATTGTTAAACCGTTTCTCTATTTTCTTGTTTGGGAGGTTTGAGCTTCCACTGTACCTCTTCTAGTAACCCCGTCATTGTCAATACATGACAGAGTGAGGAGCAATCTGTCTTACCTTACTACTCAGTAGATAGTTAGAAACACTACAATTAAATAGAACATATAATCAAGAGAAAGGAGATCTTTCATTTCCTAATCTATACATCTTTGTGAAAATGCTCGCGATCTAACGATCTTAAAATATCAAAAAACCTTCCATGCAAAAAGTTAGAAAGACGGCTGCGATAGCCGTCTCACACATAAAACGCTCAATGCCGATGAAAAGGCACAGCAAGAACAACGAACCAAGGGAAAGAGAATCATTCAGAAAAAAACTGTGAAAAATGCAGAACCAGAACCTTTTGAGGAAATTAAATGTTAACGCGAAAGATAGCGCTTAACATACTGCTCAGCATAGTGACTAGCATTGAAAATCAGCTGGGAAGCCAATTCCTACTTGGAATCCTTGCTGCGGCTGCCCTTGGGCACACGGGCGAGCCAGTAGATGCCAACGGCCAGGAAGATGTTGACGATGATGTAGACCCACATGATACCAAAGTTGCGCCAGGCATCCTTGTAGTAGCTGACCACCTGGGCAAGGAAGACATCGGTCGACTTGACGGTGCAGAATGAGCAGTCAGAGGTGGCATTGTTATCCAGGAGGTATCCACCAGCGAGATCAATGTAGGGCTGCATGTACCGCAGGCAGGTCTCACCACTTGGAGGGTCAAAGTGCAGGTACTCGATGCTCTCGCAGGTAGCTGTGGCGCCAGAGACACCAGTCGACAGCATTGCTGAGACGAGATACGTGAATGGTGAAACGCGGTACATGAAAATCCAGAACCCAGGCATCTTTGCGGGAGTGGCGAGGACACCGCAGAAAATCAAGCAAAGCGAGAACAGCAAGTTGGCCAGGTTACCACCGGTCTCGGCAAGATCAATACCAGCAATGATCATGTGTGCGAAAGTGGAGGTGAAGAGCAGGAAAGTCCAGATGAGCAAGAACATCAAGGCACCACGCTCGTGAACATTGCCAGCCTCCTGGGCGTTACGGTACAGACCGATCGGGTAGTACCAGCAGACGAAGATGAAGACAGCCATGAGAGTATTCCAGGGGAGTTCAACCAGAATGTTCGCAGTCATGAAAGCCTGCCAGGAGTAGGTCTTCGAGGGGCGCTCACGAACTTCGTAGAGAGAGCGCTGGGTACAGAAGTGAGGCATGATCTGCTGCACCAAGTTACCAAAGATGGTCATCAGCATGAAAATACTGAACATCTGGTTCTGGAGACCCTGCTGGGAGTTCTGTGCCTGGAAGAAGGAGAAACCGATGTAGAGAGCCGTGAGAATGCAGAGCGCAGCCTTGGAGTAGATGTACACCGGGGTGCGCCAGTACTGACTGAAAATACGGACGAGGCACTCGTAGAGCTGAACGGTGAAGGGAGCGGCGAATTCTTTGTAGTTTTCCGGGTTGGTGCTAGCATCCTCGACAGGCTTCTCGGAGAGGGTCGCTTTGAGCTCACCCAGGTGTTGGTGCACACCCTGGCGCTCAGGGCTCTCGCGCCAGACGGCAGGCCAGTCGATATCACTGTGAGAACCGGGAGCAGCACCAATGACCTCCAACATCCATTCAGCAGGGTTAGCGTCGACAGGCAGCTTAGGGGCACCGTTGCGTTCGAAGTAGCTAGCGAGGGTAGAGGACTTCTCGCCAATTTCACCGAAGTAAACTGTTCTTCCGCCCTTAGCAAGGAACAGCAGACGGTCGAAGCGCTGGAAAAGCATAGCAGAGGGCTGGTGAATAGTGCAGAGAATAGCTTGACCGTGCTTGGTCAGGGTGTCAATCAGATCGAGAATGGACCAGGAAGTTTGAGAGTCGAGACCAGAGGTAGGCTCATCCAGGAACAGAAGCAGCTGGGGCTTGGCAGCAAGCTCGACACCGATAGTCAGGCGCTTACGCTGTTCGACATTGAGACCTGTTATAAAGTTAGAAGAGACTTCCCAGGCATATTCATCGGGTATATGTTTGTGGCTTACCTTCACCGGGAACACCAACGATGGCATCAGCATAGGCTTCCATACCCAAAAGCTTGATGACCTCTTCGACGTAATCCAACTTCTCCTGGCGGGAAACATGGGCAGGCTGGCGAAGCATAGCACTGAAGCGCAGTGCTTCACGGACGGTGGTGGTGTAGAGATGAAGATCCTGTTGCTGGACATAACCGGTCTTGCGCTGGAAGGACTGGTCGCGGGGGCGGCCATCCACAAGCATCTCACCAGAGACAACACCCATAGTGACACGGGTAGCGAGCACATCCAGAAGAGTAGTCTTACCGGCGCCAGAAACACCCATCAGGGCAGTGCAGGTACCAGGCTTGACCCAACCATCAACGTGATCCAGGATACGACGCTCCTCGTTCTTAATCTTGATGTCGTAGCACACGTCCTGCCATTGGAAAACGGCAGTCTGGCGCTGGATACCAGCGGAAATTTCCTGGCTACTGGTCTCATCGGTCTTCTCAGCGGGGACGACGGTAGAGCTCATCTCGATGTCATCCTCATGCGAGGAGCGCTTGGGGGCGTGACCACGACGGAAGAGCAGAACCTCACCCTTAGACTTGGACTCGGAGATGTACTCGGTGGCGAGCAAGTAGGTAGCCATGAAGAAAATCATGAAACCGATCATGATACCCAGGTTACGCCACTTGTGGCTGTCGTAGTACTGGAAGCTGTCGGCAAGGTAGTCGTTACCGAAGACCCGGTTGGAACCAGCACGGGCGCCCTTTGCGGAGCAGATCTTGCTGGTGGCCGGGACATTGTTGTAACCAGGACCAGCAGGAATCATAGATGAGTCCAAACAGTCGAACCAACGGTTGTGGAACTCGTTGACCATCAGCGACTCAAACCCGTATCCAATGGGATCGATGTAGTTCATCCAGCGAGACCAGCCAAGCATGTTGCGGGGAGGAATGGTGAAACCAGTGTAAATCACCAGACCCAGGATCAGAATAGCAGCGGGCACCAGAGCCTGAGACAGGGTTCGAGAGCTAGCGGCAATGGTCCGGAAGATCATAGACATGGTCAGCATCGTGAAGATGGAGAACACCAAGAACGTGAAGAATGCACCGGGAGTGCGGCGCAGATTCGTCATGAAATAGAGAGTCACGTTGAAGGTTACGGCGTTGAGAAGCTTGTACGGCATGTCACACAACATCGAGGCGATAGCTTCAGCGAATGGATGATACATAGCGTAGCGAGCTTGCTTTTCGACAATTGGACGTTGGGCGTAAAGAGTCAGAATCTCCAAGGCACTGGAGAAAGCGTTGAGGAGAACTGCGAAGAAGAGAAGGGCGCCACGGGAGTAGAAACTGTCGGTAGTATCCTGAAGATTGAAGAACACCGAACCGATGATGAGAGCCATGATGAAATTACCGATCAACTGGGACAGGGTCAAACTAGCATCTCCCTTGAGACGCTGGAAACCACGGTTCATGCACAGGCTGACCTGCTGCCAGACAGAGATCGTGTAGGGGGAACGAACACGCAGGTTCTTGGCCTGCATAGCACGGCGCGAGTCGACGAACTTCTGAAGAGATTCACCACCCAGAGGATAGGTCTGGTCGAACTCCTCAATCTCACGCATCAGCTCCTTGTAGTCCTTGCTGTTCTTCCATGCGGCGGCAAAGTCGTCAGGGGTACGGGGTACAAGGTCCTCGAAACCCTTCTTCACGATACGCTCGGCAGGGCTGGTGAGCGAGGTCAGGAAATCGGCTGTGGTCTGGCGCTCAGGGCACTCGAAGCCCATGTTGGTGAAGAACTCCTTAGCCTCGGTAGTGCGGCCAAAGTAGATCTGGCGACCTTCGTACAAGACGGTCACCTTGTCAAAGACCTACGCAATGGTTCATTAGCATGGTCGAGCATCAAATTAGGTATTTATAGTATAGCTCACATCGTAGGCACTCTGGGAGGCCTGGTAGATGGCAACCGCACAGGTAGTACCGGAGTACTTGGCCATCAGGTTCAGAGTCTTACAGAACTCCAAGGCATTGGCACTGTCCAGACCACGGGTACTGTTATCCCAGCACTGGAGGGGACTGGCACAAAGGGTAGCTTCAGCGATAGAGACACGCTTGCGCTCACCACCAGAAACGCCACGCACGAAATCGTTACCGACACGCGTGTTGATGGTGTGTGAGAGACCAAGCATGGCCATGACCACATCACGCATGTGCTCAGCGTACCGGTCACGAGAAACCTCAGGCAGACGGTTGCGAGGAGCGCGGGCCAGCGCGGCGAACTTGAGGGTGTCACCGACGGTCAACTGGGGGAAGTGCACATCGGTCTCGGCCGTGTAGACAGCTTCACCGCGGAACTGATTCTTCATTTGCTTGTCGGAGATACCCTGGTAGTTCATGCGGGTCTTCTCGTCTTTGTGAATGCCGTTCATCTCGCCGGCCAAAGTCTTCAGGAAGGTCGAACAACCGGAACCAGGACGGCCCAGAACAACCAACATCTCGCCATTCTTGACGAGGCCATCAAAGTCGCGCAGGATCTGGATCTTCTGCTTGCCCGTGCCGGTGATCATACGGGCCAGAGCACCGACCTGCAGGACAGAGTTGAACACATCCTTTTGGTAATCAGTAGGGCTACCAAACCCGTGAACGCTGAGGTTGCGGAACGAGACACCAGCCTGGCGACCCGGGTAGCGTTCAGGATCGCGGGAAGTGATGGCGAGCAAATTCTTCATCCAATTGCGGGCTCTGAAGTTTTCGCTGTGCGGGTCGAGGGTCGAGCCCTCCGTAACCTCGAGGAAAGTGTTCTCACCATCGGTCCAACGAGTCGATTCACGGGTGAGCCGGCGGGCCAGACGAGTAACCTCGGCCTCGATCACGTCCTCGTTGCCAACCTCGGTCTTCTCGAGAGCAGTGTCCTCACTACTGACACTCTGGGCGGGATCATGATGTTGGATTTCGCGAGCCACCGAGACAGATTCACTGGTTGCCTCGGTGGTCACGCTATGATTGAAAGTCCCCAGAAGCGACATAGCGAGCTTCTATCGCGTGGGGGAACGGTATTAGAGATTGGAATTATGGGTCCGATATTGTGGGGATATGTCGGAGGACCCAGGAGAAGAATAGAGATTAGGAAAACACCATCAATTGATGGAATCGAGTGACGTGACGATGCGACAGGAGTAGAAAGGGGTCAAAGAGTGATTAGTTGGTGGTGGGGTGGTTTGAATTAGGGAGAATGTTATGATGAAGTCGAAAAGGAAAGAAGAAAAAGAGCGTCCAGAAAATGAAAAGGCTAAGAAGGAGCGGATCGGAATGATAAATAAAGAGGAAAAGGAAAAAGGAAGAAAAAACCCTGCAAGAAGACGTTACGGAGAGTCCTAATTCGGAACCGGGAACGATCCAGAATTCGCCTCCGAAAGGGAAATATACGATCCGTCCGGCGATAAGCAGCCGGGGCGGAGACAGGGGGGTCCTTTAGCTTTGGGGGTGGCTTTCGGGGGGGGTTATCAGGTACGGAGGCCGGAAAATCGTACGCGAGTCAGAATGTGTCATTTTCGACGGATGCCTAAGCTAATACTAAAGGAGCAAATGTAGCTGAGATGAACCATCGGTTATGCAGCCTTGTACCATCCAAAATCCATCTTGGCAGTTCCCTGGTTTATACCTAATTCCATATTTAACTACTATGATATTCTCGATTTAAAGTGACGGCAGAATGATTGTCAGATGAATCATAATTTGCCCAAAGCAACGTACTTCACCGCAGTTCACATTGTGCACGTCCATCCAGATGCCAAGAAAGTATGCAAGTTTTGTGTTTTTCTTTTTCAAGATCGCCAAAACACGTGCTGGGCCCGGCCGTTCGAGAAATCAAAAGTGGGCCGGGAGCAGAAGATCCGAGCTCCCAGACCGTTGCTGACATAATTTGCTCCTCGGGCAGTCCTTCTGCTGGCTGCCGCTCCGCTCGGATCCCGGGCTACGGGACATCCGGGGCTGACTCAGCTGGATTGGACCAATCGTATCAACCACGGCTAAACTTCGCTGCTTCTCTCCTCCAGAGGCCCATTCAATTGACCGTGCTATTCGTCCGTTCGTCCTCTCGTCTACACTTCGGTTGAACCCGGTCTCATTCTCATCCCTGTACTCTGTAAGCTGCATCTGATCTATGCACCCTGGTTCATGTGGCACCCATAGCCACCTTCTTGGCGTTGGCATTGTATATCAAGCCCAGTCTGCTTGCCACGCAACCACCCAATGCTCATCTCAGCTGCCAAGTATAGTAGTCATGATGTATCATAGAGCCTCGTTTCAGCCAGCATTATGCAAGGAGTTTCCCCACCTTCTAAGCAGTTCGTACTTAGATGCGTACACCACTGGCGTCATCGATTACGAGAGAGCTACAATTAGACCTACGAAAAGTCTCGTGGATGTTGCAGAATTTCACATGTCATACATTACACTCGCCTGCACAGCTCAAATCGAGACATCATCAGCTATGACATCTCAGCCCGAGTTGTCGACTGACTCTTCTTCATCTTCGTCATCGTCTTCCTCAATGGGCTCCACCAGTAGATTCCCACCCCGGCCGATCTTCTCGCGGATCGTCCCGCCATCTTCCACGGCATAGACAGCCCGGGGCATAGGAGACACCAGTCGGAATCCGTACTGGTGCTCGAACCCTTCCGGCTTCTCCACGTCGGTAGATCGAGACTCATCCTGCAAGACTTCGTAGCACTCTACCACCGCGTACAATTCCTCAATATCGGCCTGGGGTGCAAACCGACGCATGATGCGCTCGCCGGAAGGCAGTCGTACACTGATTCGCACCGTATCTTTGACCTCCGTCCCAGGCTCGGTGCCAAGTGACTGCACCCGCCAGAGCTTCCATTGGGCCAGATCCAGCTGTCGCTTCTCTTCGGCAGCTTGGCGCTCCGCTGCCTCTTGCTCCTCCCGGTGACGGGCTGCTTCTGCTTCCCGGCGAAGACGCGTACGTTCACGATCAATCGCGAGTGATCGCTCGTAAGCTGAGTCTTGCTCTTCGCGCAGGCTGCGGGAGGCCTGTTGTTGGTTGCGGTCCTGGCGGATCTGCGAAAGGGGCCCTTGGTTCGTGGTCACGGCAGTCGTCAGTCGCTGCTTGAATTCAGATGCTGGAAGAGGTCCAGCAATTCGGGCTACCACCGACATGGCAGTCGAGGATGCGTTTGGGGTGTGACAGATCACCGCTGCAAAGGGGAACTTGGTGACTCGTAGTGAATTGGCGACTTGATAAGCTTCCGAGTCCCGCACATTGCCACCCCAGACGATCACGTCGCCATTGCCGTTAGGAGGGTTGATAAACTCCACCACGTCCGGCGATAGTAGGGTCTCGCGCACCCAGCTGTGCGTATCATCGTGTTCGGGTGATAGAAGGACCACCAGTAGGAACTTCAATTCGCGATGCGCTCTCTCCAGGGCCATGTTGTAACCATTCTCAAGGAATGAGAGAGGATTTGACCCGTACTCTTCCTCAAACTCCCGGATAAACCGAGCTGCAGTATCTTTAGGTGCCAGTGGTCGGCGGCCCGTGGTATTTTGTCGAGCTCCATGAAGAGCCGGGCTGGCAGTCGCGTGGAATAGACGTGGGAGGAAGGGAAACAGGGTTCCAAAGAGACGGAAGGAGTTGAGGAGGATTCGGTAGACAAGGTTGAAGGGGGTGAAGAGCAGGGCAAGGATAAAGGGTGGTCGATATACAGGTTGGTTTTCGGGTTGCGTATCGACTCGCGGGGCAGGGTCTGAGGCACGGTTAACAGGCCGGGTCTGTTGGAGTAGATCTTCGTTCATCAGATTGATCCCAGGCCCTGGCTGATAAGGTTGCTCAGGTTGAGACATGGCTGCTCGAGCTTCCTCGAGCGGGTCGGGCCCTTCCCCATCGAAGAACTTGGAGATGGCAATCTAGGTTGTGGGGGTGATTAGCTAGCTACCTCGGCGGGAGCTGGGAGTGACGTGTAACGACCAACCTGAACATTCCATTGTGACCGGCGCAGCAGAGGGATGGCTTCTGCTGGGTCTTGTCCCGTTACACCTGTGTACTGCTCCAACACCAATCTCTCGCTCTCCGAGAGCTGGTCGAGGTCAACCTCCGCCGCAGACATCGTTGCTGAATAGGTGGCACCAATGAATTGACAGAGACTCGGATAGGGTAGATTCGTGCTCACCGCTCTATACACCGCTTTCCTTTTTGAGGCTTGGCCGGGAACAGTTCTCCGGGGGCTGGAGCAGGTACATCACGGATCGTGGCATCTCCCGAAGTTTAGATCTATAAACCTTTCAAATCTCCGTAGAATGTATGTCTAACCCCGGTGAACTTCGAAGATTGTCTTGTAGACCAAAATTTACAGAATGTGTTAAGCAACATTAACAATGCAATTTCAACCTTGTATGGCTACTGATTTGATATACAAAGCCTGTGCCTAAAGCTACAGCTGCATTCACGCTGAATTGCGGTCGTCCTGCCTGGAACTAGGTAGATGTGAAAGCGGATACTTCTGCTTTTGTCTTTCTCTCACGTCTGTCTGCATATCCATGTCTTGGTGCATGAGGCTTCTCTACGGGCTCTATGACATGGAATAAAGGAGGGAATGTTGAGTATCATCTTTGCGAACCCGGATATATATTCACCTGTCGTGGCTTGGTATCTCCGAAATAGACAACAACCATATATATGCCGACAAAGGCATGTCGCAACCAAACTTAAGCCTCTATCCAAGATATGGACATATTTTGAGATACTAACCCACACCTCATAGTCAACGTTGTTGCTGATCTCGACGTATATTGCTCTCCATTGTAATCTCCATTGTAATATACTAGACCTCTCCAAGGGATCAGTGATATGATCGCGGGCTGACCGCCTGGTCCGTGCACGTGTCCCCCTTCGACTCGAGTTCGCCTCGCCCCGCGTCCTCGTCTGCTCCATCGGCTCTATCACTCCCGATCTTGTCCAGGAGGGAGGACACCTGAGATCAGTATCTTGATAATAAGTCGGGCTTTCAATCCACTTATTTTTATCCCCTCGGTCGCGCGCAAGATCTCATCCGCAATTGACGCGCTCTCGACGATCCGCATCACCATACGCGTGGACCACCAGCACCTGGAATCAGCTATCCGATCGCAGGGAATGTGGCTTCCTTTCGGTCGACTCAATCGTTTCGTTCCGGCTTCCGTTTCAATGGAGATACCACTGCGCTGATTCCGCCTCGTCTCTCGTCGGTATCAGCCATCTTAAAATGGCCTCCTCCAGCAAGCCTCCGCTGGACGATCCCCGTCGCACGACGGGTTCGCCGAAAATGAAGACCCGAGGTGAGTGTTTCCCGGATGGTTGGCTTCGCTCATCCTCCAAAATGGACGGATGTGATGGATCCGACCGGAGCGACATGCCGGAGATGTGCGATAGATTTGCGCGCTGACTGGAGGGGTCTTTGGAACAGAGAATGCGAAAGATACATTATGCCGTAATGTAACCATATACGGCCGCTGTCGATATGAAGATAAAGGTACTCGCTAGTACAGAGTGATGGTTGTGGTCATTGTCTATGAGCGTCGAAGTCTGACACTCGAGTTCTACCTCAAATAGGTTGCGCGTTCAATCATGACCCTCTGAAAGTCAACGCGGCAAACCAGGCAGATAAGTATGGTTGACTATCTTCCTTGTATTCCTTCTGCAAGACTTGAGATTTGCAACAAAAAGCTCACCAACAACCATGTACAGCAATAAGAAACGATTCAACGTCGACTCACCGAGCTTTACCCCCTCCCTCTTAACTGGCAATGGCACATCTGCTCCAAAGAAATCGACAACGATTTCTCCAAAGGCTGCGAGCGCAGCTCCGTTCCAGCCCCGAGTTTCGGCCTCATCCCGTACGATACCATTTTGAACTGCGTTTTGAGGCGTCTACTGACTGATGGCAAAGGCTCCAGCACGAGTACTCCGACGGGAAGACAAGAAGTAGGAACTCCCGACTGGACGGTGGCGGATGTGCAGGAGTTTGTTCCTCAGGGCTTTGATGGCGCTCACGTGGTAAGTCGGCCGTGATCGCACCTTCCGTTTTGGAATCTTCCCAGAAATTCCTTCCTTTAAAAGATGGCCGGATTCGAGAATCAACACCTTGGCACTTCTCTCCTGAGCCAACTGAAATCATGCTGGGCAATTTCCACAAGCGCTCTACCCGGAGCCTGAGTGCCCTGGCTGATGATTTCGACCCTATCCACGAACGAAACCATGGCAGCCATCGCAGTTTCAGCCTCGGCCTTTATCCCGCTAACCTGTCTGTGCAGGGGCCTCTTCAAGGCAATGGGAACGGGATCGCGAACTCCGGTGCTTTTGACCCATTCGTCACAGCCTCCACTCCTCTGTCTGCCGCAGGAGCCGTTGGCCCGGTCTCGGCCAACCCGTATGCTCACGACCCAACTGCTGCACTTGGAGCAGGAGCTTTCTTTGCGAACCAAGGAGGCTTCCAGCAGCCGGTACGTGCAAGACATTGTGTATCCTGCAAGCTTTCAGCAGACTGACAAGCATTGCAGGTCCAATATCATCTCTATGCCCCAATCGGCCCTCATAACCAGAATACCCTGGGCTATCAGCGGAACGTCCATGATCTTTTCCTCCCTAACGACTTCCGGGAAGAGCTCCAGAAGAAGGCGGCAGCTACCCTACAAACTCTCCCTAGTATGTGAAGACGTCCCCTGTCCAGGTCTTGGATGAAATTGAACTGACATTCTCTGCGGACACAACACTTCCCGCTCAAGTCGATTACTTCCACTCCCTAGTTCCTTTGGATCTCAGCCATCAGAAGAATGCCGCAACCTTCGGCTACCCGAGCTGGGTGTACAAAGCGCAGTCCAGCAAAGACGGGAATTTTTACGCTCTTCGAAGACTTGAAGGTAGGAAGCATGTGACAAGCCCGAAGAACCGGCTTCGCCAATCATAATTTTTGAATCTTGAAGTTAACGCCCTGTAGGGTTCCGCTTGACCAACGAGAAGGCAATTCGGTCGGTCCAGGCATGGAAGCGCGTTTGCAACGGCAGTGTGGTAACCGTCCACGACGCATTTACTAGCCGTAGCTTCCAGGATAGCTCCCTCATCTTCGTCACCGACTATCACCCACTATCCAAGACACTTGCCGAACAACATCTGGGCGCCGGAAACCGTTTCCAAGGTCGCCAAAACAACACCCATATCCCCGAGCAGGTCCTCTGGGGCTACATGACGCAGATTGCGAACGCACTTAAGTCGATCCACACCAACGGTCTCGCTGCTCGAGTGCTTGAGGCCAGCAAAGTTCTGCTGACCGGCAAGAATCGCATCCGCCTGAATGCCTGTGCCGTTCTGGATGTGGTTCAATTTGACTCGCAACGGACCGTGGCGGACCTGCAACGGCAGGATCTAGTCAATTTCGGGCAATTGATCGTCACTCTGGGTGCTAACTCGCCGAATGTAATGCACAACCCCACCAAGGCGATGGAGCATTTCACTCGCGCGTACAGCCCTCAACTGAAGAACTCAGTCTTTTGGCTGTTGAACGGGCTACAGAAAGACCAGGAACGGACCATCGATCTCTTTATTACTGGCATCTCCTCCCAGTTGATGTCAACCTTCGACTCGGCTCTTCATCTGGACGATCAACTCACGTCAGATCTCAGCCGCGAACTCGAGAATGGACGTCTGGTGCGCCTGATGACCAAATTGAACTTTATCAATGAGCGGCCCGAATACGAGCATGACCGACAGTGGTCTGAGAATGGCGAGCGATACTTCTTGAAGATCTTCCGGGATTACGTCTTCCACCAAGTTGATGCTTCTGGGGATGCCGTCCTCGACCTCGGACATGTGCTGACCTGTTTGAATAAGCTCGATGCCGGGTCTGATGAGAAGATTACCCTTGTGAGCCGCGATGAACAGAGCTGCTTCATTGTCAGCTACAAGGAGATCAAGAAAGCGTTGGAGTCATCGTTCCAGGCCCTCATGAAACCTACCAGAAGGATGCATTAAGATCCTCGGATGAGTGGCGGTCTTCGGCTCACAATTTCTTTTCCCTATGCGTGGGGCTCACAACTTGTAGCTACGATTATGATGGACTTGTCTGGTTGCTTTTTTTGACGCCTGTTCCCCCAGATTCGCGGTTTAGAAGACTAACGAATCCGGGAAGGAGGAACACTTGACCTTTGCCTGCAGGGGCTTTATGGAATCCTCTTGCATGATCTCGTTGTATTTTGTCTCTCTTTTTTCTTTTGCCTGGGATGACCTCGCAGGGGAGTACAGCCAGTAGATCATATGGAAATACGGACAGATAAAGAAATCCAATACTTTATTCCTCACTGAGCTAGACCGCATATAACTGCGTGTAGAAACAAATAGAGCATAGATTGAGCAACCAAACTAACAGCCTTCCACAGAATCTCCACCTGGACTCTTTCCCTCCTCACCCATCTGATTTCCGCTTCATTCCCTTCCCTGCCAACTACGGCAGCACTAATACCTTATCTGGGATGTCCACCACTACATTCTGTATTGGCAAGCCTGGTGAACTCATCCACCTACCCTCATAACCACTGTCTCCCCTCCACGTCAATATTTAGCGTCCTCTCTTACAATATGATACTGGATCAACACAGACACTTCTCACCACATGGGAGATGGTCTCCAAAGAGATATCATATGGAGTCATGGTGCCAACACAGTCTGTGTCTTGGGTGTCGTGGTCTTCTCGGTTTCGAACATTCATCATCAGAGCCGTCTTCTTCGTGGCCGTGGCTAGGATGGCGGCGTCGGCGACATCCTCGATGATGGTGTTTTGGGGGTTGGTGGTTTCTATGTCCATGTCCATGTCCATGTCCATGGTCTCCGTGACCAGAGCAGCCATGGTGATGACTGGGATCATGGCCTTGACAAGGACAGTCTCCGTGATGTCCTCCCCCGTGACGACCGTGTCTATGATGCCCGTGTCCTCCACAGGGGTCGTCTCCTCCACAATGGTCATCTCCTCCGTCTCCTCCACCTCCTCCGCCTCCTCCTCGATGCCCACCTCCTCCATGGCCTGGACATCTATCTGGAGGGTTCTGACCTCCGTCATCGCCGTCATCGCCGTCATCGCCGTCATCGCCATCTCCCTCTCCCTCTCCTCCACCGCCGGGACAGCCACCCTTTCCTGGGGGTGAACATCCGTTGTCATCTCCGTCACCATGGCCGTCCCCGTCACCACGATCTCCTCCTCCATGGCCTCCGTGACCTGGGCAACCACAGTGTGGACGTTTATCTCCATCGTCTTCGTGATCGTGTCCTGGACAGCGGTGATGATGTCCCGAGTCATGATCAGGTCGACGGCCATGAGAAGGATGGTGATGCGGTGGACGTGGGTCTCCGGATTCATCATCCTCCTTATTATCATCATCATGATGGTTATCAACAAAGTCACCCTCCCAATCATCGTCATCTTCCCAAGATTGATCCTGATGCTCCTCCGGAACAGTGAAAAGACCCCAATCTGACTCTTCGTCCCAGTCTTGACCCGCTAATTCTTTGTCAGATGATAACCCGTGTCCGTCGTTCGATATTGTAGGATCAGTCTCTGTGTCCTCATTCTGATCACGGTCCTTACGCAGAACTACCTGAGAGCCCGGCTTATCCAAACGAATATAGTTCTCTGAGAGAGCCTCGCGAGTTTCCGGACCTGGAATGACCATGGCAGCGCACATGGCTACTGCCAACGAAAGGAGGAGAAGAAACTGCATGCTGATAGACTGTTAATCTCAGAAAGGATTGAATAGATTGACTCGAAGGGCCGAAGGAGTGATAACTATAATAATGTTATTGAGGAGAGATATGTTCCGTAAATAGGACATGTCGGACAAGTTGCGCCGTTATACAGAAACGCTGTTACACCAGGTGATATCGCAAATAGCCCTAATGACTACCCCACGGAAGCAGTGGATACTAGGTTTGACTATGTGTCCCGTCACACAGAGTACAAGTAGAGGGAATCGCAATTCTACCGCCCAATTAACCGTCACAGGGGAGTTTCCGAAGAGGTCCGTCTCGCACACGGAAAGATGGAAGCTCACAGGATCGGCCGAATGCATGTATATCACTTGAGCTAGTATAATACTGTGTTGATGATAGTACTTGCCGAGCAAACAGCGAAACTAAGATATCAATTCTATGTACTTCAAGATCAGGTATCAAAAAACACTCAGAAGGGCACTAAACTTGAGATCACCGATCAACTCCCGCCAGTCAATCAATCCAAATCAGGGATAGGCAACCCATTCACAATCTTCACCTTCCGTCCCAGCTTATCCAGCGCAATCTTGGAGTTCTTGGCGCGCAGCTCGCTCGTCTCTTCATCCGAGACCAGCACAAAGTCATACGTAAGCAAGGCCTGACCCTCAGGAACACCATACTGCTCAGCCATTTCAGGACCGACCTTGCCTAGGTCCACCGTCAACGAATCCTTGACACCAAAGACAGCGTCGGAGGTTTCGTAGGGGTCGTTGCGGAGATATAAAGCCCTGGAGATCGTTAGGATCCAGAGAAGATCAGATCTGTCAAAGACTAGGTATAATGGAACACTCACGTAATCAAATGATCATACCCCTCCTTCTCAAACATAAAATGCATATGACTGGGCCGATACGGATGCCGATGCAACTTCTTCAACAACTTGCCCACAGGCCCATCATGCGGAATCGGATACGGCACGGGGGTAATAGCCTTGAACCAGAACAAACCCTCCTTATTCGACCGCATCACACACCGACCATCCGGGCCCTCCCTCCCAGCATACTGCACATCGTAATGGCCCGTCGAATCGGTCTCCCAAATATCAATCTTGACGCCCTCGATCGGCCGCCCCTCCGTATCCCGCAACGTGCACACCACAAGCAACGGCTCCCCCTTAGGATCATGCGACATCGACTCGCCATTCGGCATATCCTCCGCATCGTGTGTGTGGAACGGGCCCAGCACGGTGCCCTCGGTGGAACCGGATGGTTTGGGGTGGTCGATTGAGTCGACGAGAATGGAGAGGCCGAGGACGTCGGAGAGCAGGATGAATTCTTGTCGGACGGTGGTGCAGATTTGGCCTACGTCTGTGAGGAATTGGAGGCCTGTCATCCATTCGTCGCTGCTGAGGCGGGTTTCGCGCGCGAAGTCGTGCAGGTGGGTTACCAGGCGTTCGAGGATGTATTTCATGCGCTGGTCTTCGCAGAGCGAATTGATTGTGATGACGTTTTCGGTGATGTTGTCCACTGTTAGGTCTTTCATGGGCGGGATTTTGACTTGTGAGGGGTCCATGTTGGGCGTGTTGTGTGCAGGTGTGGCACGCGACACTTGGATGGGATGTAGTTGTATAGATTGAGAGACTGGGAGGTGGGAGGAGCAAGGAGTATTGGGGGGGGGACAGCAATTGAATCAACTCTTAGCCGTGTACAAGACAAAAAAAAAGAAATCCAAGATCAGCCTCGGGCGCGACAGTCTCCTTCGTTTATATCGCCAGCGTCCGACTTGGGACCCTTACGTCGGCAAATCCGGCGGGAAATGGTGGGGTGTGTACGCTACGCGACTACCGTCGAAGGAACCAATCTTGGATATGCCAATAGTCAATATGGGGGGAATACTATTAATCGGCTCCATTATTCTTTCTCCATTTTTCTCCAGTCGAACCGGTTGCTCGTACCCAAAAGTTTGCTCCCAGATTTGAATTTCTTTAGAGCTCATCATTCACCCCGCAGAAAGTCAGAAAGCGCCCACTCAGCAACTCGGAATTACGGAGAACTCGGGAATCCCCCACCCAGTCCGATATGTGATGCAATCTACAAAGTACACTCTCTCCAGCAGACAAAAAGAACGATCAGGCTACGTATTTTTCTCAATTCTACACTCTATGCTAGTCAATACTCGCTATCACTGTGAATGCACTATTCACGATCTAGAATAGCTAGCTAGCATGATACTCTCATGGAAGAGACTATATCCGCGTCTCCTTCTCCACCTTCCCACGCGGAACGGATTCCTCGCATTCATCTTGGTCAGCATGCTCTAAGCACTTGGTGGGGCAGCCATCGGTAGATGTCTATCCGAAGATTCTGGCCAGACACGAATCACAGACCAAAGAATTCCAAAATACCGTCATGATGGACATGATTGACTTCCGACGGATACCCCATGTTAGCAATAGGCTACGGCTGGGATGTGCTATGTAGTCTATATCCGATGAAAATGCGGGGAGTTGGACAGATCCGGGGTCGACCCAGAGAGATCAACTGCCGATGGGGTGATGGTTATCTTATTGGAAGATGGAATGGATGAAATAGTTCAACCTTTGATTATTGATACATTCGTGATATCCTCCCCTCGTAGCAACTTAGAAAACAGAATCATGGATATATGGTAAATATGTACGCTCGAACGAAACTCCCAACTCCCCCAAAACAGATTCCCCGTTCGCCATCGCTCTCTGCTATACAACCGAGGAAAAGTCATGCCGCAGAATAAGGATAAAACCATAAACACACACGAATAGTACACCCAGGTCGAAGGGCATCTAAGCCTGCACCATGCGCCGCTCATGGTCTCGCTCGCGCTCTCGCTCACGTTCCCGCTCACGTTCCCGCTCACGTTCTCGCTCACGTTCTCGCTCACGTTCACGCTCACGTTCACGCTCAGCATCCCGCTCCTTATGAGAGCTGGGCTGACTCTCTCCAGCACGCTCTGCGCCACGCTCCTTTTCCTGCACAGCAGCCGCCACGCGCGCGTGGTGATCCACCGTATCAAGAATAGCCTGCATCAGCCGCTGATTCGCATCCGGGTCATCATCCTCGGCATGTCGAGGCGGGGGTCCATGCTGCTGTCCACGACTGCCACCACCCTCCGTCTCACTCATGGCACGGCGGGGTGATTTCTCAGAGGCAGGGAGACCCATAGACGCGCCGGAGCCGGGGCTGATGTGGGGCGCACCAGGCGCAGACTCGCGGCGGCTGTGCTGGGAGTATTGCGGGTCGCTGGGGGTCTCGGAAGGTCGGGCTGGACGGTCAAGATGTCCGTAGCGCTCTCGCTCGGCGGAGATTGGAGCGCCGGGCGAAGGAACGAGACCAGGTAGGTTCAACGGTGGAAGGCGGTCTTCTTCCATGCGCTCGTGCGACTCGCGGATTTCTCGGGGTTCGCGCGGTGCTGATGGACCCCATGCGGCTTGCAGTTCATCTTCTTTCACGTCGCGCCAGGAACATTTAGCGTGCTTCTTGGTGCAGCCCATGCAGGCAGTCAGATTTTTGAGGCAGTCCATGTGGAGACGACGGCATCGGTCACAGGGTGGGCTGACCCGCTCGCCTCGCTGGAGCTCCTCCATTCGTGCGACCATCTCCAGCTTGAATGGACCACCGTCGTCTTTTTCTTGAGGCGTGTTCTTCGGTGGGGGCAGTAACGAGGATGGAGTTCCAGGGATGGCCACCGGCGTCGAGTTGTTGTTAGTGATGCTATTGCTGCTGTTGTTGCCGCTGCCATTGCCGCTGGCGGTACCATTGTTGGTACCATTGTTGTTGTTGTTGTTACTGTTCCAGATACTATACTCGGCTGGATCGGAGCCTTGAGGCCGAGGCCGAGGCTGAATCGGATTGGTCGTACCGGTGACTTCGTCATAGCCGCGAGCTTGACGGTCCGCCGTAGTAAAGAACTTCTTCATCAAGTCTGCTCGCGTTGTAGGCGATGCGCCCTTGATCGAGGTTCCGTTGATAATGGTAATATTGTCCGTATTGGAATGGGAGAACATGAATTGCGATGGTAGTGGGGTTTCTTCCGACTCGCCCTCTGGCCGGTGTGCATTGACTGCGACGAAGCCCGATGGGGAGGCAGTGGACTGCCCGTTTGTAGGACCAGGGCCTTTCAAATCACGCCAGACATCAGCAGCAGCAGCGCGCGTTTGCGCATTGAGCGAGGCGTCATTTTCGCGGCGGCTGACGATTGCTGTGCGGCGGTTCTTCAGACGGTAGCTAAGCTGGCGAGCTCGAGCGGAGACTGGGCAGGTAAGTTGATTAGGGGCCGGTCAAGTAATGAACGAAGACGGATATAACGGTCAATTATTTGCTTACCTTGATCAGCCATCTGGATGATTTGTTGCAGATTCTTCTCCAAAATCTCCAGCGCTCCCAACTCCTTCTCCTCATCTTCAATGATAGGCTGCGGGGGAATCATCTTCTGCGGCATGCCCGACGCAATAAGCACAAAGTCCTCCTCGCTAATCTCTACTCGACACTGCTTCGTATAGAACTGGCAAACCCGCACGCCGTTGCGCGACTTTTCCAGGTTGAACTGCTCTGGCTTGTTCTTGGCGAACTCAACCACATCCAACCAGGTAACCGTGGGACCATCCTTGCCGTGCGACTTGAGTACGCGCGGGGGTCCATCGAACAAGCGCTCAAAGCGCTTGATGAGAATCGGGCCCAGCGGACATGCGCCCAGGTTTCCAGCAATACTTTCATGGCGATGGAGCACTCCGTCGTATTCGCCAATCAAATGGATGATCGCGGGCATGGTGTCGTCTGGCGCGACTAGGGGAAGGTTATCGGGGTACTGGCGCGCGAGATAGTTGATCTGGAGGTGGTTCGAGTGTGTTTTGGGCATCTTGGACTGATGAGATTGTAGGTGCTCGGCCCCAGGAGACCGAGGCCGTTTGTTTGACGGTTCCGCCGTCACTGGGCGGGGCTCCATGGTGGAATTGATCGTAGGATATAACGGGATACAAGGGGGAGACGATATAGTTTTGAGGGATATATATTGGTCGCGTGAGATGTCTCAGGCTTGACTGGAACCGGACGGGATCAAAATGACCAAGTTTAGGGCGCAGCCAGGCTGGGGAGGTGAGCGGCGAGGGTTGTCAAGACCGGGGGCGGAGGATTGATTGCGCGGGTTGAGCCGCTAGAATAGAGGGCGATAGAGCGGACAAACTAACGTCCATGAAGGTTCGTGGATGAATAAATCCGGAGACGGAGGAGGAGGAAGGAAGGAGTAGAGGAAAAAAAGGGCTTGAGAGATAGGGAGGAGGGAGGGAGGAGCAGCAGGGCAGTCGGAGCCGAGTGGATTTGACTGGGGCGACGCAGGCGGACAGGGTGGAAAGGGAAAGGGAGGGAAAAGCCAGTGGAAACAGCTACTGTACCTGGTACCTGGACCCCGAAAGGATCATATAACAATACACGGTATGATCTATAATAATAAAAATAATATTATGTTAATAGTGACACCTGTAATTCGTATCCACCGACTATCCCGTTGCTCTTCGTGTCATACTCCATATCTGTCGCGACTCCTCCAAGATACTGTATGCTGTCCTCCGTACCCTGTACAGGGTTCCGTGACAGGCCCCGTGACCCAGCGGAGTCCCGCCGGGCCTCTCCGCCGGGACTTTCAGGCTGCTCCTCTCTCCGCCCTTTGTATCCTCCCTCGATCGCAATTCTGGGTGTCAAGAAACCAACAAAGCAACAGAATCTATATCTGTGACGCTTCATGTAATTTGAACTCCATAATAGACTCATGGGCCTATTCGCCGATCCAGAAAATTAAGCCTTGACCATTCAGCCTTAGTGGGGAGGGTCGTTTCGTGGATGCCTGGAGCTGGTGCCCCGAGACTGCCCCGAGACCGCGTGGATGATTCCGCCGGTAATATTACCAGCGATACCGTACCAGCGGGAATCCAGGCGGGACTGACAACTCACCAGTCCGCCCGCCGGACTTGGTCAAACCTGCCAATACCAAACACCAACCCATCCACTCACTGAAAATTAATCCCTCATACTTTACAACTCCCACCACCAAAACCAAACCACACCAAACAAGTACCACAACACACACGCTCATCCAAATCCACCACTCACCATCCGCGAAGCTCATCCACCACTCACCGTGCACACCGAGCCCAGTTACCCCCAAGCTCCTTGTTTGCAGGCCCCCGATTTCCCAGTCTCCTCTTCCGACTGATTCCCTCCCCCCCCTCCTTCCTTAATCTTCCCCATCTCTCTCACCGCTCTCAGACCGCCCCCCCCATGTCTGAACGAGGCTCGTTCCGCGGCGGTCGTGGTGGTGGCCGTGGCGGTCGCCAGCAGCAGAAAACTGGCGGTGCTGCCGCCCAGCAAGAGAAGCCTAAGAAGGAGAATATCCTTGACTTGGGCAAGTACATGGACAAGGAGGTCCAAGTCAAGTTCAATGGTGGTCGTGAAGGTAAGGTCTTCGTATTCTTCTTAATTTTTCCTGCGACTATAGTGTTGTGTTGCCGGAAAGACGTCAATATAAGATTGTGTCACTGACCCTTGTCCACTAGTCACCGGTACCCTCAAGGGCTATGACCAGCTTATGAATCTCGTCTTGGATGATGTCAAGGAGACTATGCGCGGTAGGAATCATCTCCCACTTCTATTAAGTTAAAGCCACTCCGCTAATCATCCCCATCCAGACGATGCGGGTAACCAAACCACTCGCTCCCTGGGCCTGATCGTTGCCCGCGGCACACTCATCGTGCTCATTTCGCCCGCCGACGGCAGCGGGGAGATCGCCAACCCTTTCGTGCAACCCGAGGAGTAAAATGTGGTCTACACGCATAGTTCTCACCTCAGTTGCTGGCCGAGTAAGGCCATCCGTGCAGGCCCTCGCCATCATGCATGCAGAAGGCAATGTGAAGAGGGCGCCTGTACTCCTCTCTATCATTGGCATGCGGCATACTCCTAGGCATCAAGCGATATATCCAAGTATCCAAATTCAATCAAAAAAAAACCTTAATCTGATAGACCCTGACTGTCTAGCTAGAGGCAGCGGTCGATGCTCATTGGAGCTACGAAGGGAATGAATGCAACGTGATGGGTTTTTTCTTTTTGTCCTGTCTTTTCTATCATCTGGTCTTACCTTTTCGTGGGCGTGACGGATGTTGTCCACAGGATGACATTGTTCAATCTGCTGGAATGGGAGCAACCGCCTCATCCATACACTCCATACAAACAAAATATTGAAAAGATTAGGAAGAAACACCAAGATCGAAATCGTAACATTGCTCTAGGTATCATAAATGCAAACGCCAATAACGGGTGAAAATCGCGGATCCCTCCCTATACACATAGAAGCGCCTAAATCATCACTCAATTGAACCTCCCAAGGAAGTTCAATATTTCCTAGCTGATCCTTCCAGTCCTAAGCAGTAGGACCCACAACATCGCCAAACTCACTATCCTCCCCAGCAGTAATCACATCGCCACCAGGCACACCCGCCTCGGCCTTACTGCTCCCTTTCCACCGCCGCAAACCCTCCCCATCCTCCACCCAGGGCCCTGCCTTCTCCATACTATCGGTATACTGGACACCAACTCGCAGGTTCAACCCGGCACTCAACGCCCGCTCAATCCTTGCTTCCCGCGACTGCGAGACGAGCGTGCGGAATACCTGGACCAAGAAGCCGCCCAGGATATCCACACTCCAGTCCTCGGGCACGAGCTCGAGAACCTCGCGGACATCGAACCAGGCTCCGAACCGCGCAAGCAGGTCGCTCGTGCGTTCGATGCGCTCTGTCAGGTCCTGAATCTGCAGGAATTCGTCTAGCAGGTGCCGGAATAGCTTGACCTGCAGGTCGTGCGCGGCTAGCTCAGGCTGCGTACCGCCAGAAGAGGTGGCACTGCGCGGTCCGCCGAAGAGACAGTACCGGATGGCGGAGTCGTAGTCGCCTAGTCCGTGGGTGAGAAGGCGGAGGGCTGCACGGTGGTGGCCTTGTAGGCCATCAAGGATGATGCTCTCGGAGACGAGGTCATCCTGGTACGGCTCGATGCGGGCGAGCACGTTGGGGATGGAGTAGGTGATACCAGAGGGAAGGGCGGTAGAGGAAAACTGTGTGCCCGAGGTGCCGCTGAGGAGCTGCAGAAGGCGCAAGCGGGACTGCCACCAGGGCTCGGCGGGTGTGTTCTCGGTGATGAAATTGAGATAGGTGGGTTTAGGAGGTCGTAGAGCGCGATAGGTCGAGTAGGACTCGGCGAGAGAAGCCCGTGCGGCGGGAGAGGATTCGAGCACCGAAAGGACCTCATCAAGGTAGTATGCAATGAGGTCGTCGGCGTATTGTGTGTACTATTCGCAAGCATGATTAGTTGAGATACAGACGGGAAGACTTAAAATATAAGAAGACTTACGTTTTTGGCAAAGACCAGATGCTCCAGATATACCTGGACAGCATTGGGAGCACGCTCTTTGAGTAATGCTACCACATCGGCAGGCTCAAGCCTCACTCGACTGGAATTGTCCGCAAACACTTGAATACCAAGAGCAGGGTTCCGTTCAGCAAGCCAGGAGCCATACTCTTCCACCAACTGGGAATCTTTGATCTTCACCAAATACTTGCGCATCTGCGCCTCAACGCCGGCGCCAGTAACCTCCCCGCCGGCATCGGATTCTCCGTCAATAATCCTCCGCCATGTCTTGAGCACATTTCGGGACATCTTTCGGCTCTGGTATAGTCGGCTCAGAATATAAAGCCGCTTGTACTGCTCTAGAAGGGCAACGGCTCGCTCAAAGTTGCCCTTCCAATTATCGACTAGCTTGTTCAGTTCACTGCGCGTGGATGAAGCGCGTTGCTGCGTACTCAGATGTGCATCTTGCTCAAGAAGAAGATGGAGAAGTGCAGCATCCGTGCTATCCAAGACGTACGTCTCATCGGTGATACTGCCATAGCCTCTCTTTTGTTGCCACGAGAGGAGGAACCGCTTCACCATGTTCAGCACAGAGCTGTGCACTTCGGCTGCATTGCTTGTCTGCTCAACTTGTTTAAGGTATTTTGCCGTTGTGTCTGCCAAGCCAGACTGTATCCAGATACCCTGTGGTCCCTGTAATACCTCGCATCGAAGCAGTGGAATGAACAGTACGGCCAGTCGAGGGTCCAGATTACCAGACAAGAGAGCCCTCTCGGTATTCCTGATAGTAGGATCCGCACGGTGCTCCGCGTGCATGGACAGCAGATCTCCATATAGCAATAAGCTGGCTTTCTGTTTCACGTATCCCAGACCAAGGAATTCAGCCTCGGTTTTGGGCTCAATGTCTTGGATTGAAACCATCAACTCCATGACAGCATCCCTCTGCAGCGTGATGCGTCCCTTGTCATCTACCTGCTGAGCCTTCTGTAGAGTATTCTCTAGCTGAATAACCAAGGGATTTTTAAGGAGCCGCCAGATTTGTGAACCCGACCAAAGGACGAGACTGCTCTGCAGCTTGCCAAGCCCGCGGACGAATTTCGCTTCTTCGGCGTTGCGCTGACTTTCCCAGTCGCGTTCTGCTGACCCGGAATCTCCTTTCTTAGATCCCTCGGACTCGGTCAGCTCTTGCGACTCAAAGAGTTCCTTTTCTGTCTTTTGCTGCTCAATGGACTCCTGGGTTCGAGGGTCCACGGTGGCGACATGAGGCGATAGCAATGGTGTCTTGAGACGGACCATTTGCAGAAGCTTCCCAATCTCATTGTTATCAAGTTGACTGGGACTGAGCGTGTGCTTTAACCCGAATCGAGTAGTCTGCAACTCGCCGGGTGAAGACGGTATGTCTAGCCACTTCTTGTGTCGTTCTATTTCGGCAGGATCGTCATCCCACCTTTGGATTTCCAGTCGGGTTCGTTGCTCTCCATTCTCTCCATCTTCAATCAAGGCGAGAACATATTCCTCCTTTGAATCGTCATTGGGCTGCAGAGATTGATCGTCTTCGCCGGCATCAATGACAACCGACTTGGGATACCTGTGAAAGTTGATCGTGCCCCGAACAACTTCGCCGTCCATATCTACAAACATACCCACTCCCGGTTCCGTTTCCTCTGTTCCAGTTACAAGAAGGAATTCAGTTGGAGTCGGGGAGACCACGTGCGGCTGTAATTGTTTCTGGGCTGGCTTTGGAGGGGGTAGAGGAGGTAGTGGCTTGAGACTGTCAGAATCCGGCGCTTGCGCATCCCCCCTCGGGGCTTTCTGAGGCCTTTTTCTTAGACTCTTCTTCCCCTTCGTCTCGCTCTTCTGAGCTAGAGCGGCGGATACTCCCGGTAGATGTGAAAGGGTCCGGTGTCCCGGAAGGCGAGCGGCTATGCCCCCGCATCTGCGCATGCGGCTGCAGCATGCCCACAAAGGTATTCAAGCTGCTGCTTCTACCATGCACATGAGGATCCATTGGAGGCGAGCTCGGATACGATGAGGAAGGCGATCGCTTCAATGGAGTCTGTGGTGCCGGGGGGATATCCTCCACATGGCCGGATTCGAAGACCTCGCTCGAGGAGGAGATAGGAAATAACGGAATCTTCTGTTGGTGCTCTACCTCTAGCAGCGAGTACGAATGAGTATCAGCGGCGCAGGCAATGGTGCCCCTGCGCGCCGCCACCAAGCAACCGGGAAACTTGATCTGCTTGATGCGTCGAGCTCCCTCTCCAATCCGAATCAGCATGACGCTGTTCTGGACAGCAATCATCACAACAGGATCTTCCCCAGAGGCAGCGTCTTGGTTGAGATCCAAGCCACCGATCCAGCGGCAATGATTGACCTTAGTATTCCCAAACGCTGGGCTTAGCTCCGGTAGCAGGTAGAACGTGACCATGCCATTGCAAAGAATGCAAGCTTTATTCACCGACGGCAATACGACAATTTGTCGAACTCCTGGGGGGTCGCTGTGGGAGGGCTCGTTCTGGAATGGGATAGGCAGTCGAGATGCTAGGATAAAGGTAGGATCGGTCGAGTCGTCGTCGGAAGCTGCTGGGAGGCAGACGAAGTGCAAGACTTCCGCTGCAGAGGTACCAATATACAAGTTCCCATCTGTACAATTCCAGGTCAGCTTGATGGTCGCTGTATATGGGACCCGGGAGCAACCGCTGATAGCTTACCCCAGTACTCGACACAGGTGATGTAAACGTCCGAGCTATCGTCCGTCGCCAGCGGGACGTCGTCGAACAGTGAACGCAAGACATAAGGTTCTGATCCGGGAGGACCGATCCTCCGCCTCTTTCGAGGACCGACTCCATCATCTGAAGCCATGATGGCTAGCTTCCAAGTGATCTCCCCACCAGCATTGGAGAGAGATGGGGTGAAGGCGGTCAGCGTTGGCTCTGGGTCGAATGGGGCCAAAGCTTCAGGGGCCGCTAAATCAGGAACGGCGGGTGCCTCGGAATGACGGCTGGCAAGGGATCACTTCTACAGAGTACAGTACTCTGGCAGTTAATCAAGAGGTGATAAGACACGCCACATTCTCCCAGATAAGTCTCCGATCAGGGATTGCAAAAAATTCTTCCATAAATCACCACATTTTGATCTGTTTTCTTCTGATTTAATCCCATCTCTATACAACACGGAATAACAATCGGCCGCGCCGCGCCGCGTGTCCAGTTCCAGCTCTCCGCGCAAATCGCCCTCCCCTTTGGCGGATTGCGCTCTCGGTGTGGGGTGACTGTGCAGGACTCTTTGATTGAACGCTGGAAATGGATTCCTTCGCCATCACAGAGGGCCTTGCCGCCCAAGAGCGAGAAGATGACACCCCAGAAGTCTCCAGCAAGTTGTTCGAAGAGACTAACAAGTTCCAGCGCGCCATTGCAGCCTGGCGAGGTAAGTAAACGCAAACTGGCCCGATAAGAAAATCGGTGGGAACTTGAGAACTTATATGCTCCTATCCAGGAATTGACTTGGCCAGCACCATTGCCAAACTCGATACTGCCGCTTCGGACATTGTCTCACATCAACGGGACGCGCTCGTACAGAGAAAGGAACTGGCTCAAAAGACCAAGGACTTCAAGAAGCTGGAGGATGAAGCAAAACTGTCTGAGTACAAGGGATTGCTCAAGGCTTACCAATCGTTTATCGACCTTTTGACCAACCAAGGGAAGGCGTCATCATCCTCGTTCCTTCAACTTTACTCGTCCCTGTCCGAGGCACCAGACCCATACCCACTTCTCGAAGCCTCCGTCGACTCCCTCGTTCTGTCCGAAGAAACGGTTCCCAAACTCACATCGGAGCGAGATCAATTACAGCAGTCCGTCGATCGTCTCACGAAGCAGCAGGAGGAAACTGAGAAGCGCCTCCAAGAGGAGCGTGCTGCGAGACAGAAGCTTGAAGAGAACCAAGAATCAAGAGCGAAAGAGATCGAAGCATCCTGGGATGCGGTGCTGAAAGAAAAGACGAGCAACTGGGAGGCCAAGGAGAAAAGCTTGGAGGAGAAGGTTGAGAACCAGGAACGATTGATCAAAGAGCTCAAGGCTAGTTACGAGGTCTCTCAGCGACTGGGTGGTGGTCAGGATGAAGATACAGAAGATGCCCGTAGCGGTGCTACTGCTGCGGAACTCGAACTTGTCTCTGCCGACTTGGAGAAGACCAGCTTGAGATTGGCCGATATGGAGGCGCGGAATGAGCAGCTCCGATTAGAGCTAGCACAGGCCGTATCGCACTCAAACTCGGGCCAGCTTGCATCTGTTGAGGATGACCCTAGTTATCAACGGCTGCAGTCGGAGAACTCTGCATTGCTACGGAAGCTGGATGCTGCGCGTTATGATAAGGATTCTACACGACACGCCTGGGAGGCCAAGCTCCTCCAGGCGGAACGGAATGCCTCAAAGACCGCTACCGAGAGGGACGAGCTGCGCTCGCGCCTTAAAAAGGTTGCTGACTATGATGATATTCGCCGGGAGCTGGAGATGATCAAATCGATTGAGTTTGCCACTGGTGATGATGAGGATGCTGGTGAGGCAACCCCGACAACTGAACATGATACCACTGGCACGAATGGTGCTGCCAGCACACAGTCTAAAGATAAAAGCTCTTTGGAACAACTTCTGATGGCCCGAAACAAGAAGTTGACTGACGAGCTCGCCGTTCTACGGGTATCAACTCGCGAGCTCCAGGGGCAGCTGGAATCTCTTCGCAGTGAGCTTTCAACCACTAAGAAAGAACTTGATAAGTCGCGAGGTTTGTCTACTACGCTAGAGAACGATCTTCTTCGAGTACAAGAGGAGGCTGCCAACGCATTCCCATCATCGGCAATGTCTGTTGCAGGCACTTATACTTCGAGGTATCCACACTCTTCACGACGAAGTGGAGCGGTATCTCCTACTTCGTCAATAATCTCTGGCTTTGACCAGAGCACTGCTTCTGCCAATACCATGGAAGCCATTCGCGCCGGGGAAGCAGTGGGCGGCGGTTCCGGCCTTCTGCCCATGATCCAGGCCCAGCGCGACCGTTTCAAGAAGAAGAATGCTGAGCTTGAAGAGGAGCTCTCTAAGATGTATAGCACTGTCAAGTCTCTTCGACAGGAAGTTTCAACCCTCCAGAAGGACAACTTGAGTCTCTATGAGAAGACCCGCTACGTCTCCACATATAACCGTGGCCAAGGCGCATCTACGTCAGCTTCCTCGTTCGCAAATGCCCCCAGCTCGGCATCCATCTATGCATCTGGGGACGCGCCGGACCGCTACCAATCAGCATACGAAGCTCGCATTTCACCATTTGCTGCATTCCGAGGCCGTGAATCCGCTCGTGCTTACAAGCGCATGACCCTTCCAGAGCGGATCGTATTCTCTCTCACTCGCATAATCCTGGCGAACCGGACCAGCCGAAACCTGTTTGCGGCATACTGCTTCGCGCTGCACATTCTGCTTTTCGTCGTTTTGTATATGATGAGTACGACTGAGATTGAGAAGCACAGTGCCATGAGTGCTGTTGGCAATGCCGCTGCCGCCGCCTATGGCAGCAGTGGTGGTAGTAGTAGTAGTAGTAGTGGTGGTGGTGGTCAGCTACACGGGGATGACTGGCAGCAAGAGGGTTTCAATCAGGCCAGCTAAAATGTCCCCGTTGAGTCTGTCTGGTGATGGAGTAAGATTGGTGATGTGACCATCACCTGTCTCTCCCCACCATTGTTGAGATGAAGAATATTCGTTATGCTTGAACAGCGAGGGTCTCGGCGTTATCGTCTTGTCTTATTTCTAATTTAGGCTGTTGAGCCTTTTTTTTTTTCTCCTGACTACTCATCAATCCTGGCGTTTCTTGGGTGAACGGGCCTCTCCTCTGGCAGTGATGACCCACGACAGATACTCGCTGCATGCTTTGTTGTTTCATGGAATCCTAGTCAGCCACTGTACAGTCAATCAGGACCTCGGAAATGAAACATTCTATTCTTGTCGTTCGAATGAGTAGTCTAGCAGTCTGTGGCTAGTAAAGTTCATGACCGATGGTGAAGCAAGATGGTGAAGCAAGCGGGGTCTGGCGGATGACTTATGACTGTAGTGGTGATTGTGGCAAGACCGTTGACCTGTGCATGCATCACACTTCTGTAATTTAGAAGGTACCTAGAATAGAATAGAAAAGAGGAGAATCCCTGCAGGGTTTTGAAGCTAGTACCGTGAGAATCAGGCTAACTTGATTTCTGGCTTCGTCTGACAGGTCTTGTGTTCCATCTCACCATCCTATATTGATAACGCGGAAGCACACTCGAAGTTTTAATACTCCAGTTCCCAAAAGACCAGCATTATCTCGTTTAGCCTTGTCCTACTCGGTTTCTTTTTTTGGGTGTGCTTTTGTCCAAGTCTCTAATGTCTCCCAAAGTACGTGTGTACCCTGTAACCTAGGACCAGATTGGAGGCACTGCTCCACCTTTTCATAGATTTCTTGCCAAAATTCAATCTTTCTCATGACAAATTCCAAGAATTCTATGTGATTGAGTACAAAGTAGGCTTGACTTTCAAAGTGGCGTGATGGTGACCTCTTTCCTCGTCTTTCCTCCAGTTAGAATCAACCATGGATGGGGTCTGTACCCATCTATGCCATGCGATTCTAGGCCCGGAGGGTAATTTACCTGAAATTGAGGAATATGACTGGAATAGCCAGCAGATGTAAAGAAGTCAGAGCCGTAAATCGAGTATGGAAGTACTTGGGTTGATGTTCCAAAATAGCGACAGGGTAGCAGTGCAAGGATGAGCTTGGGTTAGCGTCAAACGAGAACAACAAGAAGATAGAGCATCAACATGACTCGCTCAATTAATAATTGCATATTGTTCGTTTAACCCAGCTATATTTGTTCAATTGCGAATCTAGTACAATTTGTACAATTTGTTAACATGTCCGTTTGTCTCCGCGACTATCTATATCTACTGGCTATTCATGTCTTCACCGATCAGGTAAACCAACGTGGCATCGATTCCGAGTGGGCCACTCTAAAATGAGCTATAATTATAGTGCCGGCCGAGTAATAATCAGATGGGTCGGACCAAAGATAGTAGTGCCAACGACACCGTGCTTCGTACTGGTACGCGCCCGTGGGCTTGTAAACGAAAGCCACATTGCGGAGGAAGTACATAGTAGGCCGCCTCTTTTCTTTCAACCAGCCCCCGCCCAACCACGTACCCGCAGATGGCTGGGTGCTTGTGTAGATTCATTACCTGCCTGAAGAATATCATTTTTCTCGCGACGAAGATTGCTTCAGCTGTGTCCAATAAGACTAACATTAGCAACCAAGCCGAACCCCTCCCAAACGCCCGCCCGGGTGTCGATAGTGGACGGCACCCTTGATCCTTCATGATTGCAGACTAACCCAAACGGAGCAATCACACTGCATGTCCAACCGCCCATCACATACATGGTGAGCCTCTCCCAGGGAGGCTCGATTTATTCTTAGTGCCCGACCGGAGAATTTCCCTGGTACGTACCCCTCATTCCCCCGCCCCTCTCATTGCATTATTATTAGCCTCTACGGAGCATTGGCAACCTGGAAAGCCTCCTTTGCCTTGCCGCCCATTCAAAGTCTGGTGTTTTGCTTAGCGCGATGTACTCTCGGTGTGGCCAAAGTTGTTTGAGCCCATCGACGAATGGTGTCGCGCAGAGGCTGGGAAGGAAAGCCCTCGGCGCCTCCCTGGGCCAATGACTGATCGTAGACCTCCTCCTGATCCCTGCTAGTACTTGAAGCCTGCATTTTGATCCCTTTTGTTTTTTATAGACCCAGGCCCATTTGTTTCGAGTAAGACGGGTGTTACTATCTTTGTGATTTGCTGGTCAAAGCGATCATTATTACAATCAAAACCGACTCTATATGTACCCTGGCTTGCCGGATTCATCATATTTTCTGTCAATCCCTCTTCCTCTCTCCAGTTGTCGTTTCTTTTCTTTCTTATTCCTACATTCGTACTCGTTGTATTTTCCCCGACTACCAGCCTGGTGCTGCAATAGGGCTTTCTTTGTTTAATTTCTACCTCTTCAAACCTCTTCGAGATCACCACCCTTCTATCTCCACTCCATTGGGCCTCCTATCTCGGTATACACAAGACGCCTAATTATGCGTCTCACACCCATTCTCCTCTCGCTGGTGACAGTGTCACTGGCTGCCCCTGCGAACTATTTCGATGATGCCTATGACTTCTCGGATGAGCTCTCGGACTATTATTCCAAAGTCAGCCAGTATATCAACCGTGTGAAGAAGAGCACGTCTCCGTCGGCATCATGTGATACATCCAAGATCTCATTGCCCTCATTCGCCTCTGGTCTTCCGGCTCCCAATGGAACGAAGCCAATGTATGTGGCACTTGGACGGGGAACACAGGTGTGCTTTAAGAATTGCCCTGCTAGAAATGGAGATCCATATCACTGACTGTTCTTCCTAGAACTATACATGTGCCGACTCTACGTCTGCGTCTACTCCTTTTGCTATCGGTGCAGTCGCCAACCTGTACAATGCGACATGCTTGGCTGCCAACTACCCTGATCTCCTGGAGTCACTTCCCAACATTGCCTACAAGATTTCCCTGCCTACTACCGAGTATGCAACCTTTCCGCCCGCCAATCTCGAGCTGATTGGGCACCATTTCTTCACTAGCACCATTCCCGAGTTCAACTTGGACACCACAGAAGCCAAACAGTTCGGCGTTGCTTTGACCAAGAAGGAGAGCTCACTCAATGCCCCCTCAACTGCTGTAAAGGGCGAGTATGGTGCAGTGGCTTGGCTGTACCTGTCAACCATTGAGGGCACTGTTGGCAACTACAAGGGTGTCTACCGAGTGAACACGGCTTCGGGCTCTCCACCCGACACTTGCGAGAAGATGCCATCTTCATTTGAGATCCAGTATTCTGCAGTCTATTATTTCTATGGAAGTTAGATGGGAGGGACGTGTTTTTCTGTACATATGGGACAAGGTGGGCGGATAGCGTCGTTATAATATGGAAGATTTATTTGTATGTATTTACCGTCTCAAAGGGTTACCCCTTGGTGACTGTGGCGTTAATGAAGGAGTATACGGAGTAAATATTTTTTGGTTCCCAATTTCCAATCCACCGCTCCTCAAGCCTAGCTGCCACAGTTCCAACACTTTTCATCTGATGGCTGCAGGGCTATCCATACCACGTGATCTCGCTTTTGCAGAGCGCAAACAGCCAAGTCACGTGGGCCCAGTGGTCTCTTCTATGCTAACGCAAAATGGACTAGCGTAGTTCTGATTTTCTGAAAGATCCAGCAGGCGCAAAAAAATCTCGACCGATCAACGAGCAGCACCGGCTTTGACCCGCACGCGATCGAACCTTCACGGTCAATTTTTCACCAGCTGCTTGACTCAGTAAATCCAATTACTGTGTCCTTTTTGCTCAATTTCGATCGACTCTTCCTCTTGAGCTCGGTCTTCCATCAAATTTCATCTCGCACTCGGTAGCTCGACTCCAACCTCTTTCGACTCCCTTTTCTCTCGGAATTTTCCCTCACAACTCCAAATAATGGCTTTCACTCCTCGTGGCCGTGGTGGTCCTCCCCGCGGTGGTCGTGGCGGCGCTCCTCGTGGAGGTGCTGGTGGTCGTGGTTAGTGCTCAAGCTCATTTGAAGTCACAGTCATGTCTGCATAGGGTGGGCAATCAGAGATGAGACCTTGCGTTTCACGCTTGTTTCGTTTGCCTGCCAACTATCGTGTCTGTTTCTAGTGCTAGTTTGTCCAGTTCGCTGACCGGAATTTTTCTCATTCTAAAGGTGGCTTCGGTGGTGGCTTCGGTGGTGGCCGTGGCCGTGGTGGAGGTGGTCGAGGTGGTCCTCCTGGCCGTGGAGGCCGTGGTGGTCCCCGTGGAGGACGCGGTGCTCCTCGCGGCGGCCGTGGTGGTGCTGCTGGTGCCCGTGGTGGTGCTAAGGTCATCATTGTGAGTATTTCAAAATGCGGATTTTGAGAGGTTCCGGAAGATTTTCAATGGCTGACCCCGAACTTTCTTCTCCCTCAAACAGGAGAACCACCGTCACGCTGGTGTCTTCGTTGCCCGTGGTGGTAAGGAGGATCTGCTCGTCACCAAGAACCTGACCCCCGGTGAGGCTGTTTACGGCGAGAAGCGCGTCTCTGTCGAGTCCCCCGCTGGTGATGATGGTGTTGTCACCAAGACTGAGTACCGTGTGTGGAACCCCTTCCGTTCCAAGCTGGCTGCCGGTATCCTGGGTGGTCTTGACAACATCTACATGAAGCCTGGTTCCAAGGTCCTCTACATTGGTGCTGCCAGCGGTACCTCCGTCTCTCACGTTGCCGATATTGTTGGCCCCACTGGTAACGTCTACGCTGTTGAGTTCTCCCACCGTTCTGGCCGTGACCTGATTGGCATGGCTACTCACCGCACCAACGTTATCCCCATTGTTGAGGATGCCCGTCACCCTCTCCGCTACCGCATGCTCGTTCCCATGGTTGATGTCATCTTCGCCGACGTTGCGCAGCCTGACCAGGCCCGTATTGTCGGCCTGAACGCTCACATGTTCCTGAAGGAGGGTGGGGGTGTCCTGATCTCCATTAAGGCCAGCTGTATCGACTCCACAGCTGCTGCTGAGGTTGTGTTCACTCGTGAGGTCCAGAAGATGCGTGAGGAGAAGATCAAGCCCAAGGAGCAGCTGACTCTGGAGCCCTTCGAGCGTGATCACTGCATCGTTGGTGGTATCTATGCTCGTTCTACATAAAAGGTGTTTCTAATCTTCTTGCTTTGTCATGTCTTCTTTCATTTTCCCTTTCTATGGTTACATGTCACTTCCTCTCAGGCGTCTTGTGTTCCGCGATGTATCCAATGTTTCTCTTTTTCATTGTGACTTGATTGTCTCTGCCATGTACGATTGCTGCGTCACAAAATAGGTCTCAATTTCTGGGAAAATCCACGCACTGAAATGATTTTCTTCTTGCGTAAATACGTAGATGAAATGCCCCAGATTGAGGGTATCAGGTATGGGTTTGGCCTGAGCCCGTCCTGGATGCTAGGGTTCTCGCAAAGTTCTTTTCATCGCCATGGACCTTTGCTGCTCGTAGATATGTATAGTCATCATACTCTTCATATTTGCTCTGTTACTAGCCTATGCTTCCTCGATCAGGTCTCTAGACTTTGTGCTTATATAGCGAGCAGAGAGTCGCTCATTCATCCTGGCATATAAGCCATGAGATCAAATTCTATCTAGTTGATATATTACTTATCTCTGATATGCGGCCTTACTTTCCATAGTCACATGGCTCACTGTGGGTGTTCTCATCGATCTCGGACTTGCCCCGCGATGCTCAACGACCGTCCGCTCGGTCCGGGTATCGGATTTCTCACCGAGACGCAAAGACCGACTTCTCTGCCCAGCTAAATGATTCGGAATTGTTGCGTGGGGGAACACGCAATGGACTAATATCAACTAGGAAAAGCTGCTCATTGGTGGGGTGAACATCTTGAGTTTGGGTCCTTGGACGGCGCGTGGGGGAAGAAAGCGCTCCGCTCCAGCCCCGCGGGGTTATTAATGCTGGCGACTATATAAGGTTGACAGTTTGGACAGATCGAGTGCCACTCTCAACTCACATCATTTACACTGCATTGGTCCCATTGTTTGGTTGCATCTTTACTTCTATTGATACCCCGGACCGCTCCCAGACCCATCGCTTCGCATCTAACATGTCGATTCTCATCACTGGCGCAGGAGGCTACGTTGGCCAAGAACTGGCCGCTGGTCTCCTTGCGACTACTCCAGCTTCGACCACCGTGACTATCACCGATGTCGTCGAGCCAACAGTCCCCGAGTCAGCGACACAGTATGCCAACCGTTTGACTTGTGTCCGCGCCGACCTAACCTCCACGAAGGAAGTTGACGAATTGATCAATGCCTCCCAACCCTACGAGACCGTTTATATCTTGCATGGAATCATGTCCAGTGGTTCCGAGGCGAATTTTGAGCTGGGAATCAAAGTCAATCTCGACTCGACACGATACATTCTCGACCGACTACGTGTAACCATGCCGGGCGTCAAGGTGGTCTTCACCTCTTCATTGGCAGTCTATGGCCTAGCACCTCCAGGATTCATCATTGACGAGACCAATTTCCCACCCGTACCTTCGTCCTCGTATGGATCACAAAAGCTCATCATCGAGACTCTGGTGACGGACTACTCTCGCCGCGGATTCCTGGACGGCCGCAGTGTGCGACTCCCCACCGTGACCGTTCGAGCTGGAAAGCCCACACAGGCTGCCAGCAGCTTCGCTAGCGATATCATTCGGGAGCCTTTCCACGGGAAGAAGGCAATCTTGCCTGTGAGCAAGGAGACCGAGATGTGGATCTGCTCCCCACACACGATTATCAAGAACCTGATCCACGCGCGTACCGTGCCCAAGGAGGCATTTGGCGAGTCGCGATCAGTCAACCTGCCTGGACTGAAGGTTAGTGTGCAGGAAATGCTGGATGCACTGGAGGAAATTGGTGGTAAGGAGCGACGGGCGCTTGTTGAGGAGAAGTATGATGCTGCTACGGACAAGATTGTGCAAACGTGGACTCCTCAATTCTCCACTGATCGCGCATTCAAGCTGGGTTTCCATGCAGATATTTCTATGAAGGAGAATATTCAGCAGTTTGCTAGTAAATTTGTATGATAGAGACCGGGCGGAGCAGAGCAGGGCGACTTCTGAGCCAATCAATATAGCGCAATTTGAAGACTGAGATGATCAGGGTTACGCGGAAGATTTTGTATGGCAGTAGTATCGCAGTGAGGGGTGTTTCGAGCACCCATCAATTGGGACATTGCTGTAACGACCACTGCGTGCAATGGAATCGGACGTCATAAACAATAGCAGGCACAGAAGCGGGCAAGGAAATAATCGGGATGGGAAGGGCGGTTTGGAAAAGCGGGTCATGTGATTGGCTGACGAGCTGGGCGAACAATTTGACTTCCGAACTTCAACCTCAGGGCCGACTCCAGCTCTTTTCTCCATCCCCCTTCCCCCCCCTCCCACCCATCCTACGTGTCCGCAATGGCTTCCCGCCGCTTGGCTCTCAACCTTAACCAGGCTCTCCGGAGCCGTGCGGCTCTCAAGTCCATCCAGCCCGTGAAGCGTGGTTTTGCCTCGCCCGTTGCGCTGCCATCCACCACCCAGTCCACCACCCTCTCCAACGGGTTCACCGTACGTCCCGCGTCAGACTCGATCAATGGCACCGCATCGTCGCTGATATGTGTTTTAGATTGCCACCGATTATTCGCCATGGGCTCAGACTTCCACCGTCGGCGTGTGGATCGATGCCGGTTCCCGGTCAGAGACTGACAAGACCAACGGCACTGCGCACTTCCTCGAGCACCTTGCCTTCAAGGTTCGACCTCATTGACCTCAACCCCCACGGAGTACATCTGACAACAATTTATAGGGCACCAACAAGCGCTCCCAGCACCAATTGGAGTTGGAGATTGAGAACATGGGTGCTCACCTGAACGCCTACACCTCGGTACGACCGGAAAACCTAATGCCAACCCGTTCCAAGCGCGAATCAGTACTGACGATGAGATTTACAGCGCGAGAACACTGTCTACTACGCCAAGGCCTTCAACAACGATGTTCCCAAGGCCGTCGACATTCTCTCCGATATCCTCCAGAACTCCAAGCTCGAGCCCGCTGCCATTGAGCGTGAGCGTGATGTGATCCTGCGCGAGCAGGAGGAGGTTGATAAGCAGCTCGAGGAGGTTGTCTTCGACCACCTCCACGCCACCGCTTACCAGGGCCAGCCCCTCGGTCGCACCATCCTCGGCCCCAAGGAGAACATCCAGACCATCACCCGTGAGAACCTGACGGACTACATCAAGACCAACTACACTGCCGACCGCATGGTTCTGGTTGGTGCTGGTGGTATCCCCCACGAGCAGCTCGTCCGCCTGGCTGAGGAGCACTTCGGTGGCCTCCCCAACAAGCCCCCTACCTCCGCCGCCCTCGCCCTTACTGCCGAGCAGAAGCGCACCCCCGAGTTCATCGGCTCCGAGGTCCGTCTCCGTGACGACACCATCCCCTCCGCCCACATTGCTCTTGCCGTTGAGGGTGTCAGCTGGAAGGACGATGACTACTTCACTGCCCTCGTTGCTCAGGCTATCGTCGGTAACTGGGACCGTGCCATGGGCCAGTCTCCTTTCCTCGGCAGCAAGCTCAGCTCCCACGTCAGCCACCACCACCTCGCCAACAGCTTCATGAGCTTCTCCACTAGCTACAGCGACACTGGGTAAGTATTCTTGTTGTTGCTACACGTTGCAATCCCCCCTATTCCTGGATACCACCTCGGCGAATCAGTAGCTGACATTATCTTGATACATAGTCTCTGGGGTATCTACCTTGTCTCCGAGAACCTCACTTCTCTCGATGACCTGATCCACTTCACCCTCCGCGAGTGGTCTCGCCTCTGCCGCGACGTCTCCTCCGCTGAGGTTGAGCGCGCCAAGGCCCAGCTTAAGGCTTCCATCCTTCTGTCTCTCGACGGCACCACCGCCGTTGCCGAGGATATCGGCCGCCAGATCGTCACCACCGGCCGCCGCCTCAGCCCCGAGGACATTGAGCGTGTCGTCGGCTCCATCACCGAGAAGGATGTCATGGACTTCGCCAACCGCAAGCTGTGGGACCAGGACGTCGCCATGAGCGCCGTTGGTAGCATTGAGGGTATCCTCGACTACCAGCGCATCCGCAGCGACATGTCTCGCAACCTGTCTTAAATTTACCCGTGTCTCCAATTGCGATTAAAAGACAACCATCCTAGAGTTCTCGGACCCCGGATGGGGGTGTTTGTTTGAATGTATTATCAATCATTGCCTTGGGTTGCTGTTTAGACCCTGACTTGTGTGTGAAATAGCAGTTAATGGTTTGCCATAGTAGACTATATAGTCTGTCGCCTGGAATGTGGCAGACCAATCGATCTCCTTTGTTTCCTTCGTCCTGAATTGCGATCGAGTAACAATAGCTTGTACAGGCTTTGGATATACCATCAAATCATGTATACCTAGTACCACTCGTTACTAAACTATTAGTACATTTCCATAGTCATCATCATTATTTTTCATCTGCAATTATCCCTTCAGATCTCGGAATCGTATGAATGTTGAATGAGTTGCATTTCGGGCCATGTATCAAAAGCGGTGACGAGCGGCATAAGATCGCCCCACGGCAGTGATTAGATAATCTAGCGCTCTATCCGTCGTTTTTTTAAAGACGAAGTTTTGACGGCTACCCTAGCAAAACTTACATTCAAAATGGGCAAACGAGGCGGCAGAAAGGTGAGAATGAGCTTCAATTTGCTCCCAAGGAAGTGTTCATCAGGCTAATCACCGTCATTTCTACAGGGAAACCGCGGCGGCAGAGGTGGCGGCGGTGCCCGCGCAGAGCGCTCCACCAATTGGCACGAGATTCCCCGTACCAACGAGAAGCTCGAGAGATACTACAATGAGCCGGAATTTATCCCAGAGGAGGAGAAGGAGGAGTTCTGGAATGCTATCAAGAGAGATCTGCCCAACAGCTTCCGCTTCACGGGCTCGCGTGGGTAAGTCTTGGAACTGGATTTCGCATTCTATCTGCGCTTCCTCGAGTCTTCACCCGGGTCTAGGACGCATTGTATACTGATACTTACCTCTTCAAGTCATGCGCTTGCTGTGCAAGAGCGCCTGAAGAACTTCTATGTCCCACAAATCACTTCTATCGAGTACGAGGGCCAGAAGGTCCAGCCGCCACAGCCCGTCGAGTGGTACCCGGACCAGCTTGCTTGGTCGATGACCACTCCCAAGCAGGTTATTCGCCGCCATGCACCCTTCGCTTCGTTCCAAAAGTTCCTTGTTGCCGAGACCGAAGTCGGAAACATCAGTCGCCAGGAGCTCGTCAGCATGATCCCGCCTCTCCTCATCGATATCCGGCCCGGAATGACTGTTCTGGATATGTGCGCTGCGCCGGGTAGCAAGTCAGCACAGCTGATGGAGGCTCTCCATGCCGGCGAGGAGGATACCATTCTGGAGGCCGCTAAGCAGGTCAAAGAGGGCAATGCTGGGCCAGAGCCTTTGGGCCCCGAGGGCTTGAATGATGATGGTCGCACTACTGGTCTGTTGATCGCCAACGACAGTGATTACAAGCGTGCGCATCTCTTGATCCACCAGATGAAGCGTCTGAGCTCTCCCAACCTGATCGTGACGAACCATGATGCTACTATGTACCCCTCTATCAAGCTTCCTCCTCTACCTGTTCCCGAGGGCCAGCGCCCTATCAACCGATACCTGAAGTTCGACCGCATCCTCGCCGACGTGCCTTGCTCTGGTGACGGTACTGCTCGGAAGAACATTGGTGTGTGGAAAGATTGGAGCCCAGCCAGTGCTCTGGGTCTTCACACCACTCAGGCTCGCATTCTGGTTCGCGCCTTGCAGATGCTCAAGGTTGGTGGACGTGTTGTCTACTCTACTTGCAGTATGAACCCCATTGAGAACGAGGCTGTCATTGCTAGCGCCATTGAGCGCTGCGGTGGGGCTGCCAATGTGAAGATCATTGACTGCAGTGAAGAGCTGTCCGGTCTGAAGCGTCGGCCTGGTCTGAAGAGCTGGAAGGTCATGGACCGTGAGGGTCGTATCTGGAGCAGCTGGGCGGAAGTCAAGGAACAGAGAGAGCAGGAGAGCAGTAGCAATGGCTTAGCCCGTCTGGCCGAGGGAATGTTCACTCCTTCTGGAGAGACCGCCGAGCTGCCGCTCGAACGCTGCATGCGTGTTTACCCTCACCTCCAGGATACTGGTGGCTTCTTCATTACTGTCCTTGAGAAGACCTCCGAGATCAAGGCCAAGCCCGAGAACTCCGCCAGCGTCATTCCGCTCCTGCCCAAGGGATCCGTTGCAGCTCTTGCTGCCGAGCTTGACTCGCGTAACAATGAAAACGGCGAGCCTTACCAGAAGTTGGACTCTCTGGATGATCTTGTCCCCGCCGACGCGGAAGTCGAGGCTGAGATTGCGAAGAACGCAACGGTCGCTGAGGCTTCCAACCAGCCTCCTTACTCGGTGACTCTTGATGCTTCGCAGCCAGCCTCTCCCGTTAAGCGCGAGGGTGATGAGTTGGATGAGGAGCTTCCTGCTAAGAGGACCAAGCTTGAGAATGGCAGTGAGGTCTTGGTCGGTGACCGCCCTATCCACCGTCCTCCCCCGACCGTTCAAGTGGAACAAATGGATACTTCAACTGATAACACTCCCGCACCCACTGCCCCAGGCCCAGTGTCTCAGGGTTTCAAGAAGAAGGTTGTCCAAGAAGAGCCCTACAAGTATCTGGACCCCAATCACCCAGAGCTGGTCCCAGTCTACGAGTTCTTTGAACTGTCAGAACGGTTCCCCCGTGACCGATGGATGGTGCGCAATGCAGAGGGCCAGCCCACCCGAACTGTTTACTACACCAGCGCCCTGGCTCGGGACATTCTTACCATGAACGAGCGCTCCGGCATGAAGTTCGTCCACTGCGGTGTTAAGATGTTCGTGAAGCAGGATGCACAGCGCGAGAACGTCTGCCGCTGGCGTATCCAGACGGACGGATTGAAGATCATTGAGCCTTGGCTGGGTGATGTTCGCACCGTCACCCTGACCCAGCGGGAGACGCTGCGTCGCCTGCTCATCGAGATGTTCCCCAAGGTCAACGACAATGGTTGGAAACAACTCGATGAGATTGGTGAGCGCGTGAAGGATATTCCCATGGGCTGCAGTATCTTGCGCATCGAGCCCAGCGGCAAGGAAGATGGCCTTACGTATGTACACCCCTATGGATGATTTGTTTCTTACACATTTCGATTTGGTATTCTAACCTATTTTCAACAGCGAGCGGATGGTTCTGCCCCTCTGGCGCTCCCTGCACTCTATCAACCTCATGCTTCCCAAGGAAGATCGCCGCGCCATGCTCCTGCGTATCTTCAATGATTCCACGCCCGTCAACAACAACTCTGTGAAGAACCAGAAGGGCTCGCAAAGGCAGGCAGAGACTGTCATTGAGGCTTCCGAGTCCGATGCCATCGATGCCATCGAGCCTCCCGCGGCGATTGAGGACGACGCTCTGAAGAAGGAGAACCTTGCATTGGGTCAAGACGAGCAAGAGCAGGTTGACACGCGAGAGACCTACACCAAGGCTGGCGATGAGGAGGACCGATTCAATACCACTGTCTAGTGGTGAGAGACGGCCGTGGCCTTTGATTTATCTTACTATTATTTGCATGATTTTCTCACGGGGAGCGAGTGAGCTCACCGAATGTACTAAAAAGCAATACCATGGAGATTTACCCTTTTGAGAGAGAGAGAGAGAGAGAGAGTCCGAGTTCAAGATTAAGTTTGATCGAGTTGCTGTCTGGGCTTAGGGGCTTATTATGTGTCTGTGTGTCCCTTGGGGAGCCTTAAGTCCGGAACCTTTTCCGGAATCTGGTCCGGTTCCTGGCACGAAGGCCTGCATGTCGGCATATTTGCATATGCCTGGAAAGAACAAGATAGCCCAAAATACCCGAAAAGCTCGGTGGGCATGCGATCTGTATCGTATGATGTGCTCGGAGAATCATCGGTGCTCAGATGCGCCGGGTAAATTCGAACTGGTCGTTTATTCCCCGCAGTACTTGGGCTTCAATTTAAATTAAACGGCAAATTTTGAGGATCTAATACATTATTAATCTGCAATTGACTTGAATGGACACGGATGCGGATGTTGATAACCCGAAATGTCCGGGCTGTAAACAGCCACCCCTCCAAAGTCCTTTTGCTGGATTCTCCATGTGGTTTTGAGTTGAGGCTTGTTTAACGGACGAGCTCCATTCCGCTGATTCTCCGGAGTTCTGACGCAACTTCTCCATATGCTACACACAATAACATCAACACCCTACCGAATATGACGCAGGTTCTGTCGATCAATGGACTCTCCGCAGGGGAAGTGCCTCATTCGCCTCACTTAAAAACCCTTCGAATCCACCAACTCCCATCGTGACCTTGCGATAAGCGGAAAAATTGCGGCGGTGGAACCCCCGCAAACCAGGATTGCAAGTGCACGACTGGGGGATCATCGGCCATAACTTCCTGACGAGTACAAGTGGCCTCTCCACTCGTCTGCGACGTCGTGCTCTGCTGCAACTGTCCATGCACGTCCCCAGGACCATAGCGGCAGAGTATGATGAGGGTCAACCCCCCGCCTTGTTCCCCTGTCGATGATGAAATGACGATATTGCCGAAGAGGGGTTGAACTGCAGGCGCCCTCTAGTCCAAGGCCTAAGGCCCTCGAGGTCCGATGCATGAGAGAAACGTGCAGAAGAAGGATGCGAGTATGGCAGTGTCGGAGAAAACGGCATTGTACCACCCCCAGCAAGTGTGATTCGCTTGTCGATCGTCGCTTGACAATTCTATATGAAGGCCCGCCGATCCCTTGCAGGGTCTGAAATGCAAGCCGCTGAAGCTGAAGCTCGCTCAATTGTTAGCTTCTCCTAAGGCGAGGTTCGTGTCTATTCTTTTTTGTTTCTCGTCGACTTCGCTCACCATGAAGCTGCTGTCTTCTTGGGTTGTGGCCGCCTTGGCTGCGCAGGCTGCCGGTGCTGCTTTGAGCCATAAGTTCGATGGCTTCACTATCCGGGAGCATGCGGATCCCGCGAAACGGGACCTGTTGCAGAAATATGTGTGTTTAACATTCTTGCCGTGACGCTCATCTGAAGTGGTGCTAATAATGTGCGACGATAGGTAACCTGGGACGAGCACTCCCTATTCATCAATGGCGAGCGGCTGATGATTTTCAGTGGCGAAGTCCACCCATATCGGTATGTTTTCGCTTGTCTCAAGCCATCCTCGAGATTGGGAGAGTTTGTCTAATAACAATTACCCAGTCTGCCTGTCGCCTCGCTGTACATTGATATCTTCGAGAAGGTCAAGGCTCTGGGATTCAATTGCGTGTCATTCTACGTTGATTGGGCTTTGTTAGAAGGCAACCCCGGCCACTTCTCTGCTGAGGGAGTCTTTGACCTGCAGCCTTTCTTTGATGCGGCTAAGGAGGCTGGTATCTACTTGCTGGCTCGTCCTGGTCCCTACATCAATGCCGAGGTCTCTGGTGGCGGTTTCCCCGGCTGGCTGCAACGAGTCAATGGTACCTTGCGGACTAGCGATGAGGACTACCTGAAGGCGACCGATAAGTATGGATATAATGCCCCTATTGTGAATGTACGTGGTGCCGCGAAATCTAACAATTGTCTTTAGCTACGCCTCCAATATTGCTGCCACAATTGCCAAGGCACAGATCACCAACGGTGGCCCGGTCATTCTATACCAGCCTGAAAATGAGTACTCCGGTGCTTGCTGTGGCGATGATGACTTCCCGGATGGCTCTTACATGCAATATATTGAGGACCATGCCCGTGCAGCTGGAATCGTCGTTCCATTCATCAGCAATGATGCCTGGGCTGCTGGCCACAACGCTCCCGGATCTGGTAAGGGTGCGGTCGACATTTATGGCCACGATAGCTATCCTTTGGGCTTCGATTGCGCCAATCCTTCGACATGGCCCAGCGGTAATCTTCCCACTAATTTCCACACCAGCCACGAACAACAGAGCCCTACAACTCCTTACTCTCTGGTCGAGGTATGTCTCGATATCTATATCCCCTGTGAAATTCTAAACTAACACCTCGTAGTTCCAAGGTGGAGCGTTTGACCCCTGGGGAGGAGTTGGTTTTGCAAAGTGCGCTGCTCTTCTGAACCACGAGTTCGAGAGAGTGTTCTACAAGAATGACTTTAGCTTCGGTGTTGCTTTCCTGAACCTGTATATGGTAAGTTGCGAACCATTAAGTTAAGGGTTGAGGATGCTAATAACATACAGATCTTCGGTGGTACCAACTGGGGTAATCTGGGCCATCCTGGTGGATACACCTCGTATGATTATGGCTCCGCAATCTCCGAGTCTCGTAACATCACTCGTGAGAAGTACAGCGAGCTGAAGCTGCTCGGAAACTTTGCTAAGGTGTCCCCGGCTTACCTTGTGGCCAACCCTGGGAACCTGACTACCTCCACGTATACCAACACTGCCGATCTGACCGTGACTCCTCTGCTTGGAAGCAACAGCTCTCCTTCCTCGTTCTTTGTGATCCGCCACTCCGACTACAGCAGCCAGGCTTCGGTCGATTACAAGCTCACCGTCCCGACCAGTGCTGGAGATCTGACTATTCCTCAACTCGGTGGAAGCCTGACTCTCAGTGGTCGGGACTCGAAGATTCACGTTACTGACTACGACGTGGCTGGCACTAACATCCTCTACTCTACTGCCGAGGTCTTTACCTGGAAGAAGTTCAACAACAACAAGGTCCTTGTTCTATACGGTGGCCCTGGCGAGCACCATGAGTTCGCGGTTTCCGGCGCGTCAAGCAGCTCTGTCGTCGAGGGATCTTCTTCTGGTATCACATCCAAGAAGGTCGGCAAGGCACTTGTTATCGCTTGGGATGTCTCGACTACTCGTCGCATTGTCCAGGTTGGTAACTTGAAGGTCTTCCTTCTCGGTAAGTTAGATGAAAATCTCCACGATTGATGTTTGCTAACCAAGAATAACTAGACCGGAACTCGGCCTATAACTACTGGGTGCCTCAGCTTCCCACCAAGGGCACCGCCCCCGGATACAGCAACCAGGAGACTACTGCCTCGTCAATCATCGTCAAGGCCGGCTATCTCGTGCGAAGTGCGTACCTGGAAGGTAGTGACCTGCACATCCAGGCTGATTTCAACGCTACTACTCCTATTGAAGTGGTTGGTGCTCCTTCTGCTGCCAAGAACCTGGTCATCAACGGCAAGAAGACCCAAGCCAAGGTCGATAAAAACGGTATTTGGTCAACGAGCGTGTCATACAACGCGCCAAAGGTCCAAATTCCCAGTCTCAAGAGCCTGAAGTGGAAGTCCATCGACACACTCCCCGAGCTACAGAACTCATATGATGACTCTGCCTGGGTTTCTGCCGATCACGCCTACACCAACAACAGCGCCCACTCGCTCGAGACCCCGACTTCCCTGTTCTCATCCGACTACGGCTTTAACACTGGTACTCTCCTCTTCCGTGGCCACTTCACAGCCAATGGCAAGGAAAAGACTTTCTTCGTGCAGACCAAGGGAGGCACCGCATACAGCCACTCGATCTGGATCAACGAGACCTACATTGGCTCCTGGGCCGGAAATAGCGTCGACGACAACTACAATGCCACATATACACTGCCTACTCTGCAGTCCGGCAAGAACTACGCTATCACTGTGGTCGTCGACAACATGGGTCTGGACGAGGACTGGACCATCGGCTCAGAGGACATGAAGAACCCCCGCGGAATCATCCAGTACTCTCTTTCTGGCCAAGAAGCTAGCGCCATCTCCTGGAAGTTGACCGGCAACCTGGGCGGCGAGAACTACCGCGACACTGTCCGCGGCCCTCTGAACGAGGGTGGCCTCTACGCCGAGCGCCAGGGCTTCCATCAACCCCAGCCACCAACCCAGAAATGGGACTCTAGCAGCCCATTCACTGGCCTGACCAAGCCAGGAATCAGCTTCTACAGTACTAGCTTCGATCTCGATCTGCCCTCCGGCTATGATATCCCGTTGTACTTCAACTTCGGCGATAGTACCTCCACTCCGACTGCGTACCGTGTACAGCTGTACGTGAACGGATACCAGTATGGCAAGTACGTGAACAATATTGGTCCTCAGACAAGCTTCCCTGTTCCTGAGGGTATTTTGAACTACCATGGTACAAACTGGGTTGCATTGAGTCTGTGGGCTCAGGAGGATAGTGGTGCCAAGTTGGATAGCTTCGAGTTGATCAACACTACCCCTGTACTCACGTCGCTGGGTGAGGTCAAGTCTGTGAACCAGCCGAAGTATCAGGCTCGGAAGGGTGCCTATTAGGCTATTTGTGGTTATGAGTGATGAGTTTCCAAAGGTTGAGGTGGTCTTTGAAAAAGGATATGCAGAGTAAATATGAGATCTTTAGCAGATACGCTGTCAATACCATATCTTTCTTTCCTGCCGTTCGTTCAGATAGCTAGTCATTCTCCCATTGAGTATTCTGGTGATCCTTGTGAAATGGGACTACTTGTAGAGCAGTGAACTCAAAAAATGTAAGCCTAGCCACGAATTCTTCATCATTGACAGGCTTACTGAGGCTTTATACAGGGATTTATGAAAAATACCAAAGCATCGACCAGAGCGTTACCGCCTCAGACGCTATCCTTCTGCCCATACTCCTCATCAGTAACAGCCTCATGCCACACAGTCTTTCCGAGCCCAACAACAAAATGAGTCATAATACTACCATCATCAGCCCCATGCCAATGCGTAGTTCCAGCCGAAGCCCAGACAACATCCCCAGTCTTCAGTCTCTGAGGAACACCACCCTTGTCGCAAACCCAGCCATTACCAGCAACGACTTTGATCATTTGGCCTTTTTCATGGGTATGCCAGTGTGTACGGGCGCAGGGCGTGAATGTGACGTTGGCAATTGCTGCTTCGCTGTCAAAGTGGATGGGGTCTAGGAAGACGTCGCCGGTGAAGGTTTCGGTTGGTTTGGCGCATTTTGCGTCTTGTTTGTGGCCATTTTTTATGATAGTTGATTCGGGCATCGCTGTGAATATGGATTTGTGAAAGCTGCTTTAGAAGTTAGACGCTAAATCGGAACGAAGTGTTCTGGTGATGCATGCCTGGGGAAAGCTAAGCTTAACGTATCAAAGAACCAAGTGATGATCTGGTGGGATACTATGCAAAGGAACAGAAGAAATCGTGAACATTCGAGCAGGATAATTTCCTCTTTAGTATTCCCACTTTTGCATCTAAGTGTATCGAGTAACTAGGGGAGGGGCACAAGCAACTGTCAGCATTTTAACTCCACGGCATATCGCTGACAGGAGCCTCGGAGCCCCACCTATAAAGCCGAACCCCCTGAGCAAGAAATTTGAAGGACCTACCAAAATTAGATTCACACGGCTGCGCTAGCTTAAATTCCCCGCTCTTGCAAGTTCGGACGGTTTAAATAGGAAGTTACCGCTCGGGTTCAAGGTCGATTGATGACATGCAAGTCATCAAGTCATCACTCAACCCCGTTCAAGAACGAGTAACCAATTGTCATTAATCCACATTACAGTGGCTAGGCATGTAATTAATTAAGTCTACTAACATTGACCCGTGCCATTGCGAGGTCTCAACCCCATAAAATGTTCAGCTTCGACAAGAGGCTGTCTTTCGTGAGAGGCACGTTCTCCGGGTCGTTTTCTGCCTCGTCCAGAGCCTGGCGGAGTGGGACCATATCTAGAGGGACGATCTTTGTCCGACGAATCAGCTTGTAACCTCCATATGCACAGAGCACGAGTGGAATATCGCTGGAGTCATGGATTAGCCTCTGGGTCGGAGTACAAATTAGAAGGAGTTGGAAGAGCACTTACAGATAGCTCGAGACAAAAGAGGCCGGGTCCCAGTTGCCTTTCGTGAATACGGTAAATCCACCTGTGAGCAGAATGATGGTGCATGAGACTAGAGCGAACCAGCTCGTGTATCCTGGGCAAGGTGAGTAATCGAGGACAAACAAATTGAAGGAGATATATACTGACTTGTGATCCAGTTATGCCATGGCAGAGCATCCGGCGAGATACCCTGCTTCTTCAATGCTTGCAACAAGCGAATATGATTCAGGGCAACACAGATCCAGGACACCAAAGTTCCCGCAGCCGTGAGATCAACAAACCACCAGAAGACGGTCAAAGCGCTGTTCGAAACACACATGTAGGCCAAAAGAGAGAAGGTTATCTGAAGCAGCACACACATATACGGCACTCCCCACTTGGTAGTTCGGAGGAAGATCTTGGGGGCGTGGCCTTTGATCGCAAGACCATAGAGCGTTCTGGTTCCCGCCAAAATACTCTGGTTCGAAGCAGACCAGGCGGAAGTCAGACAGACAGCATTGACAATAGATGGAATGGCTTTAATTCCAGCATCACTGGCAGCGATCACGAAAGGACTCTGCGCCGCAGTGCCTGAATCGTCGCTGAGCCGATCATCGGCGCTCGACACTAGCATGCCGACCACCAGGACTGCTGCTAGATAGAAGATTGTGACACGTGCAAAGACTCGTTTACAAGCTTTGGGGATGTTGTGACGTGGATTTTTTGTTTCCGCAGCGGCCATGGCTAGAGACTCCACACCAGCAAAGGAGTAGACTGCGTTTGTCATGACTGCCCAGAATCCGAGGAATTTCCCCAGACTGCCCGTGGCGATGTATTCAACGAATGGGCCTGGATCTTTCCAATAGTGGAATCCCAATCGAGGCTTGCCTGGTCGATCGATCAATAACAGTCTCACAATGATGGCAGTCATGAAATAACTTACCTGGAATACCACCTAGATCAATGACTAGACCAAGGATCACAACGAAGATGACCAGCAGGATCTTCAGAATGGCAAAGATGAATTCCACCTCGCCATACACACCAATGAATGATATGGCAACGGCCACGGAAATTACAATGAGAATCGTCACCCACACCGCAGCATTGATATCAGTCCAGTACTGAATCAAGACCACAGCGGCGGAAATCTCACTGGGCACACTCAGGAAGCATCCGTAAACGATGTTCCATCCGACCGCAAAGGCCAAAGCCGGGTCGATAAGCACCTCTGCATGACGCACGAATGAACCAGTCACTGGTAGCAAGGCAGAGACCTCTCCGAGAGCAAATTGAATGGCGCAGACAATGGTTCCGACAAACAAATAGCCTAAAAGGGCACCTAGAGGACCACCTGTGGCGATCGAACCGCCGAGGCCGAGAAACAGTCCTGTTCCCTATACATCGCCCCGCGGATGTCAGCAAACTCAAAAGCCCAAGTCTGGTCCATGTCGGATCCAAGGGGTTACATACAATGGCACCGGCGATCGCAATCATTTGAACATGACGCTGCGATAGTCCTCGGATCAGACTCTGTCGCTCCTGCTGGGTCACGATTTGTCCATCATCAGGACTAACAGCCCTGAACGTGGGCACCGACTCTGGGGGTGGATCTTCAACGTCGTGCACGACCTGCTTGCCCCCCATTTTATCGTTACCTCCCTGGGTCTCGAGATACCCGGCCATTTTGAACTTGCCCGAAAAGCACAAATCAAGGGCGGAAAAAGAAGAAAGACTGAAGAAAATGGGATATCCGAGCCTCGAAAGCCTTTCTACGCTAGCGTTATAAGAGATGGTAGCTAATCACACCATCTAAGTGGCTGATGAGGGATCGCTAAATTTTGCTTATCTCTTTGCAGAACCGAGGCTTTCGTAAAGGGGAAAAGGTATCCAACTTCTTGTACTGTTGTCCATGGTACAATCGAGCGGACATCTGGTACCATCTCCGTACCGTACGCTCGGCGAGCTCCGCGACCCAGTATACGCCCCGAAAGCTAAATTCGTGGTGGATATGGGTGATCAGAGCTCTTGCTTATACAGGAGAAACTATCGGAAATACTAAAACGTACGCGCATCTCTACGGCTAGCAGGGTTTCTGGTACGAATCCCATGTATTGAACCTTCCTGCGACCGAATGGCGATTTCACGTTGATGGTACAGGTGTCTTAATGCACCCACGAAAGGACCCCACAAGCCCACGCAAACATGTAACCATGTAACCATTTAAGGTTAGCGAAGGCACTAAATGGACCAAGATAGCAGTTGTAGCCGTGGAAATTCGTCGACGGATTGTAGTTATTGCACTGTACGGAGTACTATAGTCAGGTGAAAATTTGCAAATCCTAATAAGGCTTCTACGTTTTCGATATCTGACGGCCTAACCTGGCCTTGCGACCCGCTTGCTATCGTCTTTGTCTCTAAGAGTACTCTCAAGCAGGCCTATGGTTCTAGCTCCAATATAATAATCACTCACCCATCAACTCTTCGTCAGAAGTTTCATACCAAATCTCGGAAATTAGTTCATCTCCCTTTAATCCATCCACCACCGAGTCTTTAAATTCCTCAATCCAATTCTCCCAGATAGCAACACAGCCCATCCACCCACAATCTTTCTCCCAAAAGACACGGGTTCTTCCCTCATGATAGAATTCCGCAAGGATGCGTGTGTCGGCTTCAGAAAAGTCGAAAAGACTAATATGCTCGAACCGTCCCGGGTCCACCTTTTCAATCTCCATACATTCTTTGTCAAGGATCAATACCCCATCTGCCCAGAATTGGAATCGCCCTAAATCCATGAGCGTGTACAGGTCTTTGTATTTGAGCGTTCTTATTTTCAGCTGCCGTGATTTAGAATCAAGGAGATTCAGACTCCATAGTTGGTAGGCCGCCCGAATAAATCGTAGACGCTCACTTTCAGTCAAGTACGGAGGACGTATTGGATTGCCGCCAAAGAATCGCTTGTCACCAGGGTTGTCTGTTGAGTTGTTAGAATTGTTAGAATCATGCAAATTTCAGGTTTAGGCGAAGCATACGAATACGACGTGGATGGGTCATCTTTATAACGACCGTCTCATTAAAGTGTTCCACCGATTTCTCCATCACGATAGAGTTTCGGGTCATTTGCAAGAAATCTTGAACTGTCGGAGTCTCATTTGGTAGTGAACCACCTTGATCTGCCAGGAGCTTTCGCGCATAGCGTCTACAAGGGACTGCCCTTGGACTCACACGATGGTAGATGGTGATAATATTTTTATGGAATATCTGTCGGTGCTTTTGGCAGGTCGCAGCAAGATGTAGTATATCGGGAAATGTGGATAGCGAGCAGAAAACACCGAGGATTACTTCAGGAGGAAACGAAGATAGCTCAACGCGATCACGGATAATGGTCAAATAGTGGTCATAAAATAACGGCCTGAAAGAAGTAGATGGTCTGAGATTTAAGATCAATGGCAAATTTCAGATATTCTAGGTGGGATATTTGTTCTTGTGGAAAGTCTTGGAGAATCTTAAGAGACACAGGAACTCGTTGCATCCAAGGGACGCCATGAAGTTAGCCCCGCCCCCCACTAATGGCTCTCTTTCGTAAACTGGGCCTCTGGATTAGATAAGTCGTTTCGGAAGTAGTTACTGTACAGTATTTATTATATTGAAGTACGGTAAAATAAGAATCCGACTTTAAGGACCTCGGATGATGTCATGTGATTGGCACCCCCACAACCTTACGAGGACAGCACGACTCCAGATGATTACGATCGTGGATGATATCATCTAGCCGGTTTTGGTCAGGTCTATCCTATATAAAAGCACCTTCAACACTTCAATTATTCTCTTCAATCCCATGCACATATCTTCCCCACCATGGCTCGCATATTCATCACCGGTTCAAGCGACGGCATTGGCCAAGCTGTCGCCAAAATCCTTGCAGAGCAAGGCCATTCGGTTGTTCTTCACGCCCGAAACGCCAAACGTGCCGCTTCAACTCAGAAGGCAGTCCCTAAAGCAGAAGCCGTTCTAGTGGGCGACCTACGATCAATCTCCGAGACAAAGAAACTCGCTCAAGAAGCCAACGCCTTGGGAAACGGAATATTCGATGCAATCATTCATAACGCAGGCATTGGATACGGTACCACCTCCAGTCGCGAGATTACCGCAGACAAAATCTCAGCTGTCTTCGCTGTCAACACGTTAGCGCCGTACATCTTGACCTGCCAAATGAAAAGGCCAACATCGCGGCTGCTCTATATGAGCTCAGACAGCCACTACGGTGGAGATGAGAGTTTACGAAATATGACACAATCTCATTCGTACAGTGACAGCAAACTACACGATGTGATGCTTGCTAATGCCTTTGCTCGCCGATGGGGGAAAGATATTCAAGTCGTGAGCATGCATCCTGGTTGGGTCAGGACCAAGATGGGTGGCAGTATGGCCCCTGGGGGTTTGGATGAACCTGCTCAAGCACTGGCAGAATGGGCGATCGGAAAGGGTAAATTGGCCAGCTTGCCTAGTGGAACGTTCTTTACGACGCGCGGGGCCAAGTCAGCGCATCCTGGAGCGGGTAATGTGAACAAGCAGGAGGAATTATTGAATTCTTGCAAGGAAGTCTCTGGGGTAGCTGTTCCAGGTGAGTAAGATGTATATAAGCTAGTATATTGTAAGGGAAGATAGTAAAGAAAGAATAGTTATTATAAGTTCTGTTAAGCTCCATTCATCTGATATTGCAAGCGTCACTCTTCGTAGTACCATTGTCGAAGAGCTTACCGACTTAGAGCTACTGTAGCGACCGGGTTTATATCATTATTCTCAACAGAGGTTACCGCGATGAGCTACGCAGTTAGAAATACATGTAGAAAGAGATGTACACGCACACACACACAGAGAGAGAGATGACATAGAAGTTCAAGAGTATTCGAAAGCAGACTGAATTACCTATTTCGGGTATGTTAATGCCTAGTTTATTTCCAGGCCAGGCGGTATAAAATGCCACTTGCCCAAGGATAGTCACTATCGGCCGCGTACTTGAAGGGTACCTGGCGCCCCAAAAAAGGCATAGAACGAATCGCCGCCCCCGTTTCGAGCCATAACTTTCTATGCCCACACAACACCTTTCACCTCCCAAAATTTTCACAGTTTCGTATTATCTACAAAAATGACATCCCCGAGACCATGGTTCGACTGTGGAGCTACTCGTGGTCACTACGAGCGCGGCAGCATTATTATCGCCGATGATGGAACCCGATGGGAAATCCTCGAACGCCTAAGCAGGACGAATTCCAGAGAGGAGCAGACATCCAGCGTATCCAGCGTACCTAGCTATGCCACCCTAAAGCTGCGCTGCGTAAAGTCCAGCATCAATCTGACTCCGAGTGAGAAAGGGAGAACCAAAGCATTTGTGCGTTTATCTGCAGATTCTCCATGCTGGGACGGAGTTTGATGATCCTAATACTCGCGCTGCGCAAGCCGTTCCAATCTTTCAGCCCAATGATCTCAGCGCATATAGAACTCTTGGCGGGCATCCAACGACTTCGAAATTTACACCGAAGCTGCTGGGATCTAAGGTGTCGGTACAAGAGCCCTTAGGCATCATTCCTGGCGGGTTTCTTACGTTTATTGTATGGGAAAGGGTTCTAGGGCTTCCTCTGGGCGATGGAACCGGAAACGCAACTGGATATTGGAATTTGCCGCCGCACGAGCGTGCTAAAATCCGAGAACTCTTTGAAAGTCATCTTAACTTATTGGATTGTTAATATTGATTAATTTTGTTGATCAATCTAGGGATATATCCTTTACTGTTGGTATCTGGCCAAGGTCTATCTCTGCCCACCACTTAGTCTGGAATTCCATGACCGAGAAATTGTGAGTTTACCACGACGAAGAACCCCCTGTTATTGGTGATCATAAATCATCTAATCCGCTGCTTGTGGATTCTGGGTTGGATTTCGTGAATTCACTTGGAAGAAGGACATGCCCTGGACTGAGGCTTGGCTGCCTGCATGGGACCTCGTTAAAACTCCGCCGCAGAATTGGTGGGCGCGATTTGACTGGGATGGGAATATTACGTGTTGGACATACTAGATATTATCCTTGTATTTCACTAACTGGTCTAGCTTTCGCTGAAACTTGCTACTTACTACTTGCTACCACCGAGAAATTAAGTGGATAAAATCATTCATTATTAAGTCTAGACTGATCACGGACTCAAACTTCCCTTGTAGTTTCTTCAATTTGCTTCACATCAGCATCTCCCAGCCGAAGCTCCTGTCCTTCTCTCTTCTTCCCATCACGCACAGTCATCAAAATGATACCCGTTGTCCAAAGCGCCAGCGCAATCGAGCATCCAATCATCGCCCACATACCCTTAGTAAATCGAGGCGCCATGTTAGCCGAGTAGAACAGCAGGATCCACCAAGCATTAACCGCATTACTGCCCATATTCATACTGGCAATGACCACGGACCGGAACCGGTCATCTTGATAGCGCATAGCATCATTGCACCATGCAAAGAAGGTTGCCTGACAGGCATATACAGCTCCAGCCCAGTAATATGCGGCAAAGACGACTGCAGTGTCTTCAAATCGAGTCAATATCATAGAGGAAGTCACGATTCCCGTGATGGCAATAAAGTAGCCCACTAGATATCGCTTGCCGCCCATGAAATCGGTCAAAGTGGCCCAAAATAGCGTGGAGACTATTCCGACCGCTGGCACGCCCGTTGGGTAATCGTTTAGCTGGGAGATAGTGTACTTGTGAGTCGGGGATGATTTCATGTAGAGTGCCAATAAGGCATTGCTAGAGAATGACTCTGTCTCTCCCGCGATGATCCATAATCCGACGAAGCCATACCAGTGCCAGGAGGTGAGGATGCGCTTTGCGAATGTCAGATTCAGCGGGACTTTGACACAGCCGGACTCTGGGATGCGCGCAATAGCCATGGCCTTCTCTTCGGAAGTTAAGTAGGGGGCTTTGGTAGTCGTTGGAGTGTCGGGGAATAGCAGGAAACCGTAGATGGCAATGGGTATGGTGATTAGGCCGTCAATCTACCTTGTTAGCTAGAGTTATCTACCATAGGTACAGAAACTCACAATAAACAGCCACCGCCAGCCGGCGAGTCCGTGAGCGCCATTCAGGGATTTCTGAATGCCAGTCTGGATGAAACCGCCGAACATTGTTCCGGCCAGACCTGATGCAGTGAAAATTCCGCTGCGCTTCCCCAGCTCCTTCTCTGTATACCAGGAGCCAAGAATATAATGCGTTCCGACGAAGGTGCTTGACTCGGCTAATCCCAAGAAGAAGCGGATGGCCATGATACCTTGAGGATTGTGCACAGCGGCCGTGAGCATGGTCAGACTGCCCCAGATCAACATCATAGCGGGAAAAAAGATATGCGGCCGTAGATAGGTCAGCGCCAGATTAGATGGAATTTGTCCAACAATGTATCTAATCATGGGTTAGCTGGATCAGGTGTGATTTTGTGTAGCCTCGGTTCTCGTTCGCTTACCCAACAGTGAAGACAGTGTTGATCACATTGAGCTGGTTCCCTTTGAAGTTGAGCTCCTCCTTCATCCCAGAGACATATGCATTGTTGAGGTTACTGCGGTCCAAATAGTTGGCGAAATAGCAGAGACAACAGAACGATAGGATGAATGCATCAATTTTTCGGAGGAGCTTGCCCTCGCCAGGCACAGTCTCCTGGCCCCTGACATAGGATTTCACTCGAGCGAAGAAGCCCATGCCGGTCAATCACCGTGTCTGTTATTCACAGTGTGGGACACGGCTCTAGTGGGCCAAAAGGGTGGAAAGTCGAGACTTTATATACACATTCATCCGGTGTTATCGGTGTAAGACAAAAAAAGTTTATCTTTGGCTCGAAGGCTAACCGCTCCGTTGGGCGGTTACCTAATCAGCATCTCGCTTTGATATGCCAAATGCGAGCAAACTCCACCTCCTCCTGGCTATAATAAATAGTGAACAGCTGATGCATTATCTTGATCAATACTGATTTCCCAGGTCTAATCCGAGGCTAATTGCAAAGATTAGTGCAGTGAAGTGCGGGGAAGTCTCCACCATCGGGTTTTGCGCCGAGTGCCAAGCGCAACGGCAGTAGATTACCTGCCTTTCTAGGAAACCTATCAAGTCGGAGCTCAGATATCTAACATCCTGCTATAGGTCTAGTCAGCCGATACGATGATCATCTGTCTGACTAGTTGATAAGCATCACAATGGAGGAAATAGTGACCAGACAGGGTGTGGGCAACCCGGCACATTATCCGGGTCAGAAGCCACTCCTTAGCGATGATAAATGCGACCAATGTGCCGGGATCTGTCTCCTCGTGTCTTCAATTTAACCTTTCTGATAAACAAGTAAACAGAAATTTGAATAGGCCGACATGACTTGGGAGACTATCGCTGCTCAGAAACGCCATGCCCTCAGGGCCTCGATTCCCGCGGAGTGGGTGATTCCTTCAGACATTCTTCCCCCCGATAGCCAATTGGATGTGACGAGCTTTCTTAAACAGTCTGGCTGGTTTACCAAGCAAGAACTGGAGATTACCTCAACACCGGCAACCCAACTTCTCGTCAATATAGCGACTGGCTCGTGGACTTCGGAGGAGGTTACCCGGACATTCTGCAAAGCTGCTGCTGCCGCTCACCAATTGGTAACAATCTCCTATACTTAGACCGCGAGAAGACGGAGTATGCATTTGATCGATAACTGGCTCGAGTGACAGACCAACTGCCTGTCGGAAATTCTATTCGACAAAGCCATCGCTCGCGCGCGCGAATTGGACGAGTACCACAGAAAAACCGGCAGGACCAAAGGCCCCTTCCACGGTCTCCCAATTTCAATCAAGGATAACTTCAATATTATCGGCCATGATTCCACCGTTGGGTTTACCTCGCTGGTCAATGATCCAGCTACGTATAACAGCACCTTGATCGACTTGCTGCTTGACGCCGGTGCCGTGCTCTACGTGAAGACCAATGTCCCCACTGCGATGATGATCGCCGAGTCTGTCAATAATCTTTTTGGTCGTACGGTCAACCCGCGCAACCGTAATCTGACTTCTGGCGGCTCTTCTGGGGGTGAATCTGCTTTGATTGCCTTCGGAGCCAGTCGACTGGGAGTGGGAACTGACATTGGTATACATGCTCATGCCTTTCTGTGATTAAGCATTCACGATCTAACGAATCCGTCTAGGAGGTTCATTGCGCATCCCCGCTGCATGCACGGGTATATTCACAATCCGACCATCCGCTGGGCGATTCCCCAATTTCCAGACTCGCTCTGGCCTCGCCGGCCAAGAAGCTGTAAACAGTGTGAACGGACCCTTGGCCTCTACTTTGTCCGAGGTCATTCTCTGGGCCAAAACGGTCGTGGGCCAGCAGCCTTGGATCCGAGATCCAAAGTGCCTCCCCATTCCTTGGAGGAACGTGACGCTTAAACGCACGCTCAAGATTGCCGTGCTCTGGGATGATGGTATAGTCAGCCCGACACCGCCAGTCGCCCGTGCCCTAAAGGAAACGGTTGACAAGCTGCGGAAGGCCGGCCACGAGATAATCGACTGGGAGCCAACCTGGCACCAGAACCTGCTGTCTATATTGTCGCGCATGTTCATTGCAGATGGCGGCAAATCTGTTGCCAATCTTCTTGAGCCAACGGGAGAACCTTTCCGTCCCGAGATGAAAGCTTACTCCGAGGCGGCGGAGCTGGGTGTTCACGCCATGTGGCAACTGCAGCTAGAACGGAATGGAGTGTGCAAGTCATATCTTGACCAGTGGAATGACACTGGTATTGACGCTATACTTTGTACGTATACCTCCCATCTTTTGATCGTTGGGTCCAACTAATCCGTGGTTAGGTCCTACAACACCCTATAGCGGCGTTGAAAACGGCAAATTCGCCTATATTGGATATACAGGCGTTTTCAATGTCTTGGACTACCCAGCTGTCTCGTTCCCCTGCGGTGTGTATGCCGACAAGACCGTCGACGAGACCTATGCCGGCAACGAGCCACTGAGTGAAGTGGATGCCCAGATACGGAATGACTGTGAGTGATCATTGCATTCTTTGCGGCTATGGAAAGCTCACTGATTGAACAGATAATGCGAACAATATCCATGGGATGCCAGTTAGTTTGCAGCTAGTTGGCCGACGGCTAGAGGAGGAGAGCGCTTTGATGATGGCAGAAGTGGTTCTACAAACACTGGAAGAATAAGTATTCGGGCTGCACCATCACATGTCCATGAATCGGAGGTAGATATGCAAACCAAGCATACCATACACGTGTTATAATACAATGCATACCTTGGCCACATAGCAGTGGATTACACCCAATTCAGGTTGGCGTCCACCATGTAACCCGATTGATATCACGCATAACCGTCTGTCGGTTGAGTGCAGCCATGTAGGATACCGCATATATGAATTGTTTAGACTACTGGAGAAGAATGGCATAGGGTGCTCTTGGCAAATAGTGCTAGACACCGTAAAGATTCATTTGCTATCAAGCTCTTGCTTCTGATATCTGTACCACTCGAGGGTAAATCCAAGCTGCTCCGGCTTTTCCGAAGAAAGCATGTGAAGAAGACCACGCTTCTTCAGGTCCTCACAAAAAGCTTTTTTCGAAAGGAATTCATCTGCTGAGCAACTCGTGTCACGGTCATCAGTATCTCCCCCACTGGTTAATGCTTGGATGGCTGCCTCGTTAACAGATGTTGTTTCGTTGTCAGTGTTGCTCGCGGTATCTCTCTCGGGGACAACCGTCTTCATCTCAGTAGCCAATTCGGCAACTGTTGCATACTTGTTGTGCCAGCATTTGCTGATAATGTTGTCAATCATCGAATCACCATCCAAGTTCGGAAACTGTTTGTTCTGTAGCAAGTCGACAACCTTGGGTCCGTGATCACGAGGATTGTCACCGAGAGATTGGTTTCCATAAACTTCAAAGCCGTAGTTGATGAGGTAGAATATGGAACCAAGGGCAAATTGTTCAGTTCGAGGTCCGAGACAGCCGGAAGATCCTGGGGGTCCTTGGTCTGCCTCATCGGCGTTGAGTATTCTTCCATAAGGGGCCGTGCAGGTTTCGAAATCCGTCCCGAGTTCTGCTGTGTTATCAAAGTCCGATAGTTTCAATCGATCACGATCAAGTAAAATGTTTTCGGGCCGAAGGTCACCGTGAGCGAGGTTGAGCGATTCAAGGAAAGCGACGGCTTGAGCGAGGTTGTTCATCCACTCCTTTCGGAGTATGAGAGGTTCCAGTTTCTCCACCTTGGTGACTATGAATGTCTCTTGGTTGCGAGTATGATTGCATTGGATTCGGTAACTGAGGGAAACATCTAATGTTGTTGTCAGTTAATATCACTGTCACAACTGGATAAGGGTCGCACCTCGCATGTATTCAAGGAAAATACCGTTATCGGTATAATAGAAACACTGGACGATGAAAGGACAGGGTGGCTGCTGCGAAAGAATTTCGTAGACCTTGAGTTCTTTCTTAAATTGGTCTCTTTCCTCCTCGCCCGATTCCGGCACCTTGACCACGATGGAAGGATGGACCTCATACACAAAGGAGATGCCTCCTCCCCAAATCCAGTGCACGCCTGGAAACTTCTGCTGAATAGTTGTCATATTGAAGAGGATCTGCAGAATGGTCTGTTGCTAAAAGTACGAGGGAGGTGAAATAAGAGACGAAGGGAAGGTAGGAGGGGAGGAGAGGAGATGAGGCTGGTTAGCGAGATAGTGAAGTCAACCAAAACATGTGAGGGAGGTGAGGAAAGAGAAGAGAAGAAAGGATGGTGGATGGATGGTGGCGTGGAAATGGGGGAAGCGGAGGCTGGTCATCGAGATGGTGGGAGTAAACAATAGAAACAATGGAAACAGAGGAACGATGGAAACAATGAAAACCCACCCTCGATGCTTGGTGGTTAAGGCCTTTGCCACACTCCTATTTTGACCCTTTTGAAGCCCTGTCCCACTTTCCATTCTTTTGCACCCATACACCGTTGGCGGTACAATCAGGGCAGGGGTTTCTCTTGATCGTCTTGGCCAGATGTGCGATATTCTTGATGATACCGCATTTTTTGCACCCATTCCACTCCGTGATAATGCCGAGTGAATCGATTCTGCATCCGCATCGATGCTCAATCGTTGTAATCGCCTGCTGACACATGTTTGTCTGGACATAAGGTTGTTCGAGTCAGTTTCAGCGGTTTTTGCCCAGGCGCAGTACTCACATGCTGTCTTGTTTTGTGGAAGGTGGAGAGATTCTGGAGGTTGAATTCTCAGGATAGGTGGGTGATGAGAATGAAGTTGTGAGAGTGAGGTGTGAGGAAGAGTGTTGACATTCGAATTTCCTTCAGATCCAAACAGGCAAGTACACATCTCTCGAGTATAGAGTCGATCCTCTCCGGGCAGGCCCCACCCGCGATCGCACCTGCCAAAGATAGCGGCTCCACCTCCGCCGATCCCCAGCCACCCGCTTAAGAGTGACCTACCAGCCCTCCAGATTTACTCTTTTTCTCCCGTCTCATTCCTTCGATCGCACAAACCAATCTTCCAGTCTTGAATCCATCCCAGTTCTAGAGAACTCTTCCTCTCAAACAACCTCGCAGCCTCTCACAACTCCAGCGCGACTTCTCCCGCGCTCATCTCCGAGCTGAACTGCCTCACCAACAACCACCAACAGCCAAACATCATCCCGCATTCCCATCACCACGATGGATCCTCTCCCTCTACCACGAGAAGTCGACCTGAACACGACGCCAATCACCGCCCCGGACCCTCTCACCTTCGAACCCCAAAACATCCTGCACGTCCACCTCGAAAAGCGCTACACCACCGTCTCCATCCCCTCCACCTACGGCCACCTCAACTCCGGCCCCCCACCAGGCACAGTCGCCGGCATCGTCCTCGGCAGCGTCGGTGGGGTCGTCCTAATCCTCTACCTAACCTTCCTCGCCCTCAACCCAGGCGGTCTCGCCCGGGGCAGTTCCTCCTCCATCGACGAGGAAGTCGTCGTGCGCAGTCGGCGCTCGCCCTCGCGCCGGAGCGAGATCATCGAGGTCGTCGAGGAGCGTGAGCGGGACCGCGATCGTCGTCGCGATAGTTATCGGCGGCCCGTGTCGGGGTCGCGGCGGAGTCGTATTGTGGTTGAGGAGTCGACGACGGGGACCTCGGTTACTGATGATTCCGGTGTGGTCGAGGTGATTGAGGAGGAGGAGTCTTCGGCTATGTCTTCGATCTCGCCGGCGCCGAGGAGGGGTGGGAGTGGGGGTCGGGGGTATCGAACGGTTGATCCGTTGGAATATGGGGGTGGGAGCTCGTATGATGGTGATAGTCATTATCGTTGATGAGTTCTTCGGCGCTTTTGAAGAGCTTTGGGGCACGGAGGTTCGATTGTTTTTGCATTGGGATACCCTTTTTCAATCTACGTTTAATGTCTTATGATTATGTTCTCGATGTGTCATGTTTTCTCATAGCCTCTTTGATCAATCTCATGGTTACATATCTCGTCTAACAACCAATGACTCGGATATTGTGAACGACCATAGACTTTTCCAAGAAAGAGTCAAGCGTAGTGTATTATAAGAATTGATTAGTGGGAGAGAAAAGTCAACAAGAGAAAGAAGGAATGACAAGTGTCACAGCCCCAAGGACCCAGTCTTCGACGCCGTGTCCAGTTTTAGCGCCGGTGATAACAGATAGAAAACCGGGAAATATATACGAGTGAAGACCAAAAAAAGGAACCACCCAAACCATTAAACGCAGGCAACAGAGAAACCAAAAAGGACGAAAAAGTCAAGACTGGAACGAGCTCTCAAGCTCCAGGACCAACTCTGGGAAAACGCCAACCAACAAAGCAGCACCTCACACTCGGAGCACATATCCCCAATTCTTGCACTCGACTCAAGAAACTCCAATGTAACACGGCACCTACCTCCGAAGGGCCACATGCACACAGAAAGCCGTCCAAACCTTCCGAGCGCCTCACAAGCCTGCCCGCAATGCCCGCAAGGCACAGCATAGTTCCTGTGATAACCTTATTTTCAGCCCGAAATTAGAAGAGAATATCCAAGCAGCAGCAGCACGCAAGCGCCGCCATAATACCAGCGCAGATACCGCCAGCATTGGAGCCACCGCCATGGCCGCGGTCACCAGCATAGTACCCCTGCTGCTGAGGCGGGTAGCCCTGCTGCTGAGGCGGGTATCCCTGCTGAGGCGGGTATCCCTGCTGCGGCGGGTAGTACATCTGGCCCTGGGGTTGCTGCTGGTAGTAACCCTGTTGTTGAGGGGGTCCGTAGCCCTGTTGCGGGGGATAGTAGCCCTGGCCACCTTGCTGGCCGCCACCCCCGTAGTAATCCTGAGAGGCACCGGCGCCTTGGGGTGGTGGGGAGCTGTAGCCGCCGTTGTCGTGGACTGGGGCTGGGTAGGAAGGGGGTGGGCTGGTCTGGAGGGGAGTGTTAGTGATGATGATGCTTTCCAAGGGTGGGAGGAAGGGATTGTTGGGTATGCGTTGGGATTGGGGATACGAGGGTGTACGGACAGGCTTGTTGTAAGACATTTAGGCACTTGCTAAATGCGGAGCCGCTAGAGAGTAGTTCGAGACGGGAGAGGCGGAGGGAGCGGGATGAGTCGTCGTTGGAGACGGTTGATGGGAGATTGAGTGTATAGTATATTGGGAGGTGGAGAAAGGAAGAGAAGATGGTTGTGCACAGGCAGAAGAAATTGCGCGGTGACAATCCGAGTAGCCAAGGGCTTGGAAGTGGACGGGCTTTTTGTCGAGAACGCGCGGATTGCCCGTTGCAGAAAGTGGACCGTGGCGCAGTTCCGGGGATCGGGCGGTTCGGCATCGGATGACTCAGCCAGCGGGCTGTGCTGGCCAGGCAGGAGTATACCTAAACAATTGAGATTGAATTATATCAATACTATAGGGATCCAACATGGATCGCAAGTATCAATTGATGGGTAACCAGATTGAAGAACGACTGGGCTTGTGTCATAATTATTTGTAGAGCAAAGAGAACACAAATCCCATGGCTTGAGATGGGAAAATCTCATTTCCTGACTTTTGATGATAGAGTAAAAAAACCAAGAGGACGCTGTCCATGGATGTAAACGCAAATTATAATGCACATCGAAGCAAAGTAACCCAAAGGGATCAAAAGAGCCAAAGGGATGAAAAGAGTAAAGTAAAGAAAATGCAAGACCGCGACACGAGTCTGCGGTACATGTATGTAGGGAAATGCAAAAAGACCAATTCTTCTAGCAATTCCTACGAAGGATCCCTTATTCCTTGTCCTCAAGGGAAGCCTTCTTCAGCTCCTCCGCCGCATCAGCAGCAGCGTCCTTCTCCTGAGCCAGCTCGGCCTCGGCAGTGGGGAGACCGTTCGCCTGAGCGGGCTTCTTTGCAGCGTCGGTGCTGCGGCCGTTGGTCTCGGTGGCGGTAGCCTCTTCCTCCTCGAGGCGGGCAATCTCCTCCTTGGCCTTTTGGATGTTCTGTGCGTAGATTGGTTAGTGGGGGAGGATCACTTGATATCGTATGCAGAGAGGGGAAACTCACCTCCTCAGTCTTGCTCGCCTGGTTCTTCTTCCACTCAGTAATCTTGGCGGCCAACTTCTCAACAGCGGCAGGGACATCGGACTGGTTCATGGGAGGGTCGATCTTGACCTTGGCAAAGTCCTCAATGATACCGACATTCATGTTGAACTTGCTTGCCTCGGCGCCCGCGGCACCACCCTTCTTGCCCTTCTTGCCCTTCTTACCGGCAGAGCCGACGAAGTAATCCTCAACATCGTCCTTGCGAACCACCTTCATGCCCTTGAGACCGGAGTCATCAACGGTACGGCCAACGTTGGCACGGAAGTTGCTGCCCTCATCCTTCTTGTCGTCAAGACCAAGAGCGGAGAAGTCATAGGCGGGGTCGAAGTGGCGGATGAGACCCTGGGCAGTAAGAATCTCGTCGGTGTAGGCGAGCTGAGAAGCCTCCTCGAGCTTCTTGTCGGCGACCTTCTTGCGCTTCTCGCGCTCAAAGGCATCGCGCTCAGCCTTTTGGCGCTCACGGCGAACGCGCCAGGCCTCGTCCTCGTACTCCTTGTAGGCACGGCGAGCCTTGAAGTAGTTGTCCTTGATCTCGCGGATAGCGGCGTACTTCTGCTGCTGGTCGTTGCGCAGCTTGGTGCGCTCGTCACGCAGGGAGTTCAGGTTCTTGTAAACACCGTCCTGCTCGGCCTTGATCGCATCCAGCTCCTTTTGGATCTCGGAGTACTTGTCGCTCAGGGCCTTGGCCTCGGGGTTATCCAGGGTCTTCTTGAGTTCCGCAATTTGGGCCTTGATATCATTGATGCCCTTCTGGGCCTCTTCGAGACCAGCGAAACCCTTGCGCTGCTTGCGGTAGTTGGAAATGTCCGAGAGAGCCTTGCGCTCATCGACCAATCGCAGGGTACCGGAATCGACCTGCTTCTCGAGGCGGGCGATCTCCCGGTCGATCTCCTCCACGTTCTTGAAAGGCATCTTGCCGCGCGAGTTGTTCTGCTCCGCAATGCGGGCCTTGAGGGTGGACTCGAGGGCATTGATCTTCTCGAGGGTGCTGGAGCGGGAGGACTTGAAGCCCGACTGCTTCTGGCGGATCGAAGAGAGTTCGGCGCGAAGTTCCTGTTGCTTCTTGGCCACGGGAGAGTCCTGGTTGTTGGGCTTGGCGTTGTCCAACTTGGCCTTAATTTGGTTCTGGATTTTTGCGCGCGTTAGCGACTAGGCTCGGGAAGGGCAGTGTGACATGTGGGCACACGAGTGAGATATGACCCCCCGCCATTGGAATTCCTCAACGGAGAACGCAACACTCCATCAATTCCTAATTGAGGGCACCAAGAAGACAGAAAGTCCAATTCAAGAGTAAATTCAAACATACCAATTTCTCCTGAGCAGCAGTGTGCTCCTTCTCGGCCTGGGCCAGGCTGGCCTTGTAGGCCTCCTCATCAGGCTTGGTGGGCTTAACCCGGGGCTCCGCAGGGGCAGGAGCAGCCATTGTGAGAATGGGGACAGAGGGAGTTGAGAGGAAAAGAGAATTGAAGAGTTTCCTCGGATGAAAAGGAATGGAAAGAGGAAAAGAGGAAAGAGAGTTGCCCACGAGGGGAAAGGGGAAACGGTTTGGAATAATTAAAACGGGCCTCCGGTTCGGTCAGTTTCTCCGCTTTACTAAACTGCCTCGCCTGGCAGAAAGTTCCCGCCGATTTTTCGATCCTGCACCTTATCTTTCACGACACCTTCCTGCGCGCCAACTTTTTTGTGCCGCGTTGCGCCTGCGCTTTTCCTCGGCTCCCTTTCACAGCTCCATACGTTAGTCGAATAATACAGCGACCATGGATGGGGATATTCCCGTCACGAGTACCGATGCCAGCCGGGAGATGAGCCGGCTTTGGCGCACCTGGAAGACCGTCCATGAAATGCTTGCAGACCGAGTACGCTCCCCTTTTCTTCTCACTCGGACCTTGGCTATCACTCAAGGTCCTTCACTTCTATATACGCATGAGCCTGAAACTGACCATGGTCTGCGCTCGGAAACAGGGCTACGAGGTGTCAGAAGAAGAGCTGAAGGTCTCTCTCGAAGAGTTCGCGCGGAAATATGCAGACCCTATGGGATACCCCGAGTATGCAACCCCTCCTCGAAGTTGCTTCTGTCCTACAAAGACGTGGAATAGCGATATCGATATCCTCTCCGTCAAGTCCTGAGACTCAATGCCCACTAACACGTCATTTCCTCCATCGCAGCCGGAAAAAGATGACAATCCAAGCACGCCCCACCGAGGAGATGAAGATGAAATACACTGCGCTGCCGAGCAAATCCAACCCGAACCCCCAGCCCGACTGCGGCACTATCTACGTCGAGTTCTGCCCCGAAGCCTCAGGACTCGGTGCCAAGCAAGTGCGCAGTTTCAACCACGCCGTTGCCGAGAACAACTTCCACACCGGCGTCTTCATCACTCAGGTTCCGCTATCGCCCACTGCCGTGCGCATGCTCAACATCAACCCCGGCCGCATCGGCGAGACCTTCCAGGAACAGGATCTGCTCGTCAACATCACCCGCCATGAGCTGGTCCCCAAGCACGTCCTGCTCAGCCCGGAGGAGAAGGCCAAGCTGTTGCAGCGCTACCGTCTGAAGGAGTCGCAGCTGCCCCGTATGCAAGTCTCGGATCCTGTCGCGCGGTACTTGGGTCTGCGCCGTGGTCAGGTTGTGAAAATTATTCGCAAGAGCGAGACTGCCGGTCGCTATGCTAGCTACCGGTGGGTGATCTAAAGTGGATATCTCCCCGACGAGCTCGATCCCGGCTTTTTCTATTTGTTCTTTGATCTCTCCTCCTTTCTCTGGGAAGGATATAAAACCCAATTGCTGGGTTTGAAGAGGAGGCGAGAACCCATACCCCAACACGCATCAAGTCCTCTCCAATCCGGCTTCTTTCTGCTGCTACCACATCCATCCCGTCGCTCCGCTCTATCCCTTTTCCTCAAGCTTTGAATGCCTCCAAAAAAGAAAGGGAAATCGACGGCTGCGCCAGACGATACCAGACGGGTGTTGGACACGGAGTTTTATTTGCACCACACACAAACACAAAAAAAGTTAGTCCCCTTATATTACGGGCAGCATGGCGTACCGGCGAAGTTTCTCCTTCATCCACGGGGGGCGGGGGCTGAATTGATATTTCGATTTGTGATTTGTGCTTTCTACATAGTAATGTCCACTGTGCCATTTTGCTTCAGGCTAGATGAATACACTGGATGTCTACACAGGATATACGAGTAAAGTATGATTCATATCTTCATGTTATAGATGATATACACAACCAGAAAACAATTCCATATGGGGTTTTGTTTTACATAGCCTCTCCTCGCCAGTCTCCCTCCAGGAGCGAGAGCCAAAAAAAAAAGACAAAACCACCAACGCCAACGCTAATTCCGCCGTCACTAAGACTGGCGAACACAAATGCTTCAAGAACCAATAAACAAGGTTGGGGGGGTATGAACATGAACATGAACATGAATATGAACAAGAGGTATAAGAAGACCGTAATCCAGAGTCAAAGTCACAAGAAAGAGAAACAAGAAACAAGAAAAAAATCCAACTCCACCTGTCCCAATTCCATTCCAACATAAATTCAAAAGAAAGAGAATTACATCGAATCAAATCATATCACATGTTAATATTAGGGTCGGTGAGATTGTCGCGAAAGCAGGCCTCCTACGTCTTGGAGTTCGACGTCTACGTCGAGGGAGACGTCGGGGGAGGCTCGGTAGGGTGGGAGGAGGTGAGAGAGTTGTCCCGCTGTAGGGGATGTGTTTATGGAAGGTGGTGAGGAGAAGCGTGGTTGGGGTTGTGGTTGATGTTGGGGCGGAGCGGATGCAGTGATGCGAGGGGCGAGGACGCCGAGATCTTCGAGAAAGGCTCTGCTGCCGCGGCGTTGACGTTGAAGTTCGATAGGTGGAGAAGTAATAGTCGTTGTTGTTGAGGGGACCATTGTATGGCGAGAAAGGAGGGTGGGTCGTGTTGGTGGTGGTTCGTCTCGGTTTAGTAGACCGCCGACATCGAAGAAGGATACGCGGCGGGAGAGAGGCATTGAGTTTGATGGGGGTATATCGCCGGGTGATTGGCTAGTTGGGAGATACTCGCGTGGACTGACTTTGATGTCGAGGCTGTCGGAAATTGAGACGCGGTCTTCGTCTGAGGTGTGGCTTTGGTTGAAGGACCACGATGGATCGAGGGAGCCGGTGCGGGCGACCATGAGAGGTACCTGGGGAGCTGGGATGGGGAGGGTAGTGCCAGGCGCCGAGGAGTAGAGCTTAGGGTCGAGCCGGATGCCCAGGTCACCGGCGAGGTCAGAGTCACTGCCCCATTGATGGTGCATAACCGTGTTGCGGCGCACATAGCTGTTATCCTTGCTTTCGGTGACGGAGGCTGAGCCCTGCGCGCGCTTGTACTTGAGTTTCTTGACACCGCGATCACGGACAAAGGAGCCGATCACGACGAGGTTCGAAACAGCCGTCGCGGCAAGGATCTCCAATGAAGCGACGAGGGAGCGGTAGGGCTGTGCGCCTCGGCGATCGATCACGGATGGTACACGGTAACAGGTGATGGCGACCAGGATGAGCGAGAGACAGAAGAGGACGACGAGGGCGAACTTTCGTTTTATGGGCATCTGAGCCATCAAGATGATAGGCACCGGAAAGGCAACGAGCAAAAGATCGGTGATGACGTCGCAAGCTCCCATCGTAATGAGCTGTGCATATCCGCTCCGACAACTAGGTCCTGGATCCGGTACAACCTGCCAGTAATGGCCTATGGGCTGGCATTCAGCCAGGGTCGCGATGACGACGGCGACGAGCGTAGAGGCCAGGAAGAAATGGACAAAGCGTAGGAACATAGCCACTGACTTGCGCCAGACCATGCCAGTAACTCGTTTCAGGAACTCGCAGACGGTAAGCTTGGCTGTCCAGATACTGTATTTAGAAGAAGAAGATAAGAGTAAGTAAAAACCCAGCTCCGATGTAGAGAGTCACACAAGGTTGGAATTCGGGCCAGTCTTACAAGATGGCATAGAAGATGCGCGCAGCCAGGACCAGTTTACTTCCGATGACTCGTTTGTCGATTTGGTCCTGCGTCAACCCGGCCGTTTGAGTATTGTTGGTCCCGAAGACGAGCACAAAGTGAACCAGCACCATGCGAATAGTGAGCGGGATGACGCTGAGCATGACGACCTTGTCCTCGGGGAAGAATCGCTCGATTCGGACGTAACGACCGCATAACCGGACGATGATGATAGCCAGCGAGAAGCCCGTAGCCCACCAGCTCATCATCAGGGTCGGGTTGATGTCATTTCGAGACTGAAAGTCCGGCGGTACATCCGGGTACAGGCCTCGGCTGGCCAGCGAGGCCGTTTCCATTGATCCCACGGTGAACCACCTCCGAAGAGGGGTCTATATATCGTGGAGTTGTTATTCAGTCCCAGAAGATCGATGGAATGGATGGGGCGACAAGCGTATCTATTACATGTCGCACGTGAGGGAAGCGGAACCTGTTCGCTGGTGAAAGTGTGGGGAGGGAGGAGCTGCGCTGGACAGTGTCCACTAGGGGCCGATCGGGGGGCAGCCACTAGTTAGACGATCGCCACCAGGAAAGAAGAATACGCGGGACGTGCAAAGGAAGCGACAGAGAAAGCCTCGTCGAAGCTGGTAGGGAAAACAAAGAGATGCGGTCGTTTCAGGTCTGTTGGTCCAAGAGGGGAGAGAGAACAAAAAAGAACGCATTCGGTGAGTCCCGGAGGCTACTGAAGTAAATATGAGCCACGGTCTGGTTGAGGGGGACGAGACAGACATGGGTCCGAAAGTCAGAACAAGGCCAAGGACGATGATAACACGAGGACCAGTGACAGCCAACCCGCTAATCGGGCGAGTGTCCACTGCCAGCGATGATGAGGAGTGTGCCAAGGTGACGATTTGCGAAATGGGCTCTTGGTCCACTCAGCGTCAGCACTGCATGAGCGGTCGCTTATGTTGTTGATGATAATGATGATGATGATTGTCCAGTATCGCGTTGTCGATTGTCGTTGGACTCGACTCGCTCAAGTCGAATCCATATCACACATGCTGACGGGCTTCCCAGCCACTCAGAACCGCGGTCTATCCAGTAACCAGTTAGAGCAGTGGTCCAGTCATGGTCCAGTCGTGGTCCACTGGTCCGCCCCCCCTTCTCCTCGATCTGCGGTGTAGGAGGGTTCAACGGGCCACCGGAGTCCGGGAGCTTTGGCTTTCGCTTGCGGGGGAATCAGGAGAAAATGGAGACAAGGCGAATCAGGCGTTGTCTGGGCACAAAAGTCTATGTGGACGAGGGTGAAATCACTGAACCTGAGACCGCCTTCTGGTTGCCCTGAAAGCTCGATTGGTATCACTTGCAGGGTGCTCCAAGTCTCTCGTGTTGGGAGATACGGGCCAAGAAGAATGGCTTCGTCAAACGGGAAATTCTTATCGACGGGTACTTTTCCCACGTGGACTATTCCCCGAAGGAGAGCACGGGACTGCTGTACTGCTGCACTGCTGCACTACCTACAGTACGGAGGACTACCGGCATAATGCCATTATAGACTGGCCCAGATAAGAACCCATTCTAACGACAAGTATCTTGTTCTTCTCAGGAGTGGATATGGACTCCTGGATACAAAGGGACTAGTACTATCTAAAGTTCAGAAGCCACAGTCGATGATGATAGCCATCGAACAAATGATACCACCATGCAAGGACTCTGCAGTTATACGACTGCCTGGGCAAGTGTCAACCCTTCATAGTACTAAACTTAACTTAGTACTGTCAGAGTGCCACGGGCAACGCGCTAAGAGCTAAAAGGGCCGCCAAAAGTGGAGCTGCGCACGCCACGCGACGGATCATCAAATGGCCGCGCCAGATAAGCCCCAGTTCCTCCTATCATCGTGAGGCTGACTACTGTATCAGCTTTACGCGAGTAGGAAGCGAGACACGGTGTGATCCAGCCAATGGATCAAACTCTACTCCGTATACTCGCATTGCATCCAAAGGATGCGATCCTGAATGAGATCTCTCGAGATTTCATACAGGTGTCCTCCGAGAAATCTAGTTCAAACCAGCCGAGATAGAGATCCTATACATGCTATCTATCTATTCCCCCCACTCTGGCAAGGTAAAACTACAGATGGAGTAGAAAGTAGCGAGCACTCATCTCCGTTTTGTTTTTTCCACACGGAGATATTTCCAAATACTCTCCTATACGTCCTAGTAACTCCGTAGTATAACCTGTACCACTGTAACACGTTGTCTATCCTCTAACCAACCACCGCGGCCGCGGCATCCTCCCGTTGCTCCTCGTCCCGAACCGACTGGATGCCGACGCCGGTACGCACTGCCCCCAGCACCACTCGTAGCTCCTGCAGGAACTTGGTGACCTCGGCCTCAGTCCCGACCGTGATGCGTAAGCAGCCCTCACACCCATACTCCTTGCCCCGGAACCGCACCACCACTCCACGCTTCTCAGCCATCGCCTCGTACGCCGCCAGCGCGGTGACATTGCTCGGCCGCCCTTCACCATCGAGCATCTCCACCAGCAAAAAGTTCGAGTCCTGGCCTCCCAGGAATCGGCCTACGCCGGGGATCTGCGGCAGCTCGCGGAGCAGCCGGTCACGCTGAGCGACAATCTTCTCCCGGTACTCGCGCATCACCGCCATGTTGGGGGCTGTCAGAGCAGCCGTGGCTAGCGCGCTTGTCGGGCTGGAAATGTTGTAGGGTGCCTTGAGGCTGTTTAGCAGCTGGGCAATCTCGGGGCTGGAGTATGCAACACCCAGCCGGATACCAGCCAGACCAAAGGCCTTGCTGAGAGTCTGCATCACTACGAGGTTGGGCCATTCGGTCACCCACTCGGCCAAACTGGCACCCTCGTGGGCAAAGTCGATATATGCCTCGTCTACAATGACCACGCCATTCCATGTCGGGTTCTCCAGGACCTTCTGGATATCCGCCTTGCGGATCAGGTTCGCCGTCGGGTTACCCGGTGAACAGATATACGCCAGCTTAATGGAGGGGTCCGCCGATAGGGCCTCGTTGACCTTATCTGGCTGCAGGTGAAACCCGTTGTTCACATCCAATGGCACCTTGACGATCTCCACATCATTGACCTGAGCGCTCACGCTGTACATGCCGTAAGTCGGCGGGCAGGTAAGGATCTTATCCTTGCCGGGGGTGCAGAAGCACCGCAGCAGTGCATCAATAGCCTCGTCCGATCCAACCCCGACAAACATATTCTCAGGTCGGAGGGTCTTTTGTGTGTGGTGGTGGGTATTGCGGAGGTTGCAGAACAACTGCTTGAGTTCGATCTGGTGACTATACCGGGTAATTGGCCGTCAGACAATGCTTTTCTTCTCTTCTTTCTCACAGCAGACCGTAATTGGCCACCCCTGGACGTAGATGGGAAAATACTAACGGATCGGGGTATCGGTTCAAGCCCAAGAAATCAATCTCGGGCTTAGATGCGTCCGTCGCATCACCAGTCTGCGACGCCTGCAATGCGCCCTCGTTGCTCAATGCCAATCCAGGACCGTAGGCATTCTCGTTGGCGTCGAGAAGCACGTTTGTCCCATCATCTTTGTAGTCACTGACTCATTAGCGCGGGATCGGGGCCGTTCATCGGAGGTGGGCGACCTACTCGCGGGCGCATCGGTAGGGCTGCAGCTGGAGGATATTGGGTCGAGCACATGTCTGCAGATTGAATGGTGATGACCTTTGAGCCATTGTGGGTGGTGTGCTGGGAACTTGGGGCTCGATGATGTCGAGGAGCAAAAGTTGGTGGGGTGGTGGGGAGGTTCGTTATCGGAGGTTGAAAGCGGAAGTATTTATTTCTCGGCATTGTCAGGTACCGTTGACTCACGGTATATTCAAATGACTCAGACAGGGAAGCCAATTTTAAAACAGGACAGAAGGAAAGTGGACTCTATAGTACAGCAGTTGTCATACTCAAGGAGTTAAGTTCAAGATTTCTCTATTGACTCTATCGTGAATGTATCTCAGGACTACCTGTTCTGACGAATGCCGAAACTGTCGGCTTCTAGATCTTCGGGAGGGCCTCGGGTCACAAGTCTAATATGTAACAAAATATGTATTTTTAACGTAGAAATGCCAGAGACATGGCTGTGATACTGTGCCACACAACGCCCCCATATGCCCACTTGCAAACCCTCAATGAATCCGTACAATCCCATATGATGCTGATGCTGCCATAAAGATGCTTCCAGGAGGTATCTTAATCTTTCTTCTGCTCGGCCTTCTCGACCGTTTCAGTCTTCTCAGACTTTGACGTCTTCTCGGTCAATAGAGCTTTCTGAGACTGCGCCTTTTTGTGCTTCTCCCGCTTTTCCTTCAAGTAGGTCAAGCTCTTGCCGACACCGGCAGTCAGGGTGCCTTTGATGGTTTGAACGGTGCTGGGCCAGCGGATGGTCTTTGAAATAGACGCCGAAACTTCCTTTTGAAGGTTAACATCGTCTGCGATGCGGCGTTCAAAGGGACCGCCCTGTGGTCGCCGAACAATCTCTTGCTTCGTATCGTCATTTTCCTCCATCATCTTGTTGAACTCGGCCCTTGGAATGGCAAATCGGGACTGGTACTGGAAGTAGAGTTTCTGTCTGAAAGACTCTGGAAGACGGCGAACCATGTTTCCGCGCTTAACGGGGTCCATGTCTTGCACCATAGCCAAGATGGAATCCGGATCATCAATCCAATCATCCTGACTGCATCGCGGATCTTGGAATGTGACGTTGGGGAGGTTGCTAATGAGCGGAGCATAAAGGCGTCGGAAGTGGGCCATCTGTCCAGACACAATATTGCGCACCTTGCCGGGGTCTTCCGTCGGGAGCACCATGCGCAGGTCGCCCATGTAGCTGATGCCTGCAATGGTGCTGTACAGCTCAAATTCGCTAAACCGCTCGGGGAGTAGCAGTAGTGCCACTCGCAAAGCAGAGAGCAAGTTCATCTGGTTTGCCAATCGCACCTTCGGGTGATCACGTAGAATCTTCACCGGCTTGTGCAAGCGGCCGGCAAGATACAGAGTATTCCATTGCGTGAGATCGGTGCACAATGTATCAAGATTGACCACACCATACTTGATTAGGGTCCCATTCACGGTGATGTGAGTGTTGAAATATACACCGGCACCAAATTGATCCTGTACCTGTGAAACCACGTATGATCCCAGAGAGCCCAGGCCCGAGTAATGATCGCGGTGCTGGTGGAGATTCAGATCATGCCAGTGTTGTGAATACGACACTCCAAAGATAAAGTCAATCATCTTCCCTGATCCTTGTTGCATTTTCTGAATGGCGGCCGGTGCCGATGGATGAGTTGATCCCACGGCGGCTGCGCCAGTCTGTGTAAACACACCGGAACCGTACGCAAACGCATATCGGATGGGAGCTCTAAATTGCCAAAGTATCTGCCGTAGAGCCTCTTTGAATTCCTGGTTTATGATCATGTGTTGATTGACACCAAAGTCCTTGGATGGAAGTTCTGAAAAGTTGGAGATGGACAAGTTCGGGTTATGATCCCAGTCCGCTTCGGAGAGGTGCGAGGATGTTGAGAATGGGGCTGATGATGGGATTCCAGAGGAGACATTGTATAATAGTTGGGATGTCGAGCCGCTGGCTTGGGTAGATTTGTAAAAAGGAGCGTCTGAGGTGAGACGGGATTGAATCGAGATACAGCGGACCGAAGTCGGCAACCATGGCAGAGGCGAGAAGCGGGCACGAGACTTCCAGCGCAAGCTGGGGCAAGCAGTGTGAGAGGCCATCATCTAGAAGAATTGATCATTCATCAGCATGTCTATTCCATCAAGGTAGATGGGTTCGGCTGTCGGGTCCGTACGGTTGGTCGCATAGCCATGGTTTTGAGGATGAGAAGGAGCGGAGCGCACGGCTCAAATGGAGATAGATCAGAGATTGCCCCGTCCCTGCAGCATATAGTATAAATAGCAGGACTCAACGGGCAAAAAGGAAGGAATTGACTGTAGTTTCACTAGCGGGCTCCGTCCTTCTCGGGCAACTTTCGGGTCTGACGTCGTCCGTGATTAGGTAACCGAACCGATCACGTGGGGTCGCGTCGCATAACAACCAAAGTAAACAGACCAAACAGATATCAACAACGACAACACCGCCACCTCGACGTACAGAGCCGGTTCTCGACATCGATCTGGGGGCCTACTGTCCCTTCCAGTACCAAAGGAATCATGGGCTCCGAAATGGACACCTTTGCAGCCCGCCTAGCCAGCTTCGACGCTGTGCTCAAACTCGAGAAGCGGAGATCTTCCTCCGCGAAAGGCTCCAATGTGATCGCATGGCCTCACCAGAGTCCCTCACCAGCCGAGGTACGTCAAAGCCTGTCAAATGTCTTTGGAATCAATATGATTAACGTGGAATGCAGTTGGCGCACGCCGGCTTTTACTACAAACCATACGAGACGAACCCGGACAACACAACATGCTTTCAATGCAATCGAGCCCTGGACGGCTGGGAAGAAGAAGACAACCCAATAACAGAACACCTCAAGCACTCTCCAGACTGTGCTTGGGCAATTATGATGGACATCCAGGAGAGTAGCTCCAACCCCGCCACGATTGAAGACCCAACAAGCGAGAGGATCACCCAAGCGCGAATGGGAACATTCGGAACGCAGTGGCCGCACGACGGCAAACGCGGCTGGCTCTGTCAATCAGATAAGGTATGACCATTGCACCCAGGCTCGAGAGGTCTTGCCGCCACTCACAGATATGGTAGATGGTCAAGGCTGGATGGTACTTCTGCCCCAACGAGGAGAGCGATGACTTGGCTAGCTGCGCTTATTGTAAGCTGTCGCTAGATGGATGGGAGCCCAAAGATGATCCTTTGTGAGTAAAATGACTGCTCCTTCCTCTTACCGTTCAATAAGCTAATGCCTCTCCCGTGCCCAGTGACGAACACCATCGCCGCTCCCCTGATTGCTCCTTCTTTGTATTTGCAGAGCTCCCTGTAAAGAAGGGTAGAGGTCGGCCCAAGAAAACCCGCACTTCCAAAGCATCTTCTCGCTTGTCAACTCAATCCGTGGCCACCGTTGCATCTGAAGCGCCCGAGGCACCAGAGATGGAGATTGATGAGGCAATGGACGAGAGCATGATCTCACAAGCGACAGTCAAGCCAAAGAGCACAAAGAGGGGACCGAAGGGCAAAGGAAAGAAGACCAAGAACGAAGACACCGATTTGCAAAACGAAACGGATGTGGATATCGAAGAACCGCCGCAACCGGAGCCAGGGAAACCCAAACGTGCTGGAAGGGGGAAGAAGCGAATCAGTGAAGAAATGACCAAAGATGAGCCCGAGTCTGCTACTGGAGTGGAACCAGAGCCCTCCGTAGAGCCACCTCCAAAGCGCCGCGCTACGCGCACACGCAGCAGCAGTGTTTCTCAAACCTACAAACACGAGACGCAAGACTATTCGATGCAAGATGCCGCTTCCGTGGACGAAGTGCAAGAAGATGAGCCCAAAAAGGCTCGCAAGGGATCAAAGAAGGGAGCGCCTAAAGGCAGGAAGGCGTCTGACGTATCGGTCGTATCCAAATCTACATCCAAAGCTCATATGCCACGAGACTCAGAGCTTGAGGCCGAAATAGAAGCGGGCCTTGAGGCCGATCACCCCGAACTCATGGAGCCTGAACCGGAGCCCGAGCTCCAGCCAGAGGTCGAGCCTAAACATGAACCTGAGCCAGAACTCGAAAAGCCCCGTGCTTCGAAGAAGACCAAGTCTGGCAAAAAGTCGAAGGCAGTGGGCAAGGCATCTGAACCGCCTCAACATGATGTTGCGGACTATATGGATCTGCCTGAAGAGCAGCCAGAAGCCCCAGTGGAGCCGCCTGTCCTTGAGGTAGCAGACGAAGAAGAAGCCCCTGCCCCAAAGACAAAGGCAAGCAAGAGCTCCAAGAAGAAAGGGACAAAGAAAGCTAAAAAGCAAGAGACCGTGGAAGAAGAGGCTCTAGAAGCTGAAGACAAAGTGGGAGAATCTGAACGGGATGAGCCTGAGCATCATGATTCATTTGTCTCTGTGGAAAACATCCCTCGAGAACCCGAATCTCAGCCAGAGCCTGAACCGGAGCAGCCGACTGAGAAACCTTCAAAGAAGAAGTCGTCCAAGAAGGAAGACAAGTCCAAGAAGTCAAAGAAGACTAAGAAAGTCGAGGCATCCCCTCCTCCGCCTGCAGCTCAGCTTCTTGAGGACGAGCTTGGTTTCAACTCTTCACAGAGAGACGAGGAGGAATTCGGCACTCCAGATGATCTGCCAGACCAGATTCAGTTGAATCCATCTCCACGAGCACCATCCCCAGAGCCACAACAAATCTACGAGAGGACGCCCGTGCCACCAAAGACAACAAAGCGATTCAGCGACATTCCTCAGGAGGAACATCTGGCGCACTCTCTGGCCGAGTCGCACGGTTCTCGAAGTATGGAGCAAAGGGATTCTCGACAAGGCCGAACATCCAACCGGGCTGTATCACCGCTGCCAATTCCTCATCAGAGCACGCCGTCCCTGTCACCCCAGTCCTCAGATGCTGAGAATCGACCTCCTTCGTCGCTTCCTTCAGCCAAACGGCCAGCTATTGTTTCATCACCACCCAAGGAGAAGACAATACGAACTCCACTCGCAGCCAGCACCCCATCACCTTCTAAACGCAATTTGAACGCTGGTTTCCCAGCTTCTGCTCATCCCTGGACTCCTGTGGATATTGAGGAGGTGTTGTTTGGGGAAGCGAGCGACAAGGAGAACGCAGACCTCGTCGGCCTTCTTAGCGGGGCCAAGGCAGGTCTGACTAGTCCGGAGAAGAGGATGTCGGTGGAGGAGTGGATTAGGTGGAATGCAAAGAATGGCGAAGAGCGGTTGAAGCGAGAATGCGAACGACTTGTCAGTCAGTTCGAGAAGGAAGGCGGCCGGGCTATGCGGCGGCTCGAGGCCATCGAGTGTATCGACTGATCATGCATTATGCGGTCTTTTTGGTTCTATTTGAAACGATCGCAGGATTGAGCAAAGGCGTACAGGGAAAGCTCTGTCCGAGTTTTATTGTCAATATTTTGAATCGATTCTTTTTCGGCTGTCTGAGACCATATCGTTCAAGAAAGAGATGAAGTCTTTTCAATCACGTAAAACCAGAAGGCGCCCCAAACTCCAAGGGTATCATAAAGTACATGTTTTGTAAATACGCCCGACATCAATCCAGTCAGGCCTCTCCTCAAGCAATGATTCCCAATCTTCCCTCCCAGCTATCCTCCTGCTTTACACCATCGCCACCCTTACGACGCTTCTCATTCCGCTTGCGTCTCCTCTCCTCCCGCTCCTTTGCATCCAACTCCTCCCGCTCCCTCAATCTCTCCCCAAGATCAAGCTGCCACGCCCTCCGCTCTTCCTCCTCCCTCACCCTCTTCTGATGCGCCAGCATCCGCAACCGCAAACGCACATCCTCCAAGGTCGCCCTCGCAACCTCTCCACTCTGCCCCGTAGCAATCAAATGCTGCTTGCTATTGAAATGCTCCACAAGCTGAATATTATCCTTGAACGTGAGATCACAGTCCTCGCAGTAGAAGCCCGGTCCGCGTCCGCGCTTGCCTAGCGCCGAGCCCGCAGGTACAATTGTCGTTTTGCCCACCATCGAATCGACCTTGAGTCGCTGTTGGCGGGCTGTAGTTGCCGAGAGTGAACCATAGTCGACGGGCGCATGGTATTTCTTGCCGAGGAGTTTGGCTTCGTAGCGGGCTTTGCCTTCGGCTTTGCGTTTGGCTTCTTCGTCGGCGGCTTTTTTGGCGTATTCCTCCCGATCCCAGGTTTTGCGGAATGCGGTGTCTGAGGTGGCCGCAGCAGGTGGTTTGGACATTTTGTTGGGCGTGTGTGGTGTGTAAGAGAAGGCTGTAGATGTCTTGGAGATTTGATGCTTGCAAGTCGAGCTTGAAGATCGACGATCAGGTGGCGGCGCCAGCAATAAGATTATGTAAGCATAACGTGCCTGAGGTGCCCGCCCATGGATAGGCGGTGCCTTAGTCCACCACAATCAACCACAACTCTCTGATCATGATCCTCTGGTTCGCGATTGGACGCTTTTTAAGGTGATCCGTTTCATATTGACTCACAGCTGCAGATGGACGGTTTCGAGCTTGAATGCACATGACCAATGTATGTCTCTGGGTAGAGTTCCAGGCGACAAGATACGAGGCTGGCTAACCCAAAAGGACCCTAGCTCAGCAATTCACTCCTCATAAAGCTCCTTATAAAAGCAACAACGATCTGACAGCTGGGTCATATCTCTAGCGGAGATCTCAAACAATGTAAACCTTCATCTCAAACATGTCAACGTGGCAGTCATTTTCCCAGGCAACCATTTCCCCCTAAGCTCCTGCCTGATCTATATCCCCAAACGGACGGGAGTACATAAACCATCGTGTCGGGGCCAACTCTCCACATTTTGAGCCTCATCCAGAACCAAACTCCAGCGTCATGGCTTCACCTACCACCGTGGAAACGTCTGCGACAACGCCGAATATCAACCTAATGGATCTTCCCTTAGAGCTGCATATCCAAATCGCCTCATTCTTATCATATCCCGACGCTCTCGCGTTGAAACACTCTTGCAGCCACTTCTATTACATGGTCTACACGGGCGTACACCTAAAAGTGAACTGGCTGGTCGAGCGCTTTGAACGAAAACTCGAATGTCCCATGGAAAAATGCTCATTCCGCACCGACGAGGCCTTCTGCAACTGGCGAATACGTCGGATCATGGAGCGGCGCCGGCAGCATCTTGAATGCCGACGCGCCCCTGGAGGCTGTTGGGTCGTTGAAGGCCGGACGTGTCAACCAGATCTTGTTGCATTGTGGTTGAAGGGACGAGGACCGAGGAAGTTTGTGAAGTCACTAGCTACGCTGGGTCGTGAAGGTTTGTTACTCTGTCAAAGACATTTTGGTGACTCGAGGCTGATCTGGTGCACGATAGCATTGATTGTCGGGGCTTTTGCAATGTTGCTGGAGATGCTGTGGCGTCTTGCACAAAACCGCGTTTTCAATTGGCTTGCGAATGAGGTAGTGACTGAATGATGCGTCCAGCTGCCTTGGAACTGGAGGGTAGCATCTCACTCGCTCTACTTTGAGCACCTCCATTCGCAACAAGCTACGCTGGATACTCTGTCTTGTTATCTGGGCCTCTGCGCAATCATCATTACGAAGCAACCGTGATGAATATTTTTGTTTTTTATCAGCGACGATACAATCGAGCAATGAGTGATGCATTCGCATGCCGATTCGAAGTTCAACCTTGCATGCACCATGGAGTTTTCAAGCCCCCATGATGGAGGGAGCGAGTCAACAAAGCATTTCAGGCCAAAGAAGCGTTCCTGGAGTCCACCCAGTCATGTTAGATGGGTACTACTTAAATTAATGTTTAATCGGAATTTGGATCCATGCGAACGCCCTCGGGGTATTCAGATCGAGCTAAGCCCATCCGGCCAGAGGCCCGATCGCAAATCGATCGGATCGAGTTTATGCTATGATAAAACAATAGATCTACACGTAAATCACACAATAAGCAGCTCCAAGTTTCGAACTTGACCGACTACTTTGTGTTGCTCAGATCCGGATTATCTGATCCCTGACGTTACAACGACGTCCCCAGGGCCATCATTGCATGCAAGAATGCATACATTCCCTTGTAAAACAGCTATATAACTTGAAAAATCACCTTAAACTACACTTCTCGCTCTCCTTTAAATAATTCAATCTAATTGATTGTTTCTCATCACTCAACGCAACATGTCTGCAAACGCCACTATCAACACCTCAACGGGCACACACTTATAGCTGATTTGCCTGGTCTTCAAAGGATTTATCTTGACCAGTTTCTGAACGCAGATATGATCGATACGTCATTATTTAGTGGACCTTGATAAGATGCTCAAATTCTCATGCTAGCTTTTTGCAAGATAATGTCGAATCCTGTCGTAACATGGAAATTCGCTACATTCATCAATAGCAATTAGATAATCAAACATCTCACCCTGAGAGGTGGCTCTCGTGAAGTGATTTGTAAACAGTGAGACACCGAATGAATCTTGGGGGCCGAGATGCCACAATTATTTTAAAGGCCATACAGGGGTAATAGCTTATTGTGGTCACACTAAACCAAGGAGGGACTAGAAATCTCAATCCCCTGATTTATGACCCTAATAACAGGTTCGATACCTGCAACCGCCTAGTCGACCACGGCGGAGGATTCTCGGGGGTACTGTATTAGCATGTGCAGTGTGCGGAAAGGAGACAGGGGTCGTAGATGGCATAGTTCCGACTCGCACCTCCCCTTTAGCGTCCTCTATACCTATGTAGTACTGTGTGGAACCTCTAGGGTTTTTCAGCAGTTTTTCCCCTAGGGCAAGGCAAAAGGAGGCACAGTCTCGCCGGAAAAGGAATCTTGTTCTACACCGCCTTGTGATACGAGGATGGTACATCATGTGAATTAGTGTTGAGCAGCTTCAAATCGGCAGTACTGAAAAGGTACAAAGGCTGACAGATAAGCGCTATATAAATCTGGACATCATCATCATCATCATCATCATCATCATGACTCTAATAACCTACTGTAGTCTCAGATGGGTCGGAAACAGCATGCATTTCTTCTTCTTCTTTCTCCTTTTACTCCTGCTTCCTTTGCATCTCCTAGATTAACCAATTTTTCACATAGTTTACCACTTCCTGCTTCCTGTCCGAACCATATTTAGCAAAATTACGTTAGACTATGTTCTCAATTTTCAACACCGGAATTAATAAGAAGCTCGTGTAGCTAAGTGGTTACAGCGCCCCGCTCGTATCAAGGAGGAAACTTATCCATCCGATGGGAAGTTCTTATCCATCGTTATATGGAACGGGGAGGTCGCCGGTTCGAATCCGGTCTCGAGCATTATTTTTATGGGCTCGTCTGTGCGGAATGGGGTTTATGTACTCCGTATACTGTAAGAAAAATAGACCCTTTTATTAATATTACGTATACTCGAGATTGGTCGATTCCTTTCCTACTCTTTCTTTGTATTCTGCCTGTATTTATGGGTAACGACTTGACATCAGTAACTATAGTCCTGATTACTTGGTTATTCCGCCAAGGGATATAGTGGGGTTCGAGCGAGGCACAGTTGATCGTACCCCGTAGACCCCTACAAGACTCAGAACTCAGAAGATCCCCCACTAGCTCAGAAAGTCCAGGATCTAGTCGATTTCATTACATAGGTCAAGTTCGGCATGTTGACCACCAAGCAATCCGAAGGTGATTACTTGGCATTGCGATGCATGACACTAGCTGCAACGGTATGTAACCAGCTACAGTACATACTATATATATATCAACAAACGATATCATATCTACTACCTACAGCCTCCAAAAGGATCAAGATGTTAACAAATCAACTTTATGTCTCCCCAGGAACACGGCGGCATCGACCTAGTCTTCCACACAAACCTCTTCTCTGGCAAAACAATGGATCTAACAGTCTACCCACAAGAAACAAACATGTCCTTCCTTGACCCCATCAGCGGGGCCTGGGCCTCCATATCCGGCACAGCAAAGATCGTCTCCGATCCAGACACCGTCCAAAAGTACTACTCACCACAATTGAAAGCCTGGCTCGGCGTGATTAAGTTGGAGGCGAAGTTGGCAACGCATGTTGCTGCTAAGGAGGGCATTTTGGGTCGTGCGGTTGATACCGTTAATGGGGCTGTGAAGGGGGAGGTTCCTGCTATCAATAGTATTCGGGAGTTGAGTATGGCTGAGTTGGTTGAGTGTAAGTTTTCTTTTTCCTGGGGCTAGAGCTTTATCGAGACATTGTTCTGACATTAGTTCGTTCTCTAGGGCGCCGAACTCATCAGAGCTAGAGAGGTGGCTTCTACACTATTTGGTATCTTGTTGCGCAGCGTTGGAAAGCTGCAATGATACTATTTAAGCTTGAGCCTGTTGATATGCCACAGCAAGGGATTGACAACACCACCATCACTGGCGTGGTAAACGAAGTCTAACTAGCGCACAATGAAAGTTCTCGGAATTTTGAATGTCATTTGCAACCTTGATCGGTATGAACAAGGTGCTATCTACCATCTGCACCTGAGGGTAGAAACTGATACGAACGCCGTATGAACACAGAAAAGAAGAGGGGAAGAAGTGAAGAAATTAGAGAGCAAACGCCGCCAAGGTACTAGGGTACCAAGCGGGCAGAGACATCGAGAAAAGACGTGTGGCCTAGCATACGGCCGCCAGCCAAAGAAGAATCGAAGGAAGGAAACGGGAAAAGCGAAACATTCAAGCCGCCCAAAGAAAATCATGGGTATCATCCGTATTGCCAGAAACTCCCGCGCCGAGCATGCTGAAAAGAGAAAAGGGGAAACGAAGCCAGCCCATTTAAATCTAGACAAAAGTTGTTAGAACAATAGTGTATAGCCTAGGGAACACAGTACTTACCAGCGTCAGGGGCAACTTGCCGGGCACCCGGCCTTCATGCAGCAGCATGGCGATGGCCTTTTGAGGGGTTGCCTGGAGCTTGCGATAGGCCTCACGAATGTGTCGAGGCTCGATGGGGGTGCGGCCCTCCTCCGGCGGATCGAACAGGCCGGTCTCCCGTTTGCGCTTCTTAGAGTCAGTGGTGTCGGCTCCTCCACGGTTCTTCTCGTGGTCCTCCCGCTCCTTGACCTTGAGCGCCTCCTCGGTGAGAGTCTGGACAATCTCGAAGGTCAGGAAACCGAGAATGTCCACAATGTCGTCGTTGGGCTTGGACTCGGTGACGATACCAAAGCCCGCCCACTCGCGAAACCGCTTGCTCTTGCGGTAGGTGAAGGAGGCTTGACGGCACTCCGACCAGAAGACGTACTCCTCCCTGGTCATGTTCTTGGTCCGCTCGTCGGCGGCGGCGAGGCGCTGGAGGGTCGCATAGTTCTGCTCCTCCTCCTCTTCGTCCTCCTCGTCGTCGCGCTCGGGAATCTGGACCGAGAAGAAGCTGCTGACGTCCCAAGCAAGGCCCACTTTGGCCCGCTTGTTCTTGGGCTTCGAGGCGACATCCGAGGGGCCCGCGACAACACCAGCCGCGTCGTCGGCGGCGGCGAAGTCGGCCGCATCGCCACCTCCTTTGTCGTCAGAGTCCTTGACGTTCTTGCGCACGTCCTTCCAGGACAGGAACGTGCGGAGACGGGAGACCTTCGCCTTGTCGTGGCGGATGAGGAAGATCAGGTCATCCGTCGAGATTGACCGGGACCCGCGGCGTTGCGCCAGTTGCGTGCCACGAGTGAGCTGTACGATACGTTAGATCTCATAACATATTAGTGTAAGGAGTGAGAGGTAGATGAACGTACGATTTCCAGGACCTGCTCACGCGTGATGTCCTCGATCACGGTGGTGGTCTCGATGGATGGCTCGGCGGTCTCACCAGAGACGAACATCATCTTCAGAAGCTTGTCAGTAATCTTGCGCCTGAAGAGATCCGCGGTCGGCAGCTCCAGGGTCGTCGCTTCCATCTAGACTGTGCTCAGCTCATCGTCCGCGTCGTAACGTTCATCCAATGTGCCTTCACTGGCATCATTGGAACAGGGCTTCTGAGCCACTTGCCTGCCCCGAGAAAAGGAGAAGGCATTGGACTTGTAGTGCCCGTCGTAGAAGCTCGACGCATCACTGGCGTCGGCCAGGTGGTGGTCATCGGAGGGCACTGGAGGGCGTGGAGTGCCGATGCGAGCCGGAAGAGAAGAAATTTCAGGAGTAGGAATGTCCAAGCCAGGGTGCGAATCGCCGTAGGGGTCGTGCTTCACATCCTCCCGATAGCTAGCCTGAGAAGGTGCGATGATGGTTTGTGCATCCGTCGACTCGTCAGAGCTGCTGGAGCCCACATTCAGGACTAGATTTCCGAAGCGCTTGAGACGAGGCAAATCATCCACCTCCTCCATGGTGGAGTAGACAACATGGTCATTCGGGTCAAATGCCGCCATTTCGAGCAGAATGCAGACAAGGCTTATCAAAGTGAAATCTTGAGCGGTCAAGTATGCGCTGAGAGGAGGTCTGAGTAGGGGACAAGCCGCTGGAAGACTGATGCAGCTGAGAGGCAGCGGGCTGAACGAGTCTCGATGTCTTTGATAGAGATCGGTCAAGGCAAGCTGGCTCAGTCCTTGTAGGCACACAGGATGATTTGGAAGAGAAGATGTGACAAGAGGGTGTGAAAGCGGGAGAGTCGAAAAGTAAACGAGCCACGAACTCAGAGGGAAGCAAGGTGCCTCGCGAGGATGTCCAGACAGATGCTCACAGGGAGTTCAAGGTGGGATATGGCTTCAAGGATCGCGATTCGACAGTCGGTTGGCGTTGCCGCGCTTGGGTAGAGCGAAAGAGAAATATGGGAAGATGGTGCTCGCGAGGAAGAGAGTGAAGGAAAAGTCGTGGAGAAGAAGAGTCATTGATCTTGCCCTTCACGGCGCTGGTGTTGCTTGTCGTCGTCGTCGTCGTCGTCGCCGGGTGAACGACGGTAAACGATGGGCGCCTTCCATACGAGATAATGCTTGAGTGGCAGCAGGCACATCTTGACCTTTCCCTCGACACCTCAGCCAACTTGGCTCGTTCCATACCCAGGCACACAGCTAGGTAGGCCTAGCACCCCAAACGCAGGTATGACTTTGACGATATTCACCAAAGACAGAAGACGACGCGGACGAGTTTGAGGTACAGTTCTCCAGAGGACGACAACATGGCCGCACGGCTACTCAATTGGAGCGTACCATGGGAAATCAGGGACGGGGGGTTGCCACTCACCTGCTGGATCTCCTGCCGATACTTGGGTTGACGATCGGAGCTCATCGTGACGGCTCTGCGCGTGAACGCGCTTCGAAGGATAGAGAGATGTAAAGACGGGGTTCGAAACGAGTGACGAGATGGAGAAGTCGCTGTCGACGCAGCGTGAGAAACAGCAACAGCTTGTGTGCGAGCGGATGAAGTGTTGCAATGAGCGAGTATGTGGGAGTTGGAGAGGAAGAGGAAGAAGAAACCTGGGGATCGATAAGACGACGATCGATATCGATAACGGAAACCCCCAGCCAAAGGGCGGTCAACGATTAGCGCCGAATTCTGCCGCGGGGCATTCAATTATTTCTATCGACCTTCCAGCTCGATCAAGAACACATTGAGATCACAATTGCGCTTGAGAGCCTACCATGTTGCACCTTGTGGGCCTGGGTCTTTCTGACGAGAAGGACATTACTGTCCGGGGGTTGGAGATTGTTAAGAAGGCCGAGCGGGTGTACCTGGAGGCGTACACGGCTATCTTGTTGGTGGACAAGGAGAAGCTTGTGAGTGTTGCGCATGTTTTGGAGCTGTCGGATCTGTTCAATGCTAGGAGAGCATGGAATATACTTACATTTGATCATGGTGTCACTAATTGCAATCTGGACCTAGTAGGAGGCGTTCTATGGTCGTCCTGTTCTCGAGGCTGACCGAGAACTTGTGGAAACCGGCAGCGATGAGATCCTCGCAGGAGCCGACAAGGCCGATATCGCGTTCCTAGTTGTTGGTGATCCATTTGGGTATGTTCCATTCACTATCCACAGCCATTGCTACACGCGATCACACAAAGATCTACCGACCGAACTATACTAATATTGATTCCAGCGCAACAACCCACACCGACCTTGTCCTCCGCGCACGCGAGCTCAACATCCCCACAAATGTCGTCCCCAACGCCTCCATCATGTCCGGCATCGGCTGCACAGGCCTACAACTCTACAACTTCGGCCAAACAGTCAGCATGGTCTTCTTCACAGAGACCTGGAAGCCCTCCTCATTCTACGACAAAGTCAAGGAGAACGTGCAGATTGGCCTGCACACGCTCGTCCTGCTGGATATCAAGGTTAAAGAGCAGTCCATGGAGAATCTCGCTCGTGGACGCCGTATTTTCGAGCCCCCACGCTACATGACCGTTGCGCAATGCGCTAGCCAGATGCTAGAAACCGAGGAAACCCGACAGGAAGGTGTTTATGGACCGGATAGTTTGGCTATTGGTGCGGCCAGAGTGGGGGCGCCCGATCAGAAGCTTGTTGTTGGTACGTTGAAGGAGTTGAGTACGGTGGAGATGGGTGCTCCTCTGCATAGCCTTGTATTGTTGGGTCGGAGGACGCATGATCTGGAGAGGGACTATATTCGGCAGTTTGCTGTGAACGAGGAGACGTTTGATACTAGTTATGTGAAGGGGTATGGTGCTTCTTCGTAAGGGGTACATGGGTTATGGATACTTGGAAATAATATGACAATTCAAAGGCTGCATTATATTCATTGTTTTGAAAAGGAATGGTAGATCCTGGTGTTCCAGAGACTAGGTAGCCTGTGCCAGGCTAGCATTCACTCAAACATCACATTGGACATGGATTTGAGTAAAAAGAATCCCAATGGTGCTGGATGACAAACAGACCGATTGTGGACTTCTGGAGAATGATGGGGAAAAGGCAACTTAGTTTTTGTAGTGGGTACATTACCCGCCAATTCATGTTGGAGATGGTGTCATCACAGAGAATACGAAGAAATACCAGCTTCAAGGGGGGCTTTGAATGGTCTATTGTATTTGAATATAACATACAAGGACAAGTCATCCTTGAGTAGGTAATGCCCTATCAAGATGTATCTCGTCATACAGGACCCCACAAGACCAGGCTAATTAAAAGCCCAATCTCTATACTCTATATCTCTCCCAAGCCATCACACTGCGAAGACAAGCTTCTAAAGCAGTGGACCCCCAAGGAAGGAGAGCGCAGTAGACAGCACAAACGAAACATGGAGGCAAACATGAACGCCATGCAGACATTAGACGCGGTGGCAAAAAATGCTGCAAAAATAATGATAATGCAAAGGGAAATGGTATCCAGACGAGACAGGCAAAGAAAAAACAGAGATATGCAGATGGAAAATGATAGAAGCGAACAGATCAACGCTCAAATCGAGATCGTTCTTCTTCTCGTCCTTCTTCCCGGAGGCTTGAATCAAGAGCCTGCCAAAGAGAAGAGGAAGTCGATGTTCATATGGATGTTCATCATCCCAGACACAAGGGCCACCAAAGACCCCTAAACCCAAAAAAAGACCCGACCAGACCGACTCCAAATGACATGCAAAATGAGTCCAAGGCAATGTACAGTATCAAACAGATAGTAAATAAGAGAACATCGTGTCACGTCACACACTGCCTAGTGGCTATGGTCAAAGTCATCCTCCTCACCAGGAAGGACAATCTCGTGGCCAGAGCCCTCGTACACGAAAACGGCCGCTACACAGCCGAACACCGAGACAAGGGCAATAAGCCACCATGCGAATCCGACCATGCCGATATCCAGGCCATATCCGTACCAGGCACCCGAGAAAATGGGGCCGATGGTTCGGAAGGCGGATGACACGGATTGGCCGATGCCGTGGATAGTGCCGAGGACCGACGGGTGTGGGGAGCAGTTGTTGAGTAGGATGATGGAAGTGGGGAGGGTGAAGGTGCGGGCGGTGACCTGGAAGAAAAGCACGATGATGATCCAGAACCAGACCCAGGGCCCGTTGGCTTGCCCGGGAGGTGGAATTGTAGATGGTGCGAGAGAGATATAAGGAGCCAGGGCGTAAGCGAGCGGGAAGAGGGAGAGGAAGTATTGATAACTCTTGGCCGTGCCCAGACGGCCATTGATGGAGGGATAGATGGTGAATTGGAGGAACATTCCGATCATGCCGAGAATAGCGGTGGCGAAGCCGACGCTCTGCGGGAGCATACCCAGGCCACCAGTGAAGACGAATGGCAGACTCCGGGCGGGGCTAGCCGGGTCATCGGGGTCGTAGCGCGGAGTTGACAGGAAGAGGAGCCACAAGTTGTTGAAAGCACTGAACATCAAGAGTTAGAATCATAGTCTGCGGGTAAACATCTCAGTCAATGCTTACCCCATTTGAAAGTCGAAGAACGCCTGTGCCCCAAGAGTACACAAGACGTTCTTCGTCCAGATCCTACGGAAGGGCAGGGCACGCTTGACACGAATAGGCTTGGAAGCCTTCTCCTCAAGCTCATAGCTCTCGGAGCGATCCAAGGGCCGACCAAGCAGGGGACCATCTTCGTCGTAATCACGGAAGGGAAGTCTCGAGTAAATGGGCGAAGAAGTTCCAACGACAGTTCTCACACTGCGAGCGAAGAGCTTCATAGCGAAGGATCCCAGACCAGGCTTACCCTTGCAAGAAAGCAGGGTCTATCGGAAAATTGTTAGTCAATTATTCCCAACTCCATCAAATCAGTTCTTCAGAATGATGGTTCGTACCTCTTCTAGGCCGTAGCCAACCAGGCCAGCGCAAGTACACAGGAAGAAGAAATTGGCCAGCATAGGCAGGGCATAAGGGTACGTCTCCAGCCACTGAACGCCATTCTCGCCGCCAAAGGACGAGTTAGGTCCGAACAGGCGTGGGTAACTCTTGACCGGATCCGCCAACATACCACCCATAACTAAGCCAGAGTCAGCGAAACGCCCCAGGGCAACGTATGAACCCACACAGGGTCCACAGGATATGCAGCGCAAGGACACCTACCAGGACCAAACAACGACGCAATATTAAACCCAATCGGCAGAATTAAGAAAGCCCGCGAATGATACTTCTTCTCCTTGACATTCTCGGCAATCATGGTCCGAATAATACCCACAGTCCCATTAATCGCACCGCCAAACGAGCGCCAGAACACGGCCTGCGCGAACGACGTCGCAAAGGCAACACCCAAGCACGAAACCGCCGTCCCTATCAAGCCGACCAGCAGCACAAAGCGACGACCACCCCATTCCGCATCCGCAACCCGGCCCCAGGGAATCGCCGTCGCGAACTGGGCCGCGGTAAAGGCACCCTGGAGAATACCAGCCTGAGTCGCAACGTCCGAGTCGGACAGGTTCTCATCGAACGACTTGAGCTGGTAGAACATGTAAGCCTGCAGTGAGGCGATCTGGAGGAAATCGAAGACCCGGCATAGACCGAGGAGGGCCAATTGGCTCTTTCGCGGCAGGGACATCCATGTCACGGGTGCTGCGCGCGGAGTGATGGGGGCGGGGAGGGTATTGGCGGCGTTTAGTTCGGACTCGTGTAGCGCCAGGATATGGGGGGTGCTCTGGGACTGGGAGCGACCGTGCACATGTTGGATTTTGCGAGCAGCGAGATCCATCGAGGTGTTCCTCAGCATGTCGGGGGCATCGGCGCCGTCGTGGAGGTGGCCGAGAGGAGAGTCCGGGGAGGAGGGGCCTCGTCGACGCTGGCGAGGGAGAGATTGGACTCGCGGCGACGTCGAGATGGTTGTGGGAGGGAGGTGTCGGAGGGTTCGCCGGGCCCGGATGAGGTGGTGTTTAGATGGTGATAGCCACTCGACCAGGAAGTCGTACGTGCGTGGCGGGCATTATTCGATTTATGGTTCTGCTGAGACCTGGCAGGCATGGGGGGGGAAGAGGAATGCGTATGTAAGCCCGGGAAGGAGAATCGACCAAGAATCAAGCCCCGAAGGAGCACCGGGACGACGGTTCTGCTTTTGGTTTTGGGGGGTCAACGACGTCAGGTTGCGACACCTTGGTTTCACGTAATCGTTCGGTTTTGGTTTCTGTTTCTGATCCTGCAGGATGTCGTGTGTTCTTAGGACTGTTTTTTTGCTTCGTCGGATTTTAGCACGGTCGAATCATTTGCTAATAATAGTAGTAGTAGTAGTCAAAGGAATGATGGAGAAATAGAGATTTGAAGAGTCCAAGAAGCGAGAAGAAAACAATCAGTCTAGGAACTCGAGAGAAAAGAAATAATTGGATCCTCTCCCCTTTTTCCCCTTTTTTATCTATTTTTTATTTCCCTATTCACTACTTTCTTGGCTTTCTGTTCATAGTTTGGTCGGGGCTTCTCATAATTTCATTTGCCCTTTACACTTCCTTGCGTATGAAATCATCTTACGGCGTCGTTTAGCCGGGTCTCCATACTAGATTGAGAGGTCCACTCGGAGGGGGTAAAAGCATTGCAGTGGAATGTCCAGGATGGAGGACGGAGGAGGGACTATTGACTAGTATGGCTAGCCACATTACGTACGGGGTAACTCCTTGGGCCAAGGGGTTTTTCAGAAAGCCTGGTTATGCAAACCAATACAGCGGGTATCTTTTCCCGTATTAACCATATCTCGTTCTATAGTACGGAGGACAAAGTACGGAGTACAGAGATGTCCTATACATCCTTAACCTCTTCCAGACCCTACATAATCCAAAAATCAATCTCCCTCGCTCTCTCTCTATTCCTCTCTTATTTTTCCGCTCTCGTATCTCGTACCTTTCAACTTCAGACCCGCACCAAATCACAACCCTCTCTACCTCTCCGAATTGCCGTCCGATCGACACCACGACCAGGGCTTGCGACGACCGCTCCACCCGCCCTGCCGAGTCCACCGTTATGCTCCCCTGCCCTGAGCCATGACTCGCCAGCTCACCCGTACGACTTCCGACGAGGCGGTCTTGGCATGAGCGCACCGAACCGCAGTGGCTGGACGAAAACCTGCCCTGATTGAGCGAGTGGAAAGCGGGTTCGTTTTTGGATTTCTCGTTTTTTTTTTTTTGGCTCGTTCTTCTCGAAGGATTTTCCGTCTTCCCCCAGTCCCCACCTGGAGGACAAGGAGAAAGGGAAATTAAAATTATTACCGCTAATCATTGATTGTTGCCGATTAGCCCCGGAGGACGTATCCAGTACCACTGAATATGTACAGAAGTATGTAATGTATGTATGAAGCTGTATGATTGTACTGTGTCCAGTACTACGAAGTCTGCACTAAACTCCGAAACCACGTAACGGTCCAGGCGCAGTCCAGCCGACACTTTTTCCATCTACTCATTAGCGCCGCCCGGGGTAAAGCAAGGTCAAACGCAATCGTATATCGCATCGCAACAGAACGTGTCAACAGGATTGGGTCTGGGATTTCTCCGAATTGAGGGACCCAGCCACTTATGCCACATCAGCTGGGGAGAGAGCAAACTATGGTTCTAGAGGGATGCTAGTATAGATCCGATTGATCGATAAAAACGCCCCCATGGAGTGCTTTACGTATGCCTGTGGCTATCGAATCATCAGGGCAAAATGGCAAAATGGGGGCCACGCCTCGGTACTACGCAATTGCTGAGAACTGTACTACATTCGGAGAACGGTCGACGAGAGGTCATTCGTATGATGCCGAAGTGTCTACGTGTCTATATCGCAAATCCTACGAGAACAGGACAGCACTTTTCACGAGGAAAAGGATCTTCATCAACGCCGCCGGGGTTAAACCCAACCGCTGCACTGGCGGCGCCAGCGTGAAACTGTCCGTTTCAGATCCTAGCATGGTCACAATCACTGTATCAGCTACATTAAATCGAATACATCAATTAACTAATCAACTTAACACATGAAAACGATGGAGTATATATATACATTCTTCATTTCTACATACTTTAAACGATTCGGCCCGTCATTAGAGTCTTGACACAAGGGATCATCATCATCATCACGCATAATACAGAGACAATGTCACCCTACAAGGCAAAGCCAAGATCCCGCCCAGACATGTCAGACCGGTGATGGACAGGGACAAGCAATAGACCCGTGAGACGATGCGTCGGACGGAGTAATACTCCGTCCATACTTATCAAAATACAGTGCTGTACTGCTGCACATCCTGGGCTCCCTGATCAGTTCCTACTCAACCAGGTTATCGGTCTCCATCTACCCCTCCCAATCCCCCTCCCAATAACAGGCAGTGCCAACTTGGAACCTTCCCAAAACGTTTACTTAACTCGTGGTTGATCGCTGATCTCTATATCCACCATAAACTTTGCTGCCGCCTGAGCACCTCTGACACAATATACACACCCTGGGGGCCTAGTCCCATCGGAGCACCGGTGGCACCGTGGACTGGGTGCGCAAGCTGTAAGCCGCAGGCCTGATTGCTATTCTCGTACACATGTCGAAAAGCCAACAATGCAGAGGCGCAAAAGCGCCCGTTGGAGGCGGAGGACGCGTAAGGTAAATCCAACGGGAGGGCACGAGTACCGATGCCGGGTAGGTCGGCTTTTAGCAGGGCTATGGGTATGTTGGTCTGGTGAAAGGCTTGGGTATTCGTATTTCTGTATTGTTTACAGTATGGTATGTAAAATATTGTTCCAGATCTAAACGACCTAGACACCAGTAGCAACTATCACCAGAGATAGTAGTTTCCCGACACAAATGCAAAATGGCTCCGTATGTACCCAAACCACATGGCCTGTATATGATGATGACGAGAGAAGAAAAGATGATCAAAATGAAAGTGATGTCGGCTCAGCAATGCAGGGGATGAAAAATACAAAAAGATATGCAAGATAGAAAGAGATTCGAAAAGAGGGACTAGCAAAGTCACCCTCTCAGTTTTTTTAATCTGTCCGCTGGCGTCCCGGCAAACTGCGATCCGCGAGCGGGAAATAACGAGTCTCTTCCTCTGTGGTCCACCGACGCCAATTCCACCAGGGGAGATCAGGCGTCCGCGCTGGTGGAGCTTTCCGCTCGGCCATGCCGTTCAGCGGCTCAGACGACTCTTGGTCGTCCTCCAACGGATCCAGCCGTTGGCGTCGTACATGATATCGGTAGCCAAAGTAAACACCGGCAAGAAGAGGGAGGAGAATTGCAATGGTAGCGCCCCAAGCGAGTAGGCCTGTTGAGGATATGAGTAAGTTATTCTTAGGTGCAATTCAAGAGCGGAGGTACTTACGTCCAGACTGCCGGTGGCTTTGATAGACCATATGGCCTGACCCTGGACTTGCGTCTGGGCTGCTGTGGGGGAAGCCCGAAGGATACGGCCAGACAGCACCGTCATGATCAGGATCAACCCAAGGCACAGTGTTCACGCCCGGCGGAGGAATAAACGGCTCAGCTGCATCTTCACCGGGGAATCCATAGCCCGGAGAGTCCAGGCAGGTCTCGTCTAGGCAGAACTCGCGAAGTTCCGGTGACGGAACGAAGGTATATTTGATCTCGGATGTGCCAAGCACAACTCCACCCTCGGCAATTGCTTCCGCCCGCGTCCAGGGATAGAAGCTGGCATTGGTGTATTCCGTCTCAAACCCGGTCTTCGGAACCTCGTCCAGCAAAAAGTAGGGGCCGGTTATGTTGTGTGAGCCGAAAAAGCGCCACCGCTTAACACGTGTGGCGCCATTCCAACTGACATATAAGGTCGTCGGGGAGAATGGTTCCGGGGTTCGAGAATAAGACCAGAGCGCGGGCGAGTCGGTAGGGTTACCCACCCACTCGAACTTTTGCGCGCGGTAGTTCATCACGGTATCTTCAGCAAATCTAGCCCAGAGCACCAGGTTACCCGCTGCATCGTGCTCCGACACGAACGGGTTGTTTCCCCATCCGATGAAGACGTTCTTGTTCGGCAAGACCTGCACATTACCCTGGCTGGAGCTGGCCAAGTCAGAGATCGCAGGAGCGTAGTCACGGATCTGCGTGGCCGTGTCGTCCAGGTGGTTGATGATAATAATCATGCCGGACGAGTAGGCATGTGTCTGATTAAAGCCATTATACCCATTATTGTAAAGAGAGATCACTGAGTGGGTGCCATTCTCAAACAACCACCGAGCATCGTGCTGCTGTGAGAAACTGAAGTTGATATTGCGGAAGGTCGGATTCGCCCCGTGCAGTCGCCAGATGACGGAGCCATCCTTGCCAGAGATTTTGTAGATGGCGCATGTGTGTCGAGAGGAGATAAGATAGTCGCCGTCGCGGTTCTTATCAACCGAGTTGATATGGAAGTAGTCCCATGGTTCACGCGCATTCAAGCCGGTGCCGGAGGTATCGGTGTGTGATGGCCAGGTATAACTCATGGATGGGTCGACATGATCCAAAGAGCGCCACTCAAAGAGCACTTTGCTCGTTTCCACGTCGATTTCTTGGAAAACACTCTCCATCACCCAACCCACACCGGTCTTGACGTTCCATGGGGTCATATCGAATTGGCGCTGCTGGTAAACAGTCATAAGTGCGGTCTTGCCGTCATTGATCGGAAGGAACTCGTGCATATCGCTCGATGCCATGCCTCCGCCGGGCTGCACCGATCGCACAATGCGGTATGAATTGTCCAAGATGATTCCATGTCCGCGACAGTATCCTTTTTGTTGGTTCCCCTGGAAAAAGCACAGATGGTCGGCCCCCTTATACTTGCACACATGCATGCCATGGGCATTGCCCGGTCCTGAAGCACCCCAGCCACTCCATACCAATTCCTGTTGCGATTCAAATTTCCATCAGTTTTTCGTTCTATGCGCTGGAGGGTGCGCCCCCCTCAATGATGTCAAGCATACCCCTGTATTATCGTAGATATAAGGTCCCGGGTTCTGAGATTCGTAAGGTGTGATAAAGATATAACCCGGCGCAAGCTTGTCTGGTTCGGATCGCTCGATATGGAGTAGGGGGGGGATAGATGTCAGGTCGCTGTTGGAGAGAGAATGGAGGTGGTTAGATAGGACAAGGCGAAAAAGATACGACGCGCATATGCCAGGCGCACGATGAAAGACCGGGCGACTGGCATGATCGACCGCAGTTATTCTGGTTGGGTACATACCGACTTGTAAAATGCGACCTCCTCAGCGACCGTATCTCGCAGGACACATAGCAGCAGGCCGAGGAGGAGCGCGAGGGAGGGACCCGTCCTCCAGGAGAAGATGGTGGCGATCATGGGTCCTCCTTTACATCACTCCCACAACGTATAAATCGAGGACGCACCAGGTTCCGCACGGGGAGAAGGAAGGGGGGGGATTAGGGGAGAGAAGAGCTGGATGTCGGAGCATGCAAGGAGGATCGAAGCCAAGAAAGAAAACCCGAACATCACGGGAAAGAACTCCTTAGGGATCGCCACGGAGAAGAGGAGAGGAGAGGAGAGGAGGGGAAAGGGTACGAGTACGTGGTCCACTTTGTTCAGCGTCTCTCTCTTTCTTTTCGCTCGCGGTCTCTTTTTGCAGAGGCCATTCCAATCACCCGCCGGTTTCCATGCCGCGTCTCCAGCGGCGGAGACTGTTGCAGGGAGGTGGAGCGACGTGGGTAGGGTCAAGGGTCATTATTGGCGGAGCCAAATCCAAGCTACTGATGAAGATGCTGCATAAAGTGCTTGGCTTGTGGCCTGCCGCTGCCAAGAAGAAACCAGCAGTTTAGATTGCGGGGAGAGCCTGGAACAGTGAACTTCCAGGACCTGGCGTTCGCATGGTGATGCAGACTCCGAAGGCCCTCATGGACGTCATGTCAAGTTGAAAGTTGAATTTGAGAAGAACTGAATGTCTATCGATTGAATGGCCTCGCCTTTTTCCAGGCACTGGCTGGGTACGGGGCCAAGTTGGGTACTGTGGTACGGTAATGGTAATGGTAATTCGGCCTGGCCCAGGCCACGTCATGCCCGCGCAAAGCGGATGGCGCTCAGACCAAGTTTGACTCGGGTCTCCGGTAGACATTGACTTTTGTCGTCGTACTCCGTACACATTCCTGAATAGTTCGAGCACAGAGAGTCAGATCAGTAGTTCATGAACTCCAGTGGACCAATCTGCGATACACTCAGAACCTCGTGTCGATAGTCTTGTTTGCAACCCGTCAAAATCCACATTTCAACACCTAATCCGGAAATGAACCACGTGTGGGTGGCTGATGATTCTTTGGACGGAGCACTTGGCTTCCATCGCCAAGCCGGTCCGTGATGCAGCCACCTTACGCCACGCCACACCACAGTGCAGACTGCAGAGAACCTCGAGCTTTCGGGTGTACGCGCGGTCTCTTTCATGCATACGTCTCGCTTCGTTACGTGGACCGCCACACTGTGAACCTATCCTCAAAACTATATCCATAGCTCGATAGAGCGTATACGGAGTACTATATACAACATCAATCTAATGAATCATCGATAGACCCTCTAAATCGGTATCAGTGAACCTATTTGACATTCTGTCGCATGTAAGACCTGTACTCTTACCCGCGAGTCAGAGCCCACTAGATCTCCGAATGCAAACGGCCCACGATCCAAGGGTCAAACCCTGCAAGGCATAGTATACAGTACTCCGAACTCATGTCAAATAACCTCCTCTCTCAAAGTCAAGATCAAGCCGTACTGTAGCACAGTCCCGTATCTAAATCCAATCACCATCTCACCTGACTCCGATACTTTGACCCAGACTTACGATGCGTCACAATTGATACAATGTCCTCGTCATCACGTAGCACAAAGCAAACCACACCAATCCCATAATCCACATTATCTTACTGTTGATCAATACACTATGCTATATTCTCAATAAGCTTAGTAGATCTTAAATCATACCACGTCTCCCCCTATAACTCCAATAAGCAAGCCGACTACGTAGCAACCCCTCCACCAGTCCAAATTAGGTCCTGCAATCACTACAGTCCCCTGTACAGTAGCGAATACTCCGTACTGTAGTTCCTTAAAAAGAAGGGGACCCACCCTGAAACCGAATAACCACGGAGCGCCCAGCGACATGCCGCAGGAGCACAACTGACTCGCGGCACTCACCAGCGGAACTGCGGAGAATTGAGTATACGACTGAAAGTATATACCGGACTTGCTACTCTCAGCCAGTAACAAGGCTTTGAGCCTATGGGTCCCCACAAACCCCCGAATCCCCGACCCGAATAGCCTGCCAAGCCGCTAGCTCGGCCAAGCAATAATCGCCCTGGCATGCGTGGCCCTCTGGCCTGCAGGTTCTTTCTTAGTGGCCCTTGGTCACAGGGGGCTATTCGTACGAGTACGAAGGGGCGCTTGGGTAATGATTGACCCTACCAGTACCATTGTGCCTCGCCCCTGAATACAAGAAAGTTCGGAGAGTTAGAGGACTGCTACAAGTGTCGGGTGTCTGGCTCCGTTGATCCGCGTGGGTGCTTGGCTGTTGTAACTTGTGGGTGAGGTTGAGGAATTGGGAGGTTATAAGTTTGTAATAGGTATTGGAATTGGATTGGGTTGGTATTTTTGCGTTTCACTATTGAGATGCAGCCTAACGTAACTTGTTACTGTATTCTGAAGCTAATGTACAATGCCAATTCTATAGGAATCCCGGCGTGCTGTACTCTGTGTAATCGAGCTGCGAAACTTTGGCTTTTGTATGGCTTCATCCCCCTGCCATGTGCAATTGCAAAAATGACATGAAGCAAGCTTAAGCCCTACATATGTACATGTCGAGACAGCCCCCCTTACTTCCATTCAAATGCACGATGATGAAATCCGTGTTTTGGAGGGTGGAAGTGAAAATGTCCACCCCCTTCAAGACCAACTTCCGTTCTGGAGTGCGTCCATTCCTCGAGTCAGGTGGAAGGTATCTCCCCTCCTAGCTAGATGTGTTACTGTTCACAAGGCTACTTCCAAGTATACTAGGAATGACAAGTCGGAAATATGGACTGCACAAGATTGGATGGAAAGATTTGATCATGATATGTATGTACTATATACTAAACAAGAATTACCTGCAATGAAAACGACCGTCCCTCGCGTGGGTTGTGACCGCACAGAGAGGGGGAAAGATGTGGGGAATATTAAGAAAAACCGATCATGCACAAAGAAGAAAGAGAAAAAGCTCCAGGTGAATCACTTCCAATGTGATGATGGAGGAGAAGAAATGACATGACCACGAAGAGCTCTTGATTCACAGTCCCGGGGGTGCCTGCACTTGCCGAGCCGAATCAAGAAAAAGAATGCCAGAGAAAGGAAAATAGATGGGAATGCAAGGAGTTTCTTCCCTCCACCCGTTGCATCCTTTTTTTGGTTCTGTTCTTGTTTTGTTTTGTTTTTTTTACCGGGAGAAACGCTTGAAGGCCATGGTGGCAGCAAAGCCAGTGGCCAACAGGGCACCACCCATAGTGACAGCCTGCAGAGCGGCGTTCATCATCTGGTGGCGGTTGCGGGTGCTGCAGCGCTTGTAGAAGTCGGCCATGTCGTTGCCACGGGGGAAAGGTGTATCGGGGACCTCCTCCTCGAGGAACTCGCACAAAGGAGCCCAGCCATCGTTAATATTGTACTCCAACAGGCGGTCCGCGGGCACCAGGCTACGGACCTCGGCAACGTGCTCGTTGTAAACCTGCTTGCCCTTGCCGGGGAAGTCTCCACGGAAGAAGGTCTCGAAGAATTTATTGAGCATAGGGTAGTACATGCCGGCGGCCCAGCTGAAGTGCGAGACAAACTTGTGCTCGGGGTCGCTGACGCGCCAGTGGACGGTCTTCATGACGGAGGCGTGCCACGGGTCGACATCGCGGGTGGTCATAATGACCTTGGCGTTGGGGTAGGCCTCAATGAGCTCTTTAGCAAACGCGCAGGCAGGCCAGTCACACACGGCCTGGCAGTCGCCCAGCAACTGGTCCCATTCCTTACGGCCGAATTCGCCAATACCCTTGTACTTGGCGTTCAGGGCATCGTGCCACATGAGGCAGTCCGGCGGGTTCTCAACACTGGCGCACATCATGTGGTAGCACTTGGTGTATCCCAGGCGCTCCAGAGCCTTGCGGAGGGCTTGATTTGCGAAATTGTGGTCAGTTTTTGAGGTGTTGCTTTTGGCTTATCTGTATAGGGTTATCACTCACAGGCAGTACCAGTACGGCCAACACCGAGGGCCAGCACCTTCATGGGCACCGTCCGGTGGCACTTGCGACGGTCAATGCATGTGTCGTCGGTGAAGACATCAGTCAGAGGCTGAGGAGCCAGGTTATCGGAGAGCATGAGCGACATGATGAACGATTGCAAGTAAACTCCAGATAATCAATTCGAATATGATAAGGGAATTAAGGTACGAGAGGATTGTAGAAAGAAGGTTCTGCACGAAGCGGGCGAGGAGTGGATAACAAGATATAACGAAGGGACAAGACTATAGAAGAAGTCTAGAAGGGGGGGGGGGGCGGGTTGATATGTAGAGACAAGGGGTTGAAGTGGTGGGAGGTGGAAAGAAAAGAGAAAGGGAAAATAATAATGTACAGCTTCGACTGATTTCCCCCCTCCCAAAAGATCGATTGAGAACGATTGCAAGTGGGCATCTGTCAGAGCCGCGAAGCCAATGAGAATGGGGCATAGCGCATTCACGGTTTGCAAAGGCACTTGCCCCCGCGAGTGGCGGCGAGTTTCCACTCGTTCTGCGGGCTGCGGGCTTGGCCTCGCCTGTCAATCATTTCCTTTTCGTTCTCGCAACCTTGTCATTCTGTGCCAAATTGCTCTGGCTATTCTGATTTTCTCCAGCCTCGAGGGGACATCAGGGACACGCATTGAGTCGACGTGGACCCTGCGGAGGACAGTCGTAATCGTAGATGTATCGTCGCCATATACGAAAATAGTTGGCGATCAGACTGTATCCACGTTCTCGAGATTGAGGCGTCGAGCACAAGACGTCACAGGCTGACGCAGGGGAGGGAATAGTCAGGGGTTGGCCAGTTGTGGAGGGGGAAGCCTGTCCTCCTGGTAATTCTCGTCAGGAAATCCGTGGACCAGAGAGTCGGTAAATACCCGTACAGGCTGTCCGGGTTGCAAAGACTGGTTGGTGCAAATTACCCGGACAGTGGGCCGTTCTCCGTAGGAATGGACAGCCAGTTGCAAAGCCAGTTGAACTGTTGAAGGAAGGACGGGCGTAACAGATACGCGGTATGTACGGTGTATGTACTCGGTATCGATGAATGGTACGGGCTGCGTACCAACCCCATCACCAGCATTTCGCTCGACTCAAAGATTCCTCACAGCCCAGACCTTTGCCAAGCCCCGAACACCGCGTAGGCCTCCGTCGCAAGTCCACCCATCCAGCAAGTCCCAACCCAATTCCAGCGAGCTAATCTCACTAGTCGACGACGACCGTGTTTGCCCCCGTTCCACTCCATCGACGATCAAACGAGACTTGTTTTTTATCTCGGCTCTTGGAAAAGGATGATCCCTGCCTCCGCTCGTGCTGATTGGTGGGGCTCGGCAGAGGGCAACGCGTCCACTCTGGTGGAGAATGCGAGGTTCCTGAAACTCTGGCCGGAAGGGCGAGAGGGACATCACGCCGGTGTTGAGATGCCATTGGTGTGGTTTGGGCTTGGGTCGTATCCGTGTCACATTTTCCATCCATACTGGGAGACGGTTCGACGGGGAAAAAGAGACAGAGGGAGGAGTTGAAACTTGGTTTCGATAACGTGGGTTCTCCGACGGGTGCCCGTCATCTTGCCTAATCTGCAGAACCCAAAAAGGGTATCTTCAAATTTGATAGCAAGATTAATTCACCTTCCCCCTCCAAACTCTATCCCAGTTCCCCGCTAATCCTCGCACATGAAGTTTTCCTAATCTTGCTCCTAGGAGAGAGGGGGCGGTACCGAACTTTCAGAGCCCAAAAAAGCCACGAGATGAGCTGCCGCCTTGACTTCGTCCGTAAAGAGTCGTGGCGTCCCGTCTCCACCAAGTTGCTCCGCAGATTGATTGAACCCACTTGTCGGATTGCCAGCGACAGGTCTGGTCGTGGTTCGAGGCCCAGGCGGGCGGACAAATGTCCTCATGCCAAGAAAATCCAATATTCCCTCGACCGAGAATCAATTCGGTAAAATGGTTTGTTTTTTTCCAGGTTTCGTTTCCCGGGAAAGAACAGTCAACGAGTATCGAGTACGAGAAGGATCCGGTGGGCTTTTCTGGGTTAGAGATACTCCAAACGGAGTAGTCGGGAGACAGTGAACCGAATCAACCCAATCAGTCGCGGACGAGGCGCCTGAGCACGAGGAAGCGTCGGAGATTGCATTCTGCTGAGTGAGGAAACGTTGACTGTGAGGCTTTTTTTTTGGTTTCCGTTAGTACCTTCCACTTGCTGGACTGATCATCCTGGATTGGAGAAGTATTTCGGTCAGGAAAGACGACTCCCGAGTCCAGACATGGTTGTTCAGCAAGTGGGTTGGTTGATCGGGATGATCAGTGTCAATAGTGTCTGCCATGGCAGCGGTGTGTATGTATCAGTAAGTATGTTAGTATGTTAGTGTGTAGTAGATGTAATGTAAGTGTTGCCGTTCCAATGTGCTGGTTCGTCGCAATGAAGTCTTCTCAGGAGTAGGTCCCTGGTTGCATGTCGGCGTAATAGACATAGATATCATCACACCTTCATGATGATCATCTCTTTCAATTGACGGACAGCAAGGTCAACCAAGAAGTCAAAGCAACCAAAAGAGTGAACCAGCAAGAGAATCTCTTCTAAGCCCCCAACCCAGTCAGTCAGGGAGTTGGCGTTCAATATATGGTCAGTGCCAAGACCGCGTTGTGTTGTTCGCCATCGATGAGCACAATCACCTCACCCCAAGCCCAAGACCGTTCAGGAAACTAGTCATGTTTCGATGGAACCACGAGGTTGATTTAAACAACTTCCATTCCAATCGTCAAGCTTAAAACCATGCGATCCATTGGGACCAGTCGTCCCCGCCGTGTGCATCGACGGCATCGTATCTCGGCAGTTGGGATCGCGGGAGCCTGGAGAGGGCCCTCCGAAAAAGAGCGTTATACGGGTACGGTGAACCCTCGATGCCAGGACCCCCTAGACCCTCGGACGAAAATTGAAGAGAAGCAAAGACTAAGAGAATACGAATGGGTCTTGGCAGGGTCTCCAGATTGGTGGGTGATTTCGACATTCGCCCCAAAGTGGTGGCATATTTTCAATATCTATGGCATCATTGATCTCCTGAACGCTCAGGCACTAGATAGTCAATTCGTAAATTAAATCACTTGCAATGACACAATGTTCCCAGGCCCGATGGTAAGTAAATAGTACGCCTGTCCCGAAAATAAAAACAAATAAAACGCCATGCCCATGTCTTGTGGTGCTCATGCAATCTCAAAGCCATACTGTGCAATGTACTCCATAATGTGTCCGAGAGGCTGGCTTCGATTACCTCGCTGCGAACGCCCAGCAGCACCTCATCACTCCAGCTTATCCAAATGTTCAAGTCGCGTCAGCACGACTTGCTTGCTCGTCTCTTCAATCTCGCCGGCAAGGAAGACTTCATCCAGGATGGCGTAGACCTAGCACAATCTCCGAATCAGTATTCACTCGACACTAATCTCCCAGCTCCGTTCCATCTTATCACCCATCCCATTACACACCTTGTAAAAGTTGAAAACAAGATCCAACTCGCACACATTCCCAAAGAATTGATCCAGCACCTCGACGAAGAAATGAATAGCCTCCAAGTATGCGAGCTCATTGTCGTTAGCGTCCACGCAAACGCAGAAGAACAACCCAGCGTATCGGCGGTACACGATCTTAGTGCTGCGGCGGAACTCGACAAAATTCGACTGATACTTTTGATCTCGGGGGGCAACGAGGCGATGCACCTGGTGATGGTGGGTTAGTGTTATGTGCTTCCGTTGGAGTAGGTGCTAGTCTGCCCAGTCGATAATCGCAGCGACACGAACCTCGCCCTTCAATCTGACTTTTTCTTCATCCTGGACTTGGTGTAAGCTATTGATAGTTCGAATTGCGATTGGTGTCACTCACGCTATAGGGTGCATACCACTTCGCCAGGCGCGTTTTGCCCCTATATCCTCGTCAGCATGGCGGACTACGAGTCGTGGTGATGCATACTCACTGGCGATTCTGAACAAGAATGAAAGAGAGGACCATTGTTGGATACCAGATCAGGGATCACCGGGCCAGCATCGGTGATGCTCTTTGAGGTGTGGGTTGCCGCGCAAGCTGGGGAAGATTCTCCGCTGGTTCCGTTATCGTGAAGCTCCCCTCTCCATATTGCCTATTTTCACCGCCTAGGTGGACACTATCGTAGCATGATGCATAGCTAACGCAGGGAAGTGGGCTCGGTGCATGCAATTTACGTTAGGATAGAGTCGGAAATATAAAGGTTTGATTTGGACTGTTCGATCTGGAATACAAGTCCAATAAGCAAGTTAAGAGCTATGGAGTCAACGCATTTAAAGTGATATGTGAGAGTACAGACATTATATCTGCACAAGTTTGGAAAGAATCGAGAGGCGTAAGGCATAGGAATCGTTAAACTTCTCAAAACAGTGGGTTCTCTGTAGGAGAGCGCACACTGGGAAGTCAAATGACGAGAGGTCATTTCCATGGGTTGGGTCAACGTCGGATTGTAGTACAGGATTGAGGGCGGAGGCGTCCATACGTTCATGAGCTTGAAGTGCTCATGCGATTGAACAACCGAGTCAATCGAGCCTAACGGGACACAAAATTAGCGCGTGGAAGTTGAAGAACTAAACTCCGGATCTGATACATACCGTATAACTCTGTGGCGTCCCCGGCTCTGTCTGACTCCCCGTCTGACTCTCCAACTTCTCATCCACATAGCTCTCCTCGTCCTCATACTCATCTTCGTCCTCGGACGGCGGAAACCAGCGGTCCGGATCCCCATTGTAAACCATAAACCAACCGATTTTCTCTCCAGACGCCAACCGATCGCGCAATTCCTCCAGCGCCTCCGTCGCATCAGCTGACAGGCCAGACCCCTGCTCGACAACGTCCTGCATATTCAGACCTGGACTCGCTCCCGCCCCATCCGGGATAGTCACCACCTTAACAGCGACGTAGGCATAATCCTGGCTGACTGTGTTGCTGGATTCGTCTTGTGGGTCGTACTGCTCGATGAATTGTAGCTCTGGCAGTCGTGGCATGAGGTCGGGTTGTGTCTTTTTTAGTGATTCTGTGACCAGCTCTGTTGTCAGCGGTTGCTGGAGGTACTCGGCTGCGGCTTCTTCGAGATTGTGGAGGACGACGTAGACACGGATTCCTGTGAAGCCTGCGCGCGGCCACCGGAATCCGTGGAGCATGTAGACGGGCATTTGTATAGTGGTGGAAAGTTGGGAGGAGAGGCGGGAAGGACAGGGACAAGTCGTAGGTGAGCGTGGCTTTGGTGCGCTAGCTGGTTGCTAGTTGGTTGGAGAGGTCTTCGCGCAGGCTGTAGAAAGGAGAGAATAGAATGAGAAGGGATAGAGCATGTTAGACTTGCGACATGGTTTTTCGGGGGCAGGAGGAGGGGGTCCTGGCTTTGTGAGTTGTTGGTACGAGGGCGCTGTGATGCATCGGATTTTGGGGTTTGCAGCTTCCCTTTTCCGGCTTGGACTGGGCCCGCTTTTAGTCTCAACGGGTCCGATTGATCGTTGACACTTGCGTCTGACACTTTTGACACCTGCATCTAAATTGTCGAGCGTTCACGGTGAATTCGAAATTTAGATCTCAATGATTTTAGATTGACCACCTTGGAGCCATGGTATGTATTGATTGTGGTATCGGGTTCGGGTGGCGGGGTGGGGAGTGGATTAAGGTTGTATGCCACTGTATCGATCTGAGATCGCCTGGCTAGATCTAAGATCCCAGATCCAAAATAAGTCGAGTTGGGTTTATTTACATACAATGATCAAATCAGTATTCAACCCGATCTGGAAGGCTCTTGGCCACTCAGTTTACTATCTCTCGGCAATCAAAGCAACGGTCATAAGAGTGCAGGTGCCCGTATAAGCGTTGAAGCTGTCAAGTTCGATTTGAAACCCATCTAGCTCATGCAGAACTAGGCATATTAGAACGAAGAACTACTCAGAGACAACACAACCGTAAATGACAGCAGATCAGCCTATGTCGAATTAAGTTTGCAATGACAGAAACTCCTACAACTCCTTCACGAGATGCCAGCAAAAGCCCCGCCCAAGGTCTTCTCAAGTCCAGATAAGGTCGAATTTGTAGAAAATACGTTCGAGAGAGAGATTGATCCACAGAATTGAGAGAGTTTACCGGAAGGCTGCATCCTCAAGGTTTCCTTTTGAGATCCGCAAATCTTCGTGTCAGCTCGTCCAGCTCGGGAATCCCACTATTATTGTTCTTGCTGGCGCCAGCCTTCTTAGTAGCACCCACTCCGTTTTCCTCAGAACCCGGCACCTTCACCCGAGGGTTAGGATTATCAGTCCTGGGTGCTGGCGGTGCAACACTAACAGGGCTGCGCCCTTGTAGTGCAGCAGGGCCGCGTGGGGGAGTCGCTTTATTCAATTCGCTCGTTTCCGACGCCCGCCTTGCCTCAGAGAGGCTCGGTTGCGATGCAGGGTCTGCACGTTGCTTGTTCGGAGTCTGGGGGAGGTCCCCTTCTTGGTCCTCGTCCGCACCACCCTTGGCATCATCGACAAACTCTGGGGGTGCTTCCCCGAGTTCTTGAATATCCTCTCCACCCGGCCACTCAACACCATATGCCTTTGCAATCTCCCGCAAGTAGCTTCCAACCAGCTCTTGTGTCGGCGGGCGCACTCGTAGTCCCTTCAAAAGTCGATCTGGAACTTTGGCCGAATCGACTTTGTTGTCCTGCGCCATGGTCATGAATTCCTTGCCGTATCGTTCCCCAAGCATCGTGCGAAGCATGGTGAGCTCGCGCAACTCGTGAGGGAAGCGATGCCAGGCATAAAAGATCGCAACTGCAGCCTCGTCGAGCGCAGTATCCATGTATGGATTTTCTTCTTCCGAAAGCTCCCCAGCGCCCTCCAAAGGACTGGTAGCAGCCACTATATTCGCCTCCTTCTTCTGCGATCCTCCTAACCAAGAGAAGCCGAAGCGAGAACCGGTAGACTCGGGCGCAGCAGATGTCGCTGCTTTCTCACCGGTCTGGGCTTGAGTCTGCTTCTTGTATAATTCCTTGGCGCGCAGGCGCGCGCGTGTTCCCTGCTCTCCAAACGCCAGTTGATCGAGTACGTTGGCGCGCGCCAACAGCAGTTCACAGTATAGTTCGACCATCTCCATTACCTCGACGGCGATGTCTGTCGCGATCACATTTTCGACTCGGATGCGAGCGGACGCCTCGCGGTTCTCGCTGAGAAGCTGGGAGAGCTCGCGACGTTGGACGACGGAGGATGCGGTGTCTTTCTTCTGGAGAAGGCGGAGACGCGGAATGAGGAGTCGCAGAGTGGAGACTAATCGAGTCTGTTAAGCGCCTTGTCAGTTTCTTCATTATCAAAATGCTATGTCTGCTCGCGAGGAGCTCGAAGACAACGCCGCGGTACGAGAGGGGGAGCCATGATAACCATGCGGGGTAGACAGGACGAGTATCAGGGCGAGGTTGTAGATGGACCAGGGGAATATGTGTAGATGAGAGGACTGCAAAGATCCGCTGGACTCTTACCGTCTGCGCCGAGGGAGGCATATTGGATGATGCTGGTGAAATGCGTGAGAGGAGGAGTGTCAATGAGAGGCGGGGGATGGGGGCATTTAGGCTGCTGCGGGTCCAAACTGCCAAGCTGCCCACCACTAAGAAGTATACAAAGCGAGGTATATCCGCGTCAAAAATTACTGATAAGAAATATGTGCATTCAAGCCAACATTTTTGAGATATTCCATACTAAAACACATGAGATCTCAAATACGCCAATCTTGGATTCGAACCCCAGTCGACCCAAGTTTCGACCTCGCTGGCGCCCCGACATACGCTTAATCAATCGTTCCACACTCTGCGCGAACGCGGTAAGTAGTAGCTCTCGAGAAGAATCAGGAAGTATACCTAAACTTACTACTTAGAAAAGCTATAACCTTGAAGGTATTTTAGCCACTAGGTAAGCTCTAACTACAGAGACACTTTAGTAGTATACTTCTAGGCGGTGATCTATAGCCCTTATTCTGCCTCGTCCGCTAACCTTTCCTGGAGATCCCGGTTAACCTAGCCCTAAATAAACTCTGCCTCGGATACTGTACTAGCTAGCCGTTATGGCCTAATCAGGGACGGTACGATTACACTAAAGAAGCCGCTCCCTAGACCGGATATAAAGAATCGCTGATAGCTCACTTATTCTACAACGGTAGCTATATCAGGCTTAGTTTTATAAGCCCGGCCACGGGGTCGTCGGGTCTCCGGATATATATTCGCTAGATAGCTACGTATTGTCGCTAACGCTCGCGATATATATAAGCAGAGCGGGCAGCGTAAGCCAGGGTAGACAGGAAGACCGGGGATAGGTACGGAGCCGGGTAGAGGGAATTTACACGGCTTACGCGTCGGATCCAGCCAGGGCCGTTTTAACATCTCAGCCAGTGCAGCCTGACGAAGTTCCGCGGTGCTGGCGCGTGGATCGCGTCGATGATGGCTGTAGAGATGAGTGTCGAATTGACGGGAAGAAACGGCGTAACGACAGTCGATGCAGATCCAGATTTGGTACGTTGCGTTGTATGTAAAGAGATCCATCTCAAGATACTGGACCGTCTGAGCCTCGCGCGGACACAGTAGTTAGGAAGGTGAATCAGTGAATTTATCTCGGGCCGCAACAGAGAAACATGAGCAGCGAAAGGACGGGAACGCAACCACAGACACGGTCACAGTCACGGTCACGGACGCGTCGTGCTCAAGAGCCGCCACTATTCCTACACAGGCCATGAAAAGAAGCAATTATGATATAGAGTAACTAGCGGATGTCGCCCAAAATATGGATGTGCCAGACACGCACCTCAGGGGGACGGGAGCACGCACGAGGCAGGCAGGCCGGCCAATCAGGGGACGAGTAATTCGAATGAGGGCTGATCTGTTCATGTACTAGGGTATAGAAAACTAAACTATTTCGCCGCGCGATAAAGACTTAAAGACGCACAATACTGTATTAGACTATATAGATATATATTACGAGTCTATTTACCTTTATCCCTCTTATAGTCTATAGAAAATATTAAAAGAAAATCATTACTTTGCGAATTTAATCTCGTAATTCAAGTTACTATATCATGAATAGCACGATGAATTTTAATTTAAACTCTACTAAACCTCGGATAAGATTAGCTAATACTTTATATCTCCAGGCTGGCCTTGACATAGTTGTCGTTTTATATAGTATCCTCTTATTTAATAGCTAATTTTTCAATCTTCGGAAGATTGATGTTCTCGTCTCTTTCAATCCTATGCAATCTGATCTGCTCGTCCTCTCCCCTCTCACAGTTTTCGTCGCCTCCAATCAAAAAGGAGCCAATATCAAAATTCATGTCACGAGATTTCCATCCATTTTCCAATGCTTGTCTGATAGCCCATCGTGACACATCATCGAAGGCATCTTTCCAATCTCTAATAAATTCTTCGGCTTCTTCCCGGGACTTAAAAGCCCCGTGACAGGCTTCTGCAAGGTACTTTCCAGGTAATAATTTGACCGGGCCGAAACTAAGCATAATAGCTCCGTGCGGGAGTACTTACCGTGGTCGCACCTACGGACTTAGAGCTGCATTTCTTCAACCCCCTTTTTGTGAGGGCCAAAGAGGTAGTTGAGGGATTGCTGACACGGCCACTGTTGATTCTCAATAAATTGATAACAGTCTGTACCACTTCGTTGATCAAATTAAATAAACTGGTCCTGGAGAGATAAAAGGCGGACTAATTTTGAAAGTTCAATGACGGCGGGTGGAATGACTGAGGTGGTGACAGCAATTAAAATTCAAGTGTTTAAAATTTTAATATGAGGCCGTTGAAAGTGTTGCGATGTCTTTGTAGAATAGTCGCGTTGATTGAACAGGATTAGCTGAACGCAGTGCCTTCTCCACCTAGATCTCAGGTCCGTGCATTTTCCTAGTACTGTAACCACCTCCGGCAGGAAATAGTGCTGACTTGTTGGAAAGGCCCTTCGAATGCAAACCCCGCCGCCCATGTCCTCCACCTCACATCACACGTTCATTCTTCCTCATTAGAGCTGACCACGTGCTAAAACGATGCCCCTCAAGATCGATACAACTGCCCTCATCGTGTTGGTTGTGGTAAGATATTGAAGATCCAGCCTGGCGATGACCTCCGCTGATCAATTTCGCCACGAGGACGGGGCCATCTCCTTGATCCTTGGAGCGTGAGTTATCGTGTTCCTCATCACATCTCTAGGTAGCGTGTATTGAAAGAGCGACTAACAATCCTCTCATGGAACAGGCTATCTTGGGCTCGCACCACCGCACTGCTTCTTCCTCTACCTACATCTGTTCCAGTCACCGCGACACTCCTATCCCCGATCACAGTACTCACACTGATAGCCACGCGAGTGTTTTTCCAACGGTCGGACAATGAGACACCTCGCAATTGTCGATGGAGCACAATATCAGGTTTACTCAATCGGGTTCAAACCGTCATATCGACCATCGTGGCCACAGTAGCGCTTGCGTACATCTTCCCCGACAGTATTCTCTCATGTAACCTAGATCAACTTAGGTCATGCGAGGGGTACCTTAAGCAACTAAATCATATAAGCTATTGTAGAAGACGTTAAGCAGCATGAAAGCCATATCAACATTAAAAAGGATAAAATTAAATGGACAAAACACTCCCGATTGATCTGCCAGCACCCTCCTCCAAATATGTCGTAATTTCACACTAAAGAATTCATCCTTCTGTTCATGAAGAATTTTTGAGAGAATGGGACCTGCATCTCATTTCGATGGGCTGGTATGGCCGCTTGGAGATCTAAAACAGAGGAAGGAAGATAGACCCGCCAGTAGGGACGTTCCCGCTGATTGGGACAAGAATATTAGTTAATGCTTCAACAAGCAGGAATCTCCGAATGCTTCAACCTTACCCAGCGCGCAGTTCATAGGGTAGTAGCCAAAAGCCTCAGACATAGAGCCGGACATCAACGGTCCAAGCATCATTCCGGCATTAAATGCCACTTCTGTCATGCCGAAGATTCTAGAGTTCCCGCCGTGGGAACCGAATATATTAGGGTTTTCGGATTGAAGCTCGTTGGTGACAACTATCACATAAACATGTTGGCCATCGAACAGCAGAGAAACTGACAGAATTTCAGACTTACTTGCAACCTGGAACGTCCCCGCTCCACGAAGTAATACTGAAGCAACACCAATTCCGATGATACAAGCTATGGTCACGGCTTTGCCATTACCCTCCGGGTCCGCCCATTCGAATTTTCCCGGGGCTGCCAAGAGCCAGAGTAGTGGCGCCAGAATCGCCCAGCCTACGGAAGTAGGGGAACGTGGTCCCAGACGACCGCGAAGCCAGCCGGCCGCAGCACCCAGTAACATACCGGGGATCTGAAAGCCCAGGAAAATCATGCCGACAGCCAAGGAGCCCCAGCCAAAGACCGTGTAGAGATGCAAAGGAAGTGTGGCATCAAAAGCGGCAAGGATTGCTGAAAATGACATCGTATTAACCAGACCAGAAATAATGCGTGGATCACGGAGCACGATATAATAGAATCCCTTGAGCTTAGCCGGTAGCGTGGTTTGATCCGCACTGAAGTTTGTTGACTGGTAGTCGTCGTTATCGGAAGGAATCAACCTTGTGTATTCGTCGTCCAATCCTCCTTCAATGCCGTTATTCATAGGTGCGTGGGTGCATGTTGGTGAGGCGCAGGAGCCGGGAGACTCTGGGGAAGCATCTACCATGAGCAGTCGAAGGATGCAGTCGAGAGCAAGGAGGGCGAGCGGAGCCGCGCAGGCAGGCCAGTATCCTGATAATTCGAGTAGTGCTCCTGAAATGACCGGCCCGAGAGTGACGCCAGCTGTCACAAAGGACATCGCGAGGCCCATCACTTTGCCCATATTTTCTCGGCCTACGTTATCCGCTAACGTCGCAAATGCCGTTATCCAAACGGCGGATCCAGCAGCTGCTTGAAGAATACGCCCTAAAAAGAGAGTCCACACTGTGTATCAAGTTGTCATTAGCCCTTAAAGATTGGTGGTGGAGACGAGGGGAAGACTATGGTATGTACCAGACAGTGTCAAGGATACGAAGATAGTCCCTATAATGCATCCTACAAGAGATACCAAGAGAGGGATCCTTCTGTTTGACGTTTTGTCGGCAAAATGAGCAATCACCGGAGCCGATATTAACGACGCGAGGCCGTGGGTTGTGAGAAGAGCGGTGGTAAATCTCTGTGTACGGGACGAGTCAAGCTGCAAACGGACTTCCACAATATAACCCATGATGGGAACGACGAAACTATAGAGGATATTATCTGAACGATTTGGTTAGCCATGGAGGTTGCAAGGCCAACGTATGCATAAAGGAGGGAGTAAAATACCAGTAAATAACGCTATCATAGAAGTAGTAATGATGAAGGTGTTGGATGAGCGCCATCGATAAGCCCATGGCTGTGCCATGGTGGAAGTTGCCATCTTCATCTTGTTATAACGGACTGAGCTCCAGATGCGTTCAGAATGGCAACGGAGGGCAACTGGTATTTGAGAGGATGTAAGCGAGAATATCCCATTGCATGATTCCCAGCTAATGGATCATCCCCTAGAAAATGCGGTTGATCCCGAGGAACCAGATCGACGCCGCAGACGCACGATGGAGAGCTGAACTATCGACGCAAGGGAATGAGCCACCGTGCATTAGGGCGTATTGCAAGCTGATGTTTTGATGCAGATTTATCCAATCATAAGGAAGGGTATCCCCTTACCTTTAATCGGTTTGATACCGTGCTGCAGGTCATGAGGAGGAAGAAATCACGCAAAGACATGGCGAGCTGAGGCCTGGATGTTCCTCGAAAGCAGACTGAAAAATCAAAAACCAGCCTATCACTGTCTCATCCGTCGTAAACAAGTTCGGCCTCCACCCGGCGCTGTAAGTACAAAGTATAATTTATACGAGTAGAATGTCTCCAGTGATAACCATTGGCTGCGCTACTGCTGAACCTCGATAGTTTCCGTTGGAGAAAAGCTTCACCCTACAATAGGGAAGAAACCTGATGTATGTCCTAGATTGTATCCCCAAGATCTGCATGAAATGGCCAAGGATCTATGGACTTTCCAAATATCAGTACGATCTTTACTTTTTTTTCTCTTTTTATTTCTGCCACATTCGAAAATTATTCAGAGAGGTAAGCAAGTTTGTGGTTTTTCCGACTATCTGATGGGAAATTTCGAACAAAAACTCACGCAGAACCCCCTAGAGCCAAGAGACTACTTTTGTAGTCCTGCTGAGTTAAGTTTTTCCAAGAATATAGGATGGCGCTTGAGTGGAGAAAATATTCTGGAGTTAGGAACGGAATAATTTTAGTGTTCATTTTGCTGCAAATATTCCACAGATAGAACACTGCATACATAAAAGTGGACTTGTTCCCATTGGGTTTGGAGATCTCCAGAGAATTAACTTACCAGTGAGTGGTGCCTATTTCCGAAAAGGTGTGTATGTGTTGCATCTCAAAAATCTACATGATCTTGTGGAGCTGAAATAGAAGGCAGCCTCGAATCGTGAGTGGCCAAGGGAACCACGAGATAGTTCATAAGATCGATAAACGGAATAAGGTGACACAACCAGCGTGATGGACTGGGGGAATAGATTACGTATCTAACCCCAATGACTATCTCTTCCGTTGTACGGAGTACTGTAATCTGTATCCCGAACATACTTGTACATCTGCAGACGCCACGGTGGAGCGTAGTTAGTATATTGCATATTGATGTAGATCCCCTAGCGGTCGTACATGGTTTCCCATCAAATTCAGCTGTTCGCATCCCCTGTGCGCGCAGATTAAGGTGGTTCGATGGCGCAAGCCATTCGTTGAAGGACTTCAGCGATTATGCATTGAGGAAGAGACTCTCAGGTGAGCTCTACGCTGCGCCTTCCCTTGGATTTAAATTTTTGCCTCGAAATTGTTTCAACAAGATATAAGATCCTGTACATCGTCGATTCTCACTCAGCACTTCCATTTGTAAACCATCATGGTCTCCCATAAAGTTCTCACGCACTATCCTCCGTTCCCAGACGACGTCCCAACTTTCTCTCTTTTTACTATATCCCTTTCGAAGCTGCTTGCGCGCGACGAAATTGAAACGCAGCGATTGATCCAGGCATGCGAAGAGATCGGTTTCTTCTATCTTAATGTTCAAGATGCCGGATCTGCTTCCAAGATCCTGGAAGATGTAGATCGCATCTTCCATACCGCCGTTGACCTATTCGACCTGCCCTTAGAAGAGAAAAAGAAGTATGATTTCAGTGGGAGGGGCTCGTATTTCGGATACAAAGAGACAGGCGCCGAGGTGCTCCGTGATGGATACGTCGACAGAAATGAGTCCTATAACGTATGGTCGCTTTTTTGTGTGCTTTCCGTCAAGGCCATCCCAGTCGGCTGACAATCTCCCCATCAACAGGTACCCAGAAATGAAATGCTAGCCGTCAGTAACGACTTCCCGACCCCAGAAGTCCTCCAACGCAGTCGCCCAGTCTTCCAATCCATGATGAGAACCTCCCACTCCATCGCCTCCCTTCTTCTCGAACTCATCAACGACAATCTAGGCCTTCCCAAGAACACCCTCAACAATTTCCACCGAATTGATATGCCTAGCGGTGACGCCGTCCGCCTTATCAAAGCACCCCCACAGCCCGAAAATGACCGACGCACGGCACTTGCCGAACATACTGACTATGGAAGTATCACCATCGTCTTCAATCGTATGGGCGGGCTCCAGGTTCTCCCACCAGGAGAGACGACAAAATGGGTCTATGTGCGTCCTTTGCCCGGCCATGCAATTGTAAACATTGGAGATGCAATGGTCAAGTTCACTAGTGGGCTCCTGCGCTCGAATCTGCACCGGATCGTTTCTCCTCCTGGAGATCAGGCGAATTACACTCGGTACAGCATGTTGTATTTCTGCCGACCAGATGACCACGTGCTCCTACGGAGGCTGGAAGGAAGCAGCCGTATCCCTAAGTTGGGAGAAGGGGTAGTGGAAGAGCCTATCAATAGTAAGGACTGGGTCTTACGGCGTGGCTTGGGCCGAAGGTCAAACCTGCCGTCGATTGATTTTGAGAAGACAGCGGGTACGGAGATGATGAATCGGGCGGTGAAGGTGAAGGCATAGGATCCGAATCTCAGATTGGCTAATGTTCGATATTTCGGGATTTTTTTTTTTTTTTTTGCCTTTTCACCTTTCTTTTGTTTGTTTGCCTTAATAGTGTGCTGTAATTGAGGTTTCAATATTTCACCGTCTTTTACTCTCGAGAATCTAACTATCAAGTCGTTCAGCTCAAAGAGGACAATCTTGATGTGGACAAGGTTTACTACGTGTTAGGTGGAACATGGAGGCGCAAGAACAAGTAGGAACGATCGTTTGCACTGCCTTTATTGTCTCCCGATGAAATACTCCATCTAATTACCGGATACAAAGAGCGTACTGGCGGTCGCTGAACCCAATCTGCGAACCCGCTGTTGGATCTCAATATGATACGTAATTGAGGCAACTATACACCATTCAACCAACTAGGCAGAACTCTCACGCACCAAATCCACTGTCGCACAATGGAATGAACCCCCGATACTGTTAACATGCTTGAACGGGCAAGGAATGCACTGCATACCCAGTGATTCGTACCATTGAATGGTCTGGTGATCGCTTGCCTCGACTACCACACGTTTCCCATCCAGTACAAGTGCATTGAGACACAGCCATGGACTGGTCATGTACAGTGGAGGCTCGCTGGGTGCTTTTGGAGTGTAAGGGTAGGCGTGGAGCTTCCAGCTCGCGAGGACAGCATGGCGACGTAATTCCGTTTCCGTAACCTTTGTTGGATTATAGACGAGCAATCCGTCTCGCAAGGGCAGGATTGTGGCATCAATATGCATTGCATGCGGGTCGTCTACATCGAGCATCTCGATGCTGTAGCCGGCCGGTAGATACTTACGGATGTAATCTACGCCCGCTTGGTTGGTGACGTGACTGTATTGGCCGATAATGGTGCAGCCGAACCGCATAAAGTCGGCCGTGTCGAAAGCCGGACGGCTATTGTTAATAGCCCAGGTAGTTGCGGTAGTAGTATTATCAGCCACATTGTCATCCAGAAGGGTGTTGGCAAAGGCACTTTCGGGACGACGGACGATTTGCACCCGTTGGTCCTTGGAAAGGTCGTCGAGGATGGAGGAGAATCCGATTTCAATTTCTTTTGCGCGACAGGGCCACGCGAAGCACGCTTCGATCAACATGTTTCCAACGCTCATAAGACCATCTCGGGGCATAGCACCTGTGTATCCGTTCAACGCAACCCAATCGATATCGGGCTCAGGCCGGTAAACCGTAATGCCCTCGGCACAGAGAATCGCAGCAAAATAGTCTAATTCTGCTTCTGCCTTGGCGATCAGCTTCGCGTGGAAGGGGTTCCCCGGCTGGAAGCGCGAGACATGCTCGGAGGGCATCGTCGCCTTGATCATCTTCGCTGGGGCGCTGGGAAAACAGGCCCGGCCGGCACGGCCTACGACAACTGCGCGGAGAGGGGACCATTCGTCATCGGCATGCACAAGGGGGAGTGAAGAGATAGTCATTGCAGTAGGGGGGATCGAAACTAGATCAAGCTTGCTTAGCCAGGACAACGTTGCTGTTTTTTGCTTGGCAGGATTTCTCGAGAACGGACTCAGAACGGGCCATTTGAAACCCTTTATCAAGACCTTCCTTGTATACGTGATGCAAAGATCAATCACAACTTCCGTTGCTGTTATTCTATTTTTGTACTATTGTTCTTGATGGGTCAGTACCAATACGAGCTGGCACTCTCTCCGCACTAGGAAGGTACTTCACTGTTGCCTCCGACATCCAGCGGAGCAAATGGGTGGTGTACGCGCAAGTTGACACAGCATAGATTTCTGCATGCATGCAGAACGCATAGTGAAATGCACTCTGTTGCAACGACCAGGCCGACGGGTTTCATAAACGTATTACGTGACTATATACGTACATACCCGCCTATATTGCAGATATTCCTTCAATATTGCGTCTCTTTAGTTTAATTCCTGGAGTGCCTTGTTCAAATCTGCAGAGATTCAAAACTTCGCAGTGCTGCGTGTGGAGGTGAGAACGAGATATTTTTAGGTCCTCCCCATGGATCTGGATTGCGTACGCTATTGAAGACTTTGGGTCTACAAAAACCCTTTCTTTCTTTCTTGTTGAAGCCAAACTAAAAAGGCGACTAATTTTTCTGGTGCAGGGTTACATTGCGATCTGCAGCAGATCTGGTCGGGGCCGTCCCGCCCGTCCGCAATCTGGGCGTTGAACACCCTGAAACTCGCTGATATAGATCGAGATCACAAGGCCTAACAGGAGGTATCACAGATCTCCGCAAATATCACCTGAAAGTAGCCGGTATGAAATTGTGGCTTGAGACTATTGGTCCATGTCCAGGGCATACAGCAGGAGGTAGTATCACTTCCTGCGGGGTAGACCCAGCATAATTCGCATGCAGGTGTGTTTATGCCATCTCAACTGTAGGCTCATTATTGCACCAAGTACGAGTGGCTGCCTATGCCGATGCAATTATCGGCCAGCCTCTTTTCTACGCGCAAAACTCGCGTACTTCTAATTTCCACTAACCTGGTGCAAATTCTCAGCCAGCCTCAAAAGTGGCTTGCCGGCACTACTGCGCGCCTGCGGAGTGACCACTGCTGAACCCTTCCTTCACCAGATTGAGACGTCTCAAAAGGTGTCAAAAGTACTGCACGGGCAGTTCCCCTCGTACTCTATGATTGATGACGAACCAAGCTGGAAACTACGTGGAGACTATAACATCTACAACACACGACAGGGTTCAGAGCAGGAAGTGCCTCTGGACCAAATTTACACTTCTGATTGTGACACATAATTCATTCACCAGCTTTCTCGCTATGGGAAGCATACGTCTGGCGCTGACAGATAGTCCTGCGGAGAGATACATCTACCCCGCAGAGTGGTCGCCTCACCTCGCAACCATCTTGGGGTTCCCATCTGAATACTCCATCGCCTCGACCTACTATGCGGACGCCTGTCAAGAAATTATCAATCTTGCTACGGCGATATCTACTTTCGAGCCCGTCCGCCTATATGCGAGACCCGTAGATGTCCCAAAGGCGCAGTCCATAATCAACGAGCATTCTGCGACGCTGTCGCGGACACTAAACGTGAGCGTGATCCCTACGCCTACAAACCACCTTTGGGTACGGGATACTGGCCCTATCTACGTGCGTAGTACTAGCAATAGCATACCTCGGCAACGGTATGCTATCAATTTCCGATTCAGCGAATGGGGCAAACGGGACAAGATCAATAAGCATGACCGTGCGACAGACGGGCTAGATTGGCCCCTCATGAGCCCCGAGCAATTAGAGGAAAACGCCACCTTCGCCCAGCGGATCATCGCGCAGGATATCTTCCCCTCGCCCGTGGTGCAAATTGAGTCCCTGGTCCATCTAGAAGGGGGAGCACTAGTTATTGACGGCGAAGGCACACTCCTTGCCACTGAAAGCAGTATCCTCAACGAAAATCGCAATCCAGATATGTCCCGCGCTGACGTCGAGGCCGAGCTGCGCCGCCTTCTCGGTGTCGAGAAGATCATCTGGTTCCCCGGTCGGCGGAACCTGGATGTGACGGATGTCCATTGCGACGCCGAGGTTAATTTTGTTCGACCGAGCGTGGTTGTCCTCTCGCGGCCTCATCCCAGCGTTCCCCGGGTGTGGATGGACGTCCATAAGGAGATTCTGCAGATCCTGCAACGTGAAGTAGATGCTAGAGGGCGTCCATTTGAGATCCATATTCTTGATGAACCGAATCCAAACTGTCTTGCAAAATCGCCGTCATACGAGGAGCCCGCAACGAACTATGTCAATTTTTACTTCTGTAATGGCGGTCTTATACTTCCGCAGTTTGGGGACAAAGAGCGGGATAAACTCGCCCTCGAGACACTGCAGACCTTATGTCCGGATCGTAAGGTCTGTCCGCTGCAGGTAAAGGCCCTGCCTCTGGCTGGGGGGTGATTCACTGTTCAACGCAACCAGTCATTGATGTTGAGGATAGTTGATGAGGCATTCTTCAAGCTCCAGGCTCGTACCTTAGAATCGGGAAAGCCTCTGTCAAAGTTATAGATACCTTTTTTTCATATTCTCGTTGCAGAAGTGCTCATCAGAATTGATTTTTATTCACACTCCCCGACTTGACATCCTGGCGTAGGATGGTATGCATTGTGACGAACATGCCGTATCGATCTCGGGACATGAGCCAGTCACGACGTAGAAGTCTCGAGATCAATGTGGTAGCACCATACAATCATTTTTCGTAGGCAAGCAGTTTGGAGTACCCACATTGTAACTCTTAAGTATCTTTAAAGTACTTAAAAGTAAGTCATCATATATTATGCTACTGTAAATATTTTAAAGTACCGATAAAATACTGTTAAGCTACCAGGTGAGTCGTGCAACCTGCTTGCCAGGCTGGCTCCAAACCGTGTCATTGCTTGACCCAATCTATGAACCTACCTGTCGTGGCTCCTTGGCCCCTTCGTTTTATATTCTCCGTTCTTCCACCCTTCTTGATCCCTCGATCGCGAGTATATCTCCTCACAAAGCACTCGTTCACCTGTCCCTTGATGCGTTGCCGCAATAGCAGAGGACTGAGTCACCGCGCGGGCGGGCGCTTCAAAACTAAGGGTAGAGATGCCAGAGGCGGCACATTGGGTGGCATGCTTTTTACATGGTCTGATTCCTGGTCTCGTGATGGCCGCCTCTGTGCCTGTATCTGAGGTGTGCACCGTGGGCGAACCTGAAAGGGAACCTTTTGGAACTTTTGAGTGAAATTTGCGCGAGACACCATGCAAGTGGAGGTAACAGAAGACCCAATTTGTTACCAGAATAGCAATGCTTGGCGGAAGGTTCTCGCCGGGTAATAATTCGGCCGCGCCGAAACTGAGAATTGTCGGAGCAGCAGCCTGGGGATAACCTCAATATCAACACCCATCCCTCGACCTTCAACTCAAAGAATACGATAATAAGATACTAAGATGGATGAAAAAAAGAAGGGCCAAATCACCCAACAATTAGGGATGGTGCACCTCAAGGTATGTCAAGCAAGCTCCTCCGAAGATCGGCCCCAAGACACCAAGGGCCTAGTGACGCGATTCCTCCGACGCAGCGTCTGAGCGCTGGTGGACGGTGAACACATGCGTACCCCACTAGACCACAGGGGTAATTTGGCTGAGGGAATAGAGTGTATGGGGGGGCATAACCGATTGAAATGAGATGTGAAGGAAGGCACGGTATGCTTGGAGGCGGGTGGTGGGATGTGCCTGCTGTAAGACCGAGCAACGCTGATATTGGCCAGTGGAAGCGGGATTCAATGGTATAAGGCATGGTCCAGGAGTGCATATGACCTTACAATTTAACCAAAATTCTCTAGAATATTTGTTCAATGGTTCTTATAGCGGACCCACAAGAAGGGCTATTGTAGCTTTGACATACACAGCAGTTGGACAACTTCGTGCCGATTTCTTAACATTCCAACACATGTATGGACAATGGAACTCAAATTGTGCATTGTTATTCATCAAGCTCGGTTCTATGTTCATTGTTTGCCCTTCTCAGCGTCTTTCATCCCCCCACGCTCCTTGACCAGCTCTGCAATGTGAGTGCCAACCTCCGATCCGAGATTATTGAAACCCTGAATAATTCCCTCACGGTCACCTTGGCCCATCTCCTGACTCATCTTGAACTTGCCCCCAATGCTCTCAATAGAAACCTCAATGCCAATGATATTCTTCTTCATAATATCAATATACCGCTCGGGTGCATCAGACACACCCCACGGACCCGGCTTCCCCTCCTTGCCTGTATAACCCATAACCGAAGTCTCGCACAGCTGCGAAAGATCATGGATCTGCTGCGACAGATATTCAGATGTCTCTGGAGCCGACGAGTCAAAGTAGATGGTGGCTTTGCCGTAGACCTGGGCAGCAGCATAGTTCCATGTCGGAACGACCTTGCCAGTGTCTGGCTTCGTCTCGGTGTAGAACTTGGGCGTCACGTAGTGGTGATGAGCACCATTGAATAGGATCATCACATCTTGCTCCAGTTTTGTCGTGCCGGAGTTGGTGCACGCTTCGATCATGGCTTTGACCTGTGGGTTTTGCCGGGCCATGTGGCCTCGGAGACGACCCTTGACGGGTGCTTCGGGGTCATCGGTATAAGCGTCCAGCACCCATGGCACATGGCTGGACTGGATGAAATGGTGGGTGGTGGATGGAATAGCGGTAGTAATAATGCCCAGAGGATTGGCCTTGATGAATTCGAAGAGAGCCTTTGTTGAGGTCTCTGCGTGAACGGCTCGGAGATACATGGCTGATGCTGGCTAGAGACGAACCAAAAAATCCGAGTGCAAAAGCGATGGTGTACGAGTGAGTCAGCGTATGTGGTCTTTATATAAGTTATACAGTACTTCAATTCCGATATGACCAATGCCAGGCAAACCCCGCGGAGAACATCCGAAGTCCCTTTTCGGTCTTCCTCATTGGGCGGATACGCCGAGTGACCCACTACGAGTTTTGCTTTATCAATAGAGATGTGAGTCGGAAATCCCGGTAGGGCGTGCAGATTTCGATATGCTCTAAACCCAGCTTAGAATTTAGATTGAGTTTGACTATATTGTCGATAGATTTTCCTTCGGTAAAATAGACCCTCGATGTAGGGTCGGCAAGAAGAAATTGGCGCGATGGCCATATTCTTCATCCAATCACAGTTGTGGATTGACTGCCGGTTTAGGAACTTGACGGGAGTGGGGCGGGAATATCTTCACGGCGTGCTGGGACTCCGTATATAGTTCCCATCAAACTCCTCAAGTCCAAAGATTTCCTCTATTCGTGACTCACCTGATAAACTCCGCTGTCTCGATACAGGTGCTGCAAATTGAATTTCATCAAAAGAGATGACACCACTCAACGACAGCCATCCAGCCACTCTGGCCTTGCATGCAGATGATCGCTTGAACATGGTACACGATGTCGCACCTCCAATCCATTTGTCTACGACATTCAGATACTCAAACAACCCAGATGAGCTAGTCTTGTCGGAGGATCCAGTGGTACGTCGATTCGACAATTTGTCCCAGGTTCAAACCTCCCTAACTGACAACTCATCTACCAGGCGGAATTTAACGGGAAGAACTATGTCTACTCTCGCGAGTTTGCACCCAATGCCACTCGCTTCGAAGCAGTTCTCTCCCCTCTTCTCAAAGGCCATGCAGTCAGCTACGCTACGGGCTTGGCTGCTCTGCACGCCGCATTAACACTGCTGAACCCCCGGCAGATATCGGTGGGCGAAGGCTACCACGGAAGTCACGAAGTCATCTCTGTGGTCTCACGTCTTTCTGGCCTTCAAAAACTTCCCATCGACTGCCCTGCCGAGAGTCTGAACGAGGGTGACGTGATCCTTCTCGAGACTCCAATTAATCCTTTCGGAACAGCATATAGCATCGAAGAATACGCTCAAAAGGCGCATTCCCGTGGAGCCTTCCTCATTGTTGACAGTACCTTTGCACCTCCTGGTCTACAAGACCCGTTCCTGTGGGGCGCTGATATTGTCATGCACTCGGGATCAAAATACTTCGGAGGACACAGCGACATGCTCTGCGGTGTTCTTGCAGTAAAGCGGGATGATTGGGCTAAGCAGCTTTTCGAGGATCGCATGGCTTTGGGCAATGTCCTTGGGAATTTGGAGGGCTGGCTTGGCACACGGAGTCTGCGGACACTCGAGGTTCGAGTACAACGCGCCAGTGAGAACTCGGCTAGACTGATCTCATGGCTTGATGGCGCTTTGAATGCGCCTTCTCCTGTGCCGGGCTCTGAAGAGGCCGTTGTCCAGGCTGTCTTGCAGAAGATATTTCATGCTAGTCTCCAGGACGAGCCCTGGTTGAAGAAGCAGATGCCTAATGGATTTGGTCCTGTCTTCTCCGTTATTTTGCACGAGGAGTACTTTGCTCGTGCGCTGCCGAGCAAGTTGCACTTTTTCCAGCATGCTACGAGTCTTGGTGGAGTCGAGTCTCTGATTGAGTGGCGAGCTCTGTCTGATGCTCGAGTGGACCGGAAATTGCTGAGGATCAGTGTTGGCCTGGAGAACTGGGAGGATCTGAAGAATGATTTGTTACAAGCATTCAAGTCCCTTGTGGGTGCTCGGTAGTTCTGAAGATAGTTTCCATAGAACAATAATTACCTAGTCATGTACCACTAGACCAGAGGAGGATGGGGGTAAGGTTACTGGGAAGAACTGGACATGGGATATGGCCTCCAACAACTTTGGTTTTGAGGGTATTTTGCTAATGTTATGTTATCATGATATCGAGTCGTAATTGCCGAAGCTGTATATGTAAAACTTTTCAAATTCATGTCCGTCATCAATCATGTTTCATGTGTCTTGCCATCTCTAAATCCAGAGCCAATCTCGACCCAGGCGACCGATGTCAAAGATCCACTGCGACTGCCCTTGCCTAGAGGCATCTGTTTGACGCCAGTATTCTTGCAGAATTTTCGCGGCATTGACTGCATTCAGACAGTTGGTGATGTCCCAAAATCTTTCTGCGCAAGCAATGAGGAACTCTCTTTGAGGTTGCCATTTGCACTCCAAGCCAGCAATAAAAATGGGCCAGAGGACACATTTGAACATGATTTGATCATTCTGCAGTGAGTCAATCAGCCCCAGCAGCTCGGCAACCATATCATCAAGCACTGTCGTTTCTCCAGTCATAGCATCCAGTATCCGTCTTCCGTAGATGAAGGTGCCAATTTTATAGGACCGCGATAGCGAGCAGAGACTGATGATCTCGCTTGGCGAAGGAGTGCGTGATTGTGGCAGGCCAGATGCCCAGGCATAGCAGTCAAAGTTCTGAGTCATCTCGAGCAATGATTTCGTCTCTTTTATGTGCGACTCCATGGTGCTTTTGTCGAGGTGGTTCGGGTCCGATATACTATCCCGTTGCATGGAGAGTAGTTGCATCGCGCTTAAAAGGTAATCGGGACATCCAAGAAAAGAACTCTCGATTGTTTCTTGGAGCTGGCGCTCTTGTTGCTCGAAGGAGTCGAAATAGGATAGTAACTTGGGCCGCAAGAAGGTGGCACCAAGGGTTTCAATGCTGTCATGGTAGGACTGTCAGACTCGGAATTAACACACATGAAGGGGTTTTGAATGACTTACACTTTAATTTGTTTGGTTATAAAGGAACGGATCTCTTGCACTGTTTGTCCTGGACCGTGGTTTATGCCAGACTGGGATCCGGATTGAGGGTAAGTGGAAGCGATGAGATTCTTCGCGCCTTCCAAGTGGAAATTCCATCCGTCACTTCCAGACTCTAAAAGATCCAGAAAGACCAGAAGGAATATGCTAGCCACGGTAGTATCTTGTTTAGATAGATTGGGGTCTGTTAGTGAGTTTGACAACGCCTCCATCGCTTGATGCTTGAAGGCAAGTGCATGACGGTTCGCAGTGACAAGCTGTGGTGATGTTGGTGATTCTGGCTCATGAAAAGATTGGCCTTTGTTGACATGGTGGCGTGCTGCTAGCGCAAGAAGGGCTTTCATCAAGACAGGGCTCTTCAAGCCGAGGGGTATGAGGCTTCGGAAGGGATTTCTGTCCGTGTCATATACAATGAAAAGCTGGCAGATGCGGGCATGATCTGTTGTTTTATTCAGTAATTTGTGTCAAGTGCTGATCAAAGTTCTGTCCACTTACAGTAATCGATATAGTATTTAGACGTCTTATCCAAAGCCGAAAAGGTTGGATCTTGAATAATTAATGAGAGACCTGGCAAGGACGGAGCAGAGCTGCTGCCAGAGGTGGACCCTGGATACCCACATTAGGACTGTGTTAATCATACTTTGAGCCAAAGAACATAGAGCAGTAGCGCTCTGAAATTCAAGTTGCCGAATACAAAGATTTCTTGCGCCGAGGAAAAAGTCCAACCATACCTAAAGAATCGAAGCGCCGATCGCGTCGCGCAGATGTCCGCATCAATGCACGCTTTGGCTTCGTAGACCCTGCGGGTTTATCTTTTATACTCGTAGAAGATGAACTCGCATTTTCGTATGAGTGTCCCTGCAGCTTTCCGCGAATCGCAACGCCCTTGACCCATTTGAAAGGTCTTTTGTCGAGACATTCCAGACCGGCTTTTTGGCATTTGCCACAGGGCCTTCCGGACTGGTCACACTGAATGCGGCGGTTGCGACAGGTATAGCACGGGCCATCGATCCCATGATCCATCGTGGATGGAGTGTCTAGTTGCAAGTCATTCAATTTGGATGGGGTAAAAGCCGTGTAGATGGTGGAATGGAGTGAGTCGCTTTGCTGACTGAGCCGATGAGGAAGTGGATCCGTCGGTGGGGCTTCCCATTCGCGGCCACAACTCTATGGCTCTCCTGCGAAGAACTAGGAGATGGGGTTTTTGGATTAGCGATGCCACGGATCTTTTATAGTGAAGTTTTGGTAGCCGAGGCCGGCTGAGCTTGGATAAAAAGCGATGCTTTTCACTTTTACTATGACATGCCCGTTTGTGAGCCCAAGAGTGTTCTCACCAGAAGGGGACTTCAGCAAAGGCATGACAAGGTAGAAGGAAGAGATAGTGGAAAATCTTGGGAGTCAAGACAAATGAAACAATGTTAGATGATTGAAAGTTCTCGAGACAAAGTCTGAGCACTGGTTGAATATCCTAGTAAGCGCCATGTCCACCCTGCGCAAGCTGTAATGCGAACCCTAGAATCAATCGTGTTCTGCGTTTTCAAGCCGCAGAATTAAAACCAAAGTCTCCAGATGTAGCGCTTCCTCAGCCAAAATATCAAACAACCTGAACGCCATATGCCATGTTCGTTTCTTCGATCAACGTCGACTCCTCGATCAGCCCATCCATAACCCATCAGACCATCAATAATTCAATTCCTCAATAGGGACAATCATGTCCGGCCTTCTTGCTATGGCTGCCAGACTGTTGATGTTTCTCTGTCGCACTTCACGCAAGTATTTTCGTTGCTCGTAGCCGATGTCGTGGAATGTTCCGTCTTCCATTCCGTGGTACATGGTCCAGATGCCGAATCCAATGAGAACGATTGCAACACAGCCAACAATAATGGCAAAGACATAGAGAGGGAAGTTTGAGGGTGAGCTGGCGTCACGTTTGAGAAGCTCTATCGTGCCATCCATTGCGGTTGTGATGCTTGGGGCCTGCAGGAGCGATGTATATTAGTTCAATCGAGTTCCATAGGAGTTCAATAGCTGACCTAGACCCACCATTTTGTAGTATCGGGCTTATTGGTGAAAAGATGTGTATTTGATAAGGTGTATAGAACAGCGTGATGATGCTTTGCAAACACGATAAAGGCCACCCTTCTTGTGCGAGGCCGCATTATATAGGGCCCCTACAGAGGCTAATCTCCGCAAGCACACACAAACATTTCGCCTGTGATCCAAAGATAGCACTGGAGAACTGAAACACCGAAAACCGATAAAAGTGCAACTACAAACCCATCAATCCAAACTTAGAGCCTTATACTACCCCAATTAGGAATCGCGCGAGTTCTCTTCGCGACCTATGATGTCAGAAACCGAGCGGGCCAATCACAACACGGAAATCCCTGGTATTCCCCATCACACTAGAGCTCCTTTAGGACTAGCTTTCTCTCGTTTCCATCTTAAAGCACCAGCCAAAGCTGACTTGAGAGCTGACACCCAAGGCGCGTTCTCCAATCGCTCGCGGTATTCTCCGTCTAATACCCCTGGGAGAATGCGGATGGGGCTCCCTACAAGATTGCGCTGTGTCGTCGACGTGCAATCCTCGTAATCTGGACGAAGTGCGCGGCAGGTCCCCGATGTCGGTCTTGGAATCCAATCTAATGTGTTAGGTACCACCAAGTCACAATCCAGACGTATTACTCGCCATTAAATGTCTTGTTGAGCTTGTACAGTCTGTCCGGTAACATTCTTAGAGGAGTCCAACTACTGTCACATGTGCGACAGTGCAGAGTAGAGACATGTCCCCCAGCAAGCATGGAAGTATAGTTCTTGCTCTGCTTTCCTGATGGCCATAAGAATGCTGAGCCATTATTGCTTTCTGAGTTGAGCTACTGAAAGTCATATGTCCGATGCGAGTCAAGGGGAGCATCAGAGAGACAAGTCTTAATGATCATCTCACTCCCTACCTGAAAGAAATCTCGGGCAGCGAAGTTCGGCATGGCGTATAAAGATTTCAAAGGTAATTAGGAGAAGGGCGAGTATTATGTGGTTGATTCCGACTCTCAGCCTAGTCAAATACCCCAGCCCGCCCGATTGAAAGATCAGATACGAGTCCATCAAAATGTTGGTTGTTCAATCTGTAGGTCATTCGCGCGCAAGATCAGACTTTGATAGGCAGTCAATATAACGATTCTAAACGCCCTCCTTACTCAGCCACAATTATGCTACAGATGAGATACAAAGATGCTACAAAGATGCGAAGGTATAAATACGATGGAGAACATTAAAGCCGGTGGTCAACGCGAGGAGTGGAGAGGGGGACCACAAGAGCGACACGGGTAGTCGTGGGCTGCCTGACAAGCCAGGTACTTATATCCAAGTATCTTATTTGTCGCCATCACTACAGAGGTTATTTCAATAATTAATTACTATATTCGGGGTCTCTTCTTGCTAATCATGTCCACATTTGTTGACTTTCTTCATTCGCAATGTGTTCTTGCTGGGATAGATTTTCCGTCCATTTTTGGCCTAGGCCTATTTTGCTCAGCTGGAGCTGGGTAATCTATGACTTGAGAGAACTAATCGCTTATGGCACTACGCAAGCGATTGATGCAGCTCAAGGAACACTAGAAACAAAAGCCATAACTGCAATGTAGAGTAAAGCGAGGGCAAGTAGTTGAATTTGGACATGTGGGATCTGAAGACATTAGTATAAACCAGATGCGTCACTTCCAGTCCAAAATACACAGCATTTATACCTCATTTGACACAGAAAGGCATTGATTGGCAAAGTGTATTCAAGCTATCTTTAATGTGCATGAGACTGGAAGTACGATGAGGGGCAAAGGAAGTATCGACCGGAAAAAGTTTAATATGAATACAATTGCATCTAAAATGAAGTTTTTGAAAGGCACTCCATTGATTGACTTCCGTAAAGAGCTTGATCTGGTCCAAAGTAGGTATATCAAGGTGGTATTTCTTTCATGACGTCAACCTGCCCTTCCCCACACGATCGCTTTGTAAGCCGAGGGGGAAGGGCAGCGGTGTACCCGACAGAGCAATGCAAGAACATCCATCTCTTCTATCAAATCTCTGTACATTGATTGCATATTGTCGATATCTCCAAGATTGAGTCAAAAAAAATGGGCTCAAACGCAAAGACCGTTATCGCAACAGGTGCCTCATCAGGCTTGGTAAGACGCACGAGCCCTCTTAGCACGCTCTTGGCATAAGATGGTGTCATTCTACTCTGAAAATGGCTAATATAATCGATAGGGCTTCGAATCCGTCAAGCAGCTGCTTGAACAGTCCGAGCCATACCATTTCATCCTCGGCGCGCGAGACACCAAGAGAACACAAGCTGCGTATGACGCGCTCGGCTTCGATTCTACCAAGCACTCTGTTCACATTCTGCCACTTGACCTGAAGGATTTGCGTAGTGTGCAGGTTTTCGTTCAGAAGGCTCTTGCTCAGCTGGATCGGCACAAGATTGATTATCTATTCTTGGCTGCTGGTACACTTGACAATGCTAAGGGTCCTGGCCCGAATGGATCGCAATGGTGTGATGGGTTTGTCGTCAACCATCTTTGTAAGTGCTAATTGCTTGGGGACTATGAGACTTGAGACTCTGATAATCAATCAGCCCAGCATTATCTGGTCCACTTGATCCGTGAGACTTTGATCGCCTCTCAAACGCGAATTGTCATCGTTTCCTCTGGGGCCATCCGGAATGTTCGCGGACAGGATCCAAGTGAGTTTCGGCATTCTACATTCATATCGTTAACCAGGCGCTGGCTGACTTTTAACTTAAGAAACACTGGATGTCGACCTCAAGGCAAACTCCGGCGCCGGTAATAGAGTAGTATACAGCGCGTCCAAGTTTACCCAGTTGTTGGGCGCTCACTACTGGCGTCGTCATCTACCGGAGTGTACCATCGTCGCCGTATCCCCCGGTCTCGTGCCCAGCACGAAGCTCGCCACGGACTTCGGTCTGAGTATGGACATGCCCGATGCTAAGACGATTCCTGAAGGTATGAGTTCTATCTCATCGCCGGCCGCGCCGTGCTTAACCACTCCTTTCCAAGAGCAATTTCTTACACATTGAATAGGTGCTCGGAGCCTTCTTGATGCTTTCACCCGCAATGATATCCCTGTAGACCCGGAGCAGATTTTCCTCACTAGCTGGGGTGAATGGTGGCCCAAGGATGTGTATGCTATGAGCCTGGATATCAATCTACAGAATAAGTGGTGCTTGGGTAGAGAAGAGATTGAGAAGGCCGAAGGTCTTGCTGGGGAATCCTGAGAGAAATATCAATCTGAGACTCGCTGACTCGAGACTGATCGATCCGCCTGGAGAGGTATTCAGAAGGTACACATAACTTACTCCACACATATTCATAGGATTGAAGGCATAAAAATATTATTGAATTATTAATAATAGCCGAAGAGGGGTATATCCATTTATAGTGCCATGATCCTCATGGGTACAAGTACTAGTAAGCGAAGCGTACAATCTACTTGCACACACCCTGTCCGGGACCAGCACAAACTAGCAAGACATGCATCATGAAGAATTGTAAGCAGTGATGAAGATGGAATTTGGAAAAAATTTCAATTATTTCTTATGTCTAACCAATGACCCCATCTGAACTCGCTCGGCTCAAAAACATCACCAATCGTCGAACGTAGACCCAAATAAGACCCAATGCACAGCAGAGAAAAACGAGAAAGAAGGGATATCCAAGAAGCTGTTACTAGCAGGGGGTAAGAATAGAAAAACAGGGCTGAGGAGCCACAAGGGATATATGGGGAGTTATGTGTAATGTCGTGAAAGCTTGAAAATGGCAACGTGGAAGAGTCGTCATGAGTTAAAAGTGCGCATTCCCGTTGGGAGCGCGGTAGAATCGTAGAAGAGGGGGTATTAGAAGTGAAAAATTAGGTGCAGAGAAATCGAATAAATGCATGTCTGCCGTTGTGGAGATCCACGGCGGACGGTTTCGGGTGTGTAGGTGCACTCGCAAGCCATCTGTACAGTTGCGAGTATTCGTGTCGGGCATGCGCCGATCCTGGACGGATTTAGAAGTTCAGGGTCAGGGCGGCCATGGCACCGAAGACCACACTCACAATGGAGACAGCGGCAGTGGCGGCACCATTGTGGGCGGGAGAGGTGCTGGCGGGTGCGGCGGAGCTAGTGCTGGAAGAAGCCGATGAGATCTCAGCGGAACCAGTGAAGACGTGAGGGCGGTAGGTGTAGCTGTTGGTAGGGCTGGACTTGGGCAGGCGAGTGTTGGAAGAATCAACGGCCGAGGTACCAGAGCCAGTCGAGGAGTTGGCGGGGCTAGAGGTGGAAGAGGAGGAGGTCGAAGAAGACGAGGTGGAGCTCGAGGACTCCGTGGTAGAGGTAGGAGCGACAGTGCTGCTAGTGCTGGTCGAGCTGGGAGATGCGGACGTAGTCTCACTGGAAGAGCCACCACCAAGGTCGAAAACAACAATGTTGGCCTTGGCGCCAGAGGGGACAGTGACAACACAGCCAGTGGCACCACCAGCACCGGTGAAGACATCAGGAGCGTTCATCTCATTGACACCCATGGTGGAAGGATCGATACGGCAGGGAAGGCCATTGCAGCCATCGCCATCGCACAGAATCTCAATACCAAATTCGGGCTTGACGTTGCGGAAGGGAGTAGCGGGCTCCAGGTAGATAGGATTCCAGCCGATCTTGACGTAGGTGTCGCCATTGGAAACGGTGTTGGCGCCGGCAGTGTAGGGGACCCAGTTACCGGTGGGGTTGGCGCTGGTACCCCAGATGCAAGCCTCCTCAACACTAATACCGGGGGCATTGATGTAGTACTGCGCAGCGGTCTCGCACCAGTAAGACATGCCGGGGACGGCGAGAGTGGAAAGTTCCTCGACCAGGGTTGGGATCAGCATGGCCTCGTTACCAGGCAAGACAGTCTGGCAGAAAGCCACAGACTGGCCGGCCTTGTTCGTGACCTGCACAGCACCAGTACCATCCTCACAGTAGGGGTTGCTGGGGAAAGGCTTCTGGATCTCGCCATTCTCGTCACAGTAAAGACCACCGTTCTATACGGCTGTCAGTAGGTGTCCACCTCGTTTCCCCCTTGCATATGACAGGTGGATCCAGGAGTACAAACTTACCATCGACATGGGGTAGGAGTAGGAGGTCGCCTCAGGATCCCATTGCATAGAGACCTGACCGGGAGGGCAGGCATAGGGACAGTAGTTGCCAGGCTTGCAGGGCTGGTTAGGGCTCATGGCCCAACCCGCGTTCTGTTCATTGGGGGTGACAGCGACCAGACCAGCATCGGTAGGGAACTGGCACTGGCCACTCTTCTTCTCGAGGGTATTGTTCTCCGGAACCATGCGGGCATCGTGAGCGTGTCCATGGTGGTGGGCATGGCCGTGGTGCGCAGCTTCGACGCTGGCAATGAGTGCGACAAGCGCTGCTGCGCGGGCGGGAGTAATCTCGAACTTCATGGTGTCGAGCGAGGGTTTTTCGGTTTTTTATTCGCAGAAATCAGAAGCGCCAAGAATGAATGAGTGAAGAAACGAATGTAAGAGTTATCAAACGAGTGAATGAATGGAATATGGCCCAAGGCCGAGGGTAGGGGGACACAGAAGCTCGCAGAGAATGAGGTCAAAGGAGAGAAAGAAGGCCAGGATGAGATGGGCAGGTCAGCCAGAAAAGGGTCAGAGGCCCAGAGCACTGCGCCCACTGAGAAGTGAGCAAATCCTTTGGAAAAGGGCCAAACAGGTCCCGATTACGGTGCTGGATGACTGGGCTCAGGAACGACTGACGACACTAACTCAATCCAGTTGGAGCACCCTCATTTCAGGGTTTTGGTGGAGAGGCAGAGACCCTGAGTGGCCCCAGGGACGAACCTGATGGAGTCCGACTTGACCCGTTCAGGAACTCTCTGCGATGCCTTGGGGTCACTCTTTTCACAGTGTCAAGCTCCGTCAATGGTAAACGAGCCCCTGAGCAAAACTCCACTCGCAGAGAGCCACATGAGGCCGCTAGTCGAGGCCGCTAGTCGCTTAGCGTCAGGGGTAGTGCCACTATTGTCCAATGATCAGCCTGGAGACCCCGGCGGTTCCTGCTTGGCAAGTGGAGAGAAGCCAATAACCTTATGGAAATTGCATCCACTGGGGGGCATGAACCCTTCGCCAGAGGAACCTCGCGTTGGAAAAACGGAGGATTGCGGGAAAGTCGAGAGGTGAGAAGTGGAAGCGAAAGAAGAAAAGAACACTCACCATCTCACCAGTCACCAGTCACCACACTGTCCCCTCCAATCATAGTCCACTTTTTCCTGCTAACAACCATTCTATCAAGATATTTATCCGACATTGTATCCATTGTTCGTGAACACTCGAGAGCGAAGCGATGAGGATGAAATGATTAGCGCCCCACACCAATGCCCTTCTCCAGCGTCAGCAAACGGGGCCTCTTCTCCTCGGATCGCCTATCCTCCAATGCCAGTCCATCACAATCAAAATCATCAGGTCCTTTATGATCTAGACTTGTTGATCATGATAGACACTGGATCTCAGAGGGACCCCTAGTCCATCCAATCAAACCACTTTGTCTAGCCGGCTAGGGTTTTCCATGGCCTCAACGACAAATCTGGAATAGCAGGCCCTGGACGGAGTCGACGGACTCACGGACATCCTTCCGGTCAGCCAAGATTCGTGAATGCCGAGCACGCCCCGTGCTGGAACAGCGCCGCGTTGTGGGCTCAAGCTTGTCCAAAGCTTGGCCATGAAACCCGCCGCAACAAGTTTCTCAATGGTTCCACTCGCACTCAATTGACACAGCTGTGGATTATTATGTCTTGATAGCAATGTCTGGCTCTGCTGCATGTCAAACCATTTCAGAGACTTGCATCGACACGCACTAAGTCTGCTCCGAGGAGACAAAACCTTCATCTCCACCTTTGGCTGGTCTCGGTCTCACAGACACCCTGGAGTAGAAGTCTACAAGCGAAGGAGGCATTCGTGATTCCACTTTATGTACGGAGTACTCCGTACTTTATAGCCCCATAATCAGAGCTTGAAGATACAATTAGGTACCAATGGCATCAAGATGCAGTTCTCAGCCGTCTCGTATTGACTAATCTTGATGGTGATAGAAGCGGAATGGATATAAATCTCAACCTTAGGTAGGAGACAGAATCAATAGTCTGTTTGGGAATTAGATCGCTGAAGTATCTATAAGACTCATGTATTTCCTCGTAAAAGAGCACTTTGTCAACCCTGTTATCTTACTTCGGTCATGGCCCTATGCCACAAGCTTGACGGATCCCATGGAAAGCAGATCAAATAAAAGTTCCAATCGATATCTTCGAGCACCAGGGGCCTCGGATTTCTTTCAGACCGAGCACAATTCTTCAGTGGTTAACCACATGAAAGGAAGCTATTCTGTCTATATCATTCTCACCGAGTATTCGCTTTTGTCGATCCCAAGCGTCTCAGAACACGGCTTGGGCTTCGCCAAACTTCTCTCATTCACGGAGACCTGCACCTAGCAGATAAAGAGTCCAAAGTCTGTCTCTATGGCCTTCCCCAAGGATTTTCTTACGATACTCCCATAACTGACGATACACAGCCGACTCGCCGGGAAACTACAGATGCTTCAGAAGCAATGCTTCAAGCCACTCAACCAACTGCAAGTCTCGCTTCTTCGAGGGCATCACACATGCGGGGAGGCATATGAATAGACTAGATGCTAGATGGAAAAGTGTGGGACAAGCTGGAGAGGAGGGGGATGGAATTTGTGTATTTTACTGCGTTGTTTAGTATCAAGGTGATATCTGGTGATATGGCGGACTGTTGGGGAGGAAGGCTTAAGTTTGGGAGTCACGCCATTTATTCTTGGGCTGGGGGGCTACGAGCGCTCTGGGAACGCTGGTATAGCTCCCAGGAGCAAGAATTTCTGGGCCTGGGAGTTTTACCGTGCCATAGGCCAGAAGTTCACCGTTCAATCCGTTTCAGTTTGTGACCTGGATGAAAGTGATTGAGCTGCTTATATTGTTTAAAGGTAAAAGCTCTCTGATGGAACAGTGCCAGTTTATCAGATGGAGGGGTTCAATGACACAAAAGTAACATAACTGATATCAAACATCACTAAGTCAATTGTCGTAGTGATTAATTGAAGAGGTTCAGACGAACGACTCAAAGGAGAAGGCTTAAATCATGAGTTGGCGTAGGCTATACTTCAGCGGCAAAAATAAGCCACTTTGCGATAAACAGGCAGCGCAACCCCATACATTTTCCTTCGATTTTACGACGATCTCACACTATACTTGCCATGGTTCAATCTATGGTCATTTACCCCAGATCCAAATAACTATTCTTATTTTAAGTGCTGATGTCATCAACTCGGTGGTAGCACGTGACGTACCGTGGATGAAGTCGAGAAGCCAAGAAGCCCAAGAAAATGCCCAGACCGACATGTTAAGAGATTTTTCTGTGCGAAAATACTGTTTCCCTCTCAAACTACTCTGATCGGATACACCGTACTAGTCGTAGCTGGGAGATTCGGTGATGGCTGGTTTTCTTGCGTACCACGAACCTGGTAGTAAGTATTCGATATCTGCCGTTCCTCAGGACTCGCGCTAACCATGATCTGCAGTTGTCGAGATATTGATTATTATATCGTTTTTCTTCCTTCTATCGTTAGCAGAATGGATCTCGACTAAGATCATTCGGGCCGGTATTATTGGCCAAATTGCTGTCGGAATTATATATGGGAAACCCTTGGCCAATATTTTGGAGTATCCATGGCAGCAGACGTTCCTCGCCATTGGGTACGTTGGCTTGATCCTGATCATATTTGAAGGTATCCGAGCTCCGCAGGATTGATTTACATTAATGGTGATTCTAAAGACGAACAGGTGGCCTGCAAGTGAGACTGGATCTCTTGAAGCAAAACTTTCTCCTTAGCACCCTCGCAGCGGCTACCGGTGTCCTTTTCCCGATTGGACTTTCCTACCTACTATTATACCTGGGGTATGGATATGGTATGTTCTCCTTTCTCTTTGACCTCAAACACTTCCGAGACTAATACTTTGAAGGCGCAGTTGAGACTTTCATCATTGGTGCTGCGCTCTCGGCGACTTCCTTGGGCACTACTTTCTCCGTTATTTCTTCTGCTGCGAGTGCGATTGATCTTTCACAAACTCGAGTTGGCTCAGTACTTGTGAGTGCCGCTGTGATTGACGATGTGGTGGGCCTTGTGTTGTCTAGGTAAGAGAGCCTTCCTCCTTATGCCGCAAGAAATGTCTCTCACGCAACACCAATAGCGTCATTGGAGACTTGGGAGAGCTTTCTGGGCCCGATGCTGGCCACGTAAATCTCGGCTGGATCATCGGTCGACCAATCGTAGCCTCTGCGGCCATGGCAATCCTCACGCCGATTTTCACGAAGTGGATCTTTGCACCGATTTTCCGACGCTGGATTGAGCACAAGTTTGCAAGGTTTGACCATGTTTCTAACATCCTCTTGATGGTGTTGGTCTTATCTGCCTTCATCAGCATTGCTGCATATGCAGGCACGTCGGTCTTATTCGGTGCATTCCTTGCTGGTACGTTTCTCACGTACTTGCCGAGCACGCATCCAGATGGTCCATTTGTCGTGATGAGCCGTGAAGAGGGGGAGCGAAACGCCGACAAGAGTCCCAAATTCATTCATACCTTCGAGTTGTACCTCCTTGATACCCAGAAGTATCTCATGGAGCCACTTTTCTTTGCCAGCATTGGGTTTGCAATTCCATTTGTGGAGCTTTGGACAGGAGAACGAATTTGGAGAGGAATTCTGTTTACATTGCTCATGGCATTTGCGAAAGTAAGAAAAACCTCAACCCATATCTTCGTACCCACCGAAGAGAGTCTAATTGTTCACGCAGTTCATTGTCGGGCTATGGATTCCTTTTTGGAAATTCTTGAGCTCGTCGAAGGGTGACTCTGGCGCAGCCCTTGCTTCGCCGACAGCCAACAAGAAAAATGGATATGGTCCAGCATCACTGGCTGGGCTACTTCTTGGTTCGGCGATGGTGGCACGAGGTGAGATTGGGCTTCTTATCATAGAGGTCGGGTATAATGAAACGAGCTATGTGAGTCAAGACGGCTTCATCACCGCGGTGTGGGCTATCCTTCTCAATACCATCATTGGCCCCGTAATCGTGGGCAACTTGGTCAAATATCGTGGGAAGCGAATTGGAGAGGGTGAATGGGGATTGCAGACACAAGAACAGCCCCTGATACCAAACCCCAGCGGGGCCCGGGCATGAACAATTATAGACAAGCTGGTCTTGTTCACAATCTTGGACCCTTCTTGGAATCTTTGAAATTGGCTGTCATGTAGTTTACTTACATAGTCATTCATGAACTCATATGGCAGTATAGCCAATCAACATGCTTGAGACATTACTCGCCCGGTTGAGCTTGCAGGGTCGTCCACCCACTAAACGCCCCAGGATTGTTGCCATTCCTCCATCCCCATGAAATGCAGTAATGCCGAGCAAGCAGTCGCCACTCTTCCATCTCATCCAACATCTCGAGCCCGGCGACTCGCTCTTTTTCTTCCTCATTTACCCAGCGTTCCCAAATGAAATCAATATCGGCGGCAGCTTGACCGGCCTCGAAGCCTTGCTCAAGTAATCGAGCTCGCTGGGCCTCCAACGAGGCATACTTATTAAGTGTCTGCAATTGGATTCCTCGAGCCGCAAGATTGGACACCATGGTCCGCCCGAAGGGATCGTTCGGTCGAATGGGCTCGTACAAGATCAGCCCGAGAGGGGCGATAATCGGCGAACTCTGCACCTCTTCACTGCCCACAAAGGGCGCATACGTAGGACCGAAGAGATGTCCAGTGAAAAAAGTGACCACCTGAGCAGCCTCAGTTGGAGACAGATATATTAGGCAGCATTCCGATATGAGCAATGTCGGTAGGGTCCTGTCCACACCTGGAAGCGCTTCAGAGAGAGGGAGATTGGGCGACAGCGATCGTAGGTCGCAGGGGTGGATATGGTAGAATGGGGTGTGTAGCGCATCACCTGCTTCTGATACAGTCACGTCGTTGCTCGCTGGATCAAGTTCTAGCGCCCTTTGTAAATTCGGCGTTGAGCGAATTGCACGAATCTTCGCTGCCGTGTTGACCGCAAAGTCAATTTCGTGATAAATGACATCGGATGGTCTTCTGGAGGTAAAGAGCCGGAAAACACGTGTATCTGACCCAGCACCTAGCGAGATTATCTGTTTCTTCTGGTGCTGAGTCTCAGGGGAGTATGGACCGAGAAAGCGCGCGACGAGCTCGTCAATTGCGGTGGTACGAACGTAGGTTCCTGCTCGGGGGAAGATTCACGTCAGCTCCAATTGTCCTCTGCTATGAGGAGGGAACACATGCCTCTGTTGATAATTGGGAACCTCCTCGTCGCTGAGCCCGGCGGTGTCAATGCTTTCGCGTAGGGGTCAACGAGATATCCCAGCTCGACGGCGCTCAGGCGAGAGACACTCGCGTCATTGTCAGTACCTTGTACGACACGGTCTTTACCAGACGTGCGAGTACTGTGGCCATCTTCGACTCCACGACTGCCTCCGCGCCCTCGGCCGCGACCTCGACGAAGAAGGTTAAGATTTGGAATCTGCGATGCGGCCATGAGGGGTAGGTGGAGGAAGCTTGGAGCTCGGACGCGGTGGGGAACTGGCGGGGCGGGAATAGCGTCACTGGGGGGCGTTGGCTCAAATCTTGCAAATAAATCTCGTTGGAAATCTATGAAAAGCCTAGGGTTTCCCGTGTTTGGAAAACCGTCATGTAACTCGGAGTTTCCATAAATTCGTGTCCATTTCAATTACACATCTATCGTCTATCTATTGCGTTCATAAACTTCAAACATATACAAAGTTGTTGCGGCACAGAGGGCAGGTGCTTTGGTTGCTGCTCTTGAACCATCGGAACAGGCAAACGGAATGGAAGGTGTTCTTGCAGGTGGCACATCGCTTGTTTGGAGTCTGCATATCAGTCGATATGACCGAGTAGCAAATGGCACACTCGCTTTGTCCCTTCAGAGCACCCTGCACGTTCCGCCGGAATGCCAGGAGGCCATCAACGAGGTTACCGTTGGCAAACATGATGACTCCCTGGATTGTGAGGAGCCAATTCTTCCACTTCTTCTCATCCACAAGCACCCGGCTACGGCCGACCACCAGTGCGGGGTGAAGAGGGTATGCAGGTGGGAGAGAAATCGAAATAGAGACTGGGGGTGATTCTTCATCGACAGGGATACTTGCGATAATCTCTGCTGTCTTTGGCGAGATCTTTAAAGTCAATGCTCGTTCCTCGTTGGGATCTTGTGTAGAGATCCAGTCTTCAACACCTTGAAGGGCATCTCCGGAGACAAGCGGGGAGATCTAGAACGGCGGTTAGAAGGCTTTCCGATGATGTATCTTACAGGGACAAAACTTGACTACACTTACATGTTTTTCTGTCCATGATTCCACCGGGCCCTTAATTCGTTTCTTGGTATCGATCCACCAATTCTTGGTCATATTCGCCAAGTGGCGGAGGCAGAGGTAGTACAAATGTACCAGAAGCCACTGGGTCTCTCTTTCGGCATTTTCAGACTGGTCGGGTTCAAAGTTCTGCACGTCGATTTTGGATGCATCAACAATCTTGCCGTGAGACTTTTGAAGGAAGTCAAACGTGAATTCCAGAAGTGGAATCAAGACTTCGTTTTCCTTGATGTTTGTCGTGTAGAACTCTTGGACGGGGAGCGACTATTGACATTGTCAGCAGGGAATTTCTTAAATATTTAGACGTAATCCATGGCATACCGCGTTCGTGAAATGATCAAACACCACTTTCCAGCTCAAAAGGTAAGCTCTGATAGTGGTCCAAACCTTGTCATCTCCATAAGCCTCGTTGACCATCTCCATTGTTGGGGTCTCCAACAACAATGATATGAGCTCATCTGGGAGGCTGACTGAAGTTTTAGACAGAGCCACATCAAATGAGACTTGCTCTTGTGCCTGGGGGATAAACCGATGGAGGATAGTGAAAGCCGTGCGCTGTACCGAGCGGCTGTGTGCAGTTAGGAGGCCAAAGACACCGCTGACATCCTCAAGCTTCTCAATAGGTATGGATTTAATGAGGCGTCGCAAAAGCTCGACAGTAACATCACGTGGTTGATGGAAGGTCGTTGCAGAGTCTGGAATATGCATAAGCTGGGGACTCTTGCAAATGTCGATGGGAATCCTTCAGTACGTACCAAACTTTCCGATGGTAGAAGCCAATTCATTGAATAATCCAGTCTTTCGCTCTGTCCAAGCATCTTGGAGATCATCATTGCCGTCTCCTTCAGCCATAGACTTCAAGCGTGCAAACAATCTGAACGAAGAGAACAGAAGTGGCAATCCCTCTTCTCCGCCGTTGGTCTCTTTAAATACCACACTGAGGATATTCATGCTGTCCTCCCAGTGTGAGCCATAAATTTCGGCGAGGCCTGGGAGGATGAATGTCAAGGTCCGCAGAATCTCAGCCCTCAGTCCTAGGGATTGCATGTCAGACTGAAGGCATTCAATTAGATGCTTGGTAAGGAAGACGAGTCTCTGTGTAGGAATAGTCGACACAAAGTTTTCTTCTCCGGAAAGTAAGATGTTGAGCAATGCAAGCTTTCGGAGTCCTAGGCCATTGTTAGAGAATGGTAGGCTTTGAGGCAACCCTGGTACATACCATCGGAGGAGGGGTTGAGGGGTTTGAGTCCGGTAGAATCTGCGACTAACTCATTACAGACTCTGTTGCCCACAGGGCTTGACAGAATCGAGCTTCGTAGAACAGCGAACCATGATGCTGAACGAATAGAGTTAGCGGTTCTTGCCTCGCGACAAATTTTTGCAACGTCATCTGCTGATTTGGGATGCTCCACAACGTCTATAGAGGTCATGATTTTGGTGAAAGTCTCTCCAATCCGGTAGTCAACGGGCGAGGTTCCACATAGCGTCTCCAATCTTTTCTCCCAGAAGGAAGTCAGACAAGATGAAATGGTAACGCTTGAAGAGCAGCTGAGGGGCTCCTTCGCATGGGTCCAGTTACTAATGATCTGCCGCCCTTTGAAGACTATTTCCAGGTACTCTTCACGCTGATTAGCAAACTTCAGTCCAGAGATTCCGTTGCAGTACTCGATGCTCAGGTCGTCGTCAATCAACTGGACGGATAGTGGCAGATAGTACATCAGAGTCTCGAGGTCATCGTTAGTTAGGTGCTTCATCACTTCAAAGGAAGACAAGACTTGAATCGTGAAGCTTGCCAAGCGGAATGCTGCAGAACAATGGCTAGAATCACGGGGTATGGCAAGCCATAGTGCCTTGAACGAATCCGAAACATCACGATGAATAAGATGAACAATGCCCCCCAGTGGGTCGGTGATGGCTGTTGAAACGCGCGGCGGAAGCTGAAGGAAGGGGCCTATCGCATTCTCCCATGCGTCGGAAGAAGGCAAGATATCCTTGATTGCGTAGTCAGGCTCATTAGCTGCAAGGCCGTGCAATAGCTCCTCGGCAATCGCAAAGAGAGACTCGATTCTAGACACAAATTAGACGACACATAAAGGACAAAAGGGAATCATATCACATACGACAATGATTCTTCGTTGGCATGACTGAAACCACTGTGAAGAATTTCAATCTTCGACTTAGTGCTTGTATCTCCAACCACGGTTTCCTTGAAAGTCTTCATCAATGACTCCGCCAGGCTTGCTACCTCCTCTGACGGGGACTCCGTCAAATACAGTAGCTTCGCCGTCAGCTTTGAGCCATGAGCACCAGCCTGGAATTCACGGACTCTAGATGGGACAGCTTGTCCGAGATGAGAGAGGCCATGCAAGGCATTGAAGACCCTGTCATCCTGGGACAACGCATCAATTATCGACAAGAAAATTCCATCTCTCAATTGACCTTGAGAGGTCTGGTTTTGAAGAACCGAAATAACGATAGCCCAGTGAGCATGACTTCCTCGTAAGGAATTTTCTAGGGCTCGCATGATCAAGGATGATAACTTGGCTTTGTCCCCAACCTCATTAAAGTCGAGAGTGGATAGTAGAGTTTGGAGAATGTGGGCGTTCGATTGTTCGGGCTCGAGTTCCATCGCACTTTCAACGACACGCTCAAAGCTGGTAGAGAAACCATCCCATTCTCTACACGCCAAGATAATTGCGATCAGGCGGTCGCCCGATGGAGAGAAGAGCAGACCAGGGGCATCATTTTGGATGAATCTGAGAAGGTCCTGAGAGCGGTTCGCCACCGAAGGCAAGTTGCGAACACATTCTTCAACAACTCCAGCAGCACCATATGGTTTACCATTGCGCGAACGAAGGACTTGCAAACAACCCTCAAGAAGAAGCAAGGTTGATTGTTCAATGACTTTCTGTACAACTGCTTCGTTCTCGGGACCTGAAACTTGTGAAAGGACGGTAGGTATCAAAGCAAAGAGTCGTTTTGCTTGGGAACAGATTGAATCTTGAGATTGGCGGAAATCCTTTGATTGTTCTGGGGATGACAATTTGACGGCCTCCAGCAAATCATTCGAGAGTTTCATCCAGAGGGACTGGAATCCTTCATGATGCCCATTCGAGACAAGTGTAGCGATGCACTCGGTACAAACATCTTCGGCTAATTGGGGCGGAAGGATCCACTGGTGCTGCTCAGGATCAGGCCGTACATAGTTCACCACCAGTGGAAACAGTCTGGTCTGAATGAGATCGAATTGTTGTTCCTGGGGTACAACCGTCGAGAACCAGCCCCCAATTCTGACGTAGGTTTTCCAACCGACGTTGAGATTTTGACGTGGCTCTTCTCGAGAATTGAGACCTTCCTGAAAAGCCTCAGTCAGAGCAGATGCGCTTGAAATCGTGATTGCTCCATCGGTGGATGTTTTGTCGGCTCCCGCGAGCACATCCTGGGGGATGATTCGAAGCACCTGATCAAGGTTTGACCAGAAATTGCCGTGGCCTCCCTGTGATCCTTTTTGAATGTATTGGCGCAGTCTTTTGGACGCAGAAGTCTTTCCTGTGTAGTCGTCCGTCCAGATTTGAGGTCGTGAGGATGTCAAAAGCAGGACAGACTCGGATAATTCAGAAGCGGATCCCAGCTGTGGGGTAGATAGTGATTTGCCAATGATGGCGGAACTCAGAACTTTCCAGTCAACCCATGCTGGCTCGCGGGATACTGCTGACCGCAAAAGAATGTATATAGAACGACGCACGAACGGGTCCTCATGCGCACAGAACGCCCACAAGGACTTGTTACCGAGCAATGCCTCAATTTCTGGAAGACTTTTCCGAAGATCCTCGTCGGGTGAATTTCCTATTTCTAATCAATATTGTGGATTCGAGGGAGTCTTGACGTACCAGGGGAGGGCCAAGTCCAAGTCCACTTACCTAGAATGCGGTTGAATAGTAGAAGTGCTGCACCGACGACTCGCGCATATTTTGCCTCCGCATCATCGCGCTTAACTGTCCGTTCGTCGCTCAAAGTCAATGGCGTCTGGTGGAGAAGAACGTCATCTACAAAGTCCAGAATAGAACTCTGGTAAATCTTCCACAGGCTGTTTCTCTTCGCTTCCGTAGAGAAGACCGTGGTCAGAGAATCCAGGGCGGACCTATGGACTGGTCGGTCACTGTCGTAAAGGCCTGCCAGCCAAGCTCCAACAACCTTGGGAAGGTAAGGTGCAATTCTCTTTCCGACGACGACGGCCACAGAGCCCATGATTGTGTGCGCTAATTGCCTTACTCGCCGTGACAGGTCAATTGAAGCACGGGGGTAGACTTTCACCTGTGAGTCAACCAGTTAACCAAAGGCCTTCCTGTATAAATTGAAAGAATGACTACATACCCATGCTTCTAAAAAGCCCTCATCAACGGTTCCATTTTTCGCTTCCACTGAGGAAATGTATTCTTTCAACTCTTCCAAAGCCTTGGTGCGTGTAATTTCATCTTTCTTCAGCAAGTTCTTGTATGCAATCACGAGTTGCTGATCCCAGATGCGAGAAAGGTCTGGCGGCTCCGTGATGTATGTAAGCGCCGACGGCTCCCGGCCACCACTATCGAAGGCATTTGAGAATCCTCCAAATCCCCCAAAGGCGCTGGCAGCCGCGCGACTGCTGGAGGCCTGCGACTTGAACTTTTTGCTCATGTGGGGTATGAGGTCAGCGGGAATGGCGGGGGCTGGCTCAAAGCTGCAGTTCCGCAGTTTCGGCAAGAGGTGTAAATACAAAGCCACCGGTTTCGTTCCCGTGGCTCTGGCAGGAGATTCTCGAAGCTTCAATATCCCTCAAGTCGCAATGGGTGTTGCGAAAGACGAAGAAAGACGTTGATATCAAGCGGGCGGCCACCCGATCGGGAGATCACGTGGCTTTCTCATTGCTGTCCCAAAGGGGAAAAGACACACCGAGCTTCGCCGCATGCTGCCTTCGTTCTCTCTTCTCCAACAGCGTCGGGGAACTCGGCCACAATGAAGTTCTTCATTGAGTATGGCCTCTTTACTTTGCGCTCACTTGACTTTGAACTCTGTGCTGATTTGCTCACCATTTTAGTGATCTTCCGGTGCTGTTCCCGTATCCTCGCGTTTACCCCGAGCAATATGCATACATGTGCGATCTCAAGAAGACCCTCGATGCCGGGGGTCACTGTGTGCTGGAGATGCCGTCTGGGACAGGCAAGACAATCTCGCTTTTGTCGCTGATCGTGGCATACCAGCAGCATTACCCTGAACACAGGAAGCTGATCTACTGCTCGCGAACAATGTCCGAGATTGAGAAGGCGTTGGCAGAGTTGAAGGGGTTGATGAAATACCGATCACAGGAACTGGGCTACGAAGAAGAGTTCCGCGCTCTAGGACTCACTAGTCGGAAAAATCTATGTCTGCATCCGTCCGTGAAACGGGAGAAAAGTGGTACTGTTGTCGACGCTAGGTGTCGAAGCTTGACAGCGGGGTTTGTCAAAGAAAAGAAGGAGCGCGGCGAAGAAGTCGACTTGTGCATATACCACGAGGTTTGTCCGTCGACTTTTGCCTGACTTTGATCCTCTTCTGACAGGATATCAAAGAATCTTGACCTTCTCGAGCCGCATAATCTCGTCCCGCCCGGCGTGTTCACTCTTGATGGCCTGACCCGTTATGGAGAAGAGCACAAGCAGTGCCCCTATTTCTCTGCTCGACGCATGGTATGGTTCGCTTTCACCCTACAAGCTTTCTCTGGAAGATGGTTTTCTAATATCCGGGTGGTTTTTAGATGCCTTGGTGTAATATCATCATCTACTCGTACCACTACCTCCTCGATCCGAAAATTGCCGAACGCGTCTCCCGAGAACTATCAAAGGATTGTATCGTTGTTTTCGATGAAGCGCACAATATCGACAACGTCTGCATCGAGTCCCTCAGTATCGACCTGAGTGAGGATTCCCTACGCAAGGCCACGAGGGGCGCTGCGAATCTTGAGCGTAAAATTGAAGAAATGAAGAGCACAGACGCTGAAAAGCTTCAAAATGAATACTCGAAACTTGTGGAGGGACTGCAACAAGCAGAACAGGCGCGGGAGGAGGATCAATTTATCTCGAATCCCATATTGCCAGATGACTTGTTGAAGGAGGCAGTTCCTGGCAACATTCGTCGCGCTGAGCACTTCGTTTCCTTCTTGAAGAGATTCATCGAATACTTGAAAACTCGGATGAAAGTGACACATACCATTTCGGAGACACCGCCCAGCTTCCTTACCCATCTGAAGGATCTCACGTATATTGAGCGAAAGCCATTGAGATTCTGTGCAGAGCGTCTAACATCACTCGTCCGAACCCTGGAGCTTGTCAATATTGAAGACTATCAGCCGTTGCAAGAGGTGGCCACCTTTGCGACTCTGGTCGCAACCTATGAAAAGGGATTCGTCCTCATTCTCGAGCCATTCGAGTCTGAAGCAGCCACAGTCCCCAACCCGATTCTGCATTTCACATGCTTGGATGCTGCCATTGCAATCAAACCCGTTTTCGATCGTTTCAGATCCGTCATTATCACTTCCGGTACTCTCTCGCCCTTGGAGATGTATCCGAAAATGCTTGGTTTCACTACTGTGATGCAAGAGTCATACAGTATGACCTTGGCTCGTCGGTCCTTCTTGCCCATGATTGTTACTCGAGGGTCAGATCAGGCACAAGTCTCCTCGTCGTTTGGTATTCGCAACGATCCCGGTGTGGTTCGCAACTACGGTACGCTTGTCACCGAGTTCGCTCGTATCACGCCAGATGGCGTTGTCGTCTTCTTCCCTTCATATCTCTATATGGAGTCGATCATTAGCATGTGGCAAGGCATGGGTATTTTGGATCAAATTTGGAATTACAAACTAATCCTCGTCGAAACCCCTGATGCGCAAGAGTCATCTCTGGCTTTGGAGACATATCGGACCGCTTGCTGCAATGGACGCGGTGCAATCCTGTTTTGCGTCGCTCGAGGAAAGGTGTCTGAGGGTATCGATTTCGATCACCATTACGGCCGTGCAGTGCTGTGCATTGGTGTGCCATTCCAGTACACAGAGTCTCGTATCCTGAAGGCCAGGCTTGAATTCTTGCGAGAGAACTATCGAATTCGAGAGAACGATTTCCTTTCCTTCGATGCGATGCGGCATGCGGCGCAGTGCTTGGGACGTGTACTTCGCGGCAAAGACGATTACGGAGTCATGGTCCTTGCAGACCGTCGTTTCGAACGAAAGCGGCCGCAACTTCCAAAGTGGATCAACCAGGCAATGCTGGACAGCGAAACAAACCTCAGCACTGATATGGCTGTCGCGAATGCTAAAAACTTTTTGCGAACTATGGCGCAGCCTTTCAAATCCAAAGATCAAGAAGGAATTTCAACCTGGAGTCTGGCTGATATTGAGCGCCACGAGGCTAAACGCAGGGCTGAGGAAGCACGTCTGATCAACGGCGAGCCTGTCCGTCCGATGAATGGTGTCACATCGACGATGCAGATTGTCGAGGATGAATATGACGATGACATCGACGACGATCTTATGATGCTTGACGCCCAGTGATTTTGTTTCTTTCTTTTTTAACATGGCGGTGTCGTCTCGGGGCTTAAATGGTGCGGTTTTATAATAGGCTCGACACCGACATCTGGGGCGTTCTTTGATCGGGCATTCAAACATCATAGCATTGGGGGCGTTTTCATTGGGCCCAAATTGTTATTTATGGGATTTAGCGAGCCAATCTGCGTATTTGCAGACGACCAGAGCGAACACTGAACAATTGCAATTTGACCTGGTATTTTTATTTTCCTTTCAGAATGCTATCCAGAGCAAATCAGACCGAGATCATACCTCATTACCAACGCTCCCGAGTTACATGGTGAAATTGGGCTGAGCTCCTTGAAAAATGTCGTCCATGTTTCAGCAGGACGCGTCCTGCAGGCTTGTTTAGTCTACGACGCGCAATGGAAGGAAGCTTAAGCTTTACCCCCTTGCATTCAACGATATACTTACCGAATCGAAATGATTTCGCTGATCTACGGTTGTCAGTAACTATGTCTGCCCAAACATAATGCCAGCGAGATGTGATTGATAGTGATACTATTATGAAACCCTGGATAATCAATGGTCAACCTCAACCCGCTCTTACGCCCCTTCTAAGAGCCAAGCTTTCCGCGCACGTTCTCCGCCTTTGAGAGTTTAACTCAATGGCAATGACGATTCTTCATGAACCTCCTCGTAGTCAGAAGCCCCCTGGTAGCTATGTGGGTCAAGGCACCTACGAATGTGTCTCCGACTTGCATGAGTATTCCGGCTCCCTCAATGCTATGAAGGTCGCACAGCCTTCGGACTTTCAATTACGGAGTACATTCGGGTTATGTTGCTGCCTCCTAAGAAGTAGCTCGTTAACTATTGAACTGCTATTATGCCATTATTTAGATTATGCCCGTGTTGGACTCCACTGATGACGCCTCCTTCTTATCCGATCTCTGCAGGGTAAAAGTATCGGGCGATCACCCGCCGCAGGTTGGCTGGGACCTATCCATTATTACTTTGGTGATTGTTTACAGTACATATTTGGGAATTACGATGATACATACCCCATTGTTGATCGAACCTTTAAGCTTAAAAATGCCAATATTGGCCACTAACTGTTACCTCCATGAGTTCCCGTCTTTCTGAATAGGTCGACCAATCTCGACGGTTATGTTATCCTGAGCAGCGCTTGATTTGACTGAACCTAGGGATGCGTTACGTGGTCGACCTCTTTTTGTAGTAGACTTGTCACATAGGAGAATATTTGTCTTAAGAGTGAGCGAATTCAGCCACTTGGTAACTATGCAGGAGTCGTAAGTTTAGGTGTAGTACAACAAGGCGCAGTAAGTTAGATAGGGGCACATTGTTCCCCCCTGTTCTGTGTATCCTTTGATTGAAAAGCAAAATCGTCCGACCGCTACCAGTATTTATCAAGATGGAGACTTAGGCGAGCTATCTTGACTTGGCCCGACAGGAGTTCTTTCACAGTTTCAGTTTTCGTTTCCTTGTCTTTTCAATTTGCTTTATCGCATCGTCATCTTGTTAGATCATTGCTTCTCTAAATGACCAATTAACAGCATTACACAGGTGAGTCTATGAGTCCGTTAGTGGATACTTCCTTACCCCCAAGTGCACAGCATTTACAAAATCCATAGATTGACCAGATCTGAAAATGCTTAGCCTAGATATGTCAAAAGGGGATTCTGGAACTTTGGCTGGGTCACCAAGCCCGTCAGAACCCCAGGTTCCCTATCATATTCTGTCTAAGAAGCAAAAATGGAACCTTGTCATTTTCGTCTCCTTGGCGGCTTCTTTCTCGCCTTTGTCATCAAACATATACTTCCCTGCAATTAACACCATCTCCAACAACCTTGGAGTAAGTGCGTCACTCGTCGCTCTCACAATCACTGTATATATGGTTGTACAGGGCATTGCCCCGTCACTCCTGGGTGCCTTTTCAGAGACCTACGGCCGTCGCCTCACTTTTGCGATAACCCTCACTATATACACTGCAGCCAACCTCGCCCTGGCATTCACTTCCAGTTATCCGATGCTGATGGTGCTGCGTGGCTTGCAGGCGGCGGGATCAGCAGCGACCATTAGCATTAGTGCTGGTGTCATCGCTGATATTGCTTGCCCCGAGGAACGTGGTGGTTTCATAGGCACAAATGCTGGTATTCGGTACGCAAGACACAGTCGCTCCAAAGAAGACCTCTAGTCGTTAACATCTCATAGCATGACAGGCCAAGCAATTGGTCCAATCATTGGGGGTACCTTAAACAGTCAATGGGGCTTTCGCAGCATCTTTTGGCTATTGTTCGTCTCAAGCATAATTGTCCTTGCTGCACTCCTAATATTCCTTCCGGAGACACAGCGCAGCATAGCAGGCAACGGTACCAACGTTGTCTCTGGTTTCCAGAAGCCATTTATCTATTATGTCAGGCCCCCATCAACCTGGTCCAAAGGCGCTGCAACAAACCGCCCGGCGCCTCGATCACCAATCACATTTAAAAAGGCATTCAGTCCCCTTGCCTACGTTCTCGAGAAAGATATCGCAGCGCTCTTGGCTTGGGGCGCTATAGCCTATACTGCATGGAGCATGGTGACATCCTCTACCACAACGATGCTGCTGTTCGGTTTTCCTCTACTGACGGAGTGGCAACTGGGGCTCTGTTTCCTCCCAAATGGACTCGGTTGCATTCTCAGCTCGCTCAGCACAGGCTGGATACTGGACCAGAGCTTCAAGCGTGCCCTAGAGCGATACAAGGTTGAGCATGGCATTCCACCGGACGAAAATGTCGATCACCATCGCGACTTCCCATACGTACAAGCCCGTCTACGCCTTATGCCTATCTTTAGTGTCGTGCTCATGATCTCTCTGGCCCTCTACGGGCCAAGTTTTGAATTCAATGACCTACGAAAACATTTCGGACCGAATTTGGCGGCGCCACTCATTCTCCAATTCCTGATTGCCTTTTCAGCAACTGCTATCTTCAACATTAACTCGACGGTGCTGATCGATTGCTTCCCGGAGCGACCTGCGAGCGCGACAGCACTGAACAATCTGTGCCGGTGCCTGCTTGGAGCTGTAGGAGTTAGCGTTATCGAGCCACTGATCGGTGCTGTAAAGGCGATGAAAGCCTTCTTCATTGTGAGCGGTGTAGTGTTACTTTTTACTCCGTTAATCTGGGTCGAATGGAAATGGGGAGAGAGATGGAGAAAGGAGAGAGAAGATCGACGTGCTCAGTGACGGAAGGGCTTTTGAATTGAAAAACTCAGTATGTTGCTCAGGGCTGAGGAGATTTGAGACTTCACCTACACATTAATTACAGATCATGAATCGATACCCGGCGCTACGTTGTAGACTTGTCTAGAGTCGATGTATCACGACGAGACATCACCATTGACTAGAATGATGCATCTTATAGGGTTTGTAGAGTATATGTACCCTTTCTCGTTAGTTCACTGATTTCCAGATATTGTCGATGTTACTGTTGGGACTACGATGCGGGTGGTCATACCTCAGCCCTTCAAGCACATGGATTCTTTAGTGAGTATCTAAAGATTCAAAGCCAGTGATTAGACACCACCACTATCCCATGGCAGGTATGCAGTGAATGCTCAGATCTTAGAAGAGTACAAGTCCAAATGCAGAAGTAATACCATATACACTCGTATGAAAATTCTATTCAACTGAAAAATATGCTAATATGAACAGGGACAGGCACTTTTTTGTTCCGCTGAACAGAAGAACTCCGGATCATCGACACGTCAAGATGGCAACAAAAATAGCACAGGTTGCACAAGAAAGGTGCAAAGTATACAGGTTATGAAACAACGGCAGAGAAGAACACAATGCGAAAGAGCCCCATCGACACACAACTATGCTACAGGAGCGAGAATGTCGAACGCGCCAGTTCCAACAGTACCGGAACGGCCGACGACAATTCTGCTACTCGGGCCCTTGAGGTTGTCAAAGTCACGCTCAACAACAGCGTCCTTCAGAGCACCAACGGTGGTCTCGAAGGACATCCGGGCGAATGGTGAGGTGGAATCCTTGACCAAGCCGTTGCGGCTGAAGGCCTTGAAGCCACCAGATTGGGTCATTACATCACCAATCAAGTTAAGATGGCGGTTGTCGACGGAGATACTGTGACCCTTGAAAACGGAGTCCATTTCGCGGATAATGGTGGCACGAGCAGCTTCAACACCGTATAGATTGAGCATATCGTGGATGGAGTTGGTGTAGAGCGAGTGCGGGTTGATGGCGTCCTGGTGGTCACGCATAGCGAGCAAGTTGACACCGTCGGTCATGATGCACGCGGGCTCGCCCTTGATCTCGTCTCCCTCGACGTAGAGACAGCTGCCGAGGTTCACGACCTGCTGGATGACTGCAAAATGGCAGGTGCTTTCAACCAGGGGAAGCAGAAGCAGCTTGGGCGTCTCAATGTCGTACTCGAGTTGAATGGTACAGGAGGTGCCCTTCTTCGTGTCGAATTCGAACTTGTTGATCTCAGGGAACTTGCTCTTGACGTTGTCCTCACGCAGCTTCTGCTCCTGCGCCTTCTCGTCATCCGAGTCATCATCGGAATCGTCATCGGGAGCATCCCCAAGCTCCTCATCCTCATCTTCATCTTCGATTTCGTCTTGCCCGCGGATGATATCCTGTTCATCATCATCAGGTCCTTCATAAGACACCTGGTTGCTGCGGTTTTGGCCACCACGAGCCCGCTTGGCGTCATCCTCGTCATCTTCGTTGTCATCGTCAGCCGGCTCTGCCGCGCGGTCAGGACCACTGGGGCCATCGGCAACCCTGCCGACTGAGACACCAATCTCAGGCTGGGCAGTCGACGTCTTCGTGCCAGTCTTATCCTCATTGCGCTTCTTGAGCTCGGCCTTGATGAGCTTCACCAGGCGAGGAATAAACTTGTTCTCGAGGGCCCGGGAGATGTCCGCAATCTGGATACTGTATTCATTGATATACTCCTCAGCTGGGAAGAAGGAGATCTCAATATCGTAGATCTTAGCCTTGGCATAGCCGACGCCAGAGCCAATGCGTTCCTTAACTTGCACCTTATCAACCACCTCAGCAATGCTGAGCTTACTGAGACCCTTGGCGAACCTCTCGCCCTGCTCTTTAGAGAGTTCCTTGACTGGGTAAAGTGTCATGGACGGAGTCATGATGGTAGCACTGGCTGTCATGACAATTTCACGGAGACGGGGAATACCCAGCGTCACGTTCTTGGCTGAGTGACCAGCCAAGTGGAAAGTATTCAGTGTCATCTGAGTACTGGGCTCGCCAACACCTAGAGTAATAGAGTTAGCATCTTGCTTGTCGCGCAGGCTACCGAAAATGAGGAAACTCACTCTGACCAGCCATAATACCGACTGCTTCACCAGGATCAATTACAGACTTCATATACTTCATGTTCATCAAAGCCTCGAATGATTTCTTGTTGACCTTAACATCGGCCTCGTCCTTCTTGTCTTTGAACATGTCGGGATTGTCAGTTGAAAACTATGCGAAAGATTTGTCAGTTTCAAGCTGGGTGGACATAGTGGAGATCTCGATGATTTTAACTCACCTTCTTGAGCGCTTGGGCGAATTCCTCCGAAGTACTACCCAAGTTGCCGCCAGGGTGGAACTTCGACAGCGCAGGATCCATGGCACCCAAGTCATGAGTCTTGCGTACCGCCTTCTGCGCGTCCTTGTTCCACGCCATTGCCTCTGTATTCACGAGGTCGCGATAATGACTGGCTTGGACTTGCCTGGAAACAGAACGGTGGTTCTCCGCAAGGAACTTGAAGTCCTTGAGGTGAACCTGTTTGGTGATGTCGAGACCATCCTCTCCGTACAAGAACTGGACGATAGAGCCGTCTGACGATTCACGAACAGAGGAATCGTATTCAGCTCTCAGGCCCTCCATGCCCTTGATCAAGCAACGCTGCAAGTAACCGGAACGCGAAGTCTTGACGGCAGTATCAATCAGACCCTCACGACCAGCCATGGCGTGGAAGTAGTACTCCTGAGGCTTGATACCGGTCAAGAAGCGACCGGAGACGTAACCACCAGCAACGGGGTGGGTTTCGAAAGCTCGGAAAGACGGTAGGGTCTTGCCACTGATCATGACCGGTACACGGCGACCCTCCAGAACCTGCTGTCCAAGGTTGCAGGAAATCAGGTTGGCATTGACACCCGAACCCTTGGCACCGGAGATAGTCATCGACTGCATCTGGTTCCACGGGAAGGGCTTAGCAAGACCTGCAGGGAGACAAGCGCTAGTGATCTCCGAGGACAGCTTGGCAGACCGGGCGTTCGACACGCTATCCAGTCCACTCTGCTTGTCATCGTCACGAAGCACATCTTCCAAGCGGCGATTAAGCTCGGCATCCTGGTCAGGTACATTTGTCTGATCCAGGGTAACGTACTTGAGGGCAACCTGGCGACCCATTTCCGCTGCAGTGCTCAGCTTCTCCTTACGAATGCGGTCACCCTCCTTGGTCAAGCGAAGATCGTCGATACCACAAGTGAAAGCCCTCATGTTCAAGAATCGAGTCAGGAGTCGTCCCAGAATACTCATCAGCTTTCCGGCAATGGTATGGCCGTAGACTTCATGGACAGCATCAATCAAACCTCCAGCGGTGGGACCAAGCTGCTTCTTATCCAGGATACCACACAGGTACTCTCCATCATCGAAGATGACGGTGTCCTCTTCGTTGCCCTTGCCCCAACGGTCACCAGGGGTAGAAGACTTGCCCTTGAGCGTGAGACCACCGCTGTTGTCGGGCTTGATGTTCTTGAGGATTGTTGTGATGACTTGCTTGCCAGTCCAGAGGAATTTGGGCTTCCGGAAAGCAGGCTCAACCAATTGAATGCGGTCGCCAACGATGTGCGAGTTCTCTGGCCGCAAGCAGTTGTACAGAAGCTGGTGGTAATCTTCTTCATCGAAGAAAGAATCACGACATGTGAACCAGACACCCATGGAAATGTGATCTTGAATCAGACCTCGCAAAGGCTTGCCTGACGTGGCAACCAGGTACTGGTGGTCAGCATCAGCCAGCATCCGAGCCTCCGCCTGAGCAAGTTCGTTCTGAGGGAAGTGCATGTTCATCTCATCACCATCGAAATCGGCGTTGTAGGTGTTACAGTTGGCATAATGCATTCGAATGGTGCGCTCGTTAGGAAGAACACGAGCCTTGTGGCCCATGATGGACGGTTTGTGAAGAGTCGGTTGTCTATTGTGGGAGATTAGCATCAAAGATCAGTGCCGAAGCGAGGTATTTATGTCACATACCGGTTCATCAACACATAGTCACCGGTAGTCAGATGGCGGTAGACCTTCTTGTTCCGCGTCCCCTTAAGCCGCCAGTTGGATGGTGCAAGTAACTGGTTGGCAAGTGCAGTACGCTCGTCCAAACTCTTAAACTTCAAGTTAATCACTTGGCCATTCTCGTTCTCGATCGCTGCGGCACCGGGATACTTGTCGGGACCATTGATAACGGCTTCCTTCAGCTCCCAGAAGTTATGGTTGGTGACAGGCTCCGGGAAGGTCAGCTTCTTGGCAAATACCAAGGGCACACCAATTTCATTGGTTTCGAGATTGGGGTCGGGCGAAATAACACTACGAGCAGCGAAGTTGACACGCTTACCCATCATGTTCTTTCGGAAAAGACCCTCCTTTTTCTCGAGCAGCTGCTTGATACCATTGGGAAGCTGGGCGATGGCGGAGCCTGTCACAGAGGTACGCTCACGATCGATGAGACCGTTGACAAAGTCCTGGAGCGCAACGATAGCCTGGAGAAGATCACTGAGATTGCGCGCACGGCTCATGATCTTCTCATTCTCATTCTGCATCTCCTTTTTGATCTGGTTGATGACATCTGTCTGCTTGAGAATGTTGTTGAACGGCGTATTTTGCGCTGCTTCCATGATTTCGCCGGGGCCCTGTTGAGCAGCAGGGCGGTATTTGTTTGGCGGTACGAGAAGGCTCTTGATGAAGAACATGTCTGCGTTGATGACCTTGACTCCCTTGGGGACAGGGCGGGAGTTGTAGACAAGTTGCAAAACCTCACCATCCTTCTCGAAAAGAAGACACATGGCAGCGTAGACCTCGGAGGAAGGCATGAACTCCTGGCCAGTCGACCCGGGGTGCGAGGTCTGCGCTGTAACGGCAGCTCCGCGAAGGATTTCCTCCTCGGCACCGTGAACTTCAGTCACAGCACTGTCCGCCTCAGAAACTCCATTGGCCAAGGTGCCATTTTCCTTGGCATTTGCCTTCTTCTCTTGGTCGAGGAGAATCAAAGTATTGGGTGCCTGGAATCCTCCGTGAAGCATCGCAAGCTTGGACTTCTCAGGAAGCTGTTTCCGGAAAATCTTGTTGTAGCGATCCTTGCGATATGAAGGGGATATACCGCTGCAATTCGTACACTTCCGGTTGCCGTTGATGTCTTTCAAGAACGTCTTGACCAGTTCCCGCCTGGCCTCGGCGGCGATCGGGTTCTTTGCGCCTGCCATCAAACCTTCTAGCCTACCATCTTTCTTGGCTTCCTTGATGCTCCGGCTGACGTAGGCGTTCCGCTTTTCCATGACAGAGTCGGGGTCATCATCCTCATCATCTGATTCATCACCGGTGGCCTTCGCAGCTTTAGATTTGACTCCCTTGACTGCTCCCATAGTATCAACCTTGGCGACTTCGTCGGTCAGGCCATACTGCAAAAGGCGCAATTTACAGGTATACATGTTGACCTGGTCGCGGGACATTTGTAGGCGATGGCAGTAGACACACTGCGCACGGAGGAGGCGGTAGATATGGTCGAAAAAGGTGACATTATAGAGCGGGACAGGAAGCTCGATATGGCCGGCATGACCGGTGCACGACCAAGAGTTCTGACGACATGTAGTACACCTAAAAAGTTCCCCGAATCGCCCTGATCAGCAAATTGAGATCCTCTCATGAGGTAAAGATAAAACCGTACACATGATCACCCCATGCGCCCATGGCAGGGTCATAGAGACCACCAGGAACAGGGTTGTTGAAAGAATCCAAAGTTGGAGTATTGTGAATTCTTTTTACTGAGAGCTTTTTGATCTCTTCATCGGAATAAACGGTGAAGTCAACCCCGGCAATGCTCGAGGCGACTGGGCGTGCAAAGGTCGCCATTGTGACCTGCAGCTCGAAGAGCAACAGAAAACGCTGGCGGTGCGAAGTCGAATTGGCTTCCAAAGAAGATCTCCAAATGCGAAATGCGGAAGAGCGAAACTTTTGAGCATCTTTTTTTTCTGCCCCACTCCACCGCCCACCCCGTTTTGAGTATCCGCGACCAACCAACTGATCGGGCGCAGCTAAGCTTCTGCTGTCAGTCGTTGGAGAGACGAATCGCAATCCTTTGCAACTCCCTTCTCCGGATTGTCCTTGACTAGAAGGCCTTGTGAGGTACTTCTCGTACATATCGCCATGGCTGACCATTCGGCCAACGCCCTGAAGCGGCCTCATCCCGAGGATGAAGGCAGCAACACCCAGAAAAGGACCCGATCAAACAATGGGTCTCCATTACCTGGTCAAGGAGGACCTACATCGGGGAAGGTCGATATCGAAAGGATGGTTGCCGAAGCGCGAGCTAAAGCTGAAGCTGTGCGCGCTCGCCTACAAGCTGCTCGAGGCGGCGCGTCACCCATGGTGCCCCCAACACAGTCAAGTCCCAGCGCAGCACCCCCGGCTGTTAGTCCAGCTATGTCTAGGCTGGAACAGATGAAGGCGAGAGTAGCAGCAGCTACGGGTAGGGCCGGCTCAGCGGCGTCTCAACAGCGAACGCAAGCCCAAGCACCGTCCTACCAACCCCCAATGCTCGACGATGAAGGCCTCTCGAAAGCTCGCGGTGGCCTGGATGTCGGTCTTCACCCAGCTTTACTTTCCGATGCGACACCGAGCTTCCGTGGAGCCAAGGGTCGTCAGCCGTCCAAGATGAGTCGACGCATGGATCCCAACAAGCAGCTCGATTTATCCGGCCCATCGATCGAGGAAATTAAGAACCAACCCTACTTCGATCCAAGTCTCGGTCCAAAAGCAACGGTGGCAAAGCCGCGCCAGTCACGACAGCTCATCTTCAATGAGAAAGGCAAATACATTCAGCAGGCCGCTGCGCTACGCCGGCAGGCGCAGTTGGAGGCTATGAAAAAGCGGATCGCGGAGAAAGCAAGACAAGCTGGTATTGATGAAGATATGGATGTGGAAAAGGCATACTTGGTACCAGCTCCTCCCGCTTTAGAATGGTGGGATGAAGGCTTGGTCAACGGTAGTGACTATGCTGCCATTGATGACCCCGCGAACCTCAAGGTCGACACCGCCGACACCATCATTACCCGCTATGTCCAACACCCTATTCTCCTCGAACCACCGCAAGAAAAGCACATGCCGACCCAGAAGCCGATGTACCTCACGCCAAAGGAACAAGCGAAGATCCGTCGGCAGCGTCGCATGGCAGATTTGAAGGAACAACAAGCAAAGATTCGGCTGGGTCTGGAACCGGCACCAGCTCCCAAGGTCAAGAAGTCTAATCTTATGCGGGTTCTGGGTGAACAAGCAGTCAAAGATCCTACGGCTGTGGAGGCTCGAGTGAACAGGGAGATCGCAGAGCGGAAAGAGGCGCACGAGATGATGAACGAGGACCGCAAGTTGACTCAAGAACAACGACGCGAGAAGCTGGTCGCCCAACAGGAGAAGGATGCCGAACTGGGTATCTACGTCTCAGTCTACCGAATCGACAGCCTTGCGAGCGGCCGGAACCGCTTCAAAATCAGTAAGAACGCCGAGCAGAATGCGTTGACCGGAATCTGTGTCATGCATCCGAAGCTCAACCTGGTCATTGTGGAGGGTGGCAAGCACTCTATCAACAATTACCGGAAATTGATGCTCAACCGAATTGACTGGACGGACAACCCTGGTCCAGGAGCATCAGATGGGAAAGATGAAGGTCAGCCCATCTGGCTGTCCACGGAGGATGAAAAAGGTGAACTGCGCGATTTCGGAAGCAATACTTGCACGCTTCTCTGGGAAGGTCAAGCAAAGACCCGTGTATTCAGGAAATGGCTGGGCGCCAGAGTTTGCGAGTCCGACTCAGCAGCTAAAGACGTTTTGACTCGCTCCAAGATGGAGAACTTCTGGGCTTTGGCCAAGAGCGCCAAACCAGCTGAATTTTGATTAGTCGATTGCTCGTCTAGCGCATTCTTAACATTGGGATGTTCCCCAAACCAGCTCTGGGTCTCCTAGTTGAGATTCAATGTGTGTTGTACCTCTAGCCATGTACTTTAAGTAGCATATCCAATTTTTGAGATCCCCGATCAAGCGTCTATTAGACAATCTTCGCAGTGCTTCTCTATAGAAGATTTCTGAAGTTGCGAAAATAGAGAAAAGCGACCCAGAGTACGTAGATTTCAGAAAACCTCCAAGCAAAGAAAGACGCTGAGGGATTTGACACATCTTTTACAGCAGGAGGATAGACAGGAGTTGAATATATTGACCCCGAAGAAATGAAGGTGAATCATCAAATGCTATACTTTTGTATGTACTCTTTCCTTGATACATGAGCGAGCCAAAAATCTCACAACAGGGTTATCACGACACTTTTTACGTGAACCCAGGCTTATATAACACAAGAACTCCGCTCCTGATGCAAAAATTTTGGTATCGATGTCAAATCATCATGAGATATAGTCCGACCAAAGCAAGAAGCTTTAGGAAGAAGGCGGCGGTCCCTGGTTACCATTGCTCAACTGCCGTAGCAGATCCAGCTGGGCTTTGACCTGGTCAAAGTTCATAGCCGCTTGGTTTTGCGGCTGTGCCTGACCAGGGGCTTGTTGGGCCTGCTGGTATTGCTGCTGCTGTTGCAGTGCAGCCAGGAAAAGAGGGTTGATGTGGGCGCCTTGTGGGACGGCCTGGAAGGGGTTCGGCTGCGCAAATGGTTGCTGGAAGGGGAACTGGAAGGGGAATTGCGAGGGTGCTTGGCCTTGGCCGAACTGAGGTTGTTGCTGCTGAGGATATTGCGGGTATCCAGCGAATGGCTGAGGCATACCGTAAGCAGGTTGTTGTTGCTGGTACGCGGGTTGGCCGTATGGTGCTGGAGGCTGTGTTTGTGGGGTTGCAGCCTGCTGTCCATATTGCGAGATGTTGCCATTCTGCTGATGGGAAGGCCGGTGGTCTTGATCTCTGTCCCAGGATCCACCTCGGCCACTGCCTCCTCGGCCACGACCTCCACGACCTCCACGATCAGCGCCTCGGCCTCGGCCACGTCCGCCACGGAAGCCAGGTCCTCCTCGCTCGGTTCCTTCGACAGGTGCCTCGCGAGCACCCATCATCTCATGGAGGTTCTTGGGGCGGGCGAGAGGTGTATATCCATCCTCGGCTGCCCCATCATCGTAGTTGAGTTCAGTCTGACTCAATTTTGAAGGGCCAGGGGGTCCCTTCTTGCCTCGAGCAGCGCCGCCTTCCTTAGCCTCCTTTCTTTCCTGGCGTTTCTGTTTCAACTTCCGCTTGTATTCAGCCTCCGCTTCATCGTCTGAGAACTCAATCTCGTCTTCGGCGATCTCTTCATCATGGAAGTTTGACGCATCGCTACCCTTCATGCCCTTCAACGGTTGAGTGAACACGAAGGTAGAGTGCGCCACAGCATAGTAAACTGGGAGATCCTTCACCATGCCCCGTTCCTGTGCCTCCTCGGCTGTCTTGTACATGACGGTGTACAGAGGGTTCTCCACTCTGCCCAGGGTCTCTGACACCACTCCTAGAACCTTGCGATCCTCGGAGCACAGCAAGGAGCCCGACTCCAGGACCTGGTATTCTCCGGAGGTGCTGGCCTCGATGAGGACTGCATTCTCGATGGCGGTCTGGACCTTGCCCAGCAGCACAATCTTCATTTCGGGTGTAATGTAGACGTCGGGAATCGGCAAGACGTCCTCGTCGACCTCGTTGGTTGAGCGAATCTTTCCCCCTGATTTTCCCTTGTCTCCTCCTTCATCGTCTGAGCCACCCTCGGCAAGCATCAGGATCCGGGCTTGTTCTTCGGGGCTAAGGATCGGGTAGTCGTCGTCGTCACTGTCGGAGGAATCGGAGGATGATGAAGAGTCAGATGAAGACTCGTAAGGATCCGAGTCGACCTCCCATTCTGGGTGTTCCCCTTCCTGCTCCTGCTCCTCTGTGTTGTTTTGCTGCTCAGTCGATGCTCCATTTGTTTCTCCCTGGGTGGCAGGCTCGGGCTTCTCGTCGACTTCCATGGCATCTCCAGAATTCTCTTGTTGACCATTGGTTTCAACAATTTCTTCTCGGTTATCCGGTCTACTAGTGTTGACCGTCACTGGCGAAGCAGCTATGGCATCCTGCTCTTGCGTTGCTGCGGCCGTAGGCTGGGAGGGCTCGTTGGTTGTAGATTGTCCGTTGGGATTGTTGATGAAGCCCAATCCAGGGATCATGGGGGCTGGTTGAGAGGTCACAGAAGTCTCAGTAACAGACACGGCCTTTTCAAGCCCCGTCTTGGTCACCGGGGTCGCTGCACCCAACGGTGTGTTGTAGAAATCGCTCCCATCATCGGGCGTTCCTGTAATGGGGGGCGTATCGATGGTGCAGGGTCGTTTCGCAGGAGGGCAGTCGCCCGTACCCGCAGACTCGACAGGAATATTCTGGTCTTCACTCATCTTAAAACAAATAGCAAATTCAAAAATTGCCACAGCGAGTGTTGCGACAAAGCGAAGCGCAAAAAAAAAATGTCGCGGGAACTTTTTTTACGGATCTGCCAAAGTTGCCGTGGCGGTCGCCGGACACGCTCGTTATCGGGCTTATCGGGCGGGTTATCACTTTATCGCCAAGTCAACCTTCGAAACAACCAGCACCGCGACAGGATGGCTAAGCTCGACAGAGCTGATTCGGGCGCGGCCCACACTCCTCGAACAAAAGCACAGTAATTCTTGGAACTATATCACCAAATATTCACTTGATATAATTGAGCTGACAGATTGACCTGCTCGCAGCCCTCCACCCCCACCCTTCTACCTCCCTCTAAACGCCACCCTGTACCTGTGTCTTATTGCCAATGGTCTAGCAGCTCTATTCTCGCCTATTCAAGACTGCGATGAAGTGTTTAACTTCTGGGAACCTACACATTATCTTGACCATGGGTATGGACTTCAGACATGGGAGTACTCGCCGGTGTACTCAATCCGAAGCTGGCTCTACGTGTCGCTACACGCGGCAGTGGGCAAGCTAGGATCATTGGTCGTCCACTCCAAGTCAGCCGAATTCTACTTTATTCGCTTTGCCCTCGCTGCCTTTTGTGCCGGTTGCCAGACAAGGCTGTACTCCTCCGTATGCCGGACCCTTAACCCTCGCATCGGGCTCCTATTTCTCTTGATCGCCTTGTTTAGCCCGGGCATGTTTCATGCGTCCGCTGCTTTCCTGCCGTCCACGTTCACCATGTACACGTCTATGCTTGGTCTGGCTGCGTTTTTAGACCTGAAAGGTGGGCCGAAGATTGCGCAGGGAATCATGTGGTTCGGTCTAGGATCAATTGTTGGCTGGCCGTTCGCTGGTGCTCTGATCCTGCCTCTCATCTTCGAAGAATTCATAATTAGCACATTCTCACGAAATATGGGCTCTTTGTTCTATGCAGTATTTGATGGTGCTCTTCGGTGCCTTGGCATCATGGTAAGTTGGGAGGGACCGAAAGCATCCAGTTGCATTTACTTTGCTAAAACGAACTATGATTTACAGGCCCTTGAGGTAGCAGTCGACTACGCCTTTTTCAGCAAGTTTGCCGTAGTACCTTGGAACATTGTCGCATACAACATTTTCGGAGGGCAAGGAAGAGGTCCTGACATCTTCGGCACCGAGCCATGGACATTTTACATTCGAAACCTCCTGCTGAACTTCAACATTTGGTTTGTTCTCGCCATGCTATCTGCTCCACTCCTCCTTCTTCAAGCCGCCTTCCGCTCCAAGGGCACTTCGATTCAAACACTCATGCGCTCCATGACCTTGGTTGCGCCTTTCTACATGTGGTTCGGCATCTTTACGATCCAGCCTCACAAAGAGGAGCGATTCATGTACCCCGCGTACCCGTTCCTCGCCCTCAATGCTGCTCTTGCATTTCATCTGATCTTGACATACATTGGCTCCAGCAATCCAAAGGAGATCATAGGCCGTGTGCCCGCAAAGCTGAAGCTAGTCGCCGTTCTGTCGGTTATCATGGTGGCTGTCAACGCCGGCATGCTCCGTATTCTAGGGATGGTGACAGCGTACAATGCTCCTTTGAAGGTTCTCGAGCCATTGCAGCATGCGGATGTTTCGCAATCAGGAGCTTCTGTATGCTTTGGAAAGGAGTGGTACCGCTTCCCTTCGTCTTATTTCCTCCCGCACGATATGCGGGCCAAATTCGTTCGGAGCGAGTTCAAGGGTTTGCTCCCGGGTGAGTTCCCCGACGCACCAAGTCTTTTTGGGCGTATGCAGGGTGCGTCGAAGATACCCTCTGGAATGAATGATCTCAATATTGAGGACCCAAGCAAATATGTAAGGATTCTCCAGTAATCTCAACTAGCAATTTGTCATACTTACTCGGATTCGCAGGTCGATATTTCTCAGTGTTCATTCTTGGTTGACTCTTACTTCCCTGGTCATGAAGCGACTGAACTGGAGCCTCACTTCGTGCAGGACGAGTCCCAGTGGGAATCTCTCTCCTGCGAAAGGTTCCTGGATGCCTCCCAGACCGGTCTGGTAGGACGACTCATCTGGGTGCCAGATCTTCCAATTATCCCGGAGCAGTTCCGACGCAAGTACGGCCAGTACTGCCTCTTGCAGCGCCATGGTGGTGACAGCAGTGTATAAATAAGATGACCTTTGATACTTAGTGTTACATCATTTTGAAGGCGTCATAATACAAGAATGAGACTTTCTCTCCATGGTGCTGTAATAGTATTACTGTAATAGTCCAAGTTGACCTGCGATATGTTGAGTGTGTCTTGTTGCTCCTCGTATACCCCGGTATTCACAATACACGCCAAGACGTCCAATATCTTCAACTGGAGACAGCCCTCGTCCAGATCTCCACGTAAACGGGTCAATGATCAGGTTAATCATAGTAGTCCTAACATGCGGATATTCCATGGCCCTCTCGCATCCAAATTGAAAATCCGGGGTTCAAGGTTATCCTTCGTGATCACTTTACCCGATCGGGAGAAGAGATCCCCCCTCTCCTGTGCAACCAAACGGATGATAAGAGCACCCCCTCTCCGCAGATAAACCATATCCCTCCTCGTCGTGCCCAGAGAGCTATCATAGGCTCGCTCCCTGCAGGCTCGGATCCAACGGCTGAAAACAGGTCCATGACAAAGGTAGCCCCTCTTTTGATTATACCTCGACCACAACCATGACCTAGCCCTCTGATATTGATTCAGGTCCTCCTCGCATCCGATTAACAGGAATGGCAACCAGTAGAAGATGACTAGCGCTAATTGCCTGATGTCACTATTTTGATAAGCTTATAATAGTACACATTGCTACGGATATACATTAACGACTGCCCGTACAGAGTACATACTGCCTGCCAACTGGTTCTGGTATCCACCGCAGAGCCATGAGCATATGAAATACCACTAGAGTCCTGTCAACATCTCTTCTCCCCAGTTCACGACCGATACTCACAAACCATGTCGATTGACTCAATTCGGGGGACGATCTCATCAATATTCCCAGTTACAGATATCGCGGGGGTCTTCATAGCTCTCAATCTTTGTTCTTGTCTTGTGCTCTTCATCTTCCGGAAATGGAAGTCCTCGTCCGACCACACCGCTAGGCCTCCCACTCCAGACCTGGAGAAGCCAGCATCAAGATATAATAATCGAGAGAAGATTACACGGAAGTTTGGGGGTATGTAATACCCTCGTGGATACACCCTTGCATCTCTCTGATCGTTGTGTATGTAGACTGGACGCCATCAGATTTCAAGAGACCTACGGCAACTTCTTACTCGGACTGGGACGTTCATACCTCGAAGCCGATTCCGTATCGGCCTTTTCGATATGGCCCGTAAGTTGAATGGCTTTATGTCACTTTGCTTCTCTGCTAACTTGCTCATGTAGTAAATACTTTGTTACGATGGGGTTGAGAAGTATGAAATGGGACGAATGGATTGGTAGGAACGTCCCTGCACTATAGTCTAATATGCATACTGACATTTCATCCTCCTTTCAATATAGAACTCGACAATCACTACCTCAAATACCACGCCGACAAAAAGAAGCGCCTCGAAGAGCGCGGCGAGAAATGCTACGGGACCGCCCCAGAAGCAATGGACGGAGCGATCGAGCTCCTCGAAGAACTGTATGCCCATCCTTACACAGCTAGATCTATATAGTAACTCCCGAACTACAAGTTCCCAATACTAACATATCCCCTGCAGATGTGAATACCTCCCCGAACGATACCCAACCATGTTCCAAAAGACACCCACCGGCATCACCAACACCATCACCAACGAAACCTTCAACATAACCCAGCGCCCCCTCCCAGAAGACCCCATGGCCACAGCAGCCCGCCTCGTCCAAGACGATCTAGCCCTAATGTTCGAGCGCCCAGACGGCGAATACTACCTCCTAGCCGGCGCCATCCTCCTCGCAGGCTTTTGGCGTCTCAGCGACAAATTCGGCATGCCACTCTCCGAAATCCACACATCAGGCGACGTCCCGCAATTCCGCGAGAAACTCGAGCGCGGCATGATGAATTTCTTCCGTCGCCTCAAGCCTGAAGAGCCCGTTCTCCGGAATAACTATTTCATCCAGGTGGATGATTGTCTACCGTGGTCGCATAGTATTGGGTCCGAGGACGCGGAGACGGTGTCGTGGAATACCGCGGCGAAGAATAAGGCGATTGCGCATCATTATTTCCGGTCGGAAAGGCAGTCACTACGGCGGTTGCCCAGGTCTGGCGCTGTGGTGTTTACTATTCGGACGTATTTCGAGCCGATTACGGAGATTGTGAAGGAGCCATATGTGCCTGGGCGATTGGCGTCTGCGATTCGCAGTTGGGGAGATGATGTTTCGAGGTATAAGGGGAAGGAGAAGTATGCGGAGGTTTTGTTGGAGTACTTGGATCAGAAGCATGAGGAGCAGGTGAAGGCTGGATTGGCGGTGGAGAAGGAGGATGAAGCGAGGAGTTATCCGTTATAAACATGGAGATAGTCATGAACTTTTTTCAGTTGCTATGTATTCAATTATGGCCCATGTACTGAGAGTAATGAGCAGACTACTATCTTGCTCGATGACAGCGATGGTAGCAGTCTTCAGGCCGAATGAACGTTAGATATCTGCCAACGAACCGGCTCTTCGTCTCCGATTTCGAGTGGCATAATCCAACTCACGCTCCTGTCGCCATGAACACTCATCGCGGAACTCGCAGATCCGACATTTCCAGGCTTCCACAATCCTGACTCCTTGGGGATTGCGCTGGCCCCGCCACCACTCCATCTGGTCAGTGATATAGGATGACATGGTGGACGGATCGAAAAGGAAGGACCTGCTTCCCAGGAGCCGTGGGTGAAGATCAGTCGTGGGAGCTGACGAGAGGAACCGGGCCGTAAGGACTGGAGAGAGGAGAGTAGGATATTCTTCAAGCATCGCTGGCTGCGTCAACGATGGGATAGAAGGTGCGACGGACTCTTCGTGAGGAGAGAATGAGGGGATGAAGGTGAGGCGGAGTTGCTCTTTCATATAACTCCATAGACGGTGAAGGGTGCCATGGGTCAGGAGAATACTAGTCGAGTCCTGACTTGCATGTGGGGGACTAGAAGCCGGGCCAAACCCATGAGAGGCTTGCACTGCTTCTTCGGGGGTAGGAACATCGTCCAGGTCGAACCCCTGGGATGAGACGGTATCAAAGAATTCGTCATTCAGGCCGCCAACTTCTGAAATAAATCCATCAGTGAATGATTTCTCGGGATCCAGGTTGTAGCGCGCTGCAAGCACATCCATTGTAACATCGTCGCTTGTGATGAGACGGTTCAGCATATGGTAGTAGAGTTGGAGTTGAAGTAACGTCGGTCGAAACGATGTGCTCTTGACTGTCGGTACAGAACCATTCGCTTTCGTCTTGACATCCGTCATGTATATTCGCGGTAACCCATAAACCGCCGGGTTATCTTCGACGGGAGATACTTCCCCAGGCGCTCCCAAGTCGGCGAGATCCGAGATTCGTTTTCCACCCTGAGAGGAAGACAGCAAGAAATCTGATAAAGACATCTGATACTCTGGCAGAGCGGCTCGTGACTTTGCCGCATCTTCATAGAATGCACCAGCCGTGGCCTCAAGCTCGGAATCGGGACATTCGTAGGAAAGCTGGTCAATAACCCCATTGACCAATTCCCCATCCACAACGCCCCAGATCTCCAACTCACGCGTGATGCCGTATTCCCTCAACATCTGCAGGCCTTGTATCACATTCCAGATTCGCAACGCCCACGCATCCTCCTTGGTCTTTATTTCCACTGGGACCGTAGTGTATATCTCGTCTTCGAGAGTCTTGTGCACAACGCTCCCCTTCTTCATAGCGGGCGTCCTTCTCTTCCGCCCATGCTTGGTTAGAGTATACCAATACTGCAGCTCACACCAAGCCGGAGAGACCAGGTCCGTAACCGAGAACGCCTTGTTCGGTGGTCGTCGAAAGCGCTCCACGGGGGTCCGCGTATCCAGCGTCGGCGCTAGTTGGGTCTCTTGTGTCCATTCAAGCTCGCGCACGGCACTGCGCTCTCGTTCGCGTTCTCTCCCTTCGGTTGATCCAGAGTGCTCCACTAAACGCTTCGGATATCCGCGTGTTAGCCTGACCCCAGACGCTGAACAGAAAAGCATAGATCCTTCGGGATGGAGATATCGGGAACACTCATACCAATCGGGGAGTCCCTGTTGTTTGAGCCCTGACTTGGTCTCCCAGCCGTAGGACTCCGTGGACTCGTTGGCCCAGGCCAGGGCCGTTGGCTCGAACGTCTCCACGGTGAATCAGGCTTCTCCCGGCCCAATACCTTCGACAGGCGGACGCCGGGGGCATTCGTAACAGCATCTTCGATATCTGCGACAAGCGCCGCTAGAGTCGCTGGCTGAAAGGAATCTAGATCCGCAAGTGTTGCCGCGACCGGTGTTGTAATTGTGTCCTCGGGGATATGATTTGGCGTTGGTGTTGATACTGGAGTGGCGTCTCGGTGGACGGTCGCGTGTTCTGCGACAGCTTTCGTGAGCAGGTCGTTCAGTAGCTCCTCTTGATCTGGCGTGAAGTCGGATCCGTAGTCGCTGGAATCGGATACTTCAGGCCGCGGTATTTGCGGTGGGCAGGACATGCCTGCGACTATTGAGGGTGGTCATGTCCTGTGTGGCATGTAACTTGTAGGAGAAGAGGGATCGCGAGGCGCGAACGTCATTGCGGGAGGATCCGAGAAGGTAAACTACGGTAAACTACATTTGGAATCCAGATTTGAGAACCTACAATCAAGTTAATTACTCGACGCTTTCAGCGAGCTATTAACTTACTCTACTGGGGCTATCCTTTAGTCAGAATGATACTGAACTGAGAAAAAAGAAAAAGGAAAGTCTATATCTATTGTCGAAACTTGGTATCTATCCAATGAAAAGAAAATGCAATGCATCGCTCCAAAAAAAAACCAATGAATCAAACGCCCGCAATGTCAAGGCCTGAAGTCTATACAAATTGCCCGCGATCAAAAATTCTAAATGAATCCATGCTAAGCAGCAGCCGTGGCAGGAACCAAGTTCCCAGCCATTGCTTGCACACCTTGAATCTTGCTCTCTTCCGCCGCGAACTCAGCCGCCAGGACCTCACGCGCTGCCTTCTGATTCAACCAGCTCAAGTATGTCTGCCAGCCAACAGCAATGACGCCCGAGAATACGTTTCGGAACTGCGCCGGCACGTACATGAAGCTGAAGGCAGTGACGGCGGGCCAAAGCTTGACGCTATTTGTCACGCTGACCGGGAGAGCCTTCTTCAGGCGCTCCCATGTTTCATCTAGGGTGGCGCCCGCGAGGAGCGAATGCAGACTGAAGAAGTAGGTGTTGAAGACGGGGGTGAAGCAGATTTGTTGGACGACGACTTTGGTCAAGATGGAGAGGACTTTTGAGGGGTAGTTGAAGTGATTATGGAGGAACATGAACCTGAGATTTTGAGGTTAGTCTTCCAAATCTTCACAGAAGCATCTTCATCGAGCATTCTACTCCGATGCACTTTATGACCAGCAGCTACTTACCAGTTATATGACGGGATACTCGATCCTGCACCCACAATCAAGTGTCGCACTGTTCGCCACGGGTCATATCCACCCCCACGACTGACCTCCTTCTCCTCTTCATCCTCCGTTGCCTTGTTATCTTTCCCCGCAGTCTTAGCAGGTGGAGGTGCCTCCGAGGGAAACATCAGCTGTGCGCTCAAGTCTCCGCACAGATAGATGACAATGGAGCTGTAGAACTGCGTCGTATACGGCTTGCGCTCCTGGACGCGCGAATACCACCTGCCCAGCCGACCCAGGGGACCAGCTTTTATAATCTCGCGCAGTCCCCTAGACTGCACCACCGCATTTGCGGCACCCGGTGCCGTCGCTGCGCCTGCCGCTGCTGCTGCGGTGTTCACAGTCTGAGCAGTTGAGATATCCGACTGAGCGGGCTTTGGCGACGCATTTGCATTTGCATTTGCACTCGCATTCCCCGACACTCCATCACCACCAATCTTGCTCTCCGCAGGTGTTTCAGGCGTCGTTGGGGCGTCGGAGGATTTGTGTCGGCGCGGCTGACGCACCCGCCGAAGCGGCGCTCGAATGTTGGGGTTGATCGACCGGGGACGAGTCGCAAACGCTGACACTTGGGCGCCGAGTCCCCTCTGAAAGAGACTCATCTCGATGTACTCAGATACTCGTCATGTACAGTGAGTGAAGACCAGGCACAACAAAAGCGAACAGAAAAAAAGATCCGGGGCGAGTCGTGACTCAGGTATACAGTATCGGGGGCCGAGTCCGATTGTGGCGATAAGGGAGAAACGAAAGAACCGATAACGGAAGGTGTTTCCGAGTGGGGGAATCAAGAAATGAATAAGCAAAGAGGTCTATGGGGGTATCAGCAGAAAGAGAAGGTGAAATCAACAATAGGAGTGTCTGTAGAAGAGAGTGGCTTGTGATTAAAAATCAGAGTCAGCGCCTCAGCTGTCACATTGGGGGGGGTTTGATTCGGCCGTCGGCCCGTAGAAATGCCGTGAATTTCCGATAAAAGTCATTCTCGGGATGAGATCAGATCGCCGAGGGATTGCGATCTGATAGATCTGGTGAAGCGCCGTCGCAAGAGCTATCTACAGTGACGACTTTTGATTTTTGATGGTTCAAATATCGAGCTACTCTCTTACATGCTACTGGGCCATAATTTCTGAGAATAATTTGTCATTTCGAAAGTAAATAAATCACGCCAGATCCATGACGAACGCCAGATTTATATGCAGGTAATAATAAAGCCCGTAAATACATGAGGACATTCCCGAGTGCAGGCACATGGGGAAGTAAGGTATCAAAAAATAAAACAAAACGCAAGTAGGCGGGAGGATAGTTCACCGCACAATGCAAAGGACAGAGATTGGAAACTTTTTGGGTGAAAGTGACGAGGGAGGGCGGTAGACACTAGGATTAGAGTGGGGAGACATTTGTGTATAGCGTAGAGTTCGAGGAGAGGATTGGAGATGAAAGTTCGAGTCTTTTTTAGGGCTTGAAGGACTCGCGGGTGTTGACACGATCGACATCGTACGGGTTACCCTCATACGTAGGCACACGAGCCAGGGAGCCCATAGTGCGAGTCGATGTAGTCGAACGGGCACGGCTGGGGGTGCGTTGAGCCGCAATCGGCGCATGATCATCGGCGTGGGAGGAGGTGCTCGACAGAGAAGGCTCGTGCGGGGCCGGGGCCTCGGTGCGATCAAACTCGATCTTCTCTTCACCTTCTTCCTCACTGGGAACGGCGGCGGCCTGTTCCTGGATCTTGCGCATGAAGGCCTCAGACTGGGCGGCGAACGGGCAGCGGGTGCGGATGGCGGCACCGTACTTGTAGAACAGGAAGGGGAAGGGCAGGCAAGCGAGCGCGAGGAAGGCGGGGATTGAGGACGCCCAGTGGATGCCGAGGTTGTTGTACATGTAGGTGGTGAAGAGAGGGAATGCGGCACCGAAGAGGGAACGCATAACGGAGTTTGCGGCCAAGACGGAGGCAGCGAAGATCGTGTATGCGTCGATCAGGTAGTTCATGATACCCAGGAAGACGAGCACCATGCCGAAACCAAAGGGCACACCGGCCGCGATACTAGCCATGAAGTGAATATTAGGGTAGTTGGTCCAGGCAAACCAGAAAAGACCGATAGGAATCGCAACGCAAGCAACCATAGTCGGGGGCAGACGGGCTTCGGGAGGCGCGAATCCATCGTGCTTTTCTTGAACCCTGATATACCGCTTATTATCCCAGAGAGTGTAGACGACGGCCATCAGCATTCCAACCATGATACCCAGGAAAGCGAGACCTCCGATGCCCTGGTTCCAGCCACGGTTAACCTGGTACACAATCGGGAACGCAGCAAACATCATGTACAGAGTACCATAGATGATAGCCATGTACAGCGACAGCAGGAAAACGATAGGCTCGCGGAACAGGAGAATCCAAGGGCGGGACAAGGCGATCTTGAACGATTCCTTAAGTGAAAGCTTGCCCTGGTCAATTTCAATCTTGCTGCGATAGACCTTGCCCGTAAGCTTCGAGAGCTTCTCAGCACGGCGGCGTAGCAAGACTGGCGCATAGGTCTCAGGCATGAAAAGAGAGCCCATAATCCAAACAGCACCAGAGAAGATACCCAGGAAACCCATCACCCACTTCCAACCCTCATTCATACCCAGGAAACCGCCGATGATAGGGCCCAGAACGGGACCCAGGAAGGGAGCAGCAGCGAAGAGACTCATGGCGATACCGCGCTGCTTGGCGGAGAACATATCGGCGATAACACCACCAGCGTTGGTAAGGGGCGATGATCCAAAAGCACCAGCGAAGAATCGAAGGATAATGAGGGTATAAGCATTCTTAGAACCGGCGCAGCCAGCATTGAATGCAGTGAGAGCGGCATAGGTGGTACTAAAGAGGAGCTGGCGGCCGAACAATTCGCTAAGAGGAGCCCAGAGCAGGGGACCAACCTATTGCATGTTAGTTGATTCATTCCTGGAAGTATCAAGCTCAAGCTCAAGCTCAAACGAGCCAAGCAGGCCTAACATCTGGCGAGGGAAAAACTTACAGCAAAACCCACGACGAAAAGCGAGACACCGAGAGTAGCAACTTCACTTCCGATGCCGAATTCCTTTTCAATCTCCTCGACACCACCAGTGTATGCAGAAGAGACCAATGCAACAGCCAGCGTCGCAATAGCCACCACAGCAGTAAAGCTCCACTTCTTAACCTGGCTGAACTCCATCGGGTTACGAGGGTCATCCGGGATCCATGTCACGACATAAGGATCGTCTTCGGTGCCAGAGCCGGGGTATGGGTGGCTTGCAATCTGCTGGGTGACTACGCCTTGATCGAAGACCAGGCGGAAGTATGAAATCGAGGTGGGGAGAGTGGATTCGATCTTTTCAGATCCATTTTTCTCGTCATAGCCCGTCATGGTGGGCAGGCGAGCGGAAATTCCGAGTATCGCGGGATATCGTAGAGTAGAGCGGGATATCGTAGAGTATAGCGGGATATCGTAGAGTATAGTACAGTATAGTCGTCAACACGGATGGGATGTGAGTCGAATAGAGAGCGGTCGAAGGTGGGAGGTAGCGATGACGCAGGGGCAATAACCAGACGTTAAGAACCGGGAAACAAGTCCCCAAGATAATAGTGATGCGCGGGGAGACCCGAGTTATGTTTGGGTTTTGGAGGATAGTAGGAAACCCTAGTTATGCACCGTTTGCGGGGGCCGAGAGGAGCAGAGAAGAATACCGGATTCGGGACAGAGAGAGGCGTGTTGATCACCACAGAGATATTAGAGATTATGAGTGAGTAGATGGCGAGAGATAGAGTCATAGAAATAAAAAAATACTTGTTCGAGAATCCCGATGGCCCCTTTTTAATCATGGCAATGGATCGAAGCTCCTACGAGTCAGGCGATGGGTCCTGAATTAGTGGGGTTCTTTTTTTTCATACCTCATCCATAGATCTAGAGTCGGATGTACGCCGGCGTTAGGTATTAAGCTACATAAGATGACCACTGTGCATATCTACCTGGGATTAATAATTAACGGCCCCAGTCACTAGAAAAATGGTTGGTCACTAGCTCTGGCTGGACATGGGTGAAGAAAAAAAAATTGGGGATACCGAAGCGCCGATCCGTGGGCCATGTTATGCTGTGCTCAGGAACTTTGAGATGAAGCGTCGGGCTATCAATGATCCCGAACGCCATCGTAGAATGCTTCCTTAGTTCTTGTCATCGATTAGGCTATTAGCAAATGAAACACTCGACTGAGGCTCCATTTAGGCCCTTCGCTAAAGGGCGTGAGAGACTAGCAGGGAATACACGAGGTCCGATTGCAAAAGAATGACGCAAACAGGAAACGCCACGTGACGGGTTATGCATAGCACAAGGCCACGCTTGGCTTGTGCGCCGGGTACTCGGCACGGAAACTTGGCAAATGGCGGACTTAAGGATCAGGCTGAAACAATATGCTCCTATCGGCATCAACAACCGATAATTGGTTAGTTACGAGGTGGATGTGATGAGTCAATCAGTTGCAGAGGACAACGGAGTTCACGAAGAGTCCAGAGTCCGATCTTAATGAGGTATTTGACTTGTGATTGTTAGGTCATATTCATACAACGTTGTTTCTCATATATCGTCTACTGTATTCCGTACAGTTGATCTCTACATAGTATAAGATCCATCGTAAACTTTCAGATCTATAGTATAAATCTAGCTTGAAGATTATTCAGTCTCTTATCGTGCAAGGGCCACATCCGTCGATGGCCTCGTCACATACATAGGTTGAATCCAATCAGTCCCAAGATGCGGGCCCGGGGAAGTAAGCTGACGCCGGATCTCCACGGCTCTGCGCTGCTGCACCGAATACTCAATATGCACAGATAGATCTTAGAGATCGTCTCTCGTTCATAATTGTTGTTCGATTGTTTAATTTTCCGCTGCAACCAGCCCTACTAGGTGGGGCTCAAATACGGGTCCCTTTAATAAGCATCAATCCCGAAATCCTTATTTATGCCACCTTGTGTCGATGAACGCTTTCATACGGGTTTATTCATAAGGACAGTAGTTAACTAACTTCTCGAAAAAAAAAAATGTGATTGGTAATCATTTGTCAGACTCGTCGGATGATGATAGTAACACGATTACACTGGGCTGACAGCCTTCTCCAGTTGTGCATCAAGATACTACATGGCCTGGCCTGTCTGTCCTGTCGCTACTTGGGATATATAGTTCCGCAGCCAAGTCCAGCCGCTGGAGCATCGGGCTCTGTCTATCAACTGCCTTGCCAACTAAAATAATAGGTCGATGAGAATCCTTATTCATGATTGCGGCTAGCTCAATGATTTGACTACAATTGAGCAAAACCTGTGGTCAGGATCAGAAGATGATGCCGGCGTAGTCTTGGGCCGCCTGTTGTTGACACCTGAAAATCGAGGCTTGAAGATTCTCAATGAGGCTACAGTGTAACTACTGTTTGCATCTGAATAATGAATGATGAATGCAAGATCATGATCCCTATTCAACAGTTAAAGAGAGACAAACAAAGACAAACTAGTATTCAAATCCAACTACGGTCCAATGATACGACTATGTAAAGAAGCCACCGATCCTCAGATCAACCATAGCAACGTTCGGAAGTGTATACACTCCAGTCTGGATCAAACTCTACTTGTATAGTATTCACGTACACCGACACACCTCGAGTTCTTCAATAACAACATATATCTCATCATGTCATGAATACTACATGCTTCATCCTCCAAGCTCCTGATCCAAATCCCATTCAGGCCAAGAACCAACGGAACCCGACCGTCGGATCAGGCCAGGACATATCCCCAGAATCAAATCGGGTCCCGCCGAAGCACGGCGACGCCGAAAACACAATCGGGTGGCGAGACAGAACAGAAAACCCGAAGAAAATTCTGTGCAGCCACCAGAAAACGCCAAGCGGCATGATGCCTAAGGCCGCAAAGGAGGAAATCCAGTCCTGATCCTGATCCGTCATCACGATTCCTCGCTTGCCCCACCCCCATCAATGTCAAGCATGAATGGGAGAAGAATAAGAAGGCCTTGATCTAGGGTCTGAGAAGGATCTGGCGCATTAAAATTGCATCATTTGATTCCCATTATTCTATACAATATGAAAATGTAAATTCTGTTTCTTGATATACCCTGTAGCACGCAGGATCAGAAGATCAAGTATCCCACTTGTTTCGAAGTACTTGATTCATCATGACGTACGCCTGAGGCAGAAACTCATCCCCCCGCTGCGCCAGGCAGACAAGCCCCTGGATTGGGCCAGGCTCTGCATGGCGAGAGGGGCATTCGGAGTCCGATATATGGAGGGTTTCCAAGTCTGAATACTTCTCTGAATAGGACTGTACATCATGGAGGTTTGGAAGACTGTAGCTTAACATGCTCGTCGCTATTCCCTTGCGGGTGCTGCCTGGAAACGCATTCTCTGTTGGTCCCGCAACGGTCGCATGGCAGCGGGCTTCTGGATTGTTGGATGGGACAGTGGAGGATTCGTGAATGGAGGGGCTGTAGATCTGATAGAAGGGGGTTTTCAAGCTCTACTCAGAGTGATATGTTGATCGAGCCTCTATTTTTTCTTTTGATTTTGTTGCTTTGGCAATAAGATGCCAGTACATTGGAGGACTGTAAGCGATGGCAGTTGGTGTTGCAGTCATCCATCCTGGATACGTGGTATACCATCATCCAAGACACGTTGATTCTCTAGAAATCTAAGGATCTAAGCTGGGGAACTCGGGATCATCTATATCCACATGGCATACGAAGTATTTGGGTGCAATACGGGGGTTTACTGTTATGAGGGCATCGCGGTCAACCTGTGTGGGCTGGAGTGGTACTCTCCCGCGTCAGTCACATCACGGCCAGTGCTTGGACTCAACACAACGACGCGACAAACACCAGTCTAGCCTCATCGAGATCATAAACAATAACAACGCGTCAAGTAATTCACTCGTCGCCATACGAAGATTACAAAGGAAAGAAATTGGAAATGGGTTGAATCATAGAAGATCGCATTTCAGCGTCTATGTCATGAGATGGTGTGCGCTAAGACACCATGATAAGAGCTATTCTTTAATGTACATGCCCATGACTGAACCATCCAAGCCACGAGCCAGCGAAGGACGAGGAGGATGGCAGTAGCATTGATTCACGCAGATGATAAAAAGCAAAATTCAGAAACAACCATTGATTCCAGCCCATTTGATATTCGAAAGCAAAAACCCGTCATGTTGATCGCCAGTAGTCATGAAAAGAAAAAGCAAAACCCCGATCGCCTTCCCAGAAGTTGTCAAGAAACGCAGCTTATTAGTGGAATAGAATAATTGTTCCATCTAAGAGCGCTCGCCACGGAGGCGGCGGGCCAGCTGGATGTCCTTGGACTGGATGGTGACACGCTTGGCGTGGATGGCGCACAGGTTGGTGTCCTCGAACAGGGAGACGAGGTAGGCCTCGACGGACTCCTGGAGAGCACCGATGGCGGAGGACTGGAAGCGGAGGTCGGACTTGAAGTCCTGGGCAATCTCACGGACCAGACGCTGGAAGGGGAGCTTGCGGATGAGCAGCTCAGTGGACTTCTGGTAGCGACGGATCTCACGGAGAGCGACGGTACCTGGGAAAGGATTGTTAGGACCAGATGCATGATGGAAGATGGGGTTGATTGAAACATACCGGGCTTGTAGCGGTGAGGCTTCTTGACACCTCCGGTGGAGGGTGCGGCCTTGCGAGCAGCCTTGGAGGCAAGCTGCTTACGGGGAGCCTTGCCACCAGTGGACTTACCTGTTGAGAGAAGGACTGTTAGTGATCATGTTCGGATGGGAGTAAGACGCGTCGCGTCTCTACCCCTCTCCGCCCCTCGTCCCAAAATGGAAGTGGCACACAAGATGACACAACCAGACTGAGCCGGTGGAGATAGAAAGGAAAGAAGCGAGCGAGGTAAAATGAAAGGAAGTTAGAGGAACTTACGGGCAGTCTGCTTAGTGCGAGCCATCTTTGAAGATGAAAGTGGATGTTTTGTTGATGGAAAGGTTGGTTGGTCGATGAGTGTCGTTGGATGGATGAAGGAGGGAAGAAGCGGTGGGTGGGGGGAAGGTATTTGTACCAGCGGCCAAGGGGGGTGGTGATCTGACGGTTTGTGGGTGAGCCAATCAGCATTCGGTCTGGCAGATCACTTGGTTGCGCGATTGTGCAGCGTCCCAAATCACGTAATCTGATTGGTTCCCGAGGAGTCTAAGCGAGCCTGGTCCGTGATGCAGCCAATCAGCGTCCAGGATCATTGATCTTGAATGCCATTCCTGTCTACTCTCTGATCTCCGCCCCGGAAAAGGTGGCCGGGTTTATCAGAATGATCGGAGGTATTCTACATGACATTCTCTCGTAGCTGGGCCAGACTTTCAATTCCAGGGGATCAGGGGGCCATAGTTGGAAGGGGAAGGTCAGAATCGGACCAGATCATGATCACGGGGTGACTAAGCATCCCTGGGTAAGCCGCCCGCCCAGCAGATCAGCGGCCCTGAGGATCCTGCATGCTGATTGGCGGATCCTCCCACTAGCGCGTGATCCGACGTGATTTGGGACGGACCTCCCCTGCAGCCGCTTCTGATACAAATATCCTTTTACCCCTCGGCCCTCCTCCCTCTTCTTCCCCATCCAACTCCGTCGACAACCAAGTCTCTCCACTTTTCAATCCAACCTTTTTCAAAACTTCACTAACCTCATATCATCATGTCTGGACGTAAGTGTTTCCTCTCTTTATGACCCCATTTCCCAATTGGGTTCTTCATCTCTTTCCCTCGCACAAGTCTTCTACACAAGACGCGTCTTGCAACACTCACTAACGCGTCTTCCCGTTCTACAGGTGGCAAGGGTGGCAAGGGTCTCGGCAAGGGCGGCGCCAAGCGTCACCGTAAGATTTTGCGCGACAACATCCAGGGTATCACTAAGCCCGCTATCCGCCGTCTCGCTCGTCGTGGTGGTGTCAAGCGTATCTCCGCCATGATCTACGAGGAGACCCGTGGTGTCCTCAAGACCTTCCTCGAGGGTGTCATCCGTGACGCCGTCACCTACACTGAGCACGCCAAGCGCAAGACTGTCACTTCCCTTGACGTTGTCTACGCTCTCAAGCGCCAGGGCCGTATGTTTTTCCCTCCTGTCACGTCGTTTCTGTCGCGTTTGTTCTAACATTTCTCTCCTCCAGGTACCCTCTACGGTTTCGGTGGTTAAGCGTGTCATGTGTTTTCTCTTTTCCGGGCTGTTTCACGGTATGATGGGACGTTGGGGTGTTCTCTGATTTATTTTACAATCGTCATGGGTCTCTGGGTTTGCTTTTTCATTACAACGATTACCACTTTTCGCGTCCACTATGGGTCTGCTAGTGTTCGCCTTCTGAGCTTTCCTGTATCATAGCGGCCTTCCTACAATCATGGCTGGCACCACTCGAAACGGTGGAAAGGATCAATGATCCGATACGAATACAATTAACTGGAAACTACAATAATGCTTGACTTTCCTTGTAATCTTGTTTCGTTCTTGTCTCTGTAGCTCGCGTCTTTCGGCCTTTTGGTCGAGTGCTGGTGTATTGCGTTGGTAATGACGCGTTGTTTACATTGGTGTGGGCGCGTTGGTGTTCCGTCATGTCGCAAAGAACTTGCTGTATTTTTCTTGGTGGGATTTGGGCATTGGGCTTCATCCATCATAGCTACTTTTAAGATCAATTGCGTATCTCTGTGTATCGATGTATCTTAACCACGCAAGTGTTCTCCAGCTATGGCTTTTTGTAGTCTTTCCAGTATCCATGGATTGTGTAGTTGTACGGGACTCGGTTCCATGTTGAATAGCATGATGTTATAGTTCTACCTGTTTTATTCCCCTTTAATTTTACTTTTGCTGCTGTACTTGTTTTTTGAGTACATTCCAGTCCGGTTTGGCTGTTGATCTAGTCGGATGAGTGTTGTTTGGAATAATCGGTGCTGATGTGTAGGTAGAGTGTGGAGTATGTGTAGCGACGTGGATAGAATATATATCTTCATCACATGAACCACCACATTAACATTGACACAACCCACACACCAAGTCAAAGTTATGCCAAAAAACCCACTGCACTCAATAGCTACGGCAACTAAATATACAACCGGCCCAGAGAACACAACAAAATGATATCAATTAGAGCATACAATGCGAAATTGCTGCTAGAGGTGGTGGTGCTTGGAACAGGGGGTTCAACTGGGGTTCAACTTTGCGGCCAGGGGTTCAACTTGTCTTGGCACCCGCTACAACCAACATAGTACAACACCTCTCTCTCTCTGGCCTCAAGCTCCAACACAGATGACAGCCAAACCGACAAATATGCCAATAAAAAAGCAGTCGCAGTATAAAGACAGCAGAATCACAACCATGAGACAAATATCACCAGCCTCATGACCGCGACCGAATCGATGGTCGCGGTGACGGCAATGCGACTTTATACAGGCACGCACTCGTGCGACAACACCAGAGAATAATCGCCAGCCATTGCCTTGAAAATCCTCGAGAACCCACGCACCAACACAGAAACTCGAAATAGGAAGCATGGTCTTCCTTCAAAAACCCAGCCCCCCCCCAAAAGAAAATGGCCGAATGCAGTCATGGCGCACATGGTCCTTCAAGGACCTTGTGGCCGGAGAGTATAAGATGACGCGAATGACTATGTCGCAATATTCCTCATCCTCTACACCCCCCGCGACACATTCCAAAATCAAACACTCGAAGTACTATCCACCCTATTCACACATGCCTGTGCCACTGTCACAGTGACTGTCGGTAGTGGGATCTATCGATGGCGACCTGTGAGTACCTGGATAATTCTCGATCTGCGGACAAAAACGACCACCGACCAAGAATAGACACGCAATCCATAGCACTGAAAGTCATCAGAATGAGAGACGAATGGCTCATTCAACAATCGAGGTGCCTGACCCAGTCAACCCATGGCTCAAGCTCAAACCACAACGTTCAGCACAGCCGAATTGAAAGTGATACAGACCCAGAGATATCGGCATTTGCTACAGTCACTGGCACAACAGAGCTTCTAGAAATGATACTCCTCCATCTGGACTTGAGATCTCTACTCAAGGCGCAGCAAGTGTGCCAACGATGGAAACAGACCATCGCCCTTTCTGTCCAGCTTCAACAAGCGCTCTACCTCCAATCGGCAAAACCCAACAGTACAAAGCGCACATCAAATCCACTCATCGAAGAGATCATACTACCACAAATGCTGCTCAGATCAAGAAATTTCATCATCCCAGGAAAATACCCAAACTTCGAACCATGCTTCCGCAAAGAGGCGAGCTGGAGGAAGATGCTCCCCCAACAAACACCCACGTCCACAATCGGAGTGATAGAGATTGTGCGCCACGAGAAATACAAATTCACCAAGTTAGCAGTTCAGCCCGGGTCTCTAAGAATGGAACACCTCATCGACGCCATGGAGAACGGCGTCCTCATGCCCACACCCAACAACAGGGTGCTCTGGACGACTGTCGCTCGATCTCTGAATTTCGAAATATGGGGACAAAACTGGGTGCAATCCAAGAGCCCTCTTCCCGAGGGTACCCCGTGGATACCAGCCAATATTGACTGGGACACCCTGCGACTTGGCGTTGCGTCTATGTGTCTGGAGCGGCATGACTGCGATTTTGTTATTGTATCGGAATGGCCGCAACGTCTGTTCCAAGATGACATGTGCCCCTGCCAGAAGACCATCCTGGATCGTTGGTTGGAGGATTCATTTTGCCAGTGTGAGGTTGTGGTTGCTAGAGAAGAGGCGGGTCATACATACGCTTTCAAGGAAGGGAATGTCCCGGTCCTGAGGCAGCTATGCGAGCAATGTTTTTGCCGGAGACGGTTCGCTAGGCGATTGCTCATTCCATAGACCTGATAAAACGAGACACAATCAATGCACATCAGACTTTTGCACATATTTGCACACATAGACATCTGAAGCCTCTACCGTCACTCGCACGGCACATGATTCACGTCAATACCGGTGTAACCATGCTCATAGATTATATAAGAACCTGGAGATGAGCAAAATTTGATAGTATCATTGGCATATTTCCAGATGCTGGGCCCGGCTGACAGCTTCGAACAAACCGACACTAGCACCAAGATATTCCAGGATTTGTAAACCCCCCATGTTTCGAAATACAACCCAGGGAAACATTGGCTGTTGCTCAAGACAATAACCAGAAAAATCAGCCTGCATTCAACGCGGCCAATGTTGTTTTTGGAAGCGTGATTCTTATAGCCCCAGGAGGCATCTGCTTCAAGTCAACATCGAAAAACATCCAAAACACCCCGTCCCACAACCCTGCAATCGACACACCTATACTGAGACTAGCGGAGGCACTCCTCATGAAGTGCATAAGCACCACACGGGAAAATACTAGCGTGCCAAAGAGACGTGGAACATACACTAATATCTGGTTTTTAAGTAGCCTATTCTCCGAAAAGGTTGGAACAGGCTGATAAATTACAATATGAGATTGGGAGAGGACAGCCCCAACCTCCCCATCCTTAAGGACTTGAAATTACAAGGCGCTGGGAGACAGAAGTACAAGACTGTTGTCCCTAAAAGATTATTCCGAGACAGTGCCTTGATGGGGCTCTACTGCAGTGTACGAATATTTCGCTGTAATTCACGCACAAGATCCCATTTTTGAACATCATTCGAAGCTACTAGGAATGACCCCAGATAAAGACGGTCATCGAGTTCCCTTGACATTGGCATTCACTACACTGGCCTACCCGGGACAAGGACGTACCCCTGAGCCTCACTGGAGCGGATCAAAAATCTACAAGAAGCTCATATGGTGGGATCTCCTAGTCATAGAGCCCGAAAGCTACAATTATTTCTCAATAAGAACCTTCAAGGATAACTAGGGTGATATAAGCTCGAGGCCGTGACACCACACAATTTCCACTCCTAGTCAACTCGCCCCATAGGACCGTTCAACTTCCATATCACCACACTATCATACATACCGAGCATCTGCTAGAGATTGATGTAGCCGCTCTATGGTCCCAACGTGTAGAAACTCGTCGGGAGAAACGCCACGGGGTCTTTTTGAAGGGAAAGCGAGATTACTGGCCAGGAACATGGCTACTTTTCTTAGCCACAGTCTCCCCTGTAAGACCTATTGACTATTTACATCCGAGTAGTTTACACTTTTGGACATCGCCACCTACCAAGGTACTATTCAACCTGATATAGTAATGACATTCTCTGTTAACAAGACAATGTTATAATTGGAAACCAAACTTGACTTACTATTCTACCAAACAAAATGCCAGAATACGTTGTTGCCTATATTTCACTCCGCCACGATGCTATCCGCCGTCCTCCGTTCTCGCCACCGGCCTTCCTCTAACTGTGAAGATATCAGTCACTGTTGACTCAACAACAACCTCGATACTGCTTCCGCTTCTATCCGTACTACACCATGTACGCATACCACGGCACATGCTACACCGGTCACTATCACAAGCCACAAGCCACGTACAACAGGGCTTCAAAACTCTATAGAAGCTTCCAGTCATATTCTTCCGTATATAGCATCCGGTCTCTAACCTACCACGCCATTCGTGTAACACATTCCACGCAACACAAAGCCACATGCCAGCCACGCGTTCACCCTATCCACGAAGTGCCTCCGTACACCCACCCACATGCATTCCAGCAACACCATCAGCTACCAATGTATTCGAGTAGACACTATTCCGGATTGAGTATAAAGTCCTTGGTACATACTCACCGGAAATCGGGCAACCGAGGCCAGATGAGTCATCATGTTAGACACAGGTTGTACCGCCACATACCGACCCAATACATGACGGCCCCACATTCAAACATTAATAAGCTGGCGTATTTTCATACGGCGTGTCACGTATCCCCAGCTTTGTCATCAACTGCCATCGATCACTAACGGGCTTATCGATAACATGCAACTCGTACTTCGTTCTCGTACACGCGGAATACAAATCACCATGTAAAACTCCACACTCAAAGCTCCATATTTTCAAGCCACAAACTCCACAGTGGACCCCGTCAACCCACCAATTTCTACAGTACCCAATGAATCCATGTGTTCTCTCCAAACTCCCTGTCGTTCTGCACACCCTTAAAGCACAAAGGATTAGATCTGCCCTCTCTGAAAGCCCAAGATCCACCTCCAAACGCAATCACACTCCACTAAAAGTGAAGCTGACAGAACCCCCTAAACCTAATTCCGGATTCCCCGAGGTCCCATTTTGGGACAGTTGGCTGAGAATCAAACGAGAGGGGAATAGACAGTGGATATGTTGCAAGTATGTGTGGAGGGGGTCATAGTACTGTAGTGCTCAGCTCAGCTCGCATCAATCGACAATCTATCTGTCTCTATTATCGATTATCGCCTCCACTAGAGACACGTACTTTTGTGCCCCATCTTCGTCTTTCCCCATCTATCGCTGCGGGCGCTGATCGGGCCTGACTAAGAAACTCAATTGCTTCTACTGTAGTATATGTGCAGTAGTACGATATGTACTTCTGTAGATGTCCGAGTACTAAATCCGACGATCTCACCCTGATGCACGCGGCCCGCGCTTGGAGTCGATGCAACGCACTCTGTCAGATCGGAGATGTCATTTCAAATGCCATTCTACTACATACCAAAGGCATGGGGATAGTGCTCACTCAGCTCCTCCTTACAACGGAATCCGCCCCCTATGTATCTCCAACTGAGGACTCTCATACGCGCCAAGGAGAAAAAGTAATAATCGCCATGTACCCTTCCAATAAGAATCAGCAAAAGCATCTCTACAGGCTACAGTCAATAGTACTCACAACCGATACTCTACATAGCTGCTCCACAAGCGGAACCCCCTAATCCCGCGCTAATATAAAACCCACCAACTAACTATTGTCCTGTACGCCCTGAACTCTCCCTACCAGCGCGCTTATGCTTAAAAGTTCCCAGACAGAGTGATTGGTCAACCCCCAATTCCTAATTCTACAGTATTCTATTCTGTCCCTTCTCACAGCCTAACCTTTTAAAGGTATTGTTCTATGGAAGTATCGGGTCAAGTGAACGCCTTCATGTGCACAGGCATAAACACATAATGTATGAAGTACGAGAAACAGAACCAGAACCATCGGCACGTAACACTTGGACACTAATATCAGTATATCCACACAACTGTCCTTCCATACTTCCACCAACCCTCCTCCGCGTCACCCAATACCCAGTCCCTCTCAAGGTAACGCAGAAATCCCCAGATCGTCCCAATCACATGGGCCTTGGATACATATCCCTGACAAGCCCGGTGGGTCTTATAGCGCCATGCATGATGCCTGCCTATTTTAGTAGACACTACGGGGAGCTTGGCTAGGGGGCTTGTAGGCGAGGACGGGATTGGTGGGTGTGGTATTAGGGATGGGCGCAGGGACTGTCTTTGAATGAATGGGTACTTGTTCTACTGGCTCTGTGGGTGCGTCAGAGGCGGGGGTGATCGGTGTAGGTGCGGGTGCAGGTGCAGGTGAGATGGGGTGGATCATGGAGGGGAGGAGACTATACTAGGGTTGGAGTGGTTGTGGATGGTACTGTAGTTAGTGGGGTGTGTTTCATTGGGTGTGGAGGAAGGGGTGTTTCAGCGTTGGGGTTGTACAGCGAGTAGTTCTTGTTGTAACTGTAGCTATGAGATATGTAAAGATCACAGTAAATGCGTGCAAGTGTCCTATGTTACATAGGTAAAGCAATCAGTTATCTACGTTGACTTTTACAGTGGAAAGAAAAGAAGTAAACAAATTAATGACTTCGTTTTTGCATCGTATTGCACAGTTCTATCGTAAGTATACATCATATCCATCATCGAGTCCATAATATACATTTTCTCAGAGACAGTCAAACCGAAGACTGTACGGCCAAAAAAAAGAAAAAAAAAATAAAGACAATGGCAATGACAAAGTGACAGTGATAATGATAGCCATGAATAATCAATCCAACCCACCCATATACAAACACCACCGAAGACAGAAAAGCACCAGCCAATGCAGAGAAGATCGTCAAATCGTACAATGGTCAAAAGAACCAAAGGGAGGGGTAAACAAGCCACGCAAACGCACGACAAAATAAACACAAATAATAGGAATGATAATTATACAAGCAATGGGGTTCGTAACAGACATGAAAGGCTGCAAGCGAGAGAAACATACAAGACAGCCCCCATACACACAAATACAATATGCTTTTTGGGTGTTTTGGTGTGGTCCAACGCAAGACAAAAGCCCAAAAATGCCGTGATGGAGCATGGATCAGAAGTGGATCGAATGGCGCCAAGGGCATCTGCACACGTCAGGAGTATGGGAGTATTGGAAGGAGGGTAGAGAAATGAGCATCGAGTGGTAGAATAGATGCGTCATCTCTGTGTAGCGGTATTCGATCGACGACGTACGATCGACGTACGATCGACGTCAGCCGAAGGAGGGAGATGGGAATGACGTCAGTGGTTGTCCGGGGTGGAAAAACACAAGAGAAGAAATGTGTTTGGCGGGAATGGAGTTCAGGCCACAAGGCCGCAATCCCATCCCCCACCTCCCCGGTAGGGAGCGAGTCCCGAAACGGAAGCAGATACCGACGATCTGGAAAAGATGTGGGGCGCTTACTCAATCGGGGGTGGGGCTTGACGTCATGGCATCCCATGTCAGAAAGGAGAAAGGGTTTGGATGATTGCTCCCATTCGTCATGGTGATGCTGGTCGCGGAAAGCTTCAATCCCTTCCCCGGCGTCGTTGCTTACCAGGCCAGTCTACTTCGGGGTGCACCACACGCATGTGTCGGGTCAATGCATCGTTGCGACTGAAGGTCTTTTCCTCCGTGCAGAGATGGCATCGCACCTTTTGCTTGCGTGCATTGTGGATCGTATCTTCATGCCGAGTAAGATCGTACGGCCGTGAGAAGATCGAATTGCACGGCTTGCCAGTAGATGGGTTGATGCGCTCACACTTGTGGGGACCAGCCTGCGAGTTGCGTAGCGAGGTATCCCGAGTGATCAGGTGACCACCAGGGGTCGTTTGGCGATGCGCCTCGCGTTTGTGTCGCTGGAGCTTGGCGGGGGACTCGAATCGGAGACTGCAACCATGGTAGGTACAAGTGTAGGTGCCTCCGTCAGACGAAGTGTTGGTGGGCCGAATAATGCTTTCGTTGACTGGCAGCTTGGCCTGGGGAGTCATGGTACCCGACTGCAGCTCGCTACCCGTGGATTCCAATCGCGAAAGCGAGGCAGGGAAGTCCGGAGTTTGCTGCAAGAGATTCGACTGGGGATGGCCCTGCTGGTAGAACTGGGGCTGCTGAACACTGGAGTACTGGCTGGGGAAAGCCTCCATCGTGGACATGGCCGGGCGCATGGATCCCGAGCTCTCACGGCGTAGACCAAGGGCATCGCCCAAGTTGAAATCGGCCTGCTGTGGTGGGAAGAGCGGGGGCATGGCGGCATCCGCGCCTTCATCCAAATCCAATACCGCATCCTTGGGGGACATGGTCTTCAGATCGGTCGGGTTTCCGGTCGAGGGAGCCATGCTCATAAGATTCTGAGGCATGGGCACGCTGGTGGCCATCTGCAGATCACCGGCAAAGGGGGAGGTCTGGCGGAAGGGTGAGCGCTCGCGCTTGATGCCCATCGCCGGAGACCCAGACCGCGCAGACATGTGGCCCTGGCTGGCAGCTTGCAATCGGTCGGCAATGACATTGCGTGGGTTCAAAAGGTTCGAGTTCATCGGCTTCACCGTCTGCTGAGGGGCAGCCATGATGGTGGGGTTGAAGAGCTCGTCTTGGTAGATATCGGAAATCGTACGGTTCAACTTGGGAATGCCGATCATCCCACCCTTATTACCAACGTAGTCTGGAGCCGGGTCGAAGCGTGAGTACTCGTTCATCCAGTAGTCAATGTCAGAAAATCGAATCTCACCATTGGTCATCGTCTTGGAATCATCTAGCTCATCCAGACTGGTCTGTGGGGTCACAGGGGAGTTATGGCTGATAGTTGAGACCGAAGGAGCCAGTGAGTAGTCGCCCTGCTGCTGCTGCTGTTGCTGGTGCTGCTGGTGCACGGGAGACTTCTGGTGCCTTTGTTGCTGATCCATAATCGCCTTCCTCATAGCGGACTCCGCATCGACATTGCTGCCATCCCAAGTAGAGGGTTCGTAGTTTTGGAAGGAAGCCGTGAGGAAAGAGTTCTGGATGGGAGTTTGCACCGGGGTGGGCAGCGGCTTGGATGAGCTGTCGGATCGCTGATGGCCGTGGTTGGCGGAGATCGAAGGACCGGAAGGTGCAGACCGGGAAGACGCTGAGCTGGGTGACGTCTTTTGGGGGAATGGAATGCGGGAAGGACTCAGCAGCTGCAAGTTGCTATCCCAGCCCTGGTTGCTGGCAATCGGTTGTTGTTGCGCCAACATTGATGTATAATATTGCGAATATTGCGGAAGATACTGCGATGATGGTGAAGCAGAGCCCTGGATGTCAAACGACGGGTTATAGGACGACGCCGGGGTCATCGAAGGAGCCCCGAAAGACTGGCTATCGGCCGCCGCCGTTGTCGGAGGGTACGGAATTGAGAAGGTTGGGGAGGATAAGGTCGGTGAAGAAGGCGCGGAAGAGGGCGGAGAGGCGAACTGGTTGAGTTGGGCGAGAGGATTAAATTGCTGGGTTGGTTGGTAGTGGAAAGGTGGTTGCAAGCACGACGACTGTTGTTGGTAGTGCTGCTGCTGTTGCTGTTGATATTGGAAAGGGTTGTCGAATGACTCGGAGTGTTGATCGTCTTGTATGAAGCAGTCCTCGGGATTGAATGGATCGGTGATGAGACCCTTACGTGGGTACATAAGCATTATGGTATCACGTATGTTGGGAGAGGACGTCAGTCGAGAAGGGGGGATTTGCCACCGGGGGATGGCGAGCTCCTTTTATACTGTGGAATTCCGACGGGTCAAGATCCGAGAGTTCCCTGGGCGATGTCTCGATAAGGCCTATTGGGAAGTGGGCGGAAGTGATCGGTGGGAAGTAAAAAAATGAAAATGGATGGTTCGCAAGCGAAGAGTCTGGAAACGTCGAGGGCAGGCTCGTGATCGAAGTGACAAGTGTTGGTATGGAATGAACCTTATTATCGGGATTGGGTGCTGGACGGTACAGTCAGGAAATCCGGGTCTGGTTCTGGGAGATGACTCGATCGGAGGATGAGTCTTACCGGAGGATGGGGGATAATGATTTGGAATATAAAAGATTGAAGTAATCAAGAGGATCGGATAATGATGAATAATGTGGAAATAGTTAATTGAAGGGAAAGGGAGAAAGCGGATTTACACGGCGGGCAGAGGCAGTCTTAAAGAGGCAGTTGAGATGGGCGTGAAGCCCATGACGTTTCGCGCTAAGCAGGGGCCACTTACATTATTCGAACCAAAAATGCTATTTTTTGGGGGGAATTTTTGATTTTTTTTTCCCATTGTTCTTAATAATTCTTGAATTTACGAATTTTATTTTATTTTTATTTTTGTTTTCGTACCCGTTCATGCGGACTGCTCATTGGACTACCGGACAACCCCGACGAGCTGGTGTACTGTCACGAGTAAAATCCTTAACGGGCTAGTCCCGATTTGGCCTTAGCGGTCACTTCTCGTACGATACGTGACGGCCGTGAAGGTCAGGTTTCTCGGCTCCACTGATCGTCCGGGGGGACCGTGCTGGGGTTGTCCTCTTGTTCCCTTTCCCTCGCAGAACTGGTCTGTCACGGTGGAGAGGTGGCTTGCACTGGAGACAGCCATATTACCCACTGGACATGGAGAAGAGAGACTCTTACTGCTACTGTAGGAAATGTCATTGGAGTAGATCCGCGAAGTTGGGAATCAGAATTCAGATCGGCCGACGAATAATGACCCAGAAGGAGTCATACTATCATCAGTCATACCACGGTGTACATCCCTCTGTGTACTACTTCCCTGGAGAGAGAATGTGCTAGGTATCCATCCCGTGTACACTTTGGGTCGGGACTCTCGGGCGAAACAGCCCGAGAAAGATTGGTGATTCTTCTTACCAACATCACTTAGCAAGCTCGGCCTCGACAGATCATGACTCCGATTACCATTCTAGATAGGCCAAGATAAGGTCCCAGAGTGGACCCCGAGCAAAGAAAAGAATGGTCTGGGAGACATGCTTTCCTGCAGGACCCGGACCCAAAATTCTTTAGCGGCCGAATCGGGGCTCCAATTTTAGGATTTATCCCCAAGCCGAGTAGGGCTGAGCCACACTTTAGGGTCTGTCACTGCGAACTGCTGCGTTGTTTCGTTGGGCCGCGCGTGACTCAGGCAGAAATTTTCTAACTGCCTCTTCTCGCTAGTTTCTCGGACCATGAAAGATCGTTTCTACCGTGTACATGTCTGTACGAGAATATACTTTATGCAATGACAAGACCAGTACATTTATCAGCACTACAGTATTTCTTGAAATCAATTAGTATTATTAAGGATTTCCAATCTTACTATTTTTTGCGCTCCGTACTCCGTTGGTTGAACCCTCGCTATCTCCGGAGGATCGCTGCAGCGAACAGCTGTCTCCCCCGACACTAGCCACACCTCAGCTGCTGCGCCACCATGTGGCACTCCCCTTGGATCGAGCTCCCTGCATTTTTCTGGTTCTCGTTCTCGTATGCAGGTATTCCCCGAGTCCCGGTTCTTTCTCTGGGGTACGCCGATTCGGGCAGGTGCGCATGAACTCGGCCGGCGAATACTTACTTGTTTAATCCATGTATCTTGTTCCCTTTGTCTCGTCCACCTTCTACCATTCATCCAACCGGCGTTGGGGAGAGTCCCATCCGAGGCCAAATGGGCATGCCAAGCCTCGTTGAATGCGGGGATCAGCTGACTCGGCCGTGGCATGAGTATCAGCTGACCAGTGGGTTGACTGGTTCATGTCTACTGTGGTCTACGAAACTAGCGAGTTGATCAAGAAGCTAGGCCTTTAGTCGAGTCACTGAGTCACTGGATGCGGACACCTCCGTTGGTATTGTAGGAGCCTAATCACGGCCCTTGGTCTCTTCGGATCTGGGTTGGTGGGTTTCTTGGAAGTCTGGAGTGGGCAAAATAGTGCGGTATGAGCTGTGTATGCGACCTTGCTTCGCCTGGTCGTTTGCTTTTCCTTTGCTGCGAGCAACGTGATACCCCCAGGATTGGGTCACATGGCCCGTGGCCTGATAGTGGTTATAGTGTTGGTCGATCCTCTGTACAGTATTGTCCGTAGACACGGGATCTATGACTATCGTATGCTAGTACGATTTAGTTGGTTAGTTACTCCATATTGCCCATATTGCCTGCGCTGACTCCTACATGACTCCCAGCTTGGAATGAGTAAGAAACAATCATAAAGACACCACATGATTAGTTTTCCTTGCTATGATCTGGAACGTTGACTCAGACATCCTAGTACAGACTAAAGCTAGCGTGGTATTGTTTGTTGGGATGGGAGTCCATAACAAAGGCATCAAAGCCAGCAGGATAAAATCAAAAATCAAAAATCAAAGTTTTTCTTCTCTAATCCCTGCCCACATTCGGCGACCTGCCGATCGATGGGCTGCTTGTCCTGCTAGCGCCGACCTTGTCTGCTGGCTGAGCACTCGTAGCGCGGAGAGAGTTCAAGCGTACAGCTACAGTATGCCCAGCGCGGGTTACAGTAGGATCTTAGCGCCCGATGAAGATCTGTCGTGCCCTGATCCGCCCTGAGCCCTGGTGCCCAGTTGTATTGCAGCGGAACAATTTACAGTAATCAGGGCCCGAGTGGCTTGTGCGAAGGTATGCTCGTGCCTGGAAAAGGATTTACAAGATCTTTGCTGAAATGCGACCGGGGAAATGTCCTCCGATCGGGGGAATTCACATGGCCGGTCGCCTAATTCCTACTGGAGTGGATATAGTTGGCATCTGGCAGCTGGCATCTGGCAGCTGGATGCATGTCGGATATATTTCAGATCTCGGATTGAGACAATATAGCCACGGTAACCCCATTCTCTTTAGCGGGGCGCTCTACATACTCGAAATGGCCATGTGATACGAGATAAACGATGAGAAAGTGTTTTGTAAGCGAGGATGCATGCACCTCGCACAAGAAGAATGGCCCTTGTTCCTGTCGACCGAGAGGTCCGAGGCCGAGTCTAAGACGAGTTTAAGACACTCCAAAAATCCGACGTTCTTCCGGGCTAAGTCCCTACCTAAGTCCACGGTCGGCTTTTAGCGCTGACGGGGCCACGATCGGGGCGATCTGGTCGGGTCCGGGGTGCCGTGAATCGTTTCGTACAGTGCCGACCAGATCTGGCCCGAGTCGGCCCAGCAGGGATTATTATAGAACATTAAAAATTAATGCCTAAATCCGTATTACATCTAAGAAAATCCTTGTCTTCGCTTAGATCCCCGTACCAACTTCTATCGCGAAGATCGTGGTCTGGTCCGTCCCTTTTGATCTTGGCGGCCCTGCGGCCGAGATCCCACTCCATCCTTGTTAAAGACGGTTCTAATAACTTGCTGAGAGATCCGAGATCAGAACGTGGCCTGTCGTCTGGGGAAGTGGCAAAGCCCGAGTTATGGTCGGCCCACCAGCCCCAACACAACCCCAAACAAAATGCGCAATGCACTGGTCATGGATTGGCCCTACACCATATCCATCACATACTCTACACACACCACCAGCAAAAGCATAGCACGTAACTGTACCGGGCCACTTCGCAGACCCCTCCTACGTCGGTGGGATGCGCCAACCTTCCGTATTAGGACAACCTTCAAAGCCCAAGAAGAAAAAATTTTCACTGGCACACGGCATTGTAAATCCGGGCTCACTAAGCTGTCAGCACCTTAAACAGGCGCCCGAGTTGCCGGTCCAAAAGGGAGGGTACGAGAGGGAACACTCTGCAGAGAAATATTTAGAAACAGCCTTATCGCGCTAATGCAGGATAAAAATTTTTTCACTGCAAATGATTGGCGAGCACACCTTTGGAATCGGTAGGGATGCTCAGCCACAACGTGTATGGTACCGTATTACCCGGATACACCGTGACATATCGAGGCTAGTGCGTCGTATCGTAACTGGGTATGTGACCACCCCCTTTTGGGCTGGTGCATGTTCCCCCAAGCCACGCTAGGGCCTTCTGGAAGCCTTCTAGTGCGTGCCGACATTCCGGCACCGGGATTCTCCGCTGCCCATTGAGTTGGCAATCCTATCTAAGTATAGCTGCATGAAAAATTTTTCCCTGCTGCATGGTTTTAGGTTGCATCTCATAGGGTCTTGTTGGTCAGATTAGATTGTCAATGCGACTTGATGCGACTCGGTATTACTGCTTTGTTTGTCTGAGGAGATGGGTGATTCGTGGAATTTATGGGCTTCTGCGCGTTCCCGGATGATTCCGATGGTTGGATGTACCGTACCAGGTCTCTCTTGTATGCTGATTCTGCGTGCGACGGGCTTGCTTAGCGACCCCAACCAAATGGTATTTGATTATTTTTACTTAAGTCAGAATGAAAATTTCGACTAGCTTCTGGAACAGTCTTGGAATGATGGCCTGTTGAGACCATGCAAGGGCGGCTACAGAATGCTGGTTGCCTATACTTGGTGATTCGTATACTCTTGCTCAACTATACAGCACGAAAGGGTCAATACAAAATTCAATACACTACCAGATCTGAATACTCCGTATGGAACTTGTCTCGACAGCACAGCCCCATGTAGGTTCATACTACGCACGTGGCCTTTGCATACCGTTGAAAAGTGAAAGGTCCACTTTCACGCTTGTCAAGACGGCTGCCTCGCTCAATGCCCGTTTCCCGGGGACTACTCAGCACGTTCCATTTGACGGACTGCCCGCCCGGTCATTGCGTGTCCCATCAAGATCTGAGACAAGATTGGATCTTATGCAAATCTAGCGTAGTCCAATCACGGCTGTCAGCCTGATTGACTGACCGGTGGGAAGGTCATCGCGGGTATCTGATAGGACTGTAGCTGGAGGGCTGTTTTGGTTGACGTTGGTAGGATCTTCTTCGGGGCACACTGTGTTGGGGTGGAGGGGCCTCTCTGGGTACTGTTCTTGGACTCGACTGAGTACTGTCATATTTTGGCTGAAACATTTGACGAGTCGTGCGCGTGGCCTGCGGACTTGGAGGGGACTTGTTCGCCAGGCTTTCATGGTGTAAAAGGTTTGGTTACACAGTTTGTTACGCACGAGGTGATTTGAGGCGAGGTTGATCTATGCGGTATTTCATGCATGTCAGAAGTAACAAGTAACCTTGAAGAGAGTACATCAAGTTCAGAGTGAGTGGTGTGACGTGTAGAGGTGTATCTTTCTAGAAGGTGGTTTGATGGAAGTATTAGAAAATAGGATCGGATGATTGTTGGAAAACCAGATACAACTTCCTTCCATTTCGGGAGTTGCTGCTCCGTTTGCCTTTGGAAGGCCAGATAGAGGACATTCTCATGAGTGAGGCTCATACCTCCGGCCAGGAAATGGCAAGGTGACCAGTCTGACTGTTTGATAGAGATTCAGTATTCTATTCTCATCGCCACGACGGCATCACTTGCTGCTAACAAAGCCATGCTAATAGTGAGCAAGAGAGCAGTGAGTAGTGGTAAGGTTTCTAGAATGACAATTTGTAGTGACGCGATAGCTAATGCACCGGCAACTAAAAGAGACCCACAATTAAAGTTCTCAAGGTGTGTATCACAGCCTGAGCAGTTAACGAAGGGGTAAAGTTGTTAAGGAAATGAAGTTATGGAGCAAGAAGCTTGCTAATAGCAAATGTGATGGCTTATTGATAGAAAATTGAGAGACGTACTTAGAGAATGAGACTTACGTTAAGGTAGTTCTCTTATACGTGCTAGAGCAGAGTAGTAAGACTCGGTGCGAGTCGGGTATTGGAAATGTTGATTTACTTCTCCTTCACTCGCTAAACTCTTTATCTCGTCATAAAGCCTAGTTTAAGTTAGACATGGGCAGGTAGTTCCTTGTGTGTAGATTCACCGGCCAAGTGTGGCTGGCTTTGGGGGACCTGAATCCTGAAAATCAGTAGGATGGTAGGTATACGGACTGGGTTGGATAGCACTCATTCTCCGGGACATCAAGAAGACAGAAGATATATATGCTGGAGAACGAGACAAATGGAGTAGTGGTATAAGATGACTCGAGCTATGTGAAAGCCGTAGGACATCTGAGAGGTTTTCATCGGATATCCATGAAGATATCGTGTGACAGGTGCTAATACGCTGACCGACGGCGATCAAGACCATCTGAAAGCGAATCCCAGTTCTGATTTACTCCAATGAGAGAATTATCAAGGTTAATAGTTGGTTCAAAGAAGATTTTCTTAGGGAAAGGGAAGATTGCAAATAGCAGAATCAAGTCGCATGACCTTTAAAATCCGTAATTGAGTCCATATATTCGTTCTAAGGAACCTGACAAAAGAAAATTCCCTGGACCGAGAAGTGTAAGTGAAGAAAGAATAGAAGGAGATTATAAAATACAATGACCACACCACCGCTAAACATGCCACTAAAACCTTCCATTTGGTCGATCAGCCTGCTCCATCGACGAACGATAGTCATGATTCGACTCAACGGTCGTCTCAATCTCCGTTTGCGTAAAAATCTTTCCATCGGGAACGATAATCCGCTCCTCACTCGAGTTATCTGCCATGGTAGCTCCAATTTGTGTACCCATCGTCATATCGTCCCTGCCGTTCATCGTGCCCATAGTGATATTGTTCGGATCGGTCACCTTTGTGAACCCGGAGCCATAGCGGCGTGCGTCGGGAGTGCCGTCCCAGGGGCCGTACTTGCGACCGCTGCTGTATTCGCCGATGAAGCGGGGTAGGAAGCGTGAGGCGATGGCTTTGAAGGAAGGAATTGAGGCGGCGAAGATGCCGATGTTGGTCTCGATGACGGACCAGTACATTGCGCCGCTGATGGCGTAGGTGTAGTCGGCTGAGGTGAGCATGGTAGGAATGTAGGTGATTCGGATGATGGAGGATACACAGGCGCTGGCAGGAAGTATATTGTTAGTTTATAACCTGTGTTTGAGCCAGGGGCATGGAATGCTGGGAGGCAGTCGCTTACAAAAGACCCAGACAGAGAATGAAAATGAGGGCGATCTTTTGCTTTTGGGGCATCTGTAGTTTGAAGATGACCCTGATAGGGAGGGTATAGGTGAGGAGATCGGTCAAGATGTTCAGACCGGCGTTGGCGAGGTAGAAGATGTTGATTTCAACACATTTTCCAGATCCAGTGCCGGTCCATGCCTTGCTGATCGGGTGGCATTGGAAGGCCGCAACAAGAACAAAAGAGGTAGCCTGACACACGATGACTATCATCATCACGTATGAGATTCGGGTGAGAAAGCGGTCTCCTAAACGAGTATAGAACCAGAGCACAGATGTTTTGACGAAGCCGAGACATGCGAGGTAAAACATAGAGCTCAACCATACGGCCTAGAGTATGTTAGGTATGGACATATTATGGAATGCATGTTTCTCATACGAATGAGTAGTCAACAAGCTTGCTCTTATCAGTATACTTGTAATGTTGTCCGAGTCCATTTTCGACGGCTATTGGGGATCAGTGCCTGCTGTTCTATAAACGGATATGGAAGCCATTACATACCGACGATGGTGGCAGCAATAAAAGCCCATGCTAAGCACTATTATTCCTGTCAGTTATCTTATTCAGATTGATCAGAGTGATGCTTTCGTACACAAGCTCCGATGATGAGGTCTAGCGAGACAGTTAATCAGTATATTCCGTTTAATAAAATGATTACCAGCAAACTCACAGTCATCGACTCCCATCTTTCCCAGAACATAGATGCGTGCAAAGAGCCTCAGGGACAAGACAATAAAAGTCAAGACTGCAAAGGCCAAACAGATACCTACGACCGTCGGACCCTGAGATCCATTGTCACCTGTAATACCCATTGTGATGGAAAGATGATGAACGACTGAATGTGTTGAGAAGTCGGCGAAGAGAAAGTCCAATCGAAATAACACTCAATGAGTACACAGCATCAAAATATGCTTGCGAAATACCCTCTTCTTCCTCTTCTTCCTCGAGGGCCAACACTGGGACAGTGAGAAAAAGAGAGTAAAATTCAGAAGTATAGAATCCAAAGACTGGGACAGGACCGAAGAAAAACAAAGCACCAACTACGCCAGTTTACGACTTATTGTTCTCGACCTGAGATGAAAACTTGAAAATGGGAAAAGCAAAACTAAAAACCACAGGCCTGACTCCAGATCCCCCTTTCAGCCCTAGTCGAGGAACAAGCCAATGTTGCTAGTGTGGGCATGGTGCATGTTCCTCGCAGGTTCTAGATCCACCACGTATGTCCCAATAGCAGCGTCGGTGGGGATTAGGCACGGGACTACCAGAAGTAGGCAAACTGTCAACGGCAGGTTGTCGGAGCCAGGCGACACGTTGAAACATGTATAACATCAGGAGTGCCGATCAGTGAGGTAACGCTAATGTCCGCCCGTCATTCTGCCATCGAGAGTATCCTTTTCTGCATAGCTACTCGGTACATATGCAGAAACGGGCCAAGTATCGAGGCATCAGGTTTTAGAAGAGGATCTACGGGCTCTAACTTGCCGTTTCAGACGTGCAGCAAAGAGAAGGGGGAAGCCGTCTTTGTTCATTGCGAGAGCCAACGAGCACAGAAGATCGCGGTTTTCCCCTGTCTTAAACTTCATGGTCCACTGTCGACTTCCCAGATCTTCCATCTCCTCTTGAGGCTGAACCTACCAGACATTGCTTATAATTTTAGGGCAATTAGTATGGACTTTTAGTTTGCAAAGATTGAGAAGCGCGGTTGTAGCCTTCGACTCTACTACTTAGGGAATAGTGAGAAAGAACCATTGGGGCCAGTGTTGGCCCCAGTATTAGCACGAAAAAGAAGTGGGGATGTAGCAGGGATAGCTCAACGCCTTCTCGTATCTTTGCCGATAAAGGCGTACATATACTTTGTCCGGAGTACTCCGTACTCTGGACACGATCGTCCTTTGCTAGTCTGTTTCAGAGCCGAACAACTCCCGGGTCATAGTACAATAGTCTTTGCCTGGTCCGACTGCTAATTACTAACTCAAATCCATTTTCAACCATGTGTCGGATCGTTGTTGATAATAATAGCTGAGATGAAGGCGCAGAAATCACCAATGCGTAGGTGGAGAGTACCCTCGGCTGATTCTATCGATGGGGACAGCCACGGATCTGCGCTTGATAATGTGGATAGAGTTATGTATTATTTAAGCCGGAATTGTCGTCTGGATTCTGGATGCTGATGGTGATCCTAATTATTTAGAAGAAAGTATCACAGCCAAGCTACTCCGAGAAACAATGGTATTCGATTCTACGAAGTACATTTTTGGAACAAGCTAATAAATCTCGAGGAGAACCTAACTATTCCAGTGACAAGGTTATTGGCTCGGAAGCATGGCCAATCGGATTGATGTGAATGAGTAATAATCGATTAAGATTTTGCGAATTCATAACTCAAAAACTAAACTTCAACTGACAGCTCGCCGGGCGAGTTTACTACCGCTAGTTTACGATTTATATGGCCCCCAAACCTTGTCTTCTGTTATCTTGCTCCTCACTTTTCTTCTCCCCTCACTCCGTCTTTCTTTCCTTTTTGTTTCTCCTGTCCATCTTCTTCCACGGCAACCAGAACAGGACGTCGTGAGGGGTCGATGGATCTGCGTGCACCGGCGTTTCATCTTGTGGCGCTCCGATCGCTGCCGTTCGCGATGTCCCGGAGCAGCGCGAACAGCCAGCAGACAATTTGCCTTCCGCTAATGCCCCCTTTCTCCCACTTGAGTAACCCTCCGTAACTAACTACCTTGAGATCTGCAGGCGGGCCCGTCGTCCCCTTCCGAGCCGTCCTCTGGTGGGGGAGTAAGCTGGAGAAGGGGGTGCGTCATCCAATAGGTCCCGTTCCCGGCGCGTCAGCGCTAAGCGAGATGAGAGCTATGTAGACACGAATCCTTCGAGCTGGCTGGGATCATTGATCAGCTTCACTGAATGAGGGCTTTGTCTTCGCAGCACACTGTTTGATGGCGAGCTTGACGATCCGTGTCGACTCGGCTGCATGTGAAGCGCCAAGCGACAGTGACAGCTTTCATTATTTCCTTGACGAACCTGCGTGGACCAGCAATAGCTGGGATACTGACGTACAGTCGGTTCAAAAAAAATAATGATTCACCTTCGGAAATCCCAATGGCTCGGATATGCCTTCATCCTCCTCGACGGAAATGCTCCGAGGGCCCAGGCTCCAGAAACCATATTCGCTCGCACTGACGCCCTAGCATATCTTGTTGGGCCCCTCGGAAGCACGGCGAGGAACTCCTCGACTGTCCGTCCCCGTTCTGATCTGCATTCGCCAAGTGAAAGCCCAGCAATCATGGGGCTAATCATCGATCAGGCTATGATACCAACAAGCCCTGGCCAATAACTAACTATAACTTTTGGACGGGCGAACGTAGTACATAGTCCTCTCTACAGGGTACAGAACTACTAACTCTCATACTGCATTGCTGTTAAGTTCTAAACAATCGACTCCATACGTTACTACTCCACGTTCTAGACCCCGTACATGCGGGCAAATTGATTTTATTGACCGAGTACCAGAAAACGCGATTGAGGGCAGAAGAATCCTTTCGCGATCACTCATTGACGCTCTACGAGATATTCATCCTGAATAACTTCCCCTACGTGTGAACTTGTCATATTTACCTTGAAGCCTGCACATTCATCTCCATGTTCCAAGCCTCGACACGAAATCACCCGCGCGAGCGAGGACTGCTAAAACTTGCCGGGTGGATCCCGCCGCGGGACTGTCAAAGGTCCACCCAAGCCCTAGCCTGATACCAAATTCGGAATAAGGCAAGTTAAAGGCGCATTGTTGGGAACTTCGGGGTACTTAGTTCCAGCGTAGTGCTACGTGCGTACACAAGTTTCATAAGTCTTCGACCACTGTAGTGTCACGAGGCACGAGCCCTGCCTATGGACGCCACGAGGATGATTACTGCTGATCATTGTCGAATGTCTCCTCACTCTTGGATAATGAAGCTGCTGATCGGCGGTCTGGACAAGAATGGCTTTCTTTTGCCCACGGACTTGGGAGAACAGAATCGAACTTCGAAAATTATTCATTGTCAACTGGCTGGTCCACATGGCCCTTTGATTCGTGACAGCACAGGCTTCTCCAGTCTTTCTTCCAAGACAGACGGTGATCCTTGCCTCTTCAAACAGGCGGAGACAATTAGTACCCATGTCTTACATTATTCATGTTGAGCTGAGTCAGGTCGAAACGCTTTGCTCAAACTGAGTAAGGTCTCGTTCGCCAACCAGGCGCGATGGAATCACATCTCCACCTCAGTGCAGGACCAGATCTCGCTCAGACTAATGCACCGTAGCGGGAGGAAAAACAGGAGAGGAGGCTCATCCAGGTAAACTTCAGGTCGACGCGGCGATCGCAATGGCAGCCGTTTAGACCTACAGTAGTACTCTAGTGTGATGCCCAGACTTATCCTTAGCTTGGACATCTGTCCTTCGCAAAGCCATTGGCCTACTGCCACTTGTGGGACATGGACGGTCGTCCAGTACCGCTGCCAATGATAGCTTGTAACTTACTATTCAATCATTCAATGAATGGCCGTTCAATTGGACAAGAGGGGCTACGCTTGGAGAACACAGTAGTAGCTGCGTGGTATCTTGTTGATCTTTATTCTGGAGGGGGAGCTTTTCTTCTCTCTTCCTGTGAAACATCTCCCCATCTCAGATGCTGGCATTTGATTCGAATTCAGCACTATGGGTCTTGCAGAGCATGCGCTGTCACTGGTGACAGTCACCAATATCCTTTTGTCTCTCATCGCCTATATTATTCTGAAATTTGTTTACCAGATCGTGCACTATCGCTTCTTCCATCCGTTATCGGCATTCCCTGGCCCTTTCTGGGCGTCGGTAACCAGATTTTGGATCGCGCAGCAGAATCTCCAGGAAACCGAGTATTTGACCGTCTATGATCTATCCAAGAAATATGGTAGGTCTGAGATTTGATCAGCTGCTGAATATACAATTGACTAATGATGATGTATGGAATTAGGCCCCGTTGTTCGCATTACACCTACCTTGCTGCTGGTCAGCGACCACTCGAAGCTCCCCGAAATCTACCACCGCAATGCCGACAAGACCGGACATTATATCACAGGTAGCTTTGGCGAGACGGAGAGTCTGTTCAACATGAGATCCCACAAGACGCATGCGCTCTTCAGAAAACACATTGCGGGGCCTGTATGTGGAACAGATCTGACCAGTTGCCGCTCGAATTGATCGAAGCTAATATTTGAGTGTAGTACAGCTTCACCAACATTAAGAAGATGGAGCCATTGATTGATGCTCGTATTTGCGAATGGAGCAATAAGCTTGAGGATACTTTTGCCAAGACTGGGGAGCCTTTTGACTTTGCCTGGTGGGCAGTGTATGTTGTTCTATATTTTCCACCGAGTACGAAATTACTGACCCTCTATTCAGGTACATGGCCTACGACATTATCAGCGAAATCGGCTTCGGTACCCCCTTCGGCTTCATCGAAAAGGGCGAAGACATTGGCGGATTGATTCAAGGTTTCCACGATGGTCTTCCCCCCTTCGGCTTCCTCGCACGCATGCACCCCTTCACCTCCTGGATGAAGACAACCTTCATGAAATACCTCGTCGCCACGCCGCAGGATGACTCCGGAATCGGTGTTTTGATGCGCTTCCGCGACCGCCTGATTCAAGAGCGTCTGGACGATATCAAGTCCGGCAAGAAGATCGATCGCATCGACCTCCTGCAGACCTTCCTCGAGGCCCGCACCGAGGACGGCAAGCCCCTGGACCTGGAGTACATTCGTGCGGAGGTTCTTCTCGTCCTGCTAGCCGGTGCAGATACCACCGGCACCGCGTTCCAGGCCATGATCACATTCCTCTTGTCGCACCCCGAAGCGTACGAGCGCATGATGGAGGAAATCGATACTGCTACTCGTAAGCGCCTTCTTTCCGATGTACCCCAGTATGACGAGGTTCTTGAGCATCTGCCTTTCTTCGTGGGCTGTGTCAAAGAGACGATGCGCTTGTGCCCGTCTGCCCCGAACATCTTCCCCCGATATGTGTCTGAGCCTGGTCTGGACTTGTATGGTAAGTGGGCGCCTGCTGGAACGGAGATCTCCTGTAACCCGTACTTGGTGCACCGTGACCCGGCACTGTATGGCGAGGATGCGGAGTTGTTTAAACCGGAGCGGTGGATGGATCCAGAGAGGGCGAAGCTGTATAACAAGTATAACTTTGCGTTCGGGTATGGGTCGCGTGTGTGTTTGGGACGGGACATTGCGATGATGGAGCTGTTCAAGGGTCCTTTGCAGGTAAGCGCGTCGGATTTAGCTTAAAGTAGGATTGGTCTTGTTAACTGTGGTCTCTAGTTCTTCCGCTCTTACAAGCCCGAGACTGTGAAGGATAAGCCTGAGCCGAAGTTTGTGGTCAAGGGAGGTGTCGGATATTGGAGGGATGTGTTGCTCACCATCTCCAAGCGGCCCCAAGTCCAGCGGGAGTGATTGGTCTGGAGAGGCAGATTTGTGTAGTTCTTGGAGTTGAGATTATGGCATACATCTTGACTGCCTTGTAATGACTCGTATGGATAGTGTTGAGACCTCGGTGCTGAAAGTCTGTGGAGCAGGCAGGGGTTTTCTTATGTGGCATGAAATGGACACGTCAATGAGATATTGAACTCGATTCGATCAACCCGAGAGAGAATATTGAACATGAAAACGAAATTATTTCACGTGGCTTATCAAGAGAGTATATAAAAACAAAATGATCCACACATTCCACCGTAAAGCTTGTGAAAGTCAACAATAGGTGCTATTATCATCGCTTTTTGTATGCACCATAGGCAAGAAGACCATTTTGAAATCGTCAAAAGTAAACAACGTAGCCGATCATGCAGAATTGGTACCCATGACAGCATCCTACGAAGGAGAAATGTTAGTACTGATTCGGGCCACTAAGAATCATCGTCGGGACTTACTCTGGCAACATGGTACAGAGGAATGATACCAGTCCAGTGGATGAACTGATTCACGCCTTGGCCGACAAGAACCTCCAGACCGGGGATAGTCTTCCAACCGGCATCGGAAGCTAGTTGCATCAACGCAGTCACTGCAGGCTTGTATGCCATCTCGAGCAGAATGCGAGGCGATTTCTCCGAACCGGACTTGCCGATCAGAGCACCGTCAGCCTTCTGGGCGCGCTCGAACATATGGCAGAGAGTCTCGCGCATGGCAGGGTCGACGGGCCGGTCAGCGGGGATGGTGCCAACGGCGACCTGGGGGACGGTCTCCAACTGCTCGTGGTTGTCGACGACACGAATGTTGTAGCTGGTAGGGAAGGTGGAGACCATGCCCTCGAGCTTGCCGGCGGTGCGGCCAACCACGTAGATAGGGGAGAAGCCCATCTGGTGGAGGGCATAAATCGCGGCGCGGGCTGTACCGCCACCACCGATCACTACAGCGCTTTCGGTGCCAGTGGATCCGTACACTCCTGCGTTGCGGAGGACCTGGACCATGCCCTGCCAGTCGGTGTTGTAGCCGACGAGACGCTGGGGCTTGTCGCCGTTAGGAACGGGGACGATGGTGTTGACGGCACCGATGATCTCGGCCTCCTTGGCGACTTCGTCTAGAAGCGGCATGATGTCCAGCTTCAGAGGAATGGTGACGGAGGCACCGCCGAAATCGGGAGCGTGAATGAAGTCCTTGACATCCTCAACGTTGGTGGTCTCGAGACGGCCATACACGTGAGGAAGACCCGCCTCTACAAAAAGGGTGTTGTGCAAGGCGGGAGACCGGGAGCCAGAGACGGGCGATCCGAAGATGGCAAACTGCTTGGCCTTGATCTCGCCCATCAGGGCGAGACCACGGCGAATTTCGGTCGCAGACAGCTGACCAGGTGCGGCCTTGAAGGGGAGGCTGGGGTGGGAGACGGGGGTCATGAAGCCGTTCAGGATACGGCTGAGTTGGCCCTGGTCGCCCATGTTGATGGCGATCAGCGGGACATCGTGTGCCTCCTCGGCCCAGTTCTTGAACTTCCGCAGAGCAGTGTTGTCATCAAGGCTCTTCGCAACGCCGACAAGCTTGATGATGTCACCGTACTCCAGAGCACGGTTGTAAGATGGGATCCAGGACATGTTGGCCCAGGACAGCTTGCCTTCAGGGTCGTGGTGCGAAGCGATGATCTTGGAGTGGCCCTTCATCTCGATGACAGTACGGAGCATCTCATCGGGGAAAGCGATCTCAAGATCGACGAATTCGCAGCCTGAGCGGAATGCCAAACGGTACAGCGCCAAGGCAGCATCGTGGGCATCGTCAGGGAAGCGACCACCCTGGCTCTTCGTCCGGATGGTGAAGATAATGGGAAGGGAAACACGACGACGGAGGAAAGACATCTGCTCGGCAACAAAGTCCACAGAGGGAATATCACTTCCCGAAGCGGCATCCTTAAGCAAATCAACTCGCAGTTCCACGGCATCAGACCCTACGCAAATTTGGCGCAAGAGGTCACCACATTCGCGAAGATCAGGCAGGGTGAGCGAGACAAAGAAGGAGTGCTTCTTCTTCTTGATCTCGGCGAGGTTGTCTTTCCGGCCGGTCACGACCTGCATGAAACGCTCAAAGTCCTCCGAGGCCAGGGCAAGCTCCGTGGAGCTCGAGTGCTGGCTGTAATACTGAATGTTGCTGCACTCCTGGAACCAAGGCTTACGACGCAACCACACGCCCATCATATCTTCTACGTAGGCCGGGCGAGTCTTGTCGATCTGCAGGAATTCCATGACCTGCTTAATATCGCGATTGATAAGAAGCACATTGCCCTTGTTCTTGTGATAATCCGCGAGAAGCTTGCGTGCCTCAGGAATTTCAACAATACCGCCACCACAGGCAAAGACATACCCGTTGGGTCGGTCATTCATCGTCCGCTGAAGCAGTGCCAACTCTGCATCGCGGAATCCCTCCCAGCCACGCTGCTTGATTATGTCCGGGATAGTGAGGCCTTCAGCCTTCTCCAACTCGGTGTCAAGGTCGATGAAAGGCCGGTCAAGGCTCTTGGCGACCCAGTTGCCGGAAGTGGTCTTACCGGCACCGCGCATGCCGATGATGTAAACGGAAGCACTAACTCGCTCCTCACGACCAGAGGCAGCCAGTTCCTCCTCCTTCAGCTCCTTTCCTTCGAGATTGACACCGAAAAGCTGCTTCTTGGTGTCCCACCAGCCGGGCCAGGTCTTACCAACGCACTCCTTCTCCAGAATGAGGGTTGACTTGGGAGCCACTAGTGACAGAACGCTGAAACTGAAGGCAACACGATGGTCATCGTAGCAATAAACACCACCTGCAGGCTGACGAAGGGTAGATCGATCAATACCGTCGATCTCGAGACCGTCATCATGCTCACGGCAAACGACGCCGAACTTGGCGAGCTCATCCTTCATGGCCTTGATACGGTTGCACTCCTTGACACGCTGATTGGCAATGCCGTAAATGCGGGTAGTGTGGTTCGAGCCCTCACCCCGAGCAACAGCAGCAAGGACGGAGGCAGTGAGGAAAGCATCGGTCATTGGCTCCATGTCCACATTGGGCAGGGGTCGAAGAATGCCATCGGAGGGTCCTGTGACAGTGGTGGAGTGGTCCAACTGTTCAACAGTGCAGCCCATGGGGCGGAGTACGTCAACAGCGAATTGAGCATCACCTTGCAGCGACTTGGAGCCAATGTTGGGGACTGTGCAGGTGGTGCCGGTGATAGCAGCAATGGCCAGGGGGTAAGTAGCAGAGGAGGCATCGCTCTCAACAACGTACTCGGCGGGGTTAACGTAGTGGCCTTGAGGAATGTGGTAGGTGTGTTCCTCGGTGGTGGACTTCTTGACGTCGATGCCGAAAGACCTCATCATGGCGGTTGTCATGTCGATGTACGGCTGGGAGATGGGCTTGCCACCGACCAGTCTCAGGGTCACGGGCTCCTTGGCGTAGGGAGCGCACATCAACAGCGAGGACACATACTGGGAGGAAACCTTAGCAGCCAGGTTGATGTTGCCACCAGCAAAGCCACCAGAGGCAGTAATCTTCAGAGGCAGACTGCCCTTGCGCTCCATGTACTCAATGCCAGCGCCGTTCACGGTCAGAGCATCGACGAGGTCACCAATGGGCCTTTGCTTCATACGGTTGTTACCGGTCAGGATGCTCTCGTTCACGGTGCTTGGGTTAGCAAGCGTAGCCACAGTAGTCAAGAATCGGGAGGCAGTTCCAGCGTTGCCCAGGTACAGCGATGAGGGACTAGCGGTGATCTTTCCACCCATGCCGTTCACTACAAGAACCTCACCCTCTTCCTCCCAAGAGAAAGTGGCGGCTCCCAGCTTCTCCAACGCATTCAGCATGACCTCGGTGTCATCAGAATGCAGCAGATTCTTGATACGGCAAGTACCTGAACCAAGAGCGGCAAGGACAAGAGCGCGGTTAGAGATACTCTTAGATCCAGGGGGGCGCATGTGACATTCAGAGTCTTTGGCACACCAGGGTGCACCTCAATACTGGGGGCCAGAACGACACCAATGTCTTCATTGGAGACAACACTAGCTTTGGGCTCGTAGGTGCGTCCAATGGCGGACAGAAGGACAACCTTCTTCTTGGGGCCGTCGTTCTTCTTGTCCAGGGCCATGTTGAACAGGAGCTGGTCCACAGAGCAATGTTTGTCAGCAGTAAGCTTCCGTACTCGCGAGTCCTTCATAGATGTGGGCAGGCCGTAGGCGGAAATGCACTTGACAATACGAGCAACAGCAACGCCCTTCAGAATACCGAGGTGACGTGCGAGCTCAGCTTCCTTCACCATACCGATGGCAACGCACTCTCCGTGGAGGATCTGAGGAGTTAGGATGGCCTCGATGGCATGGCCGATGGAGTGTCCCCAGTTAAGGAGGTTGCGGAGACCACCCTCACGCTCGTCCGCGGAGACAACGTAGGCCTTGTGACGAGCAGAGGCCAGAATCCGAGCCTTCAGGATATCCCGGATACCATCGAAACGGCCCTGGCCGGGCTTAGCCTCACTGCGTGCGGCATCGAGGATAATATCGGCATTGTCTTCCAGCGCAGTAAACTCCTCTTCGCTTGAAATAGCAGCAGTTTTAATGACCTCAGCCATGCCGTTAATGAACTCTCGTACGGGAAGTGTCTCGAGGAACTCGAGATCAATATAGATCCTTGACGGTTGCCAGATAGCACCGATCAAGTTTTTTCCTAGAGGGGTGTCGATGGCAGTCTTTCCTCCGATTGAGGAATCCACCATCGCGAGCAGAGTGGTGGGGACCTGCACATAACGGACACCGCGCATGTAAGTTGCCGCAATGAAGCCAGTCAGGTCACCAATCACACCACCACCCAATGCAATGACTACAGTATCTCGGCCACATGGCGGATTCTGGCTCAGCATCCAATCTTCAATATCGGCCTTGGTCTGTCGAGACTTGGAACTCTCTCCAGGTGGGGCATGGTAGACGAGCAAGCGCGGGGCAGGTGAAATTGAGGCAGCGGCGGCTTCGAAGGACTTTTGGAAACTCGGCGTATAGATGGATCCGAGGTTTGTGTCAGTGATAAGGACATAGGTGGTCGAGGGCAAGCCGCTGAGCAGGTCCTTTGCGACGTAGTTGCGCCACAGGCCGAAATCAGCGACGATGCTCTCCCGACCCAAGATGCTGATCTTGGTGGGCTCGGTCATGATGGCAGGCGAGGATGGAGAACAATTGGCAATTGAGAAATATGTTCTCTACTCAATTCATGCTGTGGTTTGTTAGTCTCTCGAATTTCTTGAATTGACCTCTCGGAGGATGTGTTATTTCCCCCACAAGCGGAGCTAGTAATGCAAGGTGCGCACACAATGGAAATGGATTGCGAGAAGGTAGGGAATCGAGGCTGGGGCCGAGTTGGAGGGAGGATTGATCGAGCTTACCTGCAACCGTGGACCAAGAGTCAGCGTTTCAGCCAGCAATTGCGACTGGCCAGGAAGATGCTTGTGAGTACGACTGACAGCGTGACTCAATAATTCTTGTGCCCTCCGATCTCGCGGCAGTTCTGCTCTCACCGCCTTCTGACTCAGTGCGGGCCACTCCGGCGGCGGCTCAGCTTTTATCATTCTGGGGACTTGGACAGGTCATGTGCGCATAAACTATAGAGATCGACCGGTTAATGAGGCGGATTATTAGCCTCCCCCTCGCATGGCTGACATGGTGGTGGTGCGTCAGCGTACAATCTGCTCTCTTTTGTATAGTAGGTGACTTCAGAACCCCCAATCAACAGTGGATTTTCCGCCTTCCCCCATAATTAGAGCTAGAGCTATTTACTGTAAAAGCTAGAGCCATCGCAGATCACTAGCGATCCGAGGGTTTACATGTCTACAGACAGAGACATCAAGGAACCATAATGCACTGTGCAATGAAAAAAAGTCCATGTACCAATTTTTTGTTAAACACTTTATAGCCTCAAACGCCGTTTCTTATCCAATCCCTTCGCCGATCCTGGAATATGCCAGTAGATACAGCAAGATTCATATCGAGCATACTAGAATCATGACTCCGTTGTCTCCTCTAGTAGCGATTGTAACCACCGCCACCACCACCACCACCACCACCGCGGTGACCGCCATAGTTATCACGGTTTTGGCCTCGGGACCGGCCTCCACGATAACCCCCATTGCCTCCTCCACCTCTACCGCGATCCTGGTAGCCACCATGATATCCTTGTTGCCCTTGATTTCCTTGGTATCCCTGGTACCCTTGGTAGCCTCCCTGATTGTATCCTTGGTGGCCTTGATATTGACCGGGGGCCTGGTGCGGGGGGTATTGATGGGACATTCCGCCACGAGGAGGTCCAGGTGGCCCTCTGGAGTAGTCACCAGCCCCAGGGACAGGAGGAACCCACCCAGAGGGCATCGACGGCATACCGCCTGGAGGTGCAGGCATGAAACGCGGATCAAGATGCGCCGCAAATGGATTCGGCCGATCTGATGAGTAGTCGATATGTCCACCCCGTCCGCGACCATTGAGCGGTGCGCCACCGTATGACCGTCCTGAATTTTGAGCACGGCCCTTGACCGCACGAACGTCAGCGGAGTTCAGCATCGGGGTCGCAAACTTCACGCCGCGAAGAAGCATGGACTTGTGGACGTGGGAAGACTTGGGGATTTTATAGTTGACACTGAGAAAACTGTTAGTAAAGAAGAAATTCGCTGTAAACAACTAGCCAATCATCTTACGTGAGAGAGTGATCGTCATCTAGACTCGGCATGCCATACTCCTGCAGGGGTGAGACGAGAGAGCCATGAGGGATATATGTATCGTTGCGCTCAGCTAAGCCAGCGAGGCCGTCGCTCACGCGCATGTTGAGCTTATACTCAGGTGGTCCAGGCTTCTTGGAATAGAAATTGCCTACGAGGTCGTGATAGAGAGGGTGCTGCTCTGACAGTAATAGCACTTCCTGACCGTGCATATTGCGGCTTCGTTCTTCATCCGTCAAAAGAGGATACACTTTTTCCATCGCAGCTAGAAGGCGCTTCTCGTCAATGAAGGGAAGGAGAATCACACCCTGCCAGGCAAATTTCTTGCCATTCAGATCCAAAGCGAAATCCTCTGGATAAAAGTCAATGATCTCACTTTCCGGGTTGCTCATGAGATCATGGAAGACTTTGGGTAGTGCGTGGTTCGATGATGCTGGCAAGACTCCCATCAACTGCTCATAGGGCCTGAATGGCTTGCCCTTGTCAAATTCAATGACCATGTCCTCAATGTCGACAAAGTCGGCAGCGAACGGAGCATAGTGGTATGGGTAGTACCAGTCCCACGAAGGACAGCCCTGGAAGTAATAGAGGAGGACCCAAGCAAGACCTTCGGCGTACGCACGCGCAACCTTGTGACGGAACTCATGATCCTGGGGATCAACACCGAACTTTTGCTCGTAGTACCGATCAGCATATCCTGGCTCCCAGAGCTTGACGGTGTCTGGTGGCATTTCATCATCCTTGGGCTTCGGGGGAGGCACAGCAGGTGAATCTCTACCAGGAGTTCCAGCATCCTCTGTCTCCTGTTCAGTTGCCTCCGTCGATTCATCAGCCTTTCTCTTCCCGAGAACGGAGGGAGATGTCGGCTCAGGGGCCTCTCCCTCATTCTCCGCAGTGGCAGGGACTTCCTCGGCTGCTGGCTGACTTGGGCCGGCCTTCATAAGCTTGCTCTTCAAAACAGCGGCAGCGCTCTTGTTTTCCATGTTGGCGCGATATATGGCTCCACGGTTGATAATCATGTTGTGAGTCAGCTCCTTGTCCTCTTTCGTCAAGTGTGCACGGGAGGGCGTGATGAGCTCCAGGCCGGCAGTCGGGTCTGGGTCGGGTTCCCCCTTGGAGCGGTTCTGTTTAGCATCATAGACAGGAGAACTACGTCTTCGCTTGCTAGCACGCTCTTCATTCCGAGCCTGATCTTGCTCCTTGCGTCTCTTCTCATTCGCCGCTCTTCTTTCTTCCGCCTGTCGTCGGCGCCGGAAGATGGCGTCCTCTTGCTTAGCCAGACCTTGCAAAATCAGCTGAGCCCGTTTGAGATCAACGTGGCCGTCCTGGGTCAGATATCCGCCCATAGACGGAATGTTGTCACGCCAGATGGCAATCAGGGTATCGATGCCATTTTCACGGATGTCTAATGAAGGCAAATGAGGCAGGAAATCGTTACCAACGAAGAAACACATAAACACCCAGTCATCCAGTGCCCGTTCAAGATCAAATGGGAATGGTTGCTGAGCAACCTGGAGCTCGACAGCCAGATATTCTCGAAGGACAGAGACATGAAGCCAGATGAATGGCTTCAGCGGAGAAGCATGTTGCTTCTCATCAAACTCTCCACTCTTCTCCTTCGCTTTACCCGTGCATTCCTCGGCCTTGTGCCCAGGTTGACCACAGAGCCTGCAAGTCCGAGGCTTCGACTCCTGGAAGAAGACATCCTCACGAAGAACCCGGAAGTGGGGCTCGTGAGTAGCGAGACCCAGCATGATCAAATCCGCATCAAGACCGTAAATGACGTGGCGGGTGTTGGGATCGTGTTCTGGAGAGGCTCGTTGAGAACGCACGAACTCCATGATCTTGTGCTCTCCCTCTCCAGGAACTGTCGCGTCCGAGATAATGATCTTCATCTTCTCCCATGCCGGATCAGTGTTAAGCTTGTAAGCAATCCAATAGCGCAGTGAGGCAGCGAGAATGTCCATGAAAGGGGTTCCAGGAGTGATCACGTTGCTGTCCCACGTCTTCTGGATGACCTCTTCTCTAATAGCGGCATCACCGGTCTTCTTGCTTTGTTGCTTGTCGAGTAGTTTCTGGAGCTCCTCCTTCTTCTCATCATTTTCACGGGCCTCTTGAGCGGAGCGGAAACGACGTGCGCGCTGCTGGTTCATCTTGGCTCTTGGTGCAACACCATCTGTTTGTCACATGGAACTCGTTAGCATGAACGTCCAAAATGAGGTTTGCCACAAGCGAGTAAATTTCGGAACAAAACAGATCTATGGAATTCACACATACCAATAGCAATCATGAGTAGTTTTCGGGGACGGACCATGTTGACAACGCGGTCGGTGTACTTGAAGATTTCCAGCATCATCTCCTGCTCGTTGGCTGGTGGGGGCTTTCCCTCTGGATGGGTACATGGGTGCACAATGCCGTTCATGTCCAGGTAAAGGTTGTCCATCTCCTCGCCGTTCGGGTTGGGGCGCGTGGTGTCGACCGGGATTTCCTCTCCATTCACTTCCTGAGGCAGTTCCTCAATCACCGGAGAGATGATCTTCGGGTATTTGTTGGAAAGCCATCGGAAGAGCGCGGGGACACCCATATCAGCTATGCGACAAGCGCTTGTCTGTCAGGTTTTGTAGAAATTGTCGCGACGCTCGAATGCGTCTGGCAGCGAACGGGGAAACGTGGTTCGCGCAGTGTCTGCCCTCGAGCTTTCAGAAACCCTTCGTTAGGATTTCAGATGTATGCCCCGTCCACACCGAGCCCAACTCAAAGAAATAAATGCAACTGCGTATGAATTTGCGGCGCAGGAAATGGGTGAGCAAAGACAAAGCCGGAAGTCTCTGTGACTCGAGGCAATAATTGGACTTGTCCCCGGGCGGTCGGGTGTTCTGCGCTTCCGGCGAGGATCGGCCTTTAGCCCCCTTTGGCCATTTGGGAAGGCCAGCTTTACTGCAATCAGCTTTGCAACCAGCTACCTTCCGGGTTCCCCCACAAACACTTCCTGCCGGACCTTGACCTTCCTTCGATGCCTGCTGATTCATGCGCCCACGGTCGGCAGTGACCATGAAATTGCGACTCCGCTGCGATGTTCCGAATCCTTGAATCCCAAGCTCCGGCCAAACAAACGGCCACGGACACAATCGATGTTTTGAGCAGTAGGTTGCAGAGCGCAACCTTGTTGGAAGATCGGCGTGCAGCGATCCAGGGTCTGAGGAGCTTTGCGAAGCTTTATCCTGCATCGGTAGCCTCGGGGGTCTCCGATCGCTGATCGGCTGCCTGCACAATGATCGGGAAGATGTGGACACCATCAAAGTGGTCCTCGAGACCCTGTTGATGCTGTTTACACCGGAGGAGACAAGTGTGGGTGACCCTAGTGGCAGAGGTCTTGAGAACAGTAGACGCTGATAGCTCCTGCAGCCCGAAGCGTCAGATGAGATTGCACTTTGGCTGGCAGATGAATTCACGCAGGTAGGCTCCTCTCGCCAATCAACACTTGACTGGACTAACAGTATCTTAGCGTCAGGACAATATTACTACTCTGCTGGATTTACTCGAGGCTCGAGACTTCTATTCACGCCTGTACTCTCTCCAATTGATGTCCCACATCTGCAGTGCTAGACCAGAACGAACCCAAGAGTGCATCTTTACCGCGCCATTGGGTATCTCAAGGCTGGTGAATGTGCTTACAGATACCAGAGAACCCGTGAGAAATGGTATGGCGTCCGTATCCTGGAACCGTTTTCTTTCTATTGCCTTCGTTGACAAATTATCTACTTTCTTTAGAGGCTCTCGTTCTGCTTATCGCCCTCACGCCCTCTTCGGAAGAGCTGCAGAAGCTCATTGCATTCGAGAACGCCTTTGAAATCATATTCTCTCTTATCGAAGCGGAAGGCGCCCTGACCCTTGGCACCGAGGTGGTCGAAGACTGTCTCACTTTACTCGCCCATCTCCTGAAGTTCAACGTTTCGAATCAGTCGTTCTTTCGCGAGACTGGCTGCGTGAAGAAGGTGACGAAACTTCTCCACGAATGCCAGCTAGAGCCAGCTCAAGATGAAGACGCTCCCCCGCAATGGACCCTCGTTCACAGAGACAAGAACGTCTGGGGTCTTCTCGCCATCATCCAATTGTTCCTAATTCGTGGTGGCGTGGGGACACCCATGAACCAAACAGCTTTCTGGCAAAACGGAGCGACGGAGCAGGTTCTCAGCATAGCTTTCGGCCAGAAGTTCAGCGTCAACGTCACGTCCAAGGCCTTGGCAACCTGTGCTGATCTGATTCGTGGGAACTCACCATTGCAGGAGAGCTTCGGAGATATTGAAGTCTTATGGGGCTCCCAAGCACCAAAGGATAAGACTGCCAATGGCCATGCGGAGGAACCAGAGCGCATCAATGTCATTGAGGCATTCTTGAAGCTCAGCCTGCAGCCTTCTCCTAATAGTATGCTGGATGCACGTCTCGCCGCTTGTGAATGTATGAAGGCCTTCTTTGCCCATCACCCTGGAATTCGTATGCATGTACTCAGGCGTGCTATCGAAGGCCATGTCAGCGGACAAGATAGAATTCCAAACATTCTATCCGTTCTTCTCATAGCACCAGATGCGAGAGGCAATGCCGATCCCTATCAAGTCTGGATGGCCTCTGTTTTGTTGTTCCATCTGGTTTTCGACGATGCCGAGGCGAAAGCCACTGCTATGCAGGTTACAGAGGGTGATGCCGAAAGTGGTGAAGAGGTTGTCACCAGTGTCCAGTCCGTGGTTGGCAACTTGATCACTGGCGTGCAACGTGGTGACGATGAAAGAATTACCGTGGGTTATCTCATGTTACTCTGTGGCTGGCTTTTCGAGGATCCAGATGTTGTGAATGACCTTCTCGTCGAGGGCAGCAGCATCCAGACACTCTTGCAGGAGATCAAGCACCAAAGATCTCCTAGCAAGCTGATACCTGGTCTTTGCACAGTCTTGTTAGGAATCATTTACGAATTCTCGACCAAGGATTCCCCTATCCCACGAGTGACATTACACAAACTGCTGATCGAGCAGCTCGGAAGGGAACAATACATTGACAAGATTACAAAGCTGCGAGAATGCCCCTTGGTTCGCGACTTTGAGGTCCTGCCCCAGACCGCCGCGGGGCAAATTGATGGATTACCTGAGGTCTTCTTCGACCGCTCATTTGTGGAGTTCCTCAAGGATAATTTCAGCCGCTTGATTCGAGCCATCGACCGGGAGCCAGGCTTTGAGGTCTCTGTTGTCGCCAATGGTGTTGAAAAGGGTGTTTCGCGAGACCTTGTAGACTCCCTGCGCGCAGAATTGGAAGACCGAAGCCAATCAATCCAAAAATTGGAATCGGATCTTGTCACTCTTCAACGAAAACTTGACCAAGAACACCTGGATCACCGGAAGACGAAAGAGTCAGGGTCTTTTGAACTATCCAAGGCCCAACAGGCACACCAGTCTCTTCAGTCGTCACATGGACAGGAACTGCATAAGCTTGAAGAGCAGCATCAACATTCCAAGAACGAGCTTCTGAAACAACATGGCGAGCAACTTCGTGCCATTGATAACCAACTCAAGCAGGCCTCGGCTGAATATGAGCGAAAGAGCACGAAAGTGCAGGATCATCATAAGCAAGAAGTCGCTAGCATGCAGAAGACCATTCGTGGGCTTGAGTCAGAGCTGTCGAAGGCTCGGGAACAGCACGCTGCTGAAGCTGCTGCCTTGAAAAGGACAATTCAGGAGTTGGAGTCCGCCATCAGCCAGTCAAAGAAGTCCAACGCAGGTCAAGTCGCAGATCTCCAGCAAAAGCTCCGAAATCTGGAATCCACCCTTGCTTCCACCAAGAGCCAATACGAGTCTGAAATCACTGGTTTCAAATCCAGGATTGGATCTTTGGAATCGAACCTGGCTGGTGTTAGGGGACAGCATGAGGCTGAGGCTGCTGATCTCAAGAAATCTCTTGCGGCCGCCAAGTCCGACCTTCATAGTGTTCAAGAGAGATCTACCAAGGAGATTGAGACTATTAAGAAGAATTTCTCGTCTAAGATGTCTGCGCTGGAAACTCGCGCTGCAGATGCCGAACGGAAGGCAAAGGAAGCTGAGTCGGTAGCGTTGGAGAAGTCAACGAAGGATATTCAAGCAGCCAATGAAGGTGCTTCATCCAAGATCACTGCATTGGAGACTCGCGCTGCTGAGGCTGAGCGTAAGGCGAAGGAAGCCGAGTCGCAGGCTCAGAGCGCAGCCGAAGCACTCAAGGATATCAAAGCCCAACTTGAAAAGGCTCAGACAGAGGCCAAGGATAAGGAAGAAGCTCGCCAGGCAACCCAAACTGAACTCGACGACTTGCTGATCGTCTTCGGAGATCTAGAGGCTAAGCGAACAGAGGACAAAGTACGTGACCACCTCTTGACCCTGTTATACGATGAACTATTACTAACAGTGTTTAGAAACGACTCAAGGATCTCGGTCAAGAAGTTTCCGAAGCCGAGGATGAGGATGATGACGAGGACGAAGATGATGAAGACGAAGAATAGCAGATTTATTGTTTTCCTGTCCGTATATAGCAGCGACGAACCCGCCCTTCTTTACTCTGCATCTATCTAGCGAGATTCAAAATTTCATGTATGACTCATTTCGAGGCATTTCTTCTATTTTGTCAACTTCAGACATCTGATCAATCAAAGCACCCGCAATATGATTTGTCGTCGTTATATTGCTGTCTTATAGTTCGCATTGCTGGTTGTAGAAGGCGGTGAGTTGGCGGAGGGGCAATGAGTCGCAGGACGCACTGGCAAAAAAATGTGTGGTGGGGGTGAGTCACTTCTCTCTTTATCTGTCCCCCGTACCCCTTGGAAAGCTGAAGTCGCCAACCAACTTCAAGCGCCATGTCTATCGATTTTCCCGCCGAGGAGGAGCTCATCCTCAAGCGGTGGAGGGAGATTGATGCCTTCCAGCGCCAGGTCGAGCTCTCTCGGGGCAAGAAGCCATACACTTTCTACGACGGCCCGCCCTTCGCTACCGGTCTCCCTCACTATGGCCACTTGCTGGCTTCTACAATCAAAGATATCATTCCCAGATACTGGGCTATGAAGGGTCATTATGTTGAGCGACGATTTGGTTGGGATACGCACGGTGTTCCTGTCGAATATGAGATCGACAAAAAGCTCGGCATGTCTGGTCTGGAGGCCGTCGAGAAGATCGGAATTGCGAAGTACAACGAGGAGTGCCGGGCCATTGTCATGCGTTTCGCCGCCGAATGGCGCCAGACTATTGAACGCCTGGGTCGTTGGATCGATTTTGACAATGACTACAAGGTATGTCTTGTATCCGAATGGTGTCGCGTGATTCCAGAAGGCTATATCACTAACGTCTAACTTCCAATTGGCAATTAGACAATGAACACTAGCTTCATGGAGTCTGTCTGGTATGATTATCTAAAACTTGTTCGCTTATATTGCTAGACGAAATTGTTAACATCTTTTGTGGAGGTGGGTTTTCAAGCAGCTGTTCGACAAGGGCCTTGTCTACCGGGGCTACCGTGTCATGCCGTACTCGACCGCCCTCAACACTCCCCTCAGTAACTTTGAGGCCCAGCAAAACTACAAGGATGTCCAGGATCCCGCTGTCGTCGTCACTTTCCCCCTATTGGATGACCCTGAGACCTGCTTGCTTGCATGGACTACCACACCCTGGACCCTTCCCTCCCACACCGGTCTTTGTGCTCACCCCGACTTCGAGTACGTGAAGATCTATGATGAGGCCACGAAGAAGAACTACATCCTTTTGGAGTCTTTGCTCCGCACCATCTATAAGGACCCTAAGAAGGCCAAGTTCAAGATTGTCGATCGCCTTAAGGGTTCCGACATGCTCGGATGGAAGTATGAGCCTCTCTTTGACTATTACTACGAGGAGTTCAAGGATTATGGCTTCTGCGTAATGAATGATGGCTACGTTACCGCTGAGGATGGTGTGGGTATTGTCCACCAAGCCCCTGCTTTCGGTGAGGACGATTACCAGGTCGCCGTCAACCACGGTGTCATCAACGAGACCCGTACCCCTCCCAACCCTGTCGACCCCCAGGGATGCTTCACCAAGGAAGTTCGGGACTTTGTTGGACAGCACGTGAAGGAGGCCGATAAGGCCATTATTAAACATCTAAAAGGAACTGGTCGCATCCTTGTCGACAGCCAGATCACTCACAGTTATCCCTTCTGTTGGCGATCTGACACTCCCCTCATTTACCGTGCAGTGCCTTCATGGTTCGTGAAGATCACTCCCATCATTCCTCAGATGCTGGAAGGCATTGAGGAGTCCCACTGGGTTCCATCGTTCGTCAAAGAAAAGCGATTTGCCAGCTGGATCAAGAACGCTCGTGATTGGAACATTTCGCGGAATCGTTTCTGGGGAACTCCCCTCCCTTTGTGGGTCAGCGACGACTTCAGCGAAGTTGTCGCCGTTGGCAGCGTTGAGGAACTTAAGGAGCTGAGTGGCTACACCGGTGAACTCACCGATCTTCACCGTGACAAGGTAGACCACATTACCATCCCCAGCAAGCAGGGTAAGGGTGAACTCCGTCGTGTGAGCGAGGTGTTCGATTGTTGGTTTGAGTCTGGCAGCATGCCTTATGCCTCCCAGCACTACCCCTTCGAGAACAAGGACCACTTCGAGAACAGCTTTCCTGGTGACTTTATCGCAGAGGGTCTCGACCAGACCCGTGGATGGTTCTACACTTTGACCGTCCTCGGCACTCACTTGTTTGGCAAGCTTCCTTTCAAGAACTGCGTCGTCAATGGTATCGTCCTTGCTGAAGATGGTAAGAAGATGTCCAAACGTCTTAAGAACTACCCGGACCCTTCACTCATTATGGACCGCTACGGCTCGGACGCTCTGCGTCTTTACCTGATCAACTCCCCCGTTGTTCGTGCCGAGCCCCTCCGTTTCAAGGAGGGGGTGTCAAGGAGATCGTCAGCAAGGTTCTCCTGCCGCTGTGGAACAGTTACAAGTTCTTCGAGGGTCAAGTTGCTCTCTTGAAGAAGGCCTCCGATGTCGACTTCATGTTTGACCCCAAGGCCGAGACCACCAACACCAATGTCATGGATCGTTGGATCTTGGCCAGCTGCCAAAGTCTTCTGATCTTCGTTAACCAGGAGATGGCTGGTTATCGTCTGTACACAGTTGTGCCTCGCCTGCTCGGTCTGATTGAGAACACTACCAACTGGTACATCCGATTCAATCGTAAGCGCCTGAAGGGTGAGAACGGTGTTGATGACACCTTGCATGCTCTGAACACTCTTTTCGAGGTTCTCTATACCCTTGTTCGGGGCCTTGCTCCATTCACTCCCTTCCTCACCGATAACATTTACCAGCGCCTTCTCCCGCATATCCCCGAGTCCCTTCGTGCTGAAGATAGCCGCAGTGTTCACTTCCTGGCATTCCCTGAGCCGCGTGAGGAGCTCTTCGATGACGTTGTGGAGCGCAGAGTTGCCCGCATGCAGAAGGTCATCGAGCTTGGCCGTATCTCTCGTGAGCGTAAATCCATTGCTCTGAAGACCCCCCTGAAGAGTCTGGTTGTTATCCACCAGGACCAGCAATATCTGGATGATGTCAAGTCGCTCGAGGGCTACATTATTGAGGAGCTCAACGTGCTCGACCTTGTTCTCTCCACCGATGAGGCCAAGTACAATGTCCAATACAGTGTCAATGCCGACTGGCCGACCCTGGGCAAGAAGCTCAAGAAGGATGTGCAAAAGGTCAAGAAGGCCCTGCCTTCTCTGTCCAGCGATGATGTGAAGAAATATGTCGCTGACAAGAAGATCGTCGTTGACGGCATCGAGCTGGTTGAGGGTGACCTGGTCGTGAAGCGCGGTATCAAGGAAGATTCGGGCTCTTCAGGCATGGAGACCAACACCGACGCTGATGTCATGACCATTCTGGATGCCAACCTGTACCCCGAGCTGGCTCACCAGGGTATCGGTCGTGAGATTATCAACCGTCTCCAACGTCTCCGTAAGAAGGCCGGCCTTGTCGCAACGGACGAAGTTAAGATGGAGTATATCGTCCTTTCGGACCCCGAGAACATCGGTCTGGGCGAAGCCTTCAAATCCCAATCCCAAGCTATTGAGAAGGCTGTTCGTCGGCCTCTCGATGAGCGCACCCTGGTCGATGGCAAGACCCCTAGCGCTGATGAGGAGGGCACTATTGCTCAGGAGGACCAGGAAGTGCAGAACGCGACATTCTTGTTGCGTCTGGTCAAGCTGTAAAGCGTTCCATAGGGGTTAAGGTCCAAGAAAAAAAAAGATCACGTTATGTGTAGATAGACGTCTACCATCTATTTCATGAGGTTGCTGATCAATGAATTATATGTCCATGAGCTTTCGTCCATTTGGTGTAGTAGTATACAGGTTAAGAAAAGTTGAAGTAGAAGGAAAACACCCGAATCGTGTAAAAAATGGTTACGCCTGAAATGCCACAACTGCATGCAAAGATCTGAATGCATCAGGTCCTTTCTCCTCAGCCCTTCTTAGATGCGGCCTGGTTGACTTAGCTAGTGCGGGTGATTTTGAGATATTTTCTAAGACTTCACTTACCAGGAAACAATCCTTGAGTCGCATGAATTCCTTGACACACATGTCTTTGTGTACCGAGTTGTAGTCTGCAAGGACACATTTTCCATACGCCGCGGCCTAACTGCCATTTAGCTCTCATGACAATCCGATAATTGATCCACGACCCTGATACGTACCTCAGTAGAGCATTTGGCCGTAGCCTTGGCCACCTTTTCAATGGGACGAGTCCTGTTGGGCATGATGAAAATTTCAAAGGCTTGTAAATGGAGATGGTGTGAGACCAAGCTCTTGGAGGTTCAGCTCATTGAAGAATCGAGAATAGTTGATCCTATCCCATCGCAACTATCGGGTCATGCCAAGACTGCACAACCGGAATGTTACATAAGTGACACGTGACGTTGGAGCATGTTTCTGGCGCGACCACCAAAACAACCCGATTGGAACGTGGGCTACTGATTGATTGCGATTTGGGGCTTCCTTTTCTTCTTCAATTGCAGACTGATATCTGCGCATGTTTTGCGTCTCCAGCACTGCCTAATTTCGCGATGATTTTTTTGGTCCGTCGCCTGTATGATCCAGATGCGACAACCGCGCCTTAGCTCGCGATTTTTCGATGCCTCCGATATCCTCGCAGCGGCGCGCCTTGACCGAAGAGGCCTCATCGCTCTCCGATGACGGTAAGCAATTGGATACATGACCCTCTACCTGTGCATACTCGTCCTGACAAAATCTCGCCCTATAGATGTCGGTTTTCTCTACCAAGTTGTCAGTCGCGCCGAGGGGAAACCCGAGGTTGAGCGACTTCCATTCCGAGCGCTTTTCGCGGCATACGATGAGGTGATCAGTGAACATGGAGTTGACGCGGACCCGGGCCATGCATGCCTACGATTTCTCTTCAAAATGGGGAGCAAAGAGGTGCAGGGACCCTCGCTCTTCGACAAATTCGAGAGCGCGCTCCAGCAGATGGGAATCTTGATTGAATTTGGAGACGACGGCTCCACAGGTCTCAACGAAACGACACAAAACGAGCCTTCGGTCCTCGATGGAACGGCTAGCCACGCAGGTGTCGAGAACCATTATCCTATCACAAATGGAACCCCGATTACACCTCGAAGGCGTGCGTCGTTCAATACTACACTCGACATTGGAGAAGATGCCACTCAGAAAAGCTACGTCGAACGCCCAAGCTCACGCGCATCTATGTCTCGACTCGAGACCGGAAAGCCCGACTTCTCAAAGCTGAAGTTATCCCCGAGGCCCAAAGCTCAGGATCCACGGTCAAAATCTCCGGATCGCACGCAACTGATCGCGCAGTTTTTGGACGTTGGTCGCCGATTGATAAGTCGGTTTGAGGCTGCACAACATCGGAATAAGAGCGACGAGCAGGAAAAACCTCCATTGACGAATGGCATTGTTGCACGCTCAGCCGTTCACCATGATCGCTCAAAGCGAATGGCCGAGGGCGCGAAAACCCGTCGCTCGCCCTCAATAAGTTCATCGGACACATTCGAGTCCGGTGAATCACACTCCGAAGTGTCACAGGCGACAGGGCATGATTCTATTGGTAAAGAAAATGTTCCGCCGGAGATGCTCTACCGACCTCAACTTTCGGACTTGCTTCGAGACGCATCTACATTCAATATGTACCGACAACGAGCAAATTGCCGCCGGATATTGACGCAATGGTTGAAACAAGCCTTCCACGCGCGACATATTCGTGAGACCAGAGAGTCTGTCGCTATCAATCGTGACCGAAGCGCATTGCTCCGACAGGCATTTGAGCCGTGGCAAGCAATTATTCAGGACAAGCGTCATACAGCCAGGACGGAGCGTTTCTTTAAGCACCTCGAGGAACGTGCCAGTCGTGCCCGAGACTTGTATCTGATGACGAAAGCATTCACTCACTGGGCTCAACTCACATCGGAGGAGGTCGCCCGCACGTCTGCAGCTCGAAGACATGTGTTGAGTGTCAAATACTTTAATGCCTGGCGGGAGATCACTGCTGTCAACGAATTGAAAGCCCAGCGGTTTGCTTTGCAAAGACCGTTTAATAAGTGGCGCAAGAAAGCTGCTGATTTGAAAGCGGCAGAAGCCAAAGCAGTTACTGTTCATAAAGACAGTCTACGACATGCCTCTTATTGGCAGTGGTTCTGGTGCTTTTGCGATCGGCGTGCCCCCGAGTGGTACGAAAGTCAACTAAAGAGGCGGTCCTTGCTGTACTGGCTTCGGAACTTCCGTACCAATCGCGAGCGTGAGCAAGAGATTGTCCTCCACAACAGAAAAACGTCACTAGCTAGTGTGCTTCAGGCCTGGTCCCTGAAATCGAAGGCCATTGCTTCTGCGCAACAGAAAGCCGAAGGCTCTCAGCGTTACCACGCTCTCAAAGAGACATTTGACGAGTGGAAAATCCAAGCCAAGCTAGCTCCTGCTGCTAGCCAGGTGACCAAAATGGTGGACTGCAGAATTCTGCGAACTGCTCTCTCGAAATGGATTGGAAAAGCCCGTCTGGCTGAACAAGCAGTAGAGATGGACCGGATCCGAGTTGAGCGAAATGCCTGGGTATCATGGAATGATACACTGCGTTGTTTGGCTCTCCAAGCGCGAATTGATGAGCGATTGAAGATGGAAACTATGTATAAATGGGTCTTAATGGAAAGATTTCAGTTGATGCGCCGAATACGGGAGCAGCGCATCAAGCGCGAAGTGTTTTCCCGATTTGTGACGAACACTCGAGACACTTACACCCAACTCCTCTCCCACGCAGAGGTACATGAAGACCACTGGGCTGAAGAGCTAGTGCGCTCAAAATTCGCCATCTGGCGAGACCAACTGTTGCTTCAGCGGGAGCGTGAATATACCGCCTTCGAATTCTATGCTCCTCGCCTCGCACAAGAATCTATGATGGCGTGGAGATCTAAACATCAACAGATTGTGAAGATGGAGAGCTGGGCTCGTGATGCTGAATTTTACTTCCTCATGAAACGATCCTTGAAGAATTGGCATCAGGCCACGTTGGACTCTGCTAAACGACGGCGCAAGGATGCCTATTCGAAGATGCGGCGGAAGGTCAAGGTCAACATGGCTTCCAAAGCCCTTTCCACATGGGCATCCAAGACTCAGGTCATTACGAACATGGAACAACAAGCGGCAGAGCTTGACAAGCAGAAATTACTGAGTGACGTGGCTGATATTTTCAGTGGCTGGCATGCAAAGACTCTCAAAAGGGTGCAGGATTACCAGGAAGCTGATTTGCACTATTTCCGTCAGATTGCTTTTGACCAGTTGATCCAACTTTCGGAGACCTATGTGATTCGTCGTGAGATGGAAGACCAGGCCGACTCCGTGTACCGCAGACACGTCCTCTTCCATGCAGGTGCATCCCTTCGCAAGCTCAGCCTTCGAATATTCCAGATGAGGAGCACTGTTGAGACCGCGGAGGCGATGCGGGAAAGAACCTTGCGCAAGCATTCCAGGAATCTTTTCCGCCACTGGGTGGATAGCACTCACCTCAAGCTTGAAGCTCGTGATTCGCCGGGACCTGCCTTGACATCCACTCAACACTCGAGGTTCGGAGAAGTTGAGCGCCCCGGGTCTGCCCTATTCGACCCGTGGTATCAAAACCCCTCCGAGACTCCCTTTAAGATGACTGATTTCACGACGAATTCCACGGAGCCGGTCTCCGCAAGCCCTCTGGCCACACCAAACTATATGACCTCGCCGTCTAAGCGTGCTGCTCGGGCACGAGCACTCGCGCAGATGTCCACGACCCCTGCCACGCCCCTACACACACCATTTGCCAGTCGATTGCTACGCGCTGAAGCTTCAGCCCCTCGAACTGCGTCTTCCCGACGACCACAAACAGGTCGGAGAAGCTTTACAGGGACCAGCGTCCGATTTGTGGACGAAGAACTACCCGAATCTCCCACCGATGGCCGGCGGTCGGCCAATCGACGACCCTAACTTTGACCCCGGTATATGACCTTTTCTTCCCTTTTGACGCTGTCCGTGTCCTTGTGTGATTTTGTACATCAGCGATGACTAAATTCTGTTTTCTTTCTTTCGTCTTACCATGCATATGATCCGGCGCAGCATGTACAGGGACCTCGGGACTTGCAGGGCATTTCTTGACTTTGTCTAGGACGTGGGCGATACCACTATGTACTTTTGGACATGATTGAATGTGATGAATATTGTATGAAGCTTTATTAGTCTGGACAGAAGATCTGAAGTTGTCTGTAGTGTGCCGTGCAGGACCAAGGCCAAGGTATATATTCGTATGCAATGCGTGGTAGATCAAATCGATCAAGTGACCGCCATAGCCTTCTTATCAGCTGACGCCGGAGCTTACCCCAGAAAAGCTATTGAAAAGCTATTGAAAAGCTATTGAAAAGCTATCCAGGCCATAATTTGACATTTCCTTTGCAACTGATTGTCCCCAAGCGTCACTAGCTTATTTTGGCAGAACTTCAGGCACAGATACCTCAACGTGCAAGTTGTTGCTCAAAGCTCACGAGGGCCGGGCCGCGCAAAAGGCGAGCGGTGGTCGCACGGAAGTGGAGCGGGAAGCGTAATCGACCCTCATTAGACACTCACATCCCGCAATCCCCTGCGCTTAAACACCTGAACGCCGATCTCGGGAATTGATACTTCGTTCGTCATTCCTGCTATTCGTGACCTTCGAAGCCTCCTGTCTGCTAGTCCATCCGCAAATCTGGCGATGGTGTAACGCTCCAAGTGCAACGCCCACCCTGCAATCCACCCGCCTCTATGCGAGCGGTACTGCCTGGGAGACCCCCAGCGAAGCTCCAGTCGTTCAGCACTGCGCTGTGGGATGGGCTTCGCGTTATTGTAAGCTTTTTATCCTTGGGGCCTTGATACAGCTTGTCCACTGCACCAGAACATCTCGAATGCTAATGGTGGCCTTGCGCGCGTTGCTTGCAGGCGTACATCTCCGGCCACGCGCTCGTCATCCTCGGAGGTCCCCAAACGCTACTTCAAACGATCTATGTCGATGATACCGAAAAACTCGAGGCTGTAGCTTTTGACGAGGCTTCTGGAAAGATTGCTGTGTGCGGAGGGCCGGATATCTTCGTATACCAGCCGTATTGTATTCAGGGCCAGACGCTAAAGGTGTGTACTAGGCTTGCTACTTTGGAGCTTTCTCGACCACAAGACAAGGTCGCGGGCAGTTGGAAAGCAGAGTTCGCTGATATAAATTGATTCTGTAGTGGTCCCTTGCTTGTACGTTTCGCGCCAACGATGACGACGAGTCGATCTATACCCTGTCGTGGGGGTCGCCGAACGAGCTGCTAGTTGGTAACTCGCGAATCGCGCTCTGGATGCTGAATGACACCCCCCGCTTGGTGTGGAAACGAAAATTGGCGAATCCCGTCAAGTTAGCTCAGTTCTCCCCGGATGCAGCCTTGGTTGTGACAGTCGGACAGTACGACCGCTTGGTCAAGGTATGGAGACGACTTGCTTTTGGTGAAGATGAAGTACGATTTGAGGTCTCCTATCTTCCTCATCCCGATATAGTCACTGGGATACATTGGCGACTGCCATACCACCGGGAACAATCCGTCGACAACGTCCTATATACTTTATGTGCCGACAATAAGATCCGGGTGTGGGCTGTGACGGACCACCACGCTCTCTCGCCGTTGCAGTTATGGGCAGATATCGACATGGAGCTCTCGGTACAGCCCCGGGATGCCTCCAGTATGAATCAAGGACCGCCGAGAAGATATGGATTTTTCTTGGACGGCCGTGACTTTTGCAGTGCGACAGAGCGAGCCGTAGAGCGGAATACAGGCAATAAGGAAAACCATGCCTTGGAGCATATCATTGAAGTAGCCAAGCAGAGTCCGGAAATTTGTGTTGTCATTGATGGCCAGGGGCATATGTCTGCCTGGGCATTGGAAGACGTGGGCTCCAAGGTAAAAACGAAAATGAGCGTCTTCAATATCCTCCATGTGGAGGGACTGGAATTTCGATTCATGCCTGGGCTATCGGGCCCAGAGGACTATGCTCAAATCCGCGCGTTCCAAAGCAACACGACCGAAGACAAACTCAGTATTGTTGTGCATCACTTTGATGGTCGGATTGAGTGGTATGACTCGCAAGTGGATGTTCTTTTCGATCCCACTCCTCGCAAGAATCGGATCTCCCCGAGATCGTCTTGGTCTGGGCACACAGCACCGGTCAAAAAGATTGTTCGAAATGCTCTCGGTGACACACTCATTTCACGTACGGATGAGAATAAGGCCATGATCTGGAGGCAGAAGAGAAGGAAAAGTGGCTCGATGCTGCTGCATAAGAGCATACTTTTGTCCGATGAGCACATTCATCGGACCTGTCTTATTGAAGACAGTAGCCTCCTCGTCAACCTTCACCATAATGGGATCTCGCTGTGGGATTTCAACACTTATCACGCCAAGAGGATCGCACATTTGCCGTTCACTTTATCTAGCAAACCCCTATGTGTGCTTCCACTTCCCACCCCGGAAACACGTTCAAGGGTGGCCTATGTGGCAACCATTGGAGCTGATATGACTGGTATTGCCTGGGAAATCGAATGGAGTACGTCTCAAGACTGTCAGCTGCGGAAATTCTGCACGTTTGAGATGGGCCTGAAGGAAGACCTGGCCTACATCCTCCCTGTGGATCCCGCAGGACCGAAAGCCAAACATTCCGGATTCTTCGACACGTTTTCCCCCGACATTGCCCTTTCCTACACCCACAGTGGAGTTGTGCGAACCTGGACGGCAAAAGTCGACCAAATCAACGCCAAGGTCGAATGGCTGCTTAAGTCAACAGTCGATACGGGAATTTCGAGCCCATCGCTGGCGAGTGGCAGTACCATTCGCAAGGCAGCGTTAGTAGATGAGGATCGAACCCACTTGACGATCTGGGACACCAACAATGCCCAACTGGAATTTGAAGAGCATTTTGCCCAGCATGATATCATTCGAGACCTCGACTGGACTTCGACTCCCGACATGCAGTCCATTCTGGCCGTTGGGTTTCCCCACAAAGTTGTTCTTCTATCTCAGCTTCGCTATGATTACTTGGACGCTCAGCCCTCCTGGACTCAGATCCGAGAGATTTGGATCCAAGATCTCACCCCACATCCTATTGGCGACTCGTGCTGGCTCACAAATGGTCACCTGGTTATTGGTGCAGGCAACCAATTGTTTGTCTACGACAAGGAAATTGATATTGGTGACCGCCTCGTCTCTAGACTTCGTATCCCATCTCGGGGGCTATCGTCGGTAGATCTTTTCAACGTTGTCAGTCGCCTGAATGGTCCATTGCCAGTCTTCCATCCGCAGTTCCTCGCACAGTGCATCCTTTCCGGAAAGACCAGCTTAGTGCATTCTATATTGATCAACCTGCACAAGAAGCTGAAATTCTATACGGAAGGTGATGATCTGGACGGATTCTTGGAGATACCGCTCCAAGACTTCTACGAAGAAAGTGACGTCGCCCAGCAAGCGGCTTCTAAGGAGATGCGCTCTTCCTATACAGATGTGACCGTTCAAGAGGAGGAATCATCTGTTATCGATGAGAACACTGCAGCGGTTCTCAATGAGAATCTGGCGCGGATTGCCCTACCTCAAATCACCAGTCATGAACAGTTCCGCCTCGTTGATACTATCGAATGCGCCGCGACAGTAGAAAAGCACCGACGGTCAATGGATGATAATGCCGCGCGGTATCTCCTTTTCTTCCGACAGCATATGCTGAGGAGGAGTCAAGGTGTCGCGAACAAAGACACCGTTTCATGGAGAGAAATTGTCTGGGCTTTCCACAGCGGTAGCCAGGACATATTGACCGACCTTGTCTCTCGTCAGTTCAATGGCAAATTGACCTGGAAATCTGCCCGGGAGAGTGGAATGTTCATGTGGCTATCGGATTTAACAGCCCTGGTAAGTGTTTGCATTTGTTCGCAGTTGATCCTTACTAATTCCTATGCTAGAAAGCACAACTGGAAGTCGTTGCTCGGAATGAGTATGGAAAGACCGAGGAAAGAAACCCGATTGATTGCACTATTTACTACCTTGCCCTTGGAAAGAAAAACATTCTTCAAGGTCTATGGCGAATCGCTCACTGGCATCGCGAACAAGCCGTTACGCAACGTCTACTTGCAAATAACTTCAGTGAAGCAAGATGGAAGACGTCGGCCCTCAAGAACGCCTACGCTCTGCTTGGAAAGCGGCGATTCGGTAAGTATTTCTCTGTAATACGTTTGATAGCTATTACGCCTTCTAACAAGTCCAAGAATATGCCGCTTCATTCTTTTTGCTTGCGGATCACCTTCGTGATGCCACAAATGTGATCTCCAACCAGATAGGAGATCTCCAGCTTGCGATTGCGGTTGCACGAGCCTACGAGGGAGACAATGGCCCTGTACTACGCGAAATTTTGGAAGAAAGGGTTCTTCCTGAAGCAGCCTCAGAAGGCAATCGATGGATGGCTTCTTGGGCTTTCTGGATGCTGGGACGACGGGATATGGCTGTGCGGTCCCTTATTGTAAGTCACATCCCAATCACTCGAATAGCACCAGTACTAACACAGTAGCAGTCACCGATCGAAACACTACTATCACCAACGCCCGCCTCTCCAGGAAGCCCCGGGCGAGTCACACTTCAGGCCAAGTCGTATCTCTCCAACGACCCCGCCCTGGTCGTCCTTTACCAACAACTACGTGAGAAAACTCTTCAAACTCTCAAAGGAGCCTCACAAGTCCGCCCACGAGAAGAATGGGAATTCCTTCTTCGCAACGCCCGCCTCTACGACCGAATGGGTTGCGATCTCCTCGCTTTGGATCTAGTACGACGCTGGGAATTCCTCGGCGCGCCTCCTGCACCTAGAAAATTACAGACACAGCCTGCCCTCGACTTCCACGACGGCAGTGTTGACTATCGAAAACTACTTCGCCGGCGAAGTAGTCTCGTTGTCGCTGATCTACCGGTCCGTCTCGCAGAGGCAAAGGCCTCAATTGATGCCAAAGATACTTCTGCTGTGGAGGATGGCGACAAACAGCCGAAGCCGAAACCGCCTCCGACAATGTTCCACGAACCTGATGCCAATTCGTTGTTGGATAGCTTTGGTTTCTAAGTGGAGCAAAGGTGTTACGATTCTTTGTTTTCTCAGCGTGTTATCTGGATTACACGCGTATTTGATAGAGCGACTGAGCATCAAGGCAGTTTTTTTTCACCTTACAGAATTTGAACTTGGTTCATTGGTTTTTGACAACATTTAAACCCGTTTACTTTGTGAGAAACAGTAATTGAACATAAGTCACCATAAAGTCATGTCATTTTAGATTGAATTATATACGACAACTATATATTCTCAATGAGCCATGGGCATCAAAAGCGCTTACAAAACAGATCCATCAGCAATCTCCCCTCAGTACCATCGAGCTACACGATTGCGCAGAACAGACAGTTTTCTCCTCGTCAGAGTCCGATTCCCCGAAACCGTCCAATTACCATGTTGCAAAGTCCCATTACCATGTTGCAAAGTCACATTCAACGCAGGTTGCGTCCCATTATGCTTGCCAGTGACCATACTCGCCGACTGGTTCTTAATCTTCTCCATGATCGCATGAACAATCTTCTCACTTTCAGCATGGCCGTCATTATTCACGCGCACTTCCTCCTCAGGCTTGCGTCCTGCGTACTCAGTCTGAGCCTTGGACCAGGAGAAGGCATTCGAGCCGGGCGTCTGCACATTCGCAGCACTCTCTGCGCTCTCGATTTTGGTAGTATCTTCAATACGCGGGATATCCTGCGCTTGATCCTGCAGCGACTCTTCATTCTTATCGTCGCAGACAAGTTGTATCCAGACTTCGCTGTACGCCGCGAAAGAACGCGGCTCGCATTGGCTCACTTCGACACCGTTGCGAAGTTCCTTGCTGATCAGGGGTGGATCAATGCACTCTGGTACCTCGTGCACGGTGATGTTGCAACTAGGTCCGTTCTCGGGTGGGTAGGGGTGGCCTGCATCTTGGGAGAGAAGCTCGGCGTCTACTGAGACTGCGCTGACGAGGTTGTGTTCGTAAGAGGGGACGCCAATGTTGGCGCATATGCCCGTGGTTATTACTTGGGAGGGGGCGGTTTCTTCGTAGTTCTCGTATGTGTCGAGGTTGGAGAAGGGCTCGCCGGGGCAGTTTGGGTAGAAATGTGTCCAAACGCGAGCTGTGATGCTGGCGTGGATGGGTGTTGAGAGGAGGATGATGGTTGTGAGAGTGGAATGCATGGCTGCGGATCTCGAGATCAGTTTTGTAATGTAGAGATCGAGAATTGCAGATTTATGGTGATGAGGAGGTGAGCTTCGATGATCGACACCGTGGACAGGATTGCCTCCTTATATGCGCTTTCTCATCCCTCTACGTTGAGACTACGGGTATTGGGATGGCGGGGAAGAATGACTGGAATGACGATGATATTGACATGAAACGCGGTTAACACGTCCCCCGACCATCGTGAATAGTCAAAAATACGTTCAGCGTCATACTTGGTGGCGGGAGTGTGTGAAGAGCCCAGGGCAGGGACCAGTGGCAGTCGAGATCGCACATTCCAGTTCCCAAAATGGAAATCCGGGGCCGATCCAGGACCGTGTGGAAGCCATGATTACCTCAATGAGGTATGTAAGCGCGTCTTGAACATTCCAGAGCATGGCGGTTGGCCTCTCAAATGACTTTGTGCCTGCTGGATCGGCGGCTGGTGGTGTCAGTCGCCGGGTGGATCCTGCTTGGGAGATTGACGAAATTGACGGGCTAAAAATATCATTCGTCCAAGTTATTCTAGCAGATCCTTCATTGATTGGTGCGGAGTTGAGCTTGTATGAAGTTCAATTGCTTCGATCATCACTCTAACCAATGGCAAGGAAATACAAGAATTGCGAGATACATGACATTTGGACGCTCGCGAAGTAGTGAGGCATACGTAGCTGGGACCTAGACCCAGACGTGGCGTCCAATCCGTGAAATCTTGAATTGCCGTATGCAGACCCACAGAGCTTCGAAAGTAATGGTATGGTGTTAATCATTTTCGCTTCTTCTTCTTCTTCTCCTCCTTCTCAGCAGTCAGCGGCTTGTATTTCAGAATCGACTCGCCCGTCTCAAAAGTGGTCAGAGTGTTCGACCGTCTGCCTCTTCCCCTTCAGATTGGTCTGGATCTTCCGATCAATCTCTGCCAAGTCTCCTTCCGAATTGATCGAGCTGAGCGCCTTCAAAGAAGGTCCACCACCAGGGCCGTTGGACCGGCTGCGACTGCGTTCCCGACTGGAGGGCTCGCTTGGCGGCATGCTCTTGAGGTAAGATTGATAAGCGTCGTGTTTGTATGAGTCCGTAGGAATCTCGGCATCAACGTCCGGCATAATACCGAAACCAAGATCATTGATTGTCTGGGTAACCCGCTCTGAGAGCGCCTCGCGGTGTTGTCTCAGGTCAATCAGGGACGAAGAGGACAGCGGGTTCAAGGCGACCAGAAGCGGGGGCAGAGATTTGATAATGTCCATTCCAACTTCACCAAATCGGAGTGCCGCATAGCTGACGAACCCCATGTGGGCGTAGAAGCACACGGCAAAAATCCACAGTGGGACAAAATCGGGGACGTACGTTCTTGCAACCATCCACCAGGGAACAGAATTGGTATAGTAGCCACCATTGCGGTTGTAGCGTAGCCAGGCCGTCACAATAATGGTGTAGTAGACGTAGAGAGTGGGTGCCAGTCCCATAGCGACGAGGATTTTCCAGGTGCCGACGACATCATGTCCTTGCAGCTTAACCACCGAAGCTGCAAGTGCCTTGCGTCGCTTCTTTTCCGAGATGACCTTGGTCGTGACAAAGACAGGCCAGAAGAGCAGTACTCCTGGCAAAACTCCAAAACTGAGAACGAGAAGCTTGGTCAGGCGGTAGAACAAGGTGATCAGTATGAGCCACCATGGTTTCTCTTCGATATTGCCCCACTCAACTTGATGATCCCTGATACCAAGCGATTCCAAGCGTCGGTTGTACTCTTTGACCATCTTTTTAAGGTCCTTGACTCTGGGATCGTCTTGGTGCTTCGTGTATCCTTTCAAGAGTCTTCGATTGAACTCAATCACCAGAGGAAGTGGGATTTTCTTGCTGATAGGATTGTAAAGCTTCCTGGTGGATTGAACCAGAATGAGGGTCTCATGATCCGGACTGATCTGCGTGACAGACTCAAGGCCCTCATAGATTGTTTCGAGCAGAGAACCAACGGCATTACGCTTACTAGTGCCGCCTGCTTTGAAGGCTGCAACCTGATCTGGATGCACATGGATGGGGCGGCCGAATTCAATGACACCACGAGAGCGGAATTTGTGAGCATGGAAATAGTTCATCCCACAAGGGATGATGGACAACCCACAGTCAGGATCGCGGGCCAGAGCGCCGAGTGACATCAAGGCAACGCCGGCTTTCAAGGGCAACAAGTTGGAGCGATCGTGACTGCCGCCCTCGGGGAAGATACCAATACACCCTCCCGCTGATAGCTCCTTGTACACGGCATCAAACATCTGGCTCTGATCAACGTGGGGAGCGATCTTGAACCTTGTGCCTTTACGGCCAGGGTCATCAGAAAGCCGAGAAGTGAATGGCTTCTTGAGTCGAAGCGAAGTCGGTCCAAGAATTTCATCGATCGAAGCAGTTTCCGGTGCGTGCTTGCCTTTGATAGTGAGAGAGCCACTGGGCGTATATCCAGGCTGCGTGAAATCTGTATCCACGCCATGAATGAGAGCCGGATCGCTTTCTGGATCGGGCTGGTAGATGGTACCCTTCCCAGGCTTGGTCAAGTCCATAGATCGGACTACTGGGAGAGCGCCCATGCATGATGCCAATGTCCCAATATAGGGCTCATTCATAGATTTCTGCGCGATGAGGAAAGACACGCGTCGCTTAGCCTGCGACTTCAGTAGGTACATCAAAATCGCCGAATCGACGAATTGATTGGCATGAGGGGCGGCGACAATCAGTACAGGGCCTCTCTCGGGGATTCTCCAAGCTCCACGAGGGTAGATCTCGCGGAAAAAGAGGTCCAGCGCACAGGTAAAGAGCCACAGGACGAGGTCGTACAGCCAAGGGATCATCCGGCGGGACGTATCCGGTCGGCCCGCCATGATCGCCGCGTGGAGACCTGGGAAATTCGAGGCGATGAATCAACACTTAATAACGGTCATGCAGGAAATGCCGGCGAGGGAGTGGAGATGCATGTAAGATGCGGCGCCGACGTTGGGAAGATGAAAAGAAAAGTTGCGGGCTGAGAAAAATGGAAGGGCGGGGAAGGAGGTTGAGATAACCTGTTGAGCGGGTAAAGTTAACTACGATTTCGCCAACGAACAGGTAAACTGACAAGATACAACAACTCTTCAGCTCCTGGTTTTACCAGGAAATTATATCATCGATTGGGACACCAAGGGATATTTGTCATGGATTATAACTGAGATACATGATAATTTGAACACAGGGATGTGAGAAGAATCACATCTTTCTCCAGCACCAAATACAAATACAAAAAAAAAAAAAGTACAGGGCCTCTCTCATGTCATATTTCATAGGCCCGACGATGCGATCTTGACGCACGCAATTAATAGTCCTCGGGACTGTCGGAGATTTCAGGTCCCGTAGAGAAACCAGCACCATCGGGGAAGTCAAAGCACTCGAGTCTGAAGGAGACGTAGCCAGCGTCGAGGATGTCGGGCAGGCATTGGCCCTGAACAACGGGCTCGCCATCAAAGGGCAGGAACCAGACGGGCTCGCCAGTGCAATCATCGTTGTTCCAGATGGTGATGCCGGAGCACAGAAGGGCGTCCTTGGTGTCGAGGTATGCCGTGAAGGAATAGTTGTCGATGCTCCAGTCGCGGTTGACAGTGGCCTTGTCGCAAGTCACTGGAGTGGCAATCGCAGCAGCCTTGAACTTGGGCTCACCGAGGGCCGGGGCGCCAACGGGGCAGGACTCCCAGGATTGGAAATCGATGCTGGCGACAGGGAGAGCGGCATAGGCTGGCAAGGCGAGCAGCACCGCCGAGGCGAGGGTCTGTCGCGTTGAGTCAGTGTCTTTCTTCAAGTGAGAAGACGCGTGCAGTCAATTCTCGAACCGTCGCTCACCTTTGAGAAGTGCATCTTGCTGGGAGGTTAATTGATATTCCTGCGGCGCGTCGTTGTCGTAGAGCCGGTTGTCGTCGAGTGTCGTCGGAGCGCAGTGGAAAATTCATCCCGCCTACTAATCGTGTCGTGGTATTCAAATAGGTCCTCCTGGGAATAGCGGCACGCGCTAATCAATCAGTCGAGTAAACATGGCCGCTGCCCTGTAGAAACACAAGACCGCGACTGTGTGGAATGTAAGAGCCTTGAAGATAGTCATGACCAAGGCACACCGAGCCCCAGGGCAATGACGGAGTGGGCGGCGGAAGGGCTGGAATACTACCAATCGGAGAGAAGATATAGAACCCTCTGGGCCAGATGGTGCCCGTTGGTCGGTCCTGGAATGGGCTGAGAAGTGAAGATTGAAGGGTCATTTTCCAGCAGAGAGACCCGTGCATCCCTGCAGGACGCATCTTTGATCCATCAACGTCGCACTGGGCATACTCTGCGACGATCTTCATCTTGGCCGTAATTCCAAGATGGAAATCAAAACATAGAGGTTGTTTTATAAAGAAGGTAGCTAATTTGACTAGATCAGGAGCGGTACTTATCTACAGCAATCCTCTGCTCTTCGAGCAGTCAGGGATTCGGTTCTTGAGCCGTAACCCTTGCTATGAAACCTGGCGCCGCCACTACCGTAGCATGAGACAAGCATAGAACGTTATTTAACTCTATCCGCATTCTATTTGCTTCTCTTTGAACATGCTTGAACGTGCTCGAGTGGTTGATAGACTTTAGATCATAGACTTTAGATCTGCAGAGCACCACATGCACTCCACTCCATCTCTATACACATCACTATATAGACCCACAAACTGGGCAATGTTCTTATTCAACAACTACCATGGCCTATTGATGATGAAGCTCACGGATCATGGCCCACATGGTAAATTCCTCGAGGGAATCCCAGAAACCCTTGGGACACCTCCGGCTACCCACAGTCTTGAATCCCTGCTTGAGCCAATAGTCTCCTGCATTTTCTTTCGAGACCCGAATCATGACCTTCACAGGCCTTTCACGATCAGCTTCGTGTCTCCGACGTCGTAGGACCTCATCTTCACACGCCCTCACCAGCCTTCCCGCAATGCCTTTCCCGCGGTAACGGGGATCTGGCGGGAGCGCCACCACAGCAAGCTCATAGTCCCCCGGACAGGCGTGGTGACGGATGATCTGCTCCATTTCGCTGTTCACTTTTTCTGTCGTAGGGTCATGAATGGTATCATCGTGGTCGAGGGGGTTCCAGAGCCCATCATCTTTCCACGGCTTCATGCTTGCAGTGCCGATGACTTGGGGTTTTTCGTCTGTGCCGTCAGAGGCAAATGCAACAGCTGTGAACCCATCTGCACCTAATTCCTCGGAAAGTTCGCTGTCGGTACGAAGTCTGAGTTTGTCGTCGAGATACTTGATTTTGTTGGTGTGGCTGACCGTATAGCTTGCGTTGATCATGTGGGTGAGTTCCGGCAGCCATGGCTGTGAGAGGAGCTCAGTTGATGTGAACAGCTCCGTGTGGATCACTGGCCCGGACCCCATGTTGAAATGTGCAAAGGTAATGTCAATCCACTGACGTTCCCGAGGCTTGGTATTCGAAATCAACGAGAGTCGGGATATGCCGCAGAAAAGAATATTCAGTAGGTTTGATGAATTTCGCTTGCTGACGGATAACTTGCTGGCGGGGCCACACCAGTCGGAATGTGAGTCACGGAAACAACCTTAACCCCTCGCCCGTCAGGATTCGTGTTGTAGGCCGATGTGGGTCTTTATGAGACCCTCTTTTGGAAATTCCAGGAGACGACTCAATATGTATTGCCATTCCCCATTATGTACTCTGTAGTCAATATTGAATGCTAGATTGATGGCGATGCAGTTTCGCTTCGTAACTGAAGACTGTTATTACATCAAGGCGACTATAGATCACTCCGTTCTCCCGATATTCACTGCCCCCTGAAAAGGTCCAAACAATACCGTTTCCCCGGAGGCAAACCTTCTTCCCACTGAATATTGGGCCATATGCCTTTCAATAATTGAAATACATGCTTGGAGAAGCGAACTGACTCGAAGGTACAGGAGGAAGTGAGAGGGTTCCACCAATGCCGTCGCGCAGTTCTCCCCATTTTCTGAAGCTCAATTTGGGGACCATCAACATGAAGCGATCGAGTCACCAGGAAGGATTGACTGAGTTGTCGCTGATTTTCATCAGTATATCCTCTGGCGAGCTTTCAAGATGTTTCATATTCTTATGAAGATGTCATCTCTTCCACAATCAGCTCCCACACTTGACTTCCTATTCATATCACGTACTAGGAACAAGTTAGCTTTGGCATTCCATCAACTACGGATCGGTAGGTGTACCTACCGGGATAAAAAGGTAAGGAACCTGTTTTTCATACTCCTTCCACGCCTGACCGTACTTGGTCCTACATTTGTGGATATCCCGCATAGCTCGATGAGCAATCATCACACAGAAAAACACCGGATAAAACCACGGGAACGGGCTATTGAAACCTGTGATTAGGCCCCAGGAGATTGCAAAAAACATATCACATGAATAGTGAACCTTGCGCGCCAATCCATACCATCCGTCTATTAGAATCGTATCCCCGTTCTCGCTCACAATCGTCTTTGGATTGTGGAGTTCCTGCCATGGCAGCTGCGGAAAGGTATGACGCTTTACCCATGTACCGCGTTCCATCATGCGGAAGACGTTCTTTTGACTGTTGGCCGAGTCCCAGACCCAGTAAACGAAGAGATAAGAGACGAATAGTGCAGTAAGCGCATACTTGTTCCAAGCATACGTTGAAGGGTGGTGGTTTGCTAGGTATAGCGTGCAGTGGCAGTACGACATGGGAACGCCTGCCATGTTCCAGAACGTCAACATGAAACCAAGTTTCTCTTGATACATGTCCCAGGTTGTCGTAATCAGATGCTCTGCCTTAGAGCAAGCATTGGCGTAGGTGTAGTGGGCCATGACAAGGAATAATACCTCGCCAGAGACATATCCATACTGCTCATATTGGCGGGTAGCTGCAGCACAGCTTAGGCCAAACATCATAAACCATGGGATGCGAACCTCATAGAACATCTTTAAGTCGAGGATACCGAATAGACGAGGGTTCAATTCAGCGCCCATGAAAAAGTCATATATAGGATAACCAGTGATCCTGTGCTGGGCGCCACGAGCAAAAGCAGAGACATAAGTCACGAAGCTGGCGAGGAAGCCAGAGATGATAGCCACGGACATCAAGGGGCCGAACTCATCGAGGAAGGTGTATATCGGGAATAGTCCGGTGCCATGTAGGACGGCCATAACCACGATGGTGACGTAGAAACTAGCATAGGCGGAGCAGTGATACTTTAGCTGTTTCCCACCCAGATGGAGAAGAGGTTTCCCGTAGCAGGTGAAGCCTGGCAAGAGGACGTAGCATGCGGCTTCAAAGATGAAGTAGGTCCAGTAAATGCGCCATGCTCGGAGATGAGGGAATGCGCCCGTGTATACCAGATGTCCCAAGTGCCTACCAAAATCAAGCCAGGACTGATCGTCTTGGGGAAGAGGCAGCTTTCCATCGTAGTAGGTCGCGCCGATCCACATGTACCACATCAAGAGAGGGAAGCCCGTCATCAGGCCCAGGCACCCCAAAGAACCGCCAAACTCGAAGTGACCCGAGTAATCAACTCGAGGATCCATGCCTGGCCGCCAGCCCCCGATGACATGCTCTTTTGTGAAATCAGGAGCAGGCACATTAAGTTTATCGGTCAGCTCGGCGGTGGAAATCTCGTTGTTCTCGCCTCGCTTTCGAGGTTGGGACCTGCTGGTTGTAACCATGTTGTCACTGCGTCCTCCGTAGGAAACTAACAGGAAAGTGTTGGATTTTCCTGGAGCCAATGCTCCTCGAAAATAGAGAATTCATCGCATTTTAAAAGGGTACCAAGAATCCCTGTCAACCTGGACACTGGGGCCTGGACCCCACGGGCGCCGAGACGAAGCCAAGACTGAAAGGAGCCCACTTGGCTGAATCCTTTCGAAAGTGGATACTCTCACTGGGAATTGCTAAAACGACACCCCTAAATTACTGATTCGACACCCCATACCCCATAATTTGTTTAGCGTCGTAATTATATTACTGTCTTCTATGTAATCCCCTTTCACGATTACATACTTTCTACTACTACCTCCTCTCTTCTTCTATCACTCTTCTAACACGCTATTTAACAATCACATAATTCTACTACTTAGAGAATACTCCTAATAAGGGAACCTATACTGTTCAAAATTTACTATAGAAATCGCCGAATCTCCCTCTAATCTAGCGAAATCACCTATATTATGTTTGTCGGAATATCTACATATTACCTATTAATCTTGTCCTACTTTCGGCCGAAGCTACGGCTACGCCCTCGCTAGCTATCTTCCTACTAATTTAGTAGCTAATTTTATTCGGTGGTAGATTCGGTGGTAGATTTGATAGTTGACTTGGCAGTTGATTTGGCAGTTAACCCTATATCCTCGCTAGTGAGGAATCTTTACTACGAACCCACTACCTCGAATGACCAGGAATGGTAGATTTAACCTGCGCAAATCCGCCCGTGTAGCGAATGAGCGTGTAGGAGGAGAGTGGTATTCAAATCTTACAATCATTAAAGGAGAATATAGTAATACAATTACAACACTAAACTAATTATGAGGTGTGTGGTGTCAAATTAGTAATTTGGGGTGTCGTTTTAGCAATTCCCTCTCACTTGTACACAAACAAAAGAGGAGCCTAAGCCATCCAGAATTGCCTCATTGGGTATAGTGGCACTGTAAACAAAAGACCGTAGAGTCCTTCCCTTGAACGACGTGCTTTCATCTGGAACCTCATTTCTTCCCTTGCTGAGGCCGACTATCAACAGAAAGCTCGTTTTGTTTACTGCACAATTCCATTCTTGCTGCAAGCCTAATCCATGAATCGAGTTCAGAAAGATACAAGTCTTGTCTTAATGATCTCCACATTACTTGATATCACGAGATCATGTGATCTTATCGTCCATCGATTCCGCTTATCAATCATCGCCGCCATCGAGGTTCATGTTCCTTCTCCCCCATGACGCATCGCTGGACCGATGAATTACCAGACCCTCAGTATGGCAAGTAATGCCTCTTTACCACGGCCAGAGGCCACGGATAGGCCATCTTCACCTGGTCAGGTTGCAGACCCACGCGACGACGTCGCCGTGCCTAGCTCCGGGCGAGCACAAACCACCTCCGCTCAGAGCTTCACTCCCCGCTCGCTGATTGTCGGCCTTATAATCGGCGCTCTGATCACCTTCTCCAATACCTACTTCGGTCTGCAGACGGGATGGATTAGCACGATGGCTATGCCGTCGGCATTGATAGGCTTTTCGGTCTTTAAAGTCCTGACCAAGTACCTCTCCTTCCCGTTTACGCCGATTGAGAACGTCCTTATTCAGACGGTGGCGGGAGCGGTGGGCACCATGCCGCTGGGCTGTGGGTTCGTTGGCGTGATCCCCGCCTTGGAGTTCCTGCTCAAAGACGGTGAAGACGGACCGATGGGGGATGGCGGCGAAGGCGAGGGCGGCCCGCTGAAACTAGGCTTTTGGAAATTGGTGGTTTGGAGTCTCGGAGTCTGCCTGTTCGGCGTCGTCTTTGCCGTGCCACTACGGAAGGAAGTCATCGTACGCGAGAAGCTACGGTTCCCCAGTGGTACTGCGTCTGCACTAATGCTGCGGGTCCTGCACGGTACAGGCAAAGATGAGAAGACACCCTTGGATGCTCAGAGTCGCTCTACCGGGCTAGGCGAGCCTGGAGATGACGAGCAGCAAGGTCTGTTGTTGAAAGATGCAGACACCGAAGACCAGTCATTGGATAGGAAAGATTGGCGATCGAAGATGCGTCTCTTGATCGGGGCCTTTGTGGTCTCTGGTATTTATGTGAGAGTTCTTTCCTACTGAAATTTGAAATACGCATGACTAATAGATACAGACCCTTTTCTCCTACTTTGTTCCTCTGGTTCGCGATATCCCCTTGTTTGGGTTGGGACTTGCCCATAATTGGCTATGGACTCTCAACCCATCGCCTGCGTATATCGGCCAGGGTATTATCATGGGCCCATCAACCTGTATGCACATGCTCTTTGGAGCCGTGCTGGGTTGGGGAATCCTATCACCACTGGCCAGGGCTCGTGGCTGGGCCCCCGGACCGGTGGATAGCTGGGATGACGGGAGCAAAGCATGGATAGTATGGGTTTCTCTAGCCATCATGCTTGCAGACTCACTCGTCAGTCTCGGATGGCTCGTGATCAAGCCTGTCGTCAGCCGGGCTCCACGGTGGATTGCTATCCTCCGATCTACTCGGGCTGGCCAGTGGATTGCAGTGCGGCTCGTGTCATCGGGGTCACACGAGCACTCTTATATCAATTACTCTGCGTTGGATTCTGGTAACAATGAAGTGGCCCACGAAAATCTGGACGGTGTCCATGTGCAGGTCACCACACATACAGAGGAAGACGAAGATGCGCCTCCTTCCCAGCTAATCTCCACCCGCACGGTCGTGATTCTCCTTCCTCTTACCTTGATCTTGAACGTCGTCTGCATGCACTATGCATTCGGTGACATCATTTCCCCATGGCTGTCCAGTCTAGCTACACTTCTTGCGGTTCTCCTTTCCATCATGGGCGTGCGTGCGCTTGGTGAAACAGATCTCAACCCCGTGTCGGGTATCAGCAAGCTCACCCAACTACTTTTCTCACTGGCAACGCCGGCTTCGCACTTCTCCCGGCGGACAGCCTTGGTCACGAATCTACTCGCCGGCGCTGTATCCGAATCTGGTGCACTGCAAGCCGGCGACATGATGCAAGATCTCAAGACGGGCCACCTCCTTGGCGCCAGCCCCAAGGCGCAATTCTATGGTCAAATAATCGGAAGTCTTGTCGGCGCCGTACTCTCAACGGCTGTATATAAAATGTACGTCAATGTCTATGAGATTCCAGGAGAAATGTTCCAGACGCCCACCGCCTACGTCTGGATCTTCACTGCCCGCCTCGTCACGGGCGAGGGTCTCCCCCACATGGCATGGCAAGCATCCGTCATCGCAGGCCTTGTATGGGTCCTTCTCACAGCCCTGCGAATCATGGCCGCATCTCCTTCTTTCGCACAAAACGGCCAACCCCCAGCCTGGAGAAATTGGATCCCCGGCGGTATCGCCGTGGCAGTGGGTATCTTCAACGTCCCATCTTTCACCCTGGCCAGGGCGATAGGTGGTGTGATTGCGTGGTGGTGGGCGCGGAAGCACGCGCAGCCGGCCCATCAACCTAGTTCCGTCGATATCGCCGATGGAATCAATTCCTCTTCTGCAGACGCGCCTTCGGCACTGCAATCTGGACAGGGCGATACCCCTTCTGCGGAAGAGGCAGCTGCGAAGGCAGATGCAGCCTCTTCGACTGTCGTCGTGTTGGCGTCTGGTCTCATCCTTGGAGAGGGAATTATGAGTATTGTGAATCTCCTTCTTGCGAGTGGTCGGGTTCCTCATCTATAAACGCGGATTGTATAATGCATGGAGATACCATGGTGAGAGATGCATTTCGGTTATAACAAAATTTTGGGTTCTGTCACTTGCTGGTTTTATAGATGATTTATGATTTCGATTCGAGCGAGGCTTTTCGGTTTATGCTTTGCTACATGCATTTCTACATTATCATAGATGCGCTTGGGCAGCTACACCATTCATGTCATGGGAATCCAAATAAAGTGTCTACTTTTACAAATTTTTTAAAAAAAAGGTCATACTAAAGGATAATAAATTTAGATATCTACGTACGAAATCACTAAGCTCCACCGCTATCACGAGGGAAAATAAAAGGAAAAAAAAGTACAGGTGTTCAGGGTATCCAACTCATTTACCGATTCACACATATTCAGAGTTAATATCCATCTGTCTGCAAGATTGGAAGCTAGTAGCTTCCAACCGTAGAAGAAATGTAAGAAGTCCACGCAGAGTAGAAACAGAATGAAAAAAGAATAAAATATGGAAAGAAACATTTAAGCCACGACAGACGGTGACAGGCCTTGCTTTTGGAATGATATATTCCGAACACGCTGATAAGCCAGATTGACATGCCGAAGGCGGCATATGCGGCTGATATGGGATGTTTCAAACACAGGGACATGCAAAGCAAGGCAAAGATTCGGAGGAAGTATGTAAAGGACAGACAGATGGGTTATTCGTCACGGACGTAGAGATCGAGATACGAGTTGTCCTGGGGAGACAGGCTCGTTTTCCGTTCAGCGGGTCCACATTGACAACATGGATCACGGTTTATTCATGCTATGTATGCAGATCAAGCGTCCTGTGGAGGGACTGGCTTTCTGTTGATCTGAGATCCAGTTGGCGAGGTGGGTCCCGAAGGTGGGAGGGCGGGCAGGTCACTTGTCGGGGCTGGACCTGGCGCCTCGGCTGGAACGAGCGGGCTGGACCTGGGGGAGGGGTCCCGCCGACGGTGGGCGGAGAGATGTTGCCTGCGCTGTTACTGCGTTGCCGCTGGTTGACGGGCATCACGGGTCGCTGCATACCTCCTGGGCCGTAAGGGCCAGGGCTCATTGACCGTGGGCCAGGGCCTGGCCGAACACCGGGGCCGGGAGACATGGAGCGGGGGCCAGGCGACATGGAGCGAGGGCCTGGGGACATGGAGCGAGGACCAGGAGACATGGAGCGAGGACCGGGGGACATGGAGCGAGGCACAGGAGGGAAAGCAGCTGCGGGTGACATTGAACGGCCGGGATAAGGCGCTCGGGGCGGGCCCTGAGGGTGACCAGCGGGGGACCGCGGCCGACCACCCTGGGGATAGAAGCGGCCTGAAGGAGGCGGGCCTGGCATACGTCCATTAGGACCCATGGGCGGGGGCGGGCCTCGAGGAGCAGGGCCAGGGCCAGCTCCAGGAGGTGGACGCGGGCGAGGCTGCACAGGACGCGCAGACAAGCAAGAGCGAGGAGCAACTCCTTGCTGCGAACGATCCAGGCGAACACATAGGGCCTAAAGAAAGATTAGCACTCATGTCACTCTTGAATATTACACGCAAGATCAGGTACTTACCCATCCATCATCATACTCATGAAGCATCCGGACCAAAGTACCAGAGCGGAGCTCCAGTTCGTCATCTGCTGATGGATTGAAGTCCATCTGTACACGGTGAACGTTGTTCGGTCCGGGTGAGCCTCCAGCACCAACAACACCAGCGCCAACTGCAGCTCCTCCAGCAGCAGCCAGGACCTCAGATGAAACCGACTCCGCATCAGCACTACCGCGGTTCGATGGAGGGTTAGGAGGCATTCCCACGCCCGACTCTTGCGAGGCAGGGCGGCTGGACGGCTCCTGATCAGATTCATGTGATGCGACAGCAGCGGCACCGACAGCACCAGCGACAGCAGCACCAGCACCAGTTGCTGCGATAGCAGCCCCAGAAGTACCGGCCGAAGATGAAGGCGGCGCTTGGTCACTCACTGGAGTGGTAGGGTTGAAGGGATTCACCGGATCACTGAACGGGTTCTGGGCGCTGGAACTAGACTTGGGCGGAGTGGGAGGCGGCGAGTTACCGGTGAGGTTACGAGAGGCAACAGCTGCACCTGCGACACCAGCAGCGCCAAGACCACCGGCTGCAACGGCAGTAGCTGGGTTGAAGCCCGCGTTGCCGCTCAGATCAGGCGCGAACTGGGTGACCGGACGTACGCTAAGCTGAGGAGGCGTTGAAGGAGTTGAGGGCTTCATTGGCGGGGGAGGAGGTGGATGGGAGAAAGCCTCCTTCTCTTGATGAATCTCTTGAGGTTCCTGGCTGCGCTTCCTCTTCCGGACGAAGAAGAAAATGAGGCCTGCAAGTACACCGATACCAAGGATGACTCCAATGGCGACACCAGCTTTAGCACCGCCAGACATTCCTGTCGAGGCACTGGATGCTGTGGGCGACGAAGAAGTGGCAGAGTCAGTAGGCGTTGCGCTTGATGTCGCCGCAACAAGGTTTACATCCTGGCTGGTATCCGCGGTGGTCTGGGAGGCCGAGGTTAGAAAGGAAGATGGCGCCTGGGTCGTGTCGGCTTGAGTAGCAGTTGTTGTTGCCGCCGTGTGCTCGGTAGTCTTGCTTTTTTCTGATGTGGACTTGATATCTTTGGCGGTTGCGTCCGCCGTCGCTTTTGTCTCCGAAGTCGTCTTGGTGACGCCCACAGCTGGGCCGACACCAACGTTGTTGTGCTTGGTATCGCTCGTGGTTGTCGCAGCGGCATTTGTCGTTTGGCTCGCTCCTTGCGTAACATAGCCTCCAATGGCACCTTCAAAGTCCGCAGAGAGTGTTTTGTAGATAACGACGATCGGATTGTCCCGTTCCACCAGAGAGGGACTATCATTGGCGATTATCTCGTCGATAGCCCGCGCCTCCAGAGGGCGGTGCTGCATATGGTAGAGTGCATGCCCGTGCACCATGTTGAGTGACCGTGTCCGTTCTTGAGAGAGCTACGAGAGAGAGTTCCCAAGGTGATGGTCGTGAAGCGATAATCGCTCCTAGAAAAAGGAAAGGCAAGTTGGGTCCGGGCCTAAATTCCAACGCGAGTTCGGAGGAAGGAATTGGAGGTTCGCGTCGGCTCGCAAGTCCACACTCGCGCGGAGTGGAATGTGGATAGGAAAGAATGGACGACTCGATATCGAACGCCGCCGATAACCAGTCGGGGTTGGGGAAAGAAAGGAAAGGACAACGACTTCCAGGTCGTAGAGGGTGAAAAGAGTGTGTGTATGCGGTGGGTAAGAGGGAAGGGAAGAATTGAAAAAGCCTCAAAAGGTTCCAGGACCCAGGCTGACGAGCCTGAGCCTGAGCCCTGAGGGAAGGAAAGGGTCTGGTCTCTTTGGGGGTGACTCTCCCACGAGGGAGTCCGGCTGGAAATGAGAGGGTACGCTGGGGGACCCTGACCCAGTCTTGTTTGGTCATGGCCGGAGGGCGCTAGCTATTTGGGGTAGTGATCTGTGGGGGGGCTGTATATGATTGGTCGATATGATACGGTTCCTGGTTATGTGCAAACCGCGAAATGACGCCAAATACGAGTGTGGTGGTCGAGATGTGGTCTGGTCGCAGCAACCAAAAAGTCAAAGTCCAAACCAAAAAGAAACGACTGCAAAGTGTCTCCTGAAATTTGAGGCTTTCAATTTTCCCGATTGACACCCATCGTTTGTTTCTGTTCTTCCTCTTTCCACCACACCCCTCGCTCAGCCTCTCACCACTCCTACGAAAGTGCAACAACAGCACAACCATGATCACATCACCGAGGCTAGCGCCGGCCTGAGTGGCCCCCAAACGTGGTTGGCTCGTCGCTAAGAACCCTTGCCAACGCGGTGCACAGACTCCATCCGTTTCTGTCTGGCTGTTTCACGTCTCTCAGCCCCTCGACTCTCATTGCCCAATTGCGTGCCGTCGCAATTTCCGGGCCACCCGGACATCTTTCGGGTCCTGGCAAAGGGTGGTTCATGCCTCCTCGTTTGTGATTGCATTTTAATTTGATCGCTCTCCAATGAGAGGGTTTCAATGACGATTATTGACGGCTTGACTGCTATTCTTAGGTGGGCTTGATTGTTGTTGGTTGTGTGGGTTGTCCGTTTTCCCAACTGGGACCCGGATAGTCCACTTCGCTTCCCACAATACATATGTACAATGATTGTACGGAGTACGGAGTACATATTGTCCATAATGCCCTGTGCTTCATGCACACGGTATAAAGGCTCCATGTCACCGTCATAGCCCTGGAAAATATATTGCACCTCCCCCATCGTTGCATTCTTGGCGACGAGGGTGTCGACACTGCCACGCTTGTCCCGAGATGACACGGCTCCTGATTCCTAGGTACGGGCCACACACACCCCCTGACCCTGTAGGCCCTGTACCGTGTGGCTGACAGCCACAGTGGTGTGGCAGCCATATGGGTCGTGAGATTAAACGGTGGAGAAATACGGATGTCGGAGTGCCTGCCATCATTAGAGTCCGACGATGCGTGAGATTGTTCTCGCAGTCACTTGCCTCGTCAGCGGAATGTCGCTCGCTGCTCTGGTAGCGAAGTAAGCGACGGGTCAGGTCGCGGCCATTGGAGGAGACTGCTGGGAGGATGTCCTCCCAGGATTGTGCCGGAAAGGCGTAGAATTCGACCTTGCCCCAGTCTGGCAATACATGAACCTCCTGTACTCGCAATTAGTATTAGTCTCAGACACCGGACTTTTTCTCACTTGAGCAACCATATCATACCGGCCAGGTTTGTTCATCTGGAGTTCCCAGGGTGCTGAAAATGGAGTGGATAAGGGAGAGGTCGCTTCCCACGGGCCCTGAATCAAACAGCTCGCCATGTCCAACGGTAATAGCTTCGGCCACTACACAGCCAGCGGCCCAGAGATCAAGCGGAGTTCCGTATGCCTTGTACCCAAACAAAACCTCGGGAGCTCGGTAGCTAGTGGTCCCTACGTCAGTGATTTTCAGATCACTGGGCTCAGATCCGGGGTCGCCTTCTTTCCACGAAATCCCAAAGTCCGCCAAGTAGGCTGGCCCATCGGGCGAGCTCATCAGAATATTGGAGGGTTTGACATCTCGATGGATAATCCCCAATTTATGAATGTGCGCAAGACCCTGAAACATGTCACGCAGGATAGACCGTGTCTGTGTAGCAGTGACCATGTCTCGCTCGAGCAACCTCGCAAAGTCATATTGCAAAAATGGAAACACCAAAGCCAACCGGCCCCCGTCCAAGTTGAACGTCTCAACTAGAGGAATTACATGAGGGCCAACCGCCTCGCGCAGCAATCGCGCTTCGCGTTGGGCATCGTGAGGTGCTGCCATCAGATGCGGGATAGTAATCTTCACGGCACGCACTGTGCCGTCCTTGGCCGTGGATTTGTAGATCGTGGATTGAAGCCCACCATAATGATGGAAGCAGGAGGTATACTGTCCAAATATTTCCCCTGCTGACGACCCTGATGAAGCTGGCTCTGGCTCTAGCTCTTGGGAGACATTGTGCACGTCGTCCGAGCCATTGATGACCGGCGCCACCACAGATTTGGTCTCTGCAGCATCAATCGCTTGCTGGCACATTCGGTCATATTCCTCCTACGGTTGGATCAGTTTTGTATTCCTAAGACTTGGAGGCTCTATAAGAAAAGCAACTGAAGTAACTGACCTTGGAAGTGGCCTGATCGTAGGCCTCAGTCTCATATCTTCTCGCCTCTGCCTGAGCCTCAGCAAAGGCCGCGGATGACGATGTTTGCTGGTATACCGCAGTGCTATGCAATAATATTAGTGTCAATCAGGCTAGATCAACACACTTGAAGAACTAACAGAGACTGGATGGCCCTCAATCGCTCCGTAAAACCCAAATTGCTCCTCCACTCCATGGCGGGCCAGTGGAGCACTGATTGAAGCTCTGCGGGCTGGCCCAAGCAGATGGCGATGATGTCATGTGACCCTAAAACGGCCCTTGTAACCAATAAAACAAACTTCCGTTGCTCTGATTGGACATACTCTGCCAAGACCCGTCACACCGCGTTCCCGGCCATCGTCATTCCATCTCAATGACCGTCCTCGGCGATCGAACTCCAGCATTCGGACGTTACCCGCAATCATTGATCTTCCCCGACCAGGTGGCTGATCTGTCTCGTCATTCCCTTGGGCGCTGTGTGCTTGCTGAGTATGCGCTCGGTGCGCTGCACTGACAACTGTCTAATCTGAAATCATGGAGCTCTCACGGCAGGAGTACCCAGCCTTGCTGGTATGATGGACCGACCCTCTGCGCTCTGCTGCTACCCTACAGCGAGGACAGTCGTATACTGACCGCGGGGACTCCTCTATCTATCCAGGCCACTCTTCATCCCAATCAAGCTTCCACCATCCTTAACGATCGCATCCGACTCATCAACAAAATCAATACGGATATCGCGGACTTCCTGCAGGTACGATGACTCGGCCTCCGCTACCCCGGAATCTCCCCATACCACACCATATCACATTCCCTGGGCCCGCGGGGCAGACTGTTGATTTCAAGGATACAGGAGCGCCGTCGCGTCGAAGAAGCCTATGCCCAGAGCTTACGGAAGTTGGCCAGTCGGCCCCAATTGGACAATGGCGCTGCACTTGGGTGAGTCCGAACCTGCATCCAGGAATACATACGCTTAATATTTTGAGAGTTTGCGACTCTAATGAAGGGACAGAATTTTTCAAATTCCATGGCAGCGCATCATCAACGCCACCGAGGCCCTCGCTGCGTCGCACGAGACCCTTGCGACGAAGATCGAGGAAGATGTAGAACGGCCCCTGAGAGAATACAGTAAAAGTCGGGATATGCAATCAATGCCTGGGATCCAGAGCAACCTGGCAGGTCTCGCCAAGAACATCGATTCTGCGCAAAAGAAAGTGGACAAAGCCAAAGGTAAGGGCACCAAGGGCGCAAGCGCCCTTTCCGGTGCAATTGCTGCAGCGGAGGAAATGAATCAACAATGGGAGTCGCGTGCTCCATTTGTATATGAGCAGCTACAGGCCGCGGATGAAAGCCGTCTCAATCACCTCCGCGATGTCCTGACCCAACTTGAGACTCATGAAGTGGACCAAGTCGAGCGCGGCCGACAAGCCGCTGAGAGCTGTCTGAATGTCCTCCTTAACGTGGAGACGGCAGATGAAATCAAGACCTTTGCCGCTAAGATGGTTGGCAATCGCGCTCCCTTGTCACCTGTGACGTCGCGGCGACAGAATTCCCAGGCGGAGACTCCCCCTGCTGTTGCAGCTGCGGCCACACCTCCTCTGGCTGCTGCACCACTTGCGCCACCTCCACCTATTCAAGATGATGCAGCTAGTCAGCGATCGGCGAGGTCGCAGACTCCAGCTCCAGCTGCTGTGCAAACACCACCAGGTGAGTTCGTACCAAGAAATAGCAAAGCCTCTGGAACCTAAGACTGACATTTTGTAATTCGCTTGTAGCTCCAGAGCCCGTTCCTCGACATACACCACTGGGTGGGTTGAGACGACTCGGGACAGTGATGAACCGCCGGAAGAGTGTGATTGGACCAACAGCTGGAAGCTTTGACCGAAAGGCAGAGAAGAAGCATCGAAGCCCATTCGGACCCTTTAAGAGGTCCGACTCTTCAAGGGAGATGCAAATCCCCGAATCTCCGCCATCAACTGCAGATCGACCGGGAACATCCTTGACCGAGGAATCATCATTGCGGAATCCGAGCGTGTCACACGACCACAATGTCGCTGATACCATTCCGCCTGCGCCGATCACCAAACAAGAGCCATCCGCTACGAATGGAACTTTGGCGGAAGCTCAAGCTGGAATAGTTAGCAATGGCACCGCCCCGGTATGCATTGCAATTGAAATGTTTTCAAACACATTGACACGGCTTATTGACCGTTTCAACAGGCCCATGTTGATTCTGAAGGCTTCACTGAGCGACCTTCAACTGTAGATGAGATCACACGTGCCCAGAGAGAAGCAGCAGGGTATGTGAGCCCTTCTGATTACGCATAGACAGTTCTAACATAGTGGAATTCAGCATGGAGGACTCGGGCATGAACTTGACGATTCGAGATCAGCCTATCTTTGAAGATGAAAGCCAAGCCAAGAAGGCTATGGATGATATGGCAAACACCCTTCGGATGGTAAGTTCTTCTTATACATATCTATCAACTTTGAGGCTAAGTATTATGAAATAGCGCGCTCCACAGCCAGGCATCAGACGAAATGCAGGCACTCTCCGAGGCCGTCGTGACGTTCGGAACACCATCTTTGTTCCCAACCCAAGTTCCGATATGACCGCTACATCAGCTGCATCTGATCTATATGGCCCATCTTCACCTATCAAGCATGCCGCATCTCCCAGCACTGCGACGGAGGACCATGCTATGTCGGATACTACATCGGTTCGATCCGGACACACTATGCATGGCCATGGGCCTAGCATTCATCCCGAGCTTCACGAGCCCGGCTTGAATGCATCCATCATCGAAACAGTCAACGCATGGTTCTCAGAGGGCAACGCGACCAAGTCGTCTGTTCTGGGAGAGCTTGCCCTCGCACATAACCCTATGCCCGGCGCCCCCGCAGACAATCTGCGCATTCGTCTTGATAACTTCCCCATTCTAGAGAAGGTCGCCGCTAACCCAAGCTTCGTTCATGAACCCAGTAAGGATGGTGCCGAAGAGAAGCGCGGCGAATACGATATCCAGCTGGGCAGTATTTCACGGCCCATACCAACTGTTGCCTTCAAGTACCAGCTGCACCTTGACCCGACTAACCACTCGGCCTACTGCCCGGTCATCTTCAAGCCGGCTTGGAACTTGCAAGAGAACCAAGCAAGCGCAATCATCTTCTACAACCTCAACCCCTCCTTCACCTCGGCTACCACCAGCTCAATCACCCTCCAGAACGTCGTCCTGACCGTCGGTCTGGACATTGCCGCCGAGGACGAGATCACCAAGGAGCCACGCGGCTCAGTCGCCCACGCTACCAGCGCCGTGATGTACCCCAACACCGGCGCGACTTTCCGTCGCAAGACCTCCACTGTGGTCTGGAAGATCCCCGAGCTAGAAGTCAAGGCCCCCGGTTCAGGCGGCGAGGACGGCAAGTTCCTCGTGCGTTTCTCTACATCAACTCCCGGCCCCCGCAAGGGTAATGTTGAGGCCAAATTCGAGCTTCGCACCACCGAGACCGGCTCCCGACTGGGTATCAGCCGTGCTCCTGCACACGCTGGTCCAAAGGAAATTGATCCTTTCGCGGATGAGGGCAAGCCTGCTACACCTGTTCCCTCCTGGGAGGAAGTCCCGACGTCACGCAAGCTGGTCGCTGGAAAGTATGTCTCTGCTTAGATGGGCATTTTCATGACAAACCAACGGCATCGGCTTAGTCCGTATATACCCTTGTCTGGGGTGTGCTCTGGTTCTTCTGTGTGAGTTGTTACCCGATAGCAACTAGCCCTAGGAGGAGATATAGCAAAGGCCGAGCGATGCTGCCATTGGTTGACATGGCTTCTTTCATTTCTTGATCTCCCACGCTCCCCCCAACTTTCTGTCCTGCAAATAGCACTTAGTCTTACTTTCTTTTCCCCCTTTCGTTATTCTGTTTTTTTTTATTGGGTTTGTAGTTAGGCTTTGAATCTGAGTATTTACGTTCCCGTAAGACCTGGAGGTGACTCTGGGCTGGGGTTTGAATTTGTGGATTCTGTTTTCTCTTCGGCGATGTAGAGCTGAAGCAAGAAGTGGCTGCTCTTTTATCTGATAGAGGCAATAAGCTGCGTCTTGCATTGGTGGTTAGGAATATCCTGGTCAAACAACCAGGCTGTCTTGGATAGGTAGGATACAAAACTGTGGGTCGCGCACCCAGACACATATATCTCTGCAGGCGGGACATGTTGTGGAGGTGACACGATCAAACCTTTTGAGGTATACCTACTTGCAGTTTGTTGACAGACTTACATAGCTCAATACTGAAATACGATCAATGTCACCCAAGAAGGCCATATGGCTATCTTCAAGCCTGTTGCCGAGTGTTCAGAATGTGATGAGCAGACCCCTGCCGCATCCCACTTTCCTATTCAGATCTAGGAGATCGACTGAATGAGCAAGACACTGGGGAAAATATTTCATAGCATGCGATTCTTCCATAGTGAATACATTAACAATGAACATGGCAGAATATCAGAAAGGGTTAAACATAGCACAAAATCCGTCGTGCCGGGGAATCATTCACTTGCAAGATATAGAAAAAAACTCCACAAAGCTAACAATACAAATGACCACAGCGAGGTCCCAGAAACAAAAGGCTCTATATTCTTGCAGCCCTGGTCGTTTTATCATAGAAGTCGAGTGTCATCGCCGCCAAAAAGCACGGGATGTCTTTCCTCTCTTCAACCCAAAACTTGATGAGAGGCTTGATCTCCAGTGCGAAAAGACTATTCGGTCCACCAGAAATCTTCATCGTGCCATTCTCGCCATCGAAGACAATCGAGTTCTCCTCTCCGTCGCCCATGCTGCCAGGCCCACGAGCATCGGAGGGCGCGGAGCTGTCGCCATGGCGGTATGCGGCTGATAAATGGAACATTGAGGTGACGCGTACACGGCCGTTAGGGAGGAAGTCAAGCTTGTAGCCTAGCAGGGAGGCGACAGCTTCCCGGAACTCGGAAGACTTGGCTGTAAAGATTTCCTTGAACCGGCGCATGCGCTTCTCCTTGTCTGCCACGACCCGCTCCATTTCCTGCATTTCGAGGTTGAGGTTGTCGAGTGAACTGACGGGCACCACTTTGACGCCGGAGTGCTCTCCGCGAAGCTGGGCCAAGAGAGCCTGATTCTCGGAGCGGAGCGTGTTCAAGGTGGTCAGTTTGATCTTCTCGGCTTCCGCCGTTGGATTCTCTCTTAGTTCCAGAATCCGCGTGTGGGATTTAGATTTCAAAGACTTGATCTGAGATTTCGCAGCCTTGAGCTCTCGTTCAGCCAGGGTTGTGGCCTGTTGTGACTTTGAAAGTGACTCTTGAAGCTTGCGGTTCTTGCGGGTCAAGACTGCAAGGCGCTCACTCTCAGCGTCACTATCTGCGGGCGACAGGGGGCGCTTTGTACCCCGAGCTTGAGCATCCTCCTGTTGCGGAGGCACCTCACGCTTGGAAAGTTCTTCATGCGCCTTTTGAAGATCGTTGCGGTACTCGTCAACCAGCTGTTCCAGCTGTGCGATTTGTGCCGACTTTTGTTCATCGTAGGTCTGCTCTGTGTTCATCGTCTCCTCTTCGGTATCGAAGGTCTTGAGCTGTGCCCGGAGGTATTCGACTTCCTTCACAGCGAGAGCACGCTGTCTCTCCAACCTCGAGCGAACGCGAGCCTCTGCAGCAGCTGGTGCTAAAGCACCCGTAGAAATGCTTCCCGCAACGCGGAGCTTCTCTAGCTCTTGGCGAAGTTGGACCTTCTCTTTCTCAAGGCTGTTGATTGTTTCGTCCTTCTCCAAGAATTGCGCATCAACTGTTCCGAGTCGGTCGACTAAGGTGGCCTTCTCAATCCGCTCTTGGACAAGAGCCCTGACCACTGCCTCGGGGGAATCAAATTCCATGGGTTGATCGTTTTCTTGCAAGAGACTGGCCCACGACTGTCGTTCGTCCTCCAGAACCTGTTTCTGAATTTGAACGGTACCAAGTTCCGCCTCCAGCCCGCTCATCAGCTGCAGCTGATTCTCGAGCGACCGCTTCTGCTCCTCAACCACTTCCACATTCTTCTGCACTTTTCGTAGATGGCGCAATTCTATCGTCTGCTCTCGGTTTGCTGTTTCTAGCTCCCGGATGTGGTTGACCTGTTCCGACAGCTCCCGCTTCAGAACTGTCAATGCCTCTGCATCGCTGCCGTCGGCCTTCAATTGTATATTTTGGGATTCGAGATCCGCCACTTCGGCCTCACGTTGAGCCAGCTTTTCCTGAGTGGCTTGCTGGGAGTTGCGCGCCTCTTGCAAATCATGCTGGAGCTCTTCGATCGTTTTTTGAAGGGAGGCGCGGACCGTTTCGAGTTCGTTAATCTGGTACTTGAAGTGACGCTCTTTGTCCGATAATTGAGCTTGAGTGTCATTTAACTCTTCTTGAATGTTCTGCCTTTCATCTTGCAAATCTCGTATCTTGCGCTCCAATCCCGTTTTGTCGCCGAGTGATTGCTCCTGGGTCTCTTTCAACTCCTTCGCCAAAGCTTCAGTCTTCGTAGTGGCCCGGAGGCTTGCGGACTCGGCTGCCTGTCACCGGGTGTGTCAGCCCTGATATTTCCATCTAATCTTAGTAACTCTCACCTGCGCTTTCCGAAAGTCCGCATCAGCCTTTAATTGGAGGCTTCTAGTCTCTTTCTCGAACCGGATCGCTTCCATCTCTCGCTCCTGCTTGAGGTTTGCGAGTTCGTACGTAAGCGTACTGACTTGGACGCGCAATTCATCTTTCTCGGCATCTACGAGCGGTCATAAGTGGTCAGTTCGGAGAATGTGCCTCTGTCTTTCGTCGCTAATCGACGGAGAGGATGAAGGGTTCGAACCGTGAGTTTGCTGCTGAGGCCGTACGGATAGCACAGACTGCTGCATAACACTGCGCGAGCTGGCCGGTGCGGAAGGCGACGCAAACCCAGCAATTAGCTGGGATGCTGGTCGCTTTGTCGGGCTGTTCTCCATGGCGTATTAGAGGCGTTGGCGGATCACGTTCCAGTTGCAACCAAGAGCAATGGGCACATCGAGCCCTGCCACAGTGACGATTGCCAACACTTCAAGACTGTCCCTATCTTCCTTCTAGGCGAGAGAAGACACGACGCGACTTGAGGAGAGCTCATTGAAGTTGTTCGCGAGCCTTCGGCGGCTTTGAATGTTTGGGCCTTAGTCAGCAGCCCAGAGCTTCTGCATCGGGACTAGCGTCAAAATTTTAAGAAATTATTTCGAGGCGGAATTCTCTTGACACACACCACCCATTCAACCCACCCAACTCTCTTTTGCCCCCCGTCTCCAATTCAAATCCGACAACATGGGCAAGGACAAGGTCGAGAAGGACAAGAAGCGCGCTGAGAAGAAGGAGAAGCGTGCGGAGAAGGACGGTATTCACAAGTCCAAGAAGGACAAGAAGGAAAAGAAGGACAAGACCGCTCTCGCTGATGCGGTAGAGAAGGAGATCACCTCCCAGGTCCTGGAGGGCTTGGACCAGGCTGCTGCTGCTGGTGTCGCCGAAGTTGAGGTCGATGCCATGGCTGTTGACCGCCCCGTCGGCGCTGTCGTGCCCTTCGCCAACCCGTTGGTTGAGGACAAGCAGGCCAAGAAGGTGTTCAAGAGCGTCAAGAAGGGTAAGTTGTGCCATGATCTTTATTTGGAACCATTTTAGTCCATCGTGTGCTTCATTGGACTTGGAGGGATAAGAATAATTGTTCTTCTGTCTCAGCGCTGTGCCAATTGCACCGGCGCAACTCCAATGCATAACTTTTTTTTTTCAATCCGGATATATAGCTAACATCTTATTTCTTCCATAGCTGCCGTCAACAAGTCTCTGAAGCGCGGTGTCAAGGAAGTCGTCAAGGCCCTCCGCAAGTCGCCTGTCCCCGCCGCCAACGCCAAGATCGACATCCCCTCCGGCGTTGTCATTCTCGCTGCCGACATCTCCCCCATGGACGTTATTTCTCACATCCCCGTTCTGTGCGAGGACCACGGCATTCCCTACGTCTTCGTGACCTCCCGCGCTGAGCTCGGTGCCTCTGCTGCCACCAAGCGCCCCACCAGTGTTGTCATGGTCACCCCCAAGTCTGGCAAGAACAAGAAGCTCGACGAGGACGCCGATGGCGAGGACTTCAGCAAGGTTTTCGAGGAGTTGGCCAAGCTCGCTGAGAAGGAGGGAAAGAGCGTCAACCTCTAAAGACGCTACTAAGCCTATCCGATTTTTTTCACGCTTTGCTCTCTTCCCTACGTTCGTGATTATTGGTGGGTTCTCTTATTGTACAGGGTTTTGTTCTTGTCTGATAGGACCGTGCATGTCTCTTTGGGGGTCCGGCCTTTGGGTTTCTATTTTATTTCCTATTTGCTATACTGCAGTTCGGCGTTTTCTTAACGGTGTATGAAAAAAGGCAGGAAGACTTCCAATGAGAATTCACACCGTGCATCTATGCATGATATTAACATGCTCCTCGGTTCCTTTGATTCTTTTTTACTTGCCAATATCGATCTGAGTGGGCCTTCCATGTGACTTGTGGATTTCACCTGGCTGATAACACATGGAGCTTGACTTCAGCATCGTTTATGCCTCAATCGTTCGTCTGGAACCCATTTTATTCCATAGTAGCTAGAAAAGGCTTCAGTCACACAGATTGCCGTTCAAAAATTGAAGGTAACTCGACGCATTGACCGAGTGTTAAGACCTGTCCAAGATGGTTACACAGCGACAGCCGAATTGAAGAACCATTCGTCTATGGGATCGTTGCAAAGGTCACGTCTAGCTTGTAGTGGCACAGCAAGGCATTTTGGAAGATATTCGGAATCCTACTGTAAATCAACACAAAACCAGGACGCAATTTATTGTATCTATGAGTCCAGGGCGAATCTAATGATAACAGCAACCGAGTACAGTGGATTGTAGTGTTCCAGGCGATCGGCCTTGCATCAAGCCTAGACTATCAGGCCGGTGGCGTTTTCCTTTAATGACGATCGGTCTGATCGATCGCCTATGCTTCTTCAATAGTTCAATCAAGGGGGCTGACCGCATACCGCAACCCGACAAGCACAACACACATGCCAATCACCTTTGGATGAAAAAAGACTGCCCCCTCCTGGATTGAAAGGTCTCCTTGCCCCTCCCAGGAACAGCCTTGTGGTAGGTCGTACGCGGCATCTTTGTTGGTCCCGAGCGACGCCTACGAGGGCCCTTGCGGTCGTTTTCGGTTATCCCTGTCTGCGAGTTTTAACTTGCAAAATAATATATAAGAGATTCTTGCCCTGCCCTTAGGCATCGGCGTTCATTTTTTATTGCCTGCATATGGCGGATACATAGCACGCACATTGCGAAATTCAATTGCATGACCCATTTACAGCGATAATTATCAGAACATTTTCAATTACAGTATGACGATTGCCAGGTATACCCCACTACCTCATTGGGTTCTGGTGGCTCTCATCGTGGTCTTTGTGAGCCCGGTTACGTCTCAACCCATCCGCACTCAGCAATGGGTTCAGAATGTAGAGTTGAAGGATCTAGGAACACGGGAGGTGTGGAAGGCCTCTGAAAAGGAAGAAACACCTCGGGGTTCTCAACTGTCACAGGTTGGAAATGTCCTTCACTCTACACAGCGTACGTTCGCCAGACTGACCAAAAATAACGCAGATGAAAACATCCCATTATAATAAACTGGTTGAAAGAAGTACACCTTCTAAACGAGATCTATCCTCGGAAGAATCGCTCGTGTCCGTACTCGTGCCAGTCGCGCCAACATCAGACTATTTGCCTGTTGGCCACAGTCACGCTGTCACAAACAAGCAAGACATCTCAGTCGCCGAATCAAAGCACGTCGTCCCTCAAAGACTGCACCACTATGGAGAAGTTTTCAGCAATCAAGAAGATGAAATTGAAACACACCTTGACCCAGAAACCGAATCATACGTGACTTCAACGTTGCAAATCTCACCTACTCATTCTATCTCCTTCCTGTCTTACCGAATCTCGTTTCCATTTTTGAAGTTTGCACCGAAATGCCCCCCTCGGTTGCCACTTCCAGGGATCTTTACGACTGTTGTGCTTCTCCTCTCCTTAGTGTGGATTGCGATTTTTACAATTGCAATGGTTGAATTGGGGAATTATCTGTGGAAGAAAAGGCGGGCTGCGAGGCTTGCGATGGAAGGTGATGGTCTCCTGAGAGACAGTGTATCGAGTTCAGGTGAACATGGCAAAATACCATTGGGTGCACTTACTGTTCCTGGTCAAAAGGCAGAAAGTTGCGTGGATAGTGTATCGTTGATGAGTGACTCCAACTCGGACTCTGGATCAGATTCGGAGCCAGAGGTTGATGATTACCGTATCTTTTGAACGCGTGTATACAGCATGAGTCACCCAGACAGGTTCAAGATGCGTTTTTACATTACGAATAGCAGCTCGTACAGTGGCGTTCCATAAGTTTGCAACACCCAGGAAAGTTCAACCCCGTCTCATCAGCTATACTTTAAAAGGCAGGTTGAATAAAACTGCCGGGAATATCTAGAAAGAGGGTTCAAAAGATATTCAGAAAAATCTGATAAAAACGTAAAGTCGAAGCATATTTAGATGGTCTTTTCGCTCGGTCTCTTGTTTCAGACTTTTGAACTGCCACTGTATAATCTATGATGGAATTTTTCTTTATTTACAAATATGGCACTTCAGATTTCATGAAGACCTATTGTATATGATATTTGACCATTCACTCGTCAATGGTCCTGATTATAATTGTAGCCATGGGCTAGAAAAAGAACAATTGCTCGCTCAAAGACTATCAACTCGGAAGTCACATTTTAAGCACGCTGATCCGACTCCAGAGTCTCGTACAAGTTCTGGTCCTCAACACCCTTCTGATGGGGACCGGCGGCACTCGCACCACTCTCAGCCACTCGGCGCTGGAACTTGTTCTCTGCAGCACGACCAGGGTCCATGTCGGAGCCAATCTCAGAGGTAAAGCTGGCATTGTTGCTCTCGGTAGAGCTGAAGCCACCCACGTGCAGATTCTTACCCTTGGGCTTCTCGCCCTGGTGGCCGTCTGTCACGTTGTTGATGTAAGAAGGGGCTTGGCCGTTGTTGTACTGGCTGCTGCCGCTGGCAGCGGCCCGACCTGGCAGGTGCTTAGAGGCGGCGTATTCGCCCTTGTGAATGCCCATCTCCTGCTTAGCGGCAGTCGAGCCGCCAGCATAGCCGGTGATGTGGGTTCCAGGGAATTTACCTTGGCCGCCCAGGGCCTCAGGATACTTTCCCGGACGCTGGTTATCCCCACGGAGGCTACCAACAGGGGCAGAGGGGAGGGTAGATGCGGCTGAGGTATCAGTGTTCTTCAGAGTGGACTGTTTGCCAGACACGCCCATGGGCTCGGCGCCTCGGTTTTCAGAGAAAGCACCACCACTGCGAACGGACTCGGCGGCGAGGGAATCGTTGATTATTGGTCCAGAGGGCTCTTCGATGGGCTGCTGGTAGGTACGAGGGTCGGTGGTGACCTTTGTGCTGCGGGGACCGGGAGCAATGGGAGTGCCTTGAAGATCCATGATGGTGATTTCGCTGCGTTGAAATGAAGTTTGTAGATTTGAAAGGATGGAGCGGCGTGCAATTTGAAGAGTTGATTATAATCTAGTGAGTAGTTGACAAAGATTGGATTGGCAAATGCGATGGCGAAGTTATATAACAGGCAATCCGAGTGGTTTGATAACCACGTAGCAAGCCCCGCCAAATAATATACAGCAATTGCTGTATCCAGGCGAGTGATGTCACACTTACGGTAACAACCAGCCCTCATAAGTGTTCTATGACCTTCATCTCGAAGGTGCAGTCACGTCAAGTAGCTGCGAGCCAGACACACTCGGTGGCGGACTGGAGATTCGAGACAAGGTGCAGTGGAGCCTCTGGATTCTCGTTTGCTCTTGATACACGGCTTCGGGAACCGGGCATCTTCTGCTGATGGGAGACCCAGCCCCCACATTGCCTATCACATCATGGATTCCCCCAACTTCGTCCCTTATCTCCAATGTTTTTTTGTAAGGAAAACCGGGCAGGATGGCGAGGACATGGGGCTTTGACGTCAAACCCGAGCCTCGGAACTAACAAACTATGCAAACAATGTATACTTCCGAATCGGGAAACCCGAGCATTGAACACTTCTTTTTGCAGATCTAGATCGACTGAGACATCACTGAGCCTGATACCTTTCTAATATTTGAGGGGATGGATCTGGCGCATTATCTGGGCCTCTCAGATCCACATGTATATACTACTCACCCGCTGAGACTCAGGCTACAGTACATGTTCGGCCATGATTCTACTGTATTCTTCAAAACGCCGCACAAAGTCAAATGGGAGCAGCAGGTACTGACGGTGAGTATCTACTCTACAAGGAGTGCTGTAGTTATATACGTTATAGATTTCATAGATTGTCATTTTTATTGGAATGAATTCATTTCGATCGTGACTCCGTGAAAATGGCTATCTTACAAAACTTGGATCCCGTAGTCCAGGAATCTTCAGCTAACGAGCAGTAGCATCCGAGGGCAGGTTCTCCAGACCCTCAACACGCTGACGGCCAACCTTGTCACCAGGTGCGGTGGACTTGTGGAGCTCAGCGCCATCTATGCGAGCACTGCTTCCTGCAGTGGCGGGGCCACGAAGAGCGGTGTCGTTGTCACCAGAGATGGGGCCCTCGATACCACCAGAGCCAACGTTGACAGTTCGCTGGTCGGAAGAGTTCCAATCACTGGCGACGGGAGGCTGATCAGGCAGAGGCAGGCTGGCCTTGGCCTCGTCGATTTGCTTAGACTTGTCGGTGTTCTGGTCGATTATGGACTGGATGAGATTGAATGATTAGTAACTTGTCCTACTGTATCGAGGTTACTTGATATGAGAGGGGCTCACCTTCATCTGAGAGAGGTTGGAGTCGGAAGGGGTGTTACCGCCATGCTGCTGGGCGATGCGAGACTCGGCCTTGCGCAGGTCCTGGCGAGTAGTGTGGAAGGTCTGCTCGGACATATTGAAGGTTGTGTAGGTGGATGAATGAAGTTGAGGAGAGCCGTGGAGTTTAACTGGAAAGATACGGGTTGTGGTCGGTAGTGATCTGATGGCAATTTAGAGATTGTGACAGTCTCTTATAAATGGCTGTATGGCTTTTGTTTGGCACGCGACATCATGGCCAGTGACGTTTGCCGCGACCATGACGACATTGATGGCCACCAAAGACTTGGAATCTCATGTCTCCAACATTTCTCCACTGAAACCAGCAATTCAAGCTTACTTCATCACCGAAAGATGAATCCGCCGTCGCTGTCAAGGCGCGTGCTTAGGCGATGGATAACGGAATGGATTGAAACTGTATATCCGATGCCGGATAGCGTCATACAGAACCAAGGATGGCCCATGATTGGATGGTAAGTTATCCGCGATGTCGAAGGTCGCATGTCCCTGATCAGCATATCACGAGGGCAAAGAGGAGATGATTCTCAAGGGTATGTCATAGCTCCACTGGCTCATATGCGGTTTGCGACGTAGCCCTGTAGTTCTTTAGAACATCTCAACTGCGCCCTGGCTCGAGTTCGATAGATGCCATCCAGATCAGGGGAATCATGATCAGCAACTCCCGATGAAATTAGTCTTCCGGGTAGAGTCAGTGTTTGGAGATAGGTACTACAAGACTATGCTTTATTATGCTGTCGTATCACTGTATTTTATCTTGCGTAAAGAGATTTGGCTCTTGCATGCTGCCATGGCCGTAGATACACTATCCAATCGTGTGTCAAGAAGCCATATCTCACATTAGCAACTTGAATGTCCGATCAATGAATTAATCGGAATATCAGCGAATCCAATATAGTTCAGTTCAGCAGGCTCATCGCGAGTAGATGGATTTAGCCTTCAGCCTCAATTGGTCCAAGACATTGGAAGACACGCGATAGCGCACACCGCCTTCTTCCCTAAGAAGGCAGAAAATGTTTCTTATCGTAGTTCCGAGGGCAGGACACATCTGGACGGATCTAGGGTCCTCTTGTGAGCTGTCGCTTTTGCTCCTTTTGCTCTCATAGTGAGCGCAATCCTCCAAAATGCCCCGCGACCCGTTGATTGGACTGGTGGGCAAGGCAAGTTCCCCCTGTTCCTATGTTGCGACCCCGCTAACCGTATGAGGGGCACAGCCGTCAAGTGGAAAGTCGACAACTTTGAACAGTTTGACCGACGCTTCGTCTAAAGTTGGTAAGAAGAGGTTCGATATCATATACTATGTCAATGATGCTAACAATGTTATGTAATAGGCAATTTTCCGTACGTGCAACCCCCTCCTCTGCTTACTACGGTCACTCCCGCCTTATCGACTTTGACGCTAACGAATAACACGCGATAGTTTCACAACCATTGACCCTCAGCGAGCCATCGGTTACCTTCAGATTGAATGCGCTTGTCAGCGACATAACGTTTCAGATCGATGCCAGCCGAACTATGGCGGGTGCAATGAAGGGCGACGCTCCGTTCCTATTGAACTACTGGATGTGGCAGGACTCGTACCAGGAGCGCATCAAGGACGGGGGTTAGGGAATAAGTTCTTGGATGACCTGCGACATGCCGATGCCCTGATTCATGTGGTGGATGTCAGTGGAACTACGGATGCTGAAGGGAAGGCTACTCGAGGATATGATCCGTCTGTGGACATTGAATGGCTGCATTCAGAAATTGTGCGATGGGTGTTGGGTAATTTGATGGAGAAATGGTCAGTGCTGGAATATCCAAGGTGGTGAAAAGCGGGAATGATGCTGACATTTTATATCAGGGGGTCGATTAAACGGAGGCATGTTGCAACAAAAGCAAATCCGGTCGACACACTACAGGGCCAGTTTTCCGGATACGGGAGTACCTCAACCATCGTCGCACGGTGTCTGGATCGCCTTGCGCTGAAAGAACCTCTCGAGGCGTGGTCGGATGAAACAATCGAGACCGTGGTTAAAGCTTTCATCGACGAGAAGTTCCCCACTGTGTACGCCCTGAATAAGATTGATCACCCCGATGCGGACAAGGCATGTGAAATTCCTGATAAAAGGGACCGAGGGAGCTATACTAATCATGGTCATTTAGAATATAAGCAAGATCGCCAAAATGCAAGATCCTCAGTCAATCGTTCTTTGTTCCGCTATTTCAGAAGTCTTCCTTCGCCGATTAGCCAAACAAGGGTACATCAAATACGTGGAGGCTAGCGAGTTTGTGGATACTCGCGAAGACTTAATTGATATGGGCGAACCGGATGGCGGAGGCCTCAAGGAGATGGACGAGAAGTTGAAGGGGTAAGGTTTACGAAGAAAAGCAACAGTGACAGTCACTTGCTAACAGGTTGCGATATGGTAGTCGTGTCGAGAACTTAAAAGACATGGTTCTTTATCGATTTGGATCCACTGGTGTGGTCCAGTGTCTTTCTCGAGCCGCAGAGCTTCTTGGCCTGGTACCTGTTTTCCCAGTAAGGAATGTTCAAACCTTCAGCTCGGGGTCTGGAAGCGCGGTGTTCCGCGATTGTGTTCTGGTCAAGAAGTAAGTAGAATGATTTACTGCCCTCCCTTTGACTGTGCTGACTCCTCCCAGGAATAGTACGGTTGGCGATGTGGCTCGAAAAGTCATGGGTGATGTGCCCATCTCCTACATTGAGGGAGTTGGAGGTACTCGAGTGTCCGAAGAAGACATTGTGGCAGTTGGGAAACACGATGTGAGCTTGCTTGAGTTGTTATTTGTTCCAAGTTACATGCTTATTTTACTTCCAATCTAGATCCTATCATTCAAGGTCGGTCGGTAAATGGTCAACCAATCATGTACAGCATCTATATAGAATGACCTGAAATAATCGATACTGCCTGCAACAATGAGACATGAAGTACAAACCGAATTCAAATATCCAACAAGAGTAGACAATAACGCGATACTATGTTGACCAGGGGCAAATTGGACGATCAATGCCCCTTCTATTAGCCCATAAGTCAGCAGCATATCGATGACTGTCAGTCACAGAAGCCCTCATACCTCCCCTCGTTCATCATTCATCCCAAGTATTGGCTCCGGGGCCGCTGGATGTTCCTTTTTGGCCTTCCGCTCCGCCTGACGACCACCTCTCTCAGTTGTGCCTTGCGACTTCGTCTTATCTGCAATCCCCTCATTCACTTCTCTTTCCTCCATCCCGGAAGCAACTGCTGAAGCGGACGGGTCCTTAGTATCGCCCCGCTTAGCCCGCGGGATACTATGTTCCTCCGTTTGTGAACCTTTCCATGACTTTCCGACGGATTGGCATCGAGCGCCTCGGGGAATATAGATAGCTCCTGGTTGTGCGATTGACCGTATTGGCAAGATGGGTGCTTGGGAAGAGCGTGCGACGAGGGTACCCGGTACCCGTAAAGAAATGATGTGACTTCCGGACATGATGAATTTTGGAAGATACCACAAATAGGGTCAAGAAGATAGTGAATACAGAATATCTGGCATGTTCCTTATACCAATGATTAATACAACGCTCGAATTCAGGGATCTCCATGCTATGACGTCCAGATGTTGCAATACCAACCCCGACGGGAATTGCACACAACCACGGCTCTGAAGAAAGTTTAAACGAACGAACAGCTAAGATTACTTGTCTCATTACAAATTAGACAGACGGGAAGACAATAATTCAGTAACCTGACCAGCAATTGCACAGTAGAATGAGACAGTCGGAACTCCTGCCTAGTGGATCATCGGGTGCACCAATAGGATATCAACTGGTCTGCATTGCTATACTGCCCCTAGCTGGCAATTTATGTGGGCAAAATAATGACTAATCTGGCGGATATACAGTATCTCCTTTATCCGAGTATCCACCAATCCTGCTGCTCCGACAGAGACCTTGCGCCTGAGGCAGCCAGTCGGCACGCATAGCTTATCTCATCACTCTTGGGGCTCCCTGATTGGCCGCCGAGCTCCCCGCCAAAAGGCACCTGCGAGAGGGAAGCTTGAGCGTCCAAACCAAATGTCAACCACAGTCTCGGCCTGATATACACAACGTTAGCGCCTCTTCGATGAACAAATAGGCTGTCTTCCAAAACTTCGGACTGGTAACCTGTTTTGTTCAAGCGACAGTCACCAGGTTGATCAATTCTTGAATCATATGTCGCCCAGCCCATTCCGGCCCAACTCTGACCACACTATACCATGAAGCGGGAATGTTATCCGACAGACTCCCTCCCAGGGTGGCTACGCCTCAATGGAGTCACTGCAAATGGAGTCGCTTTCCAAAAGCTTGGATCGGCCGAAAATAATACAGACAAGGGCAACGCCGTTGTCGCAACAGAGTCCAGGACTAGCAGGGAAAGTGATACACAGCCGGAGATTCTCCTCCGAGTTCCCTCCGATCTGGTGCTATCACTAGAAGCTGTGCATGGATATGCCAAATCTGATCAGCATTTGCGTGAGGTGCTGGATGTAGTGGGTGCATTCGGTACGGTAAGTGCCCAATAACTCTAGAAGTGACCTGGAGAGCATGACTGACGAATATCAGACAGCAAGGGGCGCTATCATGATATTCCTTCTACTCGCAATCACACATTCAAGTCCAGACATATCTCAACACGTTGGTGTATCGAGTCCCTGGACAGAGTACATCAAGTTTCTCCCTCCATCATTTTCTCTGCCCACCTTCTACTCTGCCGAGGAACTGGAGCTGTTGAGAGGAACTTCGCTTGCAGTCGCGGTGGAAGAAAAAGCTGCATCTCTGGAGCGGGAGTTTGAGCATATTCGTCAATCTACAGAAGGTATTCCATGGTGTCAGCAGTCTTGGTGGGACGAGGAGACTGGCAAGTTCTGCATGGACGACTGGCAATATATTGATGCCGCCTACCGGTCTCGCATGGTGGATCTGCCGGGGAGTGGGCACTCCATGGTCCCCTGTATCGATATGGCGAATCATGTTGCAGGGACGGACGTGAAAGCGCTGTACGATGTTGATACAGACGGAAATGCTATCCTTCAGTTGCGCTGGGGTCAGAGTCTACGGCCTGGAGATGAGGTGACTATTTCGTGAGTCTTCCTATCAACCACTCAATGATTGATGGTAATACTGATGCTCAATACTCCAGGTATGGCGATGAGAAACCTGCATCTGAGATGTTGTTCTCATATGGATTTCTGGCCGAGGACCAGTCCGAAGCCAAGCAGGTCGTTTTGGACATGGCCCTGCCGGATGATGACCCGCTTGGAGTTGCCAAAAGCATGTTTTGTCGAAGCACTCCTGGACTCAGGCTCTTTACAGAAGATGGCTTAGATCAAGGCACAGCGGCTACAGCATCGAATGTCACATGGGACAGCCCATTCGTATGGTGGGCAAGCGTGAACGAAGAGGATGGCTTGTACATTGGCATTGCTCAAAGGACAGACGGAACCAAGGAGCTCGAAGCAACCTGGAAAGGCGAAAAGATCCAGTCTCCTGACCAGCTTCAAGGACTTCTTGTAGCAGATCCGTCATGGGAGATCTTCAAGGTACGGGCCGTAGTGCTGGTCCTCGAGCGAGTAGAGGCTCAATTATCTCTGCTCCATCAGACAGAGCAAGTATTGGAGGATCTTCGCGAGAATAAGGATCTTCCCAAAACACTTTTCAGACCTGAAGTTCTAGGCCTGATTGCTCATTTACGGAAGCTGGAAGGGGACTTGCTGCAAAGAGCGATTGAGAATCTCACGGCACAGGTCAGTTATTCTTTAATCCGTGTTGCAGGATCATCGCTAACCCTTTCTGCTTAGAGAAACGAGTTGCTGGAATCGGAAAATGTACTGGCCTACCTTGCGAAGCAATCTCAAGCAGAGGATGTAGAAGATTTTTCATGAAAATGAATCTTGCCGTCTCGATGGCAATTGGCAATCACTATGTAGGGTTCCGTCCTATCATTTCCGGCATTAACGCCCCATCTCTGTACACTCGTCCTCTGGTGCTTCCATGGCTAAAAAGCCGCTACAACTTGTTTCTCATATTTTAAACTAGCTTAAGGTTGGAGGGCTTACATATGTAAGCGCCGTCAGTTCCCTCCTATTTCCCCCGAATGGCTAATTCATACTTCACGAGTCATAAGTTTGCATAGAGTTTCTAACGTGGCATAGAAATCGCCACAAAGGACGTGTAATTTCATGGATGGAGTCAGGAGTTGAAGTCCCTCATCTTGTCAGTCTGCGAATCTTTGGGCCTGTTTTTTTTGGCAGTTTCTGTTGAACGGATACGGAAAGAGCTGACCTCAAGCCCCTAGACAAGCCCTCAAATCCCAGTCGCTGACGTGGGAATTGAATAATCATCTGAGCCTACCGTAATTTGGCCCTGCATTACGCCCCGTGGAGCCCGTCGATCGGTACCCAAAGCCCCGGGCGACCCGGCTGCATCGGGTGTGGGCTTGGTGGGGATTTCGCAATTCAACCGTGGTTCATAGTAGATTCGGCTTTCTCTCGGGTAAGTCTCGCATTCAAAATCACTCGAAATACCTGTCAAGACCCCAGAAAAAAGACTTTGAAACGAGTCTGGGGTCTTGAATATATGGGACCAGGCGGTTGAATTGATTTTTGGTGATTGGTCGGTCGAGCGGCTCCGCATGGTTGATCCCCCATACGTGTGAACCCTTGAAGTGGCCATGCCCCGAATTCATAATAGTATCCAGATACTCCGTAGAGTATTCGGTATGCTGACTCCTGAGTGATTATTCTGACCCTAGTCAACCCGAAAAGAGTTCACGCAGACAGGGATCATCATAATCGAACGGGATAATTCGAAGTTAAACGAGGGCTTTGCGCCGAAGATCGGAGTCAGCACATGGACCGCCAGCGCCGAACAGAGTAAGATGACACTTGCGGGGGAGCGGAGGTTTGGGCCTAGACACGCGGAATTTCGTCACGATGGCCGCCATCCATTCCCCTTTCTGAGTCTCTTTCGAGAGACTATTGCCTTGATTGACCCTGATTCGCGGTGGTACCAAGGTTGGCTACCACTAGAGCATTCGTCGGTAGTGATGTACGGACCTGTATGTGCACTACTGGTGTGGTGCCATGTCGACCTGTCTTGCAACATCTAGAGTCGGGCACGTTTCGGATGTCCTCCGTAGTCGCTGTGTGCTACTTCTGAAGATTCTGAAGAGAAGATCCTTGGAAGGTCGACCCAAGTACCCCCAGCACTTCATGATCACTCACATTATGACCTTGCGGGTTTGAAACAGAGTTTCTTGTGGTGGTTGTGCTGGACCGGTGTCTGATTCGCCGCTCGAATTCGCATCACAGGCTGTGCCAATAATGCGTGCACTGTCATAAGGTGCCCATGTCCAGGGTGTATACGGGCTGTACATTCGGTACAGCCAAGGACTGGGAAGTGTGGAGTCCGGGGACCTCGGGAGGATCCAACGATCCTCAGCCGGTATCCTCCAAGACTGGGGCTATGGCGGCGCATAACGATCAATTTTCAGATCGAATGGAAGAGGGTCTGCCGTGAAGATGATAGACAAAAAGAATATATGCAATATCCTTGATCGCTTGCCAGATAGTACCCCACGGGGTGATGGAGAGTAGCCGAAAAGAAAAAGGGGAGTTTAACCTTTGCAGCGATACATGACGGTACACTCAATCAGTCGCACGTGATTGGTGGACGAACGGATCCCCGGTCTCCACTTTTGCCTGAGTCAGCATCGACTGGGCATCCGCCTCCCAATCCAGGATTCCCCCCTCCTCCTGCAATTTGCCATTCTCCTTGTGAGCTATCTAGACACTACTGCTGTCTTTTTTCTCGCTATTCGCACCGGACGAACTTACGCCCATTTTTATACCCAAACTCGACTATCTCGGACGACTTTACAACCTTCGTCAAGCCGCGGCGGCCGATGCGCCCGCCCGTCCCGCCAAAATGCCTGGTATCTTGCCGATGAAAGTGATCAAGGTCGGCGGCACCCAAAGCCGCATCGCCCAGGCCTGCGACCGATGCCGCAGCAAAAAGATTCGCTGCGATGGCATTCGCCCATGCTGCACACAGTGTGCCAACGTCGGATTCGAGTGTAAAACGAGCGACAAACTGAGTCGCCGAGCGTTCCCTCGTGGATACACCGAATCGCTGGAGGAACGGGTGCGGACCTTGGAAGCGGAGGTGAAGGATTTGAAGGACCTGCTGGATGAAAAGGACGAGAAGATCGACGTTCTGTCACGGATACATTCGTTTTCTTCGCCATCTCAACGAGCCTCATCTGCGCGATCGCCGTCTACGACCGGGCCCACCAAATCCCCCGTATCAGACGCAGGAGAAGGAGTGATCCATGTCGAGAAACCATCGACTCAATCTGGATCCAAAAAGTCATCTCAAAATCCTTATTCTGCGTTTTCGACCACCCTGGGTTTTGCTTGTAGGTTTCGAAATTTAATCTTCACGGCGCACACGGAATGGGATCTAACTTGACTTAGCTGCCTTTAACGATTCTCTTGTCAGCCAAGGAAAATCGGCGTCAAAACTCTCTATCGAGGCGCTCACGAAACTGTCTCCGCCTCTTTCTCATGGATCTTCCAACCAGACCATCAAAACTGCTCCACGCCTGGTTTCAGATCAACTTATCAATATTTTCTTCCAGGAATGGGCGCCGTTGTACCCGGTAGTGCACCGACCGACCATTTTGAAAGCCTATGGAGAGTATTTGAACAACTCAGACTCCTTGAAACTTGATGTTCATGTTATGGCTCAGTTGAATTTGATTTTTGGAATCGCTGCTTTATCCTCCAATGTGAGTCCTGAATGTGCCTCTACTAGCACAAGGCAAATGCTAAATGACAGGAATAGTCGCGGACCAACCAAGACCCTGCTTTCTTCGAGCAGAACTGGACTGCCTCGCTTGATTCGTTCACTAACGAAACCTCCATCGGAAGCTTGCAGTGTTTCATCCTGGCCCAGCTTTACTGCATGACCAAGGGCGATTATCGTAGCATGCTGCGCTACCGTGCCCTTGCGGTTGATATCTGCCACCAGTTGGAACTGCACCAGAGCCAAACGGAACCGGTCTCTAATCCGCTGGAAGCTGAGACCCGCAAGAAAGTCTTCTGGTGTCAATATACAGTGGACCGTTTCTGCTCTGTTCTGACCGGGATGCCCGTTCTCCTGCGCGAAGGTGACATTGAGATCGAGTACCCCGTCGATATTGATGATGAGAATGTCACTGAGTCTGGCTTCTTGCCAACTCTTCCGGGTGAATCCACCCGTATCTCGAGTGCGCTTGCACTCTTTGGCGCAGCCCGTATCCTGAATAAGGCCTTGGAGAATATGTATCCCTCGAAAGCTGGGTACGATGTCTATATCGCCAAACTGCGCTCGGTCGCTGCGCAGCTTGATGAATGGCTTCACAACTTACCTCCTCATCTTCGCCTCGAGTTCAGCCAGGACAAGCCCAGCACCAATGTCACCAGTAGCCGGTCGCCCCTCCTGTCTCTTGTCTACTACTTCATTCGATCTTTGATCCACCGCCCGGCCGTGTGCTTTGCTGAAGAGCATCTTCGCTCTCCCTCAGTTTTGGCCATGTCTGATTCTGCGAAGCACATCATTCAGATTCTTGAGTTGCTGGATGAGCGCCGACTGTGCCTTTCTGTCAGCATCAACCGCAGAGAGCTGGTGTTCTTTTCTGGCCTAGGGCTTTTGTGGCAGGCCATGGGCTTGAAGCGTGACAGCAAGTTGGCAAAGGAGAGTCAGAAGCTACTCTCTACTGTTCTCGAGCAACTTCAACCCGAGTCATCCACCGCAGCCACCGAGTTCAGAGCACTCGCCAGCACATTGGTCTCTCTGGACATGGATCACAAAACTGTGACCACTAGTAAGCAGTCACATGAGATGGATGCCCCGACCCACAAGCCTCTTCGATCTCCAAAGAAACAGCTGCAGTCCTTGAAGGCCCGCCTTACCCATAGTGCAAACAAAAACCAATCTGTTGCTCAGGGCTCGCAGTCTCGTCGAAATACTGTCTCTAATTCCTCACCTCCGCTTTACTCTCAAAATCTCCGGTCTCCTAGTTGGACAAGTCTCCCTCCATCTCAAAATGACCAGTCGCCGGCCGGTCTATTCTCCTTGGATCGAGGACGCTCTTCTCTCGATCTTGGATCTGACCCACGGCATCTTTCCTTCATGGGATACGACCACCCTAGGGCCGTATCGTGCTCTACACCTTCGGACGCTACTGCCGGAGCCATCACAATGGCCGATTGGGAGTATGTCTTGAGCGACATGGACCGCGGATATTCCAATATTTTCACTGGCATCTACGGTGGTAGTGAATGTGGCGAGGACCCTGGCCCATTCGCCTCGATCACGGCCGAGTACGGTCGCAAATCTCATGACGCCACACTAAGCATTCCGGCTCCTTTGTCGAATGACTTGCATGATTTGTCACCAGAAGCGTGGTCTGCCAGCAGTGGGGACTACCCTCTGACAAACGACCATCCCACGCAAAGCGTGCCAAGCTACTCTGGCGAGAGCATGGGGAGCAACGAGGACACTTTCACTTCTCTAACCGATGCCTCGGTGCACCCGGACGAGATGGGTCTTCTCGACCCATTCCAAGGACTCGCCATGCCTGGCAAGGACGAGATTGATGAGTTTAGCCTAATTAACGGCTGGGACCGACGGCTGGCCGTTTGAGAGATTTTATGATTCGTTTTCATCGTTTATATTTGTTAATTTTAGGGAATTTCGCGTTTTTTGATGATTGTGATTGCCTATGATGATACCTGGGGGCGTTTTCCATTGCTTGTTGCCGAAATTCGGGTTGGTTATTTGGAATATTGACTGTGATTTGGATATATAACATTCGCTTTGACTTTGGATGCGAGAATTTTGTACATGGTCTTTTTGAGCCCTGGGAATATTGATTGATATTTCGTTTTTGAACTGTGCCGGTCAATGAGTAAAAAGTAGTGCGTACTTATGTAACTTGATGAGCATCGCTGGCTTCATCGCTCATACAACAAGGAACACCATCAACGGGAATGCCATCAGCTTCTGCCGCAACAGCTATAGTTCCGCAATATCCAATGCTGTGTTGTGTGACAATACAGCCCGTGGCGACATTCAGGAATCTACGGAGCAGCATCTACACAAGCCGACGACGACAATCAGCTTGATTATGAATCTCAAACCAGCTGTTAATCAACACTTGACAAACATATCGGTCATGCGATGCGAGTGTACCTGTATATCCGGCTCATTCCATCATTCCAGTATGTTCTCGGCCTGCCGAAGGGCGGCTCGGTTCCAACGGCTGGAGAATCCTCAGGGTAAATCTTCCCGACGAGTCAAAGTGCAGCAAATCCAACAAAAGTGGATATCTTCACAATCCGGCCGAAACGACCAACGAGTGGCCAGATGCCAAGCTCGGGCTTTCGTAGCGGCCACCACTTTCATCACCCAGAAAGCTTCCGGCGGATAGCCTTTTTGACACCTTGAATTCGCCACTCAAACAAACGAGACAACCGGAAAGTCTCATCACGAGGCTGCAAGCAACCTCGGTGCGCACCACGCCACTGAGATCACTTTTGACCATTCGGTCTGGGGGTCCTGAGAAAAAGTGGACAGCCTCGCCCGAATCGTGTGAACTGCTCGATGGAATTGGCAGTTGTCTATCTCCACTTCCCCAGATTTCCTGCTTTTTGTACATTTTCCCCAACTCTACCACGGTGGTGATCGTCGGCCACCAAGGTAATTGTTCGGAACCAAGTGAACGAGTCATCATCTTCTCCTTGCGTCAGGTTTATCCGGATTGGCACCCGACTTTTCCCCATGGAACCAAGACTAGGCAACCCACATGGCTCTCCTTTGCCCGGGCTTGGCTTGTTCTTGGAATCTGGAGTAGTGACGTAGGAAGACGTATAAAAGGGATGAACTGCGTATTTTCCCCAGGAGATCATGGGAAGCTACAGTAGGAACCTACACCAAGACCCTAGCAAAAGTTTAATCGATCAGATTGGGAACACCCCCGGACAATTGAACGTCGCAAGAGCCTGCAGCATTCGGCATGGGCTTCAAGGACCACTTTCACAAAAAGGCGGAGGATATATACCCTGACGCCGATGTGCCCAGGGAATCAGTCTCCACAGCAGAGCGTGAGAAGGCCGCACATGATGTCGTCGATACGCCCATCCCACTGTTGACCTGGCGGTCTGCCCTTATGGGTGTGTTTGTCTCCATGGGTGGTTTCCTGTTCGGATACGACACTGGTCAGATCTCAGGCTTCCTGGAAATGAAAAACTTCCTGCAACGCTACGGCCAGCTAGCACCCGATGGAACCTATTATTTCAGCAATGTGCGCTCGGGTCTTATCGTTGCTTTGGTAAGTGGAATTTACCCTGTACTCCGGCAAATGGTGCAATGACTTACAGGCTATGTAGTTGTCGATCGGTACTTTGATCGGTGCATTGATTGCAGCTTTCATCGCTGATCGTATCGGACGGAAATGGTCAATCAGTGGATGGTGTGTGATTGTCTGCGTTGGTATCACTGTGCAGATTTCTGCACCCAGTGGCAAGTGGTATCAAGTTGCTGTGGGCCGTTTGGTTGCAGGTTTGGGCGTGGGTGCTTTATCCCTGCTTGTGCCCATGTACCAGGCCGAGTCTGGACCGAGACATATTCGAGGATCGTTGATCAGGTCAGTTCTTTAATATGTCATGAATGAGTTTTCATACTGACCTGATCCCAGTACCTACCAGTTGTTCATCACCTTGGGTATCTTCGTCGCCAACTGCATCAACTTCGGAACCGAGGCCAACACCAACACTTCCTCCTGGCGTATCCCCATGGGAATCACCTATCTCTGGGCCAGCATCCTGGGAATAGGAATGGCCATGTTCCCCGAAAGTCCTCGCTACGACTACCGCCACGGCAAAGTAGAGAAGGCAATTGATACCCTCTCCAAGATCTACGGTGTCCCTCGCAACCACCGCGCCCTCCACTTGGAGTTCGACGAGATCAAAGAAAAGTACGAAGAAGAAGTTGAAAACGGCCAAGTCACCTGGATGCAATTGTTCCGCGCACCAACAATGAAATACCGCGTTGCTGTCGGTGTAGCCCTCCAAGCTTTGCAACAGCTAACCGGTGCAAACTACTTCTTCTACTACGGTACTGTCGTCTTCAAAGGTGCCGGTATTCAAAACAGTTATGTTACCCAGATGATTCTCGGTGGCGTCAACTTTGGAACTACCTTCCTGGGTCTGTACCTGATTGAGCACTACGGTCGTCGTCGCTCGCTTATCGCGGGTGCATTGTGGATGTTCGTCTGCTTCATGATCTTCGCCTCGGTGGGTCACTTCTCTCTTGATCAGCAGAATCCCCAGAATACGCACTCCGCTGGAGTCGCCATGGTGGTCTTCGCTTGCCTCTTCATTCTCGGCTTCGCAAGTACCTGGGGTCCCATGGTGTGGACAATCATCGCCGAGTTGTACCCCTCGCAGTACCGTGCGCGCGCTATGTCGCTTGCCACTGCGTCCAACTGGTTCTGGAATTTCCTGCTGGCCTTCTTCACGCCGTTCATCGTCGGCGCTATTGACTTCCGATTCGGTTATGTCTTTGCGGGCTGTTTGTTCCTTGCGGCGGGTCTGGTATACTTCGCTGTTATTGAAGGTCAGGGACGCACGCTTGAGGAAATTGATACTATGTATCTCATGAAGGTTAAGCCATGGGAGAGCTCCAAGTTTGAGTTCCCGGCTGACCCTGGCGTCATTCGTGGTTCGTTTGATAAGGGGGGGGGAGCTTCGGCTCATATTGCAAACCCTACTGGTGTGCTGCAGGAAGATGTTCCTACTGTGCCAGACACACAAGGTGCAGAGGCAGGGCCATCGAAGGCACGAACTGAGGTTTAGAAGAGGAGGCGGATTGTTGACAGGGTTGGATTCCGGATTAGGGGGATTTCAATTATTTTGTAAATGATTCTTTTCGTTTTTCTTGTGTTTGAATTGCCTGTACATTATTGAAGCATCATTACGTATTTCCTACAAATTGGTTCTGTGTTCTATGGAGATGAGGGATACTTCACGGTAATTAGTGCCGTAGTAACGTCGACGTCGATACCTTTCGAAACTAAATGTATCGTGAAGTTTATCTTGCTTGCATTTTTAGACCATTTAGGACACGCGTCAAACTACTCATTCTCCAGTGAGTCTTTCGTCTCCTGTAGTCTCATGTCTCCCATGATCTCTATCGCAAGTAAATCATCAATTTCCATCAATTACGCCGTATAATCCCTAGTGCTAAGAAATCACATTCTACAAATAATCGAGCAAAACAATCTTCTTATTGACATATAGCCTGAAAATCCCATTTAGCCTGTATTTTGGAATGGTAACAATAGCGTTTATTTAAATTACTTCATTCTATCCATCGCTGAGGAAGTAATTCACTTCAAAAAAAATATGAAAAAGGAAGGCAAAAAAGAACAAAACTCAAAAAAACATATAACAGCCAGGATTCGCATGTGGTCACCCACCATACTACTAACTGGCCGGCGTGTGGCTAGCCTATGGTTAGTAGTCCAGTGGGTGTCGCCCGAGTGAGAATAGGGTGAGCGCCGCTTTAGCGTCGCGCGACTCGGGTGATTAGGGTGAGAGCGGAATAGACAGGGTGAGAAGCAGGGTGAGAGCGAGTGACATTCACCAGAGTTGCGCGACCGCCGCACAGGCCCTCTCAGCTGAACTGTCAAGCGAGCTGAATTGGTATAGACAAGTATGCATATGGACGAACGAGAATTACCGGAACAATCAGAAAAGGGGGCAGGTTGAGCTTTCCCATGGCGGTGTAACTGGGTATTCGAGTGACAATACTGATGTCGAGGTGTTACCCGCATTTTACATATGTACAAACACATAGGAAATCTGGGCTAGTGATGGACCAATCCCATGTCACTGTAATTAATCTCTCCACTTTTCTACGACATGAACTAAACAGCTATACCATTGGACTACATTCCTTCACCTGAAACGCTTGGTCTGTAGGCATCTGCACACAGCCATGATCCGAGACGAAAGTTGACTTATGCTTAGCTCAACTACTTGAACCAAACCCGAGGCATTATCATTGGCTTTCTCTTATCTACAGGCAGGCTCTGAATGTTTCTAAAGATGCCAAACCCTTGAGGTAGGCTCAGTGTGTAATGGGTCGCCACTTGTGGCTACCCGTGGCTTATGACCCTACTAATAAGACTGGCTTTCGGCTCACCTCGATGCGAGGGGTTGGGAGGTTTATCAACCTAAAAAATTGGGATTTTGGGGTAGGTGAGATGTATTATAAACGTAATTGATGCCTGATTCTAGATCTCTAACATGTAGATAGCTATCAGAGTAAAAGACTAGCAGAATGGCGTTTGGTCGCGTTCAACGCAACTCCGTCACTATAGCATGTAGTCAAGACTTAGGGCAAGACCTTTCCCTATTCGGTGTATGGCCGCGATGTATCCTCCTCACCCTCCCGAGGCCTGAATGCTGTGGACTGCTGGATTGAGTGTTTTGCTCGCGACGATGATTCTGTAATGTGCGGTGTTCTTAGAGCGACTTCAGAATTTATATAAGGCGTACATAGACCATAAGGTCCAAACAGTGAAGTAATAACCTTTTACCACTATAATAGGACACCGGCCGTGCCCCACAACATAAAACTAACTGAGGGTAAAAATCCCCTGTCTTTTGTCAGGCCCTCTATACATTTTGAACGACATCAGCAGCGATAGGAAAGGATTCAAATGTAGCCGCAAAGTTACCTGAGAAAATCAAATGAATTCTGGGCGTAGGTATCCGGGAGGGCGTCAAACAAAGACCAATTCCAAATCAACCTCTGTCACCGCTCTGGCCAGGTTCCAAGCCGCAACTATCTTTGCATGTTTGCAGATAGCATCGCCTAGACGTGACGTATACTCGATAGCTAGTAATTCTGCATCGGAATAGATGCAAATATGCCCCATTTGTTACTGTAGCAAGCCGATCAGCCCCCGCTCGACTACCCACGCTAGTATTCAGGATGCGTGATTGCTTCAAGATCGGGGACCCTCCTGTCTCGATGTCGAGTTGTTGGAAATAATGGCCATCAATGGGAATTCTCTCGTGACAAGATGATGAGGACAGTGACCACAAGACTGGGAACACACTCCGTACATAACCAAACCTCCTCCCCATTAAGGACTACCTAGGTAATTGACTCGGCATATAACCGTGGGGATACGCACCAGTAAGAATCAACAGGGCCAGACTATGATCAGTGCATTCAGCCCAGCCGCCATACTATGCTGCAGTTCCGTCACAATTTCGCTTTGATGGTAACTTTGACAGTGGCGTTTGTTTTTTTGCTGAGCTATTGTTGGTACATTATTTTACAAAGGCTACGATGATGGAGGAGGTGGTCAACCCGGCTATTACATATTTCCTCCTGGATAGTTGGAATGCTACCCTAAATTTATCCACACTATTATTTGTTCACCTCGTCGCACAATTTTAATATCTTGCACAACGTCTATATTACCGACGTTATGGTTTACAGCTTGCGAGATACGAAAGGGCTCATCCGAGGTGAGGAAGACCCAAAAATTTTGATCAAGCTATAGTCGATAAAATTGTTAATGAATTTGGGGAGCAAAAGACTAGTTATTGGAAGAAACTCGCCTATGCATTTGGAATCGACGATGTTCAAGAAGGTTCTGCAAAAGCATGGGGTGCCATGGGCTATGGTTGATAATGGAGGCTCGGAAAGCACGCCTTGACTTTGCGGAATATTATCAAAACTGGGGGACCCAATGGCGATCGGCTGGTTTCGTTGGCTATATAGAAGTTGAATTCAAGGCGAATTTTGTGACCAAAGTCTACATCTATAGGGAATAGTAATATTCTACTCCCTGTCTACAAAACCGAACGAATAAACGCGAGGAGACGTTTTTATACTGGACAGTTATTAGATTTAACCGAAAGCCGCAGTTTGCTTCAACGCATAAAGAAAACGAAGCCCTAATCGCTTTGTTTGAGGGGATTCTAGTTTCCGGGGAAGGACTCATTCGCAAACTCCTGTTTCTCTACGAAGGCCGAAAAACGTCACGCTCGAAAACAATATAGCGATTCCACATTCCTTCAAGCGACCTCTCGGGGATCTTATTATGGCGGTAATCTGACTACCCCCTTGTTCTCCGGAGCTTAAAATTGCATCGGATGTACTATTGTATTTGAAGAAGAATATATAAAGGTGTAGTTGTGAAAACGCTGATGATCTGACGCACACTGTTAAAGTGGAAGGAGAAATGGTCTTAATGCGCTGCATCAACAAACTTATCGATGCAATGCCAACAAGAATTGCTAAATTTATATCGAGTGGAGGCAAGCTAGTATAGTAATCGTTGCCTAGAAACCGAGAAGGGCATATATCGTTGAAATTAAAGCACAAATGCTAGGCTTGGAGGGGTTAGCCGCCTTTTTGGTCCTCCTGGCCACTTTTCATCGTTATAAGCACCAAATTTAGGCATGACCCTAAGGAACCCCTGATTTTGGTTTCATCTAAATGACTCAAAGCTGCGAAATAGAGGGAATGAGGTGTTGTTGAAACTCAGCTATGCCCAAAAAATTTTTTTCTTTTTGACTGTCCTACCTTCTTTTATGAAAGCCAAGACTGTTCTCCATTTCGGACTCTGATATTACTCCTTCACCTCTCCGCCACTGAATTCTAGTAGATGTGTATGAGTCGCAGACGTCGTCATAGTAATCGTCGCAGGATCCTAATGATACGCATTTGAACTAGTATCGCCTGCTTCTGGATATCGATGTTGATATTGTGGTGTCGTAAATAAAGAAGGTGCTTTTATGGATCCGTATTATGGCTACGGGGGATCTCGTGGCGCGTCGTGCGTTCTTATTTTTTAATAACGTGCTGCAGAAAATCGCGCCGGACCTACGCCTTAATCTGAAGAATTAGCCGAGTATAGAGATAATTATTGGTGACGCCAGTGCTATAGACGAATTGATGGCGGGATTGGGTGAATACGGGTTTTGAGGGTGGTGGTGGTAGTGATTTTGAGTTGTGCGTGCATAAGTGATTTCCTTAATTGATGCCTTGTTATTACTAGCGTGTTCCGCTGCCCCCGGACCCCCGTTCCGAGTTAGCAGCGCAGAAATAATTGTGCCGCTCAGTGGCTTAATCCGAACTGCTACCGAAATATACGATTCGTAGGCGCTGATCTTTTGTTTAGCCCGGTGGGATCCCCTGGGCCGTTAATAAATGCTAAAAGGCCTTCTTTGTTTTAGCTAGGGTAGGCCTAGGCCTAGAGATCGTCTAGATCTCTAATAGACAGAAAGGGTTAGTATTCGTGAGGAGTCCTGTGGCTACGAATAGAGTGGTTTGGGATCCCTGTCTAGCTTACATAGTAGAATTGCACAAGAATTACACAGTACACAGTAGAATTACACAGTAGAATTACACAGTAGAATTACACAGTAGAATTACACAGTAGAATTGCATAGTAGAAAGGTTGATAAAGCTGGAGTATGGCAGAATCCGTAATAGGCGGTAGGAGGGCGGATACTATCCGTAAAGGGTTTAGTGGGCGAGCTGCGGGGTGACTCAAAGGGAAGGTCCGGTCACGTGATGCTGAATTCCTGCCGTCCAATCAATTCGCAATCCTCGGATTTCAGCCGACCAATCAGATCGAATTCCTCGAAAAGTTCTGTAGTATATTACTCCGCTTCGCTCCGCAAATAAGTCGATTTAGATATCAAGACAACTGGTCAAATGATTATAAGTCATTTCTCGGTTCCTTCATTCATTTCCATTCTGGGGGGCATACACTATTCATTTGGGCACGCTCTAGATCTGTATGGAATAGGCTTCTAGGAACCTATCTACTGGTAGTAACTGATTTGCGGTATGATTGGGATATCTCGTTCTTCAAATGATAGCTCGGTCTTTGCAATAAGTGTGCTATAGATTCTGTCAATCTATGAGATACTTTGATCTGGAACCACGAAGTTACCTGCTATGTCTCTTGGCCGATCTCGGTACGGGTACTGGAATGCTGGCGACGTTTGCCGCTGTCAGACCTTTCGACCTCGTGAGTGCCATTGGCTATTGTGGTTCGCTAAGCCCATATGTCCCATAATATATTGAGCTTTATAGGCAATAATATCTGAACAGAGATATGTAGAGTCTTTAATCAGTTGCCGAATGATTCGCCGAATAGCGTTTGAAGGCCGCCACTGTATATCTGGCTACAGCAAGACATAGCGGCCATAGCTCAATTACCCCTTTGGGACTAACCTGATGCTGAATCCTTGGTGTATGCCTGAATTAGAACTGGCAGAAAAGTAAATTACTGGAAATATAACAACATAATTTTTGGTAATTGAAGCTATTCAGAAGCCGCAAAACGGCAAATCTCTAGAATCTGAGTTGTGGACACTATACCTGGGTGAATCACATAATCTAGAGAGGATATGAGGTGAAAGAAGAGCTGCTGCATATATCCCACCTCGCTCTCGTCTCACCGCAACCTGCTCGTAACGATTAGTTTTGTGGCTTTGAAAGGGCAAGAACAGGCAATAGAATGCAAAGTTGCGAGGAAAAAAGAAACTCGGTGTACTCGGCCGTCGGGTGAGACTCGAAATATGAAAATTTCAATTTCAACCAGTAAGGGCAGGTACTCACATGAGGGGCAGTAGGCGTACAGAGGGGGGATGGTGTCAGGTGGCCGTTACGGTACATTATCAGAGCCGTATCTAGGACGGTCAAAACTACTCCGTAGGCACCAAAAACTCACAATTTAGGCATCAGGCTAGTTCTAAAGGGGTAATTGAGCTGTGGCTGCTATGCCTTGCCGTAATCCGGCACATGTAGGCAACCTTTATGTTAATGGCTATTTCTACAATAATCAACAAATCGCAGCCTTCTCAGATGGAGGCTGCCGAAGATTCATTCACTATCCGATTGATCAAATGACTCTTATTAAATCTTCAATACAAGAAACCTAGTTATTGTTTAGGCCGTAGGCTACACTTCGTGAACCTCTTTTGAATTTCTCATGGATTCAACATCGGGGAAACAATAGCACCGGCATTTTTGCCCTGTTATCCCACATTTGAAATCTCAATCACCTATAGTTGCCTGAAAAGGCGGCAACCAGCAGTTCATTGATACTGACTAATGCACTTCGAGGCTACAATAGAAGATGGGAATTGCTGTGAATCCTCCTTAAGGCAAATGTTAACACAAATGCATTTAAGTATCTTTTCCCGTAGCCCAAGCTTGTGTTCTAGAAAGCTTCGCATGCCACTCCACCCATTCCTTCTCATTTCGTGACCTCCAATCTACGTCGAACAGAGAACTTACTCAAACATTTCCAACCATGGCAAACTCGGTTTGGATATCGTCCATGATCGACTTTCATTGAAAGGATATGATACTAATGATCTGGTACTAGAAAAAATACGATGGCAATGAGTTGATCCAGCTTTACATGAACAGAATCACACCTCATTGCCGCGAGGACCGCGTGGACCACATGTGGACTCAGATTTTGCGTTGTTACTTCCATATCGAAGACCTTTTTGGCATAGAGCGCGAGGTTTATACCACAGAAACTGAACGTGGTCGCATCGATCTCATGGTGACATCTGTACACAGAGAGGAGATATACAAGACCTTGTTTCTGGAAGCTAAACGCTCCCCTGCGCCATCGAGAAGCATCACCACAAATGCTTGGGACAGTGTTCGCGCTCAGCTCCAAAAAAATATCGGCAGATGGACAGATCGTGTGAGAGAGATTCCAGTTTTCGGCATGACTGCGATTGGCTTGTATGTGAAATTTTTTATTATCCCCAAGGGGGAAGACGAGCTCCGGCCTTTCAAGGTCACCGATAGGCCTTATTCGCTCCGTCACGATTCTGAGCGGGTACATGAAATACTTTCCGAGATCAAGGATTCTATCGCGGCATCTCTGTGAATCTTGTCTACGGTCGATACTTCACTAGTACTTTCTGTGTTGTTCTCCGTTCCTGTGATACTAAGAACTGTTAAGCAGAATTTCAACCGACATTATCTCTTGACCGCTGCAAAAAATATTTTTGTAAGTGAAGCACTACCTGAGAAGAGGTAGGTTTCAACGGTTTGAAAGCTGGATGGTGGAAGATGATAGAAGGATCAGGCAAATCAACAGGCTAGAGTCATATAACGCTATACCATGGACGTATCTAAGGACCCCCATGATCTCTGCTTGTAAATAGCTATCCGCTGGCTTATTTAAATTAGAAAGAGTAACAGGAGTAAGATACAAGCGAGTTGAGTGAACGGGCTTTATTCTGACATCTAGGCTACTACATCGGTTTAGATCCAGCTCACTAGATAGCTTTCTCTACATACATATATCTCACTGTTCATCTTATCCTCCTCTAACCGTAATTACTTTAGCTTCAATATGTTTAGAAATAGTATTCTGCTGCATCTTGTATAGTAGTTTGGCAAGACTATTAATAAATTTTTGAGCACGGGCGCTACCAATATTGAGATTCTTTAGAGATCCGAATAGCGATAAAAAACGTGCATTTCGTACTGAAGACAGATTTTGGCTTAGTAAAGGCGTTGAGGCCCTCTACGACATTTACCCCGGAGGTGCTTATTGCGTGTAAAGAATACATGACAAGAAGATACTTGATAGCGAGATTGATATTAGTTGTCGGTTGTTGCAATTTTAGATCTCTTGAAAATTTGTGAAAATGCGAATCATAACTAGAAGTTGGAGGAAAAAGAGACGAAAGGAGTCTTCATGTATATAATATAAGAAATAGAATATCCGATACATTCACGCAATTATTAAAGCGATTGAAATATCACATCAATTTACATCAACCTGGGTATCTTGAGATGGCCTTCAATATTTTGAAGTAATTGAGAATATCTGTCGTGGAAAGTAGAGACGCACATTTCAGTGAGAAGGGATTTGTCACGGGAAAACCCCGATTGCCTGCGTATTTATATATAAATGTGCAAAGTATGATATTCTGAATACTCAGTTACACCTCTCAGAGACTAGTGCGGCAGGATTCATGGCAGAAAGTAGGCGGTCAGGTAGGGGTGGTCGGACCTATCCCCTGGGCTGTCCCGGGAGTCTCAAAACCAAGTTGTATCGTTAGTGTATAATATCAGCCAATCCACACGGGATACAGGATCCACCACCATATAATTGGATAATCGGCTACTACACTAGGCCCCACTAGCTCATTTGAAGCTATCAACGCGTTGTTGAGCGCGTCTCTCTATCCTACGGACCTACCAACCTACCTACCAACCTACCTACCAACCTGCCTACCTACCTGCCTACCTACCTGCCTACCTACCTGCCTACCTACCTGCCTACCTACCTGCCTACCTACCTGCCTACCTACCTGCCTACCTACCTGCCTACCTACCTGCCTACCTACCTGCCTACCTACCTGCCTACCTACCTACCAATACGATATGGCCCCGAAGCGCAAACTTGACGAGATCCTCGCGGAACTACCCTCTCGCGAAGCACTAGACGCGCGAATTCAGCTACTACAGCCATCCTCTCGACCTCCACAGCTCCATCTACCTAGTAGCCTTGATATCGATAGCCCCTACGCGCTGTTTACCCTTTTTATTAGCGAGGATACTATTCAATATATTAGCCAGTCAACAAACGAATACGCCCAGAGGAAACAAGCCTCTGATACTAGTGAATCTAGTGAATCTAGCCCTAGTCCTGGCCGGTACTGGAAGGATACTACAGTAGTAGATATCAAGATATTCCTTGGTATTCTAATCTATATGGGTATCCACCGGAGTCCACGTATCGAATCCTACTGGAGCCAGGAACCTGATGAGCCACTACATACGCCTCGCCGCTATATGCCACTAAAGCGCTTCCAACAGATAAAGCGCTTTCTACATATCTCTCGGCATGAAGCAGATATATCTTATAAGCAGCGGCCAAAGGATAAACGTTGGTGGTATAAGCTAGAACCTCTAGCTTCCTTATGGGAGAGCGCTGCGCAGCGCTACTACCAGGTAGGCTCGAATCTCTCTATTGATGAGACTATGATTCGCTGCTTTAGCCGCTCTTCGCATACTATTAAGATGCCTAGTAAGCCAATTAAGAAGGGCTATAAGATATTCGCATTAGCAGAGCATGGCTATATCTGGGCATTTACATGGAGTAGCCGGCTCTGGGGTATCGCGAACCTGTTCCGCTGGCCTGATATTAGCCCTACTGGATCTATGGTGCTTGAGATGATTCGAAAGCTGCCTAGGATTAGCCAATCTGCTAGCCAATCTGCTAGCCAATCTGCTAGCCAATCTCCTAGCCAATCTGCTAGCCAATCTGATGGCCAATCTGCTAGCCAATCTACTGGCCAATCTGCTAGCCAATCTGCTGGCCAATCTGCTAGCCAGCCTACTGTATACAATGTCTATATGGATAATTACTTCTCTACGGTTGGCCTATTCAAGATACTACGAGATATACAGTGTGGTGCATGTGGTACTACGCGGAGATAGGGCGGGATACCCGCTCAGCTCGTAGAGCTTAAAGATCATATTAAATCTATCCCATAGGGAAGATTATATTCATCTGAAGCGCAAGGGGTCCTCTGTCTCGCGTGGCAGGATAATAACGTGGTATTACTACTATCGACTATCCATTCGCCATATATCTACACTACCACTAAGAGGAAACGGCCAGCAGCAACCTCAACCAACGCAGCTATTGCACGTACCCCTTTCGGCACTGATTTTCAGAGGGAACTAGATATTCCTACTGCTATCAACGACTACAATCATTATACGGGTAGTGTTGATAGCAAATCAGTATCGTGCTAGTTATGAGATACATCGAAAGACTAATCGTAGCTGGTTTCCGCTATTCTACTTCTTCCTGGATGCTTCTATTATTAATGCATAGCGAATCCAATGCATTTATAAGCAGCAGCACCAGCAACCAGTAGATAGCCAGCTATCGTTTCGGCAGAAGCTCTATCGAAAGCTCTTCGCATTCGCAGCGCAGGCAGCGCGCCCTCAGCCAAACCAGCAGAGCCAGGACCACCAGCGATATAAGCTAGATAAGCAGCTACCTTGTGTGTGGTGTCAGTATATAAGAGAGAAAGGGATCCGAGGCCAGCGAGCTACAAGAACACGGTCTGGTTGTAGAGAGTGTGATGCAGCACTATGTAAGAAAGGGCAATGTTGGGATAGATACCATGGTTTAGATTAATTACACTAAATCTGGTTACCGAGGCATTACAGCGGCTAGCTAATCAGAGCGCGTAGATAAATTACACTAGTTTTTGAGACTCCCGGGACAGCCCAGGGGTTACTAGTAATGTGGGAACAAGAAAAGAATTTGCGTAAGGTGCCTAATATGGGAAAAGGGGCTTGAGCTGTCCCATGGCGGTGTAACCGAGTATTCGAGTGACAATACCGATGTCGAGGTGTTACAGTGGCGCCGCAAAAGTCTGTGACCCCCTAAAGTATCGCGCTAATATTCTGCTGGCAACTAGCATCTGCACCACTCAAAACCTAGTATTAATGGGCGGTATGTCCCTGATAAGGAGGCGGTGAAGAAAGATACTTTGGGGGGTCACAGACTTTTGCGGCGCCACTGTATGTACCCGCATTTTACATACAAACTCACAGGAAATATGGGTTGGTGATGGACCAATCCCATGTCACTGTAATGAACAACTCCACTTTTCAACGACACATTATGACCATTACATGAGCACAACTTATCAAGAGTATTGCCTAAACTTGACGTTTGTACTGTTTTCCCCTCGCAGCTTTCGGGGCATATAAACCAGCTTCTTTCATCTGCAAAACGAGTATTTCTGGTCTTTAGCTATCATCTCACCATGAGTGTGGAAACATCCGCTACTGAGGCGCGCCTCGGTAACCCTTACTATCTAAACTATCATGGACTAACTGTTGACACTTGCCTCTCCTGCGGACATGTTATTGGCGCAGAATCTCAAGCACCTGGTGCTAATGAGGACTGGCTCAAATATTATCGAGCGCGTGAGTGTACCCATTCAAATTAAATATAATCAATAGGACTCACGTATGTGCCATAGTATATCGCACCTCAGATGGTGCTAGATTGAGTGATGTCTTTTTTGCCAATCTTGATTGGAGAAAAATGCAACGCGACTGTGGCCATCTCGGATCTTCTGAAAGGGCAGCACTTCGAGAAAAATTTGGCCTTTGGTACCAAATGTCCTGTTTGAAACCTAGCAAGGCTCACATATTTCATGAGAGCTGCTGGATTATTCTGAGTCGACAATTGGAAGAGGATCTTGATCTGGATAAGTTTTTTGAAGTCTGTAAGGATGTTGCTCCTTCAGGCAGAAATACCTCGTGTGAGCAGGTTGCCTTTCTAACAAGTATGTTATAATCTCAAACTAACACGATGAAAGACGAATCATTAAGTGTGCAGAGAGACGCCAAGCACACTTATCCTTTGAAAAGACCTATCATTCGAGACCTTCTAGCTAAGAATCGTCTTAGGCTCCCACAGATACAGATAGGAGCGGGCCAAGGTTATCTCTTCTCTGAGACTGACTGCTTTCGATTGCTTCCTTTGGAGATTAGAACTCTAGTTGCGAGCAACCTGTCCACTTCGGAGTTTTTCAGTTTAAGACAAGTATCCCGATCAATGGCGGAAGTCTTTGGAGATCAACTCTTCTGGAGGACAAGGTTTTTACCCTGGGGAGAGCGCGGCTTCCTAAATTCTCTTTTAACGGGGACCCAAGGTGATAAAAGGCCAAAGTATCAAGCCTCTAAGCAGAGAGATTGGAGACTGATATATAGATGTTCCGTGAATTTGGATGTGTGCGATGGCCATCTCTTCGAGCTCCGCCGACGATGGCATAATAATCGATGGCTAGGGGAGAGATACATAATGACCAAGGCCAGTGATGAAGAGATAAGATCTCATAGCAGCTTGATTAGAGAGATGTTTTGGCAAGGTCTCTCTTTGAAAGTCAGGTGTGACAGACTCCGTGGTCAAGGACATCATCGGAATAAATGCTCGATGTGCATGATGGAACACACTCCATCTGTACAGGCTTTTCCGTTGAACAAATCAGTCCTCAGCCTAGCGGTGTATGTTCTGCGTGAAGCATATCACACTTATATCACTGGGCTTGGTCTGCTGGAAAGGGACTTTGGCGAGCCACGCTTGATTTTGGGGTACCGTATACCGGATCAATATATTTTAATAAACATCGATGGGAAGCAGCTCATGGGGTTTAACATTATTGCCGGGGATCACGCAATCTACGCAATTCAGGCAGTCTTCAAAGCAGACTCTAGCAGATGGGTAGGTAACCAAGATGGTTCCAAGAGATGCCAGTGGATTACTGGCCCAAATACCCATTACAACACGCACCGCGATGTGCCGAAATTAGTGCGCCTCACCACGGAGAAGGGTGTCCAGGCAATTTCGGGAAAGCTCGATGTGAGTCAACCTTCTTGACAAAATGAAATAAAAATAGCTAATCTCTTTAGTATTGCAAATTGATCGGGTTTTCTGTAGCATAGGATAATGAAAATTGCTACGAGCAGATTTTCTCTGCCTTGCAGGCCAAAGCCCTGACATTTTGCTCATGTTGGATATGCCCATGGCATATCATCATGTGACCTCTACTCTCGCTATATCTACCTTAGCTCACTCGTCCTTACCAATACACACTTCTTGCTCATTGCATCCTTCTCCTTCTCCCTGCGCACAGCATATACCATAAAGGATTTAGACAAGTTGAACTAAAATTTCGGTTCGTATTGCGGCATTTGTATTTCTCTTGAAACGCTGCGATATGCATATATCCCCAGCGAGCCAAGCTTATATGCAACAATTCATCTAATCAGGAATTTGTACAGCGAACAGTATATATGCACGTATGGTACATAAGAGGAAGGGCAAAGAGAAAATACTTGTAATGGCAGAGCATGAAGAGCTCTAGTAGATGCAGGGAGTAGAGATTACATGATGGGTATGCTCCGCGTAGGCATATCCTGGCAGCAGAAATACATTATTCGTCGACAAAACAGTGGCTAATTGAGAACATACATATAGCTTGGCGATGGATCATCGAGCATCAACCATCATTCAAACATTCAAGGCAAAGCCGCACATTGTAGCTGTATATTCAACAAGCCCGAGTGAGCGCCTTGTCGCTTTCTCTGCCTCCCTTCCTGATGTACGTAGTGTGTGTGTGTGTGTGTGTGTGTGTTCCGGAAGTTCGAGCGATTGTGTTGGATTATTCAACTAGATCAGCAAATTTTGGGACTCTACGATGAATGGATGTTAATGTTGCTGATAATATCGATCTTCTCACAATAATGGATTAGCCACACTGACCAGACAGGCATCCTCTGGCCAACTCTGATATGTCGGAGCAGCAGGATTCTGGAGGAAGGAGATACTAACTATAGATCCGCCAAGATTAGTCATGTAAATCGCCCATCCAAATTGCTAGCTAGGGGCTTCATAACAACTCAGACTCATTGTGATTTCCATTGGTGTACCCACGTGGATTACTCATCTCTGTTCCAACAATTCATGGGGGAACCCACGTGACGTAGCACGTGCAATCCTTTAAGTCCCTTTTAGACGTCCTTCAGGAGCATCTTCTTCGAATGGGTGAGCGCTAAGGTGGAAAAAGATCGTACATGCGCCCTAGGGCTCATATTTATGGCCCGGAGCCAAGAAAGAGGGGGATTCCGGTGATCTGGGTAAGAATCCTTACCTTGTTCTCACCCGCTCTCACTCGCTCTCACCCCGTTCTCACCTCTGTCACCCCAATTTCCAAAGTTCTCACCCATATCACCCACACTCACCCTAAGATCAGATCCAAGCCAGTCTAGAGCTTAGGGCGCATTAAGGATTGACTGCGTACTATAATGGGCTTAAGTACGGCTGAGCGGACGGGAAGCCCTTTTCTCCACACCCTATGGTCGTATGTGTTTGGTGAGCCAGTCTACGGGACTATAGACTTCACTAAATTGTTTTGAAAGGTTATATCAAAAAACATACAACAGCCAAAAGTATGGCCGACCTCACCTCGCGCCCATCGTTCGATGCTGGGCGACTCGCCGCTTTAGGTGGTCTGCCTTCAGGTACCGTCCACCGCCATCCATGAATATGTCTACTCTACACCTTCGACCCCTCCAGCCTCGCGTACATGCTGCAGATGGATTGATAGTTCAAGGTACGGACACCAGAGGTTCGAAACAAGACACTGCTGTTCGACAGCATCAACCGCTTGCAAAGAATGTCAGCGTCGCCGGACCAAGGTAAGCAATACTGATAAATTACATGGTTTCTATCCCAATTGTCCGCACCTCTTACAATAGTGCAATTCCGAAAATCCGTGCTACGAGTGCACAAGACAATATTCCTGGACAGTTTTGTTGAGGCAATACGGACGTGTTCCGATGACGATCTCGATTAATATAATCGATGTCGTGCGGTCGGGCGCATCAACCAGTGAGATACAGATTGAAGTGACACGCATACTTGGAGGAAGGAACCTTTTTCAGCTTAAGGAATCATTTGCGCAGTTCTTCGAATTCACCTGGCTACGCTCCACGAGGCAACGAAAATACTAACGGCTTACGAGTCCCGTCATCCTCAGCGAGGTTCTGAGATTGCAAAACAAGCTCAACAAGTCTCGATAAATTCAGATACTCTTCCTTGAGTTAGCCTGTATATCACTTCGATCGTTGGGCTGTACACTATTACCGATGGTATGAGTGAGAAATCTCTCCGGCAATCTCGATGGACTGGGACGAGAATGCATGACGCTTGGAAGCCACAGCATAGCCCGAGGGCTGCTATCAATCAACAGTCGCTGCCTGTTGTGAGAGCCAGTCTTTGTCTTTAGAGGGAACCGCGGCACGTGCTGGACCACCGATTTCATTTTCCAGGGGTGTGGCCAATCTCGTCCCTTTCTCCTATTTGCAGCAATAGCAAACACCAGATTTAGAATAGCCAGCAATCGTTTCCCTGGGCACACATGTGGGTTCATATAGAGAGACCGATATTGACCCAGAAACATCCCCTTTCCAATAATCGGGAAAACAGGATGCACGGCTTGGAAGAAGTCATCCACGAGTTTATCAGCGACGTGTTGATGGGGTCGGCCCAGTAGATCGACAGAGTTTGAAGCCTAAGATCTCGGCGTCATCTTGAAAGTAGCTCATGGATGAGATTGACGACTGATCTGGCGTCTCGCCGCCAGGCGCAGTGCTGTCATGGTCAAGGCCGCGCTGTAGTGCGTGCAACCATGCCAACTCCGAATGACCGCCGACGCACCCTACCGCCTGGGTCCTCTCGCGGACGTCAACGCGAAAGGCGGCGAATACGGCAACGCTCTCCAAGCCGCCTCAGCGAGAGGCCATAAAGCGATCGTCAAACTGCTGTTAGACGTCAACACGCAGGGCGGCGAATATGGCAGCGCTCTCCAGGCTGCCTCAGGGGAAGGCCATAAAGAGATTGTCAAATACTGTGTGACAGTATTCGGGCTGCTGCGTATAGTATGAGGTTGAATTCATATGCAGGCTAGACAACAAGTTTTCCTTTCCTGAGCCTAACATTATTTGGCATATCGCTTATTTGGGAAGGATCAGGGTAATGAAGCAACGACACTTTGTTTAAGACCAGCCCCCCTATTCGAGAAACATGTGTAATCATCACAATTAAAATTATGATCACAAATCGCACAGCAATTTGGTTATCTCCGTAGAATTTCCCGATTGGCCGTTCCGACTACAGCCAGTCATATTTCCTATATACCACTGGTGGGCTTGGAAATCACAGCCCGTTTGTCCAAGATTTCCGGCTGTGTTATCGATACCCTTGATAACCTCAATGTCAGAGGGAGTGACATTTGCAGTGTTATTCGAGATGATCCAGTATTCTGGTGATGATTGGCTATACTGCCAGTGCTTAGTGACAGCCTTCTCGGTTCCTAGGATTCTGGGAACTGGATCATCTGAATGGGTGACTCGATAATTCATACCAAGCGTCGCATTGGTAATGATTTCAGCCAGGCTGTGATTTCCGACTTGGGGGCTGCCGAACGTATACTATCTCTTGTCAGAAAAACCGCTTGGCCCTTTAATTTGCTGGTAGGTTGAAGTCACTACAGCCATGGTCAGGACTTACGAGGTCTACCGTTTGGTTTGCGTTCCTCTGGAATGTTGCACCAAGGGTGGACAATGCACCTCCAAGACTGTGGCCTGTGAAAGCAACCGTATAGCTGGGATAAAGTCTGGAGGCACATTGGATTATGGGCAGCACAACTGCGGAGACATTGCCCCACGCGTACAGAAAACCCTCATGCGCCATGCAGTCCGCGCAGAGTTCGGGGACAGGCACCTGAGGGAAATCGATGTCGGTGTCGTAATTTCCTTTGTATTCACTGCCGCGGAACGAGAGAACAATGGTTTTGTGAGTCCTATCTAGGGCGACAAATCCAGTTGTATTGCCAGGATTTTGACTACATAGCGGATTAGCGGTTAGCTAGTAATCCTTCTAAGTGCGACATACCCTTGAAATGAGGTCAGGATTTCGGTATCTGTCCTTTCGAGGTGTGGACATATCCCAGGATCGCAGACGACTTTCGTGCCTTCAGTTGAATTAAAATTATTTTCACAAGTGGCCGCCGCCGAATACTCGGAAAAGAGGGCCAGCTTGTTCAAAAAGACTTCTGTGACGTCTGCTAATGAAATCAGCATCATGTACAGTCGCTATTTCCTTTTACTGACCCCGATTTGAAAGCTCACGTCCAGACGCAAGCATAGAAAACAGTGACAGAGAGAGGATTCCAAGAAAACAGCCTTGTAGAAACATTTTCGTCGACGGAAGAGACGTATGTTGATGTTCTGATTCGTCACCACGTGCTAAATCCTGAATTTAAATGTGAATAATAGGCCACTGAGAGAGAGTAAGGAAGACAAGGTGCCAACTGGGCCTTTTATATTTCTAGGTCCAAATGGACGGAAGTCTCTCGAGAAATGTAGGAAACTGTGATGGCTGACTCTCTTTGTTCTCCTGAATAGGGAGGTATAGCCTTGTGGTAAATGCAGCCGTCCTCCTGACCCAGGAATGCTGTTCAGTGAACATCCTTCGTGGAATTCCGATTAACACTGGCAGGTTACATGCAAAATACCCACCCTGGATGGGGGGCGGCATGGATCGGATATACGGCAGATAACAGAGATGTTGGGGTCAGAATCGAAATTTTACGAGCAGAAAAGGTCCTTAGTCCTAATATGGAAGGTTGACGCCTTAGGCACACGTATTTATGTAGAGGCTAGTACTCATTGCACTAATCGAACCATATATCGAGAGAATGGATTGAACTAAAGCTGAGGATCGGTTGAACGAATCCTCAATAGTTATAACCGTGTGCACGGCACTATTATTCTAATTGTATCCTCGTAACCGTACATTTTCCTAGGTTGATCTTCCGTCCGTTACTGGACGGGCAAAACTCTTCCTTGAGCTGGTCTCTGACGTCGATCTTGCCGATAATGCTCTCTTGGTGTTCGGTTCAACATGGTCTTAATAGCCTCGTGGACTACCCTGAGACCTTTCATATTCTTTTCATAGTCTACCACGTTGACCAATTCCTGCCATTTATCCGCCGTGAGATCCGCGTACTTTGTCGACTTCCTTGCTAACCACTGAGTTTTCCGGATAGGTCGGCTCCTCAGGCTTTGATACTGGCGGGATGAACAATACCCCACACTTCCCAGAGAGTTGCTAGGGACTCTATTTAGTACAGCCAGGCCCACCAGTCTCGCGGTTGACTGAGGACCCTTACTCCAGCTGTCTTCGTGGCGGAGAGATCGGACATCTTCGACAACTCTAGAAACATGGTCGCATTCAAAGAAAGGAGAACGATTCGTTGATGGTAGAATCAATGGGAATCGGGCTCACAGCTTTTGAACGCTGTTATCACTGGTATTGACAATACTAGGCCATTGCAGAATAGGCAAAAAGAACTCTTGAGTTCTCCTGTCTATCCGGCAATCTGCTTAAACAAGAGAACCGCTTACACAATATCAGACGAAGCACATTTCTGTCGGGGAATAGGCGAGACCCTCTGGGTGAGCACTCCTAGCCAGGCTGTTGAGACAATGACTACATACCTTCTCGCGGTGTCCGCTGTTAATCTCGGTCAGGAGACAAAAGTGAATCTACCATCGTTATATAGGTGCGCGGGGTCCCACTCGCACCACCACACCAAAATCAGAGGATAATAGGAAACGAGAACCATCCGACTCTTTTTACCCCACTCGCATTAGGGCCCAGAAGTTAGCATTGTATTACCAGTGACAGTTGTGTCACCCTGAAAGAATATACGAACTCGTTAAGGCTCGGAGATATCGTTTACTAGAGACCTCGTTAAGGCTTAGCCACGGGCAGAATCAAGTAACATCGACGAGTCATAAAACTAGAGTTCAAAAATATCCTCAGAAAGCATCTCTTTCTCGATTCAGCCCAAACAAAGATTGATCTAGAATAAAAGTCTCAGTAGTCCAAAGTATTCGTTTGCTTGTGTTCCATTGCTCGATAAGGCCTGCTACTAGTGAAACTAATATTTACGCGCCGTACTACGGGAGCTGATCACTTAACTACTAATTTTCTAGAGCTGACGTCATTCACTCTAACAAATATGCAAGATGTATAAATCACTATATGCTGGAGTCGTTGGGCCCCTAGGCTGTTTAATATCTATTCTAGCCAGGCAAACTCGGGGCGAACTGCTGCTTCTCGATTGTTCATATTTTCAAATTACTCTCTGAACCTAACCATGACTAGAATTCTTCTACTACGGTTGTTCCACACACGAAAAATATTTTACCCTACAAAACTACAATCTACTAAATACCCGGATTTGAATTAGGCGTGATAGCACTGATCTCGCTGGCTGCGTAGCTTGCCTTCTTGTCTTACCTTCATCGAGAGATGGGCTGTCGGCCTCAGCCCACTATTTATTATGCCTACATTGCAGTTTTGACCGAAGCCTTTTAGATAATGAACATGATTAGGCGATAGAACTGTGTAATTCTGGAGAAATCTTAAATTAATTTGTTTCCTGTCCCGATGAACGACCTATACTTAATGTATCATCCTGAGTGATGCTCAACTTGTTGAAGGACTAACCACTTGTAAAACGACCAACATGTGCCAAAAAAAAAAAATCTTTTCTCAACAATGTAGAGCTTCAACGGCCACTCAATACCAGACTGAATCTGGCACTGTCACAGGATCAGACGGAACAAGCGTCGCCACTGATACATGTGGCCAGACCAGGTTATCGAATACCAAAAAAAACGACCTGAGAATATTGAATTTGGAGTGAGGTAACGGTGATGTTCTTGGGTGCATTGATCGCATGCGGTGGGCTTACAAGGAACACAGGCGCGGGCTGTCCCAACGGTGAAGCCGGCGAGAGTTTCATAGGTGCTTGTCCGACCTTGAAGATTGGTACTTCGAGTCTATGTTGGACCGTCTCGATCCAAAAGGTAGCATTCATTTGGATCGCGTTGGCATTAGGCTTCGTGGAAGCGGGGTTGCCTTCTAGGAAGGCTATGTTCCTCGTTCCACCACCGAACTCTGGGGGCGGAGGCTTCGTTGACACAGTGAAAGCCGTGGTTTTCATAATATTCTGCCATTTGATGGCGTTGCGCAAAACCGAATTTGGGTCGTCCAGAATTTCCTGGTTGATGGTACCAGCAGCAACGAACTTGGAGAGATCATTTGGGAGTCTGAGGGTGGAAACGATTGAGGCATTGAGATTTTCAAGTTGACCAGGCTGCAGTGGCTTGCCGTCAAGTACTGAGAATGGCACCAAGCTGACCAGTGGGATCTCAGGTGGACCTGGAGAATCGCTAGTAGGTGCCAGGCATTCCGCATTAATAGTTGTGCCATGTGGAATTGATCCCATGCGGACGAGGGAATCTCCGAGCACTGGAGTATTATTTGTAGCCGGAACGTTCATCCATAGCCCAGCCTCGAAGTGAATACCAGTTGGGGCACCGTCAGCCCTTCCAGTTTTCAAATTTGTCACGTCGTTGACAACCTGTATATAAGATACTCCGTTGAGAAAGATATCGTCCTGCAAGGCCAAGCCCCTGTTGGGCACGGCACCCAAGGATTGAGAAAATGTGATTGTATCATTTATCAGATTTAGCTCCAAGACGTTGTCTCTTGGAAATGTTGTCGTGTTCAGTGGGCCGCTGTTCGGGCGAAAGATTGTGTTCAAACCAAGGCCATTGAAGGTTCCACTGAAGTTTGCCAGCACACCCAGCGGCGCCGGTACACTGGGCCCCGGCACTCCCCCAAGGGGTGCCGGCGCGATCTGGAAACCAAGGGGAAGAGAAATCGCTGCCATAGTTTCTGAAATAGTCTCTGCACGTTTCTGTCAGTGCTCATTGAGTAGAACTGAGTGAATATGGTGAAAAAGGACCGGAAATCATAATTGACTTTATATTTGAGAAGCACTGTAAGTATTGGTTGTGGAGGAAGCATCCAAAATGCTTCATGTTGTTCGAAGTCACTCGGATATTCCAGCACTGGCATGTTGACCAATCAGATATCTTGCCCTTGTTCGGCCCATTTTGCCTCATACTTCGCGTATTGCCTTTATTAGAGACTAAACTAGGCGTTGTTAGACTCCTTGCGGCACACAGTGAAATGCTATAGGATGTTGCGGGAATGAAGAGCATACGAATGAAATTTGGGAGACGGGTGAACTTCTCTCGCCCTAGACAGCATAACCCACTATCCGAAAGGCCGATTAGCTTTGGGTGGGAAGAAAAATATCCGGCATCTAGTATCCTGCTTCAACATTCTTATTCAAAGGTATGCATTAATTCAAATGTGATAAAATGTGACAATGGAACTGTTACTCTTTCAAATTCACGTTCAGCTGTCTAGGACCCTGAGCATATTCGGAGCCTTCCCCGGTTAGAGGTACCGGCGGGGGAACCCGTTAAAAAAGTCCTTTGCAAAGGGGGACGAGTCCATATATTCCTCTTCCCTCTAAAGTCTATCAAATCTTAGCATTTCCTGATTGGATCTTTGTCTTTTAATCGAATATCTCGATCCTATCTATTTTGCTAAAAAGGATTCTCGGACAGTCACGTGGAAGGGTGGGGTAAGTGGAATTATTTTTTTGATAGGGGAAAACTACCGCTAGCTCCAGCACGTAGGCTTGCCATTCTCGGCCAGCTTTCCTAGGCATATTTTGATGGTATTAGCACTATAGCAGGCTAATGTAACGGGCTAGACCCATTTCGTACTATATGGCCTTGCCATGTAGCTATCTACGCACGCTCCCCATCTGCCAACGCCCCGCCTACTATGTAGGTTACCCGCGGGTCATGCCAAGGTCTACAGCTTACCGGGTAAAATAATAAGCAAATAGTGGAACTTAAGCGTCTAAAGAGGAATCGAGAGCACGAACAGATCAATAGTTAGGTTCTCTGCCAAAGAATATAAAATGCCAAACATTTAGCGTCATCTCCTGTTACCCGCACTCATATAATTTTAGGGTTCCTGTATGTCGGTGAACTTGAGATATATCACCCAATCAATCGAGAGTGTCTATACCCTTGACTGGCTCGATGGTTATGGAGTCGATATGGGACGGCCAGGAGTCACATCTAATGCACTATATTGCACGTACATTATTGGATTTGTACGATAGTTTACTTCTTAGCATATGCGTGATGTTGTTTAAATAATACTATACAAAAAGTCTCGATCCGATGTCTTCGTTAAGCAGGAGTAGCTTCCCAGAGCAAGGCCTGTTACGATTCTGATGCGTAACCTGTTTGGTAACCTAGATTCCTAAGGCTCGCTCCACTGCATGATACCCCCAGGGACTCTCCGTCCTACGCACTCTGGCCGCTTTCCCCATGTTGACTATTCTCATTGTTAGCCTCGGTGGGGTCGAGGTAATCCGGTCACCCCGCTAGCGACGAGGTGACCTACCTGTGCGGCTGTTGGGAATCATGGGCTCGGACCCGTCTGGGCACACCCGTGGCCCGCTTGGTGGGCGAGAGAGCCAGAGCTCAGAAGCCCCTCGCATCGTACGCGAGGCCTTGTTTGTTGAGCATGCTCTCTGCTATGGGGCCGATGGTTCTCTTCGTCATGGCGGCGCCATTACAGTCGCTGTAGGTTGAACGGAGGATGCGGAGAATTTCCGAACCTGTCTGATGGAGGCGGAAAACAAGCTTTTTGTTGATCACGTATTGCACCTGCTCGAAGGAGAAGAACTGCCAAAGTGTCTTGCAGCCGCTCGGCCAATGTTCTGGCTTTTAATCCACCAGAATACGCGATGCTGGACGCCATAAGCCTGGACGGCCTTATTGTAGATCCGTCAGGTCCGCTTGCTGTCATCACAGTAGCGGCACCGGACCAGCCTCGCACCAGTCCCCCTCAAAGGCCTCTGAGGTCACGGTGTGGAGGCGCGGGTCATGCGACGAAACCACACCACATCGCATTGAGGACACGGTCAATCATTCGCAAGGGCTGAACCAGCATGCCATACGGGATTTCGGAGGTAAGTGGTACTTTATGGAATGAAATGGTGCGTACGTTCCATGGCGCATATTTGCCCAAGCGTGGCGCAGACAAGGAAGGTAGGTGGTAGGTGAGTCAGAGATTGAAGGGGAGGAATATTACAAAAGAGGGTTTAGAATACGGGAGAGGATGATTAATTATCAAGGACTGACTCGGTATCTACAGTAATGGAAGACCTGGTTAGGATCAACAGACGTAGTTGGGATGAAGGGACGTAGATACGATGAACGAAAAGAGATGGGGCGAAAGTGAAGTCAATTAGAGGCCCCTAGTATTCGATCATCTAATATTCATCGACATGCCAGGCATCCTGATGAAGTTAGGATGGAAGAGAACTCGTACGAGGACGATAGATCAGTCAGCCAGCGCCAATAATTAGCAGGGTGATCCCTGGGTCAGCTGGAGCTTCCGTAAGCATCAGGAAATCCTTATAGGGCAACAGATTCAGACCCTCCACCTGACTCGTATCGATCTTCCGCCCTCAGTCACCAGGCGAACTGCAGCTTTGCACAAGCTATCTAGGACACATAAAAGGAGATTCTTCATCTTTTAAGCTACCGCTATTTGCCTCTGGGTTGGTCTCCATCATAACATATTGTAGGTTGCGGGGCGCGAAATCAATGTAATGTGTAGAATTATTTAAATATTCTCTTTTAAATCTTCTGTAATGACGATATATATTTGCACGACTAAGAGTTACTGTGGTTATGTTATGGGGGATAGAACGTGACGGAGAGAGTGAACCGTAAGGATCTGTCGCTACGATCAGTGTACCAAAATGAGATAAATCGGCGATTAGGGGTGGAATAACCTATGAATGGAAGACCTATCTTCTTCATTGAAACAATCATATGTGATAAAAACAGTAAGGAATCCTTCCTGAGTAATATCCAAATGTATCCTGCGATGGCAGTGTTTTGCTGGGGCCCTCAGTTGTAAAACAAGGTTGACTCTACAACAGCGGTGACCGCTCGTTTTCCTGATATTACAAAATTGCCTGATAACTTTGCAATTAAAAATTGTTCCTATTCCGCTATAGGGTAGGCTAAATGCGGTATTCCACGAGCCTAGAACACTAACATCTCTGCCGCTTTGCACTTTCCATAGCTTTCCATTTACGGACTTGGCGACTCAAACCAACCCAAATCCACCTCGTCTAGAGAACCCCATAAATTTACCATCTTCTCCATCAAATCCTTTCTGCCTTCTACAGCTAAGACCTCCATGACAGCACGATACGCCGAGTTCAACGCGCCAACAACCCACGCATGTCCACTACTCGTAGCCTCACCCGCTGTATGCAATCTCCCTTTACAACTCGGCCTAAGCAAGGCCGGGAGGACGTCCGAAAACTGTGCAGGTGCAAACAGGGCATAAGCACCGTCAGAGTAAGGATGGTTATACCAGTCCCACAAATATGTATCGATCAGCTGGTCCTGGAGGAATGACACAGATATGTTATGAAGGCGTGCCATATCCTCCAAGACTACATGTGTAATGAACTCTTCCTGTGTGGCACTTCGGTAAAAAGCAGCCAGCCGAGCAGCATCCTGACTCCATGTATAGCTGGCGATCATTGTACCAGGGGCACCGTTGACCTCAAGTCCGTAGGATGGGTACACACAACGTCGGATGGGGAGGTCGGTGGAGGATTGTCCGCCGACGAAGGGCATCGACAACACGTCGGGATCTTCCCACCAACGGGTCTTGAACCACATGCCGATTTTACCTGCGTCATCATAGGCTAAAGCGCGCCAAGCCATTGTGGTATTGTAATGGAGATCAGACAGTGCCGAAGTGTCGAGGACTCTTGTGGCTCCTAGTGGAATTGTGTTGATCACATGGTCATACGAATGCTCAAATGTATGGTTGACGACAACCGTGAGGGAATCTGCTCGTCCAGGCTTGATGGCGGTGACACGGTTGTACAGTTTCGGCTGGGTTCGCAGAACTTTGAGAAGTCCCTTGATTAGTCTCTCGAACCCGCCGTTGATCGTGACCCATGAGTCAAGAGGAGCAGCCGTGAATATCCATTGTTCGATGACTGCTTGGGCTAGTGACGCTTTATCGAAGGACAAAGTTCCTTCCTCAATGGTCTCTAACCAGTTAATCTGCGCATTTGTAAACCCTTTCTGCAAAAAGTATGCCCGGACGGAGACCTGGTCGAACTCCATAAGTTTATTAAACCCGGCATCGAAGTTCTGCTCCAGTGCGACTATCAGCTCGGAGATCGCGTCATTGTATATCGTATCGGGGTTGCCATCCGCAAAATCAGAGGGTGGGATATCACCACCTTCAGATGTTAAGACACGGAACGTGGCTGCGGAGGCATTAACGCCACTGTGAACAGATATATTGTTATATAGCTGGAATGTATTGTTTGTGGCGAAGATGTATGGGATCAGATCGATTGTGTCGGCTGGTTCCCTGACATGCGAGTTTACGTAGCTAACAACGGACCAGTTTTGCGACCCGATGACTCGGTCCATGTAGGGCATAACAGGAATTCTCATAGCACCCACGTCCTACCTTTCTAGTCAGCTCGGTACTCCTAATACGCTGAGCCGCAGCTATAGCTCCAACTTACAAAATAGTTGTAATACGCAGCCTCTTGTGGCGTCGCTTTCTTTGAAACCTCCGGGTCAAAATAATGAGTATAGATCCTTCCGCCCGCCCTCCCGTCTGCCTCCAAGATCTCGAAGTCAACATCAAGGCTCTGTAGCATCAAAGCTGAATACAATCCGGCAGCACCTGCACCAATAATACCAACCCTCGGCGGTTGTGATAACGGATGGCATTCCTGGTCACATAGTAGCTCCGAAGCACTAGGAGGAAACGTGTTGTAGACTCCCGCGCGAGAGATCAGCTCGCGAAACAGTCGAGCCCGAGCGGTGCCGGCGTCAATAGAGCTTTGGGCGCCGTTCACGCACAGGGAAATTAAAAAACCAAGAACAAGGAGACAGTAAAGATGGCTCATTTTTAACCTCTCTGTTATCCAGTGTGAGAAAGAAATGAAAATGAAGCACAACGAAGGAGAATTGCAGGAGCTTGCGGTCTTTACGAGCACTTAGAACCCATTGTATAAGGAATGTACATGTAACAGTAACCACTTAACCGAGCAGCTACTACTTTCTTGTTATTTCCTAGGCACCACAGAAGAATGAGATATTTTTCGATAATCTACTGTTTCTGTAGATATCCCGTCATGGACCCCATTCTTGAGCCGACGACGTAGATAAAATCAGCTGACCAGATAAGTTCCAGTAAACCATTATTGTTTTAGTAGTGAACTTTAATAGGAATGTAGGACATGTATGTGGACAAACGCCAAATTATCCAGCCTAAAACTTCAAATTTCGAACTATCTTCCTATTGGTGGCAAAGTTTAGCACCGGCACAAATACCTGAAAGTCTTCTCTTGAGATTTTATTGCGGAATCCCAGGGTAACCACGATATTTTGATGAAGGAATTTGGACTGTGTAAAGCCGTGAAAAAAACATATCCAGTTGACAAAAAGGTTATTTGCTTCCTTGAATAAATAACAGCTACATACTCAGCAAGGGGCAGTTGACTGACATAAGTCCTACCTGGAAATCTATATATGTCATATGTTCATGAGCACTTTCCTACCATTTCATACCAAGTTTCGGAAGCGTCAGCCAATCTAAAGCGGCCAAAAATCGAATTACGTCTCATACACTATAATCTTCACCCTGTTCACAATGTTTCACCTGCTGGTCCTAATTGCTATTATTTCCTGCAGTAGAATTGTCGCTGCCATCGATCTTACGCTGACACAGCAACTCATGCTTGCGCCAAGTCGCTATGCAAGATATGCATTGCTGAAGGATGAGGATTTCCTATTCGATTTCGACAACGGTAACAGCAGTGATATTGTTACTGGTGGATATCTTGCTGATGCTACAAGCGAGACCTTCCCCGCTTTGGTTGGCCAAGGTGTGGGAATGGCTATTGGTATTTTGGGGCCATGCGGGTTTAATACGCCTCATTCACATGTTGGAGGCACCGAATTCTTTATTGCGCTCAATGGAACGCTTCATTCGTACTTGGCGCTTGAGCCCCCGGCCACAAACTCTGGCGCTACTCCCAGGGTCGTCAATCTCACCATCAATGCCCTTCAAGCTACCATCTTCCCCCAAGGCTCCACTCATATGCAGTTCAACCCCAGCTGCGAAACCCGTGCATTTGTCGCTGCATTCGGAACTGATGATTTTGGACGGGTTCAGCAGTTCGAAGCGCTTTTTTCCGTACCTGACGATGTGCTCCAAGACAGTCTCGGCGAAACACTCAGTCCTGCCCAGATTGACAACGTCCGGCAACATATCCCTGGCCTCGCCATGAAGAGCATCAGTCAGTGCAGAGTGAAATGCGGAACGTCACAACATTGGTAGTACTCATCCACGAAAGGTATTCACCAGGAAGGGTTGAAGCAGCTCTGTGTTAATGGGATGCCTGATACGGCTTGTCAGATTGGCTCTCACCGACACTCACCATATATTTTCTTTTCGATTTTGTTTGTCTCCTATTTCATTCTATAAGGCTTTCCATTCTACTTTTTGACGGCTCAGACCGGGCAGCTCTGTGACTGTCTTAAGCTGCCCCTTGCCGTAGGACCTGGACCTGTTTCCCGTGGGCTCATTCTCCTTCTTTTATCGAGATATATTTCTATAGTGCCTCGACATTAGTTTTCTATAACCCCCATGAAACTATCTTCGAAATTAGTTTACTTTATACTATTCCATACTAGTAGTTATTATCCTACACCGCATTCTACGCGTCTCCTAATTCTATATCTATAGGTAGAGATAAAGAGCTCGACTCATATATGACAGGATCCGCATGTGAAATATGAAGATATACTCGTAGACGATAATAAGTTTAGAAGCGGTTAATTTGCAGGCTTTTACAAGTTGAAATTATCCGGAAAATCTTATGATATGTAGGATAGGCTCTATTAGCCTGTCGACCAGGTAAGGAAGACAACCGAATTTTGGTAGAGAGGAGGTCAAGGATAGCGACTAGATTGGATACAACGTAGCACGTATAATTCTTTTATCGAGGTTCTTTAAGAAGTCCTTTAGTAGTATCTTCTCTCGAACGGCCGAGTATTAAGAAAATAAGAACATTAGATATACGCCCTAGTGTTTATACTTATAGCCCGGACTTAAGTGAAAGTAGGAGACTAGGTGATCTAGGTAAGAGTCCTCGCCCTATTCTCACCCGCTCTTACCCTATTCTCACCCCGTTCTCACCTCTATCACCCTAGTCTCCGAACTTCTCACCTATATCACCCACACTTACCCTAAAATCAAATCTCAAGCTATTTTAGAGCTTAGGGCGCATTGAGAATTGGCCGCGTACTGTAATAGGTTTAACTACGGCTGAGCGGACGGGAAGCCCTGTTCTCTATACCCTATAGTCGTATATGCTAGACGTTGAGTTGGAACAAGATATATACTCTAAAACTTTGTAAGTATAATATATAGAGTTCTAAATGTATCGTTAATGATCACAAACAGCCTGTGCTATTTACTTTCAAAAGATGTTTCAAGAGTCACGGAATCGAGATAGGACCCGAGATAACACAGGAACACAGCCCCTGAGATAAACCCTAACTGAATCCTACACTAAGCCTCTTTTGGTCCGATCTGGCGGGGCTTCATCCTGTGCTTGTCGATTGACTTCCAACGTTCACTTTAAGTCCAACCCCAAATAGTTTCCATCACCAAAAGGCCGCCTACCATGGCTCCAGCATACTTGACTGGCGCTTGCCTATGCAAGAACATAGCATACCGCATCACTCTACCCACGCCAGTTTCCTTGCCAAAGGTAGGCACATTCCAAATACCTACTCCTCAAACCAAAAGCCCATTTTAACACACTCAATAGGTAATCCTCTGCCACTGCACAAACTGCAAACGCTACACAGGCTCAGGCTTCTCCGCCAACATTGTCGTGCCACGATCTACTTTCGAGTACACCAAGGGTTCGCCCAAATTGTACTCAGATCGCAGCAACAAGGGCGTAATCGTGCTGCGCGAATTTTGCCCTGATTGTGGCTCACCGTTTACGTCGCGATCTGGCGATGATGAAGAGGAGGTTGCGGTCAAGTCGGGGACTTTGGATGATGAGGACCGGGTTAAGTGTGCGGAGTTGGGGTTGGAGATTTATTTTCATCGGAAGGATCAGTGGGTTGATGGGATGGGGGATGGGGGTGTGAAGAGGGTTGATGGGAGTATGGAGGGTTAAACAGGAGAAGATCAGAAAGGGCATATGGCGGGTTTCTGATCAGTGAGAGGCGGTTGGATTCCATTCTGGTATACTCAGGTTGGCTTCACTGTGTGGGCAAAGCTGTCATTCGCTAGGCTGCTGTGTCTATGATTTGGGACCGAATTGAGAATATACGAAAAGTTCCGTATCTTGTCAATAATGATATTAAGCGAAAGTCTAGAGATCCTTCTAGCTTAGTGATAGCGTTGAGCAGTAGAAAACAAAGGCCATTTAATTAAGCTATGTACTAGTGAGTAAAGGTAAATATCTACCAAATAAAGACATGAACTACCGGGTCTACCATGATAGCAAGCGTATTTCTTTCATCTTTCAACAAGTCTAGGGGTCGCGTGGCAGTTTTGCCTTTGCTCCTAAGTTAAAAGACCATGGATATCATCGAAATACTCGACTGGAGGTTCGTTGACAGCGTCTTTAGCATGCCGGTCCGCTTCCTCATTCCACTGTCTTGGGATCCGCCAAAATTGTACACGCATTCCCTCCTTTCCATACAATTCAATCTCGCCGAGCAAACACTGCCAGAGGTCCTGGTTTTTGACGGCGGCCCCCGACCTCGTTTTCCAGCCCTTTCGCCGCCACGCCTTTACCCATATTGTTGCACCATTTGCCACGTACTCAGAGTCAGTCGCGATGACCAAGCTCTTACAGCCCTCTCCATCCCAGCGTCTGTACCGTAAAGCGGCGATAACAGCTCGCAGCTCGGCACGATTGCTTGTATGCTGGTGTCTTTCCCCGGTAGGTCCTCTACATTCAAGCGGGAAACTCACACGGCCAGCAGATGGATTTTTTGTACAACGTTTGTAGATGAAAGAGCAACCACCTCTTGCTGTCGGTCCACCGTTATCTGAACACGCGCCATCCGTGTAGATGAGGAATTGGTGCTTGTCATTCGCTCTTTTGAATCGGGCAAGGTACGACGGCAAACATCCTGAGGGATTTCCACCCGAAAGTGGAAACAATCCTTGTGGCCTGTCTGTCGGTTGCGGTGGAACAAACTTCTTCGGAATTACGCGTCCCGTGAAGCTGCCAAGGGGCCGAAACATTTCAAAGTCGGGCCGTACGGGGTTTGGGCGCGAGTTGGGGCCCGGCGAGCCGGGGAGCATAATGGCGAATCCAGCATGCGCTGTTGGCTCCAAACTAGAACCAGACTCGGCTGGAAGGGGATCGGACGGTATGAAACCAAGTTTGCGTAGCCCCTCTCGCACCTTTTCCGGATCGACTTCGAAGTCAGAATCATCGGTTTCCTCTTTACAATCTTCATCTTCATACATGAAATCGTAATCAACGGTGCAGATACCACAGCCACCCAGTCGATGTGGACCACAGACTAGGTGGCCGTTGGGAAGTTCGAAGGGGCTATCTGGACGGAAAGTCATGTTGAATCTGTCAAGGTTGAAGTGAAGTGTTTAGTGAGGCTGATGCAAATTTTCGGCTCAAATGGAAGTAATTGACTTTTGAATATTGCTGGTTGATAAGGCTAATGGGAAGAAGTTAAGGCTTGATACGGATCGGGCGTGGCTTCACACGGTGTTTTTTTAATATCTTTTTTCGAGAATGAAGGTAATCTGATTTTCAAGGTCTAGACCAGAACCTAGCACAGCTGGAACCAGCCTGCGTATATCGAGGTAAAAGATTGGCGCTGTTGCGGTATCCCGTCGTCTCAAGATAATGCGGGTCAGGCACAAGAACGAATTCAGAAGTCAGAAGAATAGAGAGCGAAGACACGGGCAGGGCCACTACTCGGTTCTCAACCTTGCAAAAAATAGAAGATTTGTACAAGTGCTTTGAGACTGACGAGGAGGGAAGAGGGGTAGACGAGTTTGTGCCAGAAACGGCTCGACACTGTCCATCTCATAGCGGTGTATAGTCTTTAAAGACCGCCCGATGCTCCGCCTTCATTATTAAAGCTTTCAATTGACAGTAACAGGATCAGTGGCGAGCCACAGCAAGTTTAAATATAATGAGCAGAATCATTTTTATAGTTAGTAGACATAGCTGGTCATTGACTTCTCCTGAGCGTGGAGTACTCGTGCTCTGTTAGCATGCCACCACTACAAACCTGGTAGTTTCTGCTGGACAAATCCTAGTCAGAAAGGATTGCTGCCTGAGCGTTCAACCGCATCAACTCGTTGCTGGTCACATGACCGTTCCATCGTTAGAGGGATGCTTGAGCTAGATCGATGATTTAGTTCGCTCACGCGATCATGTAGTGGCTATGTCTGGTTTAAAGGCTTGTTCGCTACCCCGAAGCTTCTCACGAAAATTACTACTATAAAGGTTGGGCTTGCTGGAGTTAGCGAGGGCCGGAAAAACCAGGCCCGTAGAGGATACGATTTTCCGGAACGGGCACTTTCAAACCCCGATGCTGACCCCCACGTTTCCCGATCCTTACTCGATTTTGGGCGAGGGAACTGGATGTTCTTGCTCTTGAATCATTGGCATTTCGATGAGGACTCGTTGAGGTTGAAACAAGTAGTCAAGCAGTCGAGATGACCTGCAAGGACTATTGGCCTATTATATGTGGTCCTCGTTGCCGAGCTATGTTCATTGATTTGGGGGGGATGTAGTGCTTTGAACTTCACAGGTACAAGTTAATTCGCAGCTTTAAATCGACAGAAAATCCATCCTCAAGATTTCTTCCCATCGACAATGCATGTTCTTTTGGCTAAAGACCAGTTTAACCACAGGAGTTAGTTAACTTTAGGTACCTAACCTTGAATTGGATGACTCAGCCGCGGCTATGGTCTTCCCATCAGGTACACCGGGGATATTCCCAACAGGTTGTGCTTTATTGTGGAGATTCGGATTTCCTGGAATTTTTTGACTGTTCCCGTGGACTCTGGCCTGGCAACGGATGGAAATTCTACCCTGCAGACCGTACCGAAGGAGTAGGAAAGTAGTGAATCGTCTCGAGGGGCTTGCTTATCTGCAGTTCCGCATGCGCCTGAATTGTTCCGTTGGTCAAGTGACTCGTTCGATCGGACTTGCGCCACTCTGCGGAGCAACTGCCGCGGAAATGGAAATAGAACAGTCTATCTGATAGCGTCCAGACACACTGTAAATAATAGTCAAGTGATAACTTCAAAGTACTCCTACGGTACGACTGCATAGTCTCGGTCTTCAGTGTGAATTATCGGCTAATTTCGTGCAAATCGGAGCAGGGTCCTCCGGGCGGCTCCCGGTGTACCTGTCCTTGGGCCTGTTGGAGAAGCGGCCCGGCAAGTGCGTCTGGTTATATTCCCACCGGGACCACCGGCCACGGGTAATGAGGGATGGTGATGGAGGAACATTCGCCGTGGATAATAATCCTAGGATGACAGTACTCCGCGATCTTGAGTTTTTTTAGTCAATTGGGCGGTTCTAGAGGGGGGGCTTAAATAATTCCCGAGTAATCCTTACATTATAGTTGGACCTGAGTGTACAGTCGTATGTACCTTTACTATGTGGATACTATGCAGAGGTACTTCAGGACCTCGCCACTGCCCCTTGCTGAGTCAGCCCGATGGGCGGAGGCGAACTATGGTTGCCAGAGAAAATCCAGAAAAAAGAATGATGGCAATGAGCCTTTTCCAAAGCCGGTGCTTTGTTCTTTTCGTGTCCGATTATCGTGTAGAATGTAGATGCTGCGATGGGATGCGTGATTCGAGAGTTGTCGGGTGACCCCTGCAGAGACTGGCAATGATTTATCGGGGAGACAACCAAAGCGAGGAATTGCGTAGAGGAATTGAGTAATCCCCATTCGCATGTACCACGTTCTGGCGGTGGTGGACGAAGAACTTACTGGGCGGAGATTGCCCCACCAGACATCATCGCTCACTCTGTCCCTCCGCCCCCCCCCCCCACCAACAAATACACTTCCCCTCCTCCTCGTCCCGCTGCTTTCTCTCTTTTTCTCTTCTCTTTCCCCATTCATAATCATATTCATAGTAAGTCGGACCTTGACTGCTTACCGGTGTCTTCCACTAATTCTCCTCTAGAATCTGCCATCATGGGTTACACTGATCTGGACCAGTTGGCGATCAACACCATCCGCGTTCTCGCGGTATGTCCTCTCATCTCATCCACCCCCCGCTGCTGACGCGCCGGTGCTTCGGATGCCATTGGAGAGGCCATTCACTCCCAATGCATCGAGAACCAGCTGCGCTGCAATGAATATACCATCTACCACACAACGAGCTTAAACTAACGCTGCGCTCAGGTTGATGCCACCTCCAAGGCCAATTCGGGCCACCCCGGTGCCCCCATGGGCATGGCCCCCGTGGCCCACGTTCTGTTCAACAAGTTCATGGACTTCAACCCCAAGAACCCCGACTGGGCCAACCGTGATCGTTTTGTTCTCTCGTACGTGCCTGTTTGCAGCTTTCTGAGCTTCTGCCGTCAGGGAAAGATTTCTACCTTTCTCCGAAAGCTCCCGGACGCTCCCAACGGAACCCCGCGCCTAACAAATCATGATTCAACAGTAACGGCCACGGCTGCATGCTCCAGTACGCTCTGCTGCACCTCTTCGGCTACGCCCTCACTATTGACGACCTGAAGAACTTCCGTGTAAGTACTGCCACGAAGCATTGGCCTCTCAACCTGGCTCGGTGCCACACATAACACACCCATACTGACTTGAACCCCAACAGCAACTCGACAGCATCACCCCCGGTCACCCTGAGGCTCACGACACCCCCGGTATCGAGGTCACCACTGGTCCTCTGGGTCAGGGTTTCGCCAACGCCGTCGGTCTGGCCATTGCCCAGGCCCACTCCGGCGGTGTCTTCAACAAGCCCGGCTTTGAGCTGTTCAACAACTACACCTACACCTTCTTCGGTGATGGCTGTGCCATGGAGGGTATTGCCTCCGAGGCCGCCTCCATGGCCGGTCACCTGAAGCTCGGCAACCTGATTGCCATCTACGACGACAACCACATCTCCATTGGTAAGATTTGGCAAAGTTGGAAATTCCCCGTCATAAGAGACTAACACCTTTGTTTTCTAGACGGTGACACCAAGTGCGCCTTCACCGAGGACGTTATGAAGCGCTTCGAGGCCTACGGCTGGCACACCGAGTGGGTCAAGGACGGTGACAACGACCTCCAGGCCATCGAGGATGCTATCCGCAAGTGCCAGCAGGTCAAGGACAAGCCCTCCGTCATCAAGTTGACCACCACCATTGGCTTCGGTTCCAAGCTTGCCGGTACCGGTGGTGTCCACGGTAACCCCCTCAAGGCCGACGACGCCCAGCAAGTCAAGAAGCTGTTCGGCTTCAACCCCGAGGAGAGCTTCGCCGTTCCCCAGTCCGTCTACGACCTGTACCACCAGCACGCCGCCAAGGGTGCTGCCAAGGAGCAGGAGTGGAACGCCCTCTTCCAGAAGTACCAGCAGGAGTTCCCCACCGAGGGTGCTGACCTCGCCCGCCGTCTCGCTGGCCAGTTGCCCGAGGGCTGGGAAAAGAGCCTCCCCACCTACACCTCCGCCGACCCCGCCATTGCCTCCCGCAAGCTGTCCGAGGCCGTCCTGGAGAAGGTTCACAGTGTTATCCCCGAGCTGCTGTCCGGTTCCGCTGATCTGACTGGCTCCAACAACACCCGCTGGAAGAACGCTGTCGACTTCCAGCCTCCCGAGTACGGCATTGGCGAGTGGTCCGGCCGCTACCTCCGCTACGGTGTGCGTGAGCACGCCATGGCTGCCGTCATGAACGGTCTCGCTGCCTACGGTACCGTCATCCCCGCTGGTGGTACTTTCCTCAACTTCGTCTCGTACGCCGCCGGTGCCGTCCGTCTGTCGGCCCTGTCCCGCGTCCGTGTCATTCACGTCGCTACTCACGACTCCATCGGTCTGGGTGAGGACGGTCCTACTCACCAGCCTATCGAGACTCTGGCTCACTTCCGCGCTCTGCCCAACTGCATGGTCTGGCGCCCCGCTGACGGCAACGAGACCAGCGCTGCCTACTACTCTGCCCTGACCTCCAAGCACACCCCCTCCATCCTGGCCCTGACCCGCCAGAACCTTCCCCAGCTGGAGAACTCTACTATTGAGAAGGCCATCAAGGGTGGTTACGTCGCCATCGAGAACCCCGAGGCCGCCGTCACCATCATCTCCACCGGTTCCGAGGTCGGCATCTGTATCGACGCCCTCAAGACCCTCGAGGCCCAGGGCATCAAGGCCCGTGTTGTCTCCGTTCCTTGCTTCGAGGTCTTCGATGCCCAGTCCAAGGAGTACCGCCTCCAGGTCCTGCCCGACGGCATCCCCGTTCTCTCCGTCGAGGCCTGCTCCACCATGGGTTGGGAGCGCTACTCCCACGAGCAGTTCGGTCTCAACCGCTTCGGTGCCTCCGGCCCTTACAAGCAGGTGTACGCCAAGTTCGAGTTCACCCCCGAGGGCATTGCCAAGCGCGCCGTTGCCACCATCGAGTTCTACAAGGGCCACACCGTCCGCTCGCCTATCAACCGTGCTTTCCAGCAGATTCTGTAAGCAGTGGGTTTTATGGCTGGCTAGTTTAAAATTCTCCTTTTGGGTTTGTTCGATTTTTTTTTAGTTAAGGGTGAATAGCCCTTAGACCTGTTTATGAATGATATAGAGCGATTCTTGGTCAATTGATCTTTCGTAGAGTAGTAGTCTGTTTCATGGCTGTCAGCGGTATACTTTGAGTTCTAAGCAGGGACCTGTATCCTCCAGACAATATACTGTACAGTGCCTCCTCTGGTCCCTTTGGAGCGATGAAGTGCAACGATTCGAATAGGGAAGGCCTTTCACCACTGTGATATTTGGTTTTTAGTTGGTAATTTCAAACTTCGCTAGTCCAGCATCAATGTATAAGATGACCACCCCTCACTGCCTTCAGTAGTCTACTAAAAAGGTAGATATTCATCCATCAACATATCCATAATCCGTTTCTCTACCTCTCTATCTCCAACCGTCCCAGCCATTCCTAACCATCCCCAGCACCCCTTCCATTCTCACCATTACCAATAACCACTTCCTTCCCTCCCACAGACTCCAAAGCCCTTCCATACCCTTTTAAAATCCTCATCCCCACCAACTCCCCACTCCAATAAGCCCCCGTCAAAGTCCCCAACGCAACAAACGGCGCCGTATGATCCCCCGCAAACCAAATCCCCCTCTCCGGCATCCCAACCCTCAAAGCCCGAATATCATCCTCCAATCTAGACCCCTCCCCTAAACCCTCCTCCCCTCCATCCTCCCGTGGCTCGGGCGTTTTGAAATTCATATACGACCCGTACCCGGCTAGCTCATCATTCTGCCAATTCGTAGCTAATACGGCGCGGGGTCGGCAGTGTGGATTGGTCGCATCGTAGTTTGGTAGGAGCGCGTAGTAGGGGCGGAAGAAGTCGTCGATTACATGGAAGTATTCTGGTGAGGAGGGTGATAGTGTGTTGATGGCGGATGTTATGTGTGTTGCGCAGGGGCCGTAGATGCCGAAGAGGAGGGTTGGTTGGGCGTGTGTGCCGAATGTGATCGTGGACGAGAGGGAGTTTACCTCTAGTGTCCAGGATTGTGGGTTTTCGGAGGGCGAGTAGATTGGGTGCAGGAAGTTTGCGAAGGATTGGAATGTTGATTTGGTGGTGGTGGTGGTGGTGGTGGACTCTGACTCGGGTGATTCCCAGAATGCTCTGGGGAAGGTAATGTAGACTTTCTCCAAGCGGCTATATGAAGTATTTTTGATAGCATTGGTAATTGCTGGCGAGAGTGGTGGTTCGAATTTCGGAGTGCCACATTTGAGTGCTCCCAGAGGGATTGTGACGACTACGTCGTCGAATTCCCAGGTCTGGTTCTCGGTGGACGTTACGCGGACTTTGCGGTCGCCTCCTTCTAGACTGCTTTTGTTTTCGAAGTTGATCACCTTGGTTCGAAGGTGAATGTCTGCATGTTTGAGTGCCTTGTCTGCAATTTTATATAGGATCTTGGCATGGCTGCTTGCAACGTAAAGATTGTCTGGTCACCTTGTCAGCGTTTTCCCAAGGTAGACATATCAGACACAGAATGCTAGGGATTTTGATAACCAACAGCAACAATTTACTCACCTCCATCGAGACATTCTTCAAGCCAGAAGTACTTTAAACTTTGCCGTTCCAAGGGATCACCTATAAAGGCTCCCCCACATCTCCGCCATCTGTAAGACTAACGTCTGATCCTGTTGAGACAGTCCTTTCTTGCCGATCTGGTCAATGAAAAAGTCCTTCAAACTTCTCTCTAGTGAGATATTCGAACTCTCTTCGTTACTGTACTTGAAGGCCTCCGTGATGATCTCCCACACCAGGTCTAAGAGTTCTGTGGCTTTATCATGGCTAATCACTTCGCCATTTTGATCGAAGACGCAGGGGTGATCTTCCACTGTGGAAAGGGTTGTTCCTGTTTGTTTTGCCAAATTCAAGATTGGGTTATTGAGGGTTCCATGTATCCAGTTCGGGCCCCTTGGATGAGAGGTCAGCATCAGTTCAAGCCCAAGTCCCAATAGAAATAATCCAAAGATGGTCTTCATAATGAAAATAGTTTCACCCACATATCAACAGCATGACCAAGCAAATTTTCTTGGTGAACCTGTAAGCATGTGGTTAGCAATAAACTCTCTAGTTATATTCCCATTGTTTCCTATTTAAACACCCAACTTACACGCCCACCAAGTCGATTCCGAGCTTCCAGGACCGTAACCTGGACACCATGATCAAGCAAGATTTCAGCACACCTCAATCCTGCAAACCCCGCTCCGATAACCCCCACGTGAATTTTTCTTTCATCCTTCGCTCGAGATACGTCGTCGCGACCCGTCTCCGCATCTCGTTCTTCTGCCAATGGAGCAAAGTCGCGAGAGCACTGGGCAAGGTCCTCTTCCATCCATGAGATCTGCCCAGGCTTGGTATAGCTCTGTTTGGAATGGGCCTTGGCCTCCATTGTGGTTCAAGGCGACCGGTCTAGCAGCAACGGCTGTGTAGAAACCCCAATCGTATCTACGGCGAGTGGTTTCAAGATCGGGCCACAATAACAAAGCTTGGGAAAGACGAAACCTCACCGCTTTCAAGACCGCCTGTCTAAGAAGAAGTAGATATAAAGAATCATACGTTGCTGCTGCTGGCAGGGTTTGAATAGTACAGTACTACGGGACTTGACTAGTCTGGATCTAGACGGACAGTCGGCGATTATCGGCTACCGTATGATTTGGGTTCCACTTGCGATTGATAACAAAAAGCGTAGATGAGTAATTATGTACAGTACTATGATACTATTCCAAATCATTTTCCGTGGTTCAGGCTATTCTCGACGATGCTGTTCCTGGCTATTCGCTCGTGTGAGCAAGGAAAACATGGCGGGGGAGGGGTAATTTCCTTTTGTGGACAAGTCCCACGCTTTTAGCTGTTCAATCAATCAACTGAGTCGTGATTCGACATCAACTATTCAAGTGTCGAGTCATGCTGGCGTTTCGCCCATTCAAGGAATTACTCGCTACCAATACAGGTAATAGCACACATATCTCACCAAATCTCATGCAGGGTTCCTGCCAACCAAGAATATTATTGCGACATGGCTTCTTCTCGACTCGTCAACATTTCTCTTTCTCTCCGCCCCGCTCTAACTGGATAAGTAATCGGGCCGAGCCTTGCCTAACATGAATGGCATACTGTACTGTACCAAATACTTTAACACAAACCAATCGCGGTATGGCTGGCGGGACGCTTAGCGCTTAGACCCTCCCGTTTTCCCCGCGGCTCCGCCCCTAACCGCCTTAGCACCGAAGCCTGCATCAAAATAATGAAGATAGCCAATGGAATATTCCTGTCTAGCTGGTGCAACTAGCCGTGCATTGAGAGCTGCAGCCGCTAAATAAAACTAGTAACCTCTTTACGTTCCTGATAGGACCACAGGGACTATCTGTCTGTCTCTGGATAGCCCCCAATGTTGACGTGGTGTTTTGATTTAATTTCCTCCGGATGTAGTCACGATGTGTGACATATTGTACGGAGGAAGTCTCCTCTTTGGTCTTATGGCCGTCGCCTATCGGATCTCGGTGTCAAGATACCTGGATTTCCATCGCACTAAGTTGCAAGTCCATGTCGATCGCCTTTTCTGTCTATCTGTCTCCATTCCATCGGCAAATTCCCAAATATGGGTCCGGCAAATCAGCGGAAGAATGACCAAGAGGCCTTATTTGTCGGCACTGGGCAGAGAGGATAATAATGATAGGCCGTATATGAGATTGCACAGCATCGAAGAATACGAATCCAAGGCCCTGACCGTGTGACTCAACTGGATTAGTCGGGGCTGGACCGTTTCGGATCCCTGCTGCGGACTAGCTGCCCAGTCTCAGGGTCGGGATATTCAGCGATTTGGAATATTTTGAACATAAAAACATAAATTTCACAAAGCCAGAGAACTAAGCGTCCGATTCTGGAAATTTAGCAAGGAGAGGCACATCCGGAAATGGCTATGGATACCACTAGTCAGTTAGTACTCCGTAGTAATAAGTCGACTATCCGCACGTACTTTGTTGTTTCGGCATATTAGACTGAATAGATTGATGCATGAGCAAAAACGTGTCTAATCTCGCCCCCACCCCCCACTCTCCCATCATTTGACTCTTTTTGCTTTCGCAGCGCATCTCGGGTTTCCCGGTCTCTTCCTACCTTCTCAGGGTCTTCGATGCCCACGGTCATTTGCGATCATCTTTCGCATGAATGGCGGAGGCACTCGCTATCATCGGACTGGCGTCCGCCATTGTCCAGTTCGTCGACTTTGGAGCCAGAGTGATGCACCAGCTGCACAAATTACAAGATGAAGTCTCCAACGGACCGCAAGCGTACCAGGATATTCGAACTCGCTTGCCATTAATGCTGGATCTCGTGAAGAAGATTCGACTCCAGATCGAAGCCGGAGAAGTGGATGAAACCTCACAGGCCGTGATGCTACCAGTCCTACGAAGCTGTCTCTCACAAGTCCAACAACTCGAAGAACTTTTCATCAAGGCACTACCCCGACCCGGCGGCTCGTCGTGGAGTCGCGGCAAAAAGGCCTTTATCGGCGTGATCAAAGAATCCGAAATAGAAAAGATCGATCTCATCCTCAAAACCAATTTCGATCTCCTCGTACACTCCGGAATGTACCACTCGATGACCCGGATCGAGAGGCAAGATCATGCCGCGCTACAACAGCAGATGGTTAATGTGGTTATTTCACAGCCACCGGCATACACGCCTGCAGAGTACGATTATAAACCCAGATCAGATTCAGTCTGGTCACAGGCGCCTTCAGCGTCTGTATTTATGGTTCCATTTCAACGAGATCCGAAATTCCTAGAGCGCCAGTCTATTATGGAAAATATAGTATCTAAATTCGAGAATCAACGTCGTGTTGCACTAGCAGGACTTGGTGGTGTCGGGTATGTCATTCGCTTCTGTTTGTATAACCAGCTTAAAGCCTGTCAGTGGCTGAAGTTTCGCATGACAAATATAGCAAGTCGCAAATTGCCATCGAATATTGTTACCGATTCAGAGAACAACATCCCGACGCGCACGTTTTCTGGATATACGCAGGGAGTCCCGTCAGATTCGAACAAGGCTATCAGGAAATTGCGAGAAGACTTGCTCTTCCAGGCTGGGATACTGGCAAAGTCGACATTCTGAACCTGGTCCACGAATGGCTTAGCGACGAGCGCAACGGCGAATGGCTCATGATTGTGGATAATGCAGATGACGCTACGGTATTCTTCGGCAACAAGCTTGGCAATAACGCTCAAGAACGAAAGGCTTCGAAACCCTTGGTGCGCTATATTCCGCAGAGTTCGACGGGGTATATCCTCTTCACGACGAGAGATAAACGGGCAGGCGAGAGGTTGTCGGGTCGAGAGAAACCGATTGAAATTTTCCCGATGAATGCGACGGATTCACTCAATCTGTTACGGGGGAGAATCCCTGAAGAGGAATGGTCGGATCCCAATGCCATCAAACTAGTCGAAGAACTCGCCTATTTGCCGCTGGCCATTACGCAGGCGGCAGCGTTCATCAGCGAGAACTGTCTGACCGTCTCTGAATACCTCGAGCTACTAGCTACAGGGGAGGAAGATCTAAAAGATCTCTTGAGTGAAGATCTCGAAGATCTGCGTCGAGACTTGGACACCGAGAACTCGGTGATACGCACTTGGAAGCTTTCATTCGACCAAATCTCTCGAGAGAAAGCGCGCGCAGCACAGATCCTCTCCCTGATGGCGGTATTGGATCACCACCGTGCACCACGAATGCTTCTCCGCAAAGAAGGAGAGACGGAGGTTGGATTCCGGACGGCACTGGGTGCCCTGCAAGCATTTTCCTTAATCAGCGCTGAAAAGGACAAAGATGCCGCCGTGCGGATGCACAGGCTAGTAGCACTTTCCACGAAAAAGTGGTTGGAACTTACGGGCATGCTTCGGCATTGGCAGACCGAGGCACTGAGAGTTCTCTCCGTCAAGTTCCCCGGTCGAGATAGCTACCTTTATGAGAATTGGCCGGTTCTGGAGGCATTGACGCCCCATGCGCAATTAGTCTTCTCGTATACCTTCTCCACGGCTGCGGATCTGCTCGAGTGTGCCAAGCTCTTGGATTTCGCCGCGTTATACGATTTGACTAATGGGAAATATGGGGAGGCATATGAGAAGTGTCTGAAATCATTGGATATTCGAGAAAATTTGCTTCCTGCAAACCACCCCTTGACACTGGACAGTGCGCAAACGCTTGGAGAGACACTGCTTCATCTGGGCGAACTTGCATCCGCGAGATCTATGTTGCAGAAAGCGGTGACCGGACGAGAAAAGACCCTCGGTGACCTCCATCCTGATACATTGGAGAGTGTGAGCGATTTGACGATTACCTTACTCGAGCTTAACGAGCTTGCCGCCGCGGAGGAGACGGCATTACGAGCCCTACAGGGCAGACAGAAGATATTAGGAGAAGACCACCCCGACACCTTTGTCAGTCTGAACATTCTCTCCATGTTATACCAATGTCAGGGTGATCTAGAAAGCGCCAAGGAAACGTGCGAAAAGGTCTTAAAATGGCGACAAACCTCCCTCGGCCCAGAAAACCCCCACACAATCATGACCCTGAATAACATGGCGGTTCTCCAATACCGACGGGGAGAGCACGATCTAGCCAAGAAAACGCTCATAGCCGTGTTAGCCGGGGAAGAGAGGTTCCTTGGTGCGGACGAGGGTTACGATATCCAAGTCAGTCTTAGCAATTTGGCTCGGATATACAGTGAGCAGGGGGATCTCGATGACGCGGAGGCAGCGTATCGGAGGGTGCTCAGGATGCAAGAAAAGATCTTCGGGCCGGATCATCCGGCGACGATGCAGACGGTGAAGAAGTTGACTGGTGTGCTAGTGCAACAGGGTGAACATGATGAGATTGAGATGTTGAATCAATGGGCTCATGGGGAGAATAGTACAGAGGCAGAGGGATGGGAAGGGTTCGGTGCTCTTTCGATGGCGGGTCTTCTATTTGATTGAAGGGAGAGGTCTTGGAACATTTGATGTATATTCAATAATTTGCCTACTAACGAGCGAGCAGACCAGACATATATCCTTCACCTTTTTTGCTATTGCGGAATATCCATTCATTTTCATACTGGCAGAGCTTGAGCCTCTTCTAGTAATAGCAACATGCCGAGAGAGAAATTCGCTAGTCAATCAGCCTCCTAACTATATGGGATTCTTGATCATTTCTCTTTCCTCGCCTGTGCGTGGGACAGTGAGAGAGTATCCTCCAAGGAAATTCAAGTACACGACTACAGGATTGTACCATCAATCGAATGTATTCGCAGATCAAGAGGAAGGGAGAAACGATTCAGCATGATCCAGAATGAATGGATTAAAATATAATTCATAGCCACTCCCAGCTACAGCATCTTTTTTCTCATTTGGAAATTAGATCAGATCCAAAAAGACAAGAATTTTCCGCATCAACCCAGTTCATCAACCGACTTAGTTACCCAGAACCTTGCGGGCAAAGTTGGGCAGAACAAAGCTGGCGCGGTGGATATCCTTGCTGTAGTAACGGCAGAGCTTCTCCTCCTCCTCGCGGGTCCAGGAGCGGAGGGGCTCGCGGAGGTTGCGGTTGGCGTCTTTGCAGCAGACCATGAAACCGATCTGGCCAGAGGGGTAGGTGGGGATGGTGGTGTAGGCGTACTCGACAACGGGGAAGACCTCGCTGCAGGCCTTCTTCAGGTTGGCGATGAGGGGGAGGTGGAGCCACAGGTTCTCGCCTGGAGAATGTTAGGACATGGAACACAAAATGGAAAGAATAGACTAGAGTGAAGGCGACCAACCTTGAGTGGTGATGACACCGTTCTCGGTGAGGGCTTCGTTGAGAAGCTCAAAGTAGGGCTTCTGGAAGAGAGTCTCGGCAGGACCATCGGGGTCAGAAGAGTCGGTGATGATAACATCGAACTCGTTCTTGTGGTTCTTGAGGAACTCGAAGCCGTCACCGATGTACTCCTTGGACTTGGGGTGGGAGAAGCCAATGCTCATGCCGGGCAGGTACTTCTTGGAGACGCGAATGACGGCCTCATCAATGTCGCAGAGGGTGGCCTCCTCGACGCACTCGTGCTTGACAACCTCACGGAGGACACCGCCGTCGCCGCCGCCAATAACCAGGACCTTCTTGGGATTGGGGTGGGAGTTCATGGCGAGGTGGGCGATCATCTCCTGGTAGGAGAACTCGTCGCGCTCGGTGCACTGGATGGCGTTGTCCAGGACGAGGACGGTGCCGTAGTCGCTGCTCTCGAAGACGAGGACATCCTGGTACTTGGACTTCTCGTGGTGCAGAACCTGGTTGACCTTGAGGGTCATGGCCTGGCCGGGCCACATACGGGACTGCTCGGAGAACCAGCCATCTAGAAGTAAAGGGTTAGTGATGCTATTGACGTGAAGAATCAACCATATTGCATGGTAAAGTAATGGGCGCTGGTGCTAATTGTGGGCGATTTGATGGTGCAGTGCAGGTGGGCTGGAGGGGTCAAGAAAGTGGGATGACGTTGAAAGATAGCGGGGTCGGAAATCTTTGCGCAGCGACTGCGAACCCCGGCGGAGCTGGCGAGGAAGATGAGAATTGAAATTGAGGCTTACCCTTGATGGTGGGGTGAGTGATCTCGCTCATGATGACGGTAGAGGTAGAGGTGAAGGTGCGACGACAGACGGGGACAGAGAGGCGTGAGAAGGAAAGTTGAAGAGAGCGCAACATGCGAAAGAAAAAGGCGGCGGTAGTTTTGCTGTTTTGGGCGATTTTTGCTTGGAGCGGTTCAGGTGGAGACTATCGGGCCTTTGGGGCCACTGAAGAGGGCGATGGAGACGCCGAAATGCACAATTGAGGACTAACTGGAGAATGCCCAACGATAATAAAGTAAAGAAAGAGAATCAGTTGGTCATAGAAACTGGAATTGGGCAGGCTTGGCTGGTTCAGGCAAAAGAAAGCATGGAAGCTTAAAAACTCGGGAGACGAAGAAAAAGGCGGGTCTGGCCAATTGAAGAGCCCCAATTGGCGCTGACTGGAGAGGAAGCAATGGATGATAGGCACAATGAAGGAACATGCAGGCATCTACAGAGCATAGTGGCAGACAAATGAAATCCCAATGGGTCGATTGCTTTCTAGGTTACTGTACAAAGGATACAGCTGCTCGGTCTGCATCGCTATGCGCATGCTTAGCCCGGTATACTTCCATCTCTTCTTCCTCAATGATTCTCGGATACTCAGATCAACTGCGCATTTACTCCTCACCGCCACTCTCAAGCAGGCGGCCAGGCTTGGAGTTGAGGAACTCGTTGCTATAAATGTCTGGTATCAGCCCACATTCTCCCCATCAAGTCTGCCTCGGGCTCCCGCAGTTCAATACAAGGGATATCAATCTTACCGCTCAACAGCCCAGTTCATGGTGGCGTAGGCAACAATGAAGGGAGGAACAACGTAGAGAACCTGGTGGCGGAAACGACGGAAGCTGTTGAAGATGGCAGCGTTGAAGGCACCGGCAAAGGGACGCTGGCGGTTGGAGGAGAGGGAGTAGGTGGCAATGCGCTGGGGGGTCGGGCAGCCTAAAAAAGTTCATTCCGTTAGTATTTAATTCCACTGCGGTCTCGGTATATTTCATGCGCGTAAGTTCGATGCTTGTTCGGCCGGATAGGTGGTGGTTGAATCTCTCGGATATGCGCATTCGGGAATTCAAGGAAGCTTCGTCACGTACCGAACTCGCCCCAGTTGCCAATGAAACTAGATGAGATGCGTCAGTTATCTGAGAAAGTCGCTGAGAGTACAGTCGAACAGCAATTGAGGTTGATCAAGGTATCGGTCATTGGGTGCGGTCTGCCTGGCCAATAGAGCGGGTGCAACCGGACACACATCCCCAACGCGACCACCCCCGACCACACCAGAGCTCATAGACAGGGGCCAATGCAAGCACTTACTGGCCGTTCTTAGCGTCAGCAGCACCACCCATTGTGATAAGATCGAATCTCAAGGAAAGAAGGTGTGGAGGAGACGAGGTTGAAGGTGCTTGTAAAGGGCGGAAAGGGAAAAGACGAAGACGAAGTCGGGCGAAGTTGGCACCCGCGCACTAAACCCAATTGGGCGGCCCCGAAAAGCCCGCCATCATCGAAACGACGAACGAGCTCCTCTCCGCAGCATCTCCAAACCTACATCCAACCCCCCAACCTCCCTCACACCATGGCCAACGCCCTGTACAACGTCTACCGGCTAGCTGGCCCTGTGGCAGCCGGTGCTATTCTCTTCAACGCCTCCATCTACGATGTCCGGGGTGGTACTCGCGCCGTGATCTTCGACAGAGTCTCGGGTGTGCAGGAGACTGTCGTCAACGAAGGCACACACTTTTTGATCCCCTGGTTGCAGCGAGCAATCGTCTACGACGTGCGGACGAAGCCGCGCAACATCTCCACCACCACTGGAAGTAAAGATTTGCAGATGGTCAGCCTGACGCTTCGCGTGCTGCACCGTCCGGAGGTGCCGAAGCTGCCTCAGATCTACCAGGTAGGCAAACCTTCACCGCACCTGTCAAACAACATAATCTAATCCATTTCTTTTTTCCATGGATATAGTCCTACGGCACAGACTACGACGAGCGTGTCCTCCCATCCATCGGCAACGAAGTCCTCAAAGCAATCGTCGCCCAATTCGACGCCGCCGAGCTAATCACCCAACGTGAAGCCGTCTCCAACCGAATCCGCAACGACCTGCTCAAGCGCGCAGCGCAGTTCAACATCGCCCTCGAGGACGTCTCCATCACCCACATGACCTTCGGCAAGGAATTCACCCGCGCCGTCGAGCAGAAGCAGATCGCCCAGCAAGACGCCGAGCGAGCGCGATTCATCGTCGAGCGTGCCGAGCAGGAACGTCAGGCTAACGTTATCCGCGCCGAGGGTGAAGCCGAGAGTGCTGATATTATCAGCAAGGCGGTTGCCAAGGCTGGTAGTGGCTTGATTGAGATCCGTAAGATCGATGCTAGCAAGGAGATTGCTCAGACACTGGCCAATAACCCCAACGTGACATACTTGCCTGGTGGGGAGGGCAAGGATGGTGGAAAGAGCACTAGCCTCTTGCTGGGTCTGCGGAATTAAAGAGCGAAATGAAGGGGGGGATGTCGATGAAGATGAGGAAGGAAGAGAGGAATGGCCGGTCTAGCTTGATGCCGCCTGGTTCCTTTTTTTGACCAAACCAAATGTACCAATTAATCGCAAGCGAGACCGTGGGACTGTGGATGAGTCTCGCGGCGGTGGACTTGATTTGTTTGTCCGCCATTATTGATCTGTAGCAATACCAATACCTCTACTCTATCCCATCTGTCTGGCCGAAGGATCTACAAAGCATAACCTTGTCTTCGTGACTAGGGTAAAATATCGAGGTAAATCTTTTCTCATCATGGATTTATATCAATGTATGTCTCTATTGTAAGGTCTTGATAGCCTAAGGGTATCATCACATTTCATATACTTTATCATAGCCATCCACCTTACACCAAACATCCAACAAACCAGCCTACACCCGGCGATACACATGCAATTGATACCTCATATCCTCCAACCCAGCACCCTCCCCAACCTCATACCTCAACCTCGCCGCATCCCGCCTCCACCACCGCGAATCCTGCGTCAAAACTCGCTCCCACTTCCCCTTCGCAACCGAAAGCAGCGTATGATCCAACAAGAACTTCATTGGATACTGTCGCTCCTGTGCAGCCCCATCTTTAGCTTTACCCAGTTTCAGGGTCGAGTAGCTGCCGGGACTATCGACGACGAGCAGAACTGCGTCGACTGGGAGGATCTCGGTCATGTTTAGCAGGAGGGCGGTTGTTTTGGGCATGCTTGTTGTGAAGAGTTCGTTGAGGGCGAACATGAGGGTGACGAGGAGGGATGTTGGAGTGGGAGTGGGAGTGGTCTGCTCGTTGCCCAGGATGAGATCTTTCAAATCAGACTCTGGAAGACCGAGGACATCCTTTTGGGTGAAGGATATATCGAGACCCGTCGCACCATGAGACTCGGAGAGTAAAGGCGGGTGGTACTTTGATGTCTTTTGCGCTGGAACATCCGGTGAAGAAATCGTCTTGGCCAGACGCTCCACGACAATAGACCAATCCGCAATATCAACCGCTGCCACAGAGAGCTTCGGCGATAGACCAGCAGTCTTCTGAGAGTCACTGTGCTCAGCAACACTCTCATCGCCCTCGCCATCAGCTTTCTCCCTCTCCATCTCCTTCCCCTTCTCATCCAAAGAAACCCCCGCAACACCATCCTCCAACTTCGCAATACCACCATCTCCATCCCCATCATCCCTTAAATCCCTCCACACCGCCGCCAACGCAACAATCTCCGCACCCGCACCACCCCCAATACACACAACTCTCGTCCCATCCCCATCCCCCAAACAGCGCGACAAAGATAGATTCATCTCCTCCCCACCCTCCCCAGACCTCATCCACCCCAATACAGCCTTGAAAATCCCCGCATACCCCAACGCCCGCGCAGCACTCCACCGCAACGCATACGCCCTCAGCAATTCCTCCCCGGCCTCAGCAAACGCCGAGTCAAAATCCCGCTGGTACAGGTGTGACTTTATCGTCTGGACAAGGGTCTTTGTATCCAGCGGCGTAGCGGGGGGTCGTGCATTGGGTTGTGTTTCGGGGGAGGCGTGCGGGTCGGTCGGGGTGGTGAGGAGGGCTGTCTTGAAGACATCGAGGAGGAGTTGTTGGACGGGGAGGGGGATTGTTGTTGATAGGTTGATTGGACCGGAGTCTGTGTCTTCTTTTTGTTTCTCGGGGACGGGTTTGGCGTGGGGTGTGCGTTCGGTGGGCTTTTCTTTCTCGGGTTGTTTGGCGGGTTGGCGGATTCGTTGGAGGGGTTTGGAGTCGAAGGTGTCTCTGTCTTTGCGGCGGTTGCCTTGTCGTGCACCTGGCATTGTGTTGGTTCAGATCTATATAGTGTTGATGATATATGTTGATGTGGTATTGAGAATGAATTAGACGAGAATTGAGGGTTCTTAAGGGTGGTTGAACGGCTTAACGTGAGGAAAGTGGGAGATCAACTTTTTTTGGGCTTATCAGCTTATCACAAAGTCAAATTGCCGCTACATAACACCGAAGCGGGAGAGTATCGGATAGATACAATACATCCCCGCCTAACAAAATACAAACAGAATCACGAATAAGAAAGAAGAGGATGATAATAAGGAAAAAGAGCCCATCCATGCAGAGGAGGGTGGGTAAGAATGATATTTCAGGCAGGCCGCCATGAAGCAAGAAAAATGTTTCGAGAAGGAAAGATGAATAAAAGGATGATAAAAAGGAAAAGGTCCAGACAGGGACAACGATCGTAGAGAAGGTCAATAATCAATCCGTGCATGACTCACACAGGTACATAAATGATGGACAAGAAAGATGTGAGCATATCATACTCAGGAGCCAGCTACGGCGATCCCAAGAGTAAAGAAATTCGTAAGGAACGTCTGCACAGAGACCACAGACAGAGGGTTTAAAAATGACCGCCGAACTGACAGACAAAACAACAGAAGAATCCACAGGAGGAAACCAAAAAAAGAGCCGAAGCTAAATATGTACAGAACCGATCGGGGAGGATGAGAAGAGAGAGAGAGAGAAAATAGAGTAGAGAGCCCAGATAACCAAATGGGCAAGTGCAAGAAGAGGATGAGAAAACGGAACGGATGACTCTTGCCAGGATATCGCTATGCCGAGATGTTGCGCCATGAAAGAAAACGTAAATGCAAATCAGAACCAAAGAGTAGGTCTACTCTTGTATCGACCGGTCAGAGGACGCGGCCGGTTCTGTGTGCTTCTCCTTGTCCTTCACTTTCCAAAAATGCATCAAGCGGCTAAGGCGACGCTTTTTCTTAGCCTTTTCCAGTGTATCCCCAGGAGGCTTCTCTTCTTGGTAGAGTTTGCTGCGCTCGGGATTAGGTCCGACGAGTTTGGACAAGCTAGCCAGGCTGGAGCGCTTGGAAGCAGTAGCTTGGCTGGTACGTCGGTTGACGGCGGCGGAAAAGGATGCAGCTCGGTCGGTGGACAGGCGAGCGCGAGGGAAAAATGAACCAGAGAAGCGATGCATGGTATTGGTCATGGTTGATGCACTGCTCGTGAGGGACGGAACATCCTCAACCGAGGCGTACGGATATTCTGATGGAAGGTGGTGGTAGGAATGTGAGGAGAAGTTGCGGTCATTGAACCGTGGAATATCGGGCGACGGGAACGAGGAATCCGAGGGCGAGACACCGGCGGACAGCGAGAATAGAGGAATGCCCGGCAGCAGCTCTTGGGGAGATGTAGCCGGCCGCTTGTCAATAGCTAGGAAGCGCGGGGAGACGTCGGGGCTAGGCGGGCCAAGTGCTTTGGACACGCATTCCTCCGACTTTAGGATTTCCACGGGGCTTCGAGGCTGGCCTGTAAACGGATTGCGTGTGGTTTGCATGACGTCGACAGCGGCACGCTGGCCGAACACACCTGATACCTCGGCGGCTGGAGATTCCTCAGTTGGCTGAATTCCAAGACCTGTAGGTTTTGGAGAGCTAGGCTCGGGCGCCTTGGTCAATGTATCCGTAGTATCTTCACTCTCGACTGAGTTTTTATCCTCATCTGAAGATACTGGCGGTATAGGAATAGCACTCTCAGCAGGGGCTGAAGAGGCGAGTTCGTTCCTGGGAGATTGATTTGCCGCCAGGAATGCATCCTCATCCTCCTCGTAAAAGACATCAGGAGTCTCCATTTCCGAGGGGCCGGTCAAACGAACGGCACTAAGAGCGCTCCTGTCAAAAGGAGGCATCACTGGAGCACTCTCTGTACGACGATGATACCGCATCTCTGGACCAACGAATTCACCACGTCGTCCACCACTGTACATCCGCTGAGATGCCAGATAGAACTTGCTTGGAGTGCCTCGAGACTGCCGGTTGTCGCCAGGGGTATTAAACGGACCAAGGGCAGCGTCCAAGTCAATAATTGGACTACTCAAAACGTCGTCTTGGCCTTGGACGTTCTGTTCGTAGAAGCTTCGAGGTTTCCATGAAGTTTCCAAACTAGGCATCGGCATAGGCGATTCATCTTTAGCACGTTCGGCAGCCGACACTGGTGCTTCGGTATTAGTAGGAGTGCGAAGGACGACGACGTCGTCATTGTCAAAGTCAACCTCCAGAACCGATCCAACCTCCGAGTTAGTTCGTGTGAGAGTAGGCGGCGTCAGTGCAGCTGGCTTTGCCTTCTTCTCGTGCTTTTCCTCGGCATCCCCCTTGGCATGGCGCTTGCCTTTGCCGCGGGTCAGAATACCACCAGCCCATGAGCGAATACGCTTCTGTTTCTTCTTATGCTTTGAGCGGGACTTTTTGGAAGAAGAACAGGCATCCGCCTCATTATCGGTATCGCTCATTTCAGAGCCATCATCCGAGTATGAAGGGCGAGATGTATCGGTCGAATGGGCATCGTCACTCGTGTGATTGGCAAGTGTGGCATCGAGATTACCGGTTGACCTACTCTTCTTTGAACGAGAGTGACCGGTAGATTTCGAGCGTTTAACAGCGGGCACCGGGGGCGCTTCCTTGCTCTGAAATAGGTCAAAGGACAAAGATGCATCGGCAGTTTTCGGCCGTGGCTTCGACCTTCGATTGGGTGTCGTCGCTCGCGGCACAGGGACAGGAAGCTCCGGCTGCTCAAACTTCACTAAATGGGCATTCGGCGAAGATTCATACGACACTGCAGAGGCGGGGCGTCCTGTATCCCCATTGTCACTACTTGGGGCGGGCTCGATACGAATTGCAGACGGAATGGGCGGCACCGGGGGCACCGGGGGAAACCGAGGTGATGCCGGCGGCGTAGGACGACTGAGACTCGTGGCTGAATATGAAAGTGGCCGAGTAGTGTTGTCATCGAATGTATGATCTCCAGGGGTAGTGGGGGCACTCGCGGCCGGGTTGGTGTTCAATGCCTTGTTGATCGCATTCAGGTCGACTCCGGAGATTGCGGTCGAGCGGCGATGAGCATGATGTCGTCGTCCTGGTCCTCTTCCTGCCGGTGGACCAGATGGAGCACTGGGCTGTGTCGGGGTTGTTGGTTCTTCCCGTTTATCCGCAGATTCTCCGGCCCCTGGAGTTACTAATTGATCGCCCCCAACAAACTCACTGGGGCGCCGTCTGTGTCCACCTGGTCGAGGAATGGGGGCTGTCGGAGGCTGTAAAGATGGTCCCGCCCCGGGATTGAACGAAAATGCCGGGAGAGCAGGCGGCGTCCGACGCTCCGTCGTCTCCGGTTGCGAGTGGGAGGCCTCTGAATCCTCTGGATCGCGAGCCGGAAACACAAACGGCGGATTGGGCAACGGGGCCGGCATCGTCAGACGACGATTATGATTGGGATTCGGGGATGGAGGCGAGTCAAAATGTTGCGAAAACCCTGACCGGTGCTGCGGGGGAAGAGAAATTGAAGCCATCAATGCTGTGCAAGAACAAAGCGAGAAAAAAAATAACGAATCGAACAAGAATAAATAAAAAATGATGGTCGAAAAGATCCAGATGGACAAAAAGCAGACCCCCAGACCGTTTGACTTCCCTACAATGAAAAGTCCAAGGAATCTGGAGGTCGATTTAGTTGCCTCGAGCGAGAATCATTGGAATCTTCCGCACCAGGCAGAACGCAACGAGTGATGTCGGAAGAGGCAAGAAAGTCGATCGCAAGGTCGAAGCATAAAACGGGAGGGTGGATAAGGAACGGACGGCCACGACGAGGGCCACGGAGGAGGGAGAGGTGGGTGGGCGAAGAGAGAGGAGTCGTGAAGGTTGGAGGGTTGGAAGGTTGGAAAGGTCGATGAGAAGAAGGTTGAGAGGGAAAAGGCGAGAGAGAAAGAACAACAATCCAGGAGGGGCCCGTACGATGGTTACGGTACGGTATTTTACCCGTTCTCATCCGAACGCCAGTTCAATAGGTACGAGGAGGCCGGGAGATTAATCTTAGGAGGAGATTACGATTTTACGAGGGATCAATACGATGTCGATACAGGAATAATCCTGCGACGACGGAGACTCCGTCCAAAGCAACCAGAGGGGGGATCCATTATTATTACATCCAGGTCTGAGTGTATGGCCTCGCTGCTAGTCCCTACAGAGCCTTAGTGCCAGGCCATTGTACGTATACGATGGAGTTCTGCATGCACTACGACATCAAATAGGGTCACCTGAAAAAAAAGGATGTGCCCTAGGATCCTACGTCTGCTGAAGCCTGAAGGAGAGAGCGATCCCTGCGGCCCTGGATTATCTGGCGGCCTGACGCCAATCGAACAAATTATTACTATACGGAGTATCTCACCAGAGAAGGTTCATCCCCGTCGGGTCTATTGACTCCTGGCGAACGCCGCCTCTGGCCTGGATCTGAAATCGAAGCAGAAGAGAACGAACATAATCAGAGTTCCGTGGAAAGGGAGATCTGATCCATTGTTCACAGGCGAACCCCGGAAACGCCATTTGAGAAAAGGGTTGAGAAGAATAATAGAGGACGTCATGACTTTGTTGCCACCAGGAGACGACGTGTCGACCTTGAATAATCACAGCAGTTCGTTCGCTGACAATCCGATGGGGCCGTAGTTACAGGCATTGGACGGACCACTTTGCCAACCCACTTCCCACTTTATCTCCCAGTTGACCCGGGTACGACCATCTCAGGATCCTGGGGTCCAAGGGCTCGCCGCCAATAAGCAGGCGCACGCATCCGGAGAAAAAGTGGGCTGCAGGCACCAATGAGTCTAACGCTCAGGGCCAATCAGTCGACGCAATTTCGTTTGTTACCGGTGGGTCTTACAGAACGCCACGCTGGGGGTTATATGCGAGTCACAGGGGGTTGCGGCCTCGAGTCGAAGGCTGCCGGGGTGAGATGTGCCCCCGTCGCAGGTTGCAGGGCGCGCTGGATCTTCAGAGAATCATCCGGGCACGGTCTAGGGTTGATGGAATGTAAGCAGGGCCAGTGTCCGATGGCCTTCAAAAAGTAACAGGTGAAGAGCCTGTCATTTGTCTGTTCAAGATGGGGGCCGGTCGGTGGGAGAGCCCCATTGCCCGGGAGATTGCCAGGTCGCACTACTGGTACCAAGGCCTCCTGCAACATCTCCATCAGATAGGGGGCTTGGCACCAGTAAACCTGGATATAAATAGTGAGAGCGACCACTTAGCGCCATTTTGACAGAAAGAGAGTCCAGGGTGGACATGTTAGGGCCATCGTGTCAGACTCGAGGGCGATCGGGAGGGCTGAGGCAGTAGTTCTCCCCTGCACCGCCATCGAGGGGCGGCCAGGACCAAATGAAACATCTTTTTTGGATACCCCCTGCGTCAGCAGCCAGAGATAACCAATGGCGGAGCGTGGAGGGCCTGCAAATTGCATGTGGGTTCAGGTCTTCTGCTGCGAAAAGAGAGAAGGGGGAAGGTTGGGCGGGGCCGATCGGCACCAAGCCAGGCGGCAACGGGAGATCCAGCGCTGCCTCTCAGTAGTTGACATAGTTGACACTATCTATGGATATGCCATCGTACTTTGTCCAGGTTGACTATCGAAATACATGGCTCCTTGAGAGCTGAACGTGCAATCCAGTAACCGAGTGATCGGATAGTCCGGTAGAAGGAATATCAAATCCGAGAGAATCCACGAATCCGAAATCGTTCTTGTTCACTCCGTGCAGCGTACGGACAACTCCGAAGGCAACAAGGAAAGAAAACCCGACAGAAAGGAACAACCGGGAAGCGACAATAAAGCGCAAAGTACATACAAATCCCACAGCCAGCCACAGCCGAGTAATCGGACGTGGCTGAACTAGTGGTTGAGGCTGGAGTTATATCACTTGGCGAGTTGGCATTTGGTGCAGCTATCGAGGAAGTCTACGCGTACGTCAAACTACAAATCCTGTTTTGGAAGATTGATGGATTGCTGCAGGTTCACGGTGCCAGGATGCGTAAAATTCGGCAAAGCTACATGATAACAGGTTTAACGGGTCATTTTCAGATCTATCCTTTGGTTATCGATGCTAGCCGAAGTAGGAACCCGAAAGGTCAAGACCACGGCCATGAAATCAAGATACGGCTCCGTTGTTCCATATCAACCCGAGCAAGATTATCTTCTTTCATACGAGCAATGGAATTTAGGCCCCTGAAGTGGCTATGCCATGGCTTTAGAAAGCTAAGACACTTCCCTCATCCGCTTAGTTGCGGCCTTACTCCGGGCGGTTCGTGTCATCCGGCTTAAGGAGAATTTTGAATCTGGATGCTTTACACGTCGTGATAGAAATGTACTCAAAAGAACAACACCGGAGAGCTCTAGCTAACGATGAGTACTTCCACACCGAGTGGCTACGGAGCGAGCGTGGAATAGCTACAACTATGTCCGTGATGAGAGCGCAGAATATCATACAAGCCTGCGTGAAGCTATTTAGGAAAGTCTTCGTGCTGTGTACACCTATAGATCTGCTCCAACTAAATTGGTCGAGTGAGTGACAAGTCTCAGGGACTTTGCCGATGCTAATTAAAGGTGACATTGAAACGGAGAGGGAATTTGGAATACTGAATAACCTTAACAAATCTGTTTTGGGGTGTAGTAATATCTGCTGTAGTAATATCTAATGTCATGGCTGTATTGAACGCTGATCAAATCACTCCTGAACCAGACTTTCTAGTTGCGCAGCGCGAAATACCTCACCCAAGGCACCATCAGTCCGCAAGTAGGCGCGCTTCCCTTTGGTGAACCAAAAGCCAATTGCAACCAGCAGCATCGCCCCAAATACCGCAACAGCCCAGTTCATTGTGGTAAAAGTAAGGGATGGCGAGCCAGGAAAGAGGAAAAACACCGTAGTCACACAACAAACAACAGTATATTAACTAGTCCAACCCAGTTAATAACAGGACGCAAGCGTCCAAGAGAGAATGTTCGAGGTGGAATATCGGACATTCCAAAAATAATAACCGCAAATATGGGCAGTGAGTATGATATTGTCAAAGCGATCGTGCAGACGCTGACCACTGCAGTAACAGTGGCCTCGGTGAACAAGTATAGAACCCCCACCAGTGAAATGATAGCACCTTGAAACCAAAGGGCTCTCGCTGGAACTTCCCGGTAGGTATCGACATGCATCAGATAGTTGCTGAAGGGGAGGCCACCATCACGAGCAAACCCCCATGTTAACCGAGACGCAGTCATCGTAATACTTACGCCTTGGCCCAAACCGTTGAATTTAAAAATGCAGAAAAGGGCGATTGTTCCTTTAGGGCTGACGGTCTGCCTCACAAGCTCTACGAAAGGAAGTCCCGAGGCAGGGGCTAACACATTTTCCAGACTCTGAATGCAGAAAAGGCAAACTATCATAAATATACCGCCTGATTTTACACCGGAGAGGATGGAAAGCCAAAGAACCCGCGGGCCATTCTTCTGCGGCGATGGGAGTTCATCCTATATCTCTTCCATAACCCCCAACCCGTCCTTCATCTGGAGCTAAGAACACTCATATTAAACGGATAAGTCAACAATTGTATCATCACCACCTTACACCTTTTCGTTTCTCACATATTTTTCCACTACTAGCAAACATCCTCATACCCACATCATGTCAACCCTGTAATATACCAACTACCCTGGTACCGAGGCCAACTCAAAGGACTTAGGCCATTGGCGAACTTCGCCTTAGCAGTAGCTAGGCAATAACATCGCTTTTAGATAGTCGTGTTCACAGCCCAGAGAGATAGTTACCTATATAGCCTACGCTATACAATGACGACCTTTCCGTTTTATATTACTTCGTTCCTCTTGCTATTCCATTCTTTCCCTGTTTAATTGGTATTTCCGTATCAACCCGTCCCTAATTACTCCGTGGTAGAAAGTACATCATCGGGTCCCGATCTCTCCGAAACCCGTCGCTCTTCTCGGGGATGCCGAGCTGCCATCCATGGAACATGCCCGTCGACCCACGGCCGTTGTTTGGGAGAGCCAACCTGAACGTCCCGAAAGAATTGGTCATACCCGCTGACCAGACTTCGGCTACGATCACATAGCCGGATGGGGATGTCTTAAATCAAGACGAGCAGATTTTTACGGTGTGGTGGACGCACTGTATTCCGTTTTTGGGAATGAGCGTACGGTCAATACCAGTAAGAGTAAATAGACGTAAATTGGTATCTCTACTAGGGTTGACGCAATGTATGTAGGAGATGGAAACCTACGCTGTGGAATATACTGATATTCTATACATTTGAGATTCTGTCAGAACTATAGGTTCGTGTTTTTAGTCATGTTGAAAGGTAGGCTCACATATCATGCTTGAGCTAACTTGACTAATAACCGAGAACTTGAACTTAACTGCAGGGTTAGAAAGATTTCTCGAGACAGAATAAAGTATAATCAAAACCGTCAATGGAGTTGCTATATTGTAAACCTCGACATTCAGATTCCCCTCACTTTACAGTCCAGAACATAGAGTAGTATATGACTCTACTGTCTAATCCAATGCAACATCCATGACTCGCGCAAATATTACGCAAAAAGGCCACTCACCACCGGCAGAAGAAAGGAAAGAAACCCCAAGGGAAAACAAATATGAACGACCGAGAAGCTCCAACGAAACCAACAACTGTACAAGTTCCAATTTGGGACGCAAGAAACTCGCTAAACTCCAAACAAAATGTAGATGAAATTAGGACATATCACTCCGCCTCAGTGCGAAGATCTATTCATCGCTTTCCGACTCGACCTGGTCGTTCTCCAGATGTTTTCTACGTTCCTCGCTCAACTCCCTGTAAGTACTCCAGCTCAACAGGAAGAATGCCGCCATGATCAAGATCCCGCCTATGATGGCTGCGAAGGAGAGAGGTTGGCCTGTGCGGAACCAGTCGACAATTGCGACGAGGAAGATTGTCAAAAGCGCGGCAACGGATGAAAGGACGGGGGATGTGAGGGAAATTAGAACCAGGAAGGACCCGGAGAAAGCTGGTGATGCAAACATGGTCAGTTCGTTGTTTGTTTACATGAGAAACGATTGAATATCCTATACTTACTGGCATTGGCACAGATTGAGATCAGCAGCATCCAAGCTGCCTCGCCCGTAGGAATGCGGAAGGTCTCCCAGCCGAGCATGTGCAAGATAGGGAGAGGAATCCATAGTACAGCGAGTGTAAAGCACCCAATCATACTGCCAAAAGTATTGGCAAAGATGGTACCCCGGCCAGGACTGGTCCCCTCCGGTGGACAAGCAAAGCGTTTGTACAGCACCTCATACAGACCGTAGAGCACACTGCCGATACCGATGACAATATTGCCAAGGAGTCGATTCTGAGCCTCTTGATCCTCGGCACCAGTAGTACCTCCCTTGGAGACCTTCTTCTCAGGCCGATCTCCGTAGGCGACGACTAGGACACCGATGATGGCGACGCACACGGAGAAGACTTTGTCGAACCGCAGCTTCTCGTTCAGCAAGGGGATCGAGAAGGCGTACGCGAAAAAGGCCGAGCAGTTGTAGATAGCCGTCAGGTCGCTGGCTGTCGTCAGGTTAACGGCCACATACCATGAGCCACCGGCTATCGTCAGCGCAGAGGTCACAAAGGCGGTTGTCTTTAACATGTACGGCACTGGTGAACGGTGAGAGTCTCGGGAGGTGAGGTGGACATCTTGAGTTTCCACCATTTGGGCAGTGGTCTTAATGAGGAAGACATGGCGGCGCCAAAATGCTTCCCATGACATCTTTCGCTTTTGGATTCGAAGGATCAGGAGCTGGACAGGCCAGAGAAGTGCCCAGGATCCGTGGGTAATATAGCTGCGTGTGGGAAGAACCGAGTGGTAAGCGATTTACAAAGGCCAGAGAGGGCAGATGGGCAGACGGTAAGGGGAAGTATCCGTGGGCTTCAGGTGTGGGCTCGTATCGATGGATAGGTGACTCGGCTTTTTTAAACTTACAGCATGCAATACGGTTTATCCCAATGCAGTTCATGCTGAATGTATACGGCAGTCTCTGTCTGAATGACAAAACTAGCCAGACTCAACAGTAGGAAGCCTCCCGCAATCATATACTTCTTCCGTGTCGCTTGGGCAGCGTCGTATTCGGAGTTTCTACTCTGGATGGTAGGTCGACGGGTATGGTGCAACATTGGCCGGTTTTCCGCATCGTGGCTGAAGCTGGATCGGGAAAGGCGCCTTGGAGGGCCGTCCTTGAGTAACGGTTGCTGCGATCGCCCGTCGGTCGGTCGGTGCATTGGGGGGCGGTTGCCAACCATCTCGTCGTCTGAATCCTGGGAATACCGACCGGGGCTCGGGGGTTTATCCCGCGATTCCGGAAGTTCGATGCTATCCGAAGCCACAATGGCGTTGGTTCAGTGTGCTTCGGCTCTTGGCCTTGGGATGGGTATGGAGGGGGTGTTCGCTGTTGCTAGAGATCGGACGATGGCGTGGTTAATTGTCCTGGCCGCTCAAGATAACCGATAAGGAGTGAGTGGAAATGACGATGTTGTTGTTTCCCGCTCATCGAGGAGTTTGGGAATAACGACCAGATTCAACTCAAGTTTATGGGTCTATCTGTTCTATCTGTCAGATCCTCAGCGCTCAGAGCCGGCTGTAGTCCAGATCGTCGAGAAATGCTGTGGCTTCGCATGCGTCCAACAACGTGTTTGGGGGCGGATAGCGCTGTGGCCACGTAGAGGTCGTTCGGGCAGGGTCCAGGGGTCGTGAGGGTGTCGACGACGAACGATGTCTCGGTTTCGCTCAAGCAAAGATTTCGTGTAAGACACGTTCAACACGTGCTGTTGAACAATTGAAAATCCAGCGTTGTTCACCGCGGAAGTACAATGATACCCCAAGGAATGGACGCTTTCGTCATTTTGGGGTCTATGCTGCTTCGGGGATGGCAGCAGCACGTGATGCGCCCTGGCACATGGCGCTAATCCAAATTTGGTATAGCGGATGGCGTTAGATCAGCCAGGCTGCCCGCCCGTCTCAGGCGTCTCTTCCGAGTGACCATGATTGGCATCAGCGTCGCATGGGAGACTTGGTAATCCAAGATTTGAGCATAAGTCACAAACGCCCGGACTTCATCAATGCTCAGTTGCCCTTCTTGGCACTAGCGTTGCGGACTCGTGTGTCTGGGTCTTGGATCGGTCTCTCATCCCGTACTCTTCAACAAGCCACGTATGGCGAAGAATGGACAAAAGAATCTGCGAGATAGTCCATCTTAGAACGTAAAGCTATCCACTTGATCCTGAACACATCAAATTTACTATCGTTCCCCATTTCTTATGTATTCCATTCATCAAATTGCATATGTACAGCCGTACAGCGATCTTAAAGACAAAGCCTCCAAGCATGAGACGTCAAACGACAATTATTTACACCTTGGGCTTCGGCTTGAACAAGGCTTCCTGAGTGTCATAAGTGTACTTCAGGTCCAGGTGCCAGTAGTTTGGAGAATAAGGCTTGGCAACCATCCAGGCCTTATCCAAAGCTTCCACAACTTCATCCGGCAGAGGACCCTTCTGGAGGTCATTCAGGTTGGTCTCGAGCTGAGAGAAGCTGCTGACTCCAACCAAGACACCGTCGCGGCCTCCATTGTCCATCTTCAGGACCGAGTGGTGGCGCACCCACCGCAAGGCTGTCTCAATTAGCGTCAAGCCGTGCTTCTCAACAACAGGCTCAATCATGCTGAGGGCTTCGAAGTTAGCGTCTCGGAAGTACCGGTTGCGATAGTTGTTTCCGGTGCCGTTCTTGTCGCTATATCTTCCCTCGGCGGGAACGTCCTTGGTCTTGTACTTTCCAGAGAACAGTCCTCCGGCAAGAGGGTTGTAGATCACAATGTCAAGGCCGTAGCGCCGGCAAACGGGGACCAGCTCAGTCTCAATATTACGGGCTATAATTGAGTCTGTTAGTGCTGCTCAAGAAACGCGCATAATGAAACTAAAAGAGCACTTTCGCGGGGCAAAGTCCACAAAACTTACTGATAGCGTTATACATGGCCTGGAAGATTGTGGGACGCACCCAGCCCCTCTCCGTACAGGTGATAACAATCTCTGCCACTTCAAAGGCAGTGTAGTTGCTCAGGCCAAACTGCACGAACTTGCCCTCCTTGTGCAGCTCATTGACCATCTCCAAGGTCTCCGCAAAGGGAACCGAACGATCCGGTGCATGTAGATAGAATATATCAACCTGATTGGTACCCAACTCCTTTAAAGACAGCTCGAGGTTCTCGCGCACCACGGCAGGCTTATGAGCACTAGCTACCTGCGGGTACCATTTCGTCGCGAGGGTCAGACCGCGCTCTTTCCAGTTGGCCTTGGCCGTGAATGCCTCTTGCTCGCCATCGACGTAGATCCGGGCAGTATCAACTTCGTTAAAGCCCTGCTGCTGGAAGTAGTCCAGGCACTTGTTGTACTCGTCGAGAGAAGTGATACGGGCTCCCTTGGACTCGGTTGGGCCAAAGGTCATCAAGCCGAGGATGACTCGAGGCTGGGGATTTTGTGCGATCAGCGGCATTTTAAACAGCGATGATATTCAATTGTTAAGGAGGAGGCTGGCAAAGGGAGATCGGAGTTGAAGTTGGAGTTGAAGGTGAGATTGGTAATGATGGAGCCCGGGGGAGGGGTTGCCGAATGTACCACTCTTTTGAGACGAGAGATTTCGTATAGCTCCACCTTTTTTCGGACCTGACCGCGTTATTGCCAAATCCAACCTTTTAACGCCCTTTCCGAGATATCTTGAATCACTCCTGTTCAAATCACCCTCAACACAAATTGATCATTATTCAACAATATCTATTCTGCATCATAAAGAACCGACACCTTCCATCATGCCTTCTCAAAGGGACAATCGTCCTATCAAGATCATGGTCATCAATCCGAATGTATCTACGGAGATGACAGACGCCTTGAAGCCCATCATGGACAGCCTCAACTTCACCGACGTCGAGTGGCACTTTTACACCTCTCCTTGTGATTCTAACGGCCGGGAAGCCCCCATCGATAGCATTAACAACTCCGTGGACTCGGCCAAGACTGCATGGGTCTGCCGAAATACGACCCAATATATCCCGGACTTTGACGCATTTCTCGTCGCTTGCTACTCTGCCCACCCTCTCGTAGGGATCCTACGCCAAGCAATCGCGGAATACGAATCCAAACACGACAGCCACCGCCACCGTTATGTGACTGGCATTTTCGAAGCCAGTGTCACCACATCACTCTCCTTGATCAGCGCATTCAAGCTCACTCCTGTTATGTACGCCCGTGACCAAGTTGAAGATTCCTTTGGCATTGTAACCACTGGCAGTGGATGGAAGCAAGAACTCACCAACGCGGTCACTGAGATGCTCGTCGGGAAGGACCGAGAAACCCCTGCTTGCTTCGCAGGAGTTGAGACAACTGGCCTGTCTGCTCTCGAGTTGCACCACACTGATCCCGACGAGGTCAGGCGTCGGATCTCGGAGGCTACAGCCAGACTGCTGCAGAACTCGAGTACATTCGTTGCAGCGGTTTGCCTGGGCTGTGCGGGCATGGTGGGGATGGAGGAAGCAGTGAGAGAAGGGTGCATCAAAGCCTACGGCAAGCAAGAAGGCCCTCGAGTCCGAATTGTGGATGGAGTCATTGCGGGAGCTCGCCAACTAGCCGACCATTGTCGGTCTGGCTATTAGCACGACGACGAAGAGCTCTTGTTGTAGAGGCGGAAACGAGGTGATGGTGATACCCTTAGGCCGAAGAGGGCAAGATGCTATGAGGTAATAAATAGCATGGCATTAGATTTAGGACTTGTATTACTAGCGAAGCCAGCCAAGAATTTAGAAGGAGTCTTGTAAATTTGATCAATATTCGTGCCTGTGTTGATGTTTTTGTTACCAACCGCAAATTGCTGCCTGAGGCCTCCGACTGCAGCCCAAAAAGTTCCCCGCGTCAACGCGATACGCGTGAACTTCACTTCCCCTCAACGGCGCAAACTTGGACCACGATGCCTAGGTTGGTACTTCGAGCTCAAATATACGAGTGGAATCTTCTACAATATTATATGCACTGATACCAATGCTCTTTGCAGGGAAATCATCACGATCCAAGCTGGCCAATGCGGCAACAACGGTATGTTGCTCTCTTCCGCGGACTTTGACCGCAACGAACCCAACACCGCAATCGCCCGAATGCCCGACTTCAAATCCGGCGAGATGGATGGTACAAGGGAAGTCTTGGATGATCTTTGCTGACAGTCGCTCCCTCCAGTCGGTAGTCAATTCTGGCAACAGCTGTGCCTGGAGCATGGCATCAGCCAAGATGGAAACCTGGAGGACTTTGCAACCGAGGGGGGCGATCGGAAGGATGTTTTTTTCTACCAGGTCAGTTCCTTTACTGAGACAAATGCTTGAAGCCGTTTACGTCAACCCCTGGGGCTAATTGAATACTGGGCAGAGTGACGACACCCGATACATTCCCCGAGCGATCCTACTTGACCTAGAACCACGAGTACGATCTTTTCTTTCCTTCTGACCGAGTTTTGGGGACAAATACATTTCTCAGACTGTCATATCTGGAGATTTTAAATACTAAAATAAACACAGGTCCTCCACGCCATTCAATCCGGTCCCTATCGCAACATCTACAATCCCGAGAACTTCTTTATTGGACAAAATGGTGTCGGCGCTGGAAACAACTGGGGTGCTGGATATGCAGCTGGAGAAGGGGTCCAAGAAGAGATCTTTGATATGATCGACCGAGAAGCAGATGGCAGTGATTCACTAGAGGTATGGTCATGTCTCCCATATCTACATGTGACACCAAATCCGTGATAAGTTAGAACTCACCGTTTGTGAATCCAGGGCTTCATGCTATTACATTCGATTGCTGGTGGTACAGGCTCTGGATTGGGCAGTTACCTCTTGGAACGAATGAATGATCGTTTCCCTAAGAAGCTGATCCAGACATACTCCGTCTTCCCGGACATGCAAACAACAGATGTCGTCGTCAACCCTTACAACAGTTTGCTTTCTATGCGACGATTGACGCAAGATGCGGATTCTGTGGTATGTGCCTATTCCAGAGCGATCAATTGCTGCGTAATGATTAACTTTATTGCAGGTTGTACTGGACAATGGTGCTCTCTCGCGCATTGTCGCCGACCGCCTCCATATGAGACCAGGCTCCTTCGACGACAAGACTAATTTCGACCAGACTAACCAGCTGGTAAGTTCCATATACGATTTATATCGAGCAGCTAAAATCTAACACTCTGTAGGTATCAACGGTAATGTCGGCATCCACAGCTACACTCCGTTACCCAGGCTACATGCACAACGACCTCGCCGGAATCATTGCCTCGCTCATTCCCACGCCGAGGTGCCACTTCTTGCTCACCTCCTACACTCCCTTCACCGGCGACAGCATCGAACAAGCCAAGACCGTGCGCAAAACCACCGTCCTAGACGTGATGCGCCGCCTCCTTCAGCCGAAGAACCGCATGGTCTCCATGACTCCCAGCAAATCCAGTTGCTACATTAGTATCCTCAACATGATCCAAGGCGAGGCCGACCCTACCGACGTGCACAAATCGCTACTGCGTATCCGCGAGCGCCGTCTCGCCTCGTTCATCCCCTGGGGCCCGGCCAGTATCCAGGTTGCCCTGACGAATAAATCGCCGTACCTGCAGCATTCGCACCGGGTCAGCGGTCTCATGCTGGCTAACCACACGTCCGTGGCGACCTTGTTCAAGCGCATAATTCAACAATACGATCGGCTGCGCAAGCGTAATGCCTTCTTGGAGCCGTACAAGAAGGAAGCGCCGTTCGCTGGCGGAGACTTAAGTGAGTTTGACGAGGCAAGGGCGGTAGTGATGGATCTAGTGGCCGAATATGAGGCCGCCGAGCGCGAGGATTACCTGGATCCAGGTGCAGGTGCAGCAGCAGAGCAGGAGACCGGGGTTTGAAACAAGGAGACATTTTCATCTTGGTGGTCTCCAGTATCTCATCATCTTGCTTTTTTGTTTCATCTGTCTGTCTGCCATGTTTTTATTTGCCCCGGCAGGGCAAGGGGTTTCGGGCGCATAAATCGGGCGCGCGCGCAGTGGCTACCGGCGTTTGTTCTGTTCTTAGTTTCAATACCACCTCCTATTTTCATTTCCATGACAAGGCGAGATCGACGCTTTAAGGATGTGTTGGCACATCCTTTCGTTACATTTTGAGAGGTCAACTTTTCATCTCGCTTATAGCCTTCGCTCTCTTCTCAACCTTTTGCGGAGCTGGACCACGTAGCAGAGACTGGATGGGTTGAAAGCCTGAATGATCCGCTGCGAACCTTAGGCGGTTCTGCAGCGGTGAGGGTGTAGAGTGCAGGATGCGGGTTGGTCCCGAAACGGCGAGGAGGAGGCCCGTTGGTTTTATAGGGTGGTAAAGGGAGTTACTTGGTCGCTACTGTACTTGAAATCCGCCTGGAACCCGTAGGCCGGATTGAGTACGGGTAGGATGAAAGGAGGATTTAAGGTTGGTTCGATTTCTCAAGAAAGGTCTTGGGTGGGTGGTACCTAGTGGTTGGCAAGTGGACATGAACTTGGACGACGGTACTTAAATGTGTATGTAGCTGGGTTTGATGCGTATGCTTGGAGTTATGTATATACTTCCTTGGTGCTATAGTGCAGGAAAGACAGAGTCAATTGGGTCGCTGGATCAGACTGAAAGGCTCGGGGCCATGGCTTTACTCATATGCACTACTCCGTACATATCCTACACACTAAAGATACTGGCCGGTGCATCAAATCCCTACTGGAGAGTGGGCATCACTGCAACATTACCAGGAAAAGCAGAAGCAAAGAGCAACCTCCCGCCGAAGATCATCCGATGTACATTCGCTCGGGGCGCATTGGGCCAGTCGACTCGTCCAATCTCGCCCCAGACAGTTCACGATTCCTCCACGCTGTATATGTATACTGGCCGAGCTGGATGTGATTTCCAATTTCCAGGCCTGGGTCATATTTCTTGCCCATGTCTGACTCTGACCTCTCTGCTGTTACTCTGCTCGTGGGGCTGTAAAGCTACAGTACTATTTGCTCGATGGCAAGGCTCAATGGTGTGTGCCCAAGCTCTGACATACACACCGCAATACGCAACTATCTGTTCGGTCGCCTGGATTTTTGAGGTCCAAGTCTCTGGCACGAACACCTTTTGCCTTGCCACTTGGCCCGATGACCAGGATTCCGTGGGTGGCGTGTGTGCTGTTTCCCGGTGGAACCGGGACTGGATCTTGGGTTAACCTCCCTTCGGGGAATAGGGGATCTCTCTCGGGAAGAATAACTGTTTGCTGTATATTTGCCCAAGCTACTGTAGCTTCATTCTTTGATCCCCGAAATGGGTACAAGAACATGGCAAAACCTCACGAAATCATCAAGTAGTCTGGCTATCATTCCTGAACTGGCCCAAGTCACACACCCTTCACGTGAGAGGAGCGAGTCACGGGAGCCGATCGCCTCCCGCTCCACTAGTCAACGTTAGTGAAGCGACTAACTACTGTAAAGTGGACTATGGGCTCCAGCCTGTCCCACTCCGCAGGACAGGCTGAATCCCTCTCCTCGGCTTTGGAGGTCCAGTATCCACTATGACTCTACTACAGTATGTGGTGTACCCAGCAGCTGGGCCTCTTTTTCAGGCGCAGGATACCCGACCAGCATGCGCTGCGCAGCACCCGCACGGACCGATGGCCGCATTCCGATCACTAGACCCGATCAGCCCTGGCGGGTCGCGTGCAAGAAACAGACGCAGATAGCGCAAAAAGGGGCGCAGAGCATGTCAGCATGGCAGAATACTAAATAGCATGATGGTGAGATAGGGGAGTGTAGTAGTAGTAGTCCAGTAGAAGACGTCGACTATAGGGATTTTTCCCATTTAGAGGAGACACCGTAGTGAAAGCCCTCCGACGTCCGGAGTGTCATCCGTGATTCTTGATGGAATGAAGTATACGTGTGAGGCGCCACGCCGAAGTTCGGTAGGGACACGGTAGACAGATAGACCCGAGGCGTCACCACATGATTGAAGGAGCTGGAGATAGAATTACAGATCACAATAATTAGAATTTGACAATTAGTTGGGAATAATAACAAGGCCTGGGCAATAAGAGATTATGACAGATGCTAGTTAATTAAAAGAACCATCTGACTCAGAGGTTCCATGCCCGACGGTCGTGATCATTCAACGTTGAAGTGATTATTAACGATCCTACCGCAATAAAAGCAGAAAATCAAACCAGAAAATCGGGAAAAAAAAAATGGAGCCTATCGAACCTTCTGGGAGGAGGACCCGCTCGCCTCCACGCCGTGGCTGATTCCGTCACTCCCCCAGGCCTTGATGGGGATTTCGACGGAGTACTGGACGGAGTCCTGTACTGGTGACGAGACAGACCATTGAATAATGGTCGTCCTCGACGTACTCCGTAGTCACGACAGTACTAGGTAGTACTGTAGATGATGCCCTCTTGGAGCGAACTATCTCCGTTAGCCTTTTAAATTTCTGCTCCTCCATCCTCATACTCCGGAGTCGCCTCACTCTACTGACTCAGCCAACCAGTCTTTCATCCTATACTCCCGTAATCCTCCAGCCCTTTCAACCCTGGATCCGGCCCTCTTGGGCTTTTTGGCTTCTGGTCTTTTTTGACTTTTCACGCTTTGCCTTCTCGTGCGTTCTTCGCTCCCGTCCGTTCCGATCCCGGGTCCATCTATATATACTCTACGTGGCCCCCGTTCTGCCCCTTTGGAGCACGACCCCCTTTACACGCTTTACATCATCTAGTTCCCCCAACGTCCAACGCTTTCTCCTCTTCTCCTCGTTCTCTCTTCTCCTCCTCCCCAATTCACCTTCCTTTTGAACTTCTCCAATCTCTCCGACCAACGCCTCCTCTTCTTCCTCCCTCTTATCGCTCTCTCCCATCCCGAGCATCACCATTCCTGAGCATCCCGATCTCGATCTGTTATCAGCGCCCTCGCCCTTCTCCGCACGCCTCCCATCCTCCCGTCCGCGGCGCTTATCTCAAATCACCCGACACTTCTGAAGCAGTCCAGAGTCCACCAACGCTTTCTCTGACTCTTCAAGTCCGCGCCGCCCATCAGTCCTCGGCATTTCAACCAAATCACCCTTCAACCCGTCCTTCCCGCCACTCCTTCCCTACCGACCACAACCATGGCGCCTCGCAAGCCCCGTTGCAACTTTAAGGAGTGCAAGGAAGCTGCGCAGCGGATCGTCGGTGACTGCAGCTTTTGCCACGGCCACTTCTGCTCCAAGCACCGCATGCTCGAGGCCCATTCCTGTTCTGGTCTGGAGGACTGCAAGAAGGAGTCGCATGCCCGCAATGCCGATAAGTTGAATAGCGAGCGGACGGTGGTAGTCAAGGGTGTATGAGGGCTTTGAGGGATCATCATTCATGGCCTCGGGGTTTCAGGGTTTCTGGGGGTTCTCTCTCCCTTTCTCTCTGTGTCTCTGTCTCACGCCTTCCCCGGCAGTGGGCTGGTGCCAATTACCCGGTTGGACTTAGCGCGGTGTTGACTTTCTTTTTTTCGTTGATTTCTTCTTCTCTCCTTTCTTGTCAGGGGTGTTTTGGTAGCCCTGGTTTTTTGGCTACTCTGGTTTCTTCGTTCTCTCTGTCTCCGAGTCTCCTTGGACAGAGTCATTTTGTGTTCTTCTTGGGAGGTGCCACCATCTACACGGCGTTACATCTATCTTTTCCATTTACGTGACTGGTTCTTGTCGATTTATTATCTGGGATTCTTGGTTTTGCATTCTGTTTGCCTGGTTCCTTATCTCTTTTTCCTTTTTTCTCGTTTCCTTTCTACTCAACTTTCGGGGCTGCTGCATAGAGATCCCACGGGACTCCCTTGGGGCATTATTTCCTGCTTTTCCTGCTCGCCGATTTGAATTGGAATCTCCATGAATATATCATAATAATTTGCACTGGTTTTCCATTCGTAGCTTTACTCCGGGCGTAGTCATATGATACAAGTACATTAAAATGGGAGTCTTAAGTTCCCCTGTGAAACAGCCCTCCTGACTCTGAACTCCTCCAAGGTCCCTTTCTCTAGTCACGGGACCCCTCATATCCCATATCCCCTCACGCCTTAACCAGGTCCGATCTTCGGCCTATAAAATGGGTCAGCTTGCTGCAATTACAGTGGGGGCCTGACTTGAGGGATGACCCGAGTGATTGGGGATACACGTACATGTCATGATGCTCACTCAACCGGCTGAGGTACTTGTTCAGCTCCTCCACACGTTCCTTGTGTGACTTGATTCCTTCTTTCTGGAGCCGCTCATGTAACTACGTGCCAGGTTAGCTCAAGACCCATGAACCATTCGACAAGCATCCCAAACGAATAGCAAAACACAAAGAAAAGAGAGAAGACAATTGACATACCCGTTTCCGCCTCACCTCCTCATACTTCTTCTCAGCCTCCGTCTTCGCAGAAGAACCGCCCTCTTCCTCTCGCTCGCGAGACGCCTCCCGCTCAGCCTCAGCTTCAGCATCAGCCTCGCCTGACTCCGGCCGTTGGACTTGCTCGGCTTGTTCGCTCTGCGCAGCGTCTTTCTCCTTCTTCGCCTTCTTCTTCTTTTTCTTGTCGACCCGCCCGTCGCTCACTTTGCTGCCCTTGAGCTTGAGCTTGCCACCCCCGCCAGTGGAGTATTCGTCTGGCGCCATGGTGGCTGGGGGTTGGGGTGTAGATGGAGTAGGACTATTGTAGTTTTGGTAGGCGGTGCGGAGTAAGAGGGGAATGGAGAGGGTGGTTCCTTTTTTGCCACTTTGCTCCGAGGAATAACGTGGGTTTGATTGGCTGGTTCCCTGGATACCTTAGGTTCTGTTCGTGATTACTAAGGAATTGGTCTCAGGTGTAGGTAAGGCTCTCTACAGGAGGCACATTGTCTCGTCCAGGTCTACTCTTTATAGAAATTTGCATCAAGCAATTCTTTACATTGCTGGGTCTATTATTGATTCCCTTTTGTTGACATTAGGTAAAGTCTATCACTCCTTACAAATTCTCGAATGTCCTACAATGGCCAGATGGGCCCAGGCGAGGACCATGAAGTCTACTACGTGCAGTGGAGTGGGCTATTGATAATACTACTGTATGGATATATCGAAATAAATGGAAAAAGATTGTGCATTTGAAATGAATTAGATAAGATCTCTTTTTTGAGTAAGAAAACTCGATGAACCTTCCACGCCACGACCAAGGAGGGACCTAATGTTGCAGATGGATTATTAAGATTATTAAGTACAGAACAAAGGCGCGCTAAGTGTCACATTCTCATAAGCATCGTGGCTGGAAGAAAGTGCCTGATGATAAAAGACATCAAAAGACTATCCTCATGCCCAAATCTCACTCGATGGTGATCTTCTTCGCAGTGGAGGCAGTCGCCTTTGGGACCACAACAGACAAGATGCCATTCGTCAGAGTAGCCTTGACATTGTCCTGGTCGACGCGATTTGGGAACCAGAAGGTGCGCGAGAATTCACCAACGGTGCGCTCACTAGCCCAGTAGCGGTGACTAGCCTTGGAAGTCTTCGCAGCACTCTCCGTAGTCTCGACAGCCTGGTCATTGCCAGACTGGTCTTTGGGCTCGGTGGTGTGGTACTCGCGTTCAGTACGACCCTTCACGACTAGAGTCTGCGGATCGGTGAACTCAACGTTGATGTCTTCCTGGGCGATGCCGGGGAGTTCACCGTCTAGGTGGAATGCGGCCTCGCTCTCGCGGACGTCGAATTTGGGGGTGAAGCTGCGCATGGAAGGGCGGCTGCTTCGGTGGTTGTCGTAGTCGTCCAGGAGACGGAAGAGGGGGCGAAGTCGCCTGTAGCTGGGAAGCTGGTTCGGAAGAGAGACATTGTGGTTTGGTTAAAGTGGTTGTTGATGCCGAGCAGAGTAGAGTGTCTGTAGCTTAGAGCTTTGCTTTGTATGCTTGACTTGGACTGAGGAGGTTAGGCAGGACGATGAGGGGGGTTTTATAGACCAGAGACATCATCTAGTAGCTTCTAAACATTGGCTTTTGGTCCATGATTTTGGAAGTCGCCATCGGAAGCTAGATGTTACATGTGCTTACCAGGTATCGCCAGCAGCTTCCAGCCTGGAGTAGATGCTTCTCCGCGTTTCTACAAGTCACGTGACGATTATCATATCCATTGACAGTTTAACACAACGTAATATTGCGTAGACACGAGTATTCAGGGGCCTTCATATTGTGAAATACATCACATGGTTTTGTGAGTTTCTTACGTGGCTAGAGCAGAATACATTTGATCATCTTCATCGGTAATTCTACGCTATCCAATTCGGCCACGAGCTCGGTTTTCTCTCAACTTCTACTTCATTCATGTTGAAGATCCATTTAGGACTAATAGATATTCGGAGATGACTACATCACGTCAATTAGCTTCTTGTCTTCAAAAAAATCAGGATCTGAGCTCTAAGCAATATATTGGGTGACATGAGTGGAAGCTGTGGACAATGCCATGACCGGAGGAGCGGTGTTATTCAATCCAACGACGAGATAACAATTCCAGGGAGCTGAAAAGTTGTATCATTTGATCTTTGAAATCAGGAAAGACCATATACCCAGATTCAAAGAGAAAGTGTTATTCGGGATACATAGTAGAACTGTAGAATTGGCTGGTGATCCTGAACTTCGTCTTTACTGACGTCATATACATTAGTCAGCGATATGTTAACTACATTCCTCGAAGTATTGGGGATTGCCCAATCAACCACCAGACCTAGCTCATTGTCAATCCCACTCCTCTCCTTCATTCTGCTCATCATAGCGAGTAATGTCGCTCGTGCAGCATGTCTCCGCCCTTGAGGGTGTCGACCATGAACCAGAAGCTCAAATTGATGAAGACTTTACGCCCATTGCACGCAAGATCAGTTACGATGTGTTACAGGCACCAAGTCAGCCTATGCCGGTCGAGGAACAACCACCAGCAACTCCTGCCTACAAAGTTTCTGCTGCAAAAAGATTGAGTATGTACGGTGTCGCCCATCTGAAACAACCGACTGATATCATCAAGTACAGGTCATCTTCACGATTCTGGCGTGTTGGGTTGCGTCAGGTATCTTGTTTGGATATGCCGCACTGAAGCCGGTCCTGGTGCAGGAGGGTGTCTATCACGATCAATGTACCGATAAAGAACTACAAGAAGGGGTCGAACTTTGTATACAGCAGGATTTGAGGCATGTTCCCTCTCCCTGAGCTGAACTGCCCCTCTCTCGCTAACAATCTGCAGACTCAACCTCTGTTTCACCATTGCGTCGATCACCGCCAATGTCTCAGCTTTGCCTGTTGGGACGATCCTCGATCACTATGGATCGAGGATTTGTGGCCTGATTGGCAGCGTACTTCTTGCCATCGGCAGCCTCTTCATGTCATTTTCATTCATTTGGCCTGAGTTCCACGGATTCATTGCGGGCAACTTCTTCCTAGCATTTGGGGGGACTTTTATTTTTGTTCCATCTTTTCAAATTGCAAATGCATTTCCCAAGCATGCAGGCTCTATCGTCGCGCTTGTGACAGGATCATTTGATGCTTCTGCCGCCGTCTTTCTTCTCTATCGCCTTGTCTACGAGGCATCGGCCCAGAAATTTACCCCCGATAAGTTATTCCTAGGGTACTTGGCCGTCCCAGTGTTGATTATAATCGCACATTTGTCCTTCATGCCCAAGCGGGACTATTATTCAACGCTTCGATTGGAGGATCAGATTGAAAAGGCCGAAGACGCCACTCGTGATGTACATGATTCCGATCATGAAATTGACAGTGACAGGGAGCTACAACGGGTGCGCAGTAGGCGCGCCGAGCGCCGAAAGGAGATAATTGAGAACATCAACGAAGTTCTCGGTGATGAATATGAGAGACAGCAATGGGCCGAGCGCGAGGAAGATCGCCATCAAGTCAGTCAGGTCTGGGGAGTATTGCATGGACTGCCAGCTCACCGGCAAATGATGACCCCGTGGTTCATCTTGATTACTCTGATGACAATCATCCAAATGGTTCGCATGAATTACTTTATTGCCACCATTCGATCGCAGTACGAGTACATGCTTGGTTCCGACCAGGATGCCGAACGAATTAACGAATTTTTCGATGTCGCCCTACCCGTCGGTGGTGTTCTTTCCACTCCTGTGATTGGGGCGTTGCTGGATCGTCTGAGTGTACCGGCAACCCTCAGTCTTATCGTGGCTTTCACTACCATCATCGGCGTCCTGAATTCTATCTCTGCCATGTGGGCAGGGTATTTGACTATCACACTCTTTGTCCTCTTACGCCCTCTCTATTATTCAGCCATGTCGTAAGTTCTTGTCCTTTCATAATCCTCTGAATTTTGCTAACACTCAATTCAGCGATTACGCAACAAAGGTCTTCGGCTTCGCAACCTTCGGTCGAGTCTATGGAACGATCATCTGCCTCTCCGGACTTGCCAATTTCTCTCAATATTGGTTGGATTCAGTCACCCATGGAAGATTCAATGGAAATCCAGTCCCGATCAACGTGGGCCTGGTGATTGCAGGCTTCCTCGTCGGTGTTGCGCTTGTAGGGTTTGTCGCTGTAGCCGGCTGGAGACACATAAACGAGGATGGCAACGAGGGTGAGAGGGAGCCATTGTTATTGGAGGTGGACGAGGAAGAATGAAGTCGGTATTCATCTTGTTAATCACTTTTCTGATTCTCATGACTCGCGATGGACAGCTTCTCATTACTGAAGTCGCAAGGCACAGTAAGCTCAGGTTTGACGAATTTGTTGACAATAATATTGAATTATTTCGGAGCTTGAAGTATGTCGTCTAGGTTTTTGTATCTAGTTGGATACACATGTCTATTCTCATACCCGGGATTGTATAATTTGATAAATCAACCCCAAATGAAGCTTGTTAAAGCTAATTATATTCTCATCATTGTATTATTCTTGCGTTTCCAATAACTGGCTTCCACACCTCAAGATATGCGCGCTTAATCAAAAGGAATCGGGCGCAAGTTCGACCCGCCCATCCGCTTACGCATTTCTGCTCCAGCCGCGATCGTACTGGGGACCTTGATGCCGCAGCAGTCGCCGAAGTAATCAGTAGTCGAGTGGCCATGAGGATGATCATGACATTGGCCATCTTCATGTCCATCCTCCTCCCCGTCCTCGGAAAGCTCGCCCATCCCCTTGGCAGCGGGCAACAGACTTCCGAACAGGAAGTGCTGCATGATAGGAAGCTTGCCGAGGACCTCCTTGACAAACATCTTCTTCATACCACTCTCCACCTTGAACCAGTTCCTGGCACCAGAAATATCATCCAGCATGGGGCTGTGCCAACGGAGACCCTTGACAGTCTTGACGCTGTCCACCCACCGCACCTGATCAAGATAGATGTACTTGTCGCCTTCCTCGTCCAACATTGCTCCACTGTGAATGCCTAGCGGCGTGATGTATGGATGATCTACCAGCTGGCTGGCTCCGAACAGGAATGGGAGGAAATGGTAGTCGTCCAATCCCCAGACACCATGTGACCCTGCCGGCTCAAGGTAATATGTGGATTGAATGTCCCGCATGAGATGCAGGTACTGCACGTAGACCTTGAATACCACTGCAGGGAAGTCGTTCCTTGAAAGCAGGCCCAACTGGTAGAGTGATAGAAGCCACATCATAAAGTTCAGCTCATGGCCTGAACCATAATCTAGTCGGTCCCGTGAGCCTAGAGAGTGGACAAGATATGTTGACGCCTCATCGATCGCTGCAAGGTCCGCCAGGCCCAGGATCTCGTTGTGCCATGATGCGCTCTGTGCAGCGACATCGTCGAAGAAAGCTCTGAAAGCAGGGTTACCGAATCGGGACCCGCCCTGGTCAAGTGCCGGGTGCTTCTCTAGGAGTGACTGTAGCTTCCCAACTATGGAGGAGATTTTGGTAATGTGTGGAGAGTCGGGTTTGTTTTGTAGATCGGTAATCGCCCGCCCGCGTACTGAATCAGACAGACCAAAGATAAAAGCTAGTACAAGTTTGTAGGTCGGAGATGCCTGGAAGAGCTCATGGTCTTTCGGGGATAGGATGCGGCGAACGGGGTGGGAGTATGAATGGGTGGAAAGGTTAGGCGGCGAAGGCAGAGGAGGGGTGATCGGGGTTGGATCTCGTGCGGACGAGGTCTGGGATCGGCGATTATTGCTTGATCGTAGCTCTGATAGCTTCTTGGATAGGTCCAGCTGGCCCGCTCGGGGCGGTAGTGAGGTCGATGCCATGATGGTGTGGGGTGATGGATGATAAAACCAGTAGCTTTCAGATTGCTGCAACGGCAGAAAGTACATGATCTGGCTCCTACCGCCTTCTGTATCCGGAGATGGTATGACGCCATGTCCGTGAAAGGTGGGCCCAGCAGTGCAAGCAGTGCAAACAATCCTATTCTGCCAGCAGAAAGTATTAGCTCCTTATAGGCACGCTACATTTGAGATAAACAATTATGGATCCGCTCGAATGAAACGGGTCTCGTGGTCATTATGTTGCTAAAGTCAATCTCACATGCGAAGCCATTCTTGCTCAACCTGCCGCGCCTTATCCAGCCTGCCTTGGGAACAATACATATTCATGAGGTTCGTGACTATCTCAACAGTTGAAGGGTGATCTGCTCCCAACGACTTTCCAGTCCCAGCTAACGCCCGCTTGTACATCTGGTCTGCCTGGTCTGACTTGCCCTGACCGCGATATAGATTGGCGAGATTGAAGACAGTATCGAGAGTGGAGACATGGTCCGCGCCTAGCTTCTCCTCCTTCCCAGCTAGCGCCCGTTTATACATCTGCTCCGCCTCGCCAAGTCTAGCCTGAGCACAATATACGTTTCCGAGATTGTGCAAAGCGTCGATGGTGGAGATATGGTCTGCTCCCACCGTCTCCTCTCTTACAGCTAGTACTTGCTTGAAGACCAGCTCCGCCTTCTCGGGCTCTCCTCGGAGGCAATAGACGATCCCCAGGTTGCCGACGGTTTCGATGGTGCAGTTGTGATGGGCTCCTAGAGCTTTCTCCCGCCCAGCTAATGCGTGTAGATACATCTGCTCTGCCTGATCTAGCTTGCCTTGTTTACAATAGATAACCCCGAGGTTGTTGACAGTGTCGAGGGTAGATGTATGTTCTGCTCCAAGCGTCTTCTGCCGCTGAGCCAGTGCCCGTTTGTACATCTTTTCTGCCTCATTGAGTTTGCCTTGGTCACGGTATACATTCCCGAGACTGTTGTAATCGGTGGAAGTGGATGATGAGCAACCCATATTCGTCGTGGGGAATAGGCGGGCAAGAGCCCACCAGACTGCGAAGAGGGCGAAAGTTAGCCACAGGTCAGAGAGGGCGAATATAGAAGAGGCAGGAGCCTCCATACAGAACAGGAAAAAGTGCTCGTGGTGTGCTCGAGGAGGTCAGAATTATCTCTTGGAGGGCTCTTACGTGGGCTTTATACAAGTGGGGTTAGCGGTTGGTGCTAAGCTCAAATACGAGAATGTTAAGGTTTAAGGTTCGTATTTAGTGAACAAGAGACAACAAGGCAGACGACAAGGCTGGGCTTTGCGTGCGAGGCGCACGGGAAGGGCCATTCAGGTGTCGAGTAGCGTTGTATGAGTATTTAAGTAAATTTCGTTTGTATGATCTCCTCTGGAATGACTTTTCGATATCTTCAAAGGGGTCAAAACACAGGTGAATTTGTTAGCAAACTTCGAGATAAGTTCTAGGAAGGATTTATGGGGTTAAAGTGGCGAGAGTGATTGGTTTCATTTGAATCAATATTAGGAATATGATCTTAACTAGAATACATGATACATCCATTCAAAAATAATGGCCAGTGTATTTCTTTACACTCGAATTCCAGTACACTCCTCACTATCCGGTTTTTCCAACCCTAACCTATATACAAGCCAGTCCCCCGCACGTCTGTGAAATATCTCTTTTCATCCTTCATGTGCAGCCATCCCCTTCAGGCGTTGTACTTTGTTAACCTCCTCATCCACCTCCTGCTTTCCCAGCGAAGCAGCTTTCCGAGGATTCCGTGCCTGGAAGATCTCGTTGAGCTCCTCGAGGGTATGCCCTTTGGTCTCCACCATGAAGATGTAATAGTAAATAGCCTGACAGAAGCACACGGCCATGTAGATGAAGTACGTCTTCCAACCAATGACATCGAGGGCAATTGGAAGAGCAAACTGGTTGACGAGACCGGCTGCGTTTCCGGCAAAACTAAGCAAGGTATTACTATCAGAGAGGTGAGGGGCATGTGGTGATTTTGATGGACTCACTTCTGCAGGGCCATGCCCTTAGCTCGCTGGTCAAATGCTAAGACCTCGACGGGGTATAGTGCTTGTAGTGGGGTGTAGGCAGCGGAGAAAACAACGCCAATCAAGAAAATAAACGTGATAGATATGTCAGCGGCAGGATGGCTCTTGTGCATAGCATATCCGCCTGTACCGCCGACCATGCCAGCCCAGAGTAGAGTCAGAATCGCGCAACAGGAGATCAGCATCTTGCGTCGGCCAAATCGGTCCATCTGGCTGGCGCCAAAGCAGGCAGCAGCACTAGAGGCCAACGTAATGCCCAGATTGATGTCCAGGACGGTGTCAGTGTCTTTTATTCCAGAAGTGCTAAGCATAGCAGGCAGGAAATATGACACGCCAGACTGGCCAGTCAATTGACTGAAAGCCGAGACAGCGACAGCGCACAGGATGGCACGATAAAGGGCAGCCCGCGAATTGAACAGGGACCGGTAATCCCACCAGCGCTTGTCTGCACCATCGAGCTCCAACTCCTCGGCGAACTCGTGCATCTCTAGTCTAACGTAGAGAGACTCTGGGTTGTCGTTGCCGTGATATTTGATCAGGGTCTCACGGCACTTGTCTACCTGCCCATGAACATACAGCCAACGCGGTGACTCGGGAAAGCAGAGGCACCCGACAAGTAGGATGCATGGGAAAAGCATCTGCAGCCAGGTGGGAATGAGCCAGGCCGCGCTGGTGGTATAATGGACACAGCCGCGCAGAACTGCAGCAGCCAAGATTGCTCCAAGGTAGTAGCAGCAGTTGTAGAATCCAGTAATCACACCTCGGTAGGCTGGGTGGGCGAACTCGACGACGTAGGAGGGACAGGCGACGTTGCAGATAATGCCACCAAAGCCGAGGAAGAAACGTCCGGCGAGAAACTGAGGCAAGTGATGGGACACGCCTTCAATGATGGTACCAATGATGATAAAGACGCATCCAATGGTAATACCCACGCGACGACCCCAGGTATCAGTGAGAGGGCCGATAAAAGGCAGACCGCACACCGAACCGATCGAGTACATACTCATGATGAGGCCGGTCTGCACTCCTAGAATCTTTGCGCCAAACTGATCTTGGAAGGGCTTCATGACAATTAGGTTGCCCATCAACGACCCATCGTAGCCGCCCATCGTGGATCCCAGGAAGGCGAGACTGCAGATTGCATAGAGTTGAATCATACGCTTGCTGAGTTTCTGCACTGGCTCTAGTCGTGTGCATACTTCCAAGGCCGCAGTACCGCGAACAGCGTGGAATACATCGACAGGCTCTTCGAGATGCTGAGAGCTGGCCTCTGGGGCTTTTTCATCATGGGTGGAGGCCATGGAAGCGAAGAACCACTGGTCTGCTGAAAATAGAAGTATAATGCAGGTGGTTTCTGGGGTTGTAGATGCTAATGGTGATCATCGGTGGGGTCTGCTGCCATTCATATATCTTTGGCATCTTGAATGCGGGAATGCTGCTTGACTGAAAAATTCCCGACGATTTCTCCGATGGAATCTGGGGAACCGAATTCTCAAGCCAAGACCGTCTTAGCTCTAAACCCAAACTCCATCCGTGGCCTTGGATTTGTAAAGTTTGTCCCCACGCGGGGGCGGGGGTTGAGCTGGCAGATACAACTTCGGAGAATTGCTGCGTGTGAACCCAATTTAAAAATCGCGGTTTCGCCGATCTTTTTTCCGCTGTACCTAGACCACAGTAGATATTTGAAGGGAAATTCCCATGTCCGAAAGAATGCATTGCCAATTTCTTGCAAACCCGACACCATGCCTTCTACCGCATACTCTTCCACTCCTCCCAAAATCACGCTGGCCTCGCGCGAAGGCGATGCCGACTACAAGGCACCAATCTTTCCACTAGGTCCCTTCACTAAATACTCTGGCAACCCTCTGCTCGTTCCAAACCCAGTCAACGAGTTTGAATCGGCATACATCTACAATGCTGCTGCCATTGTGTTGGATGACACAGTCTTTCTGCTCTACCGGGCGCAGAACGCCGCCAAAGTCTCCACAATTGGACTAGCTTGGTCCTCCGATGGCTACGAGTTTACACGCCTGGATCGTCCGATCCTTGAGCCTAGCGAGCCATGGGAAATGGGCGGCGGTGTCGAAGATCCTCGCATAGTACGCATCGACGGGGTCTTCTACATGACCTATACCGCGTGGGACTTGAAGGTGCCAAAGCTCTGCCTTGCAACATCCACCGACCTGGTACACTGGGAGAAGAGAGGCGGGCCACTGTTCCCGGATTTCATTGATGTCGACGACGCTCTGGACGGGCGTATCAAAGTGCGCTTTGGTCACTCCAAGTCCGGCGCAATCTTCCCCGAGAAAACGGCAGACGGCAAATTCATGATGATCTTCGGCGAGGCATATCTCTGTGTGGCGGAGAGTGAGGATCTGATCAATTGGAAAGCGTGGCCTTTCAATGAGTACTTTGCAAGGGGAGTTCATGACTGGGAGAATCGACTGTTGGAACCTGGTCCGACCCCAATTAAGACTCGAGATGGTCGGTGGATTCTGGTATACAATGTTGCCACGAAGGGTGCTTCTGGGTTCCACTTCAATCAGTACTCCATTAGCCAGATGTTGATCGACCTTGAGAATCTTAAAGATGGCCCGCTGGCTCGCCTCGACCGCCCGTCAGTTGTTGTGTCGGCGAAGAACGAGCATCTTGGACAGGTCAATGAGGTCGTCTTCTGCGAAGGAATGGTTCAGTTCAAGGGGAAGTGGTTTATGTATTATGGACAGGGAGACAGTGAGCTTGGAGTCGCGACAGCTGGGGTCCAGCCATGAAAATTCAGACAGTGAAACGTGGGCTCAGGATGAGGAAGAATACAAGACAAATTAGATATAGAATTTTGATTGCTCGTTGAAAAAGGTTATTCGACAATGGTGTTCGGTGAAGACATTGTAGCTTCAGCCAGATGTGGAAATGCGTCTTGGAGATGTAAACTACGAAGATCGCGGAAGGTCCAAAAGACGGAATAGCCATCTGTCTGATCGATATTCCAGGGCCCAGGACCAATTTCGTCACGCACTTCTTGGGCCAATTCCGGATAGCGGCCTAGTGCATCGTCCCAAAGATTTAAAAGGCCTTGAAAATTCTCAAACTGCGTTTGACGCCAGAGTTGCAGAACGATACGAGCGGTTGCAGCTTGAATGTCCGAGAGGAGGGACCAGTGAATGAGCATTTCCCGGGGACAAATGAACACTGATCGGACCAGAGAACAAACATAATGGAGCACACCAGGGACAGGGCGTAATGCCAACAAGGTACCGAGAGTGTCCTGTCGGCTGAGAACAGTAGCGTAGAACGTCAGAACTACCAGGTTATGGAGAGAGTGAATGATAATCGCTTCTGGTCGAGCTGGCATCCCGTCACGAAGATCAAGAAGTGACGTGGGAAGTTGAACGGCCCAGAACAAACACTCATACTCGAGGCGACACCACAGTAGCTTTGCATCTGGTCCCAATCCATCGTGCTCATCCACACTCTGTAAGCGATCGAGGCGAAGGCCTAAATCAGATATACGTAGATAATGATGAGCAAAGGTAGAGTGATCTACTGATTCGGCGAAGTCCATGAGGTAATGTTCAGAAATGTCGAGTGGCTCTAGTGACGAGCCAAGTAGTCGAAGCCAGGTGTTGGTGACAAGTGCGCCCGCAATAATTGGCGTTGGTAGTCGTTCCCCCATGAGTAATGATGCATGAACAGCGCCGAAGATCTACTATCGGTTAATACCGAGGAGAAGAAGACACGAGGCTCAACCGATGACTTACCCACTGTATGCAATCACTATCAACAGGAAATCGGAGAATCATCAGAAGAACGCCAGTGAGGCACGGTAGAGTCATATCGCCTTGCGTTATAGATTTCAACGCATGACCAGCCTGTTGTGGCACGGCTGCTTGTGGCACGGTATGCAACCAGATACCAGCAGCTAGCTCAACACATTGCTGTAGTATTGGATCCCAGTTCTCGTTTAGCTCGTGGATCATCTCGGATGGTACAAATGGAGTCAGTGGTTGTACGTAGTTCCGATACACTTTCGCCGTCGAGTTGAACACAAGTGGGGCGTCATCTTTCAGAATGATCTTCTGCCCATGGGGATAATTGGTGTCCGCAGGGTTCACCTGACTATCACCATCTTTGACAACCGATACAACACTTCCCGTACTGGCCCATGGACGGTCCCCGTTCACCCTCGGTGTTGACACCGCAGCGGCAGCCGAGACTCTCGATGCTATGCGCTGGGAGGTTTGACGACGTTTCTGGCTGGGTTGACGCCGACTAAACTCACAGATCAGGTCTAGGTGCTCGCATTCCGTGCAACGGCTAGCCCACGGGCCTTCCAAAGCACACTTCTTCTTCCTGTGCCGGCAGTAGTTGCAGGATTTGAACATGGGTCATTCAGAACGGTAAAACCCTCGGGAAGAGAGCTTTTTTAGCCGATTTCTAGTATTGTCGGGTTCAGACTCTCGGCGTGGTCGGAGAAAAGTTCGGAAAAGACAGATGGTGTGAATTGAGATGTTCCAGAATGACTAAATGCCGCGTGGTGCCGAAGTGCCGGAGGTCTTCTAAGCCCCGCACGAGGAAACCTGTTTAAGGTTAACCGCCCCTGAACCTTCGAACTGTGGGGAAGAGCGGGAAATTCCTCGGGGCTAGCTGTAGACCTTCTTTCGGTGGCGTGCCACACCCGCCTATACAAAGGCCGAAAATGGGGAGCTTTCTAACTTTCTGAAGCAAAATTATTTCAATCCATATTTGGCTCTACCTCCATTCGGCCATGTCTGTTGCGAGCACTTTGACGCTCTCCGGCTGGAGATGGCGACAATTCGGCAAAGCAAATGAAGACTGGCATCAGTGTGCCCATGATAAGCCGACCACGGAGATTTTCACCGACCTCATCGATGCAAAAGTGATTCCAGATCCCTTCATCGATGAGAATGAGCGCCATGTTCAGTGGGTGGGCGAGGCTGACTGGGAGTATGCGTGCGACTTCCAATATGAGCCGGAGCAAGCCCACTCTCGCCAGGACCTCGTTTTTGCAGGCTTGGATACCGTGGCCACCGTCTATCTCAATGATCAAAATGAGATCTTGAATTCGACAAATATGTTTCATCGGCACCGGGTCGATGTCACAGGCAAACTGCGAGCCGGCCTGAACACAATCCGCATTGTATTCAAGAGTGCCCTCCATTACGGGCGTGAATTGGAGAAAAAGCACGGAAGCTATAGAGCTTTCAGTGGAGAGAATTCTCGAGCGCATGTTCGCAAAGCCCAGTATCATTATGGCTGGGATTGGGGCCCTCTCTTGATGACATGTGGACCATGTGGTGAGATCAAACTCGAAAGTTATTCTTCAACTTTGATCGACGTCTTCGTCAATGCACAAGTATCCGAGGATCTTCATAGCGCATCCATCAATATCGATTTTGAAGCTATTGTTGATCAAGACGTCACTACGAAGGTTACCGTTACTGCTCCCGACGGCCACATTTTCGACTCAAGTGCAGCTCTCAGTATTGCCACGAAGGAATCTCGAGGTTCAATCTCGTTGGAGATCGACGAGCCACAACTCTGGTACCTTGTCGGTCATGGTCCACAAGTATTTTATCTAGTGGATGTCGCCATCCTGAATCGTGATCAGGTACCCCTTCATCACGTCAGGAAGATCGTTGGCATCCGACGTCTCCGGCTAGTGCAACACAATTTGATTGACGAACCCGGCACCTCATTCTTCTTCGAAGTCAACAACAAACCTGTTTATACTTCTGGTAGCAACTGGATCCCAGGTCATTCTTTCCTCACTGCAATGACGTCTAAAGACTACGCTTCAGCCGTCGATCGATGCGTGAAAGCAAACCAGAATATGCTGCGTGTCTGGGGTGGCGGCATTTATGAACACGATGCGTTTTATGAGGAGTGTGACCGACGCGGAATTCTAGTCTGGCAGGACTTTGCTTTTGCGTGCGCTCAGTACCCCTGTTATCCTGAATTTGCGGCCACTGTGAAACGAGAAGCCGTGGATCAAGTTAAGCGACTGCGGCAGTACTGTTCGATTGTCCTCTATGCTGGAAACAACGAGGACTATCAAATCGCCGAGATGCTCAACCTAACTTGGGATCGTGATGATCATTCAGGGGACTGGACGAAGACCAATTTCCCGGCACGCACTCTGTATGAAACTCATCTGCCCGCCGTGGTAGCCGAATACGCACCCGGTGTTCCTTACCATCCCAGCTCACCCTGGGGCGGTGATGGTACGACGGATAGAACTGTCGGCGACATCCACCAGTGGAATGTCTGGCACGGCTCTCAGGAGAAGTACCAGCTCTGGGACAAGCTTGTGGGTAGGTTTGTCTCTGAGTTTGGCATGCTTGGTTTCCCAGCTGCCAAATCGATTCGTCGTTATGTGACAGATCCCGCACAGCGGTATCCTCAAAGTCGCGTTCTAGATCTGCACAACAAAGCAGATGGGGCGGAACGTCGGCTTGGCTTATATGTTTTGGAAAACATTCGAGTGAACTCGCTGGATCTTGACAGTTGGATTTATGCCACTCAACTTATTCAAGGCGAGTGCCTGAGTTTCGCGGTTCGAAGCTGTCGTCGCCAGTGGAAAGGGCCTGGCCAAGAATACTGTGGTGGCCAGCTCATTTGGCAGGTATGTGAAATTACAATCCTTCAGTTGTTTCTCTCAACTAACCGCTCTTGTTTTAGATCAATGACTGCTGGCCAGTCTCGAGTTGGGCCATCATTGACTTCTACGGAGAGAAGAAGATGGCTTACTTCATGACAAAGCGAGACAGTGCACCGCTCGCCCTTGGGATTAGCCGTTCGACACCTGAGCTCAAGAAGCTCAAGTCTCCACCTCCCCAGATCCTGGCCCCTCCCCATGATCTTGCCCCAAAGACATACATCTGTGACGTTTGGGCCATGAACGGGACCTTGCAGGATGTCCAAGCCCAGATTGAAATCCGGTTGTCCGACATCGCAACCGGAGCCTTGCGCAAAGAGAAATCCATGGGTGTCCAATCACTTCTATCAAACCGCACTACCGAGTTGTTGGAAGACTTGAGTGTGGATGATAAGACAGCCGTCCAAGCAATCATGAGGGATGGGGATGGCCATGTAATTGCCCGCGCCTCGGATTGGCCCCAACCACTCAAATATGTCACCCTCTGTGCATCTCCAGATGTCAATATCTCAGTGCTAGACGGAAAACTTGAGATTCGAACAAATGTGCCTGTCAAGGGGCTTGTTGTTTCAGTGGTCCCCGATGGCCGTGATGTTGAGTTCGAGGACAATGCTGTCGACATTTTCCCGGATGATGTCTACACAATTCGAGCCCGGGGCTTGACAAAGGCTGACAAGGTAGAGGTGCGTTATTATGGGTCGGATTTCTAGATTGCTGGTGTTGAATAGATGTGTTTTTCCCCTATATGGGTCAATTAGACTAGAGTAGAAACAAGGCGGGCTTGACTAGTTGAAAAATGCGATTTTATTCAAACGGTTATTTTGGAAAAGTAAAGAGAATATCAGCTACCGTCTACCTTCCTCTCGGGAGCTTTCAGGCTTCATATTGCGAGAAAACATAGATAATAGTGGAAAATTGCAGGGATTTCTCCTATTCGTTTGCTGTTTGCCAAGCACTACCTGGCGCCAAAGTCTATAAAAAGCTTCCTGCTGAAGATTGTCATTCTCTCCTAAGGTGAACCCTTTATCAATCAGCTTCTTACTTTTTTCATCTCCGTTTTTTTCTCCTTGACTGGATGAATCTATGCGGGGACATCAGAAATGTTGAGTAATCGATCAGAAATTCGATCAACAAATTACCAACTTTTGGGGAAGCTCCACCCCGCATTGAACATCGACCGGGGAAAACATCGACCGGGGAATTAGCGGGGTAATTCCATCAATGTGGAAGTGCAGAAACTCACTCGATCATCGCCGACGTTTTATCCGCCATCAACTGAGGGCCGAGCACGCTAAGCACCTTCAAAGTGGTAGGGATCATCAGGTGCAGATGCGAAAACTTGAGAATTTTTGATGACCGACCTCGCACCTGATAATTTTGATACAATTGGGTGACATGCTACCCCGGAATTGGAATCACCAACAAAAGATGATGACGGAAATCTGCAACATAAAAGGGCGTAATGCCATCTTGCTGAGGATCTTGAAAAGCAACATATTACTCCTTCCATTCTTTGACTTATTTCCTAATTGCCAGTCCTCTCTTTTCCAATGAGGTTTTCATTGCAGTCCGTCCTCGTGTTAGGACTAGGGGCTACCACGTCCCTTGCGGCCTCCTCCGACAAACCTCCCAAGATCACACCGGCATCGCGACAGAATGAGGTCAATTACACGGCGCCATATTTTCCTCTACTTGGATTTGAGCAATATGCGGGCAATCCCATCATGCGTCCAGACGCCAGCCACCCATGGGAGTCTGAATACCTCTACAACCCGAGCGCCATCGTCATGGATGACATGGTATTCCTTCTCTATCGTGCTCAAGATGCGCAAAAGACCTCAAGCATTGGTCTTGCCTGGTCTAGCGATGGGTATAACTTCACTCGGTACTCTCAGCCTATTGTCTCCGCCACAGAGCCATACGAGACCTCTGGTGGATGCGAGGACCCCCGAGTTGTACGAGTTGACGGAACGTTCTATCTAACCTACACGGCCTACGACGGCAAGGTCGCCCGCCTCTGCCTTGCGACTTCGACTGATCTTGTCAACTGGAAGAAATACGGTCCTATCCTGCCCGATTTCACCGAGACCGTGTACAACTGGCACGACCCCGTTACTTATTTCGCACCCAATCCGGCCGGCTGGACCAAGAGCGGTGCTATAATTGACGAGCGCCAACCTGATGGTTACTACTACATGCAATTTGGAGATACCTACCTCTATACCGCCAACTCGACTGACCTGATCCACTGGGAGGTCTCGGGATACGGAAAGCCGTTCGCTCCTTTGATGAATCTCTGGGAGCAGGCTCTGACTGAGAGTGGGCCACCACCCATCAAGACGAGGGACGGCATGTGGTTGAAGGTCTACAATGGGATGGCTACTGGTGGTGCAGGAGGTTACGCAATTGGCCAGTATAGCACTGGACAGATGCTCATTGATCCGGCCCATTCTCCCTTGGGCCCACCCATTGCACGCCTTGAGACTCCTATCTTGCAACCTACAACGGCCACGGAGATTACTGGGCAGGTTGATAATGTCGTTTTCAGGTAAGTCGACTACACTTCTACTGACGAGAAGTACTGATACTAATATCTGCTAGTGAGGGCTTGGTGCAATTCAAGGGCAAGTGGCTGCTTTACTTTGGCGCTGGCGATGCGTTCCTCTCGGTGGCCCAGACTCATGTGCAGCCCTAGACTTGTCCGACTATTGCCTATAGTAATCTGAGAACTTGTCTTTGGAGGTCTTGAATTGAATAAGTTTGAGAGTGGGCTGAGAATGTATATAATCAAGGTCCTCAATAATCAAGGATGAACAGTCACTCAAGATATGGGCAATCGGAGCCCCGACGACCCAGTATTGGTATGCGGATTTCGGTGATTCAGAAGTACATAGATATATACCTACTCCAAGGTTGAAAGTGGGCACGTAGTTTAATCGGACATTATTATGATGTGTAACTGGATGCACTTATCAGGAGAGGCAACCGTGTTATTTGGATTGAAGATCTTAATTCTTCACGGACAGATGAAAAGCATCAACGATTTGAAGGATTCTCAATAATACATCAACGAATGAAATATAATCGTGTTTCGACATACCGGAGTGAACAGGGTGAAACTCCATCTCATGTCAGTTTATGATTGATTTAAAGTGATGGAGATGGTATCACCTTAGATCTGGAAAGGGTCCAGCAGAAAGGCCCAAGCGAGGCGGATAGCAGGGCGGTGATTCAGGCGGTGAGCCTCGACCAATCATGAAAGGTCACACCCGCAAGGGACCGTTGTATGCACCGAAAGAGGAATAGTGTGGTGGAGCATGTGATCACCTTCGGCCCCAGACAACCACCGATCGACGGATCTCTTTTGCTTTTGCTCAGTCATACGAGGGTGCACATGATGACTGCCCGCTGAAGGGGAATGACCTATTGAACGAGAATCTAGCTGAGCCAGGTCAATAGCCTCAGGAAGGCCTCTTTTCACGCTCCTCCAATTCTTGTAGGGCCTATCCCTCAGCCGGCGGTCCAGCACCAGGCACATTCCTCGCTCTTACCCCCCTCCACTGTGCCTTGCGCCCCAATGCTGCATGAACTCTACAATCTCGCACAGACTATTGGACAGATCATCTAAGTCACCGGCTAGGGCATGAGCACGCCATCATGAATACTTTCGAGTCATCGGCGACGACTCCGACAGGTCCCCGCGATTCTGGGGAAGCCAGAGATATCCACGATTCCTCGTCACGCTCACCCACCCATGTAGATTCGGGCCTCTCATCTTCCTACGGCAGCAGCCGGTCCCACTCCAGCTTTTCCTCCCGAAAGTATGCTGGGACTCCACGGTCTCACACGCAGCAGTCCAACGAGTCCACCCCAGTCTTCGATGAGGCGGGCTCCTCGACGCGTAACTACGGGGCCACGGAAGCACCCAATTTGTCTAGCGCAGCGTCCGGGCCAACGAACAATAACAAGCAGAGCGTACAAGAGCTTAGAAATGGCGGCAACGGCGGCAACTCATCGCAACTACAAAACCAAGACGAAGAGCCTCATCAGTCTCGGTATAGCCGATTTGTAGATCGGTTCGGGGCTCTCGAGCTCGAGAACAAGGGCAGCGTTGCGCGTGATCACCTTGCCTTGGGTATGGCACTAGGATCTTGCAATCTTGAAATCAAATCTGATCTGATCTTATAGAGCGAACATTTCTGGCTTGGATGCGCACATCGCTCGCCTTCGCCTCCATTGGTATCGCCGTCACCCAGCTCTTCCGTCTCAATACCACGACTACTACGACAAATGCGTACGGTCTCGATGTTACTTCTCCAGGACACCCCGATATCCTCCCTCCTCAGTTCTCCTCGTCCTCCATTAATGTCGCCTCGGCCTCCTCCCGCCTTCGCAGTGTCGGCAAACCTCTCGGCTCCACGTTCATCGGCGTCGCCATCCTCATCCTCATAATTGGCTTCCACCGATACTTTGAGAGTCAGTACTGGATTGTCCGTGGGAAGTTCCCAGCCAGTCGAGGAAGCGTTGCATTGACGGCGTTTGTCGCGGCGGCACTGATCGTTGCGGCGTTGGCGGTTATATTGGCCGTTTCTCCTGGGGCAATTGAACAGTAGCCTGTGCTCCTTCTGCATCTTCCTCTTATTGTTCTCGGGTTGGCATTCTTGCATGATTCTCGGTGTTTATTGCCACAAGTTGTTTATATACCTTCTTTGCCGCACTGTGCATTGAAAACCTTTTGGCGACAGTGATGTGTGAACCAAGTGATCTTATTGTTGATAGTTGGAGTCTCGGGTATTCGAATTATTGGCAACCTTGTTCGATGAATAAACACCAAATATGTCCATGAATTGATTGGTTATGGTATTTGAACAATTTATTGTCCTTCTCTTCGATATCATGATCTCTGCCTGGAAATCGAGACAGACCCGGTGTGATATAGAAAGCCTCCCGCTGTACTCACCTACCCCAGGGAGGTACAACATAGTAGACGCCTCCATGCACAATACATGCAGTTACTGATCCAACCTAAAACAAGGATGAGTATCAAATTCAAGATGTGGAAATAACTTAGGATGAGCAAATTATGTCGGCTTACCCAATGTATCCAATGATAACTCGGAAATGACGTGGAAACATAGATACCAAAGCATCGAGCAGGATTCAAACCTAACAAAATCAGCGTGAGATACTTCAACCAACATCTTATTCTCATCACTTACAAGCACCAAAGTACCCGCTCCGCACAAATGATGATACCCAGGTTAACGTCCCAAGTGTCAATCCGACCAAAAACGGAGATAGTGCAGCTCCATAGATCTCCCCTTGACGTGGGTCCAGACCCACACCAAAGGCCAAAAAGATAAGAGACAAGCAAAACACGAATTCCAAGAGGAAAGCATCGCCCACGGGGACCTGTGATTGATCTATCACGCAACCTCCACAGGTATAATCGCTAGACCCGTATCCCTTGCGGAGTACAGCTCCAGCGATGATTGAGCCGAGGACCTGACCGATCACGTAAATGACCATACGCGGGAATGAAATCAGACGCGCAAAAAATGTAGCAATTGAGATAGTCGGGTTGAGATGACTACCGCTGGTGTTGGAGAAGGTGAAAACAAATAGCGTCAGAAATAAAAAATTGGAAATGCCCCCGAATAGAGGACCGAGGAACGTCGTCGTAGAGTAGACACCCGATGGCGATGATGGCACAACATTTGACGCCCCAGGAGGTCGTATAGATACCCAAGAGGTTACAAAGTTTAAGAGAAAGGTACCTGAATTGGATCAGTAGCTTCACTGTTCGCATCGTACACGCGGTACATAATGGAAATGTGCCCGACCCACCTATCAGTTCGATAAAGCCGAATTTCCACAGAGTTAAATCCAAAAAGCCACGCAAGTCAGTTCCTTCACGGAACGACATGCGAGGGGCCGCGTCGGGTATTTTCTTGAGCAGCTCTGCATTTTGAGGGTCTCCGCGATCGACGACGATCTCTTGGTTGCCACCGATTCGCCCAGCGAAGGGTTGGATAACGGGTTTGATTCGCGAGGCCTCGTAAGTGGTCGTTTGCTCCAGGTCTGACTGGTAGCTGCCTCGCGTCTGCTGCGGCGTGAGGGCCATGATTGTGAATTATTTTGTAAGGAGGATCGCTCGTTCGCTGTTTCCGGGTCTTCTACGAGCTGTAGGACGCTGGAATGGAACAGCTGTTCTCGCATCCAATGAATTTAAGGAAAAGCTAGAGACTGGAGCTTCAGTGCCTCGAGACTCACTTACTCAGGGGAACACGGAGGTAAGCTCGTGGTTTCAACCGGAGAGGTAATCGTAGATAGTTAGTTAGTCCTAGACGATAACGTAAGATTTTACTAAGGCTGACAGTCGGTAGTTGATGGCTTGGGAGCATCGGCCATGTTAGGTTTAGGTTGGATTCTTCGGCCGCAAATGGTAAGCGGCCCGAACACTTTAAGAGCCATGCCCCTCGTGAAATCCATATTGCAACGCGCTCTACCTAAACTGTCCAGTGTTCGCATTCATTGATATCCATCAAAGCCTTTGTTTTGAAGTAGCGCTCAGGGAAGAAACAGATTTGCTTTCCACTATTCCCACTTGACAATCCAAGAATATATACACTATGATCAATTAAACTGAGCCAGTCGCTAGCACACAGCCACCATCGACAACGATACTCTGCCCATTCAGGTCCTGATTCGAAACAGTGAAAAGCACAGCTCCAGCTATATCCTCATCTTTACCAGGGCACCCGGCAGGAACCTTACCCTCATACTTCTCCTTGTCAAGCGAGCTCTTTTGCTTATCATCACTCTCGTTAGCGGTCATTTCAGACGGGAATACCCCAGGGGCAATATTGTTCACTCGAATTTTCGCTCCCGAGTCCGCGATCTCGTGTGCAAGCATCTTGGTCAGGTGAATGGCAGCAGCCTTACTCGCATTGTAGGGGAAATGATGCTGCGATGCTTTGATGATGCCAGAGATGGAAGAAATGTTGATTACTGTGCTGGACCATCCAGGCGTGTCCTCAGCGCCCTTACTGAGCAAGGGTAGGAAGCGGTAGCCACGAAAAACAGTTGCATCATGTTGGTTCGCATCACATCTTCCCAATCACTGACTTTGCTTGTATTATGGAATAGTTCTTGCTGGAGCTCTTTGGGATCTTCCTGGTCGGTATTCTGCTTCACAGAGCTAATACCGGCGTTGTTAATTAGGCTGTCCAGCTTGGACTCCTTGGACGAGATCTCGTCGATCAGCTTCTGGATTGACTCCTTTGAAGTGACATCGGCGGGGATCGCGACGATTTCACCTGGAATATCCTTTGAGTAACGCTCCAACACACGATCGAGCTTCTCTTTCGTGATGTAGACCTTTGAACCATTGACTACGAGAGATTGAGTGGCCATTAGGCCAATGCCTGATCCACCACTAGTGATGAGGGCAACTATGTCATTCGTTACAAATTTTGATACAGATCTAGAATTCGAAGACATTTTGGTACGTTTCAGAATCGTGATCAGATAAATTTTATCCAACTAGATGTGTGAAAATTCTAGCGTATAGAGTCTGAGAGGTATTTCATACCAAACTTGGTCTTCTACTCTGCATTCTTAGTGGCGAAACTAGAAATTTTTCGATGAGAATAACAAGTATATTTCAGTTGACCTATGCATCTTTGCGAGAAGATGATCGGTTGAATAAAACAGTAACAGATAGTTAAGTGAAGTTCGAAGGACGTCGGATTGAGTCGTTATGTTGAGATTGGATAAGCATATTAATGATTATCGAACTTCATAGAGAATTGTTCGAGTCTGGTATATCAAATAAATGCTATTTTCGTCAGGGTGACATCTATAAATTTTGAGAATGGCCTTAACTGTCAATTTCAAGATTTATGTGGAATCCTACCTGTCGTCGGACGCGGCGGATCCATCCTTAAGCGCAGCACCCAAGAACAGCACCTTAGCCAGTTAATTTTTGCCAACAAATCAAATCACTTGTATTGAAGAAGTTTCTGTTTAGGTCTGGGCTTTACAGATCATTCTGCATATACACAAAGTACCAATAACCAACATGATTGACAATGCCGTTGCCTTGTCAACTTTAAAGCCCATGACGGGCATTTTGCTATGTGTAGATCCCGACCTGATCACACTTGACGCTTCTGCTTACCACACTTGGTCAAGCACTCCTCGACCTTGATCAACATGTTCCCAGGGATGGCATGTCTCACTTTATCAATATCTTCACCGGCAATACTCTGCCCAAACGTCGCCGCGATAACATCATCGCTAAACGCAAAGGTCTGGTCCGCGACCAAAGAGATCCCAGAGTCCTCTGACGTGAAAGCTGCCGTAAAATTGGCAGGTTCGCAGTCCGGGTTCACTTGCGTGTGGAATGAACCGGCCGGATAGATGGTCAACATGCCCTGGCTGATTTCTGCGCGGATAACTCGCTGGTTGACTTTGGAGTCAAGGACACCTCCTTCAGGAACCATTTCGGAGAGCACACGGCCTGAAGTGATGGCGAAGAGCTCGGTTGCACGAGGATGAAGGTGGACAAAGCTCATGCTGCATGCTATTGAGATTATTAGAATTATTCGGTAACCAGGATACTTTTAGCTATTATACCAGGCAATTGCGAAAGACTGAAGGATGCACCAGAGCCAACAAGAGCCGGAAAGCTTATGTGGTTGGCAATAGGGAGATCAGGGTTCTTGTTGAAATCAAAGACAAAGTCTTCATCCTTCGGCAGAAGTTGATAGCGGTCGGCAGCGCTGAAAACGTCAATTATTGATATATTGCCAGCAAGTGCCTAATGACTTACGTATCTGCGAGTCTCAACTGAGCTGTCAAGCTGAGCTCGGTTGTTGAACGCTCGAGCATTGGATGAGGTACAATCTCCATTGGACGAGCCTGAACGAGGGCAACGGCGAGGAGGGAGCTGATGGCAATCTTGGACAGCATGTTGGCTCAGAATATTCACTAGCTTATTGTTTGCAGTTATGTCACAAGAAGATGATGCGATATGAGCTGGTGATTTTGATTGTTGGATGATTAAAGGAATGGACGATAGAAGTCCTTATATACTGTATATCCTCAATTTAAAATCTAAAAGTCCAAGTATCATCTTATGGCAAATTCCAAATACCTATTTTGGCTTGACTAAAGACCAATCCTCACTTGCTTAGTAGAAAGGAATTCATGAGTTAGTTCCATGTGCGTATAACTCGGTTAGAGACTCAGCCATGCCGAGGCACCATCTCCACGACAATCCCCTCATACGAACAATCCACAGGATGAGGTCTAACATCAAAAGACGGGAGGGCGGAGTAACTCTGATGCCAAGAGAATAATTCTCGTATTTGATGTTAGAGAGCGAGGTTTTCAGAGAACATCTGTTACCTATCATGTGTGGTTGTTGGCGTATCCATGAAATTCCTAACCCAAAAGGACAAGAAAGTATCTTCATTTGTATATCGTTCTTGGCGGAGTCGCATTAGTAGTCGTATCAGAAACTTGAGTTTGGGCGTATTCGAGATACGACATACGACCATGGTGGCTGACGGGAGGCTGACGGTTAGCAGCATCCACAAGCATAACGAAGATCTGTCTGCAGCTATCTGCGGCTCCTAGCAATGCACTTACCCTCCCATCATCAAGTCTTTTACGTCATTTTGAACTGGGCATAGTAATGCACCAGGACTATCCTAAGGCATCTTTGAGGTCTACAATTCCACCATGCGAAACCGGGTTACCGTGGTACCATGGGTTTCCGACTAAACAAATAGTCGGAATTCAAAAAGCGAGCATTGACGAAGTTTGGACTGACCCGAGATTTTTCAGTATCTAAAACTATGAAGATAATTTCAGTTCGAGATTTACCATATACATGCTTTGGGGCCACCACCTCTCATTATCATCCCTCACTTGATGAAAGAGTTCTTGATTCTTCATCGCTGACACCACTTGTCCCAATTCCCACTGTCCAATATCACCAATCCACCACACTCCATCCAGTAGCATTACTAGCACCAGCCAATGAGCCAAGATGTCCATGGCCAGTAGCTGGGTCGCATCGAGCGAGGGAATTTCAATCTTGGGTGAGTCTTGCCCCATTCCGTGTCCAACCGGGCTCAATTCTGCACTGGGTAAATCGAGTATTGACTGAATGACGTTGAGGTACTCTGAAGGGGTTTCGTTCAAAAAAGACATGACGGTTCGTCGCAGGGCCCTGGGCGCTTTCATTGATGTCACACTAATCATGTATTTTCCAACCCAGGGTGAGACTCTGGTAGATCCATCAAATAACGGGCATTCATGCCCGATATCATCGCCATTTGCATTCTTTTCTTTTGGAGACAGGGCAGCGGATGCACATTTCTCGAGGATCGGTAAAGCTTTCAAGCATGCGTCAAGTTCTCGGAGATCGGAGTTAAAAGACGCTGGTCTCCCAACATGAGCTGATATGGAATCGGCTCTCTCTGATAGTCTCTCGAGAGCTCGAATATATGTAGATGTCACTACAGGAAGAAATAAACGTTCTGTATCCTCTGATGGACCATTTTGAGGCGACGTGACGTCTGTGTTGCTCAAATCGACATTTGGACATTGTTTCGTAGCGGGTGCTGTCTGAATGCCTATAGGCTGAGTTTTATCCGAGGCCTCGATAATGTCGTTGAGAACTGCGGTGGAGGCCATATGAGCTGCACGAGTGAATGAGATCCACTGTGAGTGTTGTGGCAGCAGCTCGTCTGGTAGTTGCCGGCCCCTTTGTTTTGCAATAATCGCGAGATGTACTCTGATGGAGTGACTGGCAGAGGCATACAAAACCATCAACGCCGCATTCACGAGGACTTCGTCGTACCAATCCGAGTGAGACACAGTGGCTTGAATGTGCTGGAGGGAATCCCTGTGATGGCGCTCCGCTAGTTCAAGTAGTCCATGCAGCTCAGTCAAGGTCCCACTGTCTAGAGGCGTTTTGGTCTGCTTGAGAATATCGTTGGATTTGCATGCCGCCGCCAAAGCTATGAGAGATGACATAACGGGCTTGTTTCTGAAAGCGAGATTTGGTATTCCTATTGACAATGCGTAAAGATCGAGGGCATCGAACGGAATAGTCTTGCTTGTGTGCATAATGTAATGGCTCAGGAGACCAAGTTCTGTCTTGTCAAGAAAACCTGGGGATTGTGAAATTGATGACTTTCGATCTTGGTATATGTTGAATCTTGGAGAAAATGGAAGAGGCGAGGTATGAGAAGAGGCAGAGAGCAGAGAGCCAGGAATCGAGAGGGATTCGCCTGTGGGTGTAACTGGCTCTTCTGAGACGGTAACTCCACGACTCGTAAGTGGGACTTCAAGGGCACCAATCGATCTACCTGGAAAATCCTGTTCGTCCGACGTGGTGGAATGAGTTGCAAGACTCTGGTATCGACAGCTATATCCAAGTTTGGCACATCTGGAGCAGTTGGGTCTCAACTCGTCGCACTAGATAATACGATAAGAATATAGGAAACGAATGTAGTCCAGTAGAATCGTCTCCCACCTTTTTTCGTTGTTGCTTGCATCTAAGACACCCATTTCTAGATTTTGCGTGTGCTCTTCGGACTCTCAGGCCTGTGGCCTGCAGCTCCGATCGGGTCGTATCTCTAGGCATAGTCGATCGCGCAGAACAATTTTTGTAGAGAGAATACTCGCCCCGATACAGAAATGATTACCCCGACAGCCTCGAGCGTATTCACCTCAAATGCTTAAGATCCCCTTCTTAAAGGCTGCGTCGAGATTCAGACCTAAATCTACTCGAGGCTTTTGACTAGCCAGCTGAGGGGCTGAGCAGCGAGCGGCTCTGCGTTGCCCCAGCCCCACTTGAGCTGATGATTTGGAATAACACATAATGGAGAACCAGGAAAAGTATGTAACTACACTTCTTGGCGTAATCGAGTGCCGCATACGGAGAAGTCGAGTCTTGGCCTTCTGCGTCTGTCGTATCTGACAAATAGGAGAAATTGGGGGCCGTCCACAAGCCTATCTAATTTATCTTCTAGCAGGTTTGGATAAATCACTTGTGCATGCCCGACAGGCTGATGTGCGTCCTTTCCCATTATAGATCAAATCTAAATTGAACAAACTCATGAATTCGTGATTATACTCGCAGGGAACTTATACGAACGGGGAGAGACCTAAGCTGCACTGTCAAGTCCAACCAAGTCTTTCTCCTAAACTTATCGTTCCAACACTTCTCTTTGACTGGGCCACCAAGGTATATCGTAAAGTCATCAATATTTCTGTTATCCTTGAGTGACGAGAGATTCTGGTCAGAAGAGTCGCTTGGTCGACCAATGAAGAACCGATATTGCGAAAAGAACTTGCGTCCAAGAGAGATATCATTTGGATCGCTCCCGATGGTCCGAAACCATCCGAGAAAGTTTGACTCTGCCAGCAGACTGGCAACTGCTGCAATTCTGCTGGGATTTTTGGGCAGAATATGATCTATATTCATGAGGACAGATCCCGAGATTCCGAGGATCAGTATGACCGCAAGAAGAGCCTCTAGCACTCTCGTGGACACAGCGTCTTGGATAAGTCTAAGTCGGTTAGGGACAGTGACTTCGCCTGCGTATGTAACATCGCGCGAGGTGTTCGTTGTGCGCATAATGTTAAATTCCTGTGCCGTCATGATATTACTTTGGAATTTGATTGCCTTTACATCTTTGTCAACGTCGTGGACATTTCTGAGACTTTCTTCGGGGATAGCGTATCTTCCAGTCGTCAAGTGTTGGAAGAAAGAGTCCAACGTCACTGAGATGCTTCCGTCGTTGTTGGAGGAAACTAAAGAGGAAACAGGTACGAATTGATTCACAGCCAAAGTGGCCGACGACTCATCTGGAACAGGGGGGTGGTCGTCGGGTATATCAAAATCCGGTAACCGAAAACGCGTCCAGGTGTTTACAACTTCAGCTGTTGCAGCGCATGTCAAACTTGCAATATGCTGCAGAGAACCATTCAGGGACTGACCCCAGACATAGGCCATCACAGGATGCGCCGGTTTTAGATATGAATTTGGTTCATTTTCAACGGAGCACATCAGCATGTATGCTCCCCCGAAGGTTCCATTGCCCTCTCTCAGCATGCAAACCTCACAGAACGATCCTGGATCGAGGAACTGGTTATTTGAATATGGGTTGCAACGTACACAGGCATCCTAACATGCATCGATCGGCATGTTGGGTCGGTCGAAGATTCGAAGTCATCAAATGTGTAGTTGTCAACACCTGAGAGCCTGTCTGGAATTGACAAACCGGTGCCCCTCGTAGAGTGGGCACCCAGAGATCAATGAATGACTCATCTAGAAGATTAGGTGGCGTGTCCTTGGGATATGGGACCTTGTCCCGGAGGAGAAATCGGGAAATGGTAAGACCTGATACTGTGTCATAGTCAACTGTTGACATGTTGTGATTGGAAAGATATCTGTCAAAGGTATCCTCTCGTGTGACGTTCGTGGCGACCTTCTGGGGGACTTCAATGGGTGACCAAAGGCCGCTTGCAACAATCGTCAAAAAAGAGGTGAGAAAAGCAGCACCCGTTGTGAGTGTGACGGCAAATTGCTTCATCTGAATCGAATTGACAACAATGGTCGTGGTCAAAGAATTCTGAAAATCCACTGTCATAAACTGTTCGAAAGTTGCTCCTTTCGACCGTCTCAATTGGGCATAGGGCGCTGAAGTCCGAGTGTTGAAATCGATACTCCCAAAGGCGAGGCCAATGGCTACCATAACTAGCGATGGAACAACGGTCCATACATAGTGTAGGTAGTCATTGTTATTGACGTTCCCTAGCCCGATATTTGCTCGAGAGATACGTAAAACGATCTCCAGGGCGATTGCAACCAACGCGCTTGCTAAGAAAATAGCGCCACGACAAATGAGATTTGGGAATGGCGCCGAGATCTGAGCTGACCTTGCTTCTCCTTAGGCAGTTGGGATATCGCACCTGTCGTTTGTTATAGCTCTAATGGATAAACGTCCTTCAGTAGTCACCTGGCAGACATATTGCATTTTCGCGAGCCGGGCTTGCAGACCATCCAATGTGACTGCACTAGTCCCAACGAGAGACTGCGTAAGAGATCGGCCATTTGACAACATTGAAGCAATGCCAAAGATCGAAGCAGGATTCCAAAGACCCTTGAAACTGTGGTTTCGCGTAACTGACGATACGATACCGAAGTTGACTTGTGAGACATGGTTGAGGACTTCCAAGGCTTCGATGACGGCGCAGAATACAATGATGAATGCGATCAAAACACGTCGCTGGAGATAGCCCGGTCGCCATCTGCATTCTTGACTTTTCATCCCTTTTAGAATACCTTGCTCGATTTTCTCGCGGTTTGTCAAATATGGAACCCTCATCGGGTTCGAGTGGAAGGGGCTTGTTCGACATGACGAGAGGCACCTCAAACCAACGTTTCACGGAGTCTCTCAAATTTTAAGGGTCCTTGAGACCCTTGAAGTGTGTTGTCAATCTATAAATGGGTTCAAATCAGAAACAGGAACCTGCATTAGCTGAGTCTCTTCATTGATGCTTATACTTAGCCGCCGAAAGAGGCTCTGCGATTCAAGTCGGGCGCCAACCATGAACAAGTCATCGAATTCGGGGGCCAGCGCTTGCAAGGTCCAAACCACACTGTACATCTATCCTTTATAATGAGATTGCATTTCAGTAGAACTATCCAGATACTGCCCTACAAGAATCAGCAACTTCAATAAAATATTTCTTTCTTTTCTGTCAAAGCCCCAGATCCATCCACACCAAGGTCTAGGCACAATACTATATCGGAGGCAAGAGACACGGGGAACAGGGTGATTGAGGGGGGAAATATCGACAAGGCGGATCAAGGGGGCCAGGACGAAGAAATGGGACGTAGAAATTGGGCGACATGGCTTACGGACAATGCGGGAAAAGTGCCAAGCAGAAGGAAATGAATCAAACCAGAAAGAAGAACCGCCTTAGTACATATCGCTTTGCTTTACCGGGGGCCAAGCTTGGCCAGCGCACGAGCACCTTGTTCCTCCCACTCTTGCTTGGACACCCACATGTCGTCCTTGTCGGCGATCTGTTACCCTATAGATTAGCTTCTAATTCTCGGGAGAGGTAGATCCGATGATGATAACATACCAGGTTGGCGAGGACAGCACCACCCAGGAAGACCATATGTCTCCGTCGTGGGGGATCCTCGATGCGGACCTTGAATTTCTGTAAAGTCGTTAGTTTTGAAAAGGAAATTGGGATTTTCAGTCTCTTCATCTCGTAAACATACGTTCAGACGCTCCGGGTTGCCGCCCAGAACTCGGGTAAGCCAAAGTTGCTTGAGTTCCTTCTCCAATCGCGAGGGCAGACCAGGGTACATGCTGCTACCACCACTGAGCACAACAGCCTTGTACAGACTAGATCGGATATCGACATCGGTGCCTTGGATAGTGTTGAAGAGCAGTTCAGCCATACCGGGCTGATCAACATCCACCAGATGGGGCTGGAAGAGACACTCGGGGGCCTCGAATCGCTCACTGCCGACACGGATGACACGGCCGTCGGGAAGGGTGTAGGACTCGACCAAAACAGTGGTATCCTCGGACAACTTCTTGTCCAGCTCAAGGTCGTAGGAAACGTAGCAGAGCTTCTCCTTGATCTGGCGGACGGTCTCGAAATCGGCGGTTCGGTTCAGCGCATAGCCGCGGCGCAGAAGAAGGGCAATCAGGTTGCGGGTGACATCACGGCCAGCCACATCCAATCGCTTGATGTGGTGGTTCAACACAGTTGACTCGTAAACGGGAATAATGTGTGTAACACCGTCGCCGGAGTCAACGACTACACCACTGCTCAGACCTAGAAATCCAAGGCGTCAGCACCTCTCTCTCAACGTGCATGTTATCTCCACCACAGCATTGTTTCATACCCTGGGCATAAAGTGCCAGCACCGCCTGGATCGCCACATAAACACCTCCAAAGTTGTATCCCTCCAGCATGACCTCAGCCATCTGTTCGCGGTTCTTGAGCGGGTTCATGGGTGGCTCTGTGAGGAGGATCTTCCGTCCCGTAGGATCGATCTTCAGCTTGTCATAAAAGGTGTAATTCCACAGGTGTTGCATGTCATCCCACTTCTTGACGATGCCATTCTCCATCTAAACCATCCCCGCAAGGGGTTCATTGTCAGCAACACGTTCTAGCCTGTCCTGCGGAGAGAGAGGGGGCGGGGTATTCGAAAGCGAGGCCACGAGGGTCATATCCAAGATCAGACGTACCGGATAGCTGATCTGAAGCATCGATCGTGCCGCGGCGGCTTCTTCTCCACACATAATATCCTTGACCACAATATCGCCAGCCTGCTCCTCCGTTCGCAAGATGGGCCGCCCCACTATCGAGGGGAACTGGTGCTCTGGGAAGTTCTAGTGAAGGCGAACAAGTCAGGAAGGTGCTGCAATCATTGATATTCAGCGTGCGACATACCTGGCCAGCATATCCGACCTTGAGGAAACCGGTTCCTCCGTCGAGCACTAATGCCTGTTAGCTTGGGGGAGCTGGGGAGGGACACGCGGTCGGCTGGGGTGAGGGGAGGTACCAATGGGCACGTCCGCCATGATGTAGGAATGTGGAAATCAAGCGCTGTTGAAAGTTGTTTTATGCACTTATCTCCAAGGCGAGGGCAATTGGAGGAGCGTCGGGCGCGGAGGTGGAGGAGTTGGGGTTGGAGTTGATGTCGGTAAGTCGAGTTACTGTCGCCTGGGCATCATCATCGTTATTTACGTGACCATACCGTACCTCTTCCGCTCCCCGCATTTGGGGGCGCAATGGAGCATGAGCCACTTGCGTTACAAAACGTGACCTGAGTTAACAATAGTGATCAATTCGGAGCTGGATACCTCAAGATAGGCATGTTAGAGATACTTAGAAATCATCCTTTGTGTGTTGAATCGTTAGTCTTACGAAATTGGCCGTCTCTTTGGGCTAATCTAGTGGCAGCCTGAGGCAGAATCACTAGCCACACTGGGCGGCCATCCTGCACCTATCAGACACACAGGCAATCTAGAATCTAGACCCTAGGACTGTGTACATACACGGAGTTCTTTAAATCAATCTGATCCGAAAGGACATTTTCGGCCCGATCTCTATCTGCTTTTTTTTCAAAGTGCAAGGGATCTACTAGCCTCTTTAGGATACCTTCACACTTCCTATCGGCCGATTCCGATTCCCTCGGGAAAAGGAACACACTCCGCCCTCTTCACTTGTGCAATAGCAGCAAGGACAGCTTCTACTCACTATCAATTGGCTTATTTGCCTCAATTGGCCTGGGTAACTCTATTGGAAGCCCCCGAGCAGACCTTAGAAGCCACCCTCGACGGCTTTGCCATCAACAAGGTTGTCTGATATCAACACGGCCTCTCCCGACCTCGATCAATAAACAGCAAGGAGCCAACAACACCATGACTCAAATCGGATGGGTATGTATGAACTTGATTCCTCGCAATCAAAGTATTCAATGGACTCCGTATCTAACATATGTACAGTATGGCCTCGGGTCCATGGGCCTCGCCATGGCGAATAACCTCCAGCGACATCTGGCCGCCAAAAAGGCCCTAAGCCTGCTCTACACCAACCGCACCATGTCTCGCGGCAGTCCCCTACAGAGCCTCGGTGGTATCCCCGAGCCGAGCTTTGATAAGCTAGTCTCCCGCTGTGGGATCATCTTCACCATGGTACACATAATGCCCGGAAAGTGCAGTACCTCGTACTTTTCCCCTGCTGATCATATCCCAGGTATCTAATGACTCGGTCCTGCAAAACCTGATCTCATCTGCCATCAGATCAGGCCATTCTCTCAGAGACAAGATCTTCGTAGACTGCTCAACTGTACACCCGGAGACGGTGAGCTCTGCTGTGGCTCAGCTCAAGGCTAAGGAAGCCTCGTACGTTGCGGCCCCTGTTTTTGGTGGGAATCCCATTGCCGTCGATGGGAAGTTGGTGTTTGCTATTGGTGGTCCGAAAGATGCGACTGAGGCTGTTAAGCCGCTTATTCAGGATGTTATGGGTCGGAAGGTTATTGAGTGTGGTGAGGATGCGACGAAGTCTTCGTTGTTGAAGATTGCTGGGTATGTTTTGCACTGGGTGTATATGCTGAGACTTGGAATTGGCTAACAATGTTTGACAGAAACATCGTTACTGTGAATATGATGGAAGCCGTTGGTGAAGCTCAGGTTTTCGCTGAGAAGACTGGCCTGGGAACTGGTGCTATGGAAGAGTTGATTGGCGAGGCATTTGGTCCTGTTGCTGGGGGATATTCTAAGAGGTATGATAGTTCTCAAGCTGATGCACTCTCAGAACCAGATACTGACATGGGCTAGATTGACTACTGGCGCCTATGCGCCACCCCTGGATGCCCGACCCGGTTTTGGCGTCTCTCTCGCCATCAAAGATGCCAGGCACGCCATGTCCATGGCCGAGGAGCAGGGTGTTAAGCTTCCTGCTCTTGAGTTGGCCCGGAAAAACATGGAGGCTGCCCGTGATTATGCGGGTGAGTGCCTCGACAGCAGTTCCATGTATGGAACATTGCGGCAGCAGGCTGGGCTTCCATTCTGGAATGAGAAGAGCCGGCAAGAGTAGACGGGTTCTTGTAGATTTTAAGAGGAATTTTTGTACCAACTATAGAATGATAGTACTTGTCTTGAAGTGTATCTTGTCCTTGTGATCAATGTCGAAATGTAGAGAGAAAAAGAAAAAAGCCCAACCCGCTAGAGCCCCGCCCATCCTAATAATCCAAGCCGATTGGAGCATTTATAAATTCCGTGCGAGAAAGAAACACCATTAAAATAGTTTATCGAGAACCAGCACTATGCATGATTTCCCAACGACATACCCGAAAACAGACCAAGTCCAGCTTGGTCCCAAAACGCCAAGGCCCAACTATATCGGTGTCGAGCAGCGCTGTTTACCCGGCTCCGGTCTGATTCGCGTGGTATCTACCAATCCCGGATACGCCTCTGCAAAGAGCGGACCCAGTGACCAATTGTTGAGGTTCCGCATGTGGCGCTCAAAGACCGGGTTGATGATCAGTTCGTCCGAGTCGCCGGCAGATAGCAAGCAGTCGGTGGCTTCGTATGGCCAATTCACGTCCATACCCCGCGTGAACGGGATGAACCAATTCTCAAACGGGTAGTCTCGATGAGACGTTACGAGCCGGTCTCGCATTCGAGGCCAGGGGACGTAGTCCATCCATGGGGGTGGGCTGAAAGAAGCTGCGTTGGACGTGGAGTGATCCACTCGGGGAGTCGATCGTAGTTCTCTTGCGTGGGATAGATTTGCCAGCGCATCAGGAGGAACATTGTGTAGAGCACGGCAACCTGCACCGGTAGGGAGGAAATATCTGGGAATGTGCGCAGGATGTCCGTGAAGACTTTGGAGAGGGGGTGTGATTGTGCGCTCTTCTCTGGGTTTAGCAGTGAAGAAACACTTGGGTAGGGTGGTCCCACGAGCTTCTGCCGAGGGATCCCTTCAGCGGCTTCGCGCTGCCGGTTGTGAAGAAAGTCGAGCAAGATGCTATCTAGGGTACATGTCGGTGCAGAATTTCGGATAGGAGTTGCGTAAGCCGGTGTTTGATCGGCTGGGTAGTTCAACGGTTGCATATAGAGCGGTGATGGAGAGTGGTAAGAGGAACGGACGTTCTCAGAGTTGCTGCGTCGAAGCCGGTCGACTTTCGGGACATTCTGTGCAGGATCGAGCAGGAAATTGAATCCTAGTCGCTCCTCCATACCCAGGTCTAACCCGTGAGCAATATTATGACGCTGGGAGTCTAGGGCGGCACGGAATGAAGAAGGCTGGAGGGATCCGTATTGACTATTGCGCCGACTGCCCGAAGCCGATCCTGAATGTGTTGGGGAGGGTGTGTCGAGGCTAGTCACAGAATCGGCATATGCCCTGTCGCCTTGTGTCGTGGCCTGGTTGATTGCGTTTATGTGGTCGGTCTCGGGGAGAGGAGGGGTATGGGATGTTGGCGGGACCGATCTCGGTTGGGCAAGGAAGGAAGGTATATCTGTTGATGTCAGTCCAAATCTCGGGTATTATAGATACTCGATGGGCTCTACCTGAGGCCTCCGGTCTAGCCAGCAAAGGTTGTATAATGTCCATGACCGACTTGAGCCCTTGGCGAAGCTCCCTGTTCTCCGCCCGGATGCGCTCATTGTGTTGAAGTGCAGCCTGCAGGTCGAGCACCGGTTTCTGCGATGCAAGATCCCGAACCTGTTGTTCGAGAGTCTCGATGTGAGACTTGGTACGTTCGCGAATGGCCCGCTGCGCCTGGCGGTCATTCGCGCGCTTCTTTGCCAATTGATCGGGGGTGAGGTTGGCCACGCCTCTGGATGATGTGCTGTTCAGCTTGCGCTTCCGGCCTGCGGTCGTAGGCCCATTGCCCTCGATGTTCTCCGTACCGATGCCCTCTGCACCTAGGGAGGTCGACCGGGAGGGGGCGGGCGAATCTTCCGTCTTGGGAATGGTGGTGGTTGGATCTGAGGCGCCCTCGATCATCGCTTCGATCGGCGGCGAAGGCGCCGCATGATTGATCGATCCGCCCAGTGCGCGGTTGGTCATCGCCTCATACACGCGCGGCGGAAAGCTTGCAATTGACAACGGGCCATGCAACGGAGGAAAGGAATGAGGGATTATTAGGGGCTCAGGAGGGGCGACTAATCGAGTCAATCGCAGGAACCGGCATCGGGGACGTTTGGGTTTGGCGTTAGGGGTGGGTCGAGGTGCTGAGGAGAGAGTCGGTTCCAAGATTTGGGGCCTGCAGAGTCAGCTCTTTCGGTGGGTTGACTTTCTGGTCGGCAAGTCGAGGCTCGGGCGTTCCCCGCAACCTTGACGGAGTACCATTTACCGAAATCATCCATGATTGTCGGGTCCACGATAACTCTATTCATGGTCAGGATAAATCCTGGTGTTCCGGATTTCACCGGCCATTTCATCATCACAGAAAGTACGATCTCACCTGGCGCTATTTGCAACGAGTCATGGGCATCACGATCTGGGGAGTCTTAGACTCGGACACGCGGCGAGCTCCACCTTCTCCCCAGATGAGAGACATGCACACTCAATTATTATTCAAAAGGTAATTTATAAAGTTAATGCACGAGGCATTGCTAGCATAAAACCAAAAGGTATTCATCCATACGAAGGTAAGGTACAGTAGGTAGATCATCAACAACGTACACGTATCGCATATATATCGCATCGGAGAAAACGATCATGTACACGGCCGCCCGGGTCATCCGCACGGAACTATGCAAGAATATAATGACAATTGTGAAAAGAAAGAATGGTCATGTCAATCGTGTGTACAAGGAGTTGCAAAGCCAAAAATGCCAAATAATGAAGAGAATAAAACAGAAGAAGGGTAAGCCACCAAAACTCCCTGGGAACTTGCAGACTGAAACTTGGACATCGGCAAATGATCACGAACACGAGTGCGAGAAAGCCGACAAGACGGAACCGAACCAAACTTAATGAGAGTGCCAAGTCTTAACGATTATTGAAGCATATGGCCCATTTTGGAAATCTGCCGAGAGATAAACCCTGTCAGTCAAAAAAGTGTCTCGTTCAAATGATCCAATTGATCCAATTGTTCATCGGCCCATCCCCCCGGCTCGTGCTCGTGGAAAAAGGAGTAACTTCGGAGAAAAGAAAAGACTAACCTTCGTTCGCAAGTACCCTTCAATCTCGGAGCTTTTGATCCCGCGTTCCCCGCCTGTCCGCCAGGCTAAGGGGATCATAGGAACACGCTCCTTGACCAACACTTCACGGTTAGGTCCTTCAATGGCCCGTACCTTATCGGGGTTATTCGTAAGCAGGCGTACGCCATCCGGGTTCACATCTGCGCCGCAGCCAAGATCCATCAGCATCGCCGTAGCCAAGCCATAGCTCCGGGCATCGGCTGGGTGGCGCAGCAGAAGATTGGCCTCGACGGTGTCAGATCCTAGATCTTGCAGATTGTATGCCTTCAACTTCTCCCCCAGGCCAATGCCTCGGCCCTCCTGTCGCAGATAGATAATCACTCCGCCGGCGGATTGTGACCGCAAGGACTGTGTCTCGGGCGGGGCATTGGAGGACAGATCCTCCACGGGGAAGGACATCAACCGCGCAGCCTCGTCCAACTGTTCACCACAATCGCACCGAGCCGACCATGCCGTCTCGCCTGTATAACACTCCGAATGGATCCGAACCAGTGGGGGCTCCATGCGTGAACTTGACGATGATTGCTCGTTCTTGTCATCGTCATACCAGCTGCTAGTTCTCCCGGGGTGCAATTTGCCCACGTATGCGCCTCGGATCATGCGGTCCATCTCGGTTTCACCAGGCCGAACACGATCCAAGCTTCGACTGCGGATATTGCATCCAAAGACGATAGCCAAGTGCTCTTTATTATCGATGTCGTTGAGGTACAGATGCAGGAACATCTCCGCACCGTTGGTAGTCGGGATACGGGCCCGGACGATACATTCCACATTGGGCAGCTGCTCTAGCAGTTTGGGTGCCTTCTTGTGTTCCCCGTAGTGCCGAAGACTTGCTGCTTGACTCTCATGCAGGTACTGTGTCGGGTTGGAAGTCAGGTTCAATGTACCGCCGGGAGTCGCGGGAGGGGTGAATGCGGGCGATAGGATCGAGTTCGGCAGGGCTGGAGTCTGTTCGCCCGTAGTGATGCCACTTCCCTGACTCGCATCGTCGGCAACGCTATCTGGTCGGTCGGTCGGTAGAGGAGAGTGCGGGGCGAGTTTGGGAGAGGCATGAGCCGGGAGATTCGCCATTGCGACGGTCGGCGAGGAGGAGTGTGATTCGGAGAGGGCCTCAGTGATCAATTTGAATGGGTCAAGTGTAGGGCTCAAGAAGAAAAAGGCATCCAGGGAATTCTGTCGGAATTATTGCGGTGGCACCGAAACTCGCATGGCGTCAATTATTCCCTCGGCCCCGGATCGGATGGATGAGGGGCGGCTGAGTCATTGCCGTGTCAGTGCTTACTCTAGCAGCTTCCATCGCTTGTGCGAGGGCTGCTAAGCGCGCGGCGGACTGGCGGCGTACATCAGACGAGGCATTTGTATACTTACACATCGTAGTACAATGATGGCACTGGAAACGGTATCCCCAGTTAAATAGTAAATCTTCATTTCTTTACTCATAGAGGTAATACCCAGGACCAGCATGTATCCTGTGTAGTCACCGGGAATCCCTCAAACTCCAAGTAGCGCCTCGCTAAGGGTATCATTATCACATCAGATCATCGTACTATCACAGACCAGCCATTCAGTCTATTTGTTAGGAATATCCAGGACAAAACGCCGCTCAGTTTCCATCTCTTTGTCATCTTCCTCGCCTTCAAACTTGAGGCGGTAGGTGTCTTTCTTGGATCCCATCACCTCTGCTCGATAGAAAGTGGTGGTGTCGGGATATCGCGCGAGGACCTGTTTACCAACGGCGAACGAAGGTAATGGTGCGCCAGCTTGGGGAATAGGGATGAGAGATGAGGCGGTAGTCCTGAAGACAGCGCCCTCCTCGCCGTTTTCATTAGGCTCCGGGTCTTGGACATCGTACCATCTGTAGCCAGATGAGTTAGTTGCGCTTATAGCATAAACCGCCGAAGGACAGCGTCAAAGTATGGACGTACCGTTTCTTATGCCCATCCCCAGAGATATTCTTGATGATGCACTGAATTCCCTCACCTTCTACCCCTTGTTTGTTCTTGTTATGCTTGAAGACAACCAGGGCTCCAACCACAAGCAGACCACTGCGCTCAGCTATAGTGCCCTTAGTTCCCTCGGAACCTTCTTCAATCTTCACCGTAACCCCATCACCCCGCCCATCGCGCGCCTGATTGCTCGACACGCTTGTGCTTCGAGGCACCCCGCCCTTGGAGCGACTGGTTTTGTCCACACCCGAAGCACTCGGTGAGTCGGTCGCCGAGTTCTCGATTTCGCTTCGTTTCTTGCGGGATTTGGAGAGGGCGGATGATCGATTAGGCGGAGCCTCTGCTTCGGATGCTTTGCGGAGTGCAGTCAGCAGCTCTAGGTTCTTGATCACGTCGCAAGGCTCGTCCTGCATGATCGAGCGCTCTTCTTCGCTGAGCTTCTGGCTTTGCCGTAGCCATGTATCCAGTTGATCGTGTTCTGTCATCGTAGGTTCTAATCAAGTAGATTGTTAGCTCCGATCAACCCAGAGGCAATGTATAATATGTCTGAGGATGGAGCGCTGTCCCCGCACGGAGACGATCGACACAGGACGGAGCTTTGTCGCCCTCACAGACACACCTGCAGGGTACACTTACTGTTGCCCTCACGAGTGATCTTCTCTACTAATGTCTTGATCTGTACCGACAGCGATGCTTGCTGGTCGAACTTCTCTTTGGACTTCCGAATGTCCTGGCAGATCCGGGTCCAGAGCTCCATCTCCTCATTGTTGCCAAGCCCATTGTCGCGGGGTCGTGGGCGATTTCGGGACATGGTTTTCGTCTGGCCGGAAGGTTGATCAGACGCGTCGTATATTTCAAGCAACCGGTAGAAGCGACCGAGCTCGCAATGCGGAGAGTGGATAGACTTCCAGTTGAGCTGGGGAGGGCGGAGAGATGCGACGGCGATAAGCCCAGGGCGGTCGGCTACCCGCGCGTCTAATTCTTGGCGTTGGGGAACAATCGCGTCTTACAGGGGAGTAGTAGTCTACAGTAGCGATTTGGTTTAGAATTTGTCTTTCATGTTTCGTAGAGAACAGATGCCAAGATTGAACATTGTATAATAAGCTTAAATCCGAATACGGTCACAGAAGTATAGATAGGAGCTGTGGCCTGGACGACGGTTGCGGAAACTGGAATCGAGCACGTGTTGAGAATGTCCGATTTGGGATATTTGGGTCTTCTCGGTTTCACCAGTATAAAGCGATGTGAAAGACTGGACTTCCTCTCTGAGTACTTTCCATCGGTGCAGACCTTGCAAGACCCTTGTTGGCCACGGACCCTTGGTTGAATCGTCCTCACCGAGAATCTTGGCGGGGACTTTCTGCGTAATAGAAAACCAGCTTCGCGCCCCTCACTTTCCCCCCAAAACACATCTCCAAAATGCAGATTCCATTGCTTCGGCTACAGTGCGGTAAGTCCAGAATTCTATTGGATTCATGAGCAATTGCTAATACCCCTTATTATAGGCGTCAACAGCTACGATTGGGGTAGGTTCGGATCAATGCTAACATTGAATGCCCCGCACTGAACTTCGTCATAGGCAAGGTCGGCCAAGAGTCGGCAGCAGCCCGATATGCGGCCACGACGGCGGCCTCAGACTTTGCGATCGAAGCTGAGAAGCCCTACGCAGAGGTATACATTGCGATGAAAGATGCTCCGAGAAGAGAGCAATCAATGCAAAGGTGGACTTGCTAATCAATCTCATAGCTGTGGATGGGCACTCACCCCTCTCTGCCTTCTAAGGACGTGGAGACTCAGCGGACTCTTCTCGATCTCGTCCAAGATAACCAGGCTTTGATGTCCACGAACATCACTGAGCGCTATGGAGGACGACTTCCCTTTCTCTTCAAGGTGCTCTCTATACGCAAGGCCCTGAGCATCCAAGCCCACCCCAACAAGAAGCTGGCCGAGCAGCTCCATGCGCGAGACCCGCGCAACTATCCTGGTATGTGTGGATATGGGAGGAACCCAATGGATACAAAGATGCGGCTGACGCATATTGGTCTATAGATGACAACCACAAGCCCGAGATGACCATTGCCATTACACCCTTTGAGGGCCTTTGCGGTTTCCGCCCCTTGGCCGAGATCACCCACTTCCTCCAGGCTATCGAGCCTCTCCGCAAGCTCGTCGGCTCGCGGGCTGCTAGCGACTTTGAAGAGATTGTCAAAGGCAACGAGAACTCGGACGATGAGGCTATTGTGCAGCGGAACAAAGATGCCCTCCGCTCATTGTTCACCGCGCTGATGGAGTCTACACCTGAGAACATTGAGAGCGCTTCCAAGGAGCTGGTCGCACTCGCGGAGAACTCGCCTGCCAGCTTTGGCACTCTGCCTGGCGATGTTGCGACTAACCCTACGAACCCGGATGAGCTGGCTTCCATTACCCGCCGACTGGACGGACAGTTCCCCAACGACATTGGGTCATTCGTTTTCTTCTTCCTCAACTTCATCAAGCTGTCCCCTGGTGAGGCCATGTTCCTGAAGGCCGATGATATCCACGCCTACGTCTCGGGAGATATCATCGAGTGCATGGCCTCTTCTGACAATGTTGTCCGCGCTGGCTTCACGCCGAAGTTCAAGGACGTCGACACTCTGACCAAGATGTTGACGTACTCGTACGCCCCAATTGAGGAGCAGAAGCTCGCCCCCACCGATTACCCTTACGCTATCCTCAACGCAACCGCATACTCGAGCGCCTCCTCGTGCATGCTGTATGATCCCCCGATTGAGGAGTTCAGTGTCGTCAAGACCGACCTGAACCGGACGCGCGCCAAGGTGACCTTTGACCCGATAGATGGTCCGAGCATTTTGATCTGCACCGGGGGTAAGGGCCGAATCACCGTCGGTAACAAGACGGAAGAGGTCAAGGAGGGCTATGTCTTCTTTGTGGGAGCTACTGCCGAGTGCGTCATCGAGAACACTGGCAGTGGAGAGGGTGATGACAATGTGTTCACAACGTACAAGGCGTTTTGCGAGCTGACTGGTAAGGAGGATATGGTCAATGGATACTAGCGCTCCGGTTTCTAATTCGAGACTATGTATAGGCCGTACTAGTATGAGTGCGAACCTGTGATATATCTCCGAAAGTCGGTTATAATGATGTTGGTGTATGTAGTTACGCTAGGACCAGATCTTACTTGCTCACCAAATAAAATACACGAAGCTCTGCGATTCTCGATAATCCTGAGGCTTGCGAGTCACGTAGATCTCTATAGCCGGCTATGATTGAGCTTACGCTTCTGCGGAGCTGTAGCATAAATGTTGCACAATAAGTTAAATATTTTCCCTTTCTCCGGTTCTAGAAGTCTATCATTGTGGCTTTTGAGTCTGGACATGACAAGCATCCCGCCTTCCACTCAAACACATCACAGCTGCGAGGTGCTACCGCCGTCGTTCTATGGCAGAATCTCTACATACCTGCCAAAGGACGTACCAGGTACAATTCAGCTTTAACATTTCTTTAGTCCCGTTCACAATTCAGAGGCAAGATTGCGCCAATTAGCCATCGACGGCAGTCCGTCGGCCCCACTGAAGTTTGGGAGCAACCGAGACCGAGGCAAAAGGTGGAGATTCTGCAACCCCGGAAAAGCGGGGAATGTCCTTGGTAATGAGCATCTAGATCTTCATGCGGAGCTTCGAGAGCTTCTTCTCAGAAATCCCGCAACTCTTACTCATTGACCTGAACTTATATCCATCTCCTGAGAAGAATTCGTCAAATCTTCATCATGCCTGATTCCAAGAACGTTGTGACGGTGCCCCAGCTAGGCTTCTGGGAAAAGGCCGATCTACCCTTCGTCCATGCTTCCGTGGTTGTCCAGGCTCTGTACGCAGCGATCACTGGCCTATTCCGCGGCAAAGCCAGCCCGAGGAAGTATAGCCATCATGTCGCTGCTGCAGCTATTCGGGGAATGGTCAATAGAATTTCTATCCGCCAGAAGCAGTATGTTTCATTCATTCGCCGGTGATCTGGAGATTTCAACAAGACCACCGGCAGGAATAGACGTGGAAATGAAAGCTGACAGGTTCATTGCTCTGTAGATACATCGACCCGACAACGCCGCAGACATACCACGCTGTGATGCAGCGAAGAGGCCTTCAACCCGAGGTTGTTGACCTCCCTCACGGCACTGAAGGCTACTGGCTGGGCAACAAAAATGCACAGAATGTGATTATCTACTACCACGGTACGCCCATCTCTCTCACCAATCTATACAGTTCCACTTGCTATTCCATGTGTAACCCGATCTTCAATCGGGAGAAACCATCCAACCTTCCCTGCCGAAAGCTAATCTACATCTCGTGCAACCACAGGAGGCGGCTTCGCCATGGCCGCCGGCCCCTCGCACTTCGATTTCTGGCTCGATCTCCTCCAAGTCGTCAACGAGAACGGCCACGACATCGCCGTCTTTTTCCCACGGTACACGCTCACCCCGCACGAAGTCTACCCAACCCAACTGCGTCAAGCCGTCGGCGCACTTCGCTACATCCTCACTGATGCGGGACGCGCCCCGTCCAATGTAATTGTCGGCGGCGACTCGGCGGGCGGGAACCTTGCAATGGCGGTGCTGCTGCACCTGTCGCACCCGCATCCTGATATCGATCCCGTTACGTTGTCGGGCCCGCTGGCGGGCGTGTTTGGTTATGCGCCTTGGATCAATTTCAGCCCTGATTGGCCTTCGTTCCGGGATAATGCGTACCGGGATGTTATTACTGACCAGGCGCTGTTGAGGTGGTCGAATGCTTATCTGGATGGTAAGAAGGGTGATAGTTGGAGTGAGCCGGATCGTGCGCCGGCGGAGTGGTGGCAGGATGTGAAGACGGAGCGTATCTTGTTGTTGGCTGGAGGAGATGAGGTTTTGCTGGGACCTATTGAGTCTTTTGCGAAAAAGGTCAAGGTATGCTTCGTTTCTTATTATGTTTGGAGTTCCTATCATTGGTTCATGCTAATGTATTCGGCAGTCGGCTTTCCCGAATACTACGTTTGTCATTGGGTACGACGAGTCTCATGATGCACATTTGTATGTCGAGGCTGGCTCGAAGGAGGGGACACAGACGAGCAGAGAGCTACGGCAATGGATTGCGTCTCGTCTGTGAGTCTGGAGCGCGGGAATGTCGCTAGTTCGGGGTTATTCCTTGTCCTGATGGGCCCGGGTGATATTGGTGGCTTGACATGTACATGTTATCGCATTGTGCAGAAGATAATGGATAAATTTCAAACGAATAGTGATCCAATTCGGTCTAACCAGGGTTGAGTACAATATCAGTGTTCTCATCCTCTATTGAGCATATACTTTATATTTTAAAAACCATTGGGCCTAGTTGCAATAAATAATGAAAAACAGCATGTTGCCAGTAATTGCTCTACAGCAGGGGTCGTGTCAACTCATAACAACGCAGGATACTCGTGCATCCTGGCTCAAATAACAGGCTTCACAATAAACAAAGATAGCGCTTTCCAATTATACTTTCTCAAATCTTCTACCCCCTCTATGAGGACACCTTTGGCGAGTACTTGGCGGCCGCGGCATCGAAGAATTCGCTCTTCTCCTGGATGTCAGCGAGGAGGGCGTGGGAGGGCTGCAACTGTTGTAGCTTTCTATTATTTGAAGGTGTCAGCATGCTTTCACTATCGAACCTCAAGTCAAGGTTGGAGGAAGTGGATGTTACGTACGCCTCCAGGTCTGCGCTGGGCTTGCCCGCCAACACGTTCAGTACGATGGCATTGGCAATCAGCTCGGCATTATCGGAATATTGCTCCAGAGCGGCAGTGAGAGCAGCCTCGGCTTCCGGGAGACGACCGAGATGGAGTTCAGCGACGGCCTGGCCGACAATGGAGAGCGGGGCGGAGGTGCTAGGAGCAGAGGCCAGCTCCTCGTAGACGTAGAAAGCGGATTGGTACTTCTCGCCACCCTACAAAAGAGAGTCTCTGTTAGTTTTTTATTCGCAAAAGGCTCCGGAATGCACATCTGTATACATACAACTCGCATGCCAACCCAGGACTCGGCCATATTGACCAGCAAGGAGTCCTGTGCCCAGCGCTTGGCGGCCTGGACTTCCTTAAGGGCGAGGTCTGTACGGTTTTGCTGAAGGTGAATCTGGACAATCAAGGCGACACTGTATTTCCCCAAAAGAGCGTCAGCACACTGAGTGATTTCGCAGATTTGCGACAAGGACCACCTACGCCTCCAGGTTACCCTGGTGCTTGGACAGCAGCGCCAATGCTTCCTCGCTGTTTCCATGAGCCTGCAGCACTGTGCCACCGAGCACTTGCACGGTGGCATTTTCGGGGTAGTTCTCGGCGAGGTCTTGAGCGAGCTGGAGGGCGGCGTCGGTGTTGCCTGCGGTCTGCTGGGCCAACGCCTTGGTTGCGGCGAGGTCGGGGGTATCCTCTTCGCTGGAGACAGCAGCGATCACTTCCTTGGCTTGACCAAGGGCAATCTGGGCGCGGAGCTTGAGTACACGGGCGGGGAGCTGGTTCTCGGAGGAGAGGGCGGCGGTGTCGAAGTCGATCACGTTCTGGTATTGGCCGGAGTGGAAGGCATTGTGAATGTTGAGGAGCTCTGAGAGTGGTGTCAGTGGGTTGACGTGGAATCTGGGTAGATTTCGGTAGCTTACCGCCCTCTGCTGAGAAAGGATCCATCTTGTAGACAATGGGGATTGGAGATTGGAGGGGGGCTAATGAGGGATGCGGTGTTGATGTCGGGGCGCAATTGCATGTTGGCGTTACGGCAGAATAGGCAACTCGGCCGATGGCAAGTGGGCCGACCGCCTTTGTATACTTCGAATCAACTACAGTGGTGTTCCATAAGTTTTGCAACACCTGAAAAAGTTCAAACCCATCTCATCAGCTATACTTTGAAAGACAAGTTGAAACACAGATGCCTGGAATATCTAGAGATAGGGTTCAAAAAACATTCAGAAAGATCTGTTAAAAACATAAAATCGAGGCATATTTTGACGGCCTGTTTTCTTGGTCCCTGGTTTCAGACTTTTGAACTGCCACTGTACCAAGAACTACTTGGGATTTCAGGGGATTGAGTGTTTGCAGAACGCCGTGTTTCATTGTTTTGGGTTATTGTACATGATATTATCAACAATTTGAGTGGCAGTACAGAATAAAAATTGTAAACCGCCATTTTTGACGTGCCAATCAAAAATTCAAGATTCATGTAAGGAAAAGGAACCAGAAGGAGGCCATGGACCATCTTCGGGCAACTTAACCCAAAATGAAATGTGTGAGATCATAATATTAACATTCAAAAACATCGAGTTGTCAAAGAAACCAGTATACAGAATAATATCCAGGACGGCGGCGGTCGCCTGAAAATACATGAATCAGTCCATCACAAAGGTCATAAATGAACAATCTGTTCAACATCCCATCCATCCTTCTCACAAATTCAATTTGTTTCGCAACGCTTGACACGTTGCGACACCGTGGGCGGCCACTTTACGGACCTTGTTGGCTATCAATTTTCCAACATTCTGTGTTCCCTCCACAGAGCTGGACATGGACGACGTGGAGTCCGAGAAGGCGTAAGCATATGGCTCGAGGACGGGGTCGATGAGGATGGGGTGGAAGAGCATGGGCTCCTCCTCCTCGGGCCGTGGGGATTGGTGCATCTCGGAGTGTTGCACCGGGCGGGTTTGCTGAACTGGATGTTGCGAGGAAGACTGATGTTGCTTCCGAGGCGACTGGATCTGGTCGTGCAGGCTGAGCAGTGAGCTGCCTGCAAATTGTTTTGGGTATGGAGGTACTGCCTCCAGCTGAAGTTGCTCCAGTTCTATACCGGCAAGGCTTTCGTTGTCGTCATTGACATCGATGTCGGCATCGATGTCGTCGGAGATAGGCTCGAAGCCTTCTGTCTCCCAGGTGTTCATGCTCTTTTGAACCCAGGTAGTCACTGATGCCTTGATAGGCTTTGGAGCGACAAGAGCTGGGCCGGTGACGTCGAGGTCGTCCATAGGATAGGATGGACCTCGGGAGGGAATAGGGAACCGGTGAAGGTCACTGGTTCTATATCGCGATGTTAGTATAATCGATCAGTCAGAAGGTAGGTTCTACATACCTTGGATCAAAGAAGGTTTTGTCCGTAGACATAGCATCAAGCCAGTGGAAAGTGGCTGGTGCCTGAGAGTGGATGGTTGAGAGGGCAGACATGGCGAGTTCCCTTGGTGTATACTTGGGTTGATATATAGGGTTGTTGAAGAAAGGGAAGAAGAGGTGAAGAGGTTTGTAAGGCCCTTGTAAAGCTCTCAAGGGCTATGGAAAGATGTCGTATGAAAGAGGAGTGACTTTTTGGTGAGAGATAGACAGATGAGAGGTGCTTAGGGGAAGAATGAAGAAAGAAAGTTGGGAGATAACATGTCGAGTTAATAAAGGCGAACGTCGTAAAATTACTATTCCTATTAAGAGCTTCAAAACTTCCAAAGCAGGTCTAGATATCTCATTTAGGAATAGATAAGTCCTAAATAGGACCGACTGATGCTGTTCCCGACTTGGAAGTGCGGCGAGGTGTATCCGTGGTTATAATGACTGAGTTTAGCAATACCAAAACCTTGGGCTTCATACTTGACCATAACCATCAAAGGATTCCTAGGAAACTTGCAACTAGTCTAAATTCAAGTACATCCGAGAACAAGATCAGGTCTAGAACTCTGCAAGTTACGGGCTTCCGTGATGATGCTGAAAAGCGAGATCACCCGAAAGACATTATTGGGAAGCGGAGCATCGGTATTTCACGGAATGAAGGCACTTTGAATTATTACCTATTCATTTTATGAATATGACATCGACCAAGTCTCGAGGTTCTATTCAGTTGCTGTAGTCATGATGACAAGTTGCTGCCCGTAGGTACTTCGTTCTACATGCTAGCTCCGATGCTACGGGGCCTGCGATGACTTGCCGCTTAGATTGAACATCACTTGTAGAAAGCGTAAATTGACCGTACTCTCTATATCTTCAAAATATATTCAGCAAGGCCAGCAGCGACGACACTAGCAACGCGAGGAAATCAGCACGTATAACGGACCTGATCGAGGTCGCAAGCCAGGAACGGCTAGAGTTAGAACTTAGCTCGGAGCTTGGCGAGGTCAACATGAGAGATCTTGAACGCTAGCTCGAAGCTTATAGGGCACTCACTGTTTCGTCGGGCTACTAAAGCGACGGGGATTTTTAACCATCGTCACTGGTAGAACCGACAGTAAAAGAGCCGGAGCGAGAGTGTAGGAAGCGGAGGCGGCCTCACAACGGCGTCTACTTACTCAATATCTATACGGAGGAGACTAGTCAGCGGCAGAAGAGAATATATACTAGCAGGAAATCTTCTAGATCTAATCGCCAATGAATTAGCATAACTGACAAGCAACACATGACAACGAACTGAGACAGCGAGAGATGAAGATATACTAATACAACGTACATCGATCGAAGGATATGGTTATGGCATAATTCCTACGGGATCCGGAGGTTGTCAGCGCCGATATTATTGCTATACAAGAACTATAGGAAAATCCGTTCAAAGATGATACGTACTACCTAATGAAGCGAGCTGCTGTACCCAACGCTAACTGAAACTGGTGGACGGGCACGCGTGTGCCTATTCGTCTCGAAGAAGATAGCGGCCGGGTGTATATACGTAGCGTACTCGCGAGACTGTCAAGAAGTGGGGACTAAAACCGAGACGATGGAGCTTAGATTGTTCAACATATACAACGAGCAACAGCGCTGGGGTGCGCTTGACCAGCTAGCAGGCTTGCTACCGACGGTATAGGAATAGAGAGAAAGGAGAAGGACCTTATACCTGGTGATGGGGGACTTCAACCTTCACTACTCTGCCTGGGGCGGCGATGGAGTTACCTACCCGGACGCTAAGGCGGATGATCTCCTGGACCCGATGGAATTAGCGGGCCTAGACCTCTGGCTGTAGCCAGGCACGGTCACGAGAGACCAGGCCGGCGACCAGACGACGATCGACCTTGTCCTTGCATCGCACGCCCTTCGGGAACGTATAATCACTTGCGAGGTCAACTAGGAGGTCTACGCCGATTCCGACTATCTTCCGATCCTCACGATGTTCGAAACCGACGTCCCGGAGGCCTCGGATCCGGTCAAGCGACGGAACTGGAAGGCTATGGATGTAGATAAGTTCCTTACCTTTGTGTCAGCGAACCTTTATAACAAAGAGTGGATGGGACAGCCGACTTCACCTGGCGAGATCGACAACGCTGAGATCCCGGAGCGGATCATGGTATATAAACCGCGTACAAGTACTTCTGAGTATTCAGAAGTCTTGGTGGACCTTTTGGCCTAGTGGGACTTGCCTTCCTTGCCCTTTTGCTGATTGGTCTATGATTCCCCTGGTTGACGCGGACCTGGGATCTCAACGCCGTCAATCACCTCCTGGATATCGTCTAGCAGGCAGCTCGGGAATCAACACCTTAGGCTAGGCCATCGTTATAGGCCCGAAAAGGCTGGACCCCCGAATGCATAACGGCAATCAAGACGTCACGGAAGCTGTATCGACGATATATACGAACGCAGGACGAGGTAGACTGGCAGGAATATATACTAGCGAGGAATAAGAAAGGAAAAGTGATCGGCAAGGCCCTGCGCTAAGGCTTCCGCTAGTGGGTGAGCGATACCGTCGAGCGAGGCCCTCGTGGCCTCTGGAAAGTATCTAAGTAGGCCAGGATGAGAGACTAGTCTACTAGTAGCTATATTCCGGTCTTATACTCGCCGGAAGGAGGCGTGCTGGCCGAGACTGACTAATAGAAGGTTAATCTGCTTCGCTAGGTCTTCTTCCTAGAGTCCCCGTAGGCCGACCTTACCGATATCGACGGAATATGCTATAGAGAGCTACTTACATTCCTACCTATCGGCAGACAAGAGGTCCTAGACGCTATCAGACGAGCGCCTCCGGACAAAGCGCCGGGCGAGGATGTAATCTCTAACCGCGCGTAGAAGACCCTGGCTACTGGATGTGATGACTTCGTCATAATAGTGGTCGCGATTTTCGATGCGCGTATGAGAACGAGACAACCCAGGAGTCGACAACCACCGACGCAACTTACGTTGGATCCGACATCTTCGACTACTCGACACAACACCCCGAGGGCAACGACTAGATGCCTGTCCGATACAACGATATCATAAGTATACGACCATCAGAAACAGCAAAATACCTTAGGGTCTAGCTAGATAAGCACCTTAAATTCGACGCCCACAGGAAGAAGCTTCTCGCTAAGGCTAACGGTAGCCTTGAAGCCCTACGCGCCATGACAGGATCAGTGTGGGAAGCCCCCTTGATGGCGATGCGTAAAGTCTACCAGGCAGTAGTAGTCCCACAGATGCTCTACGGCATCTCCGCGTGGTACTGTCCTACTGCTAAGTCTATTCCTGCGTAGGAGATGAAGCGTGTCGTTAATAAATTCACCAAGATCTAAAGACGTACGGCGATCCTCATCAGCAGGGTATTCAAATTAACCAGTGCGGCGGCTCTTAACGTGGAACTTTTTCTACTACTAATGTATCTACTCATAGACTAGATTACCCAGGAAATAGCAATCCGAGTCCAAACAGGCCCCGTATAGGCTTAACCTGAGTATCTGCGACGCCCTCGGGATAATAAGTCAACGAAGCTTGGCGGATGGAGCCCTCTAGAAGCCTACCGGTAGAAGAAGGACGGGGTCAAACCACTAAGGGTGGGAATCTCGAAAAGCGTTCGTTCTAGCGCTATAGCAGGCACGGATCCTATGCGTTATCGAGGATGCGGAGGCTGCGCGAGCCTCGCATGACAAGATTGAGACGGAATTCCTATTCCATCAGGCCCTCTCATACGACCGCCCCCGAACGGTCCTCTTTTTTATAGATGGTAGTGGGTACGAGGGAAAGGTAGGCGCATCAGCCGTAGCCCCGCGTGAGGGCGTCTTTGAACGACGGTACCTTGGAACCACCGACGAGTCAACAGTATACGTTGCCGAGCTTAACGGCATTGAAATGGCGGTTGCTAAATTCGTCAACTAACCAGGAAACCAGGGGCCAGCAAGAAGCCTAGCAAAAACGGTTATTTTCTCCGATAGCCAGGCCGCTATCTAAGCGGTACAAAACCCAAAGCGATCGTCGGGCTAGTTCGTGCTCACAGCTATTTACGACCACGTCCGAGCCCTTCGAAAGCTATAGAACACACCTACGTCCGATACGATTCCCGTCGAGATCCGTTAGATCCCCGCACACGTGGGCGTTCCTGGCAACGAAACCGCTGACGTTGAAGCAAAGTTGGCGGCAACCGGAGGTATAGGGAACGGAGCGGATCAACTGAACGCCGGTGATCCGGCGTTTAGTAGGTCCCCTAGCGATCGTGTCCTTCTAGCATCGACCGCGAAGCGCCGTGTGCGGCGGCGTATTAAAGAGAGATAGGCTTAAGAGTAGGCGAAGGAGATATCTAGCAAGCCGAACTAGCGCTTAGTTAAGAAGCAAGACAAGAAGGTACTACGGCTATTCGAGTCTCTCTCGAAGCTATATACCTCGATTCTGATTTAGATGCGGTCAATGCGCATTGCACTGAACCATTTCTTGTTCAAGATCAAGGCGGTCGAATCAGATAAGTGCTACTATAGAGAGGGGTCTTAGATACCGAGACATATCTTAATACAGTGCCCGTTATACGCTAATCTGAGGAAAACCTTCCTTGACAAGATCAGGTCGACTGATCTTAGAGACTCGACCGACTACGATACAATTATATCGCACTCGCAGGTTACCCGCTACGTGGCCGAATTCATGTTATAAACAGGCCTACTTAGGCAGTTCCGGCACGTCGAAATCGAGCCGGTGCCACCGGAGGGCGACGAAAACATCGAGCCAGGATAGACTGGCAGGTGCAGGTGGTGGGAAAAAAGACGATAGGTAGGAGGAACGCCAAACCCACGGCCGACCGAGAGGTCGTAGACGAATACATCTAATACCAGCGAACGCCACGAATCGAGACGGAGCAGGAGGATGGGGATGCCAAAGGAAGGCGGAGATGGAGATGCAGAGGAAGCAGCAGGCCATTGTGAGGGCGAATTGAGAGATATATCGTGGGATTGAGGGCATTGCGGGCGTTTTGGTACTGTTTTCGGGATGATTTTATATGGCAATACGCCGATTTCCTATGTATTTACTGTTTCATGTGCTTTGGCTGGCGTTCGAAATACTCTTGCTTCCGCCGGAGGAAGCGCCTGCATAGCCATTACGCCACTAGTTAGGCTGCATCAGGTTAATAGAGTATTGATTGATTGATTGATTGATTGAATGATTGATTGATTGATTGATTGATTGATTGATTGATTGATTGATTGATTGACCGGCAAGCCAAGCGATCCACTTGGCAACAAATTCACCGCTAATTGCCAAAGATAAAGTCATTGTCAATGTCAGGTTCATTGTCAATGTCAGGTTCATCGTCAATGTCAGATTCATCGTCAATGTCAGATTCATTGTCATCCTCCTCTGACTCATTCATTTCCCAAGACTTTTCCACTCGAAATCTTGACCAGGTTGTAATACTCACGGAGCCGCTATCTTCATCACCGCGGACCAGATTAAGATTCGTTTGAGACTGCGAGCACCGTTCTTCAGAGGCGAACAGAAGAGCAGCTTGCCCGTGGATGTATGCAAGTATTTCGATGATTTGCTGGCGATTTTCGTAATTGATATCGAGCTGAGACCACTAAGCGAGTGTCAGCGTAAGTTAATCTTAATATTAGTTTAACCTCAATATTCCAGAACGTGTAGCGCACCTTTCCCTGGCCATCCAAACGAACAAAATGGAACTGATCATGATCGGTGGAGAGGCCATAAATGATGTTTTGAACCCGACTCTCGAAATGTCGTTGTCTGTGAATCATCCCTTTTAATGAATTAGTGTCGATTTATCAAGGCTGATAGTAAAGAGAGACAGTCTTATATACCTGCATAGGCAAGAGCCTGAGGAATACCATCTGAACTCTCCCCTTTCGGCGTCTCGACGATGATAAAGTTGACGGCCGGGTTGTCCGTCTCGACATGTCCGCTATACCAAAGGGAAAATAGTGGAACTCCATGTAGACGGTAGAACTCCTCCTTGTAGATAGTCGGCTCAAAGAAAAATCGGTAGCCAGACGAGACAGGAATCCGGCTCAGATCAGGATTCCGTTTGTCAGGGGATGTGGAAAACACAGCAGCAATAAGTACCCCGAGCCGAAGACGCATCGCGACTTCGTGCTTTCCATCAGAGGTAGAGACTGAAGTATCGATCAATTGAAGAACGCTCGCTAGGTAGAATTTATAAATCAGTGATCAGCTCGGGAACATATCCTGATTAAACTTACCGCAATCATCTGGTAAATCAAATGGGGCTCGAAATGCCGCCCAGTCGACATTATCCGTTTGGATAAGATGAAAGACGCTTTCAACGTCGGAGAGATCAAGGATCTCAACTGGCAATAGAGGTAGTGGAGAGATTTTCCGTGCGGAGTACATGATGAGAGTCGAACGGTCAGGGGGGTAGAGAGGCTGAGAGACAGAGAGTCGGATGGTCAGAGAGTCGGATGGTCAGAGAGTCGGATGGTCAGAGAGACACTGGTTGATCAGGATGGGAAGTGGGAAAAGACATGGGAAGAAGAATGAACCGCTATTGAATCAATGTAGGGTTGGCGATTACCCGAATTAGAAAGTCGTGTCCTGAAAGGGAAAGATCCTAGCGGATAGAGGGATCCCGGACCCGGTCTGGGTGTCGGAGGTCCTCTCTGAGTGTCGGAGGCCCTTTCTGAGTGTCGGAGGGAAAGAGCTAGAGAGAAAGTTATTCGAGCGAATAAGGCAGGCGCCCTATTACCTGCTTCTGATACCTTCACCGGTGGAAAACGTAAACGCAGTAAAATCAACGCCTTCACACCACTCTTGCCTTACCTTGTTACGTTCAAATTCCTTCAAAATGACAGACTCAATCAAGAAAGATGAGAAAGAAGAGTTGAAGGAGATCATTCAGCTCTTTCTCAAGTATGACCAGGCTGCGTGGACGTCTGACGTGGTCAAGGCTGCTCGCATGCTGCGCGACACGGTTCAAGGGAAGAAGGGTATCTTTACTAAGCCCAAGGTCAAGCAGCTTGCGGTCTCGAAGCTCAAGCGACGGGAAGTAGAGAACTTGCTCAACCTCGAGTGGACCGGTGCCGACCCCGAGCTTAAGGCCATTCACCCTGTGCCGATGTCCGCGGAGCTTTGTATGTGATCCTCGAACTGACGAAGGAAGATGATGAGCACGTTACTCACTCAAAGCTAGGCAATGTCCTGCGAAAGGTCGACAACGCCGCCTGCCACAGCGAGGCAAGTGAAGCACTTATTCGGCTCACCCTGAATATGCTGCTTGTCTATGCCCATGATACCGTCACATCGCAGATCTCCACCACTGCTCGTCCCCTTTCCTTACAAGCCGAGAGAACATGGGTCTACGATGTAGAGAAAGAGTACAAGAAAGGCACGAGCAAAATCAAACTCGTTGGAAAGCCGGACTATTCAGTCTGGTATGGCGACGTGGAGCAACACCTTCGAATGTGATCGCTGTGGAGGCGAAGACCAAAGGCCGCGCATCGGAGGGCATATACCAGTGCCTGGCTTATATGGGTAAGTATCTTTCTTCTTTGATCATATTTCATCCATGACTGAAGCTTGACTCGCACTTAGGAATCGTGCGTAATGAGCGGAAGAAGAGGAGCCATCAGACTTGCGCTGTCTATGGTTTCGCTTCAGATGACGAGGAATTCTGCTTCCTCAAGATCAATGACAACTCTCAGGTAAGTGATCACATTATTCGCAATCGAAGTCGGTTCCTAGTTCTCATGAACAAGTAGTGGTCCGAATGTCATCTGCAAGTCCGCACGGGAGACTATAGCCAGGTACTGGGTATGCTTGTGCACATTTTCAGGCAAGCTGCGATTGCGTCGCCTCTGCAGTCCAAGGAGCCCTCCCAATACACTCACTCGAGGGAGTCGACTCAGCACGGTCGCTCGAAGGACTCGTCTCGGCAAAGTGAGCCTACGATCCGCGAATCATTGGAGGAGGATACCTTCATGGGAGGAATTTAGGCTCCCGCCCCGGGGGGTCTGAGGCTGAAAAGCTAAACTCCGCTGGACTAACATCGATCGGTTCCCCGCCCCAAACATTCGGTCATGGAATTCTCCAGCGTCTCTTTGTTTGATCGCTGATTTGCTCGCTTCTGGCTTGACTTGAGTCATAGTCCAACGGAAACAACTACTCCTGCCGCCCTCCTCCCCTCTGTGGCTCTACTTAACCCGAGCAAACTTCCCTTTCCTCGCCTATCAACATCAACAACCACAACCTCTTCCAACCATCCCACATCAGCTTCCAGTCTTTCATCATCCTCATACTTTATCATCATCATCCTCGGCATCAGAAATATTAGCTTTTTTCACCATTCCCAAAGCATCATGGCATCTGCCGGGGCTCTCCCTCAGACCCTGAAGTCAATCACTGCCACCAAAATCAAGGAGCTGTCCAAGCAGCGAGTCCTCTTCGGCAAACGCAAGGCTGATATCCTTGCAGCTGCAAATGCTGCTCCAGATCTGCGTACCCGGGCTCGCATCCTTCTTGACGGCCTCTCCCGCCTGAAAGGCTACCCAAAAGATTCTCTTGACAAAGATGACTTGGACCTGGACGTCAACTCCTCTGACGAAGGCTCTGACGATGATGTGGAAATCACCTCGCCAGGCATGGGGCAGTTGTACCAAGCTGACCACACCAACATCCGCCGTTTCATCGTCCAAGGCCGCTATGACCAATCCATCTCGGAATCTGCTTTGAAGGACTGGATCGCTCGACTGGAAAAGGATCTACGTTTTTTGGAGCTCAAGCACGAGCATGCATCATTTTACAGCAAACTGGTTACCGAGTGGCTCTCACACCTCGATGATGTGAAGCCTGCTCCCGCTATCGACCAGACAGACGATGCGGCTTCTACCAAGTCTGACGCTGGCTTTGAGAATGTGGGCCGGAGGGAGATGCATGAGCAGCGAGCCCAGTGGGAGTCCCTGGTCTTTACGAGTGACAACCAGGTGACTGAAGACTCCATTAACGCTTATCTTGACGATTTGTTCAAAAAGACCAAGCTTTCCCGGCAGGCACTCAAGGAGCTTCGTGAGAGCGTTCAAAAGTTCGGCACCGATCTGGCAACTAAGGGAGAGTGGCTGGACGTTGATGAGCTTCAATGGGTGTCTAAGGCACTCATGAAGAGTGACCTGCTCAGTTCTGAGAAGACCACTATCCTCAAGGAGTTCATGCGCAACAAAGAAGTGTTGCAGGAGGTCGCAGATGTTCTCAACATGCGTCTCGCATCTCTTGACAGCTGGTCTTGGGGTAGTGACGGCATTCCGGTTGAAATGCGCCGGCAGCTGAACGGTAAATACCGTGTTTTCATGGACGAGGACCTTCTTGACAGCCTCTTGTTGCAGTATCTGGGTACCACTTGGGCTTGCCAGCTGCGTTTGGTATTCAAATTATACTTCAGTTCGCGCGCATGGGACTCGGTGCTCGAGAGCATCCCCAAGGAGGACATTGAGAGACGCAAATACTTCCTTGGAAAGGGTACAAACGTTGGCGCCGCCGGCATCAATCAGGTTCGGATGCGCAACTATGGCGATAAATACTTTCTGAGCCAGCTGCCCATTAACAACAGAGAAGGTGCTCGAAGCTACGATGACAATGCCGAAGTCAAAAATGCGTTGGATACTAAGCATTCGCTTCTCCACCTCTTAATCACCGAGTCTCTGGTCCAGAAGGACAAACATGGCGAATTTACCGCAATCCGATCCGACTATCAGTGGTTTGGCCCGTCTTTGCCTCATGTCACAGTCCTGACAGTTCTGAAATACTTTGGCATCCCAGAACTGTGGTTGAACTTCTTCAAGGTGTTCCTGGAGGCCCCACTCAAGTTTGTCCAGGACGGCCCTACTGCCTCAACCCAGATTCGGAAGCGTGGCGTCCCCATGAGCCACACCCTCTCGGATGTCTTTGGAGAATCGGTTCTGTTCTGCATGGATTACGCTGTCAACCAAAGTACCAAGGGCGGTATTCTGTATCGCCTTCACGACGACTTCTGGTTTTGGGGTGCCGAGGAGACCTGCGAGAAGGCCTGGGAGGCGATGACCCACTATGCTAAGATCATGGGTCTGCAGTTTAACGAAGAAAAGACTGGAACGGTTCGCATGGGAAAAGCTCAGGAAAAGAGGAGTTCCGTCCTCCCATCTGGCGAAATTCGCTGGGGATTCTTGGTTCTCGATGCAGAGCAAGGCAGATTTGTCATCGACCAGGCACAGGTGGACCATCATATCGAAGAGCTTGACCGACAGCTCTCATCTTGCAAGTCTGTCTTTACCTGGGTACAAGCATGGAATGGATACTTTGGCCGGTTCTTCACCAACAACTTTGCGAAACCTGCCATGTGTTTCGGGCGCGACCACATCGACATGGCCGTTTCCACGCTGAGCCGGATCGAGCGAACCCTCTTTAGCAAGACTTCCGACAAGAAACCTGAGAATGGGGTCAGTGTCACCAACTACCTACGCTCCGTGATTGCCGAGCGATTTGACATTCACGACCTACCCGAGGGATTCTTCTACTACCCTGTCGAACTGGGAGGTCTTGGGCTGCTGAACCCGTACATCCGGCTGTTGGCCATGCGTGAAAACATCAAGCAGACACCCCAGAGACTTCTTCAAAAGGCCGCCCTCCATGATGAGTCGACCTACCAATTGGACAAGGAACGCTTTGAGAAGCAGGGCTCGGACTCTCTGAAGACTTGGAAGGACAAGAACGGCAAACCCGTTCCCTTCATGTCGCTGGAAGAGTATACGCTATACCCGGAGACCTACAGCATAAATCTCCAGCAAGCATACCAACAGCTGATTGAGGTGCCGGAAGAGAAAAGTCTTCCCGCTACGGCTAGCTTCACCAAGAGCCAGAATGGGCTCAAGGGACCTAAGGGAAAGGCGGCGAAGCCAGGCGCGATCTCGGCGAACTGGGCTAAGATGACTCCCTACTGGCGCTGGGTTGCGGAGTTGTATCATGATGAGATGGTGCGCACGTATGGAAGTCTGGCGGCTGTTAATCGGGAGTTTATGCCCCTGGGAGTTGTCAAGACTTTGCAGGAGAGGCGTTTCAGATGGCAGGGTTGAGGAGGGTATGTGCCTGGGGGTTGCGTTCCTGCCTCTGATGAGGATTTCACGAAAAGAAAAATGATACCCAATTGATAGCCTGTTTATGTAGTTTGTCGTCCATTGGCAGCTTTTGATAGTGCTACTGAATTAAACATAGATTTAGTCACAATCGTCTCCCTTGATAGGACTGTTTAAACAACAAGTAGATGAGAGAAGCTGCGACATGCGTGATGATTTGTCAACCGGCGTACCCTGATTCTTATACTGGAGTATCTGGGACCCGGAAACCATTGCGATGCAACTCCGACTGGCGGATATCTCCTTCTGGCTGCATCTTCAATGCAGAAGCTGCTATTTTCGCAGCCGCTGTCTCCGCCCTGGAGGCTCATAGTCATGCGTCTAAACCAATCCAGCCCACGCCGCGCGAGATGAAATGACGAACTTGTGATGCTGGATGTGGAACGTTGGGAATGTTATTGTCGCGTGGTAGCTCAGACGCCCTCTTTGAATCGGTGTATAATATCGCGAAGCCTCTTCTTCTCCTGTTCCCCGCCAAATATCATATCCACCGACTTCTCACACATACTTATCATTTCTGCACGACCAACACCAAAGTGCTCCGCAGCAAGCAGATACTCATTCGAGACAGGGCTGCAAAAAAAGCCCACATCGTCTGTCTAGATACCGCCCGAAGAAGTTAGCACAATCAACCCAGAGTGAAGCTCATATATAGTACTCCAAAACACTTACACACAACGCAATCGGACACTCCTGTCCCCTCCACTCTCCAAAGTGATGATCCAGAAATCCCCCTTCAATCAGCTTCGCATGCACATTACACGACATGCACAACTCCAATCCAACCCTCCGCCTCACAATCTCCCGCTTCACATCCCCCGGAACATGAATAACATGACCCAACCGATCCGGCTGAAACGAAAGCAAAGTTTCCAATTCCCTAACATCCCCCGAAACCGGGGTCTCGCCAAAATGCAGGGTAACGCGCAGTCCATTCGCCTTGGCCCGCGCAAATGCATCCCGGTAGATAGTGACGTCGCCTTTCGTCGGGTTCCCGCATAGATCGACGCCGACGACGCCGCGGTGCTTGTTGGCGATGGCGAGATCGACGATTTCGAGGGCTTCGGTGGGTGTCATGGTGCCCCGGTCTAGAGCTAGGATGAGGTAAACGGGCATTTGTTGTTTGGAGGGGAATTGGGCGATTGTGTCCAGGATGGTGGTTAGGTATGTCTCGCGGGTTATGTTGGAGGATGGGGATGCGCGGGGGGATGGTGCGTAGTTCGAGGTAGCGGACTCCATCGTTGAGGAAGGACTCGAGGACGGAGGTTGTTGCGTATGTGAGTGAGTCGAGGTCGTTGCAGAGTTGGTAGATGAGTTTTGAAAAGACTTGGAAGAAGCTGGTGGTGCGGGGTTAGTACGTGGTGGTCTGATTGCGGGGGTTATAGTTGAGAGCCTACGTTTGGAGAGTGTAGTCGACTTTGCCTGGGGGCATGAGTACCAGGGGATCTTCAATGGACAAGTTGGGATCCTTCTCCTTCTTGCGCTTCCAGATTTCGTGAAGGCATTGGCGACTGATGCTGCCGCTGAGATGGGCGTGTACCTGGATGGGCGGCGGGTGGTGAGCTTCAGATTGCTTGGATAACGATGGATAGTTTGATAACTAGATCATACCTCGATCTTTGGCAGTGCCTTGGTGAAATCGCTATCGACGGGAGCAGAGAGATCGATCATGATTGATCTTGATTGTATACCTGATTGAACAGGAATGCGGGGAGAGTAAATGCAAGTGGGAAAGCAAAAAGCGTGGAAATCATTACCCGTCTTGCATACAACATCACTGCTCTACTCTACTCTACTCTACTCTGTATTCTAGCATTAGTCTACTATACATTCAACTTTACAACAACAATGAACATCGATTGACTCCAACTATCACTGTTGAGATCTACAGCCTCCAGATGCAACTCCCCCGCAACCAGCAACTACTGGCAACCATGGGACTCTCTTCGTATGAGAACCAGGGCCAAGCCCGCCGAGCAAACCCCAGAAAGTTACTAACCGAATCGTACCTCTTTGTCGAGGCCGTCGTGGTGAGACAGTATTAACTTCAATTCGCATAGATCGTATTTCAAGTCTAGGCGTCTTGTTCAGGCGGTAGTTCAAGGTCTTCATGTCTCATCGTCATCGAAGTAGCCTGTATTGTCTCCAGACATATCGCATACACATCCCCAAAGAGAATACATACAATTGTTACTGTACGCCTGTCTGACACAGGTATAGTAATTTACCTTCTACTCAACCATCACCCATCTATCGCGCCTGGACAGTAATCAAAAGGATAAATATAACACACCATGCAGTGTATAACTATAACACTCCCTTCTAGCTAACGTCTAGGTAATCAAACTGTCACTTTATTGTCAACCCGTCACTGATTGATTACCGGCGGGATCCGAGCCCATCCAGCGACACCCGTCTTCCTTCCGTGATTCGCTGCTCTCGAGGTGTGATTAGTGAAAGTGCGGGTTTCGTATAGATTGCGCAGCGGGTTTCCAAGTCATGATAGCGGGGAGGCAGTAATAAGGGACAGCTTGAAAACATGGAAACATGGAAATGAAAATGCGGGAACAGGGAAAACGTGGAAACTTGACCTATTGGCTATTTGCTGCGGAGGGTTAATAAACGACTAACAAGATGAAAAGTGGAGAAGTCAACGGGCTCGTTGGGAGAGCCGCGGAGCGCGGAGATCGTGGACGTTGGGAAGGGGTCTGTTAATTTTTTTTTCCCTTTTTCCAGGACTCCTTCGACGGACTATGCGTTGTTCAATTGAGGGCGTGGCTTAGCTCCAAGATTGGGGCTTATTGGGTCCTTTTTTTCATTTGCAATTGATGGGTTTCATATGGTTCACTTCTTATTGGTATTAACGCGCGGCTTGAAATTACTTACCGACCCAAGTGTACTCCGTAAGTACAGTATACTGTAATGATAATTTGGCTTCCACTACCCAGTACAATGTGCCCTTGATGATAGCCTTGTTTAGTTCGTGCCCACGGCCCAGTCAACCGGGTCCCTCGTTTCGAAAGAAACAGGGGGTAGATGCATGCCATAATATGCTAGCAGCTTTATGACAGGGGATACTCCCCCTCTGGGGGTATCACAGTGTGGGCAACGTTCGGATAGAAGCTAAGAATAGAGTCGCGATCGGGATACAATTGCCGTTGTGGTGGTGTCGACTCCCGTATACCGATAGCAAGGACTGGAATTAATTTCCGGGCCACTTACTGGGGGCGGTTGACGTTACTACAGTATCTCTGGACATTCACACGGGGTCCTGTTTGAGAAACCTGTCTCAGAAACGTGGCCCACTGCTGTGTTGGCCCTCCACGCTTGGGGCCACAATTCGTGTTTCCGTTTCTCTACGGGAACAAGCGAGTGCCAAGACTGCGGTCGAGCAGTGGAATAATCCATAACCCTGCATCGGGCATCGGGCATCCGCTCGACCCGTCCCGTGTACCCGTTTCAAAGCTCTGAGCTGACACTGGAATGGAGGCATTGAATGTTGGCACAGAAAACAGGATTGGGGGTCAGCTGAAATGCAACCCAGTTGGAACTTGTCGGTGGGCGAATGCATTCTGACGTCTCCGTCAATGTTGGGCGGCCGCAAGTTCCTGCACCTAAGATAGAGCCCGATCCTTCGATAGGCATTCTGGAAGCCACGTTGTCGACAGTGCGGTTGCCAGTGGGTATGGACCAGCCTTAGAGGCGGGCATCCACTCGGTTTTCAGCCCCAGATCCACGATGGGTCCTGGTGGAAGCCCGCCAGCCTGGGTGTTGGTGGATGATATTCCTGGCGATAAACTGTTCTTCCGCGCTTGGCGGCCATCGAGGCTATCAAAGTCGAGGCGGTCACTGATTTACAGTACGTGGTAATAGATGTGAACGTTCATTGAGCTGGTGAAATTTTCAGTAGCCCAACAATACCGCCAGATCGAAGATCGTGGATCAGGGCGAGCTTGTGCTTCAGATAGATCATGTTCTCTGTTCTCGAACGTTTTCGATGTGCCGTGAGCGGGATAGACTTGAAACCCTGCAAATCTCCCGAGAGAACTTAATAAATGGAAATCGAGCTCCGTATGACTTGCAGGAGGGATAGTATCCCATAGCTGTCGCCGTATCGCGCGAGCACGCACGGTACACCACTGGGTGTCTGAGAGACTGAACGGCACACAACCCGAAGCCAGTTCCGTCGTATTTTGCGAAGCTTGGAACTAAGTTGAGCCGCTTCTTTACCTAAAAGGTGAACTTGCTGGGTCCATAATTCTGGGTCCGCTGGAGATTCCCCGTCACAGCAATGCAGCAGGGATTCCTCGAACCTCAGCCCTGGCGCCTGCGCCACACTGTTGCGGGGGAATTTCGGTCTGAGCAGTGGGATCATGCGACATTGCCAAGACGGGGTGCTCTTGGAACATGCATGCTTCATTCTGTGGTGTTATCTCTTCATGATAATCGTAATCATACCATGCAGGATGAGCCACTTTGATGTCCCCTCACCGCGCTGGATGTAAAATCAGGCAACCAGATTTGGTGGTGCTTATGCAGAAGCAGGTCAGCAGTAAAGACAACCTGCCAAGAGCCATTATCGAGACTGATAACATCTTCACTGTCGATAGGGACGTCATCTCAAACGCGACTGGGAGACGTCACGGGAATCCAGCTGGTTGCACCATCGGCGCGAACTATTCCCCTTCTCCCCCAATTGATGCTTGTGCAGTGTTGCACCAGCGGGCCCTGGCAAAGGGGGTCAGACAACGACTTCTACCAGAGTCACATGCCCGAGTTCAAAGCCCGCTGGCGATTGCAATTCAGACTGGGGAGCGTCGTAGTTCAGCCACCACGTAATTAGACTTGCGACTGAGGCCTCCACCGATGGACGGGATGCTGCATCGCAGTAGCCGATCTTGAGGATGACAGAATGACCCTCTTGCAGGAAAAGTCTGAGAGGCGGGGTCGTGGATACGCGGGAATATCAAGCATCGAAGACGCATCGAAGGACGCGAGCGGGACACGGGGCTTAGCCGGGGGCTTGCAGCGTAAGACTGAGTCCGAGACGCATGAGATTGGGGTATCACATTGCGAGACATCCCTGTCGCTGTCGCTGGTTGTCCTCGCCAGGCAATGCATTTCCAGGTATCAGGCAGACACGATTGTAGTAGTTTAGAGTGGGCTCGCCAAGTATGCGAAACAGCGCTCATTCGGTGAGAAATGAAATGTGTGCCGTGTATTCCGTGCCCAGAATGATTGTTTTGAGGAGGGTGCGCGGGACGCCGATTGGATGGGCATCCTACTGTAGCAGTTGAATAATGAGAGGAATTGTTGGCCAGTCGCTGTTCTCGGTGTCTCACTACTTACTACTACTGGGCGGACGGAAGGAAAGAGAGAAAGAGGAAGGCAGGAATTCATGACACCGCGCCGCCGAATGAGGCGCAACGGTTCCATGCTGTTGGGTCTGCACTGTCAAGAAAGGACATGGATGCGATGTGTGGTGGTGCCTGTCACTCCATCGAGGGAATTAGCTTCGCCTACTGGAGTAGACTAGTAGTGACTATACTAACGGAGTACTGCACCTACAAAGAAATTTAGTAGTAGTCTGTAAATATGAGATATCTTTGTAATATTACCGCCGGTAGGTTTTATTCGTAGTAGGCTTAGAGGCCCCAAAAGGGTATCTTCACAACCCCATACACAATTGTCGCATATCCCGAGATCCCCATGGCGATCCCTACGGAATACAGTTCAAATGCCAGCCACACCTTGTTGTCGTGACCGTGGCGTCGGGTCAATCATTCCAACCCGTCGAATCTGATCGATCCGTCGCGAGGCCATCTCGGCAGAGGCAAATCGGGAAATTTGCCAGGAGGCAAGAAGAGAGTACATCGTTCACTGGAATGGAGATGATAAGCGTCTCCCTTTCTCTCTCCTGAAGATCAGACCCCATCAGGGGGAGGCGATTAGATGAATTATACTTTTTATTTCTTACTTGCTCTTTTGGGGGGTTTGCCATCCCTCGGCCTCGCAGAATGTGAGATACCCCTGAGCGTGAATGGTGAGTGTCTGCGGGTTTGAGTGGCCCTGGCTCCTCATTAGCTCCAGCTTCCCAACTGTTTGGGAGTTTAAGGTTGGATTGGTGATATAATTGGACATGCCACCAGAACCTCTCACGAAGTACGAAATACGGAGAATACAAGAGGATGACTGGGGAGACTGCAACGGTGTGACCGGTATGGTATTGTCAGTGCTGGTATTGGGTAATTAACCCGCCAGTTTGGGAAGTATGGGAGGTAAGCATGGTAAAGATGGCTCGGTAATAATACGCCCGGTCCGTCATGCCGCCAAAGACCGCCGCATCGAGTTTGGCACTAGTCATTGAGCTTGCCAAGGAGTCTCCCGCACGTCTTCATGATGTCATTCAATTCCACCGACGTCGTTCTTTCGAGGCGATTGAGGTTACGCATGGTGAGTCTGGCAAACCTGCAAAAGAAAGACAGTCTCAATCTACAAGAAAATTCAAGACTTCGAGGAAGATATCGGATCGGTGTAATATCGGTTACTCCCGTTGGCCAACTAGCCTTTGGTGCTTATGAGTAGCGCATCAGCTGAGCCCCCGCAGATTAGCAAAAACCAAAGGGGATTCGAAGTGGAGAAGTCGTCGGAGAGCATGTAATATATATTTTTTTTCTTTTGTTAGTTTCTCTATAGTATTGCCCCTATGTTTCCCGCTTTTTTTTTTTCTTTCTTCCCTTGGAGTACCCCGCAATAATTCTTTTCTGTACAGGTCGAAATGAAGCAATTGGAAAAAGCGGGGTGGTGAGTTAGAGCTGCTGATCGTAGCAAGGAGCGGATGCGAGATTGAGCGACGGGGGTTAGTCATTACTTACATGCGCATCAATTGGCAGGGCTAGGGGGACCTTGTTCGTCCTTGCCCGTTTCGGCCTCGACCTAGGTTCGAGGGGAAATAATATGCTCACGCCCGTGATTGTAGATTCTGGAAGTCTGTTGATGATTTTGGTTTCCTGTTTATCGTCTTTATTACTTGACTTGTTGTGAATATCCGCCCATTATCCGTGGTTGAAGATTATTGGGTGACTTTGCTGTTTGCTGCTCGTTGAAATCGAGTTTGGGGGAGTGATGGAACTAAAAAAAGGTGTTATGGCCTCACTAACCGAGTCTGGGCATGGATACGTAGGCATATTCAGAAACCTCGGGGGCCAAGTGTGACGGAGGCATAGACTGAGACTATAATAAATGTAGTGATGCATGACTACTATCGCTAAGATGTACAATATCTGGTATTATCCTCCAGCCACAGCAACAATGACTTCGTCAATGACTCTCTTCAAGGGATATCCATCACTCTCAGACGACTTTATTACGTCAATACATATTTTACCGTTCTTACATTACTTCTGGTAGCCATAAATGACACTCTGTCAAGCAGTGGGCCTTTAGTTCAAGAAAGCGCAACGTTAAGGAGCCCCACTCAAGCCAATGGAAGAACCCAAGAACCTTGGAAGGAAGCACGTCTAAGACATTGCTCACCCCCTGTTCGCAGCTATCCCGAACTGGGCCAAATTGAGTCAACGGAGGCCTCTTTGTCGCCAAGTGGCAACCCAGGTCCAAGCTACAATTATATCCAGTTCCAGTGATTGGACCCGACCCTGGGCGTCGCCGCTAGTGATTTGGGGGATGGTGATGGGATGGTGAATGGGAGAAACTTGGCTGGGAGGAGGTCACGGGAACCATGGCAAATCCCGGTATCAAGGAACCTATGAACTTGCACGCTTGGGAGTATGCTTGATAGACTATTCCATATGGACTTGATGGGATGTGAGACGGCACGAACAGGAGAGATTAATCGAGACGTGCAGTGAATGAAGAGCCCTCCCGTCAACCAAAAATAATGCTTCCCCCACCACAATTATAATCGCACCCCTCTTTTCCCGTGATCAACAAAGATTGTCGGTCGGTCGCCCGCCCCAATTGGGTCGCGATGCGCTCACTGGCTGCACGATTTGAACTTGGAGTTCAGTTCGGCAGATGATAGGAGGCGGTCTGCAAAACAATGATTGCTCTGACCCTCATGCTCCACTACGCACGCGAGATTATCATCCGTCAGCGGGCTGTCGTGACTTGCGATGCTTTCTTTCGAGCTCTCTCCTGCGACTGTGGCGGTGGCCCTTGCTCTAGCCACGACCCCTCACTGGTTAACGACCACGATGTGATGCTTTTGAAGGGGCATCCGATGATGCTTCGCTGATAGCGTGGCGTCGCTGCATGCTGCTGCTGCTCGTGAAGATCAGGATCAGCTGTGACGAATTTGGGTATCTCATGGGGAGGAGCAGCTCGTTGCACCCCGTTGTGACCATCCACGATTGGATGAACAGTATGATCACAATCTACTTATCAAGACCACGATGCCGAGGTGCTCAGCAAGGCCGCCACAGCCGCTGTACACGATCGCGATAGCGCACGGATCGGTCGAAAACTGTCAGCAAGGCTCGATGCCCACTGCCAGGGAATTTTCCCCGTGGTCCCAATTTAGTGTAACTACTAACTAGATATAGTAGTTAACGGCAGGGCCACCTATGATAGTGAGTCATCATTTTAACCCCACGCACGTGCTCAAGCCCTGGGGAATCTTTGACGGTGCAAGAGGCGGGATGCCGGTTGATGTGAGGCCTCACGAACGGAGGGGCTATCTTTAGGCAGTCGAGTTCTTCCATTGCCCGTGTGTGGATTCTTGGTCCTGGAAGCAGCAAGGAAAACCAAAGGAAAACAGTGCCAAGAAGAGGGGATATTCTCGTCCGGGATCCAAGCTGTCCAGTTGCACGGAACTATTCAGGACATCAAGGAAGCATGATTGGATTAGGGTAATCAGTCCCGTCGCGCAAAGCCCGCATAGCAGCACGATATACTACCGAGTCAAGGTCACGACCCTCGTTACCTGGTGGTCGGTCGCGCGCTAAGGTGCCTCACCATGAATCACTGGGCCTGCGAGTGTCCTGCGAGAATCCGAGGAGAGGGGGTCACTCAGCCTCTCGTTCTCACCCTCATACGACGTGCACTGCTCACCCGGGTGTCGCGGATGTGCAGAGGGCACGGAAATCAAGGAAAAGGGCTGAGCATGGCATCGCCAACGCATCAGGTAACGCGGGGTTGACAGCGACCCCGCAGAGCTATCTACTCTACACGGAGTACAGCCTCGAAGTTGTATCCAGTTTGGCATTGACTGCATTTGCGGCTTGTCGCATTGTGTATCACGCGTTGATGACCGAGACGCCCACTGTAGTGATTTAGATCCAAGGATAGACTAGTCGACCTGCATGACCGCAGGTACGAGTCGAGCTGAAGGGAGCATGTGTCGCCGTCTGTTGTCTATTCTGATTCACGATACCCCTCCCTGCCTCCAATCGAGGGGTTAAAAAACATGCAAGCCATGAATATTACATTTGAAAAAAAGATCCGTATTACCAAAATCAAGCCGGAAAGCAAAAACGGGTTAAAAGAATAATACTCTCGTCAAACTATACCCCATCACGTTACCAGACCGCTCCTTAATTGGATAACACGGTGAACAAAACGGAGGACAGACAACAGTAGTTGGGAGATGGAATAGGCCCATCATTCTTGTCCTCCACTTTGAGTTACCAACTGGAGTACAACTAACGGTTTACTGGAATCCTACTGGAGCACATCTTCTCCTCCCCTCCACTCGGAGGGTTCGTCAGAGAACGGACTCTCAAACATCCGACGATCTCTCGCGGGCTCATTGCGGGGATCCACTGGCTCCATCTGCACCGCCCGAAAGTTTCACTGCCACGGCCCCAGCCTCACAGTGCACAGGGATGTTAGGGATGGCAGGGATGCTGGAGGAGTCTGTTAGTGGTTTTGCTGCAGCCTTACCAGTTCCGGCCCCCAAGGATTAAGGGTGAAAGACATGACGACGTATGGTAGCTATTCTTAGCCAGTTCTGGTTGAATCTTCTACCAGCAAAAGAAACCATTCAATCGTTGCGGTGTAGAACAAAGCTCGGCGCTGGTCATCGTCAAAGCCCTTGACCACCCCACCACAACCCTAGTACTATGTTTTTCTCACAGGGTTGGCCAAATAGGAGGGAATGATGATGTACATCGTGATCGACCTCCTGTGGCACACACGGACTTCCTTCTGCTGTACATCCCGTTAGTCTGCCAGTTGGGCAGAGACGTACGTAGGCGCCCGACCAACCAGTAAACCGAAACCCCCTCGTCATCATCATACCGTGGTAACTAAATTGTAGGCACAACCATAGATTACTACAATCTTACAGGGATGTAAGCGAAGATCGGTCGAGTGAATGAGAGATTGTCGGTACAGATCAAACCACAGGAATCCGAGAGCTCCGCATATTCTCCCCCAGGACCAGCGTGTCGGTGCTGGGAAACTTCACAAACCTACTAAATGAACTATATACTCCGTACATGGAGGACATAAAACCCTCCCTGTGGGATTATACAGCAGGGTAAGAATGACGATGTGGACCATTTGTATGGGCCAGGTATGCGACAATACCACGCGACAGGAGTCGGTAACTGGAAGTTCATCCTCAAACTACGGAGTTATAATAATAATGTACGGAGTAGTGGTTTTACTATACTTGATACTCCTCGTAGGACCACTTCTCTTCCCCACAGAATACGATAGCCCAGTTCTACTGTACACTAGCAAGAACAGGAAAGGAAAGAGAAGAGAAGCTGGTGGACTCAAATTTATGGCAATTGTGGGGGAACTGGAGCCCGGCACACAATTGTTGGACTATGAAAGTCTGAATGAAATATGACTGCTCAAGCGGTATCCACTTGACTGGAGAAAAATCTCCGTATACTGAGTCAGTCATGGTCCCCGATACACCTTCCTCCCATGCCCTTTGGTTATTGCTACAGTACTCGGTTGACGGAGCATGGATGGTTAATGGAGGAATTAACCAAGTACAGTAAGTCCTCATCTGCTCAATGTTCTCACTTGCCCGGTCGTCATTACGCCGACCCCCTTCCACGCATCTGAAACACTGATCGGCCCCCTCCGTTTGGCCGATAGCATTCCCCAGAAATTACTGTGGGCAGAGGGATCGTCCAATAACACCCAGTAACGAGATCTGCCCATCGCCCGTTGGCATTTGCAGTCATTCCACATCGTCATCCCCATATCTAACGGTACCCAAACTGCCCTGAGAGACAACGGCTAATTGGCAAAGTCGCATCTCATACCTTTCCTCACCGTAGGAGATCGCTTCGTGAATTCTAATCTCGCCTTGGGCCGTTGCTATGCGTTGTTTCCACTCGTCGTCTGTCCGTGTTGCTCCTGTCAATTTCGATTTTGAATATTTAATTGAGGGTCGGTCCTTATTTTTTGTCGCCCCCATCTTAGATTATTATCCCTGGACCTGTTTACCGTCTGTCTGATGCACTCTAAGCCTCATCCTGAGGGCTATCGAGATACTATTGATAGACACGGGTCCGCCTTTCTTCCTGCTTTTATTTCTTATTCATCGCCTTGGAGACCTAGACCATTCTTGCCTTTTTTTTTTTTTTCCATTTATCGAGGGATACTTTATTCCCAACGTCTCAACCGCTTCTATTTCCCGCTATCTATACTTCTCACTGTCAGCGCCAAACCACGGCCAGATATTCTTTTCCGTTTCCCTCGGGCTAGAAGTCTGCGAGAGCCTTCAATTATCGTGATCTGGCGATCATCTACTGGGACTGCATTCTATCACTATTGAATGCGCAACTATAACAGAAAAGACAAAGAGTTGTACATCAGACGAGAGAGAGAGAGCCAAGGCTCAAGATTGCCCTCCCTCCGTACCGTATTCCATACGTCTCACCAATACCTGAAACCAATACCATACCTTACCTGTCGTCCAGTACGGAGCACCCTCATCAGTGCCCATTCCACGGTAAGTACCGTATTTCCAGACGTCGAAACCCAGCAACAATACCCGTACCCACTGCAGCTTCAAATCCAACCCGGCGGAATCGCTGGGAATTGATTGATTCATTGATTAAATCATTTTTTATTTCCTTCTCCCCCTCCCCCTTCCCTTCCACTTCCCCTTCCATCATCCTTCCAAACCCTTTCTTCTTCCATCTTCAACCTTCATCCTGATCGCAAATCCCTCGACTTAGGAGAACACTGGTTTTGTCCTCCCGTTGCATGATCATCGTGATTTCCGCTGCAGGAGCAGTCCCCAAACCCACCTCGCATACGGACTGGAGTGGCCACCACGTAACCGTGCAGCAACCCAGATCAGCTCACGACTACGCGACCAAACAGCACTAAAACGAGTTAATCCAACATCAGCGAAGCCATTCAACTCCGCCCATTCCCCCGATTGCTTCGTCTTTCCCCTTTGGACCGCCTGCATCCACTGCGTTGGCAGTGTCGCAAACTCCCGATTTTCTCGTTTCCTTTTCCATATCGCATTGCCCGTTCCTTCTCCGCCCTCCCGTTGCGCCGCCAAAAAAAGTCCCCTGCACCCTAGCACGGGTACTCCCATCGCCCGCTGCATCGCTAGTCTCCAGTCGCGGCCAATCGACTGTGGAGCTCGACGGACTAGGATTCATACCCTGGTAATACTTTTTGTTCTCTATCCTCGGTGGAAATTTCCCTGGGCCTTGTGGGTGCCGCCGCCGATTTGCGAACACGCGACTGCATCTTTTTTTGGGGCTCTTCCCTGAGCGCTGGGATTGAGAACTCGCATAGACGCAGTGTCGACAGCCTTTTGACTTTTCACTCCCTGTCATCGGTCCCCCCGCCCTGGTTCGCTCACTGGTTGCGCGATCAATTGGTCCATATCGCAACATCCCCCTCCCTCGTGCAGAGGCGGCAGCTTTCCCCACGGACCGGTAGATCGTCAAGCAGAAAGAGGGGTTGCATTGATCCCATTGGGAGGATTCAACAGGAAAATCAGCTGGGTTTCCAAAAGAAGCAACCCTGGTACTCACGGAACGGAACCCTGGGCTCGGAGATCATCCCTCGAGTAGCGTCTGTGACGTCTATCAGCAAGTGGTTACCGTCGGAGGAACTCTTCTCGGTCTAGAAAGGGGAAAGAACAAGAACGAGCAAGAAGAAAAAGAAAAAGAAAAAGAAAAGCGAGAACCATTGCACGGGGCCAGTGCCCTTTGCAATTGTTATCAGGGACCTTTTTTATCTTCTTGTCTTCTCTTTGCCTCAAGTCTTCTCTATCTCGATTCTTCCCTTTTTTCGGCTTTTCCCCGTGAAGCGCTCTCCGGCAGGGCTCTCCGCATTCCATTCCAGCCAGGCCAAGATGCAGAGTTCAAGAACGGATCCTTTCTGCTGAGGACGTGGCTGAACCCCATTATTTTCTGACTGTGTCAAGCTATTCCGTTTTCTTTTCTTCTTCTGGCTCGGATCCCTTTCCAAACCTGGCCTCTTGCAACCTTTGAACGGCCCCGGCTGGTCCCCTGCGCTGTTACCGATTCGCCCTTCTGAACGAGTCCAGGTGACTCGGAAGTTGGCACGGTTCACGAACCCACTAAGATATTGCACGTATCGACAGCTGAGCTGTCGGTCTGATAACGGATAGCCGCCATGGCCTACGCTACCGCAACCTCGCCTCCGGCCATGGATGCCGACGCTCAAACCACCTTAAAGCTCACGACATCTCTTCCTCGATCCACCTCCCTACATCATGTCGTTGCCTCTCTACCCCCTTCAGCTCCGACTCCTTCCTCGGCACCTTCCTTCACCTCTTCACCTACCTCAACCCCCGTCTCGGTTTACCCAGGTCCGGGTACACCGAATGCCTTCACGCCCGCCGGTACTCCTCTCCAACCTCCCAGTGAGGGCCCGCGTGGTCGAATTTATCCTCTTCCTCTTCCCGCCCCGCTCGAACTTGGCGAATCTATGATGGCAGTTCCCGAGATTATCAACCCCAACGGCAATGGGGTCAATGATCCCTCCACCTCTAGCTCCAAGGCCCCAGGCTTGATGCGAAGAATCTCCCGAGGCGCCGCCAGCAAACTGACAAGGAGAAGGCAATCGGCCTCGCAAAATGACAAACGAGACCGCAGTTCCGGTCCCGTGATCTTGCGCCGCAGGAGTGACAGCAAGAACAACACACAACCCGCCCGAGACACCGCCCTAGAGTCTAGCAATGAGGATGACTCCATCGAAGCCTTGGACGGACTGGGTGCCTGGGCTGGCTCAGAGCCCTCGAGTCTTCGAAGTGAAAGCCGCATGATGTCGGCCCGCGAATTGGTCGCCACTGCCGGTGGTGCTGTCGCTCCCAAGGTGGACTCTGCCGTGCAGCGTGGAACCGTTTTGACCAAAGTTACGAAGAAGCACCGCAAACAGGTTCGGTTTTTCTTGGACCTGGATGCAGCCAAGGTCTTTTGGGACGTGTCAAACCCGGCCAAGCGCTTTTACATCGACGATATCAAGGAGATCCGCGTTGGCGCAGACGCTCGGAACTACCGCGAAGAGCACCAGATTCCCGAGGACACTGAAGGTCGATGGTTTACCATTGTGATTGCCGACTGCGAACGTTTCAAGGGTCGCGCTTTCAAGACGTTACACCTGATTGCTCCTAATGACCATATTCTCGAGCTGTGGACCACGACTCTGGAACATATCTCTCGATACCGGATTGGCCTAATGGCTGGTCTAGCTGCTTCGGGCCAGAGCGACGCTGTCCTCCAAGCTCATTGGCAGCGCGAGATGTCAAGATTGTTCCCCCAGGGCCTTCGTCCTGGCGAGGAACAAAGCCTGGACTTCACGGCCGTCGAGAGTGTGTGCCGCAGCCTGCACATCAACTGCTCCAAGAACATGCTTCGAGCTCAATTCTCCAAGGCCGACGCTGGTCATAACGGCCGGTTGGATTTCTCTGAATTCAAGGACTTCCTGAAGCGTCTGAAGGAGCGAAAGGATGTGAAGGAAATTTACAAAACTCGTGCGGAGGATCACAAGACTGGTCTGACCCAGGAAGAATTTTTGGACTTCTTGCGCGATGTTCAGAAGGAGGACGTTGAAGCTGATCGCGCACACTGGGTCGCTCTATTCGAAAAATTCGTCAAGAAATCGAGACCCCGTCTGTCTAACGCTTCTGACACGTCCGACACCAGTGCTCTCCCGCCCACTCGCATGAATCTTGACACATTCTCGGCTTATCTCGCTTCCCCGAACAATGGGATTTACGCGTCCAAGGCTCCCCAGTCGCGATTCGATCGCCCGCTGAACGAGTACTTCATTTCTAGCTCTCACAACACTTACCTACTGGGCCGCCAAGTCGCTGGAGCCTCGAGTACCGAGGCTTATATTAGCGCGCTTCAGCAGGGATGTCGTTGCGTGGAGATCGACTGCTGGGATGGTGCTGACGGGCGTCCAATCGTGTCTCACGGACGGACTATGACCACTAGCGTGCTCTTTGCGGATTGCATTACGGTCATCAATCGCTACGCCTTTATCTCCTGCGACTTCCCCCTCATCCTTTCACTCGAGGTGCACTGCAATCCTGAGCAGCAGTTGGCTATGGTCAAGATTATGAAAGATACTTTCAAGGAGCAGCTGATCCTGGAACCGTTGATGACCAACTGTTTCATTCTGCCCTCGCCCGAGGAACTCAAGGGCCGCATCCTGGTCAAGGTCAAGACGTGTGACGAAACTCAGCTCGATCCTCGCCAGGACACGGTCAGCTCCATCGGTACCCATGGTCGCAAGCGCAGTGCCAGTTCGCCATTTGTTCGCCCAACTCCTCCCCCCCGACATGACTCTCTCCAGCGCTACAATGCCCCTTCCTTCGCTGTCAAGCCCACCCTCGATTAATTCCGAGGATGGCATCGGTCCTTTGATTTCTCAAGACAGACGCTCCCTCACCGCCACTAGCATGAGCAGCGCCACCGAAGACAGTGACGGAGCATTGATCTCCATGCACAACGAGAAGAAGAAGCGTCGCCGCCAGAAAAGCAAGATCACCAAGCCCCTCTCGGACCTGGGCATTTACACTCGCGGCTACAAGTGGCATAGCTTCTCCTCCCTGGAGAGCAGAAAATATAACCACGTGTACTCGTTCGCCGAACGTGCCTTTGAGAGTATCTGCCAGAACCACGACAACAAGGTCTCGCTCGAGGCTCACAATCGGAAGTATCTCACTCGTGTGTACCCCTCGGGCTTCCGTCTTCGTTCTTCCAACTTTGACCCGAACAAGTTCTGGCGCCGCGGTGTTCAGATGGCGGCGCTCAATTGGCAGACCTACGACATCGGTATGCAGATGAACCAAGCCATGTTCGCCGCTGGATCTGATCGTACCGGTTACGTCCTTAAGCCTGAGAGCCTCCGTCTCCCAAGGCTAGAGAGTGACGGCCCGAAGCGAAAGATGGAGCGAAGACTGGTTCGATTTGCAGTTGACGTGATCTCGGCGCAGCAGCTCCCGCGACCTCGCACTCTTGGCCCCGAGGACAGTATCAACCCCTATGTTGAGATTGAGATGTTCAGTGCTGATGACCGCGGTCAAAGCCTGGTTTTTGGCGAGGGCGGCATGGATGCTTCTGCACGGAGTGGTATGTCCGGCATTGGATATCCGCACCGTCGACGCACCAAGATTGAGCCAAGCAACGGCTACAGCCCTGTCTTCAATGACCGTTTCAAGCTGTCCTTGGAGACCAAGTATCCCGATCTGGTCTTTGTCCGATGGACCGTCTGGAGCTCCCTGGATGGCCGCAGCGCCGGGAACAGCAACAGCGTGCAACTGGCTACTTTTACTGCTAAGCTCACCAGCCTCTCTCAGGGTTATCGCTACCTGCCTCTGTACGACGGCAGCGGTGACCAGTACCTTTTCTCGACATTGTTCTGCCGCATCTCCAAGGAGGATCCTGTTCCTGTTCAACGCCTTGACCTGGAGGAGCTCCGAGCCGAGCGCCTGGGTATCTTCCGCCAGATTGGCCAGTCTGTCTTCAAGCGTTCCTCGTCTACGGACCGTGAAAAGGACCATTATGCGGATCGCAGTGAGCCTATCAGTCCCGAAGACAAGGATAGCTCTCCAAATCTCACTCCGACCGTCTCCACTACATCCACCTCTTCATTCCTGCAATGAGAGGTGGTCTACCTCTCTTCTCCTTGTTGTCGGTCTCCTTGTTACATCTACCCTCAACCATCTACCTCTCAATGTCCACCTTTGCAAGTTCGCGCACGCGTCATCTTGTAGTCGTTGGCATTCTCTCATCACATCTCTGCCTGTTTAGTTTTGCATGTTACTACCATTGCTATACCCGTCGCAGCGATACCCCCTGTTTGAATTCGTGTACATTCTATTGCTGTTTGTGTCTCAGTCTGTTTTCTTTTGTTGTTGTTTTTTCTCTACTTTGTACCAGCTCGGTGCCCATACGGCAAGGTGTTCCTTTGCTTTTTACTATTTTGGTTTCACTCCTATCTCCGGACACTTGTGGACTTCGGCCGAACAGCCACCACCTCTTTATCCACCTACATCGCATTTGCGGGAGTCATTACCTGGGAAAGATCACTTTACATCGCTCATCTCATTTCGTGGCTGGTTCACCGGAGTAAACACACATCTCTCACTCATCATTCGGGCATCTCATCGCATGGTATGGTCGGGAATGGCAGGGTTCCGTCCCTCCAGGCATATTTCGCATTCGGTTGGCAATCTGGGTGATTCAACCGAGAGGCGCCCTATCAATTTGCCTTTATTGGGCCTTTTTAGCTCTCTATGGAGGAATTTTGTCGCTCATTTGACAAATTTTTTTAACTTCTTTCTGGGTGCTGGATCTCGCCCTTCTTTGTTCTTCTTGTCGGTCTCTTGATTCTTCCTTTATTGTTGGACTTTGCTTTCCTTCCTGTCGTGAATATTGTGTTTTTAATAGATGACGCGCTGGGTCGCATGGGATACTTGAGGGATCTGTCTATCCTTGGTTTCTTTGTCTGCATTCGAACGGTCGTCTAGGCATAGATCAATCTTAGCATTGTCTTTTTCATGACAATATGCTTTTATCATCTTGTGTATCTTTGTAAACTTGCTTAAAAGGACGGATGAACATGTAGTTACCGCTTTTGTCATAGTTATGGATCCCCGAGGCAGGCATTTTGAAAGCGCAAATTACCGGCGAAGAGGGACTTTACAAGTCCCTTACAAAATAATCATCAATTGTCATCACGTCTGGTATATGTAGAAAGAAAAATCATGTCATAAACCATCCCAACCGAACGAAGGAAACCAACGTAAAAAGAAGAGCTTAAGTAACACCCTCCTAACAAATCATTAGATCATCCAGTCCTGAACGCTCAGATCCTCTTCGCAGAAGTATTAACCCCCTTCTTCTGCTCATCCGGCGGCAACGAATCCGCAATCGACCGACGATCATACCCCGTATTCTCCTCCTCATCACTAATCGGCCGCCCATACGCCACCCCATACTCATCAACATCATCAATGTCAACCTCATTCCACCGGTCACTAGTCGCCGGCACGGGGAAGAAATGAGTTAAAATCCAGTACATGCCCCCGGACACAATCACGCCGGTGAAATAGTTGATGTTGTAGATGTACTGCGCGCCGACGGGGACTTGGCGGCCCACGGCGCCGGCGAAGCCGACGATGTTGATTAGGATGCCGGCGATGTAGGCGGCGTAGGCACGCCAGGAGAAGCCGAGCGTGTAGTAGTAGGGGTCTGTTTTACGGCCGCTGTAGAGGGCTTTTATGTCGAGGTACCCTTTGCGGACGACGTAGTAGTCGCAGATTATGACACCGGCGATGGCGGAGAGGAAGAGGGAGTAGGCGGATAGGTAGGTTGTGAATTGGTTGGATGATGCTACTAGGTTCCACTGTGAGGGTGTTAATGTTAGTAATGTTATTTGCGGGTTGAGAAAGATAGATAATTTGGGGGAGGGGATCATGTACCGGGCACATGGCTAGGCCGATGGCAGCGCAGATGTAACTGCCCCGGCGGATGTTCAGATATCGTGGCATGAGGGCAGTCAAGTCTGTTCCGGCGGAGACAGAGTTGGCTGAGATATTCGTTCCCAGCTGTGCAAGGGCAAATCCAGTGGCAATGATGAAGATGCCGAAACGCTGGCCAGAGCTCGCGCCTTCGAGGAACATGCCAAGCAGGTCAAGAGGGTTCCAGATTGGATCGCCCTTGTAGATGACCGCCGACGAAGAGGACACGATAATGCCAATGAAGGAAGTAATACCGAACCCGATGGGAATAGTAAGAAGCTGCGACCACAGCGCGTCCTTGGGTTTCCGAGCAAAACGCGAAAAGTCAGGGTCGTTCATGATCAGAGCAGCAAAGTTTCCGATACAGCTCATGACTCCTTTCACGAAGACCCAGGCCAGTGTGCTGCCGTGCACGGTGCTGCCCTGGTGGACGACTGGACCGATACCGTGCGCCCGCGAGATGGCCCAAGCGAAGAAGGCAATGGCGGCGATGGGCGAGTAGATCGCCTTGACGGTGAACAAGTGTCGCACCTTGTGAACTGGGAACCAGAGAGCTGGGAGGGAAAGCAGCCAGAACAGGAAGAAGCTGAGGAAGTTCTTGGTGTCAACGCCAGCACTGGCAGAAAGTCCATTGTGCAGGTTCTTGTAACTGGGCCAGATAGCCTCGATCATCAAAGTCACACATTCGCCTAGAAATGATGCAACCGTCAGTGCCAGTTCTCAATGGCGATGTGGACGCATGGCTTTTGGTTCTCACCTCCAATATAACTCTGCACACCATACCAGATAATAGCCATGACGACACGGTTGATCACGGGCCAGAAAGAACCCCAGATGCCAAATGAAGCTCGTACGGTCACTGGGAAGGAAATATGATAGACGGCACCGATGCGACCGGTGAGGCAAACGAAGGTTGCGGCAATGAAATATCCAATCCAAACACAGAGCCATGACTGCCACCAGGATAGGCCATCGACGATCATAGAGGAGGAGATCATCCATGTGTTCTGGGGCTTACGTTAGACTGGTCTTCAATTTCGGCGTTCTTTGCCTCGATTATATTCAGGCATTGCACTCACAATGTTCAGTGAGTCCGCAATCCAGAATGCGATATAGTTCAACCATCTCCATTGACGACGTTCGGGTTCAACTACGGTCCACAAGATTGCATTGATTAGCTCGACTGGTCTTGAAGTGCATCCTGAATGCCATGAAAATTGGAAGAATGCTCATCGATATAGAACAGTATTCGATGGTAGCGGGGGAACAAGCTCATTCAGCATCGTCAATGGTCTTCTCACCTGGCCTCAAATCGTCATTTGTCAACATCATCTGGGCATTTGACAGCCCCGGCTCGCTGGAGACGGCAGCTTTGTTGAGAATCCATTTGAGCTTCGACATGATGCCGGGCAATGGAATGAACCTGCAAGGTAGAAGGCAATCGCTCAGAAACAAAGAGTGGCAGCAGGATTAGGAACTAGCCCGGGCTCAACCAGCGGGCAGCAAGCGATGATGTCAAATTCAAGAATGATATTGCCAGGCCAAGAAGTCTGGGTCAAGGCTTGGGGAAACTATGATATAATAAGTCGCATGAGAGGGGTCCGAGCCGCCCATAGGGTTATCATCCTGCTCGCATGTCGCATGGGTGATGCGGATCCTGGAGCGTCACATCCCCCGTTCCACTCCGCCATGGTGCGATAAGAAGAGGCAATCAGAAGTGTTTTAGTGGGACGATCTTGGGGCCCGGTCTGGCATGTGCGATAATCTTGGTGCGATCTGCCCGAACATGCTTGGGAGATGTGGAGGGTTCGAGCACGGCGTTGGGGTAGTACGCCTATCATTTGCCATGGCCCGAGTCGCTCTCGAGTAAGACTGCTGTACGGAGTATATCTGCGATAACGGCGAGGGGATGGCTCCACTTGGGCTCTCCGCAAGCAGAAGGGCGTGGATGATTGGCAGATACTAGGGAGGCTGCGTATCTAATCATCGAGCAAAAAAACTGGGGCTGCAGATTAGTTGACTACCGGAGTAACCTAGATACTACTCCGTAGATAGGTTAGTGATGATTAGCAGTTGACTCGATGAGATCGAGTAATGGCAACCCCACGGTCACGTGGCCGGTGGTTGAGTATAGTAGACTCCGACTGTTTACTACCGTAACCTTCACGGTTTGTATACCTTCGACTTTCACTGACATGGAATATAATCAAATTACATGTCGGAATCTAATAAAGGCTTCAACTTGGTGTGCTTCAGCTTTCTCATTCCTGCAAAACCCTTTTATATCCATTTTGAATCATCTTCCAACAATTCAGGCGTCAACTCTTAGTGTGTTGCCAACGTCAACGTACACCATATAGTTAACTAAGATGTTTCTGTCAGAGTCTTTAACTCAGAAGAAGCCACTGCATTGGCAGAACTTTGATATTCACCGAATCTTCTACCAAGTAGGCACAACATACAAAGGATAGAATCATAAGGGAAAGATTCACCCTCGAGGGTACAACCTCCATAATCTCGGCTGGAACCCGTGGAAGCTACCACCCTCGATAGGTCGCTATAATGGAGATGAATGATCTAGGATTGTTTGATTTCTTTCTCATAAAGGCCCCCCACCTCCAATCTTTCGACTTCTGTACAAGGTATCGTACACAATATGAAGCCGTGATACTTTTTTACCGGCGCAGCGCATCTCTGACGGGCGAATCACCCCGGCGGAAAGAAGCTATAGTGTTTGTTAGATTATCGTGTCATTAAAAAGAATCCAGTCGCCCAAGTGAACAATCTCCGAGGACTCCAATTGCAGCTGACGGCAGAGCGGATCCAATTTCCAGAGCCTTCAGACAGGCCAGACCATCATGAGGTAGGCTCTGTAGCAAGCGAGCTAGGAAACTGGACCACAATGTCGTAGTTACCATCACTGCAACCTAAGTAGCAGGTAATGATTGGATCTCTTCAAGGCAGCTTTCGGGCGACTTGACATCATGAAACGCGGGCATAAACATACCGTCAGCCTCCTCCCAAGCACGACCAGCACCGAAGCCAAGGCCAACCCAGGCGGGCCAGGCCCTCCGCTTGAACAGAAGGACGGAGAAAACGACACCGAAGGACAGTCCGAGAGAGGACTTGATAATCACCGAGGAAATGGCGCGGTCCCACTATACAAGCAGTTGGTGAATTAGCCCATTGATTCTTATCCGATATTGCCGAATGCCATTGATCGCAATTGCATATCTGTCCATCACTGTTTTGGCAAAGACAATGTGCCGATAAAGCCAATGTAGGTTGTTGATTTCAGTGGTCGGTCCGTACCTTCTCGTTAAGAAGAGCCTCGCTCACGGGCTTGGTAGCCCGCGCGACCGGCCGGGTTTCGCTGGAGTCGGCCATTGCGAAGGGTCTAGACAGCCGCCGGTTAGCTTTGGATTAAACCAGTAGCTTCAACAGGTTCAGGCAGCATACAGTAGTATAAGGAGGGTGAATTGAAGAGGTTGATGGGTCGGAAGGTGCAAAGTGCAAGGAGTCGGGAGTTGCGAGTCCTGGTCGGGCAAAGGCGGTCGGGGAATTTCGCCGCGATATTTTTCTCAGTTGGGTCAACTTTTTTTCCCTTCAAGTAAACCAACCCCTCAGATCGACCATACGATTTGGTTTTCGAGATGCCTTTGCTTGCGGGGGTAAGTTCAGACTCATGCCTTGTATTCTATTAACTCCGACTAGTATCTAACTCTGGTTTCATACAGCCCTCGAGCTCGTCGCAAGAGGCACTCCTCCGCCTTGAGAAGGGTAGCACCGCATCCCCAACTACCCAACTTCACGAAGCAGCACAGATTCTCGGTGTGGACCTCAATACTTGTGAGAGTCATCCGGAGACACACCGAAATGCGAAAATCCAGGCAAAGGCCACTCCAAAGGAGGAGTGGGTGCTCAGATGGTTATTGAAGAGGCTCCGGACTGGGAAGAACTACCGCGTGGATCCAGCTTCGTTCCTCTTGCTGCGAGAGCTCATTGGGCTCATCTCGCCCAAGAATTTGGCGACAATTCTGAAAGACCAAAAATTCTCCTCGATTTTGTGTGACACAATGACAGATTTGGAGAATGACATCTTTGCGACGCTGGGAAGTGGTTCCTCGACCTCGAGTTTCGAATCCGACTCTAGCAATCCACTGGACATGCATGCCACTCGGAAGGAACATCGAGGCACGCAGGGAACGAAGAGAAAGCGCATCGCTGGAGAGAATGATGCCGAGCCTATGGACCTGGATGAAAAGCCACAGAACCTCGCCTCGTGCTTCCTCACGTTCATTCGCGCTCTGGATTGCCTCTATGGCGTTGTGACCCTGGCTCAGCGAACGCTTGGCGTGGACGAAGTGGCCAACTCGCACCTCAAGTTGGCACTGAGAGGGGAGCCTGAAGTTGTTGCAGGATTGTTGGGCAGGTCACTTCAGTTGGCTGCCGTTGCCGTCACGCAGTTCTCGCAGGCAGGTAAAACAACAGATCTCCAGCATCTGCTACTTGTTTTCCCAGCGATGCTCGAGCTGTGGGAGTCAAGATCCTACCGCCAAGATGATACCAACAACAACTCAAGCAATGACTGGTTCGCCAAGTCTTGCTTCTCTCATGCTCTTCGGCTTCAACTCTGCCTTCGAAATGTCAAGTTCGACACTGACGAGAGAGCGCATCTTCTCCATGCCATCGAACGGATCGTCGCTCTTCATGTGTTGATCCCAGCTCGGGAAGCTTTCTTTGCTCGTGGCGGTTCTGGAATTGACTACTCGAAAGAAGAACCGGATTGGAGCGCGGTGAAACCAGTGACTGATACATTCAGACCAATTATAGGAGAACTTTCAATCATCCAAATGACACCAGCCAAGTCTAACAGTCGCTCTTTCCACCCGTCATGGCGATCAATTGAGCTTCTCCCTGAGCTATTCGATAATGCCGTCCGCGCTGTCCCGAGAGATGACTTCAGACGCCAAACACACGAGGCTCCTTGGCTCGAGACGTTATTCGTCGCTGTTGCGGAGCTGGCTTACTCCACCGCAAAGGAGGAAGAGCCCGCTACCTTCTCTGTCAGATTTGTTTCTGTGCTGGAGGACCTCTTGCGTATTGCTCTCGGTCGAAGCGTCGGCTTGTCTTTGCAAACTGTTCTTACCCATGCCGGTTATACGGGTCTCCTCGAGCAAGGCCTAGAGCAAGTTCAATGGAATGTCACAGCTCTGGTCATTAGCCTCGGCGTTGATGTTTTCCTGCCAAACTCAGGACTACGCGATGCAAGCAAGCTACTAGATGCGCTACTTGACAAGATCATGCTTCAGTGGCGCAGTGAAGGCTGCAAGAAGTCTAAAGACTATGACACGATCAAGAATGACATTGTCATCCCGCTTCTACGGGGCTTTGCAGGTGCGAGAGATTTGACATCTTTCATGGAAGTCTGGCACGACCAGCTTGTCATCCTGGAAGAAGCTCGCGTCCGCAACGATAGTCTCCCATTCTTCTCCGTCTGGGAAGATGATGATCTGTGTGATGTATTTTCTGAGTTGACGCGGACGTCACTCACTGGTGTCAACTTTGCCGCACAGCTGCAGGCTGCCGCAACGGCAACTCGGGCTGACAATGGCAAGATCTCCGAGTCCTCGCAATCATATGCAAAATTTATTGCATTGGAAGCCACCTTCCGAAGCAAGGTCTCGTTGGGCAACTCGGAGGAGACTTTGGCACACTTCCTTGAGACCTTGACATCTACTCTGTCGTCAAAGCAAATGTTCCACTGGCGCTGGCGCTTGTGGCGGTTCGTGCGGAATTTTTTGCAAAATAATTTGCTCGCTACCGATGGTGTCCTTGCCAAGGCTACACAGTCTCTCGCGAGCATAGCTGCAAAGTCCCTTCATCGCAATCAAAAGAACTTGGCCAAAGCACCACTGGCTCCTCTGGAGTCATGGGAGATCTATCGGTTTGTCCTGGTAGTTGTCACAGGAAAGCCCAGTGATGAGCAACTGGCTGCATTTGCCGATATCTCCAAAGATGTCGCCAAATTAGTTTCATCAATCACCCCTGAGGATTCTAAAGCTTCAATGGAGGCGCCCTGGGATGGCCGAATCGATACCTTGTCCTCACCAACTACACTGGCTTTGGCTTACACCTTGGCGCTGATAAGGGAGCCTGATGTCTGGGAGAAGGTCGCGTCCGAGTATCGGTCAAGCATGTTCAAACAGCTCATGACCCTGGCAGCCGCGCAGTACCACTCATCTTCGTTGCCTATGGAGACTGTTGCTGATAATGCGCGATTCCTTCACGCATGGGCAAGCATTGTGTGTCATGAGTATCTACTCAACGTGCCATTTATAGTACCTGACCTGGTCCTTCTGCTTACCAAGAGCATCGAAAACGACGTTTCCAATCGCAGTCTGTACGTGGAGAGCTTGCAACGGATCCCTGCTGCCTTGATTACCCGTGGTCTAAGAACGGCCCTTTTGGACAAGCTGCATGATATCGTTGTTCAGCAGGATAGTGCTCCTGAAGTGACCCTTGGACTTTTGACTATGATGGCAAAACTTGCGGCTATGCCCAAATGTGATGCTAGTGTCACGAGCGACTGGGAGCCAATCTGGACAGAGGCTCGCTCCATCTCTCTAGAAGGTACTGACTTGGATCTTCAAATCATGAAGGCCTTCCGCAGCTTGTATCGTGCCGTTATCGCCAAGCTGTTGGTACTCTCACAGGATGATCGATTTGAGACATTTGGCAAATTGTATTCCAGAGTCTCGAAGCAGGCGTCAAAGCTTCGGCAAATTGACCGTGATTCTATGGCTTGTTTCCTACTTCGCCTGTCCTTGTCGGAACTATGGATTCACCGCAAGCAATTGGCCAAGGCCTTTTCGGAGGATGATTTGGCATCCTGCCGTCAGCGTGTGTTTGGCTTGGTTTTGGCAGATATGAAGTCCGTCAAGGATCAGTGCAGGAAGCAGAAGCTAGAGGAAACAATTACCCTCATCAAGACCATCGACGCCCTGGAAGACTTTGAGGATCTAGCGACAAACAACATCGAGGTTGAAAAGTTTCTCTCCAAGCTTGAGCGCTACATGGAGATGTCGATTGATTCGACGCCGTCGCGGCTTATTCGGCGGCGTCTAATGGCTACCAAGGGATCCGAGAAAAAGTTTACCAAGCCGGTGCTGCAATGCGCCGAGACCCTGACTCTCCAGTCGCTCTACGCTGAAGATCAACAGCTCTTCATCCGAGCCACCACCGAGCGGTTCCGCTCCATGACTGGAGAACAGATCAGTGAAGCAATTCAGGAGATCCGCGAGCTTGGTTTTACTGGAGAGCATGCCGCCTGTCGACTACTTGTGATCTATCTCGCAGTCATCTCCCTCCAGCCCGTCGAGGACAAAGAGAGTTCCATTTCTCGCGAGCTCTCCCATCTCAGCCAGTCTCTCGCAGCTGCTCTCGTCCACAGCACCTCCATCGATCAATTCTGCTTCACCGCCGAGACTTTGGCCCTCCTTCTCCGCGTGCACACTCGCAGCATTGCCCAGTGCAACGTCGACGATATGCTCGCTGCCATCGCCACCGCCGCCTCCAAGAGTGGTCCGCGCATCTCACCCGAGTACGCCCCGACCATCTACACCCGTCTATGTCGCTTGATGGGTATCATCCTGGGGCTACAGCGCGTCAAGATCGGCGGTCGCTTCCACCTCGTCGTGACTGCCATGCAACGCCTCCTGGGGTGCCTCTTCGCGCGGTCTCGTAAGCGCTCGCGCGCCAATCGGGCCGCGGTCATCGCCCATCCCTTCTGGCTCGCTCCCCTTGATGCCTCCCACGCATCCAATTTCACCCGCCTCCTCACCTCTCTCAGCGACCCGACTGTCTCCGCCGTGCTGCGCCCGCAGCCCGGCATGTCTCGTGAGGCTCTGACTGATGAAACGAAGAAAGCTAAGCGTATTGCTGGTCAGTATCTACAATACGTGATCATGGCTTATGCGCAGTGCTCGCTACGTGGGTCACTCGTACCGGATGTCAAGGCCGCCCTGATGCCAGGTCTGTATTCGGCGCTAGATGTGATGTCGCGGGAGTCGTTGCGTGCGATGAATGCTGGTTTGGATGCTTCGGGTCGTGCCGTGTTCAAGTCTCTTTATGATGACTATGTCAAGTTTGGAAAGTGGAATAAGGCCTGATCGGGTGTCATGGTCATCGGCTTACTTTCTGTTCTTCTGTATACCTACGTTACCTGTCTGTACTCATAGATTCATGATATCCCTGCATGCATTGATGATAAATTCATCTTCATAAAATGGTACTGGAAAGCATAGAAGTATTGAAACTAATGTCAGGCTGTAAAGACGACGATGACTCGAAATGAAGAAGCAAGGATAAAGGAAATGATAGAAAGCAAAATCAACAACTTTCATTCAAAATAGCAATGGGCTGGCTGACTCCCAGTTAGCAGCCGTCTAGAGTAGAGATGTCTAGGGGGTATCATTGAATATCGTAAATCATGCGGAGGGGGAAATGATGTGGAGAAATAAGTGAAAAGAAGAATCATGGCAGCGAGCCAGCCAGCAGCTAAGATCAAATCATAGATGTTTCCAGTGTACGTGGGCTGAGGCAAGGCATCGACACGTTTTCCAAGACTGGAATTCGAGAAGTGTGACTGCCAGCAGCCGTAGTCCGTGGTCCATGAGATGAAGGGAAATTGTCCGCGGTACTGGCGACTGGAGTCTCAGGGATTGACGTGTCCAGAGCCACGCCGTTGTGACCGCTGTGCGTGAGACAGCCGACGCAGCTGCAGTCGTTGCCGCATTGGCAGCTGCCTGTCACGTCGGAACAGGCACTCGGGATTCCAACTGGATATTCGATTGTGTAGTATTCGGATGGATGCATCAATTGCTGGTTGAAGTGGTGTCCGGCCGACAAAGGAGACGAGTAGCCACTTGGCATAGCCGAGTTGGGATCGGAGTATGGCTCGAAAGAATTTTGGTGGATGCCATGGTCCATGGAGGGTGTTTGCTGCATGAAGTAGTTCATTGGATTCGTTGCGGCGTTTGTCTGGAATGATGGGGGTTTGTAGGCATTCGTCATGGCTTCGGGTGTAGAGTCGTCTCCGTCGAATGTCATCATGACACCCATTTCTTGGACGTGTTGACGGGTAGTGTTGTTGAAGGGATGGGCTGCGCAACCAAGACACTGACAATCGTCTCCACAGTTGCAGTCATGGCTAAGATCGTTGCCAGGGCTGATTGAGGCATAGGCGGAATGTTGCGTTTGATCCATCGCGAAGGGAGTCATATTTGGTGGCGCTATTCCAAGTCCATTCATGGAGTTCGAATATGGCGTAGACACATTCGCTGCGTATCCGTTCATGTAAAAAGACTGAGCCTGAGGGTTTGACAGTCCGAAAGATTGTAGGAAAGGCGCTTGTGCAGATGCCATGGAGTTCTGCCAGGAGGGCATCTGCTGCGCAGAATAGTTCATGTAATGGATGTCGTTCCATGATGCAGGCTGATTGACTTTCGATCCTTGAGCATGGGGAACGCTATCGTGGACGGCATTGGATATCGGAGTGTTTTTACTGCAGCAAGAACCCGACCCCTTTGATGACGGGGCTGAGGCTGGTGGAGTTTGCGGTTTTTTCGAGCAGCAACTGGATCCATTCACATTTTTCGTAGATTCTTGAGGCACAGAAGCAACTTGATGAGTACGGATCTCGGTGACATCATCTTGTTCCGGTTGGTGAGAAGCAAGGTTTCCTAAAAGGTTCGAGGTACCATCTTCAAATTTGAGATTCTCGGGCATCGCTTCCAAGGCTTTGGCGATATTCTCCGGGGTGGCTTGAATGCTGCTTTGTCTCCTGCTTGATTTTTGAACTTTGCCAGAGGAAGGCGAAGCCATCGATGCCATAGAGACTGGTGTGGACTGTGATGAATCATTGGTGCCCGCGGGGACTTTGTAGACTGGTCGACACAAGCACCCAGAGCCTGAGCTGATGTTAGATGTGTGTCAATCGAGTCAGTTTAGTATAAGAACTCCTACCTTTGGGGATCCGGACCATAAAGGCATAGGTCTTTTCGCAGCTGCAAGTTCCTTTGGGATGAGGGCACTTGGCCAAAGGACGACCCGCCTTGGGAACTTTCATCATAAGTCTGTCGAAGTGCTGGCATTTTGAAGATCGATGGCCGCGAATGCATGGCTCGCTGGTTTCAAGGTGCGGTCAGCAGGCCATTCAAAAGAGGATGTCAACGGGTATCTTTACCACGACCACTTAGCTCCTTCTTCGTCGAGAGGCATGGTTGTAACGATCCAATATCCGGGAGGGGCAGGGTCAAGTCGGGAAGACGCTGGGATGATCGTCGAATGACGATAACCGACACGGCGCTTGCGCAAGCGCTATACCAAATACGCAAAGTTGGTCCTCCGCCTACCCAAAATAATTCCTTTCAGCTATGAGAAACAAGTATTCAAGCCATGTGCTAGACCGTCAGATCTCTCAGATTTCGAAGCGGGGTCACGCGGAACCCCGGCGGAAGTGGAGTGTTTTTCGGCGACTGAGCAGCAGGATAAGCCGTTTGGTGTGACAGCATCCGTGAATACAATGCGACGAGGGAAATCGAGAGAGGAGGGTTGTTCGAAGTGTCAGGAGCGTGTGATTGCACGATGTTTTACGCCGAAAAAGACTCGAGAAGAAAACGATGCGGGGAGGTGACGGATTACCTAAGCCGCATTGGGCTTGGCGTCACGGACAAGTTGGCATTCGCCGAGGCCGCTTCCTTGTTGCTCCGATCAACAACGAAAGCTTCGCAATGCCGTCACAGGCCACCGAGGGCCAGCAGACGGATGGCAATGCCCCGTCCTTCTTCAGAGTTCCCCCTCCGATCAAACAGCTTTTCGACCGGTTCCCATTGACAACGTATCCGGCCAACGACTTGCCGGAGCGCACTCCGTCCGGGCGCGCGGACAACCAGCTATTTGTCTTTAGCGACGCGGCAAGTGCGCGACGTGGACGGCCTTCTTTCAATCCGCAATGTCTTAAGTGGCAGGTTAGTTGACGATCAGTCTAAACTGTTTGCAGGATATCTTTATCTAAAGCAGTGTCCAGGCATACCTGAAATTTGTCGGGGTCGACTTCGAGATCACTCCTTCGAACAATCATGCTTCGCCGACTGGCGCTCTCCCATTCCTCCTCCCAGCATTCCCCACCGATGATGCAGTCACAATTCCCTCGCACAAGCTGCAAAAATGGGCCATTGAGCAGGTCCACTGCGAAGAGGAGCAGCAGTTGAATCTCCGCTTCGAAGTATATGCCTCCCTTTTGGACCACCGGATACGCAATGCCTGGGTATGTGCCATTTCTTCGGATGCTGAGGAACTATTCCTATGCCGCTACAACTACTAACGCTTTCTTTAAGCTGTACACGCTGTATCTAGATGATGCCAATTTCAAGGCCGTCGCGCAACGACTCTATGTGAACCCCTCAACAACATCCTCCCTCGTTCGGGCCGCCCTCGGTTTTCAGCTTCAACAAGCCGCGCGCAACGAGCTCCTCAAGACCTCCCAATACATCGATGTGGCCGCACTGGAGGGAGACGCACAGAACGCATTCGAGGCGCTATCTACCCTCCTCGCCGAGGACGAGCACTTTTTCGGCCGGCCAAAACCCGGCTTGTTCGACGCCACCGTATTCGCCTACACGCATCTGATTCTTGACGAGGGCATGGGATGGAAACACAACCGATTGGCACAGCTGCTCCGACAGCACACCAATCTTGTACAACACCGGGAAAGACTACTGCGGTTTTTCTAGACTTGTATTATTGAGCGACAAAAAAGTGACAGAAATAATATCTCCCCTGATCATTCCACCTATACTCGAGGGGATGGTTCGATTCTTATCACTCCTATGCTTTCTTGCTGAAACAGATCCCAAACCACACCCTGATACCAACCCACTTCTTGGCCCGCGCACCTAATTTTTCGGCCACTTGCTCATCCACGTCCCGTTCCAGTACTCCATTCCGACCATCCTCCCCAATTATATCCTCCACCTGGAATCCAGCCCCTTCGGCAGCTGCCAGCACCTCCGAGATCGAGTGGCAGTAACTAGTCGGCCGGATCTTGACCCCAGTCTGCGGATCCGTGAACCCAGCCTGGCTGCGCATGCCCATGTCTGCGTGCATGTTGGTAACCAGCAAGTAACCACCAGGAAGCATCGTGGCAGACGCAGCTTCGAAGAACTCCTTGGCTGGGATGTGCTCTAGTACAAGTGTGGAAATCACACCGGCCGCACCGGAGTCCTGTAGAGATTGAGGTAGTTGCGCCCGTACAGTAGCAGGCTGGAGTAGATCGATAGTGTCGAGGGAGACTTCGGGACTGTCCTTGAGATCTTCTCGCTGCGTGGCAGAGTGGACGGTGGATCGGGCTACCTCCAGCATGCCGGGGGACGCATCGAGACCGACGACCTCTACCTTGGGAGCTGAGATCGGAGCCGTGTGTTTCTTCTTTTTATACTGTGTCAGTGCTTCGAGTAGCTGAATCGTGTTTCGCCCAGTACCGCATCCAAGATCGAGTAGCGTCACTTGTCCCGAGGCCTGGAAGCGGGTATAGACTCGGTCCAGGAACTGAGGCAGGAGTACACTCATCTCGATGGTGTCCAGGCGCTGGAGGAAATTTCCATCTGTGTCGTATACCTGTTTTGAAAGGAGTTAACTAGTTAGCTAGGTTGGGTGTAAAACCGGAAACAGTCAGGTCTATCCGTACCTCTGCCCACTTATCATATGCCTCCACCGTTCCAACATATTGAACTGGCTGTGGATCATCAATAGGCTTGTCAGCCAGTAGTTCTTGAATAGTCCTCATTGCGGTGTCAGAACAATATGCAAAAGTCCTGTGTTGAAGGGTTCGACACTCCAAGGCCCGTTTCACGAGGGGAAAAGTGGAGATATATATACTTCTGTACCTAGTTTGTCCGACTCGGTTTGACTTTTCAACCCCACATCTCGTCCCGTCCCAAAGTAGACCCCGAATATAGGATTGAGTCATTCAGTTTCTGTAGGGCGCTGACTCAAATCCCCAGGACAGAATGAAATACGAATGCCTTGGCGGGTTCGTCTTGGCGGTAGCGACAGGACCAGGGAGATACGAAATAAGCTTGACAATGGGGTTGGCCTCGAGGTTGGAATGGGCTGCTTGCGAATTGGACGACAAGCCATGTTTCTACGGATGATTGCAGAGTAGAGGCAAATGAACCAAGGTAGAGGTTTAGAATGCCAATTTCATTGTAGATTGAGCAAGTAATTGTTAGAGAAGAATCATAAATTATCATGTCGCCATTAGAGACAAATAAGGAAAACAGGACTCATGGCCCTTTGAGGAAAGGTCGACACAATTCCAGAATTGGAGAGAGAAAAGCTTGAAAAGAGCCAAGGAAACAAGAAAATTGTAAAAAAAGGAAGGGGGAAAAAAAAACAAGGAGTCCCAAACTCGAAGAAACAAAGAACCAGGGAGCGGGAAAGCAGCATCAAGGTCTTGACCACATAATCACGCCGTACCGGACGGAACATAGAGCTCGTGAAGAATCGAAGAAGAAATAGGGCTGAACGAAGAGAGAAGAAAGAAAGGAGTCTCAAAGTATAAGAGAAGGAGAAGAGAAAAGAAAAAAGAATCGAGTATCAACCGCATCAATGCGGCATGCCGTGCGCAATCTCGTCACAATGGCAGGAACGCCATCATCGCCATCAAGTCAGGTTCAACATCCAGTTTACCATTTAGTAAACTGTCGCTCCAAACGGAGCAGTCTCTTTCAGATCCTCGACCAAATCCTCCACATTATTCAAATACCGGCCCAACAGAGCCTGCTTTTCATCCGTCGTCCGCGTATCACGAACCATCTTGCCCGACCCGGCAGAGGTATGTGAACTCTGCGACATGGGCCGTGAAGAAATCTTACTGGGGCTGCGCTGCAGACCCGGTGGACTAGCGCCGGGCCCCAGAATCGGCGTTTCAGGCATGAGGTAGAAGTACAGGAACTCGACTAGCTTGAGCTTGACCTCGCGCGAGGTGGCGCGCTGCTTGAACAGTGATGTTACGGTGAGGAGGCCGTCGAGGTCTTCAAAGGTGCGGGTGTTGGCTGGGCAGTCGAGTAGTGCGGTGACGAGGGTGAGGAGGGTGGCGGATTGGATGGCTGGGCAGTTGATTGGATCTAGGAGGTCGAGGAGGAGATTCATGTAGATTTCGCGGGCGAAGAGGGTGCGGGAAGGTGGGTGGAGGAGAAGTGCGCCTTGGATCAGGTCGAGAGTACAGACGATGAGCATGTCGTTGGTGCCGTTGCTGCCGCGGCCGAGTAAGTGTTCGAGACAGGATACTAGGCGCATGGCGACTGGAAAGCACAGAGAATATTAGTTTCAAGATCGAATTCACCGATATAAAATGCGCACCGTTCCATTGAAAGCTTTCTTGTAGCTTGAAAAATTCTCGAAAGGCCGGATCATCTCGCAATTCGGCCAGCGCCTTGGGAGCCGGTTGGGCCTCGGTGGCTAGATATGACCGCCGCCGGTCGGCCGTAGATCTGGATTTAGACAGACATATTTGTGCCAACAGGCCCTCGACCTGGCGTAATCCTTTGCGGACTTTGCTGGGCTCGTATGAGGAAAGATAGTCGAATGAGTGCGCCAGAAGAGTCTCCATGAGGATCTGACGAAGGTGGATGGGAGAAGAAGGAAGAGGGTGGGGGAGGGAGGTTCAAGTAGAAAATGGCAAGATTGAGGAAAGAAGACCGAAAAAAAAGAAAGATCGGCCGTGAGCCTTGAGAGCACAACAGGAATTCAGCGCAGCTGAGGAGGCTGGAAAAGCATCATCCAACAGCCGAAACGGAAAATCCAGTCCAATGGGGTGGTCTGTGAGGCCGATGAGGTCAGTCGGGCCGTTCAGCAAATAAAGTCCAGAAAAACCATAATCAATGTGCGTATCAAATGATAACAATAACAATCAGCATCATCATCATAATAATAATAATAATAATAATAATAATTCATCCCAATCACGATCAGAAGAAATCCAAATCCACCCCAACGCCAAATCGTTGGTAAATAAAGCGACCCAACAGGCAATTCGGGTGGTTGCCCCGGACGACCCACCCGCCGCCAAACCCGATCGAGTGATTCGAGTCCGGTTTGGGTCCACTTTTTCCTCTTCTTCAGCCTCCTCCAGCCTCCTTGCGAGGCGCCTTCTGAGCCTTGCCTAATAAGATTTTCCCTAGTGTCCCGGTTTCAAGGCGGAGATCGTGCAGAGCTTGGTTCTCTGGGTTCCTGAGATCTCCATGGCGTCAGGTGAAGGTTATTCTGACGGGCCACGCAAAACCGGTTTGGGAGTCTGGGGGAGCTTTGTTTTGGTGGTTTCTTTTTTTAGGCCCGACCATGCGGTAATCGTCAACGAGTAACTGACGACCTTAATTTGTTCATTCTCGAGCCCAGAGCAGTCTCTGAAGATTATGTGTGATCTCCATCTGATCCTACAAAGTCCATTGTTTCCCAAGATGACCGTGATATACGGAGTCGCCGACCACGTTGCCCTGGCAAACTCCCGCCTCACAGCCAGCCTCTGCATCTTCCGCCCCGCTTCGACCATCATGTTATTATTTAACCCTTGTCTCGTCAATATTAATCGCGACAGGGAGGATGGATGAGAACGGTCAGATAGAATAGCTCTCTGCGAGTTAGACGAATATCTGACCTGTCGCATTACCCCTCCTTCTCCCTTGGAACTTTCCTGAGCCCTCCTCACCTCCAAACCGGAGCTATCGATTGATCGATCTGCAGTCTGGATCAGTGGAGCTCCCTCCCCGACCATGCCGAATCAAGTCAATGTTCAAGCTCCAGAGAGCTCCGTAACCTGCTCGCGGAGGAGAGATAGAACCAAGGATCGCAGACAAGAAAAAGCTCATGACAGAAATCCAAGATCATCATCGTAGAAGTCGACTCGGTGAAGCGGAGCTACAGAATATAGTACGGTAGAACCGAAAGCGCCCTGGTCTCACCGCTGCCCGTGCCTGATGTCATCTGCTCTCTCCGCAACCCCTCCAATCTTCTTCAACTTCCCCTCACCAAAACCTCCACTCCAAACCCCCTCTCTTCAGCAATGAACCCTTCCTTCCAACCACCAAGCCCGATCCCACCGCGGACCAGCTCCGCTGGAGCTGCAAATGGAGCTACCAGTCCACCCTCCCACCGGCACAGGAAATCCGTCGTGGGCGGAGAGCCGACTGCGACCGAGCTGCCGCCTAAATCGAAGCACCGTCGCAACAAGTCGAGTGTCGATGGGACCAAGTACAAGGATGGGACGTGGTCGCCGAAGAATGAGAAGATCCTTATGGGTCCTTATGAATATATGCACCAGCATCCTGGCAAAAATGTGCGTCGCGAGTTGATTCAGGCGTTTAATTCATGGCTTCAAGTCCCGCCGGAGAGTTTGGCGGTGATTGATAAGGTGGTGACGATGCTGCATACGGCTTCACTACTGTGAGTAATATCGAACAAGGAATCCCAATTCCTGTCCCCCCCCCCTCCTGGAATCCCCCCGCTAACCCACCATCTCCTACAGAGTCGACGACGTCGAAGACTCCTCCGTGCTCCGTCGCGGCATCCCCGTCGCCCACAACATCTTCGGCACAGCCCAGACCATTAACTCCGCCAACTATGTCTACTTCCTCGCCCTGCAAGAAATCCAACAACTCAAAAACCCAGCCGCAATCGACATCTACGTCAAAGAACTCCTCAACCTCCACCGCGGCCAAGGCATGGACCTCTTCTGGCGCGACACCCTCACCTGCCCCACCGAAGACGAATACCTCGAAATGGTCGGCAACAAAACAGGCGGTCTCTTCCGCCTCGCCGTGAAACTAATGCAAGCCGAAAGCTCGACGGGCAAGGACTGCGTCGCACTGGTAAACGTCATGGGCCTGATTTTCCAAATTTGCGACGACTACCTGAATCTCTCGAATACGACGTACACGCGCAATAAGGGGTTGTGCGAGGACTTGACCGAGGGCAAATTCTCGTTCCCGATTATTCACAGTATTCGGTCGAATCCGAGTAATCACCAGTTGCTGAGTATTTTGAAGCAGAAGACGCAGGATGATGAGGTGAAGCGGTATGCCGTGCAGTATATGCAGAGTACGGGCAGTTTTGCGCATACTTGTCGGGTTGTGCGGGAGTTGAGGGATCGGGCGTTGTCGTTGATTGAGGTGATTGAAGCTACGCCGCGTGTTAACGGGGCAGGTGATGGGGAGCTAGTTCGGGAGGTTCTGAATAAGATTGTGGATTCTACGTTATCGTCGGAAGAGGCTGGTCAGGCTGCGCAGTAGTCTGGGATCCATTGGTCTTTTGGTTTGCGGGTTTGATTTGTGTTATGAATGGACCTTGAGTTATCGAGGTTGCTTCTGTCTTGGGCTTGGGGTGTTTTGGCGCTTTGATATACCCTTTTCAATGTTTGATATTGACTAGGTACGCGTCCCGAAATTTACGACGTCACGATCTCATATTGAACAGTGAACAGTTTCGATTGACACGTGATTGCTTTTCGCGCAACATGATATTTCTTCCTAGCTCTTACGCCGGTTCCAGAGTAGGTGGATGACAATAAAGTCATGACCAATATCCATTCTTCCCATGTACGGAGTATATCCCGCTCTCGTGAGTCGTAGCTGTGGTATATATCGCTAGCAATGAACCAGAACATATCCAATATTATGTCACATGCCCTATGACTGGGCGGAAACACGACTATACATTGCTCTATCCCCCCAAATCAAACACCTATATATCCCAAAATACCCGAAAAATTCCAATATAAACCTCTTTACATAACAACACAGCACGCCTTCTCCAACTTGCGCATAACCTTGGGCAACAGCGCATTGACAACCTGCTCGATCTCGTCCTGCTGCTGGGGTTGTTGCTGTTGCTGCTGATGCTGCTGTTGCTGCTGGTGGTGCGGCTGCTGGTACTGCTGTTGCTGGCCGGGATATGACTGGCCACCCCCACCGTGGTACGGCGCCTGGTGCGAAGGGTAGGAAGGCATAACGGCCTCGCCGCCGGTCAGATTGATGTAGATCCGACCGGCGTTCTCCTCGGTGGCATATTGCAGGCCGAGTTCCTGGCAGACTTGTTCGACGCGCGGCTTGATCTTTTGGATATGGCCGGCGGAATGGTTACCCTTGCCGACGATCCTGGGGCGGATGTTAGACGATCACGTTCTCATGGGCAAAGCGCAGTCGGGGTTCTAGGAAATGTTCCAACGTACACGTGCAAGTGAGTCTGCCCATGCGCTTTGGCGTATCTAATGCGCTCCTCCAGAATCTCTTCCGCCTCCTCGACGAATTGACCATGCAGGTCGATCGTGTCTGCCTCAACGCGCCCGTTGGCATTGTTCTCTCGGAAGATAAACTCGGACGCTTGCTTGTTGTATTCTTCCATCTTGCGCCCGTGCGCCTTGCCCTCCTCTGACAATTGTTTAGCGCGCGCGCCATCGCCGTTGGAGTATGCTTCCTTAGACTGTGAACTCGATGAATTAGCACCTCAACTTTACTAGACGGAATGCTAGACATGATGCGCCAATAGCGTGGGAAAGGAGGGCTGGAAAAGGGTCAATTGCGTGCGCCATACCCGTGAGAAGCAGTCGCCGCGCTTGGAGGCTTCTTGCCGCGCGAGGTCGCGCAATCGGTCATATTCCTGCTCCGAGTCGCGGCTTTGGTCGTGGTTGAAGGCTATAGAGATATCCTGGTCAGGTTGGAGATGGTCGAGAGGAACCGAGGCTCTGCATTTGGTGTGTTTTGCAAGACGCTACGTACCCCGAGGGCCCAGGTGGGACATTGCGTATGACATGGTGCTTGTGGTGAGACGGCGACAGTGGCGGCGGTGGAGGTGACCGGGTTTAGAGGTTGGAGATCCTGCCTTGGGGCTTCGCAGGAGCAGGGCAGGGCAGGGCCCACGGCCTTACAGGTCAGATCTGGGAATAGATCGCATCGGATTACCTAATCATAACCATTCCGTGGATTAAGTTCACTAGGTTACTGGCGGGTCGCAGCTCACTAAACCTGGGCGGTGTGACACTGGAAACCTTTTTTGCCAAAATTTTTCACACCGCCCAGCTGAACTGTGCAACAATACTGTAGAGTATAATGCATGCATTATCCTGTTTATACTCTCTTTATGAAAGTAGCATTGCGAGCTTTAGTGATCTTTCTAATACCATACTTTGGGGGGATTTTTCCAATAATCATATGATACACATTTTTCAAATGGTCTTTTCACACCATCAGCTCTAGTGTGCCACCGCTTAGCTGAGAGGATGGCGGCAAAATAGCGGCTAAGAGCACTAGTACTCGCTAGTGGGTCAAGGGGCGATAGCGCCGTACAAAGTGGGAATTCCAGAAATTCCACGAGTTCAGGGGTGGCCCCATAATTAGCTCAAAGGCCATGTGTGAAAGAGAGGGGGGAAAATTGAAAAGAAAAAAAAAGGACCGGTGTAAATTAGCGACAAGCTCTGCTGACAGTCTATCTATAGTATGAGAATGAGATGACAGAGTTTACATTGGCCATTAGCAAAACATTTCAGTACGAGCAATATATACGGCTTCTCTCTGTTCCCTCTCCTTTTTGGCCCGGTTTCAGCTGCCCTGGTGGGTCGCCCGGCCTTGCCATTCCACGATACTGCTGCATGTCATTAGGAGCAAAAAAGAAAAGAAAATCGGCGGCGGTGCCGATGCTTGTACTCCGTACTCCGTACGTGATTCCGGTAGATATCTGGTTGCAAAAGAGGTCAATGCTGATCCTCTCGGTTCGTGCAGTATTCTATACTCCTGTACTCCGTACTCCTCCATGCTCCATACGTACTTCCCCTCTGATCGGCAGAGCCTAGTGCTCAGACTCCAGGTCTTGGTGGAGTTTTGTCTTACGAGCGGGTCAGTGACTTGGATATCATGTTTTGCAAGGTTTCGACAAGAACTTGCTTTTTAAAGATCCAGGCTGGCACTAGAGCCGCAAAATAGAGACAGCGGGCCGCCCATAACTACAGTATATACACTTTGTAATTCGTGAGCTCGGGTATACGTCGCCTAGGTTTCGGATCTTTCTTTCATCGGGTTCCAGGCTGAGGCAGTGGCAGTCTGAGGAGGAAACTAGAATTGAGGCTGCACAACGGTCTGATCAGTCTCATGTGCGCGGGTCCCGGGCCGAGAATAGTTTTGTCTAGGGAGGATGATCTTGCTTTAAGGATACCAGATAGAAGGAGTACAGGATAGGGGTATAGGAATGCTACAGAAAAATCATATGTTGGGTGCCTTCATGGAGCTCAATTGACGATACGGAGTGGCAAGACTGACTATGAAATGTACGGAGTACTTGTACTGGTATGGTCCGATGGACGGATTATAAAGTATAGCCAAGGGAAAAAGTCTCGTTTGTCCTTTCGGATGAGCAAGGTGGGCTCATGGGCGTCATGCTGGAGCACTGCATAACAATGGAGCTCGGAGCATGGAGCATCCAGAGGAGCCACCATTGTCGGACAATAACATTAGTCTCGCTGGGTCCCCACACGAGGATCTGCGTGGGAGTTGGTTTCCCTACTGGTGATCCCCTGAAGCGGAGGATGTTATTCTAATGTAGGATCGCAGAATGTTAGTGCAATTCGTGCGACTGAACTATTTAGGAGAGTTTTGTATATATGACTTCGTTGAATTGATCCAAACTGAATGATCGGGAGGCCGGATCTCACCTGGCACGAGATAACCCGAGCCCTCCTGATTCAACTTGTTAAGACCAGGTTCCTGTCCTCCGTGCTCCGGACTGTCAGCAGTAGTAGTGTAGTAGTAGTGAGTGAGACGAAACACCCAATCGGCCGGTTGTGGGCAACCATCGAAGGTAATCCAACAAAAGGGGGGCTTTGTGTATGATGATTGGCTGTAGAGCGGGCGCGAAGAAGAGGTGGATCCACCGCTACAGCCAATCAACAGGGCCCATGGACCCAGCGATGCCAAAATGGACCGGCGGGTACCAAACCGGTCACGTATGGTAATCTTCAATACGGGGCGGATCATGGTTCGTCATCTTTCCATTCCCATAGGGGACTTTCCGCTGCGTAGCCCGACTGCTGGCTGCTTACCCAACCCACTCGTCCTTCCCCAGCGCGTCTCCGACCAACTTGGTAATACGAGCGTATCCCCTTTTCCCCTACTGAAACTTCCCAATTTCCCCCTCCTCTCCCTCCAACCCCCTTACCTTAAACCTCCCCTTCTCTCTCTCAGCTGGTATCGGCTTCTTTCTGTCCTTTTTCCCTCTATATTCCTGAGGCCCTTGATTCCATTCCTTTCTCGCGTGTGTTTTCCCCCCCCCTTCTCAGTTGGCCATCTACCCAGGGCATATCCCGGTACGTATCATTGATCTCTCTCTCTCTGTGCTCACTTCCTCGTTTTTCTTTGCCCTCCCTATCGGCAGCTCTCCTCGCTCTTCTGGTTCCGGTGGGAAATCCGACTCTTTCCCTTTCCCCCCCCCAAATCCGTTTCACCCTTGCATCCACCCGATTGCATCCTGAAACGTTGATTTTCCACGGCTTGTACTACCTTTGCCAAGTCTACGTCGACTGTTGGATACGATCCGTAACCCAGCAGCGTGAGAAAAAGCCGGAGCAAAGCAAACACACCCACCCATCAAGTTCCCGTCGTGCTGACTATTTCCCGCGCTGCATCCAACAGTCCCCCGTCCATCGAAACCCCTACCCTAACGAGTCGATTGGACTCGCACTACCCGCACCCACTATCGTTTAAACCGAACCCGTACGACCGCCATCATGGGTTGTGGCATGAGCACTGAGGATAAGGAGGGGAAGGCGCGGAACGAGGAGATTGAGAACCAGCTCAAGCGCGACAAGATGCTGCAAAGGAATGAGATTAAGATGCTGCTGCTCGGTATGATTACACCTGGATACACTTGGAAGCGCGATGATCATGGACGCTGGTGATTCGCAATTGTGGTGAGAAGATCGATTGGCTGACGAAAAGGGGCGGTTTGTGCATTGCAGGTGCTGGAGAGTCTGGTAAATCCACCATTCTCAAGCAGATGAAGCTCATTCACGAGGGCGGTTACTCGCGCGACGAGCGTGAGTCGTTTAAGGAAATTATCTACAGCAACACTGTCCAGTCCATGCGGGTGATCCTGGAGGCTATGGAGTCTCTCGAGCTGCCCCTGGAGGATGCGCGCAATGAGTACCACGTCCAGACTATCTTTATGCAGCCCGCTCAGATTGAGGGTGATAGTATCCCCCCAGAGGTTGGCAATGCTATCGGTGCTCTGTGGCGCGACACTGGTGTGCAGGACTGCTTCAAGCGTTCGCGTGAATACCAGCTGAACGACTCTGCCAAATAGTAAGTGGACACTGGGAAATCTTCCTATGCCGTTGCAAACGCCCACGGCACGATGCCCAACAATTCGCTAACATCATGCTTGCTCCAGTTACTTCGATGCTGTTGACCGCATTGCTCAGCCCGACTACCTCCCCACTGACCAGGATGTCCTCCGCTCGCGTGTCAAGACCACTGGTATCACCGAGACCACCTTCATCATTGGCGATCTGACCTACCGCATGTTCGATGTCGGTGGTCAGCGATCCGAGCGTAAGAAGTGGATTCACTGCTTCGAGAACGTCACCACTATTCTCTTCCTGGTCGCCATCTCCGAGTACGACCAGTTGTTGTTCGAGGATGAGACTGTCAACCGTATGCAAGAAGCGCTCACCCTGTTCGACTCTATCTGCAACTCGCGCTGGTTCGTCAAGACCTCGATCATTCTCTTCCTCAACAAGATCGACCGCTTCAAGGAGAAGCTGCCCGTCAGCCCTATGAAGAACTACTTCCCCGACTACGAGGGTGGTGCCGACTACGCTGCCGCCTGCGACTACATCCTCAACCGCTTCGTGTCTTTGAACCAGGCCGAGCAGAAGCAGATCTACACCCACTTCACCTGTGCCACCGACACTACCCAGATCCGCTTCGTCATGGCTGCCGTCAACGGTATGTTTCCATCAACCCCCAAGAGCGGGATGGTCCTCGCTCTGGATCAATCCTGTTCTATCTTCTGTGCCTATTGCTAACTTGCCTTCCAGATATCATCATCCAAGAGAACCTCCGTCTCTGTGGTTTGATCTAATGAATCTCCATTCCACGGGTCTCGCAGTGTTGAATCTAGATCGCATGTGTCATTTTTTCGGCTTGTATTCGGATCTCGCCGAGATGTGATCAAAAGCCTCGTCCTCGTTCCCAGAAATCCCGGCGTTGAATAATTTCCTTATTTCCCCTCCCCTCATCTTGTCACCATTTTTCTTCTTGTGTCTCTTTTTTAATTCCGTCCACCCGCTCACATTGACACGATTTCTCTCTCTCTAGCCGGTTCTTACATTCCTGCTCTCGACGACGCGGAACAGGAACGCTACCCTTTTTTTGGACCATCTTTATTTTCTTTATTTCTTTGTGTCGTCTACTATCTGATCTCTCTATTTTTTTTTTCTTCATGTCTTACCCCTTGTGTCTGATTTTGAAATGCTGGATATCCTATCATCTATCTCGAACTTTTGCCTATCACTGCCCTACCCCCTCTTGTCTTTGTCCCATTTTCCTTGCGCTCTCTTTTTTTTTCGTCCATCTTTTATGTAACCATACCGTCACCCCCTTTCTCATTTCCTTGGTCTCGCGTCCGTTGGAAGCCTCGAGCGACCATCTGGGCAATTGGGCACGGGGAAATGGACGGGATCCGCGGAGTTCTCATGTCTCTTCTCATGTGTCATGCCAGGTCGGTCGTTGGGTTATAGTCAGACAGGAATTGAATCTTCGGGTTTCCGACCTTTCTTTGATGGATACTTTAGACTTGAGGTGTAGATTCTGGTACCCTGGGGGAAAAGTAGTTCAGATGTACATTGATCAGGTAGTTCAGTACTGGATCTCATTGTAAGTGTGTACTTGAGAATTGCAAAATCAAATCAAGTACCTAGGCACTGCTTCTGTACTTTTGCACTGCATATCATTGTCCAAGCAGCCAGCCAGCTATTCAACTCGCAATATCAAATGCAATCCATCTGGCATTCAGGGTATCACAAACAAAAAAAAACAACCAACCAACCAACCCACACTCCCCTCCCCACCTACTGTACTAAACCCCAAACCAAACATCAAAACCTCAACTTCGGCCCAACATACACAATCAAAACCGCAACAACCCACAACCCAAAAATCCACCCATAAAGCATCATCCGCCCCCACCACCCCTTCCCCTCCGTCATCCGCCTCAACATCCCCATCCGCTGGCCAGCCGCCTCCATGGTGGAACTCGTCTTGTCGATGCCGGAGACGGCGCGGTCCAGCACGGACTTTTCGTTTTCGAGGGTTGCTTGGAAGGAGTGCGAGGAGGCTTTTAATTGGGTTGCGAGGGAGAGGAGGGAGGTTGTTAGGTCTTCTTGTTCGAGGCGGGAGGTGGTTAGGGCGGCTTCTTTTTCGGTTGTGGTGGGGGGTTGGGAGGGGGAGGTGCTAAGGTTTGTGCTTGTGCTGGTGGCTTGTGTGGTGGATGGTGAGGGGGTTGGTTGTGGTTTGTTGGAGGTTGGATTGCGGTTGCGGAGGGTGGAGGGTGGGATGGTTGGAGCTGTGCTCGAGGGTGTGGATGTGGATGTTGATGTTGTAGTTGATGCTGTAGTGGCTGCTGATTCTTCGGTGACAGGCAATGCTGGTGGTTCTCCTGTAATTGGTTTCGAGAATAACTCCTTCCATTCATCATCGACCTCATCGACCTCGCCATCGTTGTCCTCTTCGGCGCGGGACTCTTCTTCGTCGAGGACACTTTGCATCCGCTTTAGCAACTGTCTGTCCCGTGCGATTTCTGCCTGTGCTTCGTGGCGTCGGTCGAGTGGTTTTATTTGTGGGAGGGAGCGTTCTAATTGGGATAGCAGCGTGCGGGCATAGTCGACGTTCTGTGGAGAGGATGTTAGGTGCTGTCACAAGTGGCACATAGCCCATAAAACTCATGGTTATAGTCATAGCTATAGCTAGCTATGAGAAACACGATAGCAACAAGTCATACCTTGGCCACTCGCAGACGCTGGAGCTCAGACTTGCGCAGGGTGCGGAGCTCCGAGCCGGGAGAGAGGAGGTTGTGTTCTAATCGGGTGAACAGTCGCGCCACGTTGAGAAGGGTGAGATCGGGGGATTCCTCCGTTGAAGGGAATGCAGTGACTGCCATTATAGTGAAAGTGCTCGAAAAAGCAAGGCAGTGTTTGTGTGATTCAAGGAACTGGACGAGTCAACGAAAGAGCCAAGTTTGAAGATGCCAACAGGCCGCGGGATATCAGTGCTGACTCAGCGTTTGCACCAGCCCACCCAAAACTGGAGACATGCAAAGTACCAAGATTGTCGATTGTAGATCTTCCTGATTATCCACTCAGAATTAACCAGGTCATATTGGACCGACTTTCTCTCGGCTATGCACAGTACACCTGAGGTATCAGGCAATCATTCTCGAATCACGCAAAAGCAAAAACAGTTAATCTGCAAAGAACCACCCAACGAGAGAACACTGATAATGACAACAAATCAACAGGCAGACAAAGCTAACAACGAGAAACAGCAAATGACAGTACCTCCAGGCTAAACACAAGAAAAAGCAAGAACAATTCAACAGATCCGAAACCACCAAAAACACGACATTCGCCACCATCACTCCCACTTCCTTCTCGACCACCACCAAAATCCCTAACTATACTCAGTCACCACCCGCCGCCAAGTCCGCACCCCATCGCCATCAACCTCCCGCATCTCCTGCACCGACTCACTACGCTTCTGCACCGACCCACCAATCCCACTACTCGCCCGAGACCCCATCAACTCCATTGCTCTCAACCCCGGAGAAGACGGAGATGCCTTACCCGTCTGCATCTGCATCTGCATCTGCATCTGCATCAGCTCACGAGCCCGAGCCGCCACCGCCCCGCTGGAAGGAAACACACCACTCTGCGAGAGAGGTTTCAACACGTCGCAGGCTGAGGCTGGTGGTGGCGAGGTGCTAGTGATGCTCGTTACGGAACCGGGACTGGAACTGGGACTCGTCGTGCCTTTTTCCATATCGTCCATTTGAAAGAGATGGGTTGGCGTTGGGTAGGTGGTGATATGTGTATTTGTCCTTGCAGATGAACGGTAGTGGTGCGCGATGCGCTGGAGGAGCAGTAGAAGCGCTAGACTGGTGATTGTCAAGCCGAGGACTAGTGAGAGGGGTCGTGGGATGGAGATGTGTGGGAGGTTGTATGGGCACGGTTGTTGCGTGTGCCCTTGTCCAGCTGGAGGCATTGCGATTTGGGACCAACCCCCGGTGTGATATTTGTGCTGACAGCCTTGGGGCTGAGCTGAAGAGGTGCCTAAATGGAATAGATCGTGGATCTAACGGACAGGGAGCTCAATCCTGTTTTGGTTGATCGAGAGACTGATGATGTAGATCTCGAGCACCAGGGTAGAGTTCAGGGTCCACGATATAATGGGATGGGCTTTGAAGAGTGGGAGAATGGGGATAGAAAGCGTGGAGGGGCTACGAAGAGGACACAAGGGTCGTAGTCTGCATTTATAGGGTAATTGAGAGGTGGGAGGGGCGTTGAGGTGTCGAAGGCGACAAGACCTGGCGGCCTGAGGACGAGACAAAGAAGAGGAGATGGACGATGGCAGTCGTAGATGGCGGGGCAAAGAGCGAGACCTGGCGGGAGTTGGGATCAAGAAGGTGAACTACTGACCGAGATCATTTAGACTAGAATGAGAATAGATGAGATTCCGATCGGATCGATCTAACAAGAAGTACCACGTACGAAGTAGCAGAAGTATAGACTATCAAGTATGCACAAAGTGGCCTGGGTGTATATCGTAGATCCGAGTCAGCCTCACATACGCAGGATTGTAGGTAAGAAGACGACAGTAGATGTCAGATTGTCAGAATGTCAGATTGACAGGGTGTCACAATGGTTCGTAAAAATAACTCCATCCATGCAGTTTGCTATAGTTTCATGGTAAGACAACTGTATGAACTCATGTCTGGACAGTTCCCCCGAAGTATAAACTCCCTATTGACTATGACCCCTCACAAAAGTCAAACTCAAAATGCGATGGGGGCTGCATGATAATCGCCAGAAAAAGAGACGAAAAAGACTAGAAAGTCTACCAACAAAATCATGTTCAAGACCAGGCTCATAATCCAAGGAGGCTTCCATCGTAGTCATTCCAAGCGAGCCTCGATATTAAACTCCACTCATCCTCGTTCTTGCCTCATTTCCCACCTTTTTCACCTCTCTCCGTGGAGACCATGCATGTACTAAAACCCCACCCGACTCATCGCGCACCTTTTAGCGCGTCTCCAGTGCCGCGATAATTTGAGATTAAGTGGACTGGATTCCGGAATGGGTAAGGCGAGGGGACCTCCAGCTGCACACCAGCCAAGCCACGACCTGGTTCGTGTGAGGGATTCAGCTGCACTCCCCAGGCGCCACTGACAGCCGGAATGCCAAGGATCTACGTCGAAGATCTGGCCGTGGGTCTGGTCTCTATTTTTGTGGATTGTCACTGGATGCACTGCGCTAAGCGAGAGTCAAGGCTAAAGATATCCATGCGCGACGTGAAGGCGCGATACTACGGTACTCTACGGGACTACAGTCCTCTAACCGCAAAACTCAGAAACATGAGATGGGAGAGAAGGTGACAATCCCAACTACACAGCGATGTGATCCACGGCCACGGCCATGGTTGCGGAGAAAAATCCAAATTTCAGCCTGCGGCGTCGATCCTTCGTGCATGTCTGGGCTGGACACACTATCTACTGTACTTACCTCAAGCCAAGCCGGTCCATGGCAGAGCTGATGAGTCTCAATTAACAGGGAAACAAACCCCCTCCCCCTTATTCTGATTTCCAAAGCACACTTCCAGCCTCTCACGCCCCTCGATCGAAGATCGCGATCTCCGTGCCCTTTCAGCTGGCCGCTGGATTTAGGGCTTCGCGCTAAGGCTGTGCGCGCGGCGAATCACGATTCACAGGCCCACACCGCGTCGGCTATGGGTTGTCTTTGCTTGGGTGCTTGGTCTACGCCTCGTTTCCGGGGCCATGGGTCCCCGCGAAGGATCGCCGCTATTCTATGACTGATATCCTGGTCTGCACGCTGTATGCTTGCATGTCTGGACGGCTGCAGGTGGTGGGGTAGTATGTCTTGAAGGAGAAATTGGATGGAAGGGAATACCGACCATAAGAGAGAGATTATTTGGGGGGAAAGAAACGGCACGGGGTCAAGGGAAATACTCCGGTCTATCGAAAAAAAAAACATCAACATGAATATGATGCACTCGACATATCTCTGGCGTTCGGTATACTTCTATAGGAGTACAGAATGGCCACCGCTAAATAATTTCAAACTCCACAGGTCACACACTTCCATACATTCAGACTTGAGAAATCCCAAATCCCCTACAATTTAGCCGTGGCACCCTCCTGCTTCAGCTCCACCGCCGCCTGGTCGCGCAGCGCTTTACGCAGGATCTTGCCGGAGGGGTTCTTCGGGATCACGTCACGGAAAATCACCCCACCGGTGATCCGCTTGGTTGCGGAGACTTTGCCGGCCATGAATTGGGTTATATCGTCGGCGCTGGCAGACTGACCGGGTTTGAGGACGATATATGCACGGGGACGTTCGTCATTATTGCTTTTTTGGGCGGAATATGTCAGTATCGGGGGTTGGAAGGAATGAGCGAAGAAAACGCATTATCGCAATGAGAATGGGCAAGAAGGGAAGACGAAGCGAATGAAAGGAGGGTGTTGACAGAAAGACTGTGGATGTTTGCTTGGATGTACTTACACTGTGACACCGATGACAGCTACGTCTGCCACTGCCGGATGCTCGAGGAGCAGCGCTTCCAATTCTGCAGGGGCCACCTGGTTGCCCTTGACCTTGATCAATTCCTGCAGATCCTCGTCAGCATCGGGTACGATGATTATCAGAAGGGTCTTCTCCAAGTGACGTTGATATTGCTGCTTACCTTCATCCGATCCACGACATGGAACTTGCCCCGGTCATCCACATAGGCAATATCTCCAGTCCGAAGCCATCCGTCCTCGGTCTTAGTCTCCTTGGTTGCCTTTGGGTTCTGCCAGTATCCCTTCATGACATTCTGTGCGCGCACCCATAGTTCGCCCCGCTTGTTGCGTTCCAGGATCTCGGTAACCCCATCCTCAGCTACAATCTTGGCCTCACAGTTGGCGTTGAGCTCGCCGACAGAGGCAGAGAAACTCTTCTCTCTTGGGTCCCATCCTAGGATGGAACAGGTTGCTCTATAACACACATTGTTAGCATCTGTCTGGTGTCTTCACAAGACCCAACATCTCATCAGCCCGATATGCAATATCTGGTGTTCAGATCTGGGGAAAGGGATAGCATATCACTCACTCCGTCATCCCCCATCCCTGCTTGATATTGATCTTCCCCTCTGGCCACAACTTCTCCACCTCAACACAAACCTCCCTCCCCAACGGCGCTGCACCACTTCCCACAGCCTCCACACTGCTCAGATCATAATTCTTCACCGCAGGATGCTTAGCCAGCGCAACCACCACTGGCGGCACAAGGATGAAATCCGTTATCCGGAACTTCTGCGTATACTCCAGCATCTGGATAAAGTCAAACTTGGGCATGATATAAACGGGAGTCTCGCGATGCAACGCAGCCGCAATAAAGATATTCTGCGCCATGGCATGGTACATGGGCAAGAAGCAAAGCCAGCGAGCTCGAGCTCGTCGTTCGATATAATCCGGCTGTAAAGTGCCCATGTACGTGTACTGCAACATATTCGCCACGTAATTCTTATGCGTGATCTCCACGCCCTTGGGCCGTCCAGTCGTGCCGGATGAATAGTTGAGTGCAAGCGTTGTATCCGCCAGGGCAGGCGTATCCAGCACATCCCACGCGAAGCCCCGTCCCTCCTCGGCCGACGCTACCAACTGCCCCCAATACGGACACCCCTTCTGCCCCTCTCCGCGACCATCGTAAATCGCATTATCAAACACAAAGACCTTCTCCCGCGCCAGACCCGCCATCTGCGCAGCTTCAATGCCCGTGTCGAGACTCACAGCCGCGCAGATGAGGAACGTCGCCCCGCTATCTTGCAGCTGGAAGGCCAATTCGCGAGCGACGTAGGTTGGATTTGCGCCGGTGAAGATACCGCCCGCCATGATGATGCCCATGAACACGACGGGGAAGAAGAGGTCGTTCCCCGAGAAGAGGAGGACGCGATCGCCCGGTTTGAGGCCGGCTTTGCGCAGGCCTGCGGCGAAGCGTTGGCTCCAGAGGCGGAAATCATGGGGCGTGAAGTAGTGGGTGTCTGGGCGGGCGGCTTCGAGGTAGCATCGTTTTGTTTGGGAGAGTGGTGCTGTGGGGGAGGTGAGGAGGAGGGAGGCGAGGTGGGTGTTGGGGACGTTGATCTGCCAGCGGGATTTGTATGGCATGGTGGAGGTAGAAGCGTATAGTGTATAGTGTATCGAGTATAGTGTAGAATGTAAAAGTGTAGGAAGTAAAAAAGGCGTACAATACAAGTGTCGTGTGCTGAGATCAGCGTGCGAGGCGTGCCTTACTTATTCCAATTCCTAATGGACCAGTCCATTTCAGTCATAAGGCCACCCCATCGCTTAAATCGCCAAACACACTAAATCATGGCACATATAGCCATATAGCCAGAAAGGGCCCGAGTTGCGATCGAATCAAATTGCGTGGCGTGGCTGGTCCTGGGAGCTTCCCCCCGCATAAATCGGTTATGCATGCGGGGAAATCCGAGGCGGAAAGGGCTGATGCCTCGGGTGAACTGGTTGGAACAATAAAGATAGCAGAGAAATCGCATCGATAGAATAAGAATATCATTTTAGCTTTCTGCATAACATTGATGGTCGTAGTCGTGATCTTTAGGTTTTGTCCGATCAATGATAGGCAGGGACACGTATTGGGTGAGATCTGGGAGGTGCCGAGGAGTTTCATTAAGCCTTGGGAGCCCCATCTAGAGAATGCCGTGTATAACTCTCTTTTCCCTTTGCATTACATCGGGATTCAACCCCACGACCGAGGCGCGGGTTAACATCAGTGAAATAATATGCTTTGACTGAAATTAACCCTAATGTTCTGCATGATTCCTACGTATGTGATCTAATATGATATAAATCTATTCAGGGTTTTGTCATTAATCATTACTCAACAATAAACTCTTGACACAATTATATAATGGATTATCGCTGTAAAAATCGTCCAATGGAGGTTTGTATTAAGACTAGAGTCTACGAGACTCCTAACTCGAAAACTCTAAGTCTAGTCATGAAATTCTCGGCCTAGCAAAGATCATTGCACTTGCTATTAATCCAAATTCATAGTCCTGGTCTAGCCTGTGAGGAGAAATCGTTTATAATTGTCGACTAGGAAACATCCCTGGTTCTAGAACACAAATGACATAACCTTTAAGAATCTGCCATGCCGGGACCCGTACCCAAGCATACCCAGATCCTCCAAATCGTCGAAAAACGTCCCCAAGGCATTCGGAATGGTTCGTCCACCGAGGGTTCCCTTCTTCCAGCAGATTTTCTCTTTATGGAGTTGGTCTGCTGCCTCGTCTCGAATTGGATGAAGTACACCATGCGCTGTGCATTTTGTCCCTCGTAGTCCACTTCCCCCTCCATTCACGGAGCCAGTCGCAAAAGGCGTAGGATTAAATGACCTCTTCCAAGATTACCATTTTCCTATGTATGCCTTCGTGCACTAACCGCTTCCGCTTGTATAGGGTTAGCCGGCGTGCCTAACTTAAGGGCAACGATGGACTCGCGTACGACTACTTCGGGATTTTCACGGCTAAGCGGTAAATAAGGCTTCCCGATATCATATTACTATAGAACACGAAGGAAACAGCGTATTGTTTGCGACGGGTTCACTTAAGAACGAAATGGTCGTAAAGAGGCCCTTTCGTTTAAGGTTTCTTAGCTTGAAGATATCTGCGACTTGGAACATATGTACCAACATTCTCCGGCGTGATAAATCCCAGTCAGAGATCGCTGGTCAATTCGTGGAAAGCGATGACTCCACTTGGCTATATCGTCCTTCATTTATTCTTCTCCAGATACTCTCCATATTCAACCGCCGCATTTTGATCCATCCACTGTTGCCAAGGCTCCTCCTGCTGCACCGGCGGAATCATTCCATTCACGCGCCAGTTGTCCGCAGGGTGTTCATAGATATTGTATTCCCATTTGACGCCCTTCGGTCCCAGGATCGGTTCCACAATTTTATTCACGCTGTCGATAAAAGCCAGGCGAACCTCCTCGTTGGGAAACGCACGAGCTGCGTGGTCAAGAACGAAGAAGACCGTGTTCGGAGGAGTTTTGCCGCCACTGTAGAACGTGCCGATGCGGTTTTCGTGGAAGAAGACGTTCACTAGGAATGCGGGAATGCCTAGCCTGACGTAGTTGTTGGTGATGGCTTGGGCCAGAGTGTCTTTTTCATCCTTGGACAGAGCGTCCGGGGTGGTTTCGAAGGTCCAGCGAGGCATTCCTGTGCAAATTTACTTGTAACAATGTGAACAATGTAGATACATGGGCAAATACCGGGGTAACTGATATTTCTGGAGTCTTATATGGTCCTATTTGAACTTTGCCCCTTCAAATTATGTTTTGCTCATTGCTAGCCAAGCCGAGGACCGACGCCGTTTGGATAACTAATCTAGCAGATTGGATCACATAAACACTACAAACAGCCTTGTAGATTGTCTGAGCTTTGAGCAAGATGTCATTGCAACATTCATATGTCAATCAGCTCACTAATCCAGTTACCTCTTCCCTCGGCTTGATCGCACGTCGCAATATCATAAAGGTAGCCGCGTTTCTCCTTGAGTTCATTAATTTTGCAAGACCCTTAGCTGACTACTTCTCTCTTCTGCCTTTGATCCTTGTCGAACAATATGTCATCTATTCTTCAAGCTGATGTTTATGTTTCCTCCCGCCTCCCCATCGCAACCAAGCGCATGGGCCAGTCAAGTTCCTTCTCTCCGATATCTTGCACCCTTATCCACGGAGATACTGAGGCTGTTCTTGTCGACACCCCTATTTCCATTTCTCAAACCGAAGATTTAGTGTCCTGGATCAAGGAAACAGCACCAGGCAAGAACCTTCGCTACGTGTACATTACCCACGGACATGGCGACCACTGGTTCGGTATCACAGTCCTCCGAAAACACTGGCCCAATCTGCGCGCCCTAGCTACACCCGGCACCGTCGCACACATGAAAGAACAGATTAAACCCGAAGTCTTCAAAGGAACATGGCTAGCACTTTTCCCGGGAAACCAAATTCCTCAACCCCTCGAGCTGGCCGAGGCAATGGACGTCCCTGTCTTCGAACTCGAAGGCCATGAGCTCTGCGCAGTTGAGGTCGGACATACTGATACATATAACACCACCGTGCTTCACGTACCCAGTATCCGGCTCGTAGTAGCCGGTGACGCAGTCTATGGGGATATGCATCAATTCTTTGGCGAAGCGAATACCACTGAAAAGAGGAAGGAATGGCTTCGCGCCCTCGATAAAATCGAAGCCCTTGACCCACATACTGTTATCGCGGGGCACAAAAGACCAGGGACCGTGGACGGCTTGTTCAACTTGCAGAAGACACGTCAATATATTCTGGATTTTGAGGACGCTGTCCAGTCGGCATCAAACTGGAAGGAGTTGGCGGCGGATCTCCAGAGACGATATCCGCGACGGGTCAACCCTCATGCGATCTTGAGAGGAGCAATGGCGGCTTTTCCAGAAGGACGTCCCAGCCCTAAAGTTTGAGAGGTAAATAGTTGCACGGAAAATGCTCATGGGACATGTCATCTCTTGCTGATTGCGTACTTGTTCCCTATTATTACACAGTGAATGAAACGCGGTATATCAAATAGAACGAAAGTGGACGCCAATTCGCGTACTTTTCTAGCCCCCTTTTGCCTCGTTGAATAGCAAGGATGGATCTAATTGCCTCAAGATACATCTCTTCAATTTGGGTTCCAGACAAACGGCTAGACAATCTTGAATCAGGTCTGTCTGGCCCAGTCAGAATCACGGACAAGATTTTGGTAGTTGCAATAATTGACTGCAGTGCATTATAAAGGGTAGCAAAATACTGAATCCATCACTGGTATATTCAGGACGTGGCGATTCATGTCCAGGCGGACGAACTAATCGCGATCTCTACGTCACTCCGCTTGAACCCAGGACTAGGCCCCAGACATATTGAATTTTCCACCAAAGCTAGTAGCCGTTAGATGATTTATTCAGTTACCAGTCAGACGACAAAGAGTGTAATCTCACCTGCTGTGAAGTTCATTGCGTTCACCGTGCGATGTGTCGTGGCCCCAGTGGGCGGTGTCATGGAAAGACTGATTTTCTCCGTTTGAAGATACTGTGTCAAGTCACAAGCATCAAACCACTCTCCATCAAGCTCTTGTTGAATCTCTGGCAAAATTGTCGATAGAGTACTGTAATTCACTGGGAAATGGCACTCCCCTGAACCCCACGTCTCTGGCTTGTCCCGGCTTGACGGAGGCACGTCACGATAATGTGTACCCGCACCCCCAAGTTCGAAGAATGGAATCTCATTCCAATCTTTTGGCTGTTTATTGTTCACCCTCGCTTGTAGACGAGTGAAGAAGAACGACGTGATTGCTTCCCTCGTCACAAGGGATAAAAGCAGCCGAAACGGTCGCCTCAATGCCTCTAGAGGAATAGACGGATTTTTGAGCATCAACAAACCTTGATATAGACATGTTACTCTAAGATGCTGCACGAAGACTGATGCTTCAACTGCCGTTGTAGTGTTCAGCTTGAAAGGCAAGAATCTGTTGCGAGGGTATGCACTTATGCAGGTCTGATGAACGCATGAATGAGAGGCCTCGGGATGACCTCTCTGTATGGACTTGACATTTATCGGTGTTTGAACCCCTTGATATAAGTTGTCTGATTTCGAATGGCCAACATCCGCCTGATACTCGTCCCACTGCATTACCGAATCAAGGCATATTCGCACTGTTTCCCGAAGACGATCCGAAAGACTCGGGTGTGAGGCCAGAACATGTTCTTCCTCTATGGTTTTGTTAAAAGCAACGACCGCATTGTTGATTTGTTTCAGCGTAGATTCTAGTCGTGCAATTCGTTGTTTAAGTGCCGCCGTGTTGGCCTCATTCCGTGCACGGTACGCTCTTTGCGCTAGGCGAACTTGCTTCCGACGCCGCTAAATGTGTGTCAGTGAATGGATACTCCTTTCTGGTATTTGCAATCGAGAAGTGCTCCTTTCTCTTGATTTACCTCTTTCTTTTCGGGGACTGGAGAATGCTGATATCCGCATGATGTGCTTGATTTGCTGGGTAAGGTGACTGGTTGAGCCATTGTTGGATGTTCCTCCTCCCTCACTATCGCAGTGCTCGTAGTCTGGCTCATCTTGTGATTCATTCTGTGAACCTACCATTTGAAAATAATACCATAACCATCCAGATTGACGGATAATAAGACCGCACGAGTTGGAGAGGGGATTCGGTGTCGTCTGTAATAGATCCTCGGCTCACGGAACCTGATCACTCATCATGGCAATATTCGCCCACTCAGCAAGATGGCGAACTTAGACCCGTGGAGGAAAGAAGCAAACCTCGGTTGTATGCTTTGATTTCATCCAGCAGTCAGTTGTGCGAATACACGAGTGACGAATATACGCAGAAAATGACAGTGTCCCACTACAGTGGCCAATGTCTCACCAACTATCCCCTGTACGGGCAACGACATTCTCCGAATTTATCACAGCACCCACAAACGATCTCTCGTGGCTGTAATCACTGATGGAGTTTCCTTTGTTTTCCATCTACATAATAGATCTAGCTATTAGCCAATTATGAAAAGCAGTACACATTAGCTATGGGTCTACATATCACTGAGAGCCATGAGAAATCAGACTATTATAGTGATGACATGGCACACACAGACGATAGGCCGCGCAATGAGTGGAAGTGGGGTCTGCTCTTATAAGGTATCGATCTCAAACCCGCTAGAGTTTACTACTGGGGGTTTTCTGAGCCTCTGGTCGAGTCTCCACCGAAAACTCGTTCCACCACGGGTATGTCCGAGGTGCATCCTTTGATAATGCATCTGTGAATGCCGGTTGACGTTTCTCAAAGAAGGATTTTTTGAATTCAAGGTGATCCCTGTATAGTTGAACGGATGTCAGAACAATGAATAATGAAGACATGTAGTCCAATTCCTATCAAGTAGAGGCCTACCTTCCACCAAACATGTCATATAGCAGAGGGCTATCCACCAGATGCGCGCCTTCCGCGGAACCGGGATTTCGCCAAATGAGCTGCCGGTTCAAGTGGATTGCCATGGTACTGACATTGGACAAGATGTCCTGCGCAACCTCAAGAGCTCGGGGAAGAGCATCCTCGGGTTTAGGAACAAGCTCTGCGAAGATGCCGTGGAGGATAGGCGAGTGGGCAGGATATCGCTTTCCTGTTGCCAGCAGATACGTCGCATTGCTATACCCAACCATGCGTGGCAGGAAAAAGGAGCTACAAGACTCCATTGTCAGACCAATCCTTGAAAAAGGGAATCCAAATTCTGAGTTACGCGGCGCAATACTTGCTTCAAGTTAGTTTTTGATGCCACCAAAATAGGTATAGACACGTACCGAATAGCCGCTGCTAGAGTGGATGTCATGCCGATGCCAACAGCGAGGCCATTGTACGCCACTATAATGGGCTTTCTACAATTGAACATGGCAAGCGCCAGTGTGCCTCCAGGGTCCCGCATCTCGCTAGGTCGCAGTTTGTTCTTCTCCTGGCTGTAGTCCCCACTCAAGTCAATTCCAGCGCTGAATGCTTTGCCTGCACCCGTCAAGATGACGACTTTGACTCGGTCGTCCACGTCCACGGCCGTGAATAAGTCTATCAGAGCATCTATCATACTTCCGGTGATTGCATTGAGTTTGTTGGGTCGATTCAAAGTTACGACCTGGATGGATGTAACTCCTTGTCCTGAGTCCGGAAAATTGGAAATGCGGACAGGGCTATCATTGCATTGACGTATGTGTCAGGAATAGCGAGGGTCTGAATAGCGCGAACCATTTTGGCAATTTATTCTGGTTGTAGACACTGAAAAGATGATAGAAGCTGGAAGAATTGAATATGGGCGCGAGAGTTGATTCATATACGGCGGCCAGGAACCTTTTCGCCATCTACGGTCTGGAAACAGTGTTAGTGATCAAGCAACCGACAGCGGGCCTCGGAAAGAAAAAGGCAAGTCCATCTCATTATCAGATGCGTAGAGCCAAATAATTCGAGCAGGCTTGGGTGCAGGGTTGCCCAGGTAGTACCTATAGGCCGATGATCTAGATTAGTGAACAGTCCGAGCCGAGGCACCATCAATGGGTGTATCACCACCGAACTGAACATAGTCTTTCTACTCTTGAACGAGGTGAAACTCCGCTTGTCTCCTTTCTACTTCTCACGAGCAACTCACTCGGATCGAGGTGCGTCCTCGGAGGCCGTGAGATAAACGATTCAATAGAAAGACCCCGAAGAGCCGTGTACATCGACTATGCGGCTGTGAACAAAGCTTAGTTAATGTGCATGTTATATGGAACCATACATGTCTTAGTTCGTACGATCGAGAGAATGCAATGGAATGATTTCAATTGAACCCATGCGAGCGAGGGAAAAAAATTCGACTACACCCCTATCCAACCCAGGATACATCGCAAATGGAAAACACTTTGAAGGGCTATTAAATCAACATGGTTATCATGAATCCTCCTCACCCCCTAAACAAGCCACCGCGGCTCGGAGCTCGTTTACGATCTTCTCCTCCAGCCGGTTCTCGGCCCCGGATCCCGCGTCAGTCGGCTTCTGTCGCGACCATTCCACTTCCTTCTCATTCGTAGCGACGATACGCGCCCGTAGCGCCGGCCGGCGGCCGAGTAACTCCTCAATGTCTTCCTTGGCCTGTCCTTTGTCCCATTTCAAGTCCTGAATGGACTGTCCGTCCAGTCCAGCACTGGCGCCTGCTTCGCGGAAGCGAGTGAGGATGAACGAGATCAGGGCAAGCGAGTAGGCTTCGGAGGCCATGCTGAGGCTGATCCATTGCGCTGTTGGACTCGGGGTCGCCACAGTCGCGTGGGGCGTGGAGAAACACTCGGATGCCCGGTTAAGCTGACCTTCGAATTGGTTAAGGAAGGCGGAAACCTCTGGCGCGGCCCGTACAACATTGTAGAGAAGATTCAAACAGAGAGGGAGGAACCCGCCAGTCCAGATAGTGTACAGGCGGGGAACGGGGTCGAAGGGGCCGAAGCCCTTGGGTTGCCGGAGGATGTTTGTCAGACGGCATGTCGACAGTTTCATCAAAACACCCTCCACGGCCAGATGCTCGGTCAGCAGGGGAAGAGTGGACATCTTGACGAGGATCGAGATACTGAGATCACCGTAGATTGGATCGCCCGCCACCGTCAGCTGGTCAGACCAGGAGAACAATGTGGTGGCATGGCGAGCAATATCGTTCTCAGCGATGTGGAACGCGATATGTTCATACAACCGATCCGCGTTTTTGACCTGCAGGCTAGTTTGAAGGATGGCGATGATAATGGCAAAGTCCTTTGGCGTGCACTTTTCCGGCTGTTCGTGCAGATATGTAGTAAGCGACTTGAATCCCTGCGCTACAACAGTCTTGACAATATCGACCACCACAGTCAAATCGGACGAGACACTGGGCTGCTTGTTGAGGGCTTCCGGGCTGGCGCGGTTGGGTCCCGGCAAGTGGAATTGAAGAGCCAGGAAGAGCACATTAAGAAGTGATCGGTAGTACTCGGTGTCATCGCTGACCAGTGCTTCTTCATACGTCCGGTGTCGGGCACGCAGTGTCTTAAAGACAACATTGAGCAGTCGGAATACCTCAGCTCCATGTGACTCTACCTCCACGAGATGCTGAAGTAGGGCCTGGGCAAAATCAACGCGGACTTGTTGAATTCGCTCAAAGATGGCCTCTGGGGGCACGCTGTGGGTGTTAGCTTCGAGACAATTCTGCGCCACGATTGCCATTGATTTTTGGATTTCGCGATCCGGCATGAAATCCGCACAATGCTCGATAGCGAAGAACTTCCAGCTGTTGAGAAGAGACTGTGACATGTCAGCGACAACGATTCAAGAGAAGTGCCAAAAAATCGACGAGAAAGCAAACTTACCACTTGTGCTTCAACCAGCGACAGGTTGATGTTGGCACGCGCAAACTCTTCAGAGAACCCCTGGTTCCGACTTCCTCCAGTCCAGGCAAAGTCGAAGGACAGCAACTTTTGGCCCATGCCAAGATCGTAATAGTAATCGCTTCCCAGGCTGCGACTGGACAGTGCGGTCCGCTTGAAGTCAATCATCTTGCAGCCAGTGTACCGGCTCTCGAAGTTCTTCTTCAAGTTGGAATGCAAAGAGTAATTATAAGCAGAAACATCCACTGCGTCTTTTGCGTACCACTGCACGAGGGGAATGAGGGTCTTGACGAAGCTCCAGTCCCTTGATTCCTTGGCCGAGTGGAGATAAACAGCAGATATGTCTGCAACGACAGCAGCAATCCGTGTGGCGAAGATTTGGTCTGTAACGGACAAGGACGAGATCTTCAGTTTCGAAACGTAGTTCACGATGCTGGTGAAGAACTGAGGGTGGTTCTTCAGGTGGGGCGTAGCCCATGGCCAGTTTTCTTGAGCACGAGACACAAACTCCAGCAAAGCTAGTGCGACTTGGGGTTCTTCCTTGTCAATGTTGGCGAGCTTATCGAGTGCCATCTGCAAGAATGGAATACCTCGCATGGCTGGGCCATCCACCTTATCAGATTTCTTCAGCGTCTGACGCGGTGATGCACCGGTGAGGATGAAAACTGCAAGCCACTGTTGGCGCTTACTCACGAAAGTTGCAAGCAGGCGCCAGACTGAAAGTAGCAAGGAGTCATCCGCAAGCGGCTTATCGAGCTGAGAGAGCACATCAAGGAAAAGACAAGATGACTCGGCGCCCAGGTGACCAACAAGCGACGGCGGCTCATCGTCCGGATTCGATGCTGCGCTGGTAATGAGAATCTCGAGCATCCTTACAACCGGCAGTCGGTAGGCATCATGCAAGGCATACAGCTTCACTAGGACCGGAGTAGCCTTGAACAACTGTTCTTCTAACAGAGATGTAGGCTGCTCTGCAAGCCGCGCTGCCTGTATGAGCTTGATGCAGAGGTTCAACGTGGAGTTGACCTGATTTTCAATAAGGGTGAGATAGCGCATGTGGAGGGTAGGCGGAGTTTGGAGACCGTCCGAGATTAAACGGAGAATCGGGTTGAAAGGGAGGTCAGCGGTGGATCGAGGGCGAAGCAGGTCGAGGATATATCCTGCTGATGCGGAGAACACGCCGGTGATTTTGGATTCGAGCTTCGGACTATCATTGATTCCGTAGGCGTAGTAAAGAATGCGGTCAAAAGAGGTAGCTAACATGCCGTTGATCTTGAACCGCTGCTCCGGGAAGTTGAACCTCCAGTTACCGTTGCTGTTGAAAATCTCGATCATTATTCGAGTGAAGTTGAGCAACACACTCCTCATGACATGGGAGGGAATCCCAGCACTCCAGTCGGAGACTATCGTCGACTTGCCAGCAACGCTGCCGGGGCTCTTTCGGAGTACTGCACGAGATCCTGCATCGTCAATAGCTGCTTCAAACAGATTGACGCAACTAACAAGGAACGGATATTCTCCAGAGGGGATCTCCATTGCTGAGATGACTCCAGACATGACCCCTCCCTTTCCATCTGATCCAATGAAACTACTGCGGCTGAAGAAGGGCCACACTCGGCTGGGAAGAACCTTCAGCACCTCTTGGATAAATCGCATGCAAGCCATGATGGGATCCAAGGTTTTGGCAGCATCACCCTGAGTGCCAATGCTTTGCAGACTCCGTTCGAAGATGTCCAAGACAACTGAAATGATATCGCCCTGCCGAGAAAGACCGTCACTGGCCATCTCCAGGATCCGTTTAGCAGTTGTGCCTGCAGAGTCCTGGGTGCGAACATCCTTCGCACTGGCGACGAGGTCCGCCAGGAGCCCAATGATCTCTGTACCAGACTCAGCATCCCAGCCCGAGGAGACCGCACCACTTTCGCTCCAATCCTCGAGCCAGCTTCCCAGATAGCTCAAGCATGAATACTGATGTTGCCACATGATGACGGCAGGCTTCGACTCGGAAATTACTTGGCCAACAGTTGCCGCTGGAATTTCAGACGAGCCATTGACGACGAGGGCATTGCTTGTCTGATTTTCGAGCAGAAGATGGCTTTGCGAGGACCCCTCGAACATCGGAAGGGACCGGGTGAGGGACACAAGGTTGGCATTTTCATCCTCGCGAATGGTTTGATATCCTTGAAATGCTGGAGGGACAATTTGAGTGAAAGTTTCCATGTTTTCCAGCTCCTCTTGAACCCTGGGCAGGCCATCATCATTCACCAAGTGGCCGCTGACCAGTGCTCGACAGAGTCTCAAGAAAGGAACCGTCTCGTAGGGGAATCGGGACCGCGCAATGTGGAAAATCTTGTCCATCAAGATTTCGTTGTTGACGAAGACGGTCTTAGGATCGCTTTCAGGCCCCAGGGATTTAATTGGGAGCCATGAGAGGCCATCAGACGTGCCGGTCAAGATTCCCAGCACCGACTCCATGATCTCCGGTGAGTAATCCAGGAAATGTGTTGCAATTTCGATGAGATCGAGAAGCTCCAACCGCACCCATCGAGCAGTCAACTCATCGTCCACGGCTGAAATCGAGCCTGCTTTGACGGACAGTGCAACTATTTGATGGAAGACGGATTCCTTGACGATATCGGATGTCATCTCAGCTATCGTAGTTTCCACACCACCATATTGAGGCGTTTGAGCTGATTCTAGTAGTGTGTCATACAACGAATCTTCCGATCCCTGGGAATGCGCAGAATTTGGCCTGTTAGCATTGAAAGAATCCACAGCACTGTTCAACTGCTCAATATCTCGGGCATTCTTGTCATTCATGGCCACCTCGCTCATTGTATTGAGAAGCAAGCCCCACGAAAAACCAGCAGGATGAACCGTACTCAGTGGGTGAAGGCATGCGCTCATCAAGATCTCGTTCGTTTTGGAAATAGTGTCCTTCGACAGGAAGTAGGCGGGTTCTCCCAAAGGAATTGTTTCGGGCAATTTTTTTTTGAGAATGGACTCGAACGCCAGTGGGACTTTCAAGAATGCCAAGGTGGTGAGTGATACGAACGCCTGGACAGGCAACAAGACTTCAACTGGCTGTTCACAGGGCTACAAGTAAGTGTCAGCAATCTGGGAGGCTGGTCCAATAGAGGGATTCTGCGGTAACTCACGACTTGTAGTCTTTCCAAGAAATCATACTGAATCATGAGTTCAAGCCACGATAATAGAAGCGCTCCACAAGGGACAGCCTGCGACGCACGCAGGTGGTGAAACATGATCTGGAGAATGTGAACGAGTTCCTCCACGAGAGTAGTTCTCCAGATATCCTCTGTCTCTCCGTTACTTTCAGCCGCTCCGAGCCAAGAGCCATTGGTTTCCAGGTCTTGCAGTCGACTTTGAACCGCGCTTATGCATGCTTCGAGAAGCTTGTATAGGCCATTACCAGTGGATTTCTCTCGGAAAATCGTGATTCCCAAGCGAACCAAATCATTCTCAGGTGTGCTGATGATGGCCGCTTCGGTTGTTGGCGTATGGTATGATAGCGCGAGTAGCTTGCGGAATGTCTTGAGAAGATGGCTCCTCTCTGACAGATACAATGCGCGCAGGCGTAAGCGCCTATTTCCCTCTGTATCGAACGTGGAGGACCCTGCCTCGCCCGCGGTCTGCTTCAAGATACTCGCCAGGTTTGGGCCAGCCACCGACACTCGCAGATTATCCGAGCCGGCCGCGCTCTGTAAGCTTGTAGCCTCTTCGCTAGAGAATGTTGTTGTCAAGCGAGTCGCAGGACGATTCTGCCATTCAAGGACGACGATACGCAGAGCGGTGATTTCGTCGATCCTTGCTTTTTCGCTAAGCCATTGTGCATCGGCCTTGATCTCCGGGAGATCGAAAGATTTCTTCGCATTTGTTTCAACGTGGATCGCGGCAGTCTTCGAATTGAACTCGGATTTGGATTTAGTGGAAGGCTCCGGGAAAGAGTTCACGCTGCGCGACAGCAGCTGAATGGACTCTGGGTGCGAGAGGAAGGCAGTGATAATGGCACCATCGTCGGCGTGTGATTCTGGGTCATTGACATAAAGGAATGCTCTTCTCCAAGACCTGTTGCAAATCAGCATCGTACCAAACAAGCAAACGGGCTCGGCAGGGCGTACAAAAGTTGAACGTCCCCGGAGAAGCACTTGTCCAGGGACGGGAAATAGGCCTCCGGGACGGGAGCCATTTGGCGAGACGATTAGATCATCATAAGACTGAAGAGCTCGATTGAGGAAGGTATAGAGGAGAGGGCGATGGAATATCCCGGGGGTCAGCTCTTATAGCTTTCAGGAAGCTCCAAACAGAACCTGCACTTTCTTTCTGCGCGTCTGCGGTCAACAATCCGCACTTCCTATCTGGGCTTAGTGTACCTTTCTGCCAGGCGGTGAGTATTTACAAAATCGCCCGCTTTCCCTTGACTTTTGAGTCAGCGTCAGCATTCAAAGTCGCCATACCTTGTGAATTGACTGAATTGTGTGCAGAGTCCTGTGTCACTCGATCTCTTGCGGTCTCTATTCTGTTAGGTGTGCAAATTTGGCTTCTTCATCCACTACAGCGGTTATGGCAGACCTCGTCGACCACTCACCCCACCATCCCACGCAAGCTGCGAAGCTCAGCAGTGCCTCGAATGTCATCTTGATTGATAACTACGACTCCTTCACCTGGAATGTCTACCAATACCTTGTGCTTGAGGGTGCGACTGTCACTGTGTTCCGAAATGACGAAGTTACCGTCGAAGACCTGATTGCGAAGAACCCGACCCAGCTGGTCATCAGCCCCGGACCTGGCCATCCCGAGACCGATGCCGGAATCAGCAATGCGGCAATTAAACACTTCAGCGGAAAAATTCCTATCTTCGGTGTATGTATGGGTCAACAATGTATGATCACGACATTTGGTGGTAAGGTGGATGTGACTGGCGAGATTCTTCACGGCAAGACCTCGGCCTTGAAGCATGACTCAAAGGGTGTCTACGAGGGACTGCCTGCTGACCTCTCCGTCACCCGGTACCACTCGCTTGCTGGAACCCACGCCACAGTTCCTGGGTGCATGGAAGTGACTTCGTGGGCCGAACTTGAGGATGGTAGCGGTAACAACGTTATCATGGGCGTGCGGCACAAGGAGCTTGCTGTGGAGGGTGTGCAGTTCCATCCCGAGAGTATTCTGACCGAGTATGGTCGGACTATGTTCAGGAACTTCTTGAAGCTCACCGAAGGCACCTGGGCTGGTAACAAGGGCAGCGTTGCTCCCAAGGCTGCTGCTCCCGTGGACAAGAAGTTGTCTATCCTGGATAAGATATATGCTCACCGCAGGAATGCCGTCGAGGAGCAGAAGAAGATTCCCGCTCTGCGTCCGGAGGCCCTCCAAGCTGCTTATGATCTGAACATCGCACCGCCACAGATCTCGTTCCCTGCCCGGTTGAGACAGTCTGACTATCCCCTATCCCTGATGGCGGAGATCAAGCGTGCATCTCCTTCCAAGGGCATCATATCAGCCGATGTGTGCGCGCCCGCCCAAGCACGGGAATACGCTAAGGCTGGAGCAAGCGTTATCTCCGTTCTGACCGAGCCCGAGTGGTTCAAGGGTACTATTGACGACCTTCGGGCAGTTCGCCAAAGCCTGGAGGGACTCACCAACCGACCCGCTCTCCTGCGTAAAGAATTCGTCTTTGACGAGTATCAAATTTTGGAGGCGCGTCTTGCCGGTGCCGATACGGTTCTGTTGATTGTGAAGATGCTCAGTGTCGAGCTTCTCACAAGGTTGTACAACTACTCGCGCAGCCTCGGCATGGAGCCTCTTGTGGAGGTCAACACTCCCGAGGAGATGCAGATTGCGGTTGATCTAGGATCCCAGGTCATTGGTGTCAACAACCGTGACCTGACCAGCTTCGAGGTTGATCTTGGTACTACTAGCCGTTTGATGGACCAGGTGCCCGAGACCACGATTGTCTGTGCTCTCAGTGGTATTACGGGCCCCCATGATGTGGAGGCTTATAAGAAGGAGGGCGTGAAGGCTATTCTGGTTGGAGAGGCCCTGATGCGGGCGCCCGACACGTCTGCCTTTGTGGCACAGCTTTTGGGTGGGTCTTCTGAGAAGATTTCCTCCTCGTCGTCAAGCTCGCCTTTGGTTAAGATCTGTGGCACGAGATCTGAAGAAGCGGCCAAGGCTGCTATCGAGGCTGGTGCTGATCTGATTGGCATCATCATGGTTCATGGCCGATCAAGGCTGGTTCCCGACGATTTGGCTCTGCGCATCTCCCAGACAGTCAAGTCCACGCCGCGACCTGGTGTTCAATCAACTGGATCATCTGAGCAAATATCAAAGACCACCTCTTCCGAATGGTTTGAACATTCCACCCAGGTCCTGCGCCATCCCACTCGTGCATTGCTTGTGGGTGTCTTTATGAACCAGCCTTTGTCGTACGTCCTCGCTCAACAGCAAAAATTGGATCTTGACGTGGTGCAACTCCACGGCTCCGAGCCCTTGGAATGGGCCAGCTTGATTCCAGTACCAGTGATCCGAAAGTTTGCCCCAGGTGATCTTGGCATTGCCCGCAGAGCCTATCACACTCTTCCTCTTTTGGATTCTGGCGCGGGAGGTTCCGGAGAATTGCTTGAGGGAGCAGGTGTGCAAAAGGTCCTCAACAGCGACGAAGGCTTGCGAGTGATACTTGCCGGTGGCTTGAATCCTGACAATGTTGTCGACATCGTCGACAAATTGGGCAAGGCAGGATCCAAGGTGGTAGGATTGGATGTCAGCTCCGGAGTGGAGACCAATGGCGTTCAAGATTTGGAAAAGATCCGCACTTTTGTGACGGCAGCCAAAAGCGTTCGTGCGTGATTTCTTTAGCAGTTCAAGATTTCGGTTTTATTGGATCTTTTTAGAGGGTGACTTCTCTTATCACCCGTAACTTGACAGCATCCATTGCAATATGATACACCTAGACAAACAATACAGTGGCAGCTCAAAAGTTTCAAGCTCGAGACCAAGAAAAAGGTCCATCTAAATACGCTCCAACTTTCTGTTTGTTGCAAAGGTCCTTCTTAACGTCCTTTGAGTTGTCTTTTCAGATCGCCCAGGCATTATCCCCCAATTTATCTTTTGAGTATGACTGATGAGATGATTTGGATCTTCCCTGGGGGTCTCAAACTTATGGAACCCCACTGTAGCAAAGGATTGGGATATATGCTATACAGCTTGTGTGAGGGCCCGCTATAGCACGTTTGTGAATTTCTTTTCAATACAGAAAACTCCATCCTCTAACTTCCCTCACAAATCTCGTCTTTGACCTCATCTCTCCCGATCTTGAGACTCTCCTTCCATCCCTAATTTGGCACCACGGGTGCTTGACTTCGAACTTCTCCTTTCACCTTACTTCCCTTCTTCATAACCATCTTATCAAGCTCCCGAAGCGCTACACCATGTCGACTCCTTCCGCTCAAAAGGCCAAACCCCTTAAGACGGGTAAGGCCTTCAGGCGCATTCGCGCAGCCATGGTTGGAGATCTCTACCAAGGGAACCTATTCCCTCAATGGGTGCGCCGAAATGGAGGAGAGTTTCACGACAGAGTGTCCGATAAGATCACTCATCTCATTGCTTCGGAGCAGGCTTATGAGGAGAATGTAGAAGAAGGTAAGCAATATCAGATTCAGTTCATTCCCCACTCTGTTCATCTTCCGGCGATGAATCATGGTCTGCGAAACCAAGACTGACTCAATATAGTACAAGCTGCGAAGGCTCTTGGAACAATCAAGATAGTCTCTCGTGACTGGCTCACTGCTTCGCTACACGCCAACCCCATTCGCCCAGTTCCGGAGAGACCCTTTCTGCTTGAGAACCTAATCAAGCCGGCGAAGAAGACCGCTCATGGCAAAAATGGCGTGGATAACAAAACGGACTCTGGAATGAAGTCCCGAATTCGCGTCAGTATGTTGACGTACCCTGTTGGAACCTTTACTCAAGAAAGATTTCCCTAACTTACATTCTCATGTAGAGGATCCATTCATCCAGAAGAAAGCGCCTAAGGGCTCAAAGAACGTTGCTCCACGTATGTTCACGTGTTGTAACGTGTTAGTCATTGAATTTCACTAATAATGACAACTGATGCCACAGCGAAGAAGGTCGTATCTCGCGATCCTCAGACGGGTGCAGCCTGGGATGCAGTACTCGTGCGCGAGGGTAAAACAAGCCGTCTCAGAGAGAGATACCGTTTGGCAGTGAGTATGCCCCGTGCCTTATTTGCATATCACAGTAACCTAATACGAGACATAGATCTTCGAAACGTCCTCCCAGCCACCCACCTACTCAACATTTGCAAAGTATAGTCGCGTGGGAACGTCTTGTGTCGAGGAGCTGACTCCTACCAAGAGTGACATGGCTACTGCTGTGACCATCTTTAAGCAGTTTTATAAGACCGAGACTGGAAAGGATTGGGAGGACAAAAATGATACCAATATTCCTTCCCCCAAGACAGATGACCAGGGGATTGTCCTACCCGCTCACGAGGGCTGGTACTTCTACGAAAGCCAGGACAATATCTTTACCAGCTTCCTGATGCAAGCCGGACCTTCTGGTGGAAGTACAGGCAGTACTATGTCTGTCGACCATCAAGACGCATCCGATGGGCCAGAGACCGGCATGGCCCGACCTGAAATGATTGTTCCAGAAGCCTCTGCACAGTCAGACGAAGATAGCGGCAACAATGCCGATGTTGATTCTGACAGCACAATTGCTGACACCTGTCAACCTGCCAAGTCTGAACCAGCAGTGGATACTGATAACAAGATCGAATCTAAAATTTAGTAGGGCTTGCGCAAAGGGAAAGTGAATCTATCGACGAGGGGGATATTTTTCACGCATGGAGTTCTACATGGAGATGAAGGAGAGCGTTTGGTTTTGATTTATATTCGGTTGTTTATTCGTTTGAAGCTTGAATTTGCCCTCGTCACTCAACAGGGTATAGTGACAGCAAGAATGATATACATGAACTGGCGAGAATGCCTTTTAGTTGACCGTAAAACTCCAATGCACCAATGGACTAAGCCAAAGCTTGTCCTCAAGAAAACCAAACCAACTGTACCGGAACTTTGCGCGCCTGCAGCCGAGACCAAAATGCAACTTCGTGAGAAATCTAGAGGTAGTCCTTCTTTTTGCTGGTTCTCGTGTACTGGGTAAGAGCCCATTCCACGTCACCTGTGGAACCCTTCTCCAGAGTGCCTCCACGGATTTCGAAAAGGCGCATTGTCATCCGAGGTCCGACCTCTGCAAGTTCCGCATCCCGGTAGCTGCTCTTCACGAAAACATGATGACGCACCTCAATGCTGTCCTCCTTGTTCACAAAGCTGACAACACGGGTGCCGACCTTACCAGGTTCCCGGGGTGGGAAAAGGTGCTTAAGGATCTGAACGACACGCTGGCCCAGCTTAGTCGTGAAGCCCTCGAAAATCAAATGGGGATAGCTCTCAGAAACGGTGCCTCGGTCAGCATTGGGGATATCCGCTCGTAGAACGACATTGTGAAGAGAGAAGCTGGCGGTCGGCCCGTGGGGAAGATGCGAGACGGTCAGGGCAGTAGGTGTACCACGGTGCTCGTGCAGGAGGATCATGTCGGTCAAAGAGGCAGAGGTTGCGCTGGATACCAAGTCGGGCATGACGAGATTACCACGGTTCAGGCGAATAGAGGTCGGGAGGAGCAATCGAATTTCTTTTGCGAAGGCACCCAGGCGGGCAGAAGGTGAACGAGATGTAGTGACCAGCGGGCGAGGGTCAATCAGACCGGATGTCAGGGCATATTCGTCGTCCACATCGACCTCATCCTTTGACTCATCAAATTTGAAATTTTCACGGAGGGATTTATCGTCTGCGATCGAGGGGTCGAGGGGTTTTCCAGAGGCCAAAGAAGCTTTCAACTGGGCGCGCTTTTCGGCGATGGAAGCATCGCGGAGCTGTAGCGCTCTCCGATAGAGGTAATCGCGACGCTCGCGGGTTTGACGACGCTAGCAAGGAAGTTAGTGAGTGTGCCTTGGTCAAAAGGACATATCATCTTCGAGAAAAGCTTACCAGCATCTTGGTGAGTGTATGTGAATACTGCTTGGAGTGATTTTCCAAGCCGATGGAAGCGGGCAACTTTTTTTTTCCCTAAACTCCGGGGCTGCGCAAGTGGTCCGCTCTCGCCACCGTAGTGGGATCCCACCGATAGAGAATGCGGATCGTAATGCGGAGGCCGATTTGCTTCCTTCCAAACTTTTCCACTCTCTTTTGTGAGGTCTTGGAGACAAAGAGGTGGCCTAGATGTATGTTTCGCCTTATAGTCTGTTGATGGCTTTGCTGACTCGATCTCCGATCTTCTAGAATCCCTGTTGCTTTGCCCCTCAGGCACACAGACGGACTGGGCTCTCAAGAACCGCACAAGGACGATCGAATCGTCTCCTACGCTCTTTTGACTACGGACTCGACTTTTGACTCTCAAATTACCCGCATGTTGTTCTCTACGTGATTCCGCCTTTCGACTTCCCGTACAACTTTCTCTATCACCATATTTCACAACCCGCATCTATCATGGATAACTACCATCCAGGGTTGGCAGATGACGCCTCGGTGATGGCAGACCAAGATGACAGCCATATGGGCAGCGTGGACCGTGCACGACCACGCCGTCATGACGATGAAGATGAGGGCTCCGACATTCTGGAGGACGATGACTTGGAGAGCACGGTTGGTGGAGCGGCTTCAGGCCGTCACAAGGGCCATGGAAACGGCGAAGAAGAGAAAGAGCTTCCCGCCCATGCATGCGCGTGAGTAATCTTTCTATTTCTGAATTGTCTGTCTGAATACTAATCAATGATGCTGGTCAGATACTGTGGTATTCATAACCCAAGCAGCGTGGTAAAGTGTCTCTCTTGCAACAAGTGGTTCTGCAGTGCTCGAGGCAATACTTCCTCTTCGCATATTGTCAATCACCTTGTGCGTGCTCGTCACAAGGAGGTGCAGCTGCACCCGGCTTCTTCGCTTGGCGACACTATCCTCGAATGCTACAACTGCGGCACCAAGAACGTCTTCCTACTCGGTTTCATTCCCGCCAAGTCCGATACTGTTGTGGTTCTTCTCTGCCGACAGCCATGTGCAGCTATGCCATCTTCCAAAGATATGAACTGGGACACTTCTCGCTGGCAGCCACTTATCGAGGATCGCTCCTTCTTGCCCTGGCTCGTGTCTGCCCCTACCGATCAAGAGCAGCTTCGCGCCCGCCATCTCAGCCCGCAATTGATTGCAAAGCTGGAGGAAATGTGGAAGGAGAACTCGCAGGCGACTTTGGAAGATTTGGAAAAGGCTACCGCCGTTGACGATGAACCAGCACCTGTTCTGTTGCGTTACGACGATGCTTTCCAGTACCAGAATATTTTCGGACCTCTCGTTAAGATCGAGGCCGACTATGATCGGAAGCTCAAAGAATCGCAGTCGCAGGATGGGCTAATTGTCCGATGGGATCTCGGATTGAACAACAAGCACCTCGCAAGCTTCGTCCTCCCCAAGCTCGAGCTCGGCGACGTCAAGCTGGCGGTTGGTGATGAGATGCGCCTGAAGTACACCGGTGAACTGCGCTCCAAGTGGGAAGGTGTTGGATACGTCATGAAGATCCCGAACAATCAGTCCGACGAGGTTACCATTGAATTGCGCTCCAAGGGCGACCACAAGTCGGTTCCTACAGAATGCACCCACAACTTCACTGCCGACTATGTTTGGAAGTCGACCTCATTTGATCGTATGCAGCTCGCCATGAAAACCTTTGCCGTTGACGAGATGAGTGTTTCGGGCTACATCTTCCACCGTCTCCTCGGTCATGAGGTTGCCGCCGCTCCTATGAAGACACAAATTCCCAAGAAGTTCAGTGTTCCTGGACTGCCCGACCTGAACGGAAGTCAGATCAATGCTGTGAAGAGTGTGTTGCAGCGGCCATTGAGTCTGATCCAAGGCCCTCCGGGAACCGGCAAGACTGTGACTTCAGCTACGATCATCTACCACCTGGCGAAGATCAACGGAGGTCAAGTTTTAGTGTGTGCTCCCTCCAACGTCGCAGTTGACCAGCTCTGTGAGCGTATCCACCGCACAGGCCTGAAGACTGTTCGTGTGACTGCCAAGTCTCGCGAGGACGTTGAGTCTCCAGTTGCCTTCCTCTCCTTGCATGAACAAGTCCGTATGAACGACAGCAACATTGAATTGGTGAAGCTTAATCAACTGAAGGCGGAGCTTGGTGAACTGTCCAGCCAAGATGAGAAACGTTTGAAGCAACTGACTCGGGCCGCCGAGCGCGAAGTCTTGACCAATGCCGATGTTATCTGCTGTACTTGCGTCGGTGCTGGTGATCCCCGGTTGGCCAAGTTCAAGTTCCGCACTGTCCTGATTGACGAGTCGACCCAATCTGCTGAGCCGGAGTGCATGATTCCCTTGGTTCTCGGCTGCAAGCAAGTTGTTCTGGTCGGTGATCACCAGCAGCTTGGACCCGTCATTATGAACAAGAAGGCTGCCAAGGCTGGCTTGAACCAGTCCCTCTTCGAGCGTCTTGTCATTCTTGGCTGCTCGCCCATTCGCCTGAATGTGCAGTATCGTATGCACCCATGTCTCTCGGACTTCCCATCCAACATGTTCTATGAGGGTTCACTGCAGAACGGTATCACCATTCACGACCGTCTCCGCCGTGATGTCGACTTCCCTTGGCCCATGATGGATAATCCTATGATGTTCTGGTCGAATCTTGGTAATGAGGAAATTTCCGCGTCTGGAACTTCTTATCTCAACCGCACCGAGGCGACTAATGTCGAGAAGATTGTCACGCGCTTCTTCAAGGCGGGTGTGCAGCCAAGTGGCATTGGTATTATAACTCCGTACGAGGGACAGCGAAGCTACATCGTGAGCTCTATGCAGGCTACTGGCACTTTCAAGAAGGAACACTACAAGGAGATTGAAGTGGCTTCCGTTGATGCATTCCAGGGACGAGAGAAGGATTACATTATCCTCTCCTGTGTTCGTTCCAATGACCACCAGGGTATTGGTTTCTTGAGCGACCCGCGCCGTCTCAACGTCGCTCTTACTCGTGCTCGATTCGGTCTGGTTATTCTTGGAAACCCGAAGGTGCTTTCCAAGCACCCTCTGTGGAACTGCCTGCTACAGCACTTCAAAGAACGCCACTGTCTCGTTGAGGGACCCCTGTCTAACCTGCAGGAATCTCTGATTCAGTTCAGTCGTCCCAAGCAGGCTTACCGTGGCCCTCAGCGCTTCCATATGTCCTCGGGCTTCAACCAAGGAGGTGTCGCTGCCGGTGCTGGCACTATGAACGGCCGCAACGGCCAGCGTAACGAGTATCAGGACACTGGCTCTGTCGTTGGGTACATCCCCGATGACGTCTCCTCTGTGCACTCCTCTGCAGTCGGCGGAGTCGGTCTTCCCTCTGGATATCCTCCGATGTTCCAGAACTTCGCTGATCAATGGCCATCCATTTCCGGTGGTCGCCGTGCGAATGGTGGCCGGGCCAAAGGTGCTCCTAGCGTTGCCGGAGAGTCCGTTGCCGCTACCGAGTCTGATGTCACTGGAAGCATCATCGATGGTCGTAGTGTTGATCAAGGGGGTGTCAGCCTCGCTGGATTGAGCATCAACGATATGAGCAAGCAAGCAAGTCTCAGCCAGTCCGATCGTCTGAAACGCTATGTCGAATCCGGCGGCCGTGAGCCCTACCGCGGTGGTGTCCCCGACAATGGCAGCATCTTTGGCGGTAGCTCGGCCAGCATTCGCGTTACTCGCGGTGTTCCAGGACATAACACCATTGACGACGATGATGCTCGCAGCGTTTCGACTGCGTTTGCTAGCCAGGTTGGCGGGAACTACGACTGAGTGACATGCTTTATCGCTACTTTATGCTAGGGCTAGCCTCCAACAGGCTTGCCTTCTCATCATGTTCATCTCGAGGAAGCAGAGTCTCGCACGAAACGTTAGAGTCCCTTCCGCTAGAGTCTTACCCGTCCATTCTTCCATGCCGATTAGGACGTCAGTTTGGTGAGGCCAGGCTGGTCCACTACTTTTGTGGGCGCTGCCGCCTTACTAAATGCTTACTCTCAAGGCCACCAATATCCTCAGTCAGTCTGAAGGGGCAATTACTTTTGCTCCTTTGAGGCTCTATTGTCGGCGTGACGTCCCCGTCAGGTGCGATTGTCGATGGGTTGAGGTGACAAGCATTGCCCGTCCAGCCCTTATGCGCTTGGGCCTGCTGTCTGAACATGCAATGGCTGGGTGTCACTCTCCCACCCAGCTGGGTCCGGTAGCCAACTATCGGGCAGCTTTGCAATTTTATCCCGATCCCCCGTTCAGGCTCGATTCTTCCTAGCAGTCCTTACCTAGGTATTAACAATGTTGTTGCCTTGAAAAATCGAGACTTATTATGCCTTAGTATACGCCTATTGTGCCCCGGTAACCTTGTAGATTGAATTATCAACGGAGGACGACGAAAGAAAGTTGTAGTTACTTTGTGGGCCCGCTAGATGTCATGGGCTTGAAGATCTTACTTGTTTACTTTCTCTACAAGCTCCGTCCAGTCGTATAATATTGGATCAAAGGTTATCGCAAATCCACTCTCTCCTAGGAAGTCTCTTCTGAAATAGTTACACGAATGAGTGCATTCCCGTCTTCTACCCCGGATTGACAATCACAGTCTCTCAGGATCGTGGCTTGTACCTTGAGTACCTCAAACTGACTTGATAATAGTACTTCGTCTCTAGAATTGGGCCGGAGCCTTGCGGCTCGCTCTTCCTGAGCGATGGAAGTCCATCGGATCGTTCGATGCAGATGTTCATTATGGAGAGCCGGGACGCCAAGCTACCTTTCCCAGATCCGCTCCAACTCCGAGCCCACTTTCGCATGGCAGCCTCTTTGCATTTGTTCCATGTCGAAGAAAGCATATATAAGGGCTGACCCTAGCCTCCATCGTGTATGGAAAACCTATTCTCTGCATACGAGACACTAATAGTGATAGACTAACTTCCGGAAAGTCCAGTTCACCCCGACAATACAGAGAACAATACGCTCTATCCGGTGCCTTTTGCCCAGATGGATACGCTATCACTGCTATGGTTTGCTTATAAAATTTAGCAGATATCTCTACCCGCGATCTTTCACAGGCCTTGTCCATCGGCTGCCGTTCGGACTCTACACGAAGGAATGTCCTCGCTCTCCCGGTAATGAAGCTGAGGCGCTACTCTTAGTGGAAAAGTACCCAGGAAGGCACCCTATTCTCATTATGATGGCGGTAGCTGGGCAAACCTTGGACAAAGTCTTTTATCGGCTCTCGTACACGGAGCGCAAACAGTTATCGAAAGACTTGAAGAGCGTCGTATCACAACTGCGTTGCATCCCGAACCAGACCCCTTATATCTTCGGCAATAGTCACGGCGGCCCATTGAGAAATCATCGGTTCCCCTCCGGCACATGCGGTCCGTTCAACTCGATCTTTGATTTCAAAGATTTCCTTGTTCATCCCTACGTGCGCAAGGAGACAAAAGAGAAAATTTCGGCCGTTTACGCTCGCACATACCGATCTGTTTTCACCCATGCAGACCTGTACCCGAGCAATATTATGCTTGATCGCGGGTGCCTATCTGGGATTGTGGATTGGGAGTGCGCTGGGTTTTATCCTGAGTACTGGGAGTACACGAAACTCATGTATGACGCTGAAATGTTCCCTGAAGTTCGACAGATCATTCTGAGGCGTTCTCGGAGGAAGGCTATGAGGAACAATTAGAGGCTGAGAGACTTTTGTGGAATGATACGGCCTTTGGTATATTGGACCAAAAGGAATCAAGTTTTGTCTTGTCTGGTATTTTTTGTCCAATTACTTGGCGTAGTAAGAAAGATCGAGTCGCATCAGCTTGAAGGGGAAATACTAGCGCCAAGCAATGCTAGAGGTCTCAGGCATACCCGCGGTGTAGACCCAGATATGCTGACCTCCAGCAATGAGGCTCCCTTCGAGGCTAAACGTTCTACCCCGCAGTTCCGCTTGACGTGGATCTATACGACTGTATACGAGGCCAGACTACCGCCTGCTTTATCAAACATTTGATCAACCATACACTATGAAAACTGCGCCTCAAGACTGGACAAGAGACACAGGCTCGGCAATGGTGTCAATTGGTACCCATTGTCTGTATACCTCAATCAGTGGACCTCCCCGCACACCCGAAGATCCACTCATCGTGGTTCTCGCAGGCGCAGGAGATGTCGCGTCCTCTTACACGGCCCTCTCACTCCTCGTATCTTCGTTCTCTCGGATCCTGTTCTACGATCGTACCGGGCTCGGTCGCAGTGAGCCGAGAACGAGCTTAGCAAGATCCATACATCTCGCGGCTACTACGGCCGTTACGGCCGCCGAGGAACTACACAGCCTTCTCGAAGCGACAAATTTGCGCTCGCCGTTGGTTCTAGTCGCCCACTCTTACGGTGCTATCGTTTCTCGCGAGTTTCTACATCTGTACAATGACGAGGTTGTCGGAATCGTACTTGCGGATGCCTCCACCGAGCGACAATGTGACTATTTTCAGCTTCCGGATCCCAATATCAATGCGGTGCTTGGGGATCTCAAAGTGGCGCAGATTACGGGTCTACGAGCAGACTCGAAACTTTCAAGAGATGGATGGAGAAATCGAGCCATCGATATTGCGCGCGGTGCAGCCGCAGCACAGGTCGAGGTTGATTCGTATGTGGGCGTTTGCCATACACTTGCGGATAAGAAGCAGTTTCATAATCGGGCGATGGGGAATCGCCCGGTAAGTGTGATTCGCTGTAATGGCGCTAGGGACTATGAACGTATCTACGAGAAGGGTGTTGAGGTGGGCAATGGGACGCCACAGCAGCAACGAGCGTTCCGGGATCTCCTGGATCGATGGGAGGCGATAGACAGGGAGCTGAAGGAGGAACAGCTCCAACTGTCCACGACCACGCATCTGGTGCATATACCAGATTGTGGACATAACGTGCATTTGATACGGCCGGATATAGTTGCGGGCGAGATTCGATGGGTATTGGATCAGCTACGGAGGCCGCGGGGCGATGCGCTGAAACTATGACGGTCTCATAATTCGGCGGTGAGATGTACATGATTTGACGGAGCTTGTTCGATGTTTGACAATCTTGTCTGGGAATCCCTTGCGAAGATTCTTCTCTTGCGATTTGTGTATATTGTTGTAGCCTGCCGTGATCAAGAACTGGAGGATTCACAGCCACTGCCATGGATATTCGGCAAGTTAGTTTAATGCAATTTGACTTTGAATAAGGTGCTTCGCCTGAAGATTCGCAAGCACTCTGTATGTCGATCAGTCTCTATGCTATCTTTAGATAGCAGACGCCACGAGGGAAAGCTCTAATATTCTGCAGCCTAGAGATGCAAGCAGCAAGAGCCAGTCAGGAGCCTTTTTCAGTCCAGCACTGCCTCTGCCTTACCTTGCTTATCTAACACTTCCACGTGATCTACCTACATCATGGCGATCCACAGTCCCGTGACTATGCAGGGCATCACCGCCACATCAAAGTACAGGCACTGCATAATGCCATAGACTGACCACCCTGTAGGAGACGCCGCAGGTATTCCATAGGCGACTCCGTAGGGCCCCATCCAGAGTGCACTGTAGATTTATAAGGCACCAATAGTGGCGATCTTTCTGGGCCGAAGTGCAGCAGTAGCAGGCTTCACAGGCTTCCTCGCCGGCCCGCAAGTCTCCTCCTACCAGGATGGCTGCCTGACTTGATTTGTGTAGACACTGGAGACCCAAGACTGGGGCGATCGAAGCGAAACAAGGCAAATTTAATTGGTACGCAGTGAAGCCGCTATGGCGGTGGTCGGAGGGACACTCTTGATTGTATGAGTCATTCTGGACAACAGTGCTCCAGAAGAGGGAGTTGTCAGTGTGGCCACACTTAAGCCAGGGTGCGCTGATGAGAGAGAGGGCCCAAAGCAAGAAAGCATTAAAAGGCCAACGCATTCCCCTGGGCGGCGCCTGCATCCATGCACATTAGTATATAGATGATCTCCGGTCCAGTGACGAATTTGCCTTGCTGAACAATACTCCAGAGACCCCTCTTCAGCTGATCGGTAACTCCGGGAAACTGTCGTGGACGAACAGAAACTCCGAGAAGCGCGGTAATCCTGCGCCACAGTGGCGGTTCTTTGACGGAAGCGGGCGGCCTTAGGTATAAAAGGGGGCGGATGCCTTGACACCCGAAAATTTGGGCACTTTCTCTTCTTCCCATATACCCTACCCCAACACCTGCGCCCATCATCTTTTCCTCTCGACTTCGGTTAATTTATTTGAATCCTCACCTTTCCTGCTCCTCAGGAATTGTTTCTGCTTAATTTTTCCCCTCCCCTACAAATCGACTCCCAGTGTGGTTGTGAGTGATCGGTGGACGCGTCCTTGCCGGTATCTCTATTCCACTACAAATCCGCTCATCAGTTGGTGTGGGGTCGACACGATACTATGGGCGACGGATCTGACTATCCTAGTCCACGAAGTGAAGCTCCACACGGAGTTACTGTTGCCTCTGCCCTTGCCTCGGCCACAGAGTCTCTCTCTTCAATTGCCAGAATGAACGAACAAGCTGTTGCCCTCAGTTATCCCATGGAGAGTGCGCGCCCGCGCCTCTCTGTCCGACGCGCCCGCGATCCTCCCAAGAACGCCGAAGGCCAAATCTACTGCGACCACACCGACTGTCAGGCTGCGCCGCCTACTTTCCGCCGTCCTTGTGAATGGAAGTAAGTATTTTATGTCCTTTCCTGGTGTTGTTGCTGGTGGTTCCTTATACTGACTCGATTTTTACTAGTAAACACATGGATAAACACGATCGCCCCTACAAATGCTATGAACCTGGCTGCGACAAGATCCAGGGCTTCACCTACTCGGGTGGCCTCCTGCGCCACCAGCGCGAAGTGCACAAGAAGAACAACGACGCGAAGAAGCCCTTGATGTGTCCATATGCCGATTGCAACCGCAGCACCGGTAACGGGTTCACGCGCCAGGAAAATCTCCGAGAGCACTTGCGCCGTCGCCACATGCACACGGATGAGGGCCCAACGGGCTCCATCCTTGTTGATATGCCATGGGAACGCGCCAGCGAGCTGGAGGGCGTTCGCGCCAACTCGCTCCCAGCCACTGGTCTCAAGCGCAGACACGACGAATCGCCCAACGGCGACCTTCCCGATCCCGACGAGAACGGCGATGATCTTCACAACGAAGTCAAGCGACTGCGTCGCGAGGTCCAGGAGAAAGATCGCCGTCTGGAGCAACTAGAGCGCATCGTCGCTGATCTCCAGCAAGCCCTCCCTCAGCCGCCTGTGCCCGAACACGACCCTCAGCTTACGCAAGCGATGCCACCCCCCGCACCGCAGGCTGCTGCTCCTCTTTAAGACCCACACCTCTCTACTCTACCACTTAATTATCCGGGATGGCCCTCTCTTCGCGTGACGTTGTTTCTTGCATTCTATGGGCGTTCCTCCTCTCAAACAGAGGTCTGAAATATTTGCTTTGTTCTTTATTCGTCGTTTCTGCTCCCCCTAGTTCACCATGTCTACTGCATCTGGGTTTGTTGACGATGGCCGGGGTCGATGACCGTCAAGCTAGCTGTTAGGGCACTAAGGCGTTTTGCTTGACATTGGCTTTCAATGGGTCAGGCGGTTTCTTTCGATGAGGTGTATACCCAGGTTTACTATTGTCTTAGTTTTCTATTCCCAAGCTATTATTTGCTAAACTCCTCAGCCATTTCCAACCTACTCTGTTCTTAGTCTTCGCAGCCCCCAGTCGTCCACTTCCCAATCTCCCCTCAATAGTTTCTAATGAATACCAGCTTGAACATCAAAATACATTGCATCTCGTATTGCCTCCCACAGCCCTGGCCCGTATACCTCGTACCTCGCAGCCTCGCAAACAAGGCATCCGCAGATCCGTCGATCCTCAAAAATGGGGGCCAGAATTCCCCAGCCACACCGCGCCAGGCAACCATCGGCACCTGAGGCCCCCAGAAACCACCCTCTGGGGCCTAAGGCCATCCATTCCATTCCGTCCAGACCCTGAGCTTCCCGCCGCCCCCATCTAGTAATCCCGCCTAGCGGCGCATGAGCCTCATGGTGGACTTGGACTCCGTCCGCGGGCACCCGATTCAGTCGAGGCTGCCGCCGGAGACCCGGGATACGAATGAGTCATGTTTGATGGCGGCTTCGTCATGGTCATCATGGGCTTTGATGAGATCGCGAGTCACGGGTAGAGGTGGGTGCGGCTCGGAGTTAGCTGGTCGGATATCCGGTGTTCGGTGGAATGGATAGAATGAGTCTCGGGGGGTATTTGTAATCCAGGTGGTTTGACTTGCGGGTTTGTCGGCGGTGTTATGCGCGATGGGCCGGGTGGCTGAGGTGGGATAGGTAGAGTGTCAGCATGGACTATACAGTTTGTGGATTGTCCAGGGTGTTACCACTCCGGGCACTACGGAGATACAGACACCGCGGGTTTCTCTGCGCATGCAGGACATATGACATGCAAGGCTGTGCCTAGCGTGTCGGTTCATGACTCGAGTATCAAGTAAGATGGAGCTATCCTACTGCAGAATCAAAAGAAGTTAGCACAAACTGTCGAGAGAGTTGTCATGGGGATTAAACTATAGCTTGAGATGATCAAGACGCCCTCTGAGTATGCTTCTGACTGCATGTTATCGATGATATGGTTCTCTGTGGTACTCAGATGGAAGCATGGCACGCTCATAATAGGAAGGTCAGAATGGATGCTTGTGGATGGATATATTGCCGAAATATGGATGGAGAGTGGTGCAGAGGTATAAACCGTACTCTTGCGGTGTTGTTCGCATGTCAAGATGCTTCAGGTGTCATCGTTGGGACCAACTTGGCTGAGCGGTAAATATCTCTAACCAATATCAAAATCAACACTGTGGGGTACTTGCCTCGAGAACAGAATCAACAAATCATTATCAGCCTTGAGTAGGCCACAAAAAGACCCGCACAGAGTGGAGACAGCGAGGATCGAACTTGTGCCATTTTTGTTTGCCTTGGACAGGTTAAGGGCCACTTCCAGTTCCAAAATCTCAAGAAGACCCCTTGGTAATCTAGTGATAAAGAACTAGGTTTACCGCACACCTCTGGCGAGTGGGAACTGGGTGGCATCGATTCACTCGCCTAATCTTGTTGTTCTCCCTTTGGTCGTCGAGTTTATTATCTGATGGTCAGTTGCGCGGAGTTAGCGGGTGACCAGGGCCAATGCTCCACCTGGGCGGCCCGGTTCCGTCTTCTTTTTATTTTTATTATTTGTATTTGTTGGATTTGATTCTAAGTAATGTCAATGCTGTGTGAGTGAGTATATGGTACGGCAGAGTGGTTATGTTCTCGGTAGCGTAGCTTCCCTCACGTTATGGTATGCGTAACACGACTGATATTGATCGTCCGTGGGTTGGGGTGATATCTGGGTCTCTGGTGTTTTGGGCTTCCAAATTTACGTATTCGCTGTATCAATGACGTGCCTAGAGTATATTGAGAGAGAAACTGATAAAACTATTTGACTACTAGGTATTTTGAATTTAAAAGAATAATGATAGGAATTAGAATGAGCTTTTTCAAGAGTCAATCTTTTTCTAGTAGACTTATCATCTTGACCCTCCAGGCCTCCGCTACTATAGCTGCTCTGTATCTAAAATTTCTATTCTCTTAACATCACAGGATAGAATCAAGTTATTTAGCTTGTAAGACGGGAAATATATGACTCAGACTTAATTAATGTTACCAAGACTCCGCCAGTACGACAGGACAAGACCCACATAAATTATAGAGAACGGAGTAGGAATCGAACTCACGCTATCTGTTTGCTTAGGATGGGTTAAGAGTCACTTCTCGGAGAATCTATCAAGAAGACCCCTTAGTAGCCTAGTAGTAAAACACTAGGTCACGCACACCTCTGGCGAGTGGGAGGTATTCGAATCCGAGTAGCGTCGATGCATTCGCCTAATCGATATCGCTCTCCCTTTGATCGTCGAGTTTAATTACCTGATTGTCAGTTGGGCGTGGGCGGAGTTAGCGGGTGGCCGGGGCCAATGCTCCACCTGGGCGACCCAGATTTGGTCTTCTTTTTTGCTTTTTGAATATAATTCTTGCCTTGCTTTTCGAATGATGACCCTGTGATGGGTGATATGCAGTCTGTTAAAGTTATGGTTTGGATCAAGAGTATGGCAATATTATGGCATATGAGCTGCCAGAGAAAGTTGCATTGTCAAGGATTTGTACGAATCCATTCAGTCGTGGTCGGCCGGCTGCGTGGCATTCTATCAATTCAATCATCATACTGCTCTCCCTATGATCGTCGAGTCTAGTTAGCAAATTGCTAATGGAGTGGATTTCACCGGCACAAAAAGCCCGTGTGAATGGCACAGCTCTCGATGTTTCCGGTTTTCCGCCTTTTGTTCCCCATCTAGTTTTGTTCTCTTTCATCTTGATATGTTGCACCTGGCGGAGTCTGCTGCTGGTTTAACGCCATGAGACGCGAGTATCATTTTTCCTATAATCCTGAGGCTAACATGGCATCTATTTTTACTGCCAAATATTGTTGAAAATTTCAGTAAGTCAAACAACAAATTGGAGACAAGGAGCTGAATGCATGAGTACGGGTTGGGAATGTTGTCGTCTACTGTGGAACTCCATCCGCATGCGGCTCAGTGTCTTACATAATCTCGCAACCGCGTCCCCGTGTAGGTTAAATCAACCTCATCTCTGGTCTCAATGGTGGGGTACTCTTTCAATGCGTGGTGCGCTGGTCCAAAAAACTCATAAACCTACTGAGGCCACAAATACTCTCTTCGAGACTTCTTGGTTCCAAAATTGAAGCCACTCCGTGAGGGCCATGCGCCGGTGAAGGCAGGCTTGCTCTAGCACGTTGGGCATGTGGAGGGCTGTTCCACTTTTCACTGATTCCCAAGCTGCTCTGCGGAGTAAAGCTCCTCAGTCTTCTTCTTTTCTTTCAGCGTTGCTGAGAGGCAATCTCCACCTCTTTCAACAGCCACACATGTCCAGCATAGCAGGACATGCCAGTCATCATGTCTAAATTTCTTCCATCAGCCGAAGTGCCAATGTCCCACGATTTAGAATCGCACTATGTCCGCACACAGGAGTACACCTCCGCCCCGAAATACCCTCCTGGCGCTGGTCTGAATCCAGCATTAGGCTACTTTGGCCTTGGGCAGCCTGATGATGACAACGACACGGTGGTGGTCGACAACAAGATCTTCAACCGGGCAACGCACCAATTTGCTGACGGCGACTTCATCTGCCCAGGATTCTTCAACCTCGCGTATCTTGATGGGCTCACGCGCCGCTTCAACCACTCACAATGGACCTACGAGATGCGCCGCGAGCCTCAGCCTATCCTTCCGTTCTTGTCCCTTGGGCCATATTCATGTCTCCGGGACCTGGAGCAACTCCGCAGCCAGGGCTTCACTTTGCTTCTCGCGATCCGCAGTCGCCAGTCCGCTCAGGCACGACTCGTGTCTGGAGACAAGGCTGCTGCCCAGCTCGGTATTCAGGCCGACACGATTGACGTGCTTGACAACCAAGAATTGATTTCCGCGTTCCCTCGGGCCATTCGCAGAATCAACGATCATCTCGCGGGAGTGGACGAGAACAACCACCCTCGCTTGAGCTCTTCGGTGACCAACGACTCATCGCACAAGAAGAAGGTTCTCGTCTTCTGTGAATCGGGAAATGAGCGCTCGGCCTGTGTGGCCATTGCTTACATCATGGTCATGCTCAATCTGGATGCTGTCCGTGCCGCATACGCAGTTCAGCAGCATCGATTTTGTGTCTCTATTGAAGATCCCATGAAACGCATTCTCGCTGCCTTCGAGTCCATCCTGACGGCCAAACGTGACGTCGAAAGTGCAAAGCATGCCAACATCAAAAGTGGAGCTGCGACTCTTGCGCCTCCTCCTGTTCCGCATGTCCTACTTGCAAAGAAACGAAGCTTTGCAGATCGACAGGAGTACGAATCTGACATGACTGATGTTGACATGGACATCGATGACGAGGGCCATTCATCCATGGACCGAATGCCGCGCGCACCGTTCCAGGATCGAGTAGCTTAGAACAATTTTCCATATGCGAGGCCGAATACTCTATTTCTACATCTCGGCAGCATTCGTCTCATTCCCTGCTACGTCTGACGGATTTCACGAGGGTAGAATGGGGGTCACGGGGTCTAATTCATGTCCGGTAATATGGACTTCTGTGTCGATATGGATTTGTGGTGGCTTTCTCATTTTTCGCTGTGATTGTTCTAGAGGGTGGAGGTCTCCTATGTATGGCTCTGGTCGTCGTCGACTCAAATACCCATCCGATGCTTCAGATTCATCATTATTATTGAAATATCAGCCATAAATGTCAATCATATTCTGTAATATCCGTACCAAGGAAAGAGCTGAAATCAGTAGACTGGTTTGTCTTCGATACCCACTTTCGTGGGGTATGCATGTGTTGCTCTGAGGCAGATTGACGCGAGGTCCTCCATCTACACCAGCAACAGCAACTTCTTCCTCTCACTCTCTTTTGCTTCCTCTTCTCCATCTCCCTCTACCATCTTTTTTCACAATCCCCTCCTCTTCCAACTATCTTGTATCTGTTTTATCTCGCATCTTTACAGTCTCTCTTTCTCTTCGCCAAGCCGAATACCTTTGCGAAACCTCGCATACTGCGTCTCTAGTTCAACACATCTCTCACTTGAGAGGCGACTTGAGGTACCGGCCTCTTGCTGCCTCTCAGTGGGAAGGTATTGACTGCTGTACATTTCGCTCACCGTTCCCTACCATCTTCATCTGTATTTTTCACGCGTCATCTTCAGAAAAAAAGTCCAGCCGTTGATCCTTTTTTTGAACAGTTCAAACTGATCCTGTGAAGAATCAACGTCCCACAGCCGAACCTCGCAGCGTCTAACGTGAGGAGAGTCAGAATGACCAAGAAAAAGACCAACAACAAGAAAAAGCCGCGGTCCTCCGTCCGCGGAGCCGGGCCTCCTGAGAACGATGAGGAAGTCCTGACGCAGGAAGAACTTCTCAAGCGTATTCGAAAAGCCCGCACTGCAAAGGCTGGTGTGGAGTACCAACCACCACCCCCTCAGCCCAAGAAGAAAGGCCCCGTGAAACCGTTCATCCCCCCATTCGATCCTAACCTTCCACCGGCGGCGTTCCCAAGCCTCCCAACGATTGGCCAACCGATACCCACTGGCACTAGAGAAGGACACTTGCGTCGTGCCAAGGAAGACCGTGAGAGACGCCTTCAAGGTCTTGAGCCTCTCCCTCGCGAGTCCTATCACTCAGAACCGATCTTCAGAATCAGTGGTCAGAATGATGCTCCGGATGTTAAGCAGCCAGCAGACAAGGAGCCAGCAAGCCAGAAGCCATCCAAGCCGAAGACAACCAAGCGGGGGCAAGCAAGCCAGGATCGGGTCAATGTCAATACATCTGAGGTCGAATATGAAGCACCTAGGGGAGTCAATGTGGACTGGGAAGCCAGCAACACTGTGTTCAACCCGGTCTATATGAGAAACATGGCAACCATGGCTAGCGACGGACAAAAAGAACCAGCTAATTCATATGGCTTGAGTCTTGCAAATCGACCAGAGATGGACTTTTCAGACAGCGACCTTGAAATCATCACTGAGAAAAAGCCTCCTGTTCCTCAATGGGGAGACCTGACTCCGTCACTCCGAGCGGAGATCATGGATAACCTTTTGGAGCATGATACCTGGGAGGAAGCTGTGAATAAGCTTGGTCTGACTCTAAAGCAAGCAAGAAGAACCAAAGAGTACCTGAACCGATTCCACAAGGCTACTGAGCACGAGGACGAACAGCTGAAGGAAATGAGGGAGGAACAGCTCCAAACTCTGTTGAATATGGATTACAGCAATGATCGGACTGTGCCAGAGGATGGCATTCTCGGCAGAACTTCTAAGGAACATCAAAAGAATATCATGAAAGACCCGAACCAGAAGTTACTGCAGTGCAAGAGCGGAGACCTACGCACAGCTTGGCGTTTCCTGAACGAGCGAGGCCTACCTCAGAAGTTGGCCGGAGACTGGAACTGTGGCGCAGGAACAATGCGTCCTGACGAAGATGAGGAACCTCTGACCAAGCGTGTCAAGTGGAGTTATCCTCTCACGACAATCGAGGGGCCTTCAGCCATGCCAATGAATATCGGTCCTGTAAAGCATTTGTCTTCAGGGGCAAAGACAGCCTTCCTCAACAATTTCGGCCAGGCTGGTTCGATTGTCCCGCCTGCTCAGGAGCAACACCCAATTCAAGATGTGCAAAAGCATTGGGATGACTGGGAGCAGCTCTTCATCACTCAACCTGACGAGGACCAAGTCCACCTTGCTCGTGAGAGAAGATTGCAATTGGCGTTGGGCGAGGAGGATGCGGCTACTCTCATGGCGAAAGAGACTGGGCCCGCGCTACCAGAACCGGCAGTTGCTCAATTCCGGTTCAATCAGCGAATTGAGAGAGTCAAGCGCGAGGCTGAGGCCGAGAGGGAAGCTGCTGCCGTAAAATCTCTTCCCTTCACGGCCCGCGACATTGCCGAGGGAACCTGGGAGCAGAAGATGGAGGCCCGGTATGCGAGATTGGCCAATGATTGCCAGAAGCTCCTTCTGAGCTATGACGCACACCCCGATGTCGAGCACGAGGAGAACTCAGAGCTCGACGAAATTGACCAGGACGCGTTGGTGGAGGAGGCCATGCAGTTCAATGGGTCGTACCGCCCACTTTTGAGAGCCAAAGCCTACCCACGTTCTCGGGACGCTGATGTGGACATGGAGTGATCTTCTGCTTGCCAGTAATGAACGGCGAGGGAAGCAAAAGTGAGCGGCGATGAGAGTAATCCTTTGAGTCGGAGAGTGTACAGTGTGAAGTTCATATGGGTGGCGATATGCCTTCTGTCCGTCTACTCGTTGTTGATTTACAGGCTTTGATTGTTCGGGATCTATCGACTTTCCGTCTGAGACCATGTTGGCCTCATCTTTACGGACGCATGTTCGTCAAGGAACCGTGGTGGTTTAGGTCTTTTGATATGTGATTCGGATGATGGAGTTGTTTGGAAGCCCGCAATTTTGTTCTGTCGATCTAGATGGAGTGGATCTGGGGGGAAATATCTGTTCCAACCTATTGTAATGTTAGCCATGAAATCTATTTGTATGTACTCATCGCCTAGTCTTTGTATGAATGGGGAAGTTGTAGATCCGCTTTGATTCGATTAAACTTGGTCCGTGCGCTTGACGCGAAAACCCGCGTCAGACACGCGTAGATTCGTCTCGGAAGTCAAGTACTCATCGAGAGTACATCCAACTCCCATCAAGATTCGCGGTATTGCAGGATATTGTGGCAGAAGCGCCGTGGGCGTCATTTGGAGTGTTGTCGTTTTTTTCATCTCTCCCAAAGAATCTGGTTTTTGACGAATTCTCACCCCTGGGAATGACGTCTGACCTCTCCTGGATCGAGATCTAACACACACTCCTTTACACCCTCTTTCTTACCTCCTCAGTGTCTTTCGCGACCACTCGTTTACTATTGTTGAAGAACTTGTCTCTACTCGCAATGTCTGCAGTAGACTCGCCCATTACGCCCACCGATTCGCGGGCTGGGACGATTCAGCCCGAGTCGACCGTGCCATCCTCCCCGATGACCGAGCCTCTCGATCAAGACTCGAAAGAAACCTTGGAGAAGGAAACAGATTTGGAAAATCTTGAAGATAGAGAGAAAGGCAAAGGCACGGTGGGTGGTGATTCGACAGGGGCGACAGAAGATGTGGACGACACAGAAGGCATGGACACCAAGGCAAAGGCCCTGATGCATCTTCTCAAGACTAGCTCGGTAAGCTGCAGCCAATATGTAACCCGCCTTTCGAGAGCTGACAGCTAACGTTTCTCTGTTGGCAGGTTTTTGTCGCTATCATGTCGGAGAAGATGAAGAAACAACAAGAGGAGGCTAGACAACGGGCTGCAACCCAGAAACGAGTGGCCACCGAGCAGAAGCCGAAACCAAAACCCACAACTAGCGCACGGCGAGAAACCCGGAATACAGCCAAAGAGGAACCCATGACTGAGGATATCTCTGCCGGAAATGAACCAGCCGCGGGGAAGAAACGGGGCCGTCCTCGAAAGAGTGGCCCCAATGGGAGCACAATATCCAGCTATTTCCAGAAAGCCGATGTCAAGGTCGACGAGGACAATCCCACCGTTCAAGAGGCACTTGAACAGGCTGCAGAGGACTACGAGGCCAATCCAACTGCTCTTGGTGGGCAGGAGCTTGTCGCCACCCAGCAGCCAGCTCTGGTAACCGGCGGCAAGATGCGCACCTACCAACTGGAGGGGTTGGAGTGGATGAAGACTCTCTGGATGAATGGCCTTTGCGGCATTCTTGCTGATGAGATGGGTCTTGGGAAGACCGTACAATCTATCTCAATGATCGCCTTCTTGAAAGAGAACAATGTCTCGGGTCCTTACCTTATTGCAGCGCCGCTTAGTACCCTCAGCAACTGGATTGATGAGTTCAAGAAGTGGACTCCCGATATTGAGACTGTTCTTTATCACGGCACTAAAGAGGAGCGTGCGGCTATGCGGAATAAATGCATGAAACCGAGCGATCAGGGAAAGATGAATTTTCCTATCGTTTGTACATCTTACGACATTTGCATCAACGATTCAAAGTTCCTTGGGCAATACCAATGGAGATACATTGTTGTGGTATGTTTAGATTGCCTCGCAGGCAAGGACAACACTAATCGACTCTCTAGGACGAGGGCCATCGCCTCAAAAACATGAATTGCAAGCTCATCAAAGAGTTAATGACATACAACTCTGCTAATCGATTACTCATCACTGGCACACCATTGCAAAACAACATATCTGAGCTGTGGTCACTATTGCATTTCCTACTTCCGGAGGTGTTTAATGATTTGAAGAGCTTTGAGAGCTGGTTCGACTTCTCCTCTATCTTGGATGATTCGGGTAAAGCAGAAGTCATCGAGCGCCGGAAACGCAACTTGGTGACAACGATGCACTCCATCCTGAAACCATTCCTCCTGCGACGTGTCAAGACCGACGTGGAGCATTCTCTTCCGAAGAAGCGCGAGTACATCCTGTATGCTCCGCTTACTCCTGAACAAAAAGAGCTTTACAGGGAAATCCTAAGCGGCACTGGACGTCAGTATCTTGAAGGAAAGGCTCTGGAACGTCTCACTGCTAAGAGCTCTACCCCTACTTGCTCACGCAGCTTGAAGCGTCGCCGCAGTAGCGATGAACCAGGGACGCCCAACAAGAGTCAGCGCACCGCCAGAGACAGTGTGCCAGCCAGTGGCACCTCTTCAGCCCGACGACGCCGAGGACCTCAAAGTTACAAGGATATCAGCGACCGAGAGTTCAATTCAAAACTGCGCAAGCTTGAACAAGGTCTCGACGAGGATGAAGAAGAAACGGAAGAGCCTAACGAAACCGAACTTGAGGAGATTGAGCGGGCAAACAATCTCAAACTTGCAAGTATGTTCGCAACTGTCGCTGAAAATGTATCATGCTTCGCCAGCTAACAAATTTCACAGAGAAGGAAATCAGCCAAAAGAAGATGATGAATCCCATCATGCAAGCTCGCCTGGCCTGCAACTCTCCACACAACTTCTACTGGCCCTGGGTGGACGAATCTTCCACTGTGGACGAAACCCTCGTGTCTGCATCTGGCAAGATGCTTCTTCTTGACCGCCTAGTGCCCTACCTCTTCAAAAAGGGGCACAAGATCCTCATCTTCTCCCAATTTAAGACGCAGCTGGACATCCTCCAGGACTGGGCTACACAATTACGGAACTGGCCCTGCTGCCGAATCGACGGCGCAATCGCCCAGGCCGACCGACAGGCGCAGATCAAGGCTTTCAATACGGACAAGAGGCACAAGATCTTCCTGCTCAGTACTCGTGCTGGTGGCCAAGGAATTAACCTCGTTTCTGCGGATACCGTTATCCTATTCGACTCTGACTGGAACCCACAGCAAGATCTCCAAGCTCAGGACCGAGCGCACCGTATTGGACAAACCAAGCCCGTGATCGTGTACAGACTCGCGACTAAGGGTACCGTTGAGCAGACTCTTCTCGAGAAAGCAGATTCCAAACGCCGCCTCGAGCGTCTGGTAATCCAGAAGGGCAAATTCCGATCACTCCTTGACACGGGTAGTGCCCATGATGTCGAGGAGCTGAGGAAGGTCCTCGGTGAAGATGAATTCGAACGCTTTGAAACGGGCGCCGACCCTGCGGCTATTCTTTCGGATGAAGATCTCCGGATCCTTACCGATCGAAGTGAGGAGGCATATGCTCGTGCTGAAAAGGGTCTCGAGCAGAGTGGACCGGCTTTTGTTGCTGTCGAAACTAAGCGTGATGCGGGCGAGTCTTTGATGTCGTAAGGCTAGGTTCTACTCCCTCCGGCTTTTTATCTCCATGGTGGTTCCTTTTCGAGTTTGGTGGCTCGGTGGTGGTTTTGTTTTGTTCTGGCGTTGGTCGTTGTCGGTGGGTGGTCTTGTGCAGCCCTTGGTGTTCGTTTCAACGGTATCGATTGCTTCTCGTGGGCTTTTGCTGTCTTGCTGTCTCATGGGTCGGGTAGAAAGTTACGCCGTTGTACAATACGTGATGTTAGATTTCACTAGAGATGCATTGCTAACTTTGTCCTCAATGACAATAAACAAAAGAATCCATCAAGCGCCTGGAGCTCCTCGCCAGGAATATGGCTGTACATGAAGATCAACGAGGAGAAGGGTCAAGGTGTCTAGAATGAAGCAGGCCAACACGAGCCAGAAAAATAGTTCAATGTTCAGCGTCGAGACCTCTCTTCCTCAATCTCATGGCGCAGATCGGCCAGAGTTGCCTGCCGCTGAGCCAAATGACTCTTCAAACTCTCAACTTGCTCGCCCACAGTCTTAACATCTTCCCGCGCCCGTTCCAAATCCTGACCATCCTTCGAGCGGCCAACACCCTCCCGCAGCTCTCGCAGCTCCCGCTCCTTATACTCCAAAAGCTGGAGCGCCTCCTTCTTGATCAAGACCCAGTTCGGCCGGCCGTCATTACGCGGCCGATCACGGCGAGTCTCGGATGCCTCGCGGGCAGATTGAAGCTTAGCCTCCATCTCAGCAAGTTCCCGGCGCAGCCGGACCTTCTCCCACTCCTCGTCCTGGATTGTCTCGCTAAAGTCCGTGCCCTTGGGTTGGTACGAGGCTTTGCCGCCAACTCCTAGTCGGCTCAGGTAGGTATCGCCGAACTTGGCCTTGCGCCCGGTTCTCGTCTCCTGGTTGCCGTCAGCACCCCAGCGCTGGGCGGGGCGAGCATTGTTATCGATTTGGTAGTCGATTTGGTTGCTTTCGAAGGAGGATCGCAGGGACGCTGGGATGGTGCGCGGGATGCGGAAGCCCTCGTGGCGGTAGTTGAGGATGTGGAGGAATGCAAGGGTGGCGTCTTTATTGATGGCTTGGGAGGCGGAGGGGTTGACGAGGTTCCATGCAGAGCGGACGTCGGTGTCTGGAACATCGAGGGACTCGTAGAGTGGTTGTAGAGATTCAACTGTAAGTATAGGGTTAGCAGCTTGCTCCGAGGGCGTGCAATGCAAGTCTTGTAATACAAGGGAGTCTCACAGGTGATATCGCCGCGTTGGGTTCGGCTGGAGTTGTAGATCTCCTCGTACTTTGTCCTGTCGGCAGGCTTCATGTACCAGTCAAAGCCGTCTTTCAATCCGAGGGATTCGTCCTCATCTTCTATCCGCTCAAACTGTTCCGGACGATGCAATGCCCGCGTTGCCTGGACAAGATGTGATTTGGATTCGGGGACGAGCCAGTCTGGCAGCACTGGGGGGACTTCTTGGAGCTCCTACAGTTGGGCGCGTTCCAGTTAGCTTCCTCCTTCTGATCCACAGACAGTATGGTCCGAGCAGTACGTACGCCATTAACAAGGTCGAATACTAGGCGCATTGCGACGCAGAATTCCTCAAAGTCCAGCTCTCCGTCACCGTCCACATCTGCAATGTCCCAGACCTTCTCCAGCTGCTCATCGCGCAGTCCACTGTTGCGCAGCACCGAGGCGGCTTGCGAACTGTTCAGATGGGTCTGGCCATTCGAGAGCGAGGAGAAGATCTCCCAATACCGCTCAATCTCCCATTGTTCGATCTTCTTATTCGACATGGTGTGGTTGTAATTGGCGTTGGAGGTTGGATGGTCGGGGGCGGGAGTTTGGGGGGGGAAAGACTGGCCCGCTGTCCGCCTTCAGGGGATCTGAGGTCATCGTTGTTTACCGCGCGTCTAATCTTCAATAAATACAGTACAGTAGGTAGATTGTATGAAGATCAGTAGTTTGAATTTCTTTCAAGTGCTTAGATAGAGCTGTGGATTGATTACATTGTACTTATCCCTCCTGACCGTCAGATATTTAACCGCATATCTTTAAACGAGATGCATCTCAATATGCTCCAACTGTAGTAGTACATCGAGCACCTGGTGACATTCCCCTTCAAAGGTTAATTGTGGTTCATAAATTGAAAACTCCGACTCTCCTCCATCGAATTGGTAAGATGGCCGAGTTGGTCTAAGGCGTCAGGTTAAGGTCCACCTTAGCATAAATTCCTGATCTCGTTTACGGGGCGTGAGTTCGAATCTCACTCTTATCATTCTTTTCTCTTTTTGTCCGTCCCTACCGAAATCAGTCGTAGCGACTTGATTTTTTTTTTTTTTTTTTTTTTTTTTTTTGGAGTGAGACTGAGTTTCTAGTAGACTATGACAGTAGTAGACTATTTTAGCTGAGCGGCCTTCGATCTCTTACTTTGCGCAGATTGAAAGGAACAAGACACCATAATCCTTTTGTAAACACCGAAAGTCTCCAGTCACGAACACCCAACCTCACATGGCTTTTTTTTGGGCGAATTTCCTCCAATATCTGAACCGGATCTTTGCAAACATTTTCCCACTCTCTTTTTATGATCCCCTGCTTCTCCGGGCTTCGGACTTGGAATGAGGCATCAAATGGCCGTGACGAGGCAGTAAATGTGAGTTTTATGTCCCATGGATCTATGTCAATTCGTTTCCCGTCCTTGTACGCATAGGTGATATTGTATGCCCACATCAGTCGAGCCATGAGGATGGAAATGCTATTCCACCCTAGGTGCTGCCCTGAGCAGATTCTTCGTCCAAATCCAAACGGACTATGTTCGAGTTTTGAATTCTGAATCCATCTCTCCGGTTTGAATTCATGTGGATCGGGGAAAATTTCCTGGTCGAAAGACATGACCCAAATATTTGGGATAATGACTGTACCCTTGGGGATATGGTAACCCATGTATTCGTCGTCCTCGGTCGTGGCATGAGGAATTGCAAATGGAGTCGGTGGCTGCCAGCGCATGACCTCATTTATCATTGCGCTAATATAAGGCAATTGGGGAAGATCTTCAAATGATGGAAGCCGATCTGGTCCAACAACTTGGTCAAGCTGGCGCTGCGCTTCCTGCAAGCAATGTGGGTGCAGAACAATGACCTTTATCAGCAAACGCAGAACTGTAAGAATGGCTTCAAAACCAGCTTGTTCAAGCGTCCCGATGATATAGGCAAGTTCTTTGGACGAAACCTGAGACCCAGCCTTGGTCTGCAAGGCGTCCTGGACCCAGTTCCAGGTCGATGTTGACCTAGCTATCTGGAGGTGTTTCATGTGGAACTCAGTGGTTTGTCGTTCTACATCAGCACATCTCCGCTTCCAGGGGGCCAAAAAGGAAGGTAGTCGATCGAGAAAAGGAAAAAGTTCTACCACCTGATAGTAGACATTGCCAATAGCGTCGAAAGGATTTGCGTTGATCTGCAGAAGTTTTCCGGGGATTTCGTTACTTATGTGTTCCAACCGGATACCATACCCCAGTGTCATGACGATACTGCCAGCGTAGCGAGATATGTTGCTTTCAAAGTCGCTTGCTGCCAAAAGGTCGAAAAGTGTTTGTTTGCTCTCCATGTCCTCTAGAACGCGATATCGATTAACCGCGCTGGTGTCAAGTATGGAATTCATAATATGATGTTGGTTCTGCCACTGCTTGCCATATGGCATGATGGCTGAGTTCAGTCCGCTAGTCATCTCGGATGCAATATTGAATCGCGGACGGGAGCTGTAGATGGCACCTCGCTTGCTCATCAGGTCGTGAGCAATATCAAGAGACCCAATACTAATTGCCAGTTGTCGGCCATACCGAAAGCTGACCATAGTGCCATATTTGTTATGTCACTTTTGCATAATTTCGATAGGTCGTTGATTTAACATTTGATGGATATTTCCAATGATCGGTAGAGGCTTAGGTCCAGCCGGTAAATTCAAATGACCATTCTTTACGACAGTGGAGGTATGCATCAAGAAAAGGACGACAGTTGAAATAAAGATGAGTAAGAACAGGCAGAGATTCAGTAGTCTATCTGGTAAGGATTGCCTTATCTCTGTCATTATGTGTTGTATGCTTGAAGTCGAATTCATAGTTACAAAAATGCAGATATACCTTAACAACCACTGTCGTTTAATTGCAATAAGAAAAAGCGAGCAGGATATATTCTTTGTCGTGTCGCCTCGCTTAGTTATATACAAGGTCCTTCATGGCTTTGAAAATAAGAAGGATGCTTTGTGTCCAGGAAAATCAAGGCATAGGTAAGCATTCTATGCCTTAAACATTTATGATAGCACAACAGCCTATGTTGTACTACGAGGAGCACATGTTGTACCACATGGAGCACATGTTGTACCACAAGGAGCACACATTATAACACAAAATATCATTGATGTTAGTTTAAATTCGATTCACGGCTGATATCTGTTAGGTCAGAAAACAGTAAGAAAAGAGCGGTGTATAGAGCCCATATGAGAATTAATGAGGCCGATTAGACGCAGAAACTACTACGCTCTACTAACTACAAGCAGAACCATACATTACAGACCCAAGAATGTGTCTATCACTAATACGATAGGTTCAACATGTTGCGAAGCAGGTTTGAACATCCCCAGTACAGAGGTAGATACGAAAATTGCTCATCGATTTAGCTTTTTTAGGTACTATATATATTACATTGCCGTTTTAGGGTATACAGTATATGTTCACCCCTCCTTAGGTTTTGTTAATCCCTGTTCTATGTTTGATTTTGTTTTCTATTAACCTTAGCAAGATGCGAACTGATATTTCTACTCGTGCTCCGATTGTTATGTTAAAACTTATAGAAGTGGGTTCTCTCGCTATGTCTGAGCTGATTACATCTCTTTCCGAACGAGGAAGCTAAAAAAAGCACCCACGTATAGGCATTGGCTTCAACAGCGCATCCTTGGTGTCTCCGGCGTACAGCAAATGCTTTTGTCGGGTAACTCGTCTAAAATGAATGCTACTGAGCCCGCGTGGCCTTGGTTAATGCGATATACTAAAAAGGGCGGGACAAAAGTAGAGCTGGTTCGATTCGAGACTAGGGCGAGGCTTGGTATGCATTTCCGCAGGAGTGAATTCAGCAGCGGATTGAGCGGCGTTCTTGGCAAATCTTTTCTAAAAAATGATTTAGCTGGATGGGGAAAATAAGTCTAGTAATATTCAGCTTAAAAACATCTAATTGGTCCATATTAGGCATAGTAGAAAAGCAACGTGGCCAAGGAGATTTGGTATCGACCTCCGTATCACGATTCAAGATTATACAAACCATGCATAGCTATGAACTTAGAAAAAGGATTGTGTACAACTAGAAAATAATGTCATGAGAATCAAAGGCTTCGACAATCTATTCGAGAGCCGTAGCCACGTCACGGTTTCCAAATGCAGCCCCATGCCTATACTCTCCTATTTGTTCCGTTCCGATTTTACTAGTCATGGATGGATCACGCTAATTCGTTGTTGCCCTATATCTGTGCGAGACTTTCGTATTATAGAGTCTAGATTAAGGATAGCTTTTGCTTCGCTTACATCCCCAGGATGCTGAGTGGACTGAATCTGGATTCCATCATAGAAAAACTCTCGTTCGCTGAGAGACCTGGTCAAGATGGAGACTTCGCATCCTACATTATCAATCTCCAGATGAAATATCTACCCTCAAGTATGATAATTATCTCCTTGGTAGCTATCTTGGCTGCCATCTTGAAGTCGCCCAGCAACGATCCCAACTTTACTTCGGAAAAAGTCTGCCCTGGCAGTACAGTATCGAGAAAAAAATACGAAGAAGTTGTAAATGGACTTCTACATGAAATTTCATTCCAGCCCCCAGATTTCGAATTTGACATGGGATTAAAGGGTCGCGTTGAGAACAGCCTTGAATCTCATGGCATTTCACGGGAATTTATATCAAAAATCGGACAATGCATCAATACGGCGACCAAGATCACCAGCTTCACCTATCCGTTTGTCTCGCATGAGGTCCGAGAAGCCATTGCTTTATATGCTTCATACGTTATCACCATTGATGACTTAACAACTAAGATCCTACCGGACCTAAAAAAATATACTACTCAGCTGGTCCTTGGTCAGTCGCACCAACATGAACTTCTCCGTGGCTTTACGAGGTTTCTGGGCGGCCAACAACAGCTGTTTGGACAGTTCGGCGGCGACATGATTGTCAAGGGATCCATAGAGTTCATCTCAGCAGCAGTAGTTGAACAAAACCAAGATAAATGTTTGCACTTGTCATCTGATGCATCCGACTATCTGGTTTTCTTCAGGGCAAAAACGGGTGGTGCTGAGCCATTCGCCTTTTTCTGCTTCCCAGAAAACAGCAATCCGGAGGACCAAGACTTGGCAAGATATGTCGCTGCTATTCCAAGTATTATGCTATTTTTGGGCTACGTCAATGACCTGCTGTCCTTTTACAAGGAGGAGTGCAACGCCGAGGACTGTCCAGGCTTTATACAGAACCATTCTAAAGTCCACGGTTTTACGTTGCTTCAGTCACTACACCAACTCCGAAAGGAAACGATAGAGGAAGTACGAAAAGTTCGCAGCATATTGTCACATGATACTGTTATGACTGAGCGCATTAACAGGTTTATTTACGGATATATATTTTATCATCTATGTTCAGGGCGATATAGGTTGCACGAATTGAATACCCCTGCTGCCGTGGATGCGAGGACCCGTTTTCAGGAGATGGCGGTGTAGAAATAGAGAACTGCTGGTGAATTTGGCTGCTTACTTTTTTCTGGTGTTAGCTATGTATGCAATTCTAATTATTTCGGTTATTTTAGTTAGCTGACCGGGTTGTAAGTTAGCTAGTTAACTAACTAACTATGTAACGATTCATACGAGACTAGGCCAGCAATACATGTCAGGGCCAACAGACCGCCAAAGGAGGCACCCTGAACCATAGGCACCACGCAATCGACCTGCTCCCACACCCTAAGAATCCTTTGACTTGCGACTCGATGTCAATGCATCGCGAATCATCTCCTGAAACCAAGATGGAAATCCACGGATACCACTGATTAAGGTGAATCGGCCGGGTAATATGAGCTGGGCTCCTTCTCCAGAATATAGCTGGTCAACAATGGCATCTGATACAGTTTCCGGCTCTAGACAAAAGTTCTTTGACTTATTATTCCGGGTAATGTGGTCCACCAGAGGGGTGCGAGTAAGTGTAGGGTGGACAATCCTAGAAGCAGAGTTAACCAATAGGCCAGGCCGGATTCGCATGTGCCACATAGGTAGTACTATCATGTACGTACGTTGTGCGAACCTTCGGAGCATTGTACCGGTGCTTAAGCTCCTGTGCCAGCCCTTCATGGAAGGCCAAAGCTGCTGCCTTTGTGCAAGCATAGCTCACGTTCTTCCCCTGCGTAACGAAGGATGCCATGCTCGCTACTGTCACAATGTGACCGTGGTTCTGCTTGACCATGGCAGGAAGGAATTCCCTCACGAGATGGAAATGGGAAAGAATATTGATCTGAAAGATCCGCTCTGTCTCTGCGGTTGGTTGGTCTGCTATCAGCATGCTGTTTCCAGTGCCGGCATTGTTAATGAGGACTGTCGGATTGCCGTGCTCTCGGCGAATGTCCTCAGCGACTGTTTCAACTGAGGCTGCCGATGAGATATCTGTTTGGTAGAAAAATACATTCTTCACTGTGGAACATGAGTAACTTGTAATTTGGGAAAGATCAACGTGTAGGTACCTGTTTCCTCCAAGGGCGGCTGTATATCTAGGATGATGACCTTGGTGCCATCGTTCGCCAAGCGGGATGTCACCACAGCGCCAATTCCACTCGACCCTCCAGTGATGACCACAAGTTCCTTTGTCGAGTTCCATCTGGAGTTCTCGGTAAAGGCGTTGAGATAGCGTCTCGAAAGCCATTTGTTGGTCTGGTAGATAATTCCGGCCCCCAAAAGAACAGCACACCATTTTTGAGAACCATGATCATTCGCAAAGTGTATCGAGCCGGACCACCAATTCGATTTCTCGGACTGCCAGCTCGAAATCAGAAAGAGGCCGCAGGCAAAAAGGGGCTGGAAGAGAATCTTCAGAGGTGAAGCCAGAGCCTCTAAGGTAAGTCCTTCTCTTGGTAGTTTCAGCAGCATGACTGCGGCATTGATTTGATCCAGATTCTGTGCATTGGAGAGTGGAAGAGTCGAGGGAGGCTTGAAGATATAAATAATTCCGAGTGGAGCAGGGCTTCCGAGACGAGGCGCTGTCTCTGGACTAGGCGTCCGATTTATGCGCGTTACCCACGGGCAAGGCTACCTCCGTTGTGCTACGCGTTCTACGTATACAGTGGCAGTTCAAAAGTGAATCTAGAGACCTAGAAAGATGTTCAGCTAAATACATTTTAGCTTTCTCTCTTTAAAACCCTTTCCGACTGTCTGGTTAGATATCTCAAGGAAAACTCAATTCTTCTTTCAAAATAGGTTTGAACGCCCCAATGGGGTTCCAAACTTATGGAATCACACTGTATTCTGCAGTGCCAGGCTATAACTGGAAGCTATAAATGGGACTATAGAACTTTGTTTCAAAGTCTCACTATTAAATAGAAGAAGCCGCCGTTCATCAACTACTGCTAGGCTGAGTTCCAGGCGGAGGACTTGCAGCACAAGCAATCGTAAAGCTCAATCTCACCTCTTCCATGTATCTCCTGTCTGTAGAAGGGCCCTGAACTCGATGCACGCATGCTCGTACTTTGTCCCTGCCCAATAGCCGTTGTAGCCGGGTACCAACCAACACAATAACTTCATCAGGATTTGCAGGGACGGGAACGAATGTCGCTTCCTGTCCTACCTCCTTGCTGCCAAGCTTGTCTGTAGATCGGAGGTCGGCAATCTCTAAACCATCGTGGGCATTGTCATCTCGAATCAATACCACCAATGTACCGGTATCCATGTGTGGAGGGTTATACTCGATTATCTTATTGTCCAGCTGCTTTGGGTCGTAGAAGTTGATCCCGAAAGATTCTTGATCTAGCTGAAGTGTTCCCGTCAATGGGATACTGGAGTCGAGAATGTCATTGGAAATGGCCGAGAATATGGTGTCTTTCATCAGCTTCCATTTCTTGTGCCAATATGTCAGTTCTGGTAGTGTCTTGCAGATAGAAAGACTTGAGGCGTACCTCGTGCACCACGATTACAGAATCGCGAAGGGACGAAGGAGGCGGATTTCCTTGAAGGTCACTTGCTCGGAAGAAATAGACTGATTCTTTTGGTATGGGAGTGTCGCCGCGAATAAGTTCGGAGTCGAAACCGGTATACCCTTTTGTTTCGGCTTTCACATCTACTGGGAGCTGGAAGAATTCCCGGGCCTGATGGATTCAGTACATGAAATGCGAAGAAGAATGAAGAACAAAATAAACAAAATACTAACATTCTGCTGTAACTCGAGAAAATGAGCTCCCTTGAGACTAGGGGCCCAGAGGCGAATGGCGCCGTACCGAAGAAGCGCTTTCTGTATGTTGGTGATCGTAGCGGGGTCTCTATCCCCAGACAGATCAAGAAGAGGAAGATCGAGTGTAGAAGCCATGTTGACAAGTGTAGACAGACGAGCAGCACTTATTCAGGTGAGATAGATACCCCTCAGATTATTGTTCCGAGGGGGGTTGTGTAGAATAGTGCATAACTAGCTGATCCCTGCCAGCGCGGTGAGTCAACAACTGGAGGGGTCAGGAAGGCCCGGGCCATGACGAGGTGGTCAACCGTCAGGCTATTCCTCTAAATCAAAGATATAAAATCATGCAAAATCTCTATTGGGGAGCTATTGGCCCTATGTATATGGGCTATGGTACATCAAATATTAAGACAAGTAAATGAAGCGGGGGTTTTCTCTATCCAGTGCCTTTTCGTATCCCAGAACATAATTTGTCGAAAGTTGCTGGTTGCTGGCTTAAGGCTTTTTCTTTTCCTCAGCCTGGGCCTCTTTCTCTTTCCTTTTCTGGGTCTCAAGATGCTCTGTAACCTGGACAATGGCCCGCTCAGCCTCCAGCGCCAGTTCGGGTGCATCCAGGATCGAGGCTAGTTTCTTAGCGTCGGACATCTTCAGCAATATGCGGTCATCGCTCTGTTCGATGTCATCGACCAACTCAGATGACGGTGTATCGATCGGGGTATCTTCCAGCACACGCGATGCACGCTTGGCGTATAGCTGTTCTAGCTCGGGCAGGGAAGTGGGATTAAGGAGATTCTTCTCCACGAGGAATTGGAGGTGTCTTGAGCCATTCAACGCTGAAAAGGATCGAAATTAGTTAACGCGATCAGGAGGAAAGAGTAGAAGGGCTCCACCAACCGCGCCAATGAGACCAGCCTCGGTATGCCAGGTAGAAGAAAGGAATATTTGGGATCCTGTCGGGGAGAAGAGCTTCGTCAGAAGGAGAATTCGCCGCAAAAGTCGATCAAGCAACATACACCGGAATCAGCGCAAATGGAGCTGTAAAGGGAGCAATGCCAAGGCTCCACCACATTTTCTTCTGATGAAACTCCTGCCGCTCTGTCGCGATCTTGCGTAGAATGTTCGGGATGTTCTCTACGCGCACCGAGTTTCCGGGAAAGAGCACGTCAATTTGCTTGCTGCCGTGATTCTCATCTATGCGCTGTTGTGCCTTGAGCGATGGGATGCTCTTGAGCCCCCATTCTTCAAAGGGGATGCGCTGTTGAACCCGATTGCCCCAGGTGACAAGGTGCTTCTTCCAGCCCGACTCAGCTTCCTCCCATTTCGCCCATGTTTCTGCCGCCTTGCTTGTCGTGCGATCGAGTAGTGATAGCTCCTTAGCGGCGTCGCGTCGCAGTGGTCGAGCGTAGATCAATGCTCGCCGGGTCGAGATTGGGATGAGAAAGAGGCGCATTGCGGCGGGGATTGAGGAGGGTTGGGGAGGAGGAGGAGGAAGTTAGAGAGCGGAGTATCGGATTTGTCGCTGGAGACTGGATGGGGTGAAGGAATGAAGACACGACCAGGAGTATGTAACTCTTGTCTGCACGGCTAGCAACCGCCAGTGGAGTCGCGATATTCACTTTTTCTGGTTCAAGCGGAGGCAGCCACAGGAAGTATCACGGGAAAAGAAAGAGGCCAGGAGCCAAGCGTAGGCAGGGGGCGGAGACGTCATTTCGCGGCTGACAATCTCGTTTGGTAACTCGGAGATAAACTTGGACCTGCACGACTACTGCTTGGACCACCCAGTCTCCATCCCGGAGCTCACATCGTGACCCATTCTTCTCTCTTTCCGTGGCATTGGATTTTCACAGTTGGCCGATCTTCGTCTGCAATTACCACGAACAGTGATGCGGAGCTCGCATTGACTCCTGCCGCCAGCTCCGATTCTTTCTACCCTACGCTGCCGAGGATACCATGCACTGCTCCAAGCCCGACCACCCTCCGGGACGAACCTTCAATAAAAAGCTGTCGGACAAAGTTCCTGCAGACTGTCATTCACATACTTCACAGACAGCGTACCTAAGCATCGATACCCAGTCCGTGGTGCACAACGGATCCGAGTCCCCAGCCACGGCAACACGAACGCCGGATGGTCAGACCCTAGAGGAGATCACACGATCTCAACAATTTACATTGCGCACGCTTCCAGGTACACAAGAACCCTGATTATGATTAACTACGTGCTTCGGATCATGCCATTGACGCGACATTTCCTCTAGCTTGGATCCGGTCGATCGAAGAAGTCGAGGATGACGCCGAGGGAGCCGCGGCAACCGACCAACTACTACCCTCCCAGCCTCATGATGCGCAAGTCGCTCAGCATAACCACACTCCTTATAATATATCAAGCCACGACTTTGCACAGACGCATGATCCAGGTTTCTCAGAAGAGACTTTCCCAATCCGGGAATCGCGATGGGCGACGTTTTCGCGTATGATCCAGTATCCACAAGGGTATGTGGACGAATCTAAAGAGGTCACGTCGGATTGGTTGAATGAGAACCACGGGGACTTATCGAGTCCATGGCGCGGTAAGCTCTTGGACGAAGACAGCCCAGAACACCCCCTGCATATCAAACCGCGCAGGCGGGAAATCTGGATTAAGCGCTTCCGTATCTCGCTGTTGAGAAGTCCAATAGTGCCGCTTATATTACGACTGACGGTCTGGTTCTTCTCGTTGTGTGCGCTGGCGTTGGGCGGATCTATACAGCATTTGTCAGATAAGGGCCACACCGACCAGGGCCCGTCAGCATTAATGGCTATCATTGTTGACGTAGTGGCATTGGTTTACCTTGTGTATATCACTTTTGATGAATACACCTCGAAACCTCTGGGATTGCGCTCTCCTTCGGCCAAGGCGCGGCTCATCCTTCTTGATCTCTTTTTCATTGTCTTTGATTCTGCCAATTTGAGTTTGGCATTTAATTCCCTGTCCGAGGTGACTGGCTCCTGCACAGAAGCAGAGGTGAATCAAATATTAGACCCTCGGAACGACAAGATCTGCGTACGACAGAAGGCCCTTGCCTCTGTTTTGCTGGTTGCGTTGATTGCTTGGCTCTTGACGTTTTGCCTTAGCGTTCTCAGGTAGGATCATGCCCCACGATTGAATGTGACTTGCGGGATAGAGGACTGACTTGGTGACAGGCTTGTTGAAAGGGTGAAACACTGAAAGCGACTCGCAACTTGGGCATGAATATTGGAACCATGCCTTATGATATTTTGCTACAGTACTATTCTCCTTTTGACCTATTAGACTAACCATGCGAAATGGAGGTTCAGGCATTTGAGATCTTCTACCTGATAAGCAATTAGGAATAGTATAAGGTTATAAAAGTAAAAGTATTGACGAAGAAATAAATGGGGAGACGGAATTTCAAACGCGCTTGTGTTCGCTTCGCGCCGCCGTGGGCCGCGGTGATGATGAGAATACAAGTTTGCAATAGCATGGAATACTATCCTTCTGACCTTATGTAAATTTTATAGGGGTAGAAATTAATATATTAATTATTCTTTTATACTAATTCCATGGAATTTAGCCTTGCGAGCTTCAAAGGTGTATCTTCAAGGCAGGGTAATTCCAATTAATCGTTGTATATTACTAGTCTACTATACTGTACTATCCTTGTAATCTTCAGGATATCCTGTATAAACTTTTAAAGACCCCCTTTCATCGATTCAAATCACTGATTACTGTACTTCCTACTCCCTGGTTGATTGATTTCAAAAGAGGAGACTCAGATTAAGTCCAGAAAGGTAGTCTTCGTCCAACAAAAAGCAATTTTACGCCAAGACTGTCGACCCATGATAGATTTTCTAGCTCAATACAGCAATACATTAATCAGAACGAGCCATATCGCACAGTTAGAAATAGCTGAAGTAAATGAGAGTTATAAGTAGTACTGTATGAAGTATGTCTTGTAGTAGTTGGCCCAAAGTAGAATAGCGCTGTGGAGCATGTGATCTAACTGAGCCCGATTTCCAAGCTTCTCCCCCGAAAAGTCCGCGATCGAGGCCCGCTCTCACCGCCTGCTACAAAGGAAGCCCATTCCCCACGCTTGTCGCCCTTCCACTCAGCCTCATCCTCTTCTGCCCGCCACATCTTCTGCCTAATCCTCTTCGTCTTTCCTCAGTTTCGCTTTCCTTCTCCCCGGGCACTCTCTGTACCTTCTCTTGTTCCGTTGCTGACTCCTTGGGGTTGGGAACCCTGTGCACGCCCACTTACGCGCCTTCCGTCACTGCGACCATCTGACGGAACTCGTGGCGCTACACCAAGTCTAGGGTCTTGGGAGAGTGTCGGTAGCGTAAGTTGCCCCCAAGAAGAGCAGTCCAGTATGCTTTATGGATGTTTTTTTGACCTTGTCCTTGATGGCTAACCTCTCACGATGCTAGCAGGTCCCAAGACATCCTCTCTTTCTCGGGCAATTACACCCCTTGACACCATGCCTCCCGCTATGCCACAGACCCCGCACAAGGATGACCTCGAAGAAACGTGAGTTGGACAGGATTTCGCTGGGCTCCCCGATATCCGTTTGTTAGTACAGAACCCCTGACCTTGACATAGGTGGTCATTCTTGGAGGCGGGAATCAACAGTGTGATGATGAAGTTGGAGGAAGGTGTTGACATGAAAACTGTAAGTCACGGAAATCTTGCCGATAGCGCAATCTTGTCCTCGTTGCTGGAGCTAACACCTGCCTTTTCTTGATCTAGTACATGGCCCTCTACACGTGCGTGTCTCAACTTGACAATCCGGTGCTCGTTCTTCTCTGACAATTCAATATAGGGCTGTACACAACTTTTGCACCTCTCAGAAAGCTGTTGCCAACAACCAAGGTCTACAGGCCCATCGGGGAGGTTCGTTCGCCATCTCAAGCTCTCGTGGTGCTATGCGTTTGAGGACCGATCAGCTAACGCAGCGTTTCCATTTCATAGCACACCTTTTGGGCGAGGAGCTCTACAAGCTACTTGGAGAGTACCTCTCCCGTCACCTCCGTGTGGTCCTTAACGAATCCAAAGGACACGCCGAAGAAGCTCTTTTGGGGTTCTACATCCGCGAGTGGACCCGCTTTACGACCGCTGCAAAATACGTCAACCACCTGTTCAGCTACCTGAATCGTCACTGGGTTAAGCGCGAGATTGACGAGGGAAAGAAGAACGTTTATGACGTCTACACTTTGCATCTGGTCAAGTGGAAGGATGACTTCTTTGAAAATGTTCATGAGAAGGTGATGGATGCCGTGCTAAGCTTGATTGAGAAGCAGCGAAACGGAGAAACCATCGAGCAGTCACAGATCAAGAGCATCGTCGACTCGTTCGTCTCTTTGGGTCTGGATGAGAATGACAGCAAGAAGTCCACTCTGGAAGTCTACCGCCACTACTTCCAGCGACCTTTCATCAATGCCACCAGAACATACTACGAGAATGAATCACGGCAGTTTGTCGCAGAGAATAGTGTCGTGGAATACATGAAGAAAGCAGAGGCTCGGTTGGACGAGGAGAAAGCCCGTGTTGGTCTGTACCTTCACCCGGATGTCGCCAAGACCCTTACGGAGACGTGTTTGGATGTTCTGGTGACTGCACACTCTACCTTGCTTCGCGACGAGTTCCAGATCTTACTGGACAACGAGCGCCAGGAGGATCTGGCTCGGATGTACCGACTGCTTTCGCGCATCAAGGAGGGCCTGGATCCCCTGCGTTCTACCTTTGAGAACCATGTGAGACGGGCTGGTCTGGCGGCTGTGGAGAAGGTTGCCTCGGAGGGGGACAGCTTCGAGCCCAAGTTGTACGTAGATGCCCTGCTTCAGGTGCATACCCGGTACCAGAACTTGGTTGATGACGCCTTCAATGGCGAGTCCGAGTTTGTCCGCTCTCTTGACAATGCCTGCCGTGAGTTTGTCAACCGCAATCGCATCTGCCAAGCCAGCACGACCAAGTCTCCGGAACTTCTGGCACGATATACCGACTCGCTACTCAAGAAGGGATCGAAGGCTGCAGAAGAATCTGAGCTTGAGGAGATGTTGGTTCAGATTATGACCGTCTTCAAGTACATCGAGGACAAGGACGTTTTCCAAAAGTTCTACTCCAAGATGTTGGCGAAGCGTCTGGTCCACGTCAGCTCCGTGTCTGACGATGCCGAGACTAGCATGATCAGCAAGCTGAAGGAAGCATGTGGCTTCGAGTACACCAACAAGTTGCAACGCATGTTCCAGGATATTCAAATTTCCAAGGATCTCAACGCTAGCTACAAGGATTTCCAAGATAAGGTCCTTGATGACGATGATCGCAAGCGTATGGTCGATGCTCACTACCAGATTCTGGGCACAGGCTTCTGGCCTCTTCAAGCCCCGACCTCCGACTTCACTGCCCCCATTGAGATCAACAGGACTGCGGAGCGCTTCCAAAAGTTCTACTTTGACAAGCATAATGGCCGCAAGCTCACCTGGCTGTGGCAACTGTGCAAGGGTGAAGTCAAGGCCAATTACATTAAGAATGCGAAGGTGCCTTATACCTTCCAGGTGTCTACCTATCAGATGGGCATCCTGCTACTCTTCAACGAGACGGACACCCTTTCTTACTCTGACATTCAAAAGGCGACCACTCTGGTCCCTGAAATTCTCGATCCCAACCTGAGCATTCTCCTGAAGGCTAAGGTGCTGATCGCCAGCCCCGAGGGGGCTAAGCCTGAGCCTTCTACCACCTTTTCCCTGAATTACAACTTCAAGAACAAGAAGATCAAGGTCAACCTCAATATTCAGATCAAGTCCGAGCAAAAGGTGGAAGCAGACGATACACACAAGACCATAGAGGAGGATCGGAAGCTGCTGCTCCAGGTATGTCAAATCGGCCTCCATTTCTATCATTATGATGCTGTACATTATGCTAATTTGCCCCTACCTAGTCCGCCATTGTTCGTATCATGAAGTCTCGCAAGAAGATGAAGCACGTGCAGCTGGTGAACGAAGTCATCCAGCAGGTCAAGTCCCGCTTCCCACCCAAGGTCCCGGACATCAAGAAAAACATCGAAGCGTTGATGGAAAAAGATTATATCGAGCGTCTAGACGGGGATGAAATCTCTTACATTGCTTAATGCCCCTTCGCACTTTTCACCAATCCCCTCCTTCTCCATCCCCATCATCCTCGCAACTCATCGCATCTACAATAACCCCCTTGCTTCATCGATTCTCTCTTTTCCTTTTTCTCGTTGGCCTCCTTTTACACAGTCCCAACGCCGCTTCTTCTCTCTTCGCATACACGCATCAAAAATGAGCGCGAGGAACCTGAATCTGGTTGGATTGGTAAGAGTGGCATTGGCTTGGGTTGGGATGACAAGGAGCTACGGAGCAAGAACCACTACATTGTCTGTTTATTTTATGATCCATCTTTCATCATAGCGTTGAGACGACAGGTCAATGATAACCCGGAATTTTCGTTCGTCGGCTATTTGCTTCAGCTGGTCTTTTTTGTTATGGCTATCTTGATTGTGTGGGTCGTAGAGCTGCGTGAGTATGGTAGATTGGATTAGGATGAATCCTCCAATCAGTCTGCAGAACTTCATAAAGATCGAAACACGGATGGATCTGTCATGAATCCCCGCCTGGTCCAGCTCGGCATGATAAAAACACAGTGAGCAGAGCAGATTTGTATTATTGTAAGAAGAGTATATTATCTTGTATTCATTTGCTATAGACTGTGTAGAAGAGAAGGGGGTAGAAGCAAAGGGGTAAGTATAAACAAGAACAGGGTTGAATAGCACAAGTGATTATGGACGGGGTATGGTTGGTATGGGGGTATGCAGTGATACATTGCCAAGTGCCACGAAAAGAACAGAACAAAAAAAACACAAATTGATAATCAATGCGCAGAATGCAAGAGAATGCAATGCTCTATGTATACTATCATGTCAGGTAGGTCGGGTCACTGGGTACTGACAGACTCCTTGACCGAGTCCTGGTTCAGTTCGGAAGTGTGCCCCTCCTGTTTAACAGGAAGCACAGTTACCGTATCATCTGCAGAAACAGTAGCAGACTGTCTCTTCTCGGGATTCATATCCACGCACAGCCCTTCCTGGGGTGCTAGGGACACGGATGTGAATCCATCGTCATCTGCACGGGACTCGGGAAGAGTCTTCTCCTGCTGCACGTTCAGCTCGGCCGTCTTCTTCGTCTCGCTTTCGGCTGCATACGCCGGGGAACCCTGGGACAAGGGGGACTTTGGATACGGCACGTCGGCGGCATCAGAGTCATCACGCTTGAACTCGCCACTTTCACGGCGGAGAATGATATTGCTCCATCTCTTGCGACGGCTCAAACTGCGCGATAACCCTTCCGCGTCTTCGCTTTGTCGCTGCATCGAGCGACGGCGACCACGGTCCGAGTCGAAGACTGTCTCGTTGACTGTGGGTAGGACCGGGGTGGATGGTGATGCGATCACGCCGGGGTTGGAGTTGGAATTTGGTGAGGAACTGCGCTTTTCTTGCCATTCGCGACGCTTGTCGCTTGCCCATGAGCCCCATGAGCTGAAATATGCTCCGGCCTTTTGGCTGGCTGCAGTCACCGAGGTTTGTGCTTGAGATACATCGATGGATGGTCTTTGGCGTGCGCCGAACCATGATCCGGCGGTTTCGGAGGCAGAGTCTGTTGATGCTGATTGTGGAGAGGTGGGGGGTTCTTTGTCGATTGAGCTGCGCTGTGATGACGAGGCTTTCTCTTCGTTGCGTTTTCTCTGGGCTTCGCGCATGGCCTCGATATCGGACCAGAAGGTGTTGAAGGCGGCGCTTACTTTCTTTTGACCCGTTGACAAGTGCCGGTTCAGCGCTTCGCGGCCTTCTCGGACGCGCTCGTCCAGATGAAGATCGGCGACTTGTTGGGATAGACGGCGCTGGACGTCTTCCATCGTCAGACCGCCAGCACTTGGGTGTTTTGGCTCGGTGATGGAGAAGAGGAGCGCGTCCGAGGTTAGCCTCGAGAAGAGGGCGTAGTTGGGAGTCTTCTGCCACTGCATGAGGAACTCTGCGTTGAAGTCTAGAGCGGGGTCGCCCTCGATATTGAAATTTTGCAATTGCGCTCTGCTTCGGTGCAGGGAGTCACCGGCGGATAATGAGTTGAGTTCTTCGTGGTATTTCATGCAGGAGAGGAGCGCGAGGAGGTACTCTTCGAACTGTAACCGAATAAACTCTTCCGAGCCCATGAAACCAAGGGTCTTGGGTCGTGATGGGTGAGCTTCGTCCCACGTGTCGTTGACGATCTGAGTGAGAAGATCGATCCAGCGCCTATCAGCCACGGAGAGTGTGAGTGCATTACGGAGGGGCAGGGATGAGATGCTGATGCTATCTTCGTCAAGCTGTAGGGGAGAATAATTCGGTCAGAGCGTTGGTCGGAATGTAACGTGAGAATAATTACTGACGTTGATTAAAATGTCGCTGTAGCGGTCCTTTTGTTGCAATAGCAGGGAGTTCGTTGATCCCACCACGTATGACTTGGTCCCGTCATCGGCCAGCAGATCCAGCTGCTGCAGAGGGGTATATGGCCCGAACATGCTTCCCTGGGAGTATGTTAGATAACTATATCAGAAATGAATTCAATGCTTACCTTGCCGAAGATTTGTAATGGCAGACCCATATAGGCCAACACTGACGAGAAACTATTAGCGAGACCATCATAAGTGACAGCTATCAGAATAATGTAGCTTACAGGAGCTTCGATCACTCGTTTTAAGCGAGGTCGGTTTCTCAACTGTCTCCGCGTAGCTGTCAAATGAAGGATCCGCGCAGTCTTGAAGAGCATTAATGAGGCCGGGTATTAGAGAAATCAGAGAGAACTGAATCATGCATAAACGCTCGCAACGTGTCCCGAAAAAGAGCATCTGCAAAGTTAGTACACAAATAGGCCTAAAGTAGCTTAATTACATACCTTGGGCTGTAGCAATAATCCTTTGAATAGAACTAGCGTCTGGTACTTGAATTCGTGAATCATTTCTCGGAGGGAAAGGCCTTTGGATGGAAATTAGTCAATTGGTATGTCAAGAGGATTTCTGAATGCTCACCCAGATTCTGATCTTTTGATTCATCATTTGATAAGCTTATCACCAGGCCTTCGCGGAATTTCTATTCAATGATAACCAGGTTAGCTTGCCGTTTACAATATCAACCACGGGGTGGAAATTACCCTCAAAATATCAATATCGGAGAAATCCCTGTGAGTAGATCCTTCAGTCAGCCAATTGTCGCATTTGAACTGTAGACTATTCCAGCTTTTACGAAGCGTCCTCGTCATTGAAGAGAACCTCCGAACAAAACAAGTATCGAACGTACCGCTGAGCAAACCACGCCGAAGTAACCACAGATAACTTCTCGCGCAATTGACCCACCCTCTGCGGACTATCCGTAACCACAACCACGGCCTTTTGTACAGTCGACCGAGTCACTTCCGGCGGGCGGTTAATCAACAGACTCGAGTCGAGCTGGCGGCAGCAAGCAATGCCGAAAAGCGAGGTAGCGGGCAGTGTCGAAGTTTCCTTCCGGCGCAATGTAAAATAGGAGAACTCCTCGGTCGACCTAGAGCAGGACAAGAGGTCGATGTGTCAGCGCAATCGATGCAGGGAGACAGCGATTATCGCGGAGTATGGCCATGGGAGCTTGATGTATATTTGCCCCCGCGGAACCAGACACACCGTGACCTCACTCTGGGAAAGGATGGAGTTGCGTACAGGTGTGCGCCATCCGACAATGCCATGAACGGTAATAGTGACCAGTCATTCTCGGTAGCCGGACTCGTTCCCTCGTCGCCGATACAGTGCTCAATCTCCGGGCCCCTGCAGCACACATTAGCAGATAGTTCAGCCCACACCGACTCTACGCCCAATGTGCATGCGCCATTTCGAGTCTTCGCATGCCCGCACGAAAGGAGCAAACTCACCGCGCATGGTGGAAGTCGATCACCAGCACAATCGGGGTTTGTTTAGGTTGGAGGGCCATTGGGGGTGTGCGGGGTTGGATCGTGGGTTGGTCGAGGGCGTTGTGATGGGCGGACGCAAGGGTTTCGGGGGTGGGGGATTGTTCTCCACAGCTTAGCACAGCCGAAGGGGCTAAATCGTGTTTAGATCGCCATGAAGCAGGGTGTGTGAGGAGAAGGTCGGTGGAAGATCGCATAGTTTAGGGGATTTCGATACGCTTATCGCTCACGTGTTGATTGTGGGCGGTGTGAAAGTTGCTCCCCGCGGGACTTGCTAGTCATTTTGGTTTCGATGTGGGTGCTTTGGTTTGGTTTCTGGGGATTGTTCTAGATTATTTTGTAGTTCCACGTGGGGATTATTAAGGTGTGTAGGGTACCGTCAACACTAGGTACTGTGGATTAAGGGGGGAGAGTACACAATGGGTACATCACAACGCAACAACGCTCCAGACCATGGGATTTCCCCTCACCAACCAATTCTTGACGACGCCGTAGAAGCTATGGACAATGGCTTCCAAACATAGGAAAAAGGAACAAAACAGAGTAAGAAGTTGTCAAATAGAGCATCAAGAAACAACAACATTTACGCCAACTTGAATGAGGCATTCCCAAATGCTCATAGAACTTGGGCTTTCATGTGCAGTGATGGAACACTGGCAGAGGACCAAATGGAATAGGTTTAAAAGAGAAGGAAGACTAGTATGGCAGCTGATTATCACCTATACGTAGGTTTGAGGCGCCATACCACTTTGCGCTGCACCCGCGACCAGGGCCTGACCAGCCTCGTTTGCTTGGTCAATGTTGTGGAAGTCGAGGATTTCCGAGTACCTATTCAACAACCGTTAGCACAAAGGAGGCATAAAAGTGGAAAAAAAAGAAAAAAAATCCAAAATCTGTCTGTTCAAAACATACATCATAATCTTCCAAGTATCCACGGGCAGATCGGCATCGTTGAACGACCAATCGAACTTCTCTTGCGCAACGGGCTCGTCGGTAGGATCGTGGTAAGGGGCCAGGTATGGGTGAGCCAGTGCCTCGTCTGCGCGAATACGCTTCTTCGGGTCAAAAACTAGCATGCGCTCAAGCAGATCCACGGCTGCAAAGACAATGGTTAGTTGAACCTGTGACAATCGGAGGAACCCGGGGGAGTTGCGGGAGGTCGGAAGTGTCGCATACCATCAGCATCAGCATTGCGGAACTTGTTGGCCAAGGGTTGGCGCTCGCGCTTGGGAAGAGACTTGACGAATCGCAGAGTCTATGCATAAAATGAACGATTTAGCACATCCAGTTGAAGTCACCAGGGTAGAAAAAGTCAGGTAGAAAGACTCACGTTCTCACTGCAGATGGTCTGAATCACATCGTCTGGGGGCGTACCCAGCAACTCCGTAATGATTGAGAATTGGTTGACATGGTCCTTTCCAGGGAAAAGTGGTTTTCCCTCCAGCATCTCGGCGAAGATACAGCCTGCGCTCCAGATATCGACCTCCACGTCATACTTTTGCCAGGTGAGCATGATCTCGGGGGCGCGGTAATATCTCGTGGACACATAGCCGGTCATCTGCGGGTCCTGGATTCGCGCCAGACCGAAGTCGCAGATCTTCAAATCGCAGTTTTCATTAATGAGGATGTTGCTGGGCTTCAGGTCCCGGTGGACCACACCGGCGGAGTGGACATATTTCAATCCACGCTGTGAGAAGATTAGTAAGTAATGCGAGGGAGAGTGACCCTATAGCCTGCGAGACTTACGAGGATCTGGTAGAGGAAGTACTGGATGAATTGCTTCTCCAGCGGGCGAGAAGTCAAGAGGCGGTGGAGGTCGGTTCCGAGGAGCTCGGTGACGAAGTAGCTGCAGGTATATTAGTGTCGATGTATCGCAAACGGCTGAATTTCCAGACGTACATGTCCTCGAGGGGAGAGATAAAAATGTCGCTCAAGCTGATAATCTGCGAGGGTGGTCAGTTCCGTTGTTGGCGCACGCCCGCGGGGGGTCTTGACGGAGGGGAGGGGGTGAGGGGGAAAAACGCACGTTCTCGTGTCGGAGATGCTTGAGCAGCTTCAGCTCGCGGTAGGTACGTTTAGAAAGGACCGGAGTACTGAAGGGCTTCATGATCTTCTTGACTGCGACCGGCTGGCCGGTCAATTGGTCTCGCGCCGAGCTATCGGGGTCACGTTCTGGTCAGCTGTGGGATATCTCTCGTGCGGCGGCGCACTTGGCCGCGCAGGGCTAGAATTCCAGACATACCAGACCAGTCCGAAGGCGCCCATGCCTACCGGCTGCAAGTCCGTATATCTAGAAAATGAGAAGGTCAGCAATCAGGATCGGGCCCAAGGCATCCAAACATTGCAGACGTGGGGGCACTTCGCACCGGCTTGTGATCTCAAAGGTCGTGCCGAAGATCTGGGACCGTACGAATTCCGCCATGATGGAAGAATTAGATGTTAAAGAGAGACGGAGCGGGTTGCGAAAGAGAAAGAAAGATTTTTTGAGAAGTGAAGGGGGTCGCAGAGAGGAAAGGGGGTTGGTTAGTCGTGGCGGGCAAGAGGACCGGAGGCTCAGAGAGGAACGACCACCAGAAGCAGAGGAATTCGAATGGGCCGAGACGATGATGTGGGGAAGGGCCCTTTCGGTGAAAAGCGCAGAAAACAAGGCCGATGACGTTTGCGACCAGCGACAGGCAGGTTTCCACCCAACCACGGGCTTAATCAGCCACAGCGATAGTTACCTAACTAGGTAGCCCTGGTAGGTACCTAAGGTCGGGGTCTGAAGTCTGCACGGTGTCCTTGTTTTTGGGAGAGCGTGGCCCAAAGATGCAGTAGTATATCCCCGAGAGGTTCCTGAGTGATTAGCCTTTGAGATTACCTTTCCCTATCGGATTCCTGCTCTTTTGGATCTGATCACAAGTCGGTGTTGTGTGTGCCTTGGGGTACCTCTCTCTCAGCAAGAAAAGGTTCCCCCCCCCAAAACCACCACGCGGCGCCCTGGCCAGGCCCGGATAGATGGCCCCCGGAAGAGGTTTCCCAGCCTACGAACCGGATTCCTCTCGTTTGCCGCAACCGATTCCTGGCGATGTGCTACCACATACAGTACTATAGATATATAGATATATAGATATGTAGATGTATAGATATGTAGATGTATAGATACATACTGTACATATAGATACAGCTGCACTCTGACTTTCTGCAGACGTTGTGCAATCTCGACCCCGTGACCCAATCTAGATATGGCGCCGTACAACCCTGGTCGTCGAGAAGAGGAACCAAACCTTGGAAATTCCTCCACCCAAACCTGCCTCTTTTAACCGCGCTTAGCCCGCTTTCACCAACACACTTGCTGTGTTGTGCGGCTGTCATTCGTGGCGCAGCTGCCCGTCGGTACTTCCGCCTTTAGTCCCTCCTCCCATGTCATCGTGCCCCTCATTCCTGCTCCAGGTCAGGATGATCTTACTGTCCTTTCTTTGCAATGTACTGGCCTTGACTTGTTAGTTCAATTGTGCATAGACCCGGGGCTACCCTATGTGCCTAGTGCAGAGGAGGGATAGAGTATCTTCCTCCGACCAGATTCTCGTATCTGGTGTACATGCAGCATCGGCACTAAGAGACCTACTTTGGTCGAGGAGGGGTGACGTGGTGGTTGACTATTTTCCTGGCGTACTATGAATAGAACACATTCTGATACTATATCAAGGCTGACCAAAGGCCCGTTGCCAATCATCCATCTTTCTCATCCAATGCGTAGTTGATTCTCAGCGTTGGTCGCATATGTTGGGGCACCATGGGGCTAAGACATGTGAAACAAAAGCCAGCCACGCTACTGCATGAAATGAAGAACAAACGCCAAACGAACAAAGCCCTTGGTGAGGTTTGACCGGATTGACAGGACAGGGCTGCATCCTGATTCAAACTCTACTTGCGATGCAAGCGGAGATCAGTATTGGCCTTTCTTTGGGCTAGTCCAAGAATAATGAAACATGGGATTGAGAAATACCTACTACAAGGAGGAGGCGACAGATCTCGGATATTTTTCTACCGTACATCCGTTCCACCGAGTTTTCAAGGTCGCTCTACACCGCACCTTGCGTTTGAGGGCTTAATGGTAGCCCGTGGGTGACTCACTTGGAAGCGAATAGATGCGGTGTACTCCTGATCTGACATGTCAGTCAATAATTGCCGTCGGTGTATATGTATACCAGCCTCCAGGTTCAGCGCCATGGCAATGTGTAACTGTGTCTATTCTAGGAGAGGCTCAACCTGAGCGTGTAGTAGAGCACACACTGGGTCTTGCAGGCCTGGAAGCCTGAGGCCACAAATCCCCCATTGTGCGTCATGACTCTCCACTTTGTAAAGCTCCGGTGGGTTTCGGGAACGCCATTCACTATTTTCGCCGTTGAAGGATGAATAGTACCCCTCACTAGGGATCATACCCCATCATACAAGAGTTTGATGGCCATGTTGTATCGAAAGAATCCTCCATCCCCCTCATTTCTGTATACAGAGCGAGGCGAACGGGGCATACCCTGCCTCCCCAGCTAGGCAACTCTAGGAGAGCCGCCGTACAGTACGGAGTGGTATACACGGTCAAGGACTACTAACTTACATACTCTGTACTCCGTACAGTAGCAGTTATGTAACTAGGCCAGTCGGTCAGAAAGGAACCACGATGGGCACTTGTGGCGCCCCAACCCTTACCCGGAAGGAGGATCCTGGTACCCGATGGCCTTGTCTGCCCTTCCGAGTCTTCTCTTTTAACAGGCCTCACAGCCCTTGAGAGCCCTCAAAGCCCTCAAAGCCCTCAAAACCCTCATCGCCCTGACGGCCCCCGACGGCCGTGGCTGTGAAAGGGGTGACCGTTTCTCCCAGAACAACTCCCCCCTAATAATAACCCCGTATGGCGGCGACCAGGTTGTATGGGTATTGAAAATTGCGCCGAAATTACCTTGGCCCCCAAGGCCGACTACACAAAGTAAGCCCAAGTGTCTGGGCGAAAGTTTCGAGTCTGTGAGAAAGGAAAATAAAAACACGAAAGGGGCACGGTGAACGAAAAAAACCCAGGCCCCATGAATGGGCTTATACGGCGTAACTTGTAGAATGTACCATCCTCACCGTTGTATACGGAGTACATACTTCGGTAAAGATATTCCGAGGAGAATAATGTCCGGTGTACGGAGAGGACAGTATACTCAACAACTCTCACCAA